CCGAGTTGGCACATCTCGAACACAGCGGGCGTTCCTTGGTGCATTTGACTTTGGCCGCGTGACAGTTGTCGCACGACAGCCTGAGCTTTTTGTTGTCCGTCGCCGTTGTCGTCGTTGCTGGGGCTGTTGGGGAGGGGCTTGCGGTTGATGGTGCAGCCTTGTCGACGACCACTTCGGCAGAAGCCATGGCCTCGCTACAGAGGCAGTGGGAGAATTGTTTTGGGCTTGCTTCCTTTCCTTGTACCAAGCTCCTTCTTCTTCTTTGCCGCAGTTCTGGGTGATGACACAGATATATACTGGTCACAAAGCATTGGATGCGGGGCCTGGGGACGGGCCTGAGGAGCACTAATAGCGGGATTGTCCTGTGTTTACATATCTCCAAACAGAATCGAAAATGCTGCAAGTGAGGTAGGAGTCACGCCCGCCCCTGCTTGGCTTAGGCAATCCAACAAACCACCTCGTTCAGGATGTTGATTGATATCTAGCTATTGACCAGCGACTGCTGCTGCAAAACCAAGACCCGACCAACCCCCAGGGTGGAACGGACCCGAGTAAAAACCCATGGCGCCTCCAGCGCATTATGAGCATTTGCACATGGTATTCTGGACCAGGATGTGCTAGGTAGGTACATATTGTACCATGGGAAACCAACCCCCCACCCCACAAGGCGCCACCCTTAACGACGCAATCGACGTATCGAGGGGGCGGAAACCGTCCTGTCCATGCTTGATGACGTCTAGAACGGTACTTTTCGCCAGTGAGATAACGAGCTGGTGTCTTGTACTCCCCCCTCCATGGTCCTCATCCTGCCTGGGGGGATGGGACAAATGCCACAAGGCCGTGGTGGTGGAGAGTGGGAAATCAGCGTACAGATACGCATAGTGGCAAACACTAATTGCCATGCAGCAGGCGAGGGAGGGATGTGGAGAGTTTAGTGAGAGAGACCTGGTTCGCATTGCATCACTCCAACTGATCGAGGGCCAATCGACTCGAGTCGTGCGTGGGCCAGGGGAATATCGATATGTACACATTGTCCTCAAGACTGTGATCAGATCGGACGCCCGCCAAATGTCTAGTAATAGCGGATTTGTGTGTTTACCAATTGTGCGTGACTTGATCTAAACCGCCATCCTCATCTTCAGCTTGTCCTTCTCCACAATTTCGCCCTGCATGGCCAGCAGCTCAGGCATGTCCCAGTTGCACGACAGGTACCGCCCGCGCAGCCACTCGCGCCGCTTCTGTGTCAAGTACACGACCGTGTCGGCCATGAGCTGCGGGGTGTCGATCAGATTGACCTTGACAAAGTCGGGCATCTTCCAGGCCAGCTCGGTGGGGACGGCGCCCGGGTGCATGCAGTACGCGATCACGCCCTGGTCGCCGTACTCGACGTTGAGGAAGTCGGACAGCCGCAGCAGCGCGAACTTGGTGGTCTGGTACGCGCTCGCGCCCGGCATGCACATCTGCGCGCCGATGCTTGACATGTTGACGATCGTCTTGAGGCTCGCGGCGTCTGCAAGAAGCAGAGGCAGCACGGCCTTCCAAGTCAGGAAGTGGCCGCGGATATTGACGTCCCAGGAGCGCCACCACTCGTCGACGTCGGCCTCGAGGATCTTGACCCAGGATTCCATGTAGCCTGCGTTGTTGATCAGGATGTCGAGCCGCCCTTGAAAGTCCGGGGCGATCTTCTCGACGGCGCGCTGCACGCTCTCGGGTTCCAGCACGTCCATGTTGGCAGTCACCACCTTGGGCACCTCGCGGCCAGCCGCGGCGGCGGCGTCCTCAATCTCCTTCTTGACCTCTTCCAGATCCGAGCGTGCTGAGATGCCGATGATCGAGGCTCCAGCCTTGGCGTACGCGAGAGCCATCGACTTGCCAATACCCCGTGAGGCCCCCGTCAGGAAGACATGTTTGCCTACCATGCCCACACTGTGCGAGACATCAATGGCAGGGTACGTGTCATGATGGATAGTAGGCGTGAAGTGCTCCCCTTGTAACGTGCGTTCGACTATTAGCTCGACCTAGCACATGCAACACGGGAAGACACGGCTCAAACTTACCAATGTGAGTAGGGGCCACTCTGTGAGGTTTCTCAAGACTGCCCATTGTCTTTCACCCTCCTTTCGTGGCGGGTTCGAAAAAGGATCTGAACCTGTGTGGCCGCTCCCGTGATCGTCCCTAGACAACTGTTTTCCCCTCCCAAAGTAGACGTGACTCGCTTGTTAGTAGGGTTCCTTCTGCTGCCACTGAGCCCACACTAGAGGTACACAGCACGAGGCTACGCTTTTATCATGTGCATAAAGGCAGCGAGTTGGCAGTTCCGCCCAATCGAACCGCCCATTCCCTCGTTGTGTGCCGAGATACTGTCCTCGGTGTCTCAAAACCCGTCGACGCGAGGCAAACATGATTTGATGTCAGCCCAGATGTCGTTTTAAACAGCGAGCCGCCCCAACGTGCACAGGCTTGAGCCCTGCCATTGAGCCATTGGAGGGTGAAGTTTGGCCCTGATAGTGTGATGCCATCCGGTGAGCAAGGATGCGAAAACAGCCTGCATCGAGGAAAGAGAGATCGATCGATCGACTAATGACGGTGGCCACCAAATTTAAGTACCGCAGATGGCCATATCGAGGCACCAAGCACGGAGGCGAGCTCGGGAATCCAGGGGACTTGTCCCGCCCGCTCTCCAAGCAGAATAGTCACCGACCAGGTTGTTGCGGGAGCGCCTATTACCGCTCGGTGCCTGGAAGAGGCTCTGGCTTGTCGGTCATCAATGTCGGCCCGGGAACTGTAAGGCTTAGCGGGAGAGTTTCGAGACCCTTGCGGCGTGTGCCTGAGCTCGCTAGAGAAACACATGCATATGCATTGATGCTGTGTTTGACAATGCCTCGTTTTCCATCCTCGGTGACCGAAAGAATAGCTATGCAGCGACTGCATGGGAATGCAGGAAATTCACATGAAACTTGGACAGGAGAATTCAATCACCCTCTGACATTTGGATGTGCCACTCGGGTCCGCATCATCTGTGGGGGTCAAGAAGGAATATGATGCTGTATGATCTGCAATGAAGATCGTATATGGTTTAGGAATAGATGTAGCACAGCATTAGAAAGGTGGCCAGAAAGAACAGCATATGCAACCCTGATCGTATACGAGTTGAAATACGGGAGGTCCGGCTCGGTCCTTCATAGTTGAGGATGTGAGCGTCAAAAGAAGGCAGCCTAGAGCACGAAGTTGGTGGTGCTGGTTTTCCCTATATCAGAAAGGTTGAAGGAAATTGCCCCAACTGGTCGAAAGGCTGTTTCGGCGGTTCCTCTCTGAGATTCGTCCCTCCAAAGTTACTGGCCCTCTATGACAGTGACAGATCTCCGTCCGTCACTGCGAATGCTTGTCTGCCAAGGAAGACGATTCTTCGGGCTCAAGAATCGGCAGAAGCAGGAAAAGATCCTCACCTGGTTGCCTGGCATCAGGCTTGATGGATCAAAGGTCCGTGATGACTGTCAGACACCGACAACCGATGACCACCGAACGCGTGAACAGCAACTGGCTGGATTGCCCGAGCATTGTGACGCAGGCCAATTTAGATTGACCGTCTCGTGCGGATGTGGACTTCCGAAAGAGATTCCAGGACCAAAACAGATCGTCCAAGATCACAGTGTGCGTAATCCTTGAGCATCCGTCCACTTGCCGGGTTTCCAACCTTGTCTTAACTCTGGGCCGTCAGATTTGCAAATCGGTTTTATCTTGCTTTTGGGACTCTTCTCCTCTCAGTCAATCCTTTGCTGACCGTGGCATGTTGCTATTCTGATTCAATTCCGATGTTCAAGGGTCGTCTGCTCTGATATCGGCGTTCGACCATTGCAGGATTGCACGGAGAACTTTCTCCCTTGGGCGAAGAGAGTTTGAGAATTGCCGCTGCGAGGACTCACCGACTGCTAGCCAGGTCCAAATTGGCATTGTCTCCGTTCCCACAGCCTCTCCGTTTAAGAAGCTGATGCACCCGTTTCCAAGAATTTTTACCCCGTCCACGCTCTTTTTGACTGGCGACAGTCGTTTGCCTCTTCATGTCGATTGTCGGGGGTATACTGACAGTGGTTGTCCTAGTCCGGCCTGGAAGGTCTTCCAAGCACACTCTTTCGCCGACGCCCAGCACCCAGAGGGTTTGGCCGAGACTGAGTCGACGCAGCGCTGGAGTACCATTCGGACTGTTACGGCCACTAAACTGCCCTGATTACCATCGCTCGGTCCAAGGCTATGGAATTCACGAATTGTTATTGTTGGCTAGGTATACCGATGGCACTGTTTTCGGCATTGTGTACATCAACTGGCGGGTTTTTCACTCGTGTTCGCTGGCAATACCGCTTGAGCCTTGGGCAAATCGGGTATGCATCTCCGGGTATTGTCACCACGGGCCCTTAGCATTACCGTCTTTGTGCCACGCACGTCATCCTCTCATCGAGCCTGTCTTTTTCTTCTATGCATTTTTTGGCTGTTTATTTTCTCCTTGGACATTTCGCGGGTTGTTTGGCAGGACTCTGGGAGCCATTTGTTGATTCTTCGGGGTGGTGGCTGCTTGACTTCAGCGCAGTGAAAGTACTGGGGAACGCAGACACCGGCTCTGAAGGGTGAAGGCTGAGGGAGTGCGAATACAAATGGTCCATCATGCTTGTACAACGTAAAGTTTTGAATTGAAGTCCACTGACTCACGCGGCTGTCAAATAAGTATTGCGAGGAAAGGACCTGTACTGCATGATCACAAAGCTAGACACAGCACAATAGCGAATGCAGGCATTGTACAGAAGACTCGATTACCATATTGGGATACGTGATATCGCAAGGTCAATAATATGAAGCTGGGGTGACGATAGATGAAAAGTGAATAACTATGCTGAAGAAACAATAGCGAACAATTGACGAGGCTGGGCCAAAGCCTGGCCCGCCAAGACATCCCCGCAGTGCCTTTGATTTTTTCCAAAGGTGAAAATGCCTTTTGGATCCGCCGAAATTTAGTATCTAGTCGCATGCGCTGCCTCTTACACTTGTAGCTCTTGACATACTTACTTCTGGGCAGATTTGCTTCGCGCACTGCCTCCTTGAACATTTTGACTCATCGACCACTCCCAGAGCCACTGAGTCACCTGCACTTCTCTTAGTTGCTCCCATCCCCCGCACCATTGACCCATCTTCCGCCTGCGTCAACACTCCGAATCTCCATTTAAACCCGCTGCCGGCGTCTTTGCCGCAGGAGCGTGAAGATGTCTGTCGAGGAAGCAGTGACAGAGGCACTCCAGGCGCCAATGGGTCAGAATGCACAAGCCGCTGAAGAGGCCAAGAAGATGCTCGCTGAGCTGGAAGGTGAAGCTGCCGTCGAGGACAAGCCTGAGAAGGTAAATGGCACTGCAGAGTCAAAACCAGCTGAGGGCGAAGCTCCGAAAGAGTCCGAGAGCGTTGCTGCGAAGGAGGCTGCAGATAAGGAGAAGGATGCTTCAGAGAACAATGGGGAGCGTCGCGACCGCGGTCGATCTGACTACAATAGTCGTGGTCGAGGTCGAGGTCGAGGCGGTCACAACAACTACAACTCTCGGAGTTATCGCGACAACATCAAGTCCGATCTCACGACGCTAGAGGAGACTGATGACCCAGTCGCTATTCGGAAACAGGTATGTACGCCCTCATCGCCTTGCAAGAAGTGCAAGAGATTCATAAATCGAATAGGTGGAGTTCTACTTCTCGGATTCCAACCTTCCCAAAGACAAATTCCTCTTTGCGCAGACTGGCGGTGTTGCGAACAAACCAGTTGACCTTCGGGAAATCCACAAATTCAAGCGTATGCGCCGCTTTCAACCCTTCGAGGCCATCGTCGAGGCCCTGCGGGATTCCAAGACACTGGAACTCACCGAAGATGATACCCACATTCGCAGAAAAGAAGCGCTCCCAGAAAACTTTTTTGAGGCTGTTGCACAAGCCGCCGACCCCCGAACCGTGTATGTCAAGGGATTCGGCGAGGAGACTGCAAGTACCCAATTTGACATCGAAGCATTCTTTGATCCATATGGCCCAACCCGCGCGGTCCGCCTGAGACGAAACGACGAAAAGTTCTTCAAGGGCAGTGTCTTTGTGGAGTTCGAGACTGAGGAGCTGGCACAGTCATTCCTAGCACAGGACCCTAAACCGAAGTACCAAGGCAGGGATCTCCTCATAATGAGCAAGACAGAGTACACCCAGAAGAAGACGGCGGATCTCAATGCAGGCAAAATCACGTCTAACAACAAATATGAGAAGGGAGGCAGACGAGATCGTCACAACCATCGCGGCGGCCGAGACGGAGGCAAGCGCAAACGTGACGAAGATACTCGAGATTGGAGAACACGTCGGGATGAAGATCAGAAGCGTGGATTCAGAGATGACAAGCGGCGGGGTGACCGAGGTGGTCGCGATTCTCGAGGTGATAGAAGCAAAGGACCTGATACAGACGATGGGTAAGTTGATGACCGTTGTGTGCCCTGGGAGATCCGCAAGGACTAATGATCTACCACTCAGGGGCATTCCAACCATCAAAACCACCGCCTTGAAGGATGACAGCGGTCGCGAAGAAGCTCTCGCAAAGGCTAAAGCGGCGGTTGAGGCCGAAAACAAGAAGGAACAGAAAGCTGCAGACGATATCGAGTCGACAGAGCAAGCTGGCGACGCCGATGCCTCTTCAAAGACCGCCAACACTGTCGCGGAAAGCGTCCAAGCCGATGCGGAAGCCGCTGCTGGCAAGAAGCGAGCACGAGAAGACGATGACGGGGATGCTGAGCGAGAGGCGAAAAAAGTGGATATCAAGCCTGAATCATCTGGCGATTCGTAGCGCTGATCGACTTGGCCTCTTGTGTCATAATTGACTGATATCATATGGTTTCAGGGAGGTGGGACGCAGTCATGATCACTGCCGACATCCTCATGGATATGTACATCTGTGCACTACCACTATGGTGTTTTGAGCGTTCCTACGGAACATTGTTGTTGTCTACCGGCAATTGGCAAGGAGAAAAACTAAGCGGCTTTCATGTGCTCGGTTATTATGAAATCTTGACACTTTAGAAAAGTAATGAAGAACAATTAGACCCCCCAGATCTCTTTCGCCTGGTCTTGCAATAGGTCTCTCCCGAAGGGTGGTGATAACTACTTATCGCGGTCTCCGCCTTGCAAACGAAAAACGCACAATATTTGTTATTTGCTTAGGCTCCCGCGTACTTAGACCAGACCCTCACAGCAGACACGCCTTTGTACTATCCATCTTCTACTCCAAGACGCTCTTTGACCAACACGGAGCGACAAACTTGCAGTCATGTCTTCACGTGCTTATGTGCCGCCACACGTGACCGACGAGGCTGACGAATCAACGGCCGCCACTCCTGCCTCCCTCGAAAGTTTCTCGTGGTCTTCTCTTTCGAGCCTCAAACCAACACCTGCAGACACCGATCTCGCAAGTCCCGCTGATGAGAACGAAGAGTTTGACAGCGAATACACATCTTCTTCGTGGTCGACTCCGGGGTATTTCGATTCCGCGAGATTCTACGTCTTCCCGTCGGCGGTCACAGAGACGTGGGATGTTCAGTGCGAATGTGGTGGCGTCTCTCCCCACTACCATCATCGTCACAACACAATGAACGGAGCTGCTGGTCCTCCGCCCGGCGGTGAGGGGACCACAGCATCGACCTCATCCAACACGTCTACCGCAGGAGGGGGCCCGCCCAAGCGCGGTGGTCCACTACCCAACCACGTCCAAGTCGCCAAGTCTTACGTCTTTGAGCAGGAGATCCAGAAATGTCTTAAGGAGAACGGCGTCAGCCAGGCGAGAGAGGATAATCTGAGGCTCGCCGGAGTACAGTGGATTGATAATGTGAGGAGGGCGTTGAAGCTGTGAGTTCTCGCCTGTCTCCTTCGTTATCCTGAACGCGTTCACGTCGTCCAAATGCCTTTCCGAATTGCGCAAGCCATGGTCAAGACTAGGTGACTGACGCGTCCGCTTCGTATCCAGGCCAGTCAGGACATTCAACACAGCCGTTGTGTACTATCATAAGTTCCGGTTACAGCATTCCGATGGAGAGTACAGCTTTGTGGTAAGCTCCACCTACAAGATCGCAACTCCTGAAGAATCGCGTGTACAACCTAGTCGTGTGGGATGCTGACACCGATTCCATCGACAGGACGCATCAGCAGCGGCACTTTTCAGCGCATGCAAGATTGAAGACACACTCAAGAAATCGCGAGACATTCTATGTGCGGCGCACAATGTGAAGGTCCCTAGAACGGAGCAGTTGTCACCCGATGATCAGGTACGTTGTCGTCTTTGTTCCTCATCAAAACTTGCATTCTCCTGTCGACTCCTATCACGTGCTACTCACACAAGGCGTTTGGCACATTCTAGGTCTTTGAACACCACTCCCGCACAATAATCGGCCTTGAAAGACTCATGCTCGAAGCCTCAGGGTTTGACTTTCGCAATCGCCACCCTCAGGACCTCCTCATCAAGTTCGCGAAACACTACTCATTGACCAAAACCTCACCTGTGGTCAAGACGGCATATTCGATCTCCCTAGATCTCTACAGAACCTGGGCGCCTCTAAAGCAGACGACAGCGACGCTGGCGTTTGCTTGTCTCGAGCTTGCGGGACGGTTGCTGGAGGAGGAAAACGAGGCCATCTGGAAGGGAGTGGATTATAATGAATGGAGGGTTGAGAGGGGGATGGTGATGGGTAAGTTCTTCTCCTCGACAGAATTCCCACCAATATTCTGGGAAAGGGGGATGTGATTCTCGCAGGAGCGATACATGGCTGACAACATTTTTTCCCTCTCGGCTCAGAAACTCTCCTGGACCTCCTCGAACTCTACACCCACCACCGCACCTCGACCGTGATCGGACCAACCTTCCCTGTCGACACGTTCCTCGAAGTGCGCATCCCGCTGAACCTCGAGTCCGAGGAGAAGAACATCCCGCGCTACACGGCGTGGGTGGAAACCTACGGGCTGTCCGCGACCGACTACGCCAAAGCCGGCCTCGGCCATCACAACGTCAACGGCACGGGTGCCATGAACGGCTCCAAGTCTGGCGCTTCAAGCAAGAATGTCAGTCCGCGAGACGTGACGAGTCCGCGCCGCGGCAGTGCGAGCACGACCACCACGTCCGGGGCCGCTGGCAACGCGGGCTCCGTGTCCGGCGCGGGCTCTGGGGCCGTCGCGGCGATCAAGCAGCGTGTCGGCGAGAGAGGGCGCGAGGGCACGGTGCGCTTCATCCTCAACCCGGATCGGGAGAGGGAAGAGAAGGCCATCATCGAGCTGTTCCGCAAGCCTTGAAGAATCCTCGACAAAGGACTATAGGTCAAGCCGACCACGAGACGATTCGGTTCGTTACGATACGATACGATACGATACGATACGATGGGCGAGGGTTTGGACTGAAGCAGGATGAGAAGAGCGCATGCGCGAACCAAAAGGCCCGCCTCTCTCTCGCCTCTTAGCCGATCCACCTTTTCTGTTGTTTTTCTTGCTCCTTCCATGGAAGAAGACTCGGTTTTCGCGCGCTGCGCTGGGCGAGATTCAGACCGCGAGCACGTAATCACGAAAACCCGGAGACTGGCATGAAGACGCAATCCGACTGCCTTGCGACTACCTCGCATCGAGGCTTCTATACAGAGTACACGATTGAATTTGACGTGGATGGGCGGCGCACCGGATGGGCTAGGCCAGGCGGGGCCGGGCTGGACGGGGGGCTGGACATGACATGGCTGTGTCGGCTGTGCACGTTTATCAAGGCGCGGCGAGGGCGTTGTCATCATCATTATCGTTATCATTATCATCATCACCATCATTTGGCATGCAACGGGCGCGTTCTTCTCGGTATGATGGCGTCTGGCACAGAGTCCAAGGTTCCAAGGTCAAGCGAGAAGGGCGTTTCTCGAACCAGGGTGGTGGGAGGATGACTTCGGTGTTCATAAGGTGCAGGCGAAGAGGAAAAGCCGCATCTCGGTAGCGTCGAAAGGATATTATGGTAATATATTATCCAACCTCGGAGATCGCTCACCTAGATGCCTACTTACCTACCTATGTATCATGCCAAAAACTCATCAGCCACTGCGCCGGACAAGCCAGGTCCGGTTCCAACGACATGAAAGGCTAACGTTCCCAGACGATTTTTTGAACCCGCCATCGGTTTTGTAACTTCCACGAACAAGTCCAATTCATCATATGGTTACCGGCCCCGTTGAGTCCAACAATTTTATCCAACCGTCCCGATCTCTCCTCTCACTCACACCCACGACCGCAACGCTGTCTATCCCTGTTCTCTCCTAAAGACTGGCCAGCATCTGACTCAAGGTGCCCTTGTCATACTTGACGACTTTGCCCTTCCCCTTGTCCACCTCATGATACCGATCCCAAAACCTCGTGTAGAGGGGTTCGATCATGCCTTGAATCTCCCTTCCCAACTGCGACCTGACCTCCGCCTCCATATGCAGGCTCTTGTGCCGTGTGATCAGCTCGTCAAAACTGCTATTAAATAGTTTGAACTTTTCCTTGATCTTGTCCTTGTCCTTGGAGGAGAGGGATTTTATTATGGATGTCGAATCGATGGCCTGGCCTGACAAGGGCCGCGAGCCGGACGAGGTCTGGATTTGGTCGAAGAGGTGGTTCGCAGGGTCACGCCACGCCGTCAAATACAGCGAAGAGCCGGCTTTGCGGTAGGCATCGAGTTTGGCGTTGTGTGGGGAGATCCCTAAATAGCGAGCAAGGTCTGGTGACGATTGGACTGCCCGAGTGAGCACAGCGACGCTATTGAGCAGGAAGATTCCCTGGAGGGGTTTCTTGGGGTGCAGGACTTGAGAGCGTGCGTTGAGCGTTGAGAGAAGGGCATCCACAATGTCGATGAGGTAGTGCGACAGTAACGTCGGGTTTTCAGTGGATGGGGTTAATTCGAGGTTCAGCGTAGATTGGGAGGCCATCCCCGGGGCGGACTTCCAGTTTCCGTCGCCGATGGAGGAGAGCAGGACTAGCAAGGGCCGCTCAAATATGGCCAGGTTTTGGAGGCGGGAGGCTGTTTGTGAGACCAGCGGGATGGTGCTACCATCCGGTGGGAGTGTTGAAATTGATTCGGCTTGTTTCTTTGTTTGGCTCAGTATTTCGCTGAACGATGAGCGAGCGGTGTCACGTATCGGCCGGAGTGCATCGGCAAATTGGGATCGCAGTTGACCCGTCCGCGATTCAAGTCGGTAGCTAAGGGGTGTGAATAGATCTAGGATCTCGTAGGCGAGGAAACAATCGCTCAGTATCCGTGGCTTGATTCCATTATTCAGCTCTGACAGAGTACGTGTAAACGTCCCTAGAGCTTTGCCGCAAGTCATTGTGTAGACACGCCCAGGGTCGCTACGGAATATGCGGGACGTGTTCTCTGCTTCCGCGACAAACATGCCTTCGATACCGTTCGCATATGCCCCGACACCACTGGAGCCTTCTCGGTAGATGCCCGAATCGTTCCCTCGTCGCTTGGAAGTCATGATCGAGGCTGTGGCAAGGTTCTGAAGGCTGTTCTGAAGGTAGTCTCCCCTCACTTCGACGTAGATCAAAGCTGCCGCGTCCTCGTCACGTTGGCCCAGTCTCGCCGAATGTGCTCCGGCGGATGCCATTGCCATAGCGATTTGACTCAGAGACTGAGCCTTTTCTTGGGAGTATGTAGGAAATGGTATTTGTTTCGTGATATGATGCAAAGGTTCGATGGGCTGCGCGTCCTCCTGTAGCATCTGCCGATACATGTCGTTTAACTGGTTGACGCCGGTGGACAGGAGGCTGTGGAAATCGGAAACAGCCTGTTGGTTGGCCCTCATATTTGTCGAGCTTACATCAGTGAGGGTTTTGTCAAGGCGCTTCAAGGCGCTAAGATATTGCGGTAGTCCTGAGGCTTTGGGCCCTGCTCTGATAATACCTTCCTCTCGACCTCGGGAGTCGAGCGGCTGCTTGAGCTTTTCGATGGCTTCATTGACCTTGTCGATATTCCGACTCGTGATCTGAAGTTGTTGGGTGTTGCTATAGATCGGCCCGATGGCATCCTTGACGATCTTACCGCTGACATCGAGCCGCGCCAAACTGGCAGCTATTCGCTTAGTGATGTCTTTCGTCTTCCCCAACGAAGCCAGGAGTACTTCAACCTCAGCGCTCTCCTCGGCGAAGGCGGCGTTCCTTGGTGCCACCATCTTGAGTGTTTCAGGCAGGAAAGGTGCGCCAGTCAAATTCTCCGACGGGCGCTGTGGCCATGCAGTCTGATCTGAGACAGCGTCAAAAAGTGTCAGTCTGTGCTGCAAAGCTTCGCATTTTGCGGGGTTGGGCGAGAGTGGTGTTTCGTTCCGGATCAGGCTCGCGAGGAGAAGTCGCTGGACTATCCAGTTCCCGCTATCCCAAAAGTGATAAGGATATGTGAGTTGATAATATAGAGATGTGAGATGGATTCGACGGGGCGTCGGTTTGCGCTGCTTCGAAGATGATTTGGCGGGCGTCCATTTCGGGTTTAGTCCAGGAACCGCCACACCACGTGCCGGCTGCGGCCTCGTCGGAATCGGCTTGCAGCTCCTCCGACGTCATTGTGACCTGATCGTCCCAACAAACCGCCATCGCCCATCACGAACACGAGGAACAAAAGCCTCCTTGAGGCTCTCGGTCGATCCCAAAGCTTGGTTTCCCTTCAAAGCATGGAATTTGACATCTGCTAATCCGCTTTTCATGCAGCGCTCTTCTGACTATGAGCGCTGCGAGGGTTTTCTTCAATTCGAGCTACCTGCAGTACACTGCTCTCGCTGCAGTCGCCTGCGGCGGTGTTCACAGCTCAACGCGCAGGACCAATCCCATTAAGCTCGACAGCCCTTCCGGCGTACATGCTCCTCAAGATGCCTCCCTTATAGCCTATGCCCGGCGCGTGCAAAGCCACTATGCGCAGACTGAAGACTCCAAGCACACCACAAAACGAGGCGACGCGACCATCATCGACCGGACAAACGATCCGGACCAGTATGCGCCAGCCTTTGAAAGCGACGACGAGAATGCTTGGGCGTCTTTTTCGAGAAACTTCCACAATGTGAGAGAAGGCATTGCAAGAATAGACTGGGGCACCGTTGGCGACAAGATTACAGACTGGGTTGTGCCAAATTGGGCCAAGGTCCTTCCTGATGGGTTTCAAAAGCTTCAGTTCGAACTATCCATGCAGCCAGGGACGCTGGCAGATCAGATCTGGCAGGAGGCACATGACCCTTGCATCAATCCAGAAATCGAGTGGAATGCTACCGTTCGCGTTGGCGACACCCTTGGCAATGACGAGTTGGAGTTCCGACGCAAGAGGAAGCAATACGTCGTCAAGGCGTTGGCAAAATATCTCGGACTCGATGAGAAGGACATCCACCCTGATGACGTGCCTACTATTGCGATCTGTGGGAGTGGCGGGGGCCTACGGGCAATGGTCGCTGGTACAAGCAGCTACTTGTCTGCTCAAGAGGCGGGTCTCTTTGATTGTGTCACATATACCGCCGGAGTCAGCGGCAGCTGCTGGCTGCAGACCTTATTCTATTCCTCCTTGGGCAAGCAGGATCACAGGCAGCTCCTCAAGCACATCAAGTCGCGGATTGGGACCCATATCGCATTTCCTCCGACAGCATTGAAGCTGGTGACGAGTGCTCCGACCAACAAATTCATCCTCAGCGGCTTTGTCGAGAAGCTGAAAGGTGATCCTGGTGCTTCTTTTGGCCTCGTGGATGTCTACAGCCTTCTGCTCGCTGCAAGGCTTCTGGTTCCACACGGCGATCTTGATGTCAACGATCAAGACCTCAAATTGTCAAATCAACGGATATACATTGAAAATGGCCAATTCCCGATGCCCATATATACTGCCGTCCGCCACGAAATACCTGTAGATGTTGAGGAGGAGAAGAAATCCCGAGACAATCTGGCTCTCAAGCAGAAGATCAAGGAGAAAGCCAGGAGGGAGGCATGGTTTCAGTGGATAGAGATGCATCCCTGGGAAGTGTGGTGCGAAGAGTTTGGTGCTGGCATACCAACTTGGAGCTTGGGTCGGCCTTTCAGAAACGGCCGAAACATGTTGCTTGACACAGGTATTACCCTGCCAGAAATCCGTCAAAGTCTTCTCCTTGGAATTTGGGGGTCGGCTTTTTGCGCAACTCTGGCGCATTACTACAAAGAGATCAAGCCGGCTTTGATCGGCATGGTGGGATTTGAGGGGGTGAACCTACTAGTCGAAGAGAAGAACGAAGACTTGATCAAGATCCATCCCATCGACCCGGCCACTATTCCGAACTTCGTGTACGGCATGGAAGGTCAACTCCCCTCGACATGTCCAGATTCTGTCTTCAAACACGACCACCTCCAGCTAATGGATGCTGGAATGAGCAATAATCTCCCAATCTACCCACTCTTGCGACCTGGCCGGGATGTTGACGTCTTAATTGCGTTCGATGCTTCCGCGGACATCCAGAAAGAGAATTGGCTTTCCGTGGTCGATGGGTATGCCAAACAGCGCGGCATCAAGGGTTGGCCCGTCGGTGCAGGATGGCCGAGGAAATCATCAAAACCGCAAGAGAATGCCAAAGCGCTAGAAGAAGCACAAGCAACCACTCCGCAAGAAGCGGCCACAAAACTCGCTGAAGCGAGGGAGGAGGATCGCGAGAATAAAGATGCAGGAGAGGACAAGACTGGTGAGAGTCCGACAACTGGCTCAGATCCAGACGCGGCGAGCACACTTGGCCCATGTACCGTCTGGGTCGGTAGTAAAGCCGAAAGATCCACCGATGAAGAGCCACCTCCCTCGAAAAGTCTCAATTGGGACACTAGCGACAATCAAGACTCCGCCCCGTTCCATTTGATGGACCCAGATGCCGGTATCGCCGTGATATACTTCCCTCTCCTTCCGCATCCCGATGTCCCGAACATCGACCCTGACAAATCGGACTTTATGAGCACCTGGAATTTCATCTATACGCCCGACCAGGTTGACAGCGTGGTCGAGCTCGCGAGGCGCAATTTTGCCGAGGGCGAGGAGAAGGTGAAGAACACTGTCCGGGCGGTGTATGAGAGGAAGAAAAAGTCGAGGATCGAGAGAGAGGACAAGAAGACCACCAAGGAATGGAAAGGCCGAATGAAGAGGGTCGGCAATAGTTTTGTATGATGCGAGAGAGAAATTCGACAGAGCTTGATGGTATCATTGACGCTCATGGTGCCTGATTGTGTGCTCTATTCTCTTTTTGAAGCGTTGCATCAGGCTTTGGAGCGACTACTACTCTTATTCGCCGGCGCTTTCCAAATCGACAAGCTTCGGACTTGTATAATCTATTCGCTAAAGAAAGAGTTGGAGTCAGGCTTGTTTGTGTTTTTTAATGACGGGGATGGCACGGGCAGTGAAAGCATCACACTAGAGGCGGCCTCTGGGAGTATCAGTGAACACACCATTTCCATACAAGTAGATAATGATCCACAGTCCACACAATCCATGAAATGGTCAAGAGAACTCCGATACCCGTTCTATACGCTATGCTAGCTATACGTGACACCTTCAAGGTAGATAGAATAGAATTGCATATGATAGACCTGGTAGAAAGAGGATTGCCCTCTAACTCGCTTGGAGGAATTAAACCACACTCCCTTGTAGTCCATATCTCCTTGTTAGCGGCCTGTCAGCCTTCCTGGCTTCATCCATGCCGGAAACATCCACGAGGCACTCGAGGTTAGGTTTCATGCCTCGTTCGGGACGTGCGCCATGTAGCGTAACACAACAAAGCGCATTGCACCGGATGGTGTCGCGTTGGATGCCATTCTGAAGGTTCCCGCCTGCCTTGGTGCCACCTCTCTGGCGTCGAACAGGAGACTTTAGCGCTCGATGCCTCCTAGGACAGACCCTTGCTTCGGTACGACTGTCGACACCTCGGAGGGTATACCGACGGAGACTGTCGGCATCGTGTGGCTGGCTGCTGCGTTTCGAGGTACTTGCCTCGCACGCAGCAGCGAGTGACTGACCACCGTGCCCGTACCCTTTCATAAATTCATCCATGAAAACAGGGATCCTCCTCTTCCACGGAAAATAGATTCGGATGAGATTGAGCCAACATCGGATAGAAAGGTCGGGACAAGACGTGCTTGAAGGATAACTATAACGCTCCATTTGTGTCACAGCTTCTTTCACACAGGTGGATCGCCTTCCCCTTTCTTGTTGCCCTTGATCGACTCCACAAACTCTTTGGCCCATTGTTTCGCCTTTTCGAGCTCTTCGTGGAGAAAATTCCACCAGCTGCCTTTCTTGCTTCCCTGCTCGTCGTTGGGTGTCGTCTCGTTTTCCTTCTCGGGTTCGGTTGGCGCTTCAACGGGAGAATTGGAATCGACATCGGGAGCTTCTTCCTGCGGATGTTTCTCCTCCTCGACTGGATCGGCAGTCGCGTCCGAGGTCTCTCCCTCGTGATGTTCGTCCTCGTCAATGGGATCTGCGATGGGCTCCGACCCCGGTCTATCATTCTCGGAATTCAAACCCTCGGTTTTCAAGGGAAGCCGCAAAGTCCCGTTGTTCGGTTGCGGGACGATACCTAACGAATCACACATGATATTGTACACCTCGATATTCTGGAAAACGGGTACTCGACTATTGGGTGCGTGCGGGAATGAAGGCCCCCTTGCCACAAAGATGGCTCTCATGAGGGGGTGTTCGTGATCGTAGCCATGCAACCCCTTCGGTGCGTACTCTTTGCCCGTGCTCAGCGCTTCGGCGACGTCGAAGTCGGATTTCTCCACGACTGCCCAGCCGGTTTTGGGAACGATCCACAGAGGCGCGATGCGGTCGTTCTGCGTGAAATGATAACGCTCAGGCATGGTTTCGAGGGTGTAGACATCGAAGTTACCTGATTTGGCGGCTTCTTGAGAGAGCTGTTCGTAGAGTATGGGGACGTCACGGGCTGGATTCTTTAGACGTAGACCTCGAAGGGGCCAGCCATCGATGTGATCGATCAAGGACATATCCATAAGGTCGTCGAGTTGAATCAGTCGATTTGTGGAGGTAGTGGCCATTCCATGGTCGGAGACGATCACAAGATTGACAATTTCGGTCAGGTTGCGCGCGAGAAGACCTTCCACTAGCAAAGTCAACATGCTGTCGACATCGGCAATGGTGGCTCTGATCTCTGTACTGTTCGGGCCGTAGAGATGTCCGTCCGCATCAACGTTGGGAACGTATGCTGCGATAAGCTGCGGTCGAAGGTTCTCCTGCTGAGTGGGAGCTTCGTCATCGTCGCCAGGCAGATCGAGCCACTGCAAAACCTTGTCCACCTTATGAGACAATGCCTCACTCCCGTTGTATTTGTCCACGTACGTCGGCTCCACATCAGGTATATGCGCTTCAGAACCCGGCCACATGTGAATCGCAGAACGCACACCCTGATGCTCGGCCGTAACCCAAAGTGGCTCTGCGTTCCACCATTTGGGCTGCATCGAGACTTTGATGTTAGTGTACCAGAACTCTTCTTGCAACGAGGGGTCCCAGAATTGGTTGCTGACCACGCCGTGGCTTTCTGGATACAGACCGGTCACCAAGGTGAAGTGGTTCGGAAACGTGACAGATGGGAACGATGGAAGCATGTATTTGGGAGACACCCCACTCGCTATGAAGGCATTCAGGGCTGGAGTAATGCCGCGATTGAGGAAATCAGCACGGAAGCCATCAAGAGAGACGAGTATTGTTGTCGGTCGGAAAACATGTGTGCCGTTGTTGTACCTGGTCAACCGATGCATCGTGGGCGTGAGAGAGTGTTTCTTCGTAGAAGCTTTGTAGGCGCCAAAGAGCAGGGCGACGAAGAGTGCAACAATAGCCAGATATATCATGGTCAGGCGTCCACGATGGGATTTTCTGGGAGCATGCCTGTCCCATTTGGTGCCCTCGAACTCGCTGTCCGTGGAGGATTGGGAGCTGGTGTCCTTGAACCCGCTCTCCATCTCAAACATTTTGTCTGCAGATTCCGCTCCACTTCTTCTCGACTTCTTGCGCCTGTGCCTCCGAGCTTTGGCGGCATTGTTTCCTTCATCTTGCCTTCCTTCGCGGAACCCAAATGCGGCTCGTGCTGTCTCCAACCTCGAGGGCTTGTGCAACAGTTTCTCATGCTCTTCGGTCTCTTTGAGGATGTCTCTGTCGCCCTCCCTGACATGACCTGCGCCGTCCAGTTCTACCTCAGTATCAGATCCTGAATCGGGGGGAACAATAGCCGCATCTTCATCGTAGTGTTTCTCGGACAGGAGACCGTCGCGCTCGCGGGCCATGTCGGTCTATTCTCGAGTTCGCAGGATTCTTCAACAGAGCGAGTGCAGTTGGATTATGCTAAAGCGCCATCTCTGGCGAAATGGGTGCTGCAGACAAAGGAGTGGTGTGTAGCACAGCGTCTCGATAAACCCCCTTGAATGCACAGAGCAACTGTCGGGATCCGGATCTATATTTAATCCGTCTAGCCTCGTCAACTCTATAAAGTGGACCCAGCCTTACAGACCCTCCCCTTTTACCTTGATGCTAGTGAAGGTTTCAGCATGCCACAACCCTCGTACGCCGAGAAGAAGTCTGAAATTGATGTGGCGGTGCAATAACATCCGGTCGAGCCGCAAGCGATCGATCAGGCAGCAGTCGATCGCAGGTGCTAAAACCCCAGAACTCGGCTGCTAACAGGTGTATGCAGCGACCATCCAATTGATGTTTGGCGGCTCCAGCATGGAGAGCTTTGAGAAATTGCGCCCAGTCGGTATGTTGATGTTTGTCGATTTCAGAGGTCACAGTTCTACGAGACTGACATGGGCCTTATAAGGCAGGCTGGAGCGTTATTCGACAGCTCGACATGACTTGAAGTTCTATCTAGGGCCAGCAGTGACAGCCTCGTACAAGCTCCCGAAGAGCCATTCTGAGCGACTGAAGGAGCGCATCTACAAGGCTTTAGGGGATGTCATCACACGGCACCCAATCCTCTCATCCATAGTTGTGGACGAACATACCCAAGACCCACACTTCATCCGTCTACCAGAGATTGATCTCGACAAATGTGTGCATTTCCAAGCGCGACACCTGAATTACGATGCGGACGCGGACGGCGAGCGAGATGTTGAACTAGATGAGCTCCTCAGCGCTCAGCATGGCGTCCCATACGAACCGCCAAGTCCCTTCTGGAGAGTATATATCCTGACGAGCTCCGTTCATCCCTCGCACTTCACCGTGTCTTTCTTCTACCACCATGCCATCGGCGACGGCAATTCGGGTATGGCATTCCACAGGACTTTTCATACCGCCTTGTCCCAATCCCTCTCAATCCCTCCCTCAGACCTATCTTCAACGTCAATCATTCTCTCACCCTCGACACCCTTGCTACCTAGCCTCGAGTCCCTGCATCCATTACCAGTCTCAACGTGGCACCTCCTCACCATTCTCTTCAAACACAAAATCTGGTCCAGTCGTGATCCCGGCCTGTGGACAGGTTTCAAGTGTACCACGCCTCTAGGACGACCAGGCGCCCGCCACCTCGCCTTCTCAGCCTCGGCCACAACGGCGTTCAAGAACATCTGTCGCGAGAATGACACGACCATTACCGGGGCACTTCAGACACTGATCGCCGGCGCGCTCTTTGCCCACCTGCCCGAGAAGTTCACCAAGGTCGCATGTAGCGGTGCTCTTTCGGCGCGCCGATTCTTGCCCGCGGACGCCGGGATCACGGATGACAGCATGGGGGTCTGGGTGCTGGACATGTCCGACACGTACGCACGCGACTGCTTCGTCCCACACGGCGACCCAGAGAAGGGAGTATGCGATCTCTTACCGTGGACCGAGGCGCAGCGCTCCCGCCAGAACATCGAGCGCGTCTTAAGTTTGAAGGGCCACAACGCGGGTGTCGGGATGCTCCGGTACGTGAATGATTATCAGCAGGAGCTGTTTGTCTCCAAGGTCGGCAAGGACAGGGACTCGAGCTTTGAGCTGTCCAACCTGGGACTCTTCAAGCCGGCAGGGCGGGTAGAGGGCGACAGCGGGGTGGAAATAGGGAGGATGGTATTCACGCAGAGCGCTGGCGTTACGGCCAGTGCTATCGAAGTGTCGGTCGTGACGGGGGCAGATGGTTGTTTGGTGCTGGGAGTTACATGGCAGAAGGGCATTGTGGAGGACGACCTTGTTGAGAACGTCATCAAGAGTGTGAAGGAGGAGGTGAAGCGCCTGGGAGGCCACGACTAAATCTGTACAAGAGCTATAGAGCTTGGTCACATAATATAGGCAAATTGCACATACAGATATAGATGGGAGAGATCAGTCCTCGAATAATGATGGAAACACAGTATATGGCTCTCGCATCGTTGTGCAATGTACAATGTGCATTACCTGGTTGTATCAACAATTGAATCAAAGGCATGTATCAAGGTACACAGCGCCACGCTATTTATCCTATTATCACGAGCCCAGCCATCAGCGCCGCCAGCATGTGTAGTGTACCTCGCACCTAGATAGCCCCGCCATTTCCCCAACTATTTCCCAAGATGAGACGGCGATGTTTTCACAATGACCAGACAGCCCAACAGACACCGAAAACCGAGTACATCTAGGTACATACCTAGGTATCTATACACCAATAAGAAATACTACGCCGTCAATAATACCGACCACCTCTCACACCGCCCTGGCTTCCCCGTTCCTCAGCTGTCCCGTCCTCCTCCCATCCTCGACGTAATGATCCAGGATCCGCAGGTCCTCCTGCGGACGGTACCCGCGCTCCGTTGCTTTCCTGAAGATCCGCCGGGCCTCCGAGGCGGGCACTTTGATGTAGAACGCGACCTGGCGCGGCGTCCAGCCGATCGCGAGCAGGGAAAGCGTCTGGACGCGCTGGGCCAGCGAATAGCGTGTGCCCGTGTCGCCGGCGGCGGCCTTTTCCTGCGTCACGGGCCGCGCAATGCGTGAGGATGATGATCGAGCAGGTGATTTCGGCGGTGGCTGCTGCTGCTCCTGCTGGCTTTCTGGGTCACGGGTTTGTGGTTCTGGGTATATACATTAAGCTTGGCTAGATAACGAAAGCTACGGATGGACGGACAAAAACTGAAATAGTTGTGGAACGGACCTTCTTCGCCGTCATGGCCACCGGCTTCCTGATCACCTACGGTAGATGTAGACATTGGAGGGTTACGTGGTGTGTGGCATATCTATCAGCAATGGGTAGGAATATGTAGAAGATTTCTACCGAGTATTTCCTTTGAGGTGGAAGATTAGCGGTAAAAGGCCATACTAGTCCCCCGACGGAATAGATCTGGTTTACCAGATACAGGCGCCGATACCACAAAGTCGGAGCAGACACAACTTTTGGCACGCAGGCCTCGGTAGAAGCATCACATCGATCATGCTGGCGTGGCGCAGGAGGCCTCACCAGCCTCAGGAGTGCCTGAGCAAGTGGCAACTTGGGGGCTTTTTCCTAATCCGGCACTATCTCTCGAGATTACGCGGAATGGATGCATTGGAGACTGAAAGGGGCTCGTAAAAGCACAGTCCTGTTTAAATATTCGCCCGGTGCCGCCATGGCTCCTTTGCATTGGTCTGCTTCCTCCAACAGACAGTGCGCAGAGTGGCACATCTATCAGAACAACATCCAGACTCCATACCAGGCCAGAACGCAAACGCAGTCAGCACACGATGTTTCGCAGACGGCCAGCACCTCAGAGCCTGGACCAGGTCCGTCTAGCACGTCGAGAAGCAGAGAGACAACTTGTCGCAACCCTCGGTCCCCTTCACGGCGATCTCGAAGAATTCTATACCTTTGTGCCTCTCCCCGACGGTCATAGAGGGGAGTTGAAAGTTGTGCGGCCAAAGATCGTGACAAAGACACATACCCTCGCCTCGGGCCACATGGATGATGCTGCGGCGCCTGTTTTGAACAGTGGCAGTAATAGTCGTCCATTCATTGTGCTCTTCCACGGAGGAGGGTTCTCGAACGGCAGCGTCGATTACATGACCCGCCCAGCACGAGACTTTGCACGCGAGTTCAACGTCGTGGTTGTCTCTGCGACGTATCGGCTTGCTCCAGAACATCCATTCCCGACTCCGATGCAAGACGCATGGGATACTCTTGTGTGGCTGTCCCAACACGCCAGAGAGTTTGGTGCAAATCCTCAACAGGGTTTCGTGGTCGGCGGAGTCTCAGCTGGAGGGACCATGGCAGCTGTTTTGACGCAGTTGGCCCAGGATCGAGGCCTCACGCCACCGCTCACTGGCGCATTCGTGTCCATCCCTCTCTTGCTCGTGAAGGAGATCGTCCCCGCCAAATACAAAAAGCAATGGACCTCGATGGAAGACAACAAGAACAACCCATCACTAAATCGGGACACTATCCAGAGCATTATCCGCACACTCGCCCCGGACATCAGATCTCCCTTGTTTTCACCTTTCAACAGCAGGACCCCTCACGTCGGACTACCCCCGACATACATCCATGTAGGGGGACTGGATGTACTCCGAGACGACGGTCTGGTTTACGAAATGGCATTGAGGGAAAGCGGAGTGCCGACGCGGTGTGACGTGGTTCCGGATCTAGGCCATGCTGCTTGGACTATCTATGCCACAGGGTACTCTCGACCACGACTGGGGCCGAAGATGGTGGAAGCGATGAGGTGGCTGTTGAACCAGGAAGGATTGAGAGGGCAATAGGAGGAGACGGTCGAATGTGGAATAAGTGTTTCGTCGACTGACACACGCTTGCAGCCATTGCTTTGGACTAGGTTTCAGGAGGGGCGAGGTCGTTCTTCGAGCCCCTGTACCTCAGTCGGCTCAGTCATGCTGATCAAGGTTTTAGTATTATGGTAACTGCTGACCCATATATGCGTTGCCTGATAAGGCTCCTCCTTGTCAACTCTTTGTATGGAACTCGTGGGTCAGAGTTGGCCTTGCAAGAACTCAGGTGAATCCCAGTCACATTTCCTCGGCATTGTCGGTCGTACATCAACTCCAAATGACCAGGGGTGATTGCCGTCTCCGGGTCGTATTGGCACATCTGGGGCTTGATGGAGACGCACACACTCCAATATCTTGGGTCCCATATCATGAACCGATCTTGTCTCAAAGCTAGCAGGTTTGGACATGACCCTCGAGCGTATGTAGGCACTTTCATTTCGTGACATACCATTGTTGTAGCATTCCGTGAATGCCGCTTCAGTACAAGATCACTGTGGCTGGGTGTAACTGCGGTGGAGGTGTCGACGTCTCAGTATGTCAAACTCGAGAGCGCGATTTCATGATCTCTTCAGTGAATTTCCACTTAAACAACCTCAAATACCGTACTGCCGGCATCGTCTTGGAATCTCCCATCTTGGAAAAGCTCTCCGTGCATAAATCCATGAACATATGCCTCACCAATCAATTCATACGTATCTGAGTCGTCAAGAGGCCGTAGGACAAAAGGGACGGCCGCCCCTCGAAATACGCATAGCAGATCCTTATCCCGGAGCTCTTTAGGGGCCAACCCCAAGCGTCCCTGGGCAGTGACGCCAAAAAGACGGTGCGGACATGCAGTACGTATATGGTTGATGGTGGTCATAGCATGATTGATGTCTAGAAGGCTTTCTAGCCCGCCTTTGCCTAGGAATCGATCATGGATTCCGAATTCGAGAGCCAAAATTGCAAGACGATATTGCTGTGTCAGCTCCAGGAGGTCGGACCTGCTCATGTCCGTTTCTGCACAAAATATTCCTCGGAGGAATGCTTCGGAAGGGTCATTTGACCTATCGCCGTCTTGCTTTGTGTAGGGGGCGAATGAGTCTAGACAATGCTGAAGCCATTCCAAAATATGGGCAAACCATCGTTTACTCCATTGTGTCTCGAGCTCGAGGTCCGGGAAGGGGTCGGAAATTTGGACAAAGGAATCGACCGCGAACCCTCGCAGGTATATCCGCCGCTTGTCCCACGAACTGGCGACATGCGGCGGCACGGACTCTTCGAATGCAGGACCGCCTGCACCGAGACCATCCCATATGGGGTGCCGAAGCGGGACCGAGTTGAAGTCGGTGCACCAGGATGGTAACTCTGGGCATCTGGAGCTCGTACAAATACTTCCCAAGGCAAGTAGACTTGGTTCTTCCTGTAGTAAGAGATGGCCGACTTCAATATACAGTTTCCAGTACTGCTTCCGGCTGGCCTTTGTATAATCCACTCTGACAGACTCGAGGGGGTTGCAAAGTGCTCTGATGGCGTAGATTTTGTCGACTGGTTCACTACACTCCCGACGCCGAGCCATGTAGGTGGCAAACACCAAGATGCTGTAGTCGAATCTCTCGAAACTTGTGTATCCAGAGGCCCTCGTGTCCTCCTTTGCTAAAATCTCAAAGTTCAAGCCTGTGCGACCCAACTCGCTAAACAGACTCTTCAGTATCTCGGCGTCGACCGATTTGGAGCCGCAGTACACAGTGGCTTTTCGAGCGGAGACAAATTCCTGTAAAGTCCACAGGCGGGCATGCCATCTTCGACTGACGAGGTCGCCCAACCCTTCCCAGATAAGATCACCTTGGATGGGGAGACCCAGTTTTTCCAAGATTGGGGCGTAGTCCTCCAAGTTCGGTTCTCGGATTGTCTTTAGACCCTCGAGAAGCGTCATTGCCATGTCCATGGCTCGATCGGTGGCTTCTGTAGAAGTGCCGAGCCAGACAATGACTTGATTCGAGGAAAAATATATCAAATGCATTAGAGGTATTTGCTGGGCTTTCTCGTGATCGTCGGCTTGATTAATGCAGATCGCATCAACCCATAGACGGCGTGGCGATGACAATTTGCAAAGGGTTTCCAGAGCCAGATTCAAGGACTGAGTTATCAGGAGGGTCTTCCCATTGCACATGATCGGGACTGACGGTGTTTCACCATTCCAGGTGTAAGATAGCGTCTCGTAGCCAACGTCCATTGCCAACCCAACGGCATTCAAACTCCCCCGCAGTATCTTTTTGACTTCACACCATTCGAGGTCGAGTAGCCGGATGTCACAATCGGCTTGGGGTAAGGCATCGTAGACGAAACTTTGGAGGGGAGCTTCTTTGTGCTCAGTAGAAGCCATATGATGCAATTTGTTGTGGTCTCACCGCTCCAGATGTTCGTCTAATGATTGTTATCGGTCATGCAAAGTACCAATGAGAATCTCAATGGGCCTCTCCTTCTGGTGAAGTATTGCCGGGTGCTTTACGGTTTTGAATACTGAACGTTGGCAAAGAGAGGTCGTCTCAAACAAGCTGCGAACTCACCAGTTCGGGGACGAGAGCTTGGGTGGTTGAGGCGAGAATTTCGTGCTATTATTGATAGGCCTTACAAGTATGTCGAGACAAATGCCTCGTACTTAAGAGTCAATAGACGTAAACCCCTTGTTTATCGACTTTCTGTTTCGTATATCTAGTAGGCTTAAGTGAAGTTGAGAGAAACGGGGAGGGGAGGGTTGGGCCGGCGAACAGCCAAAGCCGATGTGCGGCTTTCTTGCCCACGTGAGCGACGGAAGCCTGCGTGTAAAGCTTCATCATTTCGTAATACGTTGACCTTCGGCAGTCTCGATGAGAAGGTTTACGGCTAGAGCTGCAGCTAGCGACAAGGCGTGCTTGTCATTTCATGTCGTAGATGGGTACTTTGGAACGAGAAGCAGCGCAGAAGGCCCTTTGATGAAGCTGCTCAGCCTCGTCCGCCCAATGAGGCTTAGTGTCTGAGGGGTCGATTGTTACGTAATCTGCGCAAGTCGAAAAGTGGAGAAATTTCGACATTCCCCACACAGACAGCGCAGAGAAATAAATTTCTGGAAACAATTGTGTGCTTCCGGCGAGTTGAATAACCCAGTCCTGGACAAGACCTGGTATGTCATTGCCCTACAGGTTCAAAGCAAGAGGCACCGGAAATAATGCTGCAATGGCACACACCACTACTTCTGTCCATCACCACAGAAGCACGACAAAGGTCGAGCACAAACCCTTCAAGTCGCGGTTTGCCTCGAAGAGCGCCTTGAAGGACCAGGCGAAAGGTGAGAAAAGAAACGCTCTTGACGAGTTAGAACACTCGCTGACTCCATCACAGGCAAAATCGAGAGCCAAAGGCCAGAGAGAGGCCAGAGAAAGACCCCTCACCAACAAGTCATGTCGAAACTCGCCAGACGCAACCAGGCCAAGCAACTGCGCATGCACCACAAGGACAAGAAAGAGGGGGAAGAGCTCATATTTCAAGGTGTCGATGGAGCAGCAAAACACATTGCAGTCGTGCCGCTTTCGAGTGACATCAATCCATACTCGGTCATCAAGACCCTGAATGAAAGTGTCGATATTTCGGATTCCAACGTCTCCTCTGGGACGGTTCCCGTCCGAGTCGACCGCTTTCGCCGCAACCTCCTCTATCTACCCGCTAAATTCGACCTGCTGAACGCTCTGGACATTTGCAAGCTTGCGGACTGGGTGATTTTTGTTCTCGACGCGGAGCAAAAGTACGGCGAAGAGGAGGATCTATTTCTGAGATCACTCGAAGGCCAAGGCATCACCAATGTGACCGCTCTCGTTATCAACCTAGATCAGACAATCCCAGCTCCGAAGAGGATGCGCCATCTGACGGAGATGAACATTGCTCTAGGCCGCTATTTTCCCGCTCTTGACAAATTGTCCAGCCTGGACAGCAAATCAGACTGCTCAAACTTGGTCCGACGGATTTGTACGGCTTCAACGCGAGGGATTCGGTGGCGAGACGACAGAAGCTGGATGCTGATCGAGCAAGCCAACTGGAGCCCCCAAGTGGACGAAACAACCGCGACCACCAGTGTCACGCTGTTCGGGACGATTCGAGGGAAAGCGCTGAATCCGGATCGCTTGGTCCATGTCCCAGGCTGGGGAGATTTCCGCATTTCTTCAATCCGACAGGTGCCTCGCCAAGGGCAAAAGCGGAAGGCCGAAGAGATGGACGCGGACGAGCCCATCAAGGAGTGGAAACCCACCGCGGACCAAGACGACCTCGCAGAGCTGGCACCCGAGGAAGCCGAGATGCAAGATGCAGCAAGCACCGTGGCCACCACCGAGCATAAAGGGGTTCTACTCGATGACCATCACTATTTCTCCGACGACAACTCTCACATGCCTCCCCCGCCCAAGAAACTACCTCCGGGGACTTCCAACTACCAAGCGGCCTGGTTTCTGGATGACGTGTCGGATTCTGAATCCGACATGAGCGACGACGAAGACCGAGACGGCGACGTGGCCATGGACGCGGAGCAAGAGTCACTAAACGCCGGAGACGGTGGCGGGATGGTTCTCACGAACGCCGAAGACGGCGGCAGCGTGATGGAAGGCAAAGCCCCCTCCGAATATCCCCAGTCAGAAATGAACCTCGACGACGACCAGGACGACGCACCGCTCGAAGCGGAAGAGGAGGCGCGGCAGCTCGCAGAATTCCGCGCCAGCCGCCGGAAGAAGGAGGCCGAGGAGGACCTGGAGTTCCCGGACGAGATCGAGCTGCACCCGGACGTGCTCGCGCGGGAGCGACTGGCGAAGTACCGCGGGCTGAAGAGCCTGCGGACGAGCGAGTGGAACCACGCCGAGGACGCGCCCTACGAGCCCGCCGAGTACAAGCGCCTGCTGCAGGTGCCGGAGTACCGGAAGTCGTACAGCAGCGTGATCAAGGAGTCGCTGGCGGGGGCGGTGCTGGCCGGGACGAGAGTCGAGATCGAGCTGCGCGACGTGCCGATCTCGCTCCAGTCGCGCGCTCCGCAGCCGTCGTCCATGTTCTCGCTGCTCAGGCACGAGCACAAACACGCCGTGATCAACCTCAACGTGACGCTGCGCTCGGACCTCGCGGAACCGGTCAAGTCCAAGGACGAGCTGATCGTGCAGATCGGCCACCGGCGCCTGCTCATCAACCCGGTCTTCTCGGCCGCGGGCCAGACGCCCAACGACGTGCACAAATTCGACCGATTCCTCCACCCAGGGCGCACAGCGATCGCGAGCTTCACGGGGCCGCTGACGTGGGGCTCTGTGCCGGTGCTGATCTTCCAACGCCAATCCCCTCGCCAGTCATCAGACGGCACCAACCCAGACACAATCGAGGACACAACCGCACCGGCACTGATCGACGCGCACACCACCACCCAGCGCATCCCTTCCTCCTCTTCAACACCACTTTCTCCGCTCCGCCTGATCGGGACCGCGACGACCCTGCCGCCCTCGTCGACGCGGGTGGTCGCCAAACGCCTCATCCTGACGGGCCACCCGTACAAGATCCACAAGAAGCTGGTGACGGTGCGGTACATGTTCTTCACCCGGGCGGACGTGCAGTGGTTCGCGGCTCTGCCGCTCTTCACCCGGCGCGGGCGCCAGGGCTTCATCAAGGAGCCGCTCGGCACCCACGGCTACTTCAAGGCCACCTTCGACGGGCGCATCGGCCCACTCGACGCCGTCGGCGTCGCGCTGTACAAGCGGGTGTGGCCGCGGCCGGCGAGGGTGTGGGAAAGTGAGGGGGTTTGATTGTAGGGTGGCCCGAGGATAACATGCTGCGAGGGTCAAGAAGGGGGTAGGACTGGGATACATGGGCGATATGCACCGAGACGATGACGAGCATGAATTGATGATGATTATGGGAAGGCTATGATCGTGATGAAACATCATACCATGAATAGAGAGCATAGAACATTGGAAGGGAATCTACCTTCGATGAACGAAATACTTTGCCAGATGAACGGCCAGCTTCACTCGAGCCAGTAACCAGCCAAACCGACCGGAACAAAGACCTTCATTGCGCTCCATCATTCCCCAGAGCTCCTTCAAACGTCCTGTTTCAAGCCCAATCAACACGCTCGTCGAGACGTCACCAAAATTGTCGGCACGGTCCGACTAATCTCTTCCTCGTACGCTACAGCGTCACGCCGCGCTCGATCTCATTGTTTCGGCGGTGTGTAAGACTCCAAAAACTTCATCACGTACCACTGGTTTTCCTTCTTTGCGTATTTCATTGCACTTTCGCAGACCTTTGAGATGGGTCGAGGTCCGTCGTAGTTATCCAGGAGCAATTTCACCATGTCGATGCGTCCCCATTCCGCTGCTCCGTCAATTGCCCGTCTGCCATGCTTAGGACTTGGATCCGCATCAATCTCAGCGCCATACTCCAGAAGAATTTGTGCGATACGCAAGTAGCCCTTGATTGCGGCAGCTTGCAGGGCTGTAACTCCGCGGTCTGGCGCCGCTGGAGCGTTGACTTCTGCCCCTTTTGATAGCAGGTATTGGACAATTTCAACCTCGCCGGTCTGAACAGCAGCTTGAAGCGCAGTCCTCCCACCGTAGCGACGGGACGGCACAGCATTGATTTCGGCACCCATCTCAATGAGTCTACGAGCACACAGAAGTCTTATCGCACGAACAGATTGTGTGGAGCCATCACAGCGAAGAGCAGCCTGCAAAGGTGGGAAAATGTCAGCGGCTCGGTGGTTGACTTCCACGCCGCCAGCGAGCAGCAGTTCCATAATCTCCCGTCTCTGCTCGGTAATCCTAGAAGTATCATATATAGCTTCACCGAGAAAAGTGAAAACCAAAGGATATCCAACACGGACATCGACCCCGGAAGACATCAAAAGGCGAACCATCTGGACGTCTCCACGGAGACATGCTTCCTCAAGGGCAAATAGGTCACGCGGAAGTTGCCGGGCGTCCTCCTGGATCTTGTTGTTACCGAGTTGGCCCAGATATGGATCTGCCCCATGTTGAAGTAAGATTTTCGTAATTTCATAGTCTGAGTTTCCGACTGAGATAGTCACTGGCGATTGGAGTATGTCAAAGTCAGTATAGCGAAAGATGGAGTTGACATCGGCCCCTTCGCCCAACAAAAATTCGACAATGTTCTTGTGTTTGCATGCAACGGCCAGATGCAAGGCAGTTAAGCCGTGAGTGTTTTCACGACAGTCTCCAGAGCAATCAGTTTTGTTCACGTCAGCTCCGGCATTGTATAGACGGGTCACAACATCCAAGTTGCCCATAACAACCGCCCAGTGGAGAGGAGGTAGGGAGTGGTTTGGGTCCTCCTGCAGCATCTCATTGATATTATGAGCAAGATATGGGGGCATTACCTGCTCGTAATATAGCGCGGGCTTCGGATGCGCATCATCGGCATCCGCGCCCCATTCAAGCAAAAGGGATATGAGGCTCACATCCCGACGCAGAATGGCTGCTAGTAACGGCGAGGAGCCATCCTTGCTCACGCCGTTAGGAGACACTCCGTCTTGCAGCAGCCCAAGTGACCGGTCGTAGTCACGGTGTTTGACAAATTCTTGAAGAATTGTCGTTGCATGGTTCGGAGTCGAGGAAGAGTCGAGTCTGGTACCTGCGCATCGCAAGATGTCGAAGATGGCACCGAGTCCTCTTTCGGCGGCGCATTGAAGTGCGGTGCCTCCCCATCTCCCAGATGAGCACCAATTCAGGTCTGCTCCGGCAGAGATCATCCGCCGCACCATATTCTCTTTTCCTGAACACACTGCTCCTTGAAGGGGGGAAAGGCTGCACGCTTTGGCGTTGACTGGGTTGATCGTGGCTCCCCACATTATCAATAAGTCGACCGTCGCATCTCTTCCATGGTACGCTGCAATTGACAAAGGTGGCGTGCCATGACCTGGGTTCACTGCTGCTCCCTTGCTTATCAGGTATTCCGTGATGGCTGGATCTTCAAGAAGTGCTGAGGCTTGTAGGGGGAAGTGGACGAGAATTCGAGTATTCTTATCGGCATAACTGTCTCTTGTCCACTCAATTTCTTGAATAGCTTCCTCCCTTCTACTTTCTTCCAACATGTCCAAAATCGACCAATTTGGGTCTGCGCCACGTTCAATCAGTAGCCGGACCATGTCCAAATTTGCACGTTTTGCAGCAACAACGAGGGGCGACTGGTAAAGCTGCTCGGCCCAGTCTTCGATGATTCTTTTGTGTCCGCATGTTATCGGGCCATTTGGATTTGCACCATAGTCCAGGAGCAGTCTGGCCATCTCCATGTCACCAGAACATGCCGCCGCGGACAGGGCTGTGCAATTCCGGTCATCGTCGATACCGAAGGGGTAGTGATGGTACTGTAGGGAACATTCATTCGCCGACGCACCATTTCGCAGGAGCAACTCAACTGTTTCCCTGTTGGCACCGCCTCGCATGGCACTCACCATCACAGGACCTGCCAGCGTTGATACTGACGTCTTCAGCAGTCGAGGGATGAGTTTGTCAGCACTACATGAAGAGGCAGCAGCGGCAATGGGACATTCTATCTTTGCCCAATTAGTCTCGCAACAGCAGTAGACATCTCCAAACTGGTAATACTCCGAAGCAGTACACTTAACCGAATACTGGAATAATGGGCATCCGGATTCATGTCCGCGTCGGACGTCCCTTCTTCCCGGGGTTATATCAGCACCAGCATCCACGAGCATCTCGACGATGCGAACTTTATTCCGCTGTACTGCATCGACAATCAAGGTTTGCGAGTAGAAGCCAGTAGACCTGCGATTCACATTCACCCCGTTCCTCAGCGCGCTTTTCACTAGGCCCCCTTTGTCCGTTCTCACGGCTGCAAAGAGAACTTCTGAGATGATGGCGCCAGTACTGGGGTCATCCCTCAAAGTGAGCATATCAAAAGCACTGGGCCCAGCCACTTCGTCTAGCGTAATGACGAAAGCGTCAACTTGTTTCTTGTCCAGAAGGTTGTTGGCTAGCACGAGCGCCGCAAATGACATGAAAACCTGCATCCTCGTTGTTGAGTTGGGGTCGATCAGTTGATTGACGATGTTTTCGGTTTCTCCAGGCCGCCGTTCGGGCATGTACACTGCGATCTGAGCCATGGTGTGCGCGAAAAGTTCCCGCCTAGTCCACCAAGGTGGGAGATCCAAAAGGCCAGCAATAGCAGTGTTGACGATGTTATTGAATTTTGGAGCTTTCTGCACCGTACCATGCTCTGCAAATTCAAGGTAGGGAAGGCAAAGTTGATCCATGTCGGTTTCTAGTGATAATCTAAGGACACCTTCTTTCCAGTAGCCATCGTAGTCCAGTCCGAGGAACCCATCGGTGACATCCACGACGGCGGATGGTAAAGGCGACGGGGGGCGATCCATTCTCGTTGCTGAACTTGACATAGCTATTTCGAGCTGAGAGCATATTTGATACCATGGCAATGAGATGATTAGAGATCGTGGTATCTGGATCTTTGGGCGGATGAATATCCCGTCTGGAATTCGACACCTCGCAGTTGTTTGCGTCCATGTGGGAAGGTCGTATCTGGGGAGCTGCTTTCTTAGTTTTCTCTCCGGGATGAGCCGTTCGTTGAAGAAGACATCCACGTCTGCAACGTTGAGCTTCATGTTTTTCAACAGTCGACTCAAGTCTTTCCAGAAATCGCCCTTCTGGTTTTTGCGGACTCCCCATGCTCTGAACTGCCTCATGTACTGTGGCTTGCTGTTGGAAATGTGAGCTTGAACCAAGACGGTATCAGGGACGTAATTACCTTGCATCAAAGCAATGCTTCTCAGACATCACCCGTATGAGCCGGGTCATAGGCATGTCCTCGTCTTTGTAGAGGCGACAGATGGTCGCTTTATGCTTCCGCCAGTCGTCATTGGAGATTTTGTGCGGCGCGGTCATGATGATAATGAGCTATCTGGGCAAAACGCAGACACCAGCAAAAAGACGGGTGCAAAGTGCACAAGGCAAAGGCTTCTAGCCAAAAGAAAAGACGACGACTCTGGTCCTGGTGCGCCGGGTTGTGTGCCATGCCCGCTTTATAATTTCACAGAGCGAGAGGGCCAAGGAGCTTGAATCGGTCAGGCTGGAACATGACAAAGAACGAACTGCTGCACCGACAAGGCGTCGGTCACGTTGGCGAGACGCCTCGTATTTTCATGCCACGGGCGCAGTCGAGCTATGGTTCTGATTCGCTATTGCCAGAAGTTGGCCAGATGGCTGCAGGCAAGAAGCTTCTCTTTTACTCGCAGAAGGCGCCCCCGCTTCTCAGTCCCATGCCGTGGCCGAGGAGCCTGCGACCGACTGGCTGACCGACTGACAAGGGGAGGGATTGGTCAAGGACGGAATTTCGCGAGCCAAAAAGTCGTTGTCCTTGCCCAGAAGACGTGCTCCAGAGTGTGCCCATCACCACCTGTGGCCTACCATTTTTTTGGGTTGTTGTTTGTTCGTTGATGCCTGGCCGGAGAAGAAGCAATTGAGTCCGTTGGTAGAAATGTCTCAACGGCAAAGATGGCCGTGGTTGTCCTCTTCATGCATCATCGACGCTAAAGAACAAATAGGCAGGCAATATTGAGGAGGAGGAACCTGACTTGGTAGCGGGAAGAGTCAAGATCCCTTCGTTGGACTGAGCCAAGACTACCGGGTGACGTATGTGCAACAAGGCTAGTGAGGCTGAACTGCAGCCTCGCCGCATCCCACCTGCTTCTACTTCAACGCTTCGCTGCTTGTCTCTGCAGCTTCTCAATATCTCTCTTGACGCCCTCCATCTCCTCTTCAATCTCTTTGTACCTCACTCCCAGTTTCCCCATGATCCCCGTTCCCGGATCAACAGCCTCATACTCCGCCAACACGCCGTCCAACAGCCTGATCCTTTCATCCAACTCATCTTCCTCCTTTTCCACCTCGGCCATCTTCTCTCTGATCACTTCCTTCTTCCTCTCCACTTCCGGGGAGAATTGAAACTCTCTTCTCGCTTCCAACACCAGAACCTGTACCTTCAACGCCATAGCCTGCGCCACGGTGTCCAGGAACGCAATCTTTGACATGGTGTAGCGAGAGAGGACGCCGTGCTTGGAGGTTTCGAGATGCTGGATCTGCAATTGTAGGAGATGCCGCTGGAGAGTGAGCAGGTGCTGAAGAGTTGTGTTCAGTGTGGTGAGAGAGGATGGGAGAAGGGTATCGCGGAGGTCGGAGAGGTGGGATAGTTGGGCTTGGATGCTTTCGTGCAGACTTTGAGATGGACGCATGCGGCCTTGCATCCCTTCGGCGCGGCCATATTCTTCGTCTTCATTGTCATCGCTGTGGTCAAGTGCGATATTCGACAAGACACAGAGCGACGACTCGAGCTCGACGAGGCGCGAGGAGACCGCGTTAGCGATAGGAGCGATGTTCGCCTTGAAGCGCAGGATGTCCTCGTAGAGAAGGCCTTCTTCTTTCTCATCCTCCTCCGTCCCGCCATTTTCCTGTGTGAAAGCCAGCTGCCGCGTATCACTCTCGTTTGACGATGGGAAGAGATCTCCAGACCCTTCAAGGCTGACATGCAAATACGCTGAGACGACACGAACAAGCTCTCCGACGCTCTGCGGGAGATAATTCCCAGTAGGCCGCACAGCACCCGCATTGTCCATCTCCCCAGATGTTCTGAATTTTTCCGTTGCTGTCGCATGACTCTGAAGATCGAGGTCTTTGTTCGTGACATCTGCGATATCGCTCTTCGCAGCTCCAGCTGGTGTAACAGGCGCAGTCGTGGAGACGGGTACCGGTATTCGCCTCCCACTTCGACTGCGCGTCTCTGCGCTGCGTGATTGTAGAGATTCACTCCCTTGACGGAGATCTTCGCCCTGGGCGTGAGTGTGGCCGGCGGAGAGGTCGAGGTGGGCGGCATCCTCGAGCACGTCGCGGAGGATGCGCCTCTTGACCCTCTCGACCCGGAGGGCGTGGAGCTGTTCATCCAGGCTTAAACTCTGCTGTCTCTCTTTCTTGTCTTCGTCTCTTCCTTCATCATCTTCGACAACGTCCTCGTCTTCATCCTCTTGTTCTTGTTCTGGTTCTTGATTTCGATCTCGATCTTCATATCCAAGCCCTGCACCACCCCCTCTCACCACGCCATCACCACCCACGCCGCACACTTCTTCCTCTCCAGTCTCACGCCACCCACTCAATCCTCCTCCTCTCCCGCCGTCGCCCTTCTCACGTCTGCTTCTCGTCCTCCTCCCTGCTCTCCACCGCCGCTCCCTCTCGCGCTCTTCTTTCCTACTCGACCCATCCTCCGCCAGTGCCTCCCGGGTAAGGTATTCCCACAGCCTCGCAAAGGCCGGGTTGGCCTCCAACTCCGACGCCGCGACCAGGGGAATCATCTTGCCCCGTTTCCACAGGAGTGTCTACCCGGTCGCGTGCCGTTCTCGATGATTTGGCAGCCAGACAATTCGACGATTGGAGAGGACCAATGCGCCCAAAGACGGGGCAAACAAGCACAACCGTCAAGATCCAAACTCGCAGTTGGTCTTACGTGGCGGCGGCTGCGTCGCCGGTCGCCGGTCGCCGGTCGCCGGTCGTCGAGACCAAACACTACTCGGGACTCGTATTTATTTGTGAAGCGTGAATTTTGACTCAGAATTGGCCTCCTCGGCGTGGAGCTTGGATCAGACAGAACCGAGAATTGAAAACGATTGGCTACATAACTCCTTGTCCATTACTGGCATCTCACACTAAAAGTTGGACTATACAGGGAACAGAGCAAGAAATGAATTGGTTTGGCAGCAACTGACTCTTTTGATATTTTTTGTTCATTCAGTTCATCTTCGTCTTTCCTCCAGCTCAAGCGCAGTGTCTGCTGGCTTGCTCTTCCTCTCCAGCAAAATTGCATACTGTCTACAAACGTAAACTGCCAATCTCAACTGTCCCGCGAGGCCCAGTGTGTGCGTTTCGAATTCATTCCTTGCAGCCTTAGCTTTGGGCGTTAAAATGTGTGCCTGTTTGACTGCCATCGGCTGCTCTGCGTGGCTCCCCAATCGATTTCTGGTCTTCTTTCCGAGCGCCAATGCAAAAACGATGTTTCCCCCATCACTCATCAAGCGCGATGTGAGTGTCAAAAAACTACTCCTCCTCGCTCTCCTCGGAGTTGTCATCGTCGCTACTATCGCCCGTCTCTATCGAGGGTACAGCATTCGGAGAAATCGGTCCGGCGTATGCTCCCAGCTTGCCCTTCAATTCCTCAATCTGTGCCTCCTGCTCATGCTTGCTCATAGGCTTGCTCTTCTTGCTTTTGTGATGGGCAGGCGCATGGTACGCTTCGGTATGTTCCACTTTCGGCTCATCGGGAGGCGGACCAGCGTACTTCTTGACGAAGCCGAGCAACTTCAGAAGTGCACTGTTAGGGACTTCCTCGATATCCAGCTCAATCTCATTTTGATCACTGTTGGCCAAGGATGGAACGCTCTGCTGGATGATACGCAGCGCTTCCTGCATTTGTTTCTCCGGCAGCATGGCAATCCCGTTCGAGATGTATTGCTTCTCGGCGAACGTGACATATCGGTCTTTCTCTTGTTTCTTGGGCTGTGGCTTCTTCTTTTCTTTCTTGTCCTTGCTAGGTTTGGAGACTGCGCCCTCCGATTTCTCCTTCTTGGGTTTCGTCTTCTCCTTTTTCTTCGTGGGGGGGGATTTGGATTTCTTGACCTTCTTCTGCGTCAATTCACCCATCTGCTTTGACATTTCCTCGATCTGCGCCTGTAGCTTTTTGATCTTTTCGTTCCGCTCCTCTTCGCTATCGCCCTCTGCTTCAACTTCACTTTCCTCTTCTTCCTCCTCATCGTCATCCACATCAGACTGCGTAACCGACGGTGGCTCTCGTGCAGCAAGCCAGTCATCTTTGGTTGCCCATTTCCTGTTGAACAGTTCTTCCAATTGATGACCAGAAGAGTTGACCAAGTCACCTTCGGGGTTGAATTTGAAGCAGTTTTTGAAGATCAGACGGATGTCCTCCTCAAAGTCCTTGGCTTTTTCGTAGGCGTTGTTCTGGAGTTTGGTTTTGACGGTCGACAAATCCATCGGTTTCTTGATGATCTGGAAGTACGTCGGAATGTTCAGGGCCACCGGATCCACGGGATACATGAAGTATTGGTTTGCTTGCCAGTTTTTGGCGTTCATGAGTTCCTTCAGGACTTCATCGCAGAACTTCAGCTGCAACTCGTACTTCTTCTTTCTAGGTCTGCCACCTCCGAACTCCGAATTGCGCTTGGTCGGGACAATAGCTCTCTTAGGTCGACCATCCGTCAAACTCGAATCGCGCCGGATAAGAGGCATACCATCCGGATTTGGCGCAAAAGCGGGTGTTGGTGGGGCTGCAGAGCTGGGTGAACTAGCTGCACCGACATTCGTCGTAGACGTGCTCACAGATGGTCGGCGTGGAGGCGCGGTTCTCGTCGGCTCTTGCTTTTTGACTGCTTTCTTGACCTCTTTCGAAGGCTCCTCGATGCTGGCCTTTGGGAGATTCCTCATCTGACCATCGAACGATGCCTTCATTTTCCTGGCTTGCTGTGAAACACCGTGGTCGGGACCGTTGAAAGTGAAACAATTGGTCACGATCAATTCAAAGTCAGCAACGAACGTGGCTACCGACGTGTATTCGTTGCGCTTCAACCGCTGGTCAATTGTACCTAGATCCATGGGTTGTTTGATGATCTCGGGATAATTCGGAATATTGAGCGTAACATAGTCCACGGGAAGTCTAAAAGGCCCAGAAGCATTGCTCTTCTTGAGGTTTGAGATCACCTTCTTCATATGCGCCAAGCGCGCTGGAGTCACTGAATCATCGCCATCCTCCGTGGCCGCTGCAGAACTCTCAGTTTCGCCGTTGGCCGTAGCTGGCGACGACACAGCGGGCGCAGGTACATCCGGGACTTTAAACTGTGGCTCTTCGGTGAGTGGACGTGGTTCGTCTGTCTTGACGCGCTTGGCAGCACGTTCGGCATCTTCGGCATCTTCATCGCGCGCATGGATCTGCTTAACCGGTTGCGGTGATGCATCAGTCATCACTTGGTCTTCGGGTTCAGCTGGAGCAGGGATGGCGGGTGTTGGCGCGGGTTCACTGGGTTGCTCCACTGCCGGAGCTGGCTCTGTGACCTGCGTCGGTTGTTCTGGTTCTAGAGGCTGTTCCAGTGGTTGCGCTGTCGGTAGATCTGCTGGCTTCTGCTCAGCCAACGCTGCAGGCGCTTGTTGTGGCGCTAGTGGCGGCGACTGCGCGGGTGGAGAGGGAAGGCCAATGTTCGTGGCGGCCGAATCTACGACCAACGAGGTTTGGAATGAGCTGTCGGCGGCCTCTGGCTTGAGGGGCGTGGGTAGATCGGCAGAATTGTCGATGTCGTGTTTCTGGGCCTCGACCTTTGCGACAGCTTCAGGGGTTAGCGCGTCCGAATGGGGCGCGGTGCGCAGATCAGATACTGGCACCTCGGGCGGGATTGCCGGGGGCTCTGAGATGTCCATCGTCGACTGACTTGTCTCCAGCGGTGTAGCGGAGGACTGGATTTCGGCAGGGATGGAAGAGGGGATAAATGATTCGGTCAGGTTGGTGTCGGATATTGATGTGGTCTCTGGAATTGTGGAAGATTGGTTGTCGAGAGAAGTCTGAGGTTGAGAGTCGGGAACAACTGTAGGAGGCTGCTGGACAGGTTCACCTTCATGATCTGTGACCCCATTTGTGGCAGGTGGAGGCAGCAGCGCTTCAGAGGGCGCTGAGGGCGCTGATAGCGCTGCCTCAGAAGCTGCCTCAGGAACCGCGTCCGGAACTGCCTCCGCAACTGCGACTGCGTCTGTGATTGCCTCTGGCACCGTCTTGACCGGCTCTGGTTGCGGCGCATCAACTGCAGGTTGCTTGGGTGGACTTGGGTTCACCGTCGCCTCTGAATTTGATATTGAGGCAGCCAGATTGTCGGCGATATGAGACTCTTCCGGCTGCTCTGAGGTGGAGCTGAATTGCGTGGGCAATCTGGTGAGGGTCAGATGAAACGAGTCGCGACACCTCGGAGAAGTGAAGTCCACATACCCATGAGCCTCCATCTGCATTTCCACGTCCATTTTGCCAAGAGCGAGTGCGCAAATCTCAGGGTGATGGCGATCGGACCAGCCGAAAACGAAACAGATGTTGGGCGCAAAAAGTTAATTAATTAAGAGTGAGATATTTTACAAGGCACAACGTGGCGAAGGGATGGCGTGAAGAGAAAGGACGGCAAAACAAAGGGCGCGCGCAGAGGTGTGACGCGGGCCAAGAATGAATTCGACAACAGGATGGAGGAGGGGGTCGAGATTAATAAATAGTCGACGAGATCCAGATGCGGGCGGAGGAGGAGCAGCGGGAAATGTATCGACGCAGCCCAGTGTCTCCAGTGGCGACACCAACTTCAACACCAGCCTTGCGAAAATCTCGACAGGTCATGTGACAATCGCGACGATGTCACGTGGTGCGCGTGAGAGTCGGAGCGGGAAGGCTCAGCGCAAGCCTCGCCTCACCAACGAGTTACTTGTTTCAAGTATGGGGAAAGGAAACAGGCAACAGTCGACAATGGGAGAAGAGTGGCGACCGTGATGGCGACGATGACGACGGCGATGATGGTGATCGATGATCGATGGCCGATGGCCGATGGCAACAGAAAATGGGAAAAGAGGTGATGCGCGTGGATTGGGATTGGAGAATGTTGTTGTTTGTCGGGCGCGTCGTCAGCGGGCCGGGCAAGAGGGAAATAAAAAAAGAGGTGGTTTCAGAAGGAAGGCCAGCCGAGCGGCGGTATTTCAGGTTGAGGTGCAAGCGACACAACAAATTTTGCGCGGAAGCCCGTTAAATAGGATCGGGCATTCGCAGCCACCGAGGGGGGTGCAAGTCCACCAGGAGGCCCACTGCGCACTATGATGCAGCGACGCTAGATGATCCTGGCATGGTCATCCTTGCAGAATCTCCAGAGTGGATGCACAGAGCCTGCGTCCGCCGGGCATGATTGGCCTCGTCCTCGCCCTGCTAGCTTCCAAGGTTCTTAGCTCTGCCCAAGCAAATCGATTGCAGCCCCCCAAGTTCTGATTCCGAGTCCTGTGTGCGGCATGCCTCTTCCTCTGCTGCTGCCTCATCTGCCCTCCTCCCTCCCCCTCCGCCTCCCTCCATTCCAAGCCGCTGCTGTCTGCTCCCCTTCTCCTGTGCCCACTTGTGGCCTGGTCTGACGCCTCGCGTACCTTGGGCCACCTGTCCACCATCTTGTTCTCTGTTATCTCCTTATTCATCGGCGGACCCCTTTTTGCTATTTTCCTTTTTGTGTGTCTCGAAAATTTTGGGGCACTCTGCTGGGTCAGCTCCAGATGCGTTGATACATTCGATGCGAACCGCTTTTGTCTTTGTTGATGCGCTTGGCAACTTCCCGAGCAGTAATAATCTGCATCGACCTTTAGCTCGCTCCGCGCACCCGCTCTATCCCTGCCTTCGACAATAATTCCATCATGGTGACCGAATATTTGATCACGTGACCGCACGTGCATGACTCATTGACTTTTCTCGGGGGTAGGGCAGGAGATAGCATCGGAGAATGCGGCGAGTGTTGGCTGTCTGCGTGAGCAGTAGAAGGAAGGTTTTCCTTTCAGGTAGGAAACATGCTTGAAAATTGTCGTCGAGGCTGTTGTCGAGAGGAATGGTCGCTCATCCGCGAAAGGTCGAGGGTAGCAGCGTTTTTCCCCTGTAGAGTAATTTCCGCAGCTTTCCGCCTTGACCGGTCCAACCAGAGGATCAAGGCCATGTCCGATGCAGGCAGCATTTCGAACAAATGCCCAAAAAGTCCGCCCTGCTTTTCATGATTAGGTTTGCTCACCTCCGAAGTCAAACACAAGAGGCGGTGCACTGCAGGGTCGACAACTTCCTAGATGATCCAGTCAACAAGCGTGCCTTTCTGCAATGCTCATGAGCGATGAACAAAGGAAAGGAAATGAGACGGCAGGTGCATGACGGGCGGGATAATTTAGTGAATCCAATGGGCCTAGAATGGCAGCCACAGAACACAAATGAGCATCAGGCGTGTCTCAATTGGGGCTACAGCGGGTATTTCCACCCTGATGGCTGGGGGACGATGCGAGAGATGCGAGAAAGCGGCGGAAGATGGTGCAAAAGAAAAACCCCATTTCCAGCCGTGGAACCAGCGACAGCGTCGATGAAGACTTTCATGAATGAATACGGTAAATGACCGCTGGAGTGAATGTTGGTGAAGGAAAGATTTCTGAGAGGGGCTCTGGAGGGTCGAAGGGCAGCAGCACCAGTTGAGGAAGAGTGCAGGCTGCTCCGGCGAATCACTGTACCCGAACAGCAGAATTTACGGGTGTTCAGACATATGAACAAGTGCAAAAGAGCTATGCCAACAATGGCATGGCGTCCTCTGCGGCCAGCCGACAATTGATTCTCCAAACATTCGTTCAACTTTTTTTTGCCGGACTGATAAATTCTGTACACCAGCCAGCATCCAGTAGGTTGAAGCGCGAGATCTCAGGCACCACCGGTTGACATCAACTGCAATGTCACTTGGAAACTCACACTTTACCTGAATACCCTGTCCTCTTCCTTTTGACTCCCAACCCAGCCCTCAATATGGGCCGGAAAGACCCTCAAAAACCAGTCTCCAAAATTTCCTCCGCCTCTTCGCCCGCAGTAGCCGCCGGTGTCAATACTCAAAAATCCTCAGTGTTGAAATCAGCGTTTGCTCCCTCACAACTGCAATTGCACCTCTTCGCCTCAGTCATTCAGAGCTTTGACGTTCACCAATTGCGCATTCATGACACGGCTACGGGACGTTTGCGCAGCCAGCATGAGACCAGAGCTGGCTCAAAGATCACTTGCCTCGATTGGGGTTACTATGGCGGTGCATATCGGGAACGACAGCAATCAGCACTAAAGAAGAAGCGCAAGCGGGGTTCGGAGAGTAATGATGGCGCAGTCGTCGCGTACGGAACCAACACCTCCCAGATTTGTATGTTCTCGCCTGCGGAGGGTCGAATCGTAGGGACTCTGAGCGGGGGACATGAGCGAGGGGTCAAAGATTTCAAATTCTCTTGCGCAGATTATCTGCACGGTTGGAGCATAGGTGAAGATGCAAAGCTGTTACAATGGGATCTGGCCAAGGACCAACCCATCAGGTCAGTTGTAACTATGGATCCGTCGCATCACATTTGGTTGTTAACAAGTGCAGGACAATCAACCTCCCGGACCCTGCTATCAATATCCTCGCTTCGCCGACCCAAAACATCCCCCCGATTATTTGTGCCTCTTCCACCCCGTTTGCAATCGACCTCGTATCGTCCGATGATTTTCGGATAGATCGCTTCGATTCCTTCAAAAATCCAGTCCATTCATTATGTCGGTCAGGCTTAAACGTTGCAGGGTCTTCCGAATATTTCCTCGCTGCAGACCCCGAGAGGTACATCAACGTCTACGACATATCTCAAAAGAGACTCGTGCGCACTTTAGTCGCAGGAAGTGGTGTCGTTTCTCTCGACCTTGCGACTCCATCGGTCGAAGCGGCAGACGCCCTGCGTCAGCAGGTTCTTTGCGTGGTAACAAAAGAAGGGACCGTTGAGCTCTTTCCCAGACCCTTTGTGGAAAATCAGCAAGTCAACGGAGATTTGAAATCTAGCAGAAAGAACCTCACAAGAAAAGCAACGGCCTCGATTCGGTTGGTCACTCCGGACTCAAAAGTTAAACATGTCCCAATCCTAGCAGCATTCCTCCAAGGGTCCGACGTCATCCTCGTCTCCGCCGATGGTGGCGTGGACGTGGCCTTTCAGAAAGTGAGATGGCAGGACGAAGGAAACGGAGAAGTACTTTTTGACGGCATTAGAGAGGTTCTGAAAGCGACGAGTTCATCTACTCTCAACACAGCCACCCTCAACGGAGTTAAGGACCTGGGGAAAACATATGTGGATGAATCGAGGACTGTCGTTGTCAATGGTGGGGCAGGAGGCGTATCTCTGGGCGCTGCGATTTCAATCTCTGACAGCGAAGGCGCGGAAGAGACTGACGATTCCGAAGAGGGTGAATCTGCCAACGAAGCAGCGATCAAGACGAAGGCTGAAGACGCAGGGGAAGGTGATGAAGCCTCAGACATGGATTCCGACGAAGAGATGGCAGACACTGAAAAAGCAGAAGCCACAGGCTTGGGCGACGCAGATACCGACTCAGAAGCGGAAGAGGGAGAACCCTCTTTTGGCGAACTATTAGCATCCAAACACCCCCACGAGATATCCATCGCATCAGCCATCTCTCAACGCGATACCTCCGTCGTCACGCTCAAGCCCGGCCAAACAACAATACCTTCTGGCATGTCTCTGTCCACAGTACTTACCCAATCACTCCGCACAAATGATACCTCTCTTCTAGAAGCCTGCTTGCACACTCTGGACATGTCCATCGTCAAATCCACCATCCAACGGCTCGACTCCACCCTCGCTGGCATTCTCCTCTCAAAACTCGCCGAAAGACTCGCTTCTCGTCCAGGGCGGTACGGACACCTCATAACGTGGGTGCAGTGGACTTGTATCTGTCACGGCGGAGCGATAGCAAGCCAGCCCGGCGTCACAGCAAAAGTGAGGACGCTGTATGAGGTATTGAACGCGAGGATGCAGACGTTGGATGATTTGTTACTGCTGAAGGGCAAGTTGGACATGCTGGATGCACAGCTGGGTTATCGAAAACAATTGGTGGCTCAGAGACCACAGGGCAGTAGAAAAGGAAGAGACGAACCCGGGATAATCTACATTGAAGGGGAAGACAACTGGGATAGTGACGATGAAGACTTGGATGAGGACATTACCAGGCCAACCAAGAAGTCGAGGACGAAGCAGCAGACAGATCTAGAAGGGCTCGTCGGTGAAGAAGAAGAGGAGGAGGATGACGAAGATCTAATGCCTCTCGAAAACGGTGCTGAGGATATGTCATCTGACAACGAAGAGGACGACGACGACGAAGAGGACGACGACGACGAAGAGGACGAGGTGGAAGAACCCAGGCTGAACGGCGTGCGCAGTACGCGGAGCCTTGTTGATGACGAGGCTGAAGTTTCCAGTGCCGAAGAATCCGACCCTGACGATGACGGGCCGTCTCCAGCGGGTTCAGAAACTCCATCTGTCGCATCTTCAGACAATGAAGACGCGAGTGACAGTGCAGGCGAAGAGAGCGACGACGACGATGAAGGCGAGGAAGAAGAGGACGAAGACTCGGAGATGGACAGCTTCATCAACGACGGATCCGTCGACTTCGGAGAGGAAGAGGGTGATGAAGTGCGTGTGCCTGGTGACTCTAGTGACGATGAGGAGGGTGGAGACGAGGACAGAGATGCGCTCGAGGAGGCTGAACCTCTCCCGAAAGCCACTCCTGTCACCAAGAAAGGGAAAAGGGCCGATAAGAATAAGGGAAAGGTGGAAAGGAGAATCCCACACATCGACGACGACGATGTGGACATGGACCTGGGCCTGGAAACGCCAAAGTCGAAATCAAAGTCGAAGCACAAGTCGGCGAAGAAGACGAACAGGACCTGAGCTGCCCTGACTGATCAGAATGAGTCTGAGCAACGCATCTTCAGAGGTCGTCGGCGACAATACCTAGGCAATGACAAGCCCTAGATTGTCGCGCCGCTGCTGCATCGTATCTCCTCCACCGACTGGCCATGCTGAACACCAACACTTGGCTGCATGTCTGCCTCTGTCCCTATGTCCACACTTATCTCTACCTCTACCTTCGGCGACGTCGCTGTCTACGCTACCTCTTGTCAGGATACATATGTGAGCTGGTTTAGAAATGATGGCTTGGAAAGCAGAGGTGGTTGAGATGCGCAGCTTATACAACCCACCGTCATGATCATCCACAAGCATCACCACCGCCATCAGCACACGTTAATACTAATGTCCAAGAGCATCATCAAGGACCTGTCCACAACCCATCACCGACAGCATGCCCTGATGTGCTTGTGTACATACCGACTCTGCAACCCGCGATGGAGTGAATACCTACCCTACCCTACCCTACGAGGCTTATCTGAGGATCAGTCACATATGCTCTATCCAACAGGAATGAGGCATCAGCGCAATGGCCGCGCAATGGGAGGGGAAGGAATGTCGTTGGATCATCATTTTTTCAAAGCGACCTAAAGGCATCTGGTCGCGCAAAACGTCTCTGGTGGCTTCAGCATAGCGAGGACCTGGATACCAGCGAGCATGACATGAACATTGAGCATTCGGCATTGAGCATATTTTCTTTTCTTCTAGATTGCATGTGTCCAGGTCAAAAGTCAGATATGAATGAATGAGTATTTGTTGTTCTCATGAGGGCTTATCGAACAATATGATAAGGATACCCGATTCTCCCTCCCCGCCGCCGATGCTGTTTTGTTTGTTGATAGGAAATGGATCGCACCTAGGGCAAGAGTAAGGATACGCCATCAACGAAGACTCCTCTCATGTTGGTCATTCCACCATCTCTGTCTCGATTCTTGCTCTTCACAACTGCCCATCTATGCGAGGTCCCAGCTCTGCGTCCACGAGCTACCGAATGATCTCTTCCCCAAGTCCAATCTCATCCACATCGAGGTTCTCACACCATCCTTCCAGCACTCGACTCCCGCCCAGAACACCTTGCTGGCGGCCTAATCCATGCGCTTTCTTTCCTTTACTTTTCCCCGCCCAGATCTCAAAGAACTTGACCGTTTGATCACAGCATGCGATGATGAGACTCCCTTCCTCTTCCGTCCGACTTGCCCATCGCTCCCCTTCACGCCGAACGTCTCCACTCAGGCCATCTGCCATATATTCCCCACCGCCCATTGCTGGTTGTCTTCTGCGTGTGATGGTCCTTCGCTCAGGGCTAGGGGCTAGACTGCGACGAACTCGAGGACCGACAATCTCTGTAGCTGTGGCTGCAGCTCGTCTTTGCTCTGTTTCAGTCTCTTGAACTGCTTGCCATGAGGTAAATCCGCCGTTAGGGCCGTGCTGTCTTCGAATTGGTATGGCATCGTTTGGTCCGCCTGGATAAGGTATTGCCCACAGCGCACGACCGATCTCGCCATTCTGCCTTCTCTCCCATGGGATACTCACTACGCATTCACAGGTTGGCCAACTGAAAACAGCTATTCTGATTTCATGCTCCGGTTGCGAGTATCCAAACGTCGCGACTATCTCGCGTCTTGTTGTGCTCTACACCAGGCTGGTGACTTGCGAGAAGACATTGATCAGGGCCAGAGTCGCTCCTGAGCCCGTGTGAAAGAAATGAATCTGGCGATCGTTGCTTCCGCCTCCAGTTGCAAGCAGATTCGGCTGCCACGGAGCGAATGCGATAGCCTTGACAGCTGCGGCGTGAAAAAAGGAATGGACGTGGATATTGGCTTGCCCAGGGATGCCGGGATCCACGAGCGCATTGCGAAGGACGGACGCATTTGGTAGAGGAGCTGTACGGGGAATGCCAGGTGAGCTAAGAGGGCCGATGGTGAGAGAACGATCGGCTACTCTGCCCCGACGTAGAGGAGTTGGAGGTGGTGTTTCTAGACCAAAATTACGCACACTGTTGGCCGGCCCTCGGTTGAAGCTCGAGGAATCTCGGTGGCTTGCAGATCGATATCTCTGCGGCGAAGCTGGGGGCGTGGGAAGCTGAGGAGGAGTCCTAAAGCCAGGATCATCAAACATGTCTGCCGCGTGATCTAGCACAGTCGTCGAGACATGCCTCTGGTAATCCGCATGGAGGAAAATCGACGGATCGAAAAGCTGAGCCCGATTATCGTTACCACCGGATACAAACTGCATGCCATCTGGCGACCATGCGAGCCCGCAGATGTTCTGGCTATGGGCGTCGATTTTGGCCAGCAGCGTCATGGATCCGGGAGCAAATTCTGGCCACTCCAAAGAGTAGTAGTATATCTTGCCAGAGTCGTCGCCGACAAGTAGATCTTCGCACATGACAGTGTCATTTCCTGCGACAGACGGTCGCTGCGTTTGAACAGGCTTGAATGCCACGCAGGATGCTGCACAGGGGTGAGGAGCATCGAAACGTGGTCTGATCTCCAGTAAGCTCCATAATGTAACAGTCCCGCTGTTCCTGGCTACGGCTAAGATCGCCTTGCCCCCTTTCTTAGATGAGAAAGCTAAGGAGGTCACAAAATTGGCTGTTCGGCCAGCGGGGAGTGGTGGATAGCGCACGCCATACTGTTCTGTCCAGAGATAGACTTTTTGACCTAGGGCGACAGCCAAGGAGTGACAGGTCTGACTGTACGCGAGTATGGAGCAGTAATAGTCATCTTTGAGATTTGGAGCGTCGAGAACCCGGAAGGGGACGGTAGGAACCGCTTTTTCGCTTTGGAGTAGGCCTCCATCTTGGTACGCCATATCTGCTCAATGGTCAGTAAACGAACAGTGGGAAGGCAGATGTACATACACCAAGATGTCGGCTCTCGGGTCCACGCGCTGTTCCTCCATACAAAGGGACAATGTTCGGGTCTGGCATTGGCATCCTTTCCTTCAACACCAGGGTTTTGTAGCAGGATCCGAGATGCTTGATCAATGTCGAGGGCCAGCGCCAGGCGGCGTTCATGAGCCACTGCTTTGTCGTCACGACTAGCATGATTCAGAAATGTAGCGCTGTGCATTGGAGCAGTGCTGCCACTGGCCAGCATTCCACCTGAACCGGAAGGGACGCCCTGCACTTGTCCAATCTGAGCAGACTCTCTGCCTCCCACGGTCCAAAATCCTGCGCTGATCTGACGGAGAGTTCTTGTTGCTATGCTTCCATCAATATGTGCGGGGGTGGCATCTCTCCCATGGACAAAAGATGGGACATATTGCGGAGGGCGCAAGTTGTAGACATTTGGTGCATTTCTTTGCCTCGTTAATGCCCGAGACCGCGGCTCACTCACGGAGCGAAAAGGATCCACGGTATTGTCTCGCCGTCGCTCATTTCTTTCCCTACCTCGGAGTAAGACTGGAGGTTTAGTGGTTTGGTAAGACCGTCTCTTATCCACGTGTAGAGGTCTTTGTGGGATGAAGCGGTCTGGCGAGGTGAATTGAGAGCGAATTTGGACAGGGTTGCCAGCACTGAGGCTTCGTCTTTGCTAGGGACGAGACCTGGTTCGTGGGAGGGCCTGGGCAGGGTGGTCCTCGGAAATCAGCCTCGACGTGGATTGGTGTTGGGGGAGGTGAGAGAGCAATGGGGTTCCTGTCGTTGAAAATCCATGTTCTTGTGGTGATGGAGACGCGGATTCCCTGCTCACATCATCCGTAGCTGAGGAGCGAGAACTGGTTGACAGTTCTGAACTCGACGTTTCGGTGGAGGAGGCGGCAATGTCCATTTGGAGGAGTGCTAGGTGGCCAGGAGCACCTTTGACGCCGAGCACTTGGGACGGTAGTCGGGGACGATTTATCAGAATAATGGAATAGCCGGAAGAAGGACTTCTGGCTTTTTTGCTCAAGGAGTTGAAGCGCAAAGTAGATCCCCAGGCATCATGCGGATGCAATTGAGCCTCCTCCCAGCCCGTCAACCCGCAAGTAGCAGGGAGAGCGAAGGCGGGATCGAGTGTAGCGTGAGTGATACGCCAAGTACCTGTATCTATGTTAGTGACAAGCCATCACTTGTCTGTAACCGTGTGGGTTGGTATGGATGCTTGGTGGTTGAAGTACGAGATAATAGGTGGTTAAGTTTGTTGCCTGGAATTGGTGTCGGCAAAGGCGTCGTTGGACTCTCACCTCCATCGTTCTTTCACCTTGCCACATCCATCATCACCATACCTTCCGCAAACCGCATCTGAGAGATACTGCCTCCTAAATCGACCTTATTCTCAGCCATGGCAAGTGTAAGGCACAAAAAGTCCGCAGTCACAAATTCTCCGAGTTGACCCAGTCGCTAGCATGGCGTGCCTCGCACCGCCACGCGCGAGGAACGGACGGTAGAGGCACGGCAGAAGGAGTTGCAAGAAATCACTCAATATCAAGAGCTTGTTGAAGAAGTTAATGCTAAGGTCTCTCGTCCAGCCTCGAACTGATCAGAGATGAAGGTGCTGATATTAATTGCGAGCAGGTTTCTGCCAGCGAATTTACCCCTGCATTGCTCCAACAAACAGCCCAGTTGCTTAAGAGGAATCCGGAGTACTATACCATCTGGAATCATCGCCGCCGCGTCTATGTCAGCGAATTCGAGGATCTTGCAAGACAGACCGCCTGCGGTCAAATGGACGAAGAGACTCGAGTCAGCCAGGTGCTGGATATCATCCAGCTGGACTTGCAATTTTTGTTTCCTCTACTTCTCAAATTCCCGAAGTGCTACTGGATATGGAACCATAGATTGTGGCTCCTCGAGCAGTCTACGGCTCTGCTCCCCTCTCCGAAAGCGCGAGGGATATGGGAGGAGGAGCTTGTATTGGTAGGCAAGATGCTCAGTCGGGATAGCCGAAACTTCCACGGTTGGGGCTATCGACGAACAGTGGTGGATAGCCTCGAGAGCCCAGCTTTACGGGGACAAAGTATGGCGAGACAGGAGTTGGAATATACCAAGAAGATGATAGGAACCAATCTGTCGAACTTCTCAGCCTGGCACAACCGGACGAAGCTCATCCTCAAAATCTTGGACGAGGAGAAGGCCACAGATGATGAAAGACGAAAGATGCTGGACGAAGGCAAGTGCTTCGATTGACGAGGTTGTCAACGGATGCTGATCATCATAGAACTCGAACTGATACACAAGGCTCTATTTGACCCCTACGACCAATCGCTTTGGTTCTATCACCAGAATCTGATGTGCACCTTTGATATTGAACAATCGTTGCGGAGTATGGCACCGAACCTCTCGGATGAGCAGCGGCTGGAATACATCGCATCGGAGCGGGAGTACATTGAAGAAGTTCTGGAGGACGCCCAGGATTGCAAGTGGCCATACCAAGCGTTGATCGAGTGTACAATGCTGGAAAGCAAACTAAAGACCGGATTAGAAGACGAGGACCGAGAAAAGGTGGCCCAGTGGTTGGCCAACCTCAAGAGCCTCGATCCTCTCAGGAGAGGCAGGTGGATTGATATGGAGCAGCAGCTTGGCAAGCAACAAAGGCGGCGTTGAAGTGATGAGGCCCCTGACAAGCTGGTACCAACTGAAGTCGAATCTACAATATGATATGGGAGAAGGAAGACCCGTCAGTGGTGCGTAACTCGTCCTTTGTAAAGGTTAATGACTCCAAAGCTATGCGGGTGACGAGTCCCTGGTACAGGTGAAACAAGCCCCATTGCATCGGGAGCCGCAAGGACTTTGCAGGCTGCAAGCCCCCTTTATGGCACAGCCAAACAACGGCGTGATGGGGCTTGATCAAAGGGGCAAGGCAACGGACATGCGAGGAAATGGGGCTCACTAGGTTAAATGCTTGATGCTAAACACGCCTTCTGGCCCCTGGACCTGACATGGCGTCCATGGCTGTGTGGGCAGTGGGCACAGATGGGCTCAAGGAGGGCATGGGAATCGAGCACCGCAGGATCGTGATGTGGTACAAACTGCGGATGACAGTATCGGATACCAGAAAAGAGAAAAAGACAGTTTTCCTCTCGATAGACTCATTCGGGCTTCACCCTGACTTCCTCCCCAGCAATAGACCTTGAATCCTGATTGTCCTGACCACGAGGTCTGCGGCGTCTTGTCGATCCCTCTTTCCGCTATCAACTGTTTACAGACCTGAAAAGTTGCAGCTCTCCGCGTCACCCAAGAAAAAGTGGTCATACGGTCATTTAATTCGCTCGACTGCCTCTATTGAACCTGCAAGCATCAAAGGCCAGACGTCCAGGATCGGCAGGTTCCTTGATTCCCTGGCTTCATCGTCCGTCAATATCACCAAGCACTGCCCTCCTCTGGGTTGCTGACCGACTGCGGTGACATCTGACCCTCGTTTGAAATTCCGCACCTGATCTTTCTCGACTATCCCTCATCGCCTGCAAGAACAACGCGCCCCAACCCTCGACACACACTCCCACCACCTCCAGGCAATAGACCACGAGTACCAACTCCTGAAGATATCGGACATCCTGCGGTAAAAGATGATATGAGCATGCCGAGTGGCTCCTGAAGGCAGATCAACATGGCGAACAGTGCAGACAACCCGGACAATGACGAGGTAAGGCATTGGGCTTTCCCACCTCTGCGTTGAGATGAAGGATCTCTTCTGATAACCCATAGAAATTTGAGGATGCCAACGATGTCAACAATGATTCAAAGCGGAATTCTTCCCACTCGGATCAACCTCCGCAGGAGCCCAAGGATTCCGATGCTCCTCCTCCGACCTCGAACGACCACGAGCAATCCAAAGGCGAGCAAAGAGAGAGCACGGGGGGCACAGAGTCGAAGGTCCCTGATATAACTACTGATGATACAAGCGCGGTGGATGATTCCCACGACGCCCAGCAAACACCGACGTTAAAACCCCCCGAACCCTCCACTGACACCGCCGGCGATCCTTCAGAGAAACCTGTCCCCCCTAAGCCTGCTACTCGCCCTTCGAGATTCCAAGGCTTTTCTGCCTCCCTACCATCAGTGCCTTGGGGACCGCCTCCTCCCAGAAAAGCTTCAGACGCCCGAGCACCGTCTCCGCAACCACCTCAACCACAATCGACCTCCTCCTTTAGCCGCAAAGTGACCACTCCTTTCGGATGGTTGAGCCGAGCAACATCGGCTCCAAAAGAGACTCGTTCTCCTCCTTTACCCTCGAAATCACAACTTGATACACGGCGGAATACGGCAGCATCAGCATCCACTCTCGGCAGCAACGCGGATCTGACGCTAAAGGCGCTAGAAGAGTCTCAAGATGGGTCAAGCGGCCAGAAGCAGCCCTCTAGAGCATCGCTCCGCGAACAATTTAAAATGCTCCGGCTGCGGGAAGAAGCGGGCATAACAAGCTTGGAGGGAGCGGAGTCATCTGAAGGAGGTGCAATAGCAGGACTTATAGGCCGGTCGGCTAGTTTGGGTGTTGGAATTGCCACTCCGGGCAGTGTCGGTCAGGATGAAAATGTTGTGTCTACTCCTGTCATGTCTCCGTCCTCGCCCATGGTCGAATCACTACCCACCAATCCAAATTTGCCTCCCGGAACAGTAGCAGGGGTGGCAGCAGCAACTGCAGACACGAGCACCCCGATTGATTGGGACTTCTGGCAAAATGTTGTCAATGAGGGTCCGCAGGCTGTTGCTCGGACAAGTCCTGATGAGTTCACGCAAGCCATCAGTGGTGGAATCCCACAGACCATCAGACCGGTTATATGGCAAGTGTTAGCAGGCAGCAAAAACGAGGATCTGGAAGCCGTCTATTGGGATCTCAAGTCCCGAGGCCCACACTCGGAAACAAAAGAGGGCATGGCTAAATCTCCTTTACTGAATGGGCATGTCAACGGCAGCGCCAAAGAGAAAGAATCAGTAGCATCGTCGAGATCGTCGATAAGATCTGATCACTCAACACCTGCCACCAGCTCCAATGTAGGCGTTGCATCTCCTTCGCCTTCCCAGGAAGCAACAGATCCTATGAGCACGGCGCGGCTCCAGACTCAACTGGCCGCAGAAAGGGCGAAAAAGGCCAAAGAGGATTCTGCAGCACTGGCAAAGCTGGAGAAGATGATCAAGCGAGACATGGGCTCGAGGACCAGCTACTCGAAGTATGCGGCAGCAGCGGGCCTTCAAGATGGACTATTCCACGTGTGCCGCGCATATGCCCTCTTTGATGACGCCGTCGGATACCCTCAAGGCCTGAACTTTATCATCATGCCTCTTTTGTTCACGATGCCCGAGGAAGAAGCTTTCTGCCTCCTTGTTCGATTGATGAACAAATACCAACTCCGCGATCTTTTCATCCAGGATATGCCCGGATTACATCTACATCTTTATCAGTTTGAGCGGTTACTAGAGGATTTGGAGCCCGCATTGTATTGCCATCTCAATCGCCGAGGTGTTACCCCCAAGCTCTATGCAACACAGTGGTTTCTGACAATGTTTGCATACCGGTTTCCGCTTCAACTGGTCATGCGGGTCTATGATTTGGTCCTGTGCGAAGGGCTCGAGGGTGCGATTTTGAAGTTTGGAATGGCTGTCATCCAGCGAAACGTAGCCACGCTGCTGGTAATGCAGGATATGCAGAGCCTCACAAACTTCCTCAAAGAAAAGATCTTCGATGTTTATATCGATGCCGCGCCCTCATCCAAATCGATACTAGAGTCAGGATTCTTCGGCAGCTCTGGCGGCTCTGACACTGAGGTTTACCGAGCAGATCTCCTTGTCCAAGACGCATGTGCAGTAAAACTGACGCCCGAGATGCTCAATCGATACCGAGAGGAATGGGAGACAACTACAAAGGCCGAGAAAGCACGCGAGACCGAGCTGGAAAATCTGAAGACCGACTGTGCAACCAAAGCCGCCCAGATCCGTTCGCTCGAGCAAAGAGCTGAGAAATCTGACGCAGAACACATCGAGATCGCCAATGAGTTGGTGCGGCTAAAAGTTGAGAACACCGAGTTGCAAGACCGCAACGAGAGCTTGACTGGACAGGTCGCCGAGCTGAAAAAGGTCGCAGAAAGTGAAGCAGCAAACGTCGAGGAGAGGCTCCGCGCGGGAACGGAACAGGTCATGCAGCGCAATATCGAGGTGCAGAATGAGAACCGCCATATGGAAGAACAAATGGCCGAAATGGAGCGGGAGCTCGTGGAGATAAAGATGAAGTACGCTGAGGTGAGTAATACATTTCGCCCCTTGATATTAGTGGTGAACACGGACTTCTGACATTGCTCAATAGCTCAATGCCGAACATGAAGCGCTCAAGCAGAAATGGAACGACTTGAAACGAGCCCTCGAATGAGATCATCTTCATGTCTGTTGACAGTCGACATCTTTATTCAGGAGACCTCCGTGCAACCCATTCGACGCCTCGGAGCCAATGCAGCCTTGACCTCGCTTCCGGTCATCAATCATCTGCTTGGCTAATGCTCACGTTGTATATTCCACCGATGTTTTCTGACTCTTAAGTACGGTCTTTCCTGCTTTCTATACCCCAAGTCATGAATGATGGAACCAAGCATAGCGCGGGCGATATATGGTTTGCAGCATCTGCTTTGACGGTACGACATCGGATCTTTCCGAATGGCTTCAGGTGTTTGTGAGGGTGGATTGAAGAATGATCCTTTGTCTTGGAGATCCTGATCCACGAATAGCGGCTTATCCATTGTTCCGGAGAGGTAGCAACGGAAATCTCGCAGAGGTTTGGCTCGGCCTGTTGAGTTCAGGAGCCACCTATTCTGCCGGTGCCATAACTGCTCTGTGGGGTCTAGCCCACGGACTTGTGTGACTCGACGAAAGGACTTGATGACCCTTTGATGCTTTCTTTGCACAAAGAGGCAGAGGAACGGATTGATTGATGTTCAAAATATCCTGTATTGGTATGGGTGTTGCAGTTAGTAGAGGTCGATGTGTCTCGCGAGAGACTCGGACGGAGCACATGACAATGGAAACCACGTCGAACAGGCAGAACTGCCTCTGTTGACGGCGATTGAGCACCATGATATAGACCTCGCACGCATCAAGATACGAAGCACAGAATGGTGTGCCTTGCTACAATCCGCTGTGCATCAGAATCCCAGTCCAGCTTAGCGCAGCCTTGCCTACCGAGGTAGCTCGATCAACTACGCCGTGTCGATCTAACTCCCCTTTTGCATTCCCCCTCCTTGGAACACCCCTTGATCATCCAGACGTGTCCTGCCATTCAACTCTTTCTGAGAGAGTAGGGAGGGGTTGAGGATGGCACTGTATCATTAGCTCTCTAGCAGGCATGTGCCTACCTATATAAGTCGCCAGCCCCATCAGGCGCATCATCTATCCCACTCCACCATCTACATAGCCATCTACAATGAACTCGTATGTAGCAAGCACACAGCGTCTACAGCCTGACCTTGCCGGCTTTCAGCTCCTCCCACTGTTTTCGGCCAAAGGGCTCGTACTTGGCGCCGCCGGGGGGGAGCCAGAACAGGCGGTCGTCGGGGCGGGCGGCCTCGATCTTGTCCAGGTCGACACCCTCGGCGCGCAGGCGGCCCTTCTGCAGCTTCATCGTGCCCGTGTACTCGAGCTGAGGCACGACGCGCAGGAAGATGGGCACGGCGTACCGCGGAAGCGTCGAGAGCAGGTGCTCCGCCAGGCCGGCGAGGTCGAGCTGGTCGGCGGAGGTGATGGACTCGATGGGCACGATCGCGGCGCACCCGGCGCGGCCGTCCGCGTGGGGCACCTGCACGCCGTACACGTTCGCCTCGGCGATCTGGGGAAATTTGCCCAGCACGTCCGAGACTTCGTTGGTTGACACGTTCTCGCTGCGCCACCGGAACGTGTCACCCAGCCGGTCGACGAAGTAGACACACCCGTCGGGGTCCTGGCGCATCATGTCGCCGCTGCGGAACCACAGATCGCCCTTCTGGAACAGATCCTGGATCTTGCGTTTGTTGCTGGCCGACTTGTTCTTGTAGTATCCCGCAAACACCGTGTCCGCGGTGGCCGGATCCATCCGGTGCACCACCTCGCCGGGCTCGCCGTCTTTGCAGATGATCGCGAAGCCGTTCTCGTCGCGCAGGATCTCCTCGGTGTCGATGTCGATCTTGACTCTCTTCTCATTGGCGCCGTTGGTGAGTTTCCAATACAGCCCGCGCATGGCGATGGCGTTCTTGCCAAACTCGCCCTTGTTCGCGTTGAAAGACGCGCCCAGGCCATCCGTGGCCGCGTACAGCTCGTTGATCGTCTCGATTCCGAAGCGCTGCCGGAAGTTTTCCCAAACGTCCGGCCGCATGCCGTTCCCCCATGCCATCTTCACGTTGTGCTCTCTGTCCAGCGGACTGGGCGGGGCGTTTATGAGATACCGGCAGAGTTCACCCACGTACTGGAGGATGTCGGCCTTGGAGGCGCGGACTTCTGGCCAGAACGTCCTGTGGGAGAATTTCCGGCTGAGGACGACGGTGGCTCCGGCGAAGATCGAGGGCGTTAGGCACAGGCCGTGCGCGGCGCCGTGGTACAGGGGCAGGCAGGTATACATGCGGTTATGGGGCTTGAGCTTGAGATACGTCGAAATACTCCGGGCGGTGTTGAGTTCGCGGCCACGAAGCATAATCACACCCTTGGGCATGCCCGTTGTGCCTGATGTGTAGATAAGACCACCGAGTTCGGTGGGCAGGATTCCTTGGTGAAGGGATTTGGGGATTCGAGTGGTGTCTGTCAGAGAAGCGAAAAAGGGTTCGTCGTAGTAGACTATTTGTATGCCCGAAGCTTGGAGGTCTCCTTCACACGGCTGTACGAGATCTTGTGTGGCGCGGTCTGCGATCAGAAACCGTGCGTCGCATAGCTTGACGCAGTGTGTGAGCGGGCCAGATGTCAGGTTGCAGTTGATGAAGGCGGGACAGGCATGGATGGCTTCGACGGCGAACCACAGCATGAGATACTCGGGGCTGTTCCCACCGTCCAAGGCGACGATTTCTTGAGGCTTGATGCCCAAATCTTTCATCAACCAGTTGGCCACCTTGTGCAAGTCATCGAAGAACTGCTTGTAGGTCCACGATCGGTTCTCGAAGATGAGGAATAGATTGTCTGCGTTCTTCCCCGTGGCATGTTCCTCAAAGACGTGGTACATGAGCATCCTGTTCGTCTGGTACCTCTCCATGGTGAAGGCCATTGCGCTCTTCTGGTTGGCAGCCAACGTGCCTGAACTGAGATCATGGCGGACGAGGAATTTGGCATCGAGGTAGGCGGCGGTAGCGAGGCCACCCGCAATGGCTGCTGCTACGGTGGGAACTGGCGGTCATGGTCAGTTAGGAAACCATACACAGCGGTCTGGAGGCTGGACTTACGGCCCATTCTGTGAGAGGTGCTGCTGGAGCAGGAGATCGTACTTGGACGACAAGGGAGCTAAGAGAGGCGTCCATGATATATCGATTCGTACACTTAGGGCGATCTTGCGCGTGAGATGGAGCAGAGTTCTCTGACGGCCGCATTACCCGTAATCCTGCCGAGGTCGATGGGAGAGAGAAAGCTGCGCTGATGGGTGTCGGCAACGGGCTCCGCACCCGCATCCTTGTATACAGAGCTAAACCCTCTGCAGGGCCTGTGCATGCATAGCGTCTGGGGTTGGGGGCGGAGGCTGGAGAAGGGAGGCGACACAAACTGCACAAGTCAAAAGTCGTTGCTGACACGACTGGACGTGTCAGTCAGGCAGTCAATCTATCGCCCTGCTTGAAGGCACGTAGCGACTCCGAGGCCCGAGGGGGGCCCTGCACACCAATACATAATTTCTGATTTCATGATGTTTCGTATTGCTATGTATCTCTCACCATCTCGACATCGTTCTGCGGCGTTGTCATGCAATCCTTCTTACCCCCATGATGTTTCCAACTCGCGACGCTGATGCTGCGCCCTGCTCGAGAGCTGGAGCTCGGAGGGACAATCAATGCCAACTTGCAGCATCCGCCTCCTGCTTCCAACCTCGCTGCTCGCAATGCATATGACAAAAAGAAACCCAAACCCCGTCAATTCATGTCGTCGTGATAGTCGTCACTGATCCTGTTCAGCGTCCTTGTGTGGGGAAACCTGTAAACAATCAAACCCATGCCTCCTGCTGAAGGAGAAAAAGAACCAAGCCGCATTCCCCTGAAGCAGTTCCTTATAACAACCAACAATCACCGTATGCATTTGTTTGCAGACGGCCAACCATCCTGAACCTCCTCCAAGCAAAACGCCCAGTCAATCCAATGTCCTTCACCACCACACAGGGTATTCCTGCCACGTATCTGGCTCCATGCTTTCATCATACCACATCTCAGCTTGCATGCTCTCGTCGAACCACATCTCACTGCCCATCGCGGGTGTTCCGACCAACGCATCTCCTTCGTAGAACATCATTGCTCCTTCTCCCATCCTGAACTGCTCCTGTCGCCATTCTGGCACCAGAGGGGGCCTCCATTGGCCAACTTCCTGCATCAGCTCTGTACCCAAGAAGAAGTTGCCAAGTACCTCGAACTGCGGATCGCTATCCATGTCAGCATTGTTGACGTAGATATCGTCCGGTCGGGGTCCCATGCAGAAGATAGGTCCAGCTTCGTCAAGGGGCAACTGCCTCAAAAAGGGCTGCTCTTGGAATGGGGCCAACGGGTTGGCGGGAGCACGAGGAGGAGGGAGAAAGCGGCCGCACTTTGTCTTTGCGAGGAGGTTCTGCCGACTGTCGCCATTCCATTGCAGCTCCCCATTGCTCGGCCACTTGGCTACTTGTCCGATGTACTCAGCTGACCAGATGGTAGGGAACCCCAGTACTGGGCTGAGCCCGTCGTTGAAGATCTTGCCATCCTCGCCAAAGACGGATTTGATTTTGCGCTGGGACTTGGGGATCTTTTGGCGAGCTTCGATCTGATCCTTGAGCATTTCGCAGTTCTTCTGTTGCTCGGCCTCGGCCAACGCAAGCATCTCTTTCTTGTGCGTCATCCACTCGCCGACATTCTGCGGAAAGATTGCTGAGACTCCTGGATCCGATCTGGCATTGGCCTTGAAATGCTCTGGCGCAAAATGGCGGACCCGCTGTTTGACTCGTTCATACTCCTCCTTGTCCTTGATGGCTTGGCTTTTCCATGTGACAGAAGATGTATGAGATGCGACATGCGAGGGGACGGGGGCGAGGGCATCTTGCTTCTTTCCGAAGAATGTCTGGGTGGCTAGCTCCTTGCTGTCGACGCTTGCTCTGTCATCGAAGGTGATTGCTGACAGTCGATCCAGCGATACTCGCTTTCCTCTTCTCCGTGGACCCATGGTATTGGATAAGAATGATAATTGGTGGGGAAAAAGCTGGGTTCTGTGGAGATTGTTGGATTGGATGAAGAAGAAGAAGGATGTTGAATGGACCGGGGTTGCGATATCGGAGACAAGTCTGGAAGTACTGAAGTGCCAGATTGCGTATCAGGCAGTTGGCATGGTTGGCTAGGCAGCGGGGGAGGGAAGTGAATGTTCACGCGAATTCACTCTTCGGAAGTCCTTGTCGTGTGGTAATGGGGGTTCCTCGGGGCCACAAGACTGATTACGGGACAAGACGGTACTCGATGTTCGATAAGCGAGTCTGATGGGATCCCCCGATGGAGGAAATGGAGGACTCCGAGTCCAACACCACAGCCTTGTGGCTTCAGATTTGCTCGCTGCTGGTCGCTTTCAGAGCACTGCTTTAGATTAGCGTCAAGTTGGGTGCCTCGAGCTGGCAATATTATGTAAGTCGATATTGGTGAGACTCCGTCGTCTTTGGTTGAAAGTGTCTAGGAGAGTGGAACTTTATATCATGTTTATGATAGGTCGTGTCGCCGACGAGAGCCGTTTTCGAGATTAAATGCTCTTCTCTGCCGTCTGCGCAGTCCATCTGCGAGAAAAAGTCACGGGGTCTTTGTGCGCTGTATGAGGATGACTCGCTCTATTGTGACAATGACCGCGAGTGAAGCAGACTGCGGGGCTCAACTTCGGATTGTCAAGAGTTTGCTGCGGCCATGAAGCACCTGGAAAGAGCATATTCACATGAATCTCGGCGAATCTTCGGACGGAGAAGACTCAGCGGGCTGGATCGGTGTCTCGTTGAGTGTCACTTGCCCAGTTCAAGCCGTCCTCAAATCCGCGCATGTGCTTGCGCATGTACAAACGCGCGTTGGGAGGCATGGCTGGCGCGGGGACAGAGGTAAAGCCCAAGGACAGCAACATCACACCGGTACTGGGGAGCTTTTCGGAGGTGATCATTCCAGACGGCTTCAAACTCTGAAGCTGGTGAGTCTTATAAGGGCGCCCGCGACACCCAATGTCAGAAGAGCAAGGAGTGACGGACAAGTGATGTCTGAAGCAGGCCTTTGAAGAGACGCGGACAAAGCGGACATAAAGGAGCTATTGAAGATAAGACCCTTGAAGGACTTAGAAGAGCCGGACCGTAAGGTGCCATGATTCTTTTGTGTTCCTGGGAAAGGGTAGGTCGAGATACTCCGTGGTGTTGATCGTCGGCCTCCCCCTTATGCCGTCTTGTAGTCTCCCGAAATGGAAAGATAAGCGACCTCGGGTTCCCAAGCCTCCTCCCGTTCAGGTCTCTCCTCGAATGGGAAAGTTCTGGAAACCATCGTCAGGGTAACCCTCGATGTGCATGGGGGACGTTGGATGTCGACAGCCTCTCACGTGATGGACTCATATGTACGGTGAAGCAGTAAATCCACCTGTATACAGACGCAAAACGCGTCCGCGTCTCCTATTTCTCTTTGATTGTCATTGCGTCTTCTTCAAAAAATACAAATTCTTAGAGTGAACATACATCCAACAATGCCAGCAGTCGTGCTGCGTCCCGCTGCTCCCTCCCAAGAGACAAATGGGACAAACCTCAACCCGCTGCCTTCCCTTCTTCATACCCCTTCAGGACTGGCCATTGTGGAGATCCAAGGCACAATCCACGGACCATTCCAGAATCTCGCAACAGAGAATGCAGACCAGTCCCAAGCTGTGCACTCCATAGGGCGCCTTGAATTCCCGCTGTACAATCCTCAAGACGCCAACGAGGGCAAATGGATGAAGAAAGTCTATATGTACGTCGGCAGGCATCAGAGATTGACCGGTGAAGTCAAAAAGTTGGCGAAACCATTGGCCGTTCTTCGGAAAATCGATGAGAACGATCACATGGGCGACGAACAGAGCGGTGAGGCGCTGGAGATCGTGGATGTTGTCAAGTTTAAGCTGCTGTTCAGTGCGAGGCCGGAGCCAGTCGGGGAGTGAAGGCAACCTGCAATGTCCAGGTCGGGTGAGCTATTCTGGCTTGCGAAAGATGGGAGTCTGCAAGGAAGAGAATTGGGTGCTTGATCTATTATCGACAACACAGCAATTCAGGCCACGCACGGGCGAGGCTTTCAAACGCGGTTGACACGCTTGATCTTGGCCACGACATCAACGGTCCCGACCATGCTCACACCAACCTGCTCAATATCTTCTGGAAAGCATTGAAAATGTCTTGAGATGGACAGTTCTTGATCGTGGCACAGCAAGTCATCTCTGTTGATCTGGGAATTCGCCCTCCAATTTACGAGCCAATCAAAAGCGCAGTCTCTAATCGGGCCTTTTCTGCCGATGTCAAAGTATCAACTTTACGCCAACGACTTGCATCCGACGCCAACCCCACCCAATACTTCAACTTCCTATGCCCAAGGGGAGCCGCTTCGTGCCCCCAATATGATCCACTTCTACTCGGCTAGCCATGGTCGATGGGTGAGCGGGCTTGTTTCCCTTCGTGGAATCAGCTCTCATTGTGTTAAAAACCCCTTCAACTGGACTATAACGTTGGTGTTTGCTGTGCATAAAAGGTCCCAGGCGGGCATTATATCTCCGAGCAAATATCCCGTGGAAGCCGGGTTCGACTGCGGCGTTTGCATCGGATCGCTACTCTATGGCGCCGATAGCGTCGCTCAGTGCTTAACGAGCTAGGATGGGTGCAGACGCTATACAGTTGCGAGCTTCCACCGACCTCGTTGACGTCTCAACGGACAGAGCAAGTGAAAATCTGACAGGCGCATCTCGGACAATAATTCAGGGCATTCAAGCGAATGAACGGGCTGCCTCACTATCAACCTCTTACCCTGTACCTCAGCCTCCTTCTCCAACACCAATCTTCTCCAGATGGCGACCTCAATACCACCTACAAGCAAGCCATGGTTGGATGAACGACCCCTGCGCCCCGGGCTACGACTCATCAACAGGGCTATACCATCTGTTCTTCCAGTGGAACCCTCGTCGAAATGAATCTGGTTCGGTCGTATGGGGTTCGATCTGTTGGGGCCACGCTACCTCGACGGATATGGTGAATTGGAATTTATCTCAAACGCCGATTGTCGAACCTGGACTCAGTGCCGATGAGTGGTACGATGCAAAAGGATGCTTTACAGGTTGTTCGGTTCCCGCAAATTTGGACGGGCAGTCTGGTGCTGGACAATTGACGGTGTTATACACTGGTATAAGCCGACTACCGCTACACTACACTCTTCCCTACGTACGGCGAACGGAGACGCTCGCCGCTGCGCTATCTCTAGACGGTGGCCTAGGATGGACAAAGGTCACGAAGAACCCCATTCTACCGGAGCCGCCGCCGGACCTCGATGTCACAGGCTGGCGCGATCCGTTTGTTGCAACCTGGCCTTCAATGGCCAAGCTCCTCGGCGACGACAAAAATCAGTTATATGGCATGATTTCTGGAGGAATTAGGAACTGTTCGCCCACAGCATTTCTTTACAAAGTCAACCCATCAAACCTAACAGAGTGGAAGTACCTCAGTCCGCTGTTTGATGTCGGATTAAGCCATTCCCTATCTAGCTGGAGTGGCGATATGGGTATAAACTGGGAGTGCGCATGTTTCATGACCCTCCAGAACGAACAAGATGATGAGAGTAGGGATTTCGTCGTCGTTGGCTGCGAGGGCTCAAAAGCCAATACTGCGGATCATGAATTGTCCCTCTTCACACAGCATCCGCAAGAACCAACAAAACCTCCCCGTTCTGCAACGTCCCTGCAGTGGATGTGTGGAGCTCTCCAATCTACAGATGTCATGATCTCTGATACCGGCACACAGACAAAGCTTCCGAAAATGAATTACCAATTCGGAGGACGCTTCGACTTTGGTCTTCTCTATGCCGCCACAACCTTCCGTGACCCTCTCGGCGACAAACAAGTTGTTTGGGGCTGGATTACCGAGGAAGACTTACCCCAAGCTCTGGTTGATAAACAGGGTTGGAGTGGGATGGTATCCCTGCCCAGAGAAGTTACTCTTCTCACTCTGAAGGGCGTGACTGGTACCTTAAGGAGCAGATTGCAAAACATCACGTCGATAGAGGTTGAGCGAGAAGAGTCGACAGACAGGGAACAACAGACATTCAAAATCCGCACACTTGGCATCTCTCCCGCTCCATGCATCCAATCTCTCCGCAACAGCGCCAGGAAGGTTAGCCCTACGAGTCACTCACAGGGCCTCAACCCCGAAGGTGACACGTTCATGGACATCCAAACCCACCGTTTCGAATTCATCTCCACGTTATCCCTTTCCCGAGCGTGCAAGAGGATCGGGCTGAGCATATTTCACACCGCCGGCGCTCAACGAACCCAACAGAACAACATGGCCCCTCGACTAAGCTCGAACGCAGCAACGACGACAATCTCATTCATACCTAGCAAGGAGACCATCAGAATTGATCGACCCGTCACTGATTCCACACATATTATCGACGGTGAAAAGATCAACACCGCCCCCGAGATCGCTCCGTTCACTTTATTTACCCTCCTTCCTGCTGATGAGGACGACGTTCAGCATATCGCGGCCGAGGCAGGGACGAATACCCAGACAGGCATTGAGAATTTGCAAATTCACGTCTTCTTCGACGAGTCAGTGCTTGAAGTCTTTGTCAATTCGCGGTGCGTGATCACGACGAGGATTTATCCGCCTGGCAAGAGATGTTTCGGAGTGAGGTTCTGGGCAGAGGACGAGGTCGAGCACGAAGACGAGAATGAAGGCAAAGATGATGACAGGAAAGGCCATCATGAAGGGAAAGAGACCCAGAAAAGCTCCGCGGCGCAGCAATGGCAACAGCAAAGAGGAGAAAGAAGGATAAATCTCGAAGGCGAAGGGGTGAGGATTCAAAGAGAATCTAAGACGACACGGTCATCGAAATCTAGGCTCTTGCACGCGATGGCATGGGATGGCTTGCGCGCAGATCTCAGAGCCAGCCTTCTTGATTCCGCTTGACGTTCAACTTGGAGTAAGGTGGGAAAGTGGCCGGTTAGCCAATTAGTCTGATCCCATACAGCAGTCAACCTCGAAATAGATACAGATGCTGTGCCACGAAATTGGCTACATCCATGTCCATATCCATATCCATATCCATATCTATATCAATATCTTTTGATATCGATACTACGACCAAATGCGGAATACATCCGATTCCTCTTCTTTATCCGCGGACTTGACTGCATCTTCAAAAGGGAATATAGCACTCAAAAATGTCGCTTGATATTGGCTACCAGGCGCTAGATCCTTTAGCCTGCTGACTGGAGCACGTGCAGTCAGGTGACTTCCTGCCCGCTGTTGACCAGCTGAGGTGGACATAGAGCGGCATCACTCTCGTCCCAAACCATCACAACCTTGGCTGCGGGATCACGATTGGCGGCTTCGCCAGTGACCGCATCGCCAGCTGCAGCTGCAGCTCCGATTTGATCTCCAACCTCAGCTACGAAACTCTGCTGCGCTGTTCTTTCTGGAGAAAAGAGATCCCTCGTCCTTAGTTGCAGCTGTTGCTCGCCTGCGCCATCGTACCTCTCCGATTCGTCCATTGGCCCTGAGTGGCTGCTGAGGAAGCTCGTCCCTTTACTTAGCAAAAAGAGTTGCTTCTGTCTCTCACATTCACCCACCCTCTTCTGCTATCGTCTCCCAACCCCGCCAGGCCGCCAGAATGGCCGATCTAGATCATCGGATGGCTTCCATCAAGCCCAGGTTGAAGTACAACACAATTGGAGGTGTCAATGGGCCTCTGGTCATTCTAGACAATGTACGTTGAAGCTGCGGCGGCGGCTGGAAGCTCCGTGGGACTTATCGCTAACAAACCACCTTCCCAGGTCAAATTCCCCAGATACAACGAAATCGTCAGTCTAACACTACCTGATGGGTCGAGCAGATCTGGGCAAGTCCTCGAGGCAAGAGGTGTGTTTGCTACAATGTGCAGAATCTAGGCAAAGAGGCGTGGGAATTGACAAATGTCCGCGCAGGCAACAGAGCCATTGTGCAAGTGTTCGAAGGCACTTCTGGCATCGATGTGAAGAAGGTGAACAGTTTCTTGCTATCCTACACGGCCCCATGCTTATTCAATTGCAGACAAAAGTCGAGTTCACGGGTCACAGTCTGAAAATTGGCGTCTCAGAAGACATGCTTGGTCGCATCTTCGATGGGTCAGGAAGAGCTATCGACAAAGGCCCAAAGGTGCTGGCAGAGGACTATCTCGACATCAACGGGAGTCCCATCAACCCCTATTCCAGAGTAAGTCGGCTCTGTCTTGCCTGCTGCCTCGATTGCTGACCAGGGTAAAGGTTTACCCCGAGGAAATGATCTCGACAGGAATCTCCGCCATCGACTGCATGAATTCGGTCGCTCGAGGTCAAAAGATCCCCATCTTTTCCGCCGCCGGTCTGCCCCACAACGAAATCGCCGCCCAGATTTGTCGGCAAGCTGGTTTGGTCAAGCAACCCACGAAGGGGGTCCACGATGGCCACGAGGAAAACTTCAGCATTGTCTTCGCCGCCATGGGTGTCAACATGGAGACTTCCCGCTTCTTCACCCGAGATTTCGAGGAGAATGGTTCGATGGAACGAGTCACTCTGTTCTTGAACTTGGCCAACGACCCCACTATTGAACGTATCATCACGCCTCGCCTCGCCCTGACCACCGCAGAATACTACGCTTATCAACTGGAAAAGCACGTCCTGGTCATTCTCACCGATCTGTCCGCCTATTGCGATGCTCTTCGAGAAGTCTCGGCCGCGCGAGAAGAAGTCCCGGGTCGTCGTGGGTACCCTGGTTACATGTATACCGATTTGTCCACCATCTACGAGCGAGCAGGTCGTGTGGAAGGGAGAAACGGCTCCATCACGCAAATTCCCATCTTGACCATGCCTAATGATGACATCACTCACCCCATTCCCGACTTGACAGGTTACATTACAGAAGGCCAGATCTTCGTTGACCGTGGATTGCACAACAAGGGTGTCTACCCTCCAATCAACGTTCTGCCTTCTCTCTCGCGGCTCATGAAGTCTGCCATTGGTGAGGGTTTGACGAGGAAAGATCATGGTGACGTGTCAAACCAACTGTACGCCAAGTACGCCATCGGGCGTGACGCTGCGGCCATGAAAGCTGTCGTTGGTGAAGAAGCTCTCAGCGCAGAAGACAAGCTTTCGCTGGAATTCTTGGAGAAATTTGAGAGACAGTTCATCGCTCAGAGCCCGTATGACAAACGGTCTGTGTTTGACAGCTTGGATCTTGGTTGGAACTTGCTCCGTATTTTCCCCAAGGAGTTGCTCAATCGGATCAATCCCAAATTGTTGGATGAGTTCTACGCAAGAAAGGCACATGGGAAAAAGAGCACCAAGGACACGAGGGACAGTGAGGGCGGAAATAAGCAGGTCAATGGTGAGCCAAATTTGTTGGACGATTAGAGGGGGGGGGTCCGGGAGCGAGGGTGGAAGCCGTTGACCAGCGCGAGAACAACTTATGTTACCGACCAGATTCAGGGGAAAGGAGGGCGTATAGCGTGTAACTGCGTGTTGATCCGCGTCAGACGAGGAGCTTTACGCCACAGTCGCAGTAATTGTTTTGGGTGAAAGAGACGACGGCCCTGAACGCGATTAGTTGGAGTCCTGCGCATACTACCAGTCCATATAGAGCAGCTGTATCGGTAACGAGCGCAAGGTTGGTGATGGGTCCTCAAGACACTAGACACATGCTTCTCTGGAGACATGAAATGCTAGTCGCGGCTGTTTATGAGGGGATTTATGCATGCGCAGAAGATTCCTGTGTGTACGGGGACGATATACCCTCAGCCCAGTTTGTACTGTGTCTCTTCTTACAGTGGATCTATCCAATATCTATGAAGGTATGTACGTAGTATTCCATAGAGCAGCGGTCAAGGCAGGCCAGTAGAATTGGGTGATTAGGGTACAAGTATTACAAGTTATCTAGGTAGTTACGTACGTTCCTTTTTGTTTCCTGTGTGCAAGCTCCATCCCTTTATTGCCAGCAACGCCCAGCTAGAACATGTCTGGTAATGCTATATTCCACCACCTTACTCCGTACTCCGTATTGCATACACTCACTGAAAGTGCATTGACAAGATATGCGTGGGACTCCGCCAGTGCCCGTGCTTTTTCAGAACCAAAACGCAAATATAGAGCGGAAATCAGAGACGCTAAAACGCAACAGACGGGAGTTTTTCACAACCCCAGATGAGGTACGTGGAATCCACGACATGCGGCGGCGTTGACATCTAGAGCTCCCGCGTCTCCTGCACGGTGGACAGGTTCCGCTGCAACTGCTGCCGGCTCGGCGTGGCGTGCAGGAGACGCATTCTCTCCGCCGCCCCGACGGCGTTGGGGTCTTCGGACACGGTGCTGGACACGCCCATGCCGGAGTTGAGGCCCGCGGCGCCACCTGCTGCGGCGGCGGCGGAGATGCCGCTACCACCACCACTAGCGACACCACCGACTCCAGCGCCGACTCCAGCACCGACGCTGGAGGCGGCATTGGGGAGAGAGCCGGCGGCGTTGCCGAATCCACCGCCTGCGCCGATGCCGCCTGGCCCATTTATGCCCAGTGCGCTGTTAACGCTCCGGGCGCTTCCGTAGGCAGACCGCGGGGGGCCGAGGAGTGGTCGTCGCTCGTCGTTCGCGCCGGCAGCGGCAGCAGCTTGGGCCGCGGCGATAGCTCTCTCCCGGTGCAGGGCGCGGCCCTTGATGTCGACGTACATGACCAGGGTGACGCCCAGGACGAGCCCCGCGGTGGCGAGGCCAAGGTTGATGGGCTCCGGGTCGTCGTCGAAGACGTCGTGCAGCAGGGCCTGCAGGCCGGACTGGGTGAAGGTGAACAGGCCCGAGAGGCAGATGATGGCGCCGTAGACGGTGCCGAAGGTGGCGTAGCCGAAGATCTTGGCCGCGTAGTCGGACATGGCGCTGTAGTAGAGCGGGCGGAACAGCACGAACAGCGTGACGTTGGCGTAGGCGGCCCAGGCGGTGGGCACGGCGCCCAGCACGCCGATCAGCGTGCTCAGCAGCACCAGCAGGTTCAGCACCGCGACCGTCGACGTGTAGTCGAGCAGCGCGCCGATGAAGGGCACCGTCACGATGCCGCCCACGGGCAGGGCCAGGTCGAAGAACTCGATGACCCGCGTGGCGGCCTCGACCGAGCCCAGCATGTACGAGTACTGCGTGAAGATGGTGGCGATGAAGAAGTTGAACCGCGCCATCTGCAGCACCGTGAAGAGCGTGATCAGCACGAACCACGGCGTGCGGATCTGCCGGCTCGCGGGGAGGCCGTGCAGGATCCCCCACACCCCGCTGTTGACCCTGATCTGGTCCTCCTTCTTCTCGTGCCGGTTCTGCTCCGCCGGCGGGCCCAGCAGGTCGGTGATCGAGGCGATCGACTGCCGCCGCCGGTTCGCCCGCTCCGCCCGCACCTGCATGATCTCCATGGCCCCGTCGAGCTCGTCGTCGCTGTCGTGCACGTCCGTCGTCGGGTCCTGCGCCTTGTCCATCTTCTCGGCCAGCTCCCCGCGGGTCTGGTAGCTGTGCGAGGGCATGATGGTGATCTGGGAGATGAGGATGAACACCGGCACGAGCAGGTAGACCGTGAAGATCTGGCGTAGGGTGATGGCGCCGTGGGTGTGTTGGTAGAGGATGCGGAAGATCAGGAAGACGCTGGCCGAGGCGTCGAAGGCGCCTGTGACCAGCGCCAGGATGAGGCCCTGGAAGCGCGGGAACGCATTCGACAGGTGGAAGCTGGGCACGAAAGTGAACGTGCCCCCCAGCGCGAGCAGGAAACTCGCGACGATGTACGCGTCAAAGGGGAGATCCGAGGCAAAGGCCATGCAAATGCTGCCCAGGACGAGGAAGATGGAGGAGATGATCCCGCAGACGCGCGGGCCGTAGCGGTCGAGGATGCTCCCGACCAGCAGGGCAGAGATGTTTGTGGTGACGGAGGCGATGACAAAAGTGAGGTTTAACCTGGACACACAGCTCAGCTCTGTTCAGCTCGACGAGGTAGGACACAGGCAATGACAGGCGACGTAGTGGCAATGATCTCTCTGCTCGACTCACCTTTGGTCCTGCATATAGCACAACGGGACATTCTTTCTGAGCTCGTCTTCGGTACACAGATTTCTGTACGTGCCCTCGGCCACCAGGATGGTTTTGAGGGCGTCGAAGCCAAAGACAATGCCGGACGCCAGGACACACGAGACCACGCCGACAGATACCTGCGCTGCATGGCAGCAAGTGATGCCATCGTCAGCTCTTCCATTCAATCCCGACTGCCCTAAGTATGCATCTTCTCTGCCCCTTCACCTCCTTCGTTTGAATTGTGGGAACTTACCTATCCTCATCCCCCTCGACACCTCATACGCCGCAATGGGCTCCAACTTCTCGGGAGCTCCGGCAGCCTTGTCCCCGCCGCCCGGAGGGATGGGATCATAGCTGATGGACAGGGCGATGCTGGGCTGGCGCGAGAGCCGGGGGAAACTGAGCAGACTAGCGCGGTCGTCAAAGGCCACGTCGCCGGGCTCGGGCTCGTGGTCAATGCCTTCGACCGCGGAGACATGTTGGGCGAGGGACATTTGGTGGTTGTTCTGGATAGATCACAACAACACAATATAAACAACGCTACTACTGGCGATGATGAGTAGGAATTTCAAAGGGAGCTTGAGTTAATTGACAAGGGCTGACGGGCGGAGCAGAGCGATGAACCAACAAGGCCCTCGTATCAGGGGGGACCATTAACCCGTACCTCGTGTAGGAGTTTTTTTTTTTTCGGTTGGTGTGTTGGAACGGCTACTGGTGCAATGCAACTTTTGGTATACCGCGAAACTAAGCGAATGTTCCATCCCCGAGAACCGGCAATTTGCCCCGGAGCTGGAGTCCCAGCCAATAGGAATTGATGCGCCGAGGCCGGTCCAGTCAGGCTTCGGAGCCGCCACAACATTTCTCCGCGCAGCCTGAGAGCCTCGTTATGCCTGAGGTGTCAGGACAAGGCTGCATCCCAGGCATGCTGCCGTTTATTTTTTCAAGAAGGCTTGAGGAGCCTCAATGGCTAACAGCACCTATCCATCCAAGACAGCAAGAGACCATTCTTCTTCCTCATCCTCGAGATCCAGCTGCCGCATTTCCTCGAATTCTTGCTCCGCAGCGAAGACAGCAGCGTCCTGGGGTGACAGCTCGTCGGCATCCAGTTCGGATTCATCCACCTTGTCGTCGTCATAGTTCATGAATCCGGCGTCACCAGGGTCGTATGTCTTGGTCGTGATGTCCCCTTGGCCTTTCCATGCCCAGCCTTGTTTCTTGACCATGTGCAATCGGTAGGCGAGAATGGTGTCGCCCATGATCCTCCAGCTGTCTGCCCGGGTAGAGGTTTGCCGACTTTAGTCAATGTCTTTTCAGGACGTGGGATTACCTGCACGGTCCCAACAGGACCTGTTTACTTACCGACGTCTTCTCCCCCCGTTTCACCCTCCAGTCTCCCCCCAACGGTAGCGTCGGGCGTGATATGAGCTCCGCCACTCAGCCCTGCCTGGTGTGCGCTCGCCCGCCGATTCGAATATCTGAGGCCCTCTGTGATCTTCAATCCCGTGACAATGTACACCTACAGACGGTGGTTGGGTCAGCAAGGTCCCTCTCAGGAGTGGCGGCCACTGGCTTCTTCAGAAACAAGTGGCACAGTCTGACACAGAATAGTCGCCATCTTATATATAGCTGTAGTCTCTAAATAGTGACAGGGGTGGTCGCCAGATGAGATATAGCTGATATTGTCAAAAAGGACAGGGATATCACTGTGTTCAGGGGGGAGAGCAAATACCTCTATAACTGACGATGAGCGAATAAGTCGGGGTAACCACCATTGGCCGAGTTTTCTCGCCAGACTGCGTCACTTATTTCGGACATCGGCTCGCCCATCATCCGGATTGCTACGTGCACATACCGGACCGTGATTCAGAGCATTCTTGAACTCGTCGTCCTTGTCGCGAAACCGTTTCATGTCTGCCACCGTGGGATTCTTCTCCAGGTACCAGGACGAAACCTTGTCGAAGGTATAGACGGTCTTCAGGGAGGTGTTGGCCTTGGCCTCCGCCTGGGCCCCGAACAGGTCGTACATCTTCGCCGAGAGGCCCACCTTGACCGAGGCGTGGTGCTCGCTCCCTATTTTCCCCTTGCCGTACGCTGACCCGGCGACGACGTTGGGCAACGGGTTGAGAAACGTGATGGGATCTTGGGGCAGAGTCATGTCCGTAATCACGTTGCCGATCCTGATCGGCCCATTGAGCTGGAATTCGAGGTCCGGTGCTCGCAGGTAGAATTTTCTCTCCTGCGCGGATGCTGGCATTGTGGATGGAACAGGGCAGAAAGCGTCGATCATAAGAGCCCGCCGCGGTAGGCGGGTTGAGCAAGGGTTAGTATGAAGGGTCCGAAAAGGCTGAAATGAAGACTTGGGGCACTAATATGTGCTCCGTACGACTTTCCCTGCCAGAGCGGCCAATCCGCATCGCACGCACGTGCATGGTACGTGGGGGCGCATGGGAGGCAAGGCATCAGGTACAGTAAATTAAATCAAGCTGTATCTCTTCTGCACAAATGATAGAGTACGTACCAACAGCATTCGCATTACCCTTCGAGAGTGTTGGGTGTTTAGGATTCGAGTCCTTGTCTCCATTCACAGGATGTGGACTATCCAGCACATACACTTTTTATATACCCCGAACTGTGCTCGGTACTTCATCCTTTACTTGTTTGCCTTTAGGGAAGGGAGTAAGGCCGCTTTAAGCGAGGAAACCTGACCGAGTACTGGAGAGCAGTTGGGAGCCTGGGCCCTTATATTCGAGCTGGCTGCGCCCAGCTACAACGTTCTCAGACTTTCCACGTAACTCTTAAGCAGGCTTCGCCTGTTCGCGGCTCAACTCAGTTTGAGCTAGCCCAGTAGAGCGGTTATGAAAGATATATCTCCGTATTTTCAACTCCAGGCGATGAGCCTCAAAAGAGACTGGCGGTGGCTATTTATCACGGAGAAGTTCCCTCTAGAGAAGATAATGATAGTGTAGGGGCTAAGATGTTAATGAGGAATGAAGATATGCTGTGGCGGGCTTCAGAGGTAAAGTATAGTCTTATTCTTCGCAGCGACGTTGACTCTATATTGCCCTTGCCTGCCTTATTCCGTTATGGCCCCTTAATGAAGATAACCCTGATGGTCTGGCACCCTCCCTCCCTCCCTCGAGTCCATTCTCGCCTTCGAAAATTCCGCGGAATTTTCGGGACATGCCGTTTTAATGGATACCTATGGAAGGGAGCCAACTTTTTAGTAGACCTATATCCAGACTTTCAGGCGTCAATTGCCACCAGACGCCGAATCTCCTGACGACAGTCTCATGTGCCGCAGCCACACTATGGATGCCGGGAATCTTTCGGCCTGATCACCGAGTCTGAGGGCTCAACCTACCCGTCGGTACCATGTCACCGACCCTATCCGTAGACCAGGTCCCGGAGATTTCAATGAATGCCGTATCGTCCATCCCATCAAACGCGTCACTCGCCCACTGCCAGTGGTCCTGGCCACCGTGTGACTCGGACTTGTCACTACTCCACCAGGCAGGCGTCGCCTCGCCGTGGTCGAGAGGGATGGCCAGCGGCTGGTTCTCCCCGTCGATCCCCGCGGCGCCAGCACTCTCGCACCACTTCTCGACCCTGGCTTTCTTCATCCGCATTTGCTGCGCGGCGGCGTCCCACAGGTCGTTCTCCCACACCCCGCCGTGTGCCGCGGCCATCTCGTTCTTGGCAGACTCGAACCGACCAGCCATGGCCTCGGCGATGCCCAGGGCGTCCACGCGGAGCTGGGGCTGCGCAAAGACTTCACTCCGCAGCAAGTTGAGTATCGTCTGGGCATAGCAACTGGAGTCTGAGGCCGACGCGGGAGGTTGAGGGGCGACCAGCTCCGGGCACGGCGGGACGCCGATGAATGACGGCAAAGGCTGCAGCAGCGTGGTGGCTTCTTTCCGAGACAAGGAGGCGCCCGCGGTGCCAGTACTGGAGAATCTAACCGCGGCCGGCCCACACAGTCTCACCCACTCGACGAGGTTCCTGGAGGCGTAGATGAGCTGAGAGGAGGCCGGCTGGGGCAGGTAGAAGTAGGAGCAGACAGGCACCGTGAGCCAGTGGTTGAACCACGCCTTGAGCGCGGCCGTGAACCGTGAAAAGATATCGGGGGCCCACAAGCCCGAGTGGAAGAGCGAGGTAAAGGGCTGAGGCACGGCGTCGGCGAGGTGGGCATCAGCAAGAAGAGGCGCGAAGATGCGCAATGAAGCACTGTTATAATGGCAAGATAGTAGTGCTATAACCCGCATCTTGGATTAGCAATGCACCTGGGACTCGTCCGCGACGCAGAGGATGGAACTCACGGTGTGTCTTGAGATTAGGACGGAGGTCGTTCCGAAGCCTATCCAGCTCTGCCTGGAATGCGTCTAGATACTCCGCGGCCGCAGCTTTCGGAATTGCCGGCAGTTCATTGACGAGCTGATCCCCCGTGTGGAAATGGAAGATCTGCTCAGTGAGATGTTGCACACGAACCAGCTGTCCGGCGAGCTGGTCGGTCTCGTATTCAGCAGCGCTCTCAAGTTCCTGCAGACATTGGTCTAGGTACCGTGTATATCTCGCAGGTCCCAATTGCTTGACGACGAGCGCGGCGCTGAAGGGGCGAGGGCAGTTAATGGGATGTCCAATGAAATGCGGGACCCGGCTTACTTTGAAGCCATGTACCAGACGCCCAGAAGGGCTCTCCGTTCTTCATTCGTTCTCGGTCGCGGTTCCTCGGCGCGCGCGAGAGTCAGGCGATGGTGCTCCTCCCGAGCCTTCAAGTTGGGGCATGTGTTCAGATCCATGTCTCCCACCAGGCCGACTGCCAGCTGGGCGAGATTATTATAATGGGCATGACTCATACAGAAATAGTGGTAAAACCCCAGGAAGATTAAGATGCCCTGGAGAAGGTCCAAGGACCGCTCGGATCTCATCAGCATCACGTCGTGGATATGCTTGAGGACGGCGCGACTTTGTCCCCGCATGGAATGCAAATACCGGACCGAAGCCACCATGCCAATGACCTGCATGAGAAACGGTCGAGTTTCACGGAGTTGTTTTGCCGTCGTCCCGGTAGGAATCACAACAAACGGGAAATGTGACGCGAGCTGATTTGTGTAAATGGACAATAAAGTCTCGTCTGACTCCAAGGGCAGAAGATCGGCCTTGCTGACGGAAGCCTTACACGTGCACGAGATAGATGCACTGGAGCCGAAGTTGGACACTGCAGCGTGTAGCACCGGGTCGTCCTGACTTGGCCGGTCTTGAGCCCTGGATCCCGCAAGATTGCCTGGCTCGCCGCGTGTTGACATGCTGAGCGCAGTCGGGTTATCTCCCTCACCTGACGGATTTAGAGCCTCGATCAGACTATTAAGTCTCTGTTCCAGCTCGGCTGCTCTCCTGTCCACATAATCACCTGTCAGGCAGAGCCAAGAGAAGACGCAACAGAGCCAGGCGAGAGGTGGCCCGTGTACAACACCTCCATGGGGAGTTGACAGATAGTGAAGCCGTGGGAATCAAGACATCGGAGCCACGGACGAGTACAGGGGAGGTGAACGTACGAGCGTTTAGGCTCTCTCTTCTTCCGCGGTCCCTGAACTTGGTCGGAACAGTCTTGGTCGAGGCTGTGGCACCGGTCGCACTTCGTCCCTCGAACTTTGCTGGGGCGGATGCATCGTGTCTTCGCAGCTGCGCAAGGGGCACAGGCCTGCCCCCATTTGGCGCTACGGGCTATCCTTGGCCTTTCCATCCCGCGGAATTCGGTCTGCAAATTTGCTCAATATCTGCGTCTGTTGAGGAGCTGTAGATTGACTCGCTCTTAGGCACCGACAAAAGGCCCCGGAGCCGTCGAGATGGGATGGTGGAAAGCGTGTTAGATTGCCTGGAATTTTCTACAAATCCCTTGGGCGCAGTTGGGGGAACATGTTGGCGTCCGGAATTTAGTGAAAATCCCGGGCGAGCCTGGTCCCGTGACTTGTAGGTTCAGGTTTGTATAAAAGATCCGGTATAGCCCAGAAGAGCCTGAGCAAGACGAAGGGAGTCACAGTGGGTAAATCGGAATCGCCAGAGCACAATTTATATCTTCTGCCATCGGATACCACACAGTCGCCGAAATGGAGCCGTCTTCCCTCGATACCCTTTCCCCTCGCGAAGCCATCGTGGACGCCCTGTCCCGCGCCCTGGTCGGGTGCGACAACCATGACGCGGACCTCTTCAACTCCGCTTGGGCCGGAGAAGACGTTTCTTTTACCATTAACGGCGATGACAAGAGAGTCCTACCCAGCCTCACTGTCATCCGCACGCATGTCCTTGAAAGGGTTGGTCCTATGGATACCACGCACAGCATCAGCAACATCCGCGTGGTTCCCAAGGACGGCGCCGACACCGCTCTTCTCACGGCGACTTCCATGGCGCAGCACTGTCCGCCCGGGAGGGGCAAGGAACCCGACGGACCAAAGTTCATGGTCGGCGGCGAGTATTCCGCGGATGTCATTAAGGTTGATGGGATCTGGAAACTGAAAAACTGCGCACTGAAGATCGTCTGGACTCAGGGGGACCCTTCCGTCATGGAGGGCCGTAGTTGAGATGCGTGGGATGCGGGTCGATGTCAGGCACTGCGAGGAGTTGGAAGAAACAGGAATGCCTCCGGGCAGCGAATTCCCTTGATACTTGGCAGAAGCTACTATAACTACTAAATTTGGCTAGCGTCTCTTTCTTTGTGTCTTGAGTTCGTCTCCGATTGCTATTTCTGAACTAATAACCTACTTTTCTGGCGATGGTAGCAGGGGTGGGTGCATTCAGAAACGATCAGGAAGGGGCAGAAAAAGCAAGCACATGAGGCAAACGGCCAACGCATGAAAGAAGCCTTTTCTGATATCTGAACATTCTAGCGCCGCCGGTCCTAGGCCTTGATATGTTCTACTTCAGTGGAACCGTATCCCTTGTCCAGAGCAACATTTTGAATACCTGATTCGCCGGACCTCCCAATGGCCCGAGCAGCGCGAACCACACCAAAAGCCGTCGAACTCTCGAAGATCTCATCGATATCCTCCAGGGACTTTCCATTGGTCTCGGGGAAGAAGAAGTAGATGATGGGCAGGAAACTCGCGTTGAATACAGCATAGATGATCCAGTAGTGATTGGCGAGATTCGCTGTGCCTGGTGGGGTGATCTGACCAACGACAAATTGTCCTAGCCACTGCCCTGTGACCGAGATGGCCGAGATAGGGACTCGAAGTCGCAGTGGAGCGATTTCGCTGGCATAGAGAAAGGGAAGGCCCAGGTATCCAATGGCGTACGAGCAGGCATAGATGAACATGAACGTGAGGGCGACGGGGGCCAGATTGGAATGCCCACCCGTTCCAGCGAGAACAGCCATCGAGATGCACATCCCGCTCGCACCGATCATGAAGAGCACCCGCCTTCCAACCCGATCCACAAGGAACAAAGGGACGAACGCGGCCACGGTGAATGTTGTGACGAACCCAGCAGCGAGAAATTCGCCACGTTTGCCAGAAAAGCCCAGCTGAGCAAAGACACTGCCGGTGTAGAAGATCATGGCTGAACAGCCGTTCCACTGTGTAAAACTCTGTGCCAGCAATGCGATCAAGGCACGTTGAAGTGGACGTTCAGGGCTGTGCTTGAAGAATGATCCGAAACCACCGGTGGTCAGCTCGAGCTGGTGTTGAATGTGGTTGATTTCTGCTGCCACCTGGGGGTCGTCCAGGGGCCGGTCCATGATTGCCGCCACGACATTTCGCGCTTCGTCAAGTCGCCCTTTGTGCGCAAGCCAACGGGGCGACTCCGGCATGAAAAATACCCATGGCATCGCGAAGATGGCCAAGGCCACGGGCAAGACCATGGTCACCCTCCACTGAGCCGAACCGCTCAGGCCTGGAATGGTGCCAATGTAGATCCAGCTGGGCAATGCAATCCCCCCACTGATGAAAATACCTTCCATAATGACAAACATGCCTCGATGCCTGGTAGTGGCGCATTCTGTTTGCCAGATAGGAATACTCGCCGAGATGATTCCGATCGATGCCCCAACGAGGAGACGCCCGATGATGAATTGCGCAAGTGCAAAGGCAGAGGTCTCGATGGCAAGTGCTATCACCGATAAGACGAGACCCAGGAACACGGAGCGAAGTCTTCCCAGCTTGTTGCCGAACAAGATGCAGGAAAGGGCGCCAGCAACGGCCCCGAGATCATAGCAGGCTATGACGACGCCTACTTCCGGTCAGCATGGGCTGGAAAGCGGCTCAATATGCTGACGCACCCAGGATCAGAGCATTATACGACTTGGTAGAGCCTTCCGTGTTGACGGTGTCAAGTCGGGGGAATTGCTAGTAATCGGTAAGATTCCAACCCAGACATGCGCTTGGGCTTTGTTTACCTTGACGAAGGATTCGAGGTCTGTTGCGCTCCCAGTAGAGCCATTGTTCCAGCCAAACAGCATGAAACTTGGCAACACGACAAGGACAACCATGGCCGTCTTGAGCCTGAGGCCCCTCAAACCGAGATATTTTGCCATTTTCCGATGGAGTTGGAAAGCGAAAGTGATGTAGACTGAATGGTATGAGATGGTCGAAGGGGCGGCCGCAGGCCGATAGTTATGATCATTTCAGTCGGAGCCATGCATCGGATGCATCCCCATACACTCCGCAAAACATTCTCCAGAATAACAGGACCATGTGGGAGAAAACGCCGAGCGCAGAACCGTATCGCGTGACAGCAATGACCGAGGATGTGGGCTCGGGAGCTTGCAGTATAGAGATCCTATTCGAACCCCAGGCAGGGCTGGCTAACTCGTCCGCGCTGAGAAGCTTCCAGCTAACGTATTGTGTAAGCGAAGGTTGGCAAAGCTTGTGCTATCCTACCCGTTCCTCCTTAGTTCGTACTCTGACACGCCATCTTTTGCGATAGCGGATAGGGATGTTGAATGTTTGCGTAGGAAAGCCGGGTGGGGAAGCTCCGTGTGTCGGATAGAATCCCAGCTATCGACTTTTCGCCGAGCAGCGGGGAAGGAAGACGACTCCAGGTGGATTCAGGATGCAGTTACCAACGATCCAGATGAGCACTGCTTGAACCCGGCCAGGAGCACGACTTGTCATGCCGTCTCAAACCCCTGCTTGTCTGGCTTGTGAGCAAGTCTCGGCAAGTCTCTTCCTGTTGTTGGTAAAGCCGAGTGCTGACGAACGATAGGCGGAATGCATCTTCCTGCCGGCGAATGATTCCTGCGAGAATTGCAAGGCCCGCAAGCTTGACTGCTTGTATGTTTCGCATCTGGCCTGGTCTGGCGTCCACGGCGTGCTCACAAGCTTAGCTCGTTAGGAAGAAAGCGACGACGCACGGGCACCGGGAGACATGCTCTCTCTTACACCAAATCGCCATATTCCAACACCCTATATCCGCAAGGCAAAGACACCGTCATTAGTGACGAACATCCACGACCGCGTTCTCAACAGTCGTCTTCAATCGTCGAGCCATCATCGTCGACCAGTTGGCCAGGTCCAGCTCTTCCTCTCAGCAAATCCGATGATCCCAGTCCCAACAACGAGACGTTCATTGGCAGAGCGCACTATCTGGACCATGATACACCATTTGATGAGACACAGGCTCGCGATGCCCCGGTTCCCGAACGACGGCAGCCCTCTGAGTCAGAAAATGTTGTCCTACAGCTCTTCAGTGCTTTCGAGTTGCCGCCACGGGCAGTCTTCCGCAGTCTGCTCGATAGTTTTCTAACCTATTGTCAGCCTTGGACGCCAGTCCTCGGGCGTGGCGAGATGGACCACAGCGGCCAGCAAACTCCGTCATACCTCATCTGTCAATCGATGTTTTTGGCTGCGAGTCGAGTCTCGACGGCTCCAAGTACACATTCATTCGCCACAACCGATCAGTTCTACCAGCGAGCCAAGGCTCTTTTCTTCATGAACCACGAGCTTGACGCGTTGGCGGTAATAAAAGCCACTATCATGTTGCAGTGGTATACGCCTGTGGGGCCGGAGCAAGTTTCGTATGATGCAGGCGAATTTTGGCTCAGAGTCGGAGTTGCCATCGCTTTTCAGATAGGTCTTCACCGCGAGCCGCCACCCGGACCTACGGCTGCTGCGAGGAGAAGAATCTGGTGGACTCTAAGGGTTAGTCCACCACTTGCCAGGTTTCGCTCCCGCTGATTCAAGTGACAGACGCGAGACGCACTGATGACAGTAGCCCATGGTCGGCCCCGGGCGATCAACCCAGATGACACCGATGTGACCCCTATACGACCGGACGATCTTGTCGATGCCGCCGGTAGAGGCGACGGACAATTATTTGCCGCCTACACGAATATTTGCTGCATCCTTGGGGATATCTCAGAGACCTGTTCACGAAACACCATGACGCTGGCAAAGCATCAAAACTTCGAGACCCTTTTGCATGAATGGCCTTCCCAAGTCCCTGAACACCTCCGATTCCCCAAATGTGGCGTGAGCACAGAGATATACATGTCATTGCAGTCTCAGCTTAATCTTCGCCAACTTCACCTCCCGTACCTGATCAGCCTGGCCATCATTGGTCGTTCCCTTAAAAATCAAACAATCTCAGCTCAACCCGTTATCGCAGCATCTTTCGTGGCAGGCATCTTCAGGGACTTCCTTGCGCGGGACGAGATCAAACATCTCGCACCAGTCTTCTCACGATACTGCATCGCTTCTGGGTTTTTCCTGGCCCTGTTGCAGCCTCTCACCGAGGTCTGGGCCGCTTGTCAACCCGACATGGACGTTTTCCGCAAATCTCTCGAGGAACTGGGTCAAAGATGGAAGTCCGCCAAATCAGGGCTGAGGGCTCTTGAACATTTCATTTCCTTGCGCGAGAAACAACCGCGGCGAGCTTTGCAGAAGGTCGTGTGGCTTACCGACCACCAAAGAAGATTCTTCGACTGTTTCCCGCGGGACTATTGTCTAAGCTGGGCCAGCCTTTACGAACACTGTAGACTCAATCCTCCAGCTCCGGATCATCTTGACGGGAATGCCACGACGGACGCGAATATTCCTCTGGTTGACACATCTGTCATTGACAGAGTAACCGAAGATCAATGGGGATTCAATGACGCGGATTTCGAACAGTTCATGTGGACCAACACTGAAGATTGGTTTTCCCATATCTAAAATGGCTGCCGAGTAAATACCAAATGCACATTTTCGTCTTTTCTTTGCACGTACGTCTCTTCTCGCTACATTCGTGCCTGTAACCGGCCCCCTTCTTGAGACCTCCGCCACACCTGTACGCCCGGCAGCCGCTGGTATCCCGGTGAAGGGATGAGTTCTGGTCCCAGAACCTTCTTCTGCAATTTGCCGGTCACGCCCTTCGGCAGTTCACCCTCGACCACACGCAGAATGGTCGGGAGCTTGTAGTTCGCCAGCGACTTTCGAAGGTCGGCACGGAGCTGCTGCAGCGTCAGGTTGGCGGCCTGGGGCTTGACAGCAATGACCGCACCGACGCGTTGGCCCAGTTCTTCGTCCCGGACGCCGACGACCATGGCCTCCCTGACGTAAGGCAGATTCAAGCACTCTCTTTCGATGTCTATGGCCGAGATCTTGTAGCCGCCCGACTTGATGATATCGACCGAGGCGCGGCCCACGATGGTGTAGAAGTCACCGTCGCGCCGGGCGATGTCGCCGGTCTTGAACCATCCGTCCTCGTCGTGCGCGAGCCTGGTGGCCTCGGGATCATAGAGATATCTGCACCTTTTTGTCAGCCGAGCACTACCCCAAGGGGGCCGATGGCTTCAAGGACGTGTAATTACTTTGCGAACATGTAGGGCGACTTGACGAGCAGTTCCCCTTCGTTACTCTCGGACAGCTTCAGCTCCACGCCCGGCACGGGCAGGCCGACGCACCCCTTCGGCAGCGCCTGGTGGTCCGCATCGAGCGGCACCTTCAGACAGCCGGGGAATTCGGTCGCGCCGTAGCGCGTGAGGATCGGCGTGCCGGCCCTCAGCTCGGTCCAGAATCGTTGCACGTGGTCCTGCAGCGCGCTCGACCCGCACAGCAGCACCCGGAACCGGTTCGCCGCCGCGACGTACCGGGCCACCTCCTCGGGGGCCAGCTTGGCGATGCGGCGCTCGAAATCCCACTTCAGCCGCATGAAGATGGTCGGCACGGCGGAGAAGACGGTCAGCCCGCCCTGCGCGAACCGGTCCCACACCCACGCCGCGTCGAAGCCGCCGCCGCCCCCGCGGAACTCGATGCACGCGCCGGCGCACAGGAAGGGGAAGAAGGACGTGCCCAGCCCCGTGGTGTGGTGGACGGGCAACAGGTGCAGGAGCACGTCGCGATGGTCGACGTCGTAGCCCTCGCCGATGGAGGTCGCCGTCTCGTGGGTGTACGTCCGGCGGTGGACGACGGCCTTCGGACGGCCCGTGGTGCCCGACGTGAAAATGACGATTCCCGGGGCGCGGTCGTCCTGGGGGGGATCCGAAGACATGGCCATGTCTAATGCCCGGAATCTCGGGGACTCGGGCAGGTTGGACAGGATGTCGATGGTGAGGACGTTACCGGCTTGTTGGGCTGCACGCTGGGCCGTGTCCGTCGTGGCAGAGCTCGCGAGCACGGCGACCTGCTGCGACTTGGTGATGAAGTAGACGAGCTCGTTGACGGGGGCGGTCGGGACTAGAACCGTCAGCAGAAGGGTAGTGCCGACGGGCTCGGCTCGCTCGCTCGCTGGTTGCTCGCCTGCTTGCTCACTTACACATCGGCACGGCCGCGGCGCCCAGCGCCAGAACCGCGAGGATCGCCACGGTGAACTCGAGGCCGCCGGCGGCCAGGACTCCGATGTAGACCTCGTCGCCGCGGCGGAGCCTCGCGCGGGTGTCGGGCGACAAAGACGCCTCAACGACCTTGCGGAAGGCCAGCACCGCGTCGAGCAACTCCCCATAGGTCTTCTCAACGCCCAGACCCCGGTCCCGCAGAGCCACTCGGCCGCGTCGGGCGTGCCGTATCAATTTGCCAAAGAGCGGACTGTTGGGCAGAACGTGGTCGCCGCAATGCTGCGGCACACACTGCGAGCGGTCGATGTTCGCTGCTTCAGCCATGTCGGATTCGTGCAATACTTTGACCAGAGCAGCTGCAGATGTTGAAATGATAGTTTTTGAGTCCGGTGTTGTGAATGTTCAAGCAGAGAGGTCTGTGGGACAAGTCTTGACACCTCGACTTTTGTCCACCGAGGAGGCACAATGTACAGTACAGCCTAGTGCAAAGCAAACAAGGCCATGTTTCCGTATAGGCATTGCATTCGTAGATCGATCTCACCCGTGACGAAACGTTCGGCGTTTTCTGTTAGCCGGAACCGAGTATTGCTGTGGAGGCGAACTGTTTGGAAGTTCGGTGCTTCGGTGCTTCGGCAATTTGTGGGGCCAATCGAGCTGGGGCCCCGGGCACTCTTCTCCATCTACGCAGGACTCCCACCTCGTACCCCTCCCCAGATCTCCGACGCGCACGGATTATCTATACTCCGCCCTCCATCACATCGCGAGGGCGACGATATACGGTCGAAGACTCGTTAGGCACGCTGGGGCGCATGGGAATTTGCACGTCCGCTCACCATGGCCAGCAACATGACCCGGGACGACAAAGTGACACTGGAGTATCGCAACACTTTGGCCGTCATCACTCTCGACAACCCGGGGAAGTTGAATGCCTTGACGAAAGACCTGTACTACCAGCTGGCGACTTTTCTCTACGAGGTCGCGGCCCGAGATGAAATCCTGGTCACCTTGCTGATCGGGCGAGGGCGGTTCTTCTCTGCGTAAGTGGGAAATAGTTACTTCGATCATCACTTTATTACCGATGGGTCTGCGCTCGGATCCTGGGTCCAAAACTCAAGAGACTGACCAGCGACCCTGTAGAGGCGCCGATGTATCCGTGTCACGCACGCAACCACCAGGCACGGATCTGTATCGACATTTCTTGACCTACACGGTGGCCGCGAATCTCAACCTAGCAAGGGCCTTCTACATGCACCCCAAGATCCTGGTGACGGCGCTCAACGGGCCGGTCATCGGCATGTCCGCCGCGATGATCGCCTACTCCGACTTCATCTACGCGACACCGCACACGTATCTGCAGACGCCGTTCGCCAGCCTGGGCCTGGTGGCTGAGGGAGGCGCGAGTGCGGCGTTCGTGGAGCGCATGGGGATCGGCAAGGCCAACAAGGCCTTGATCCAGGGCCGCAGACTCGGCGCGGACGAGCTGCTGAGCTGCGGCTTCGTCGACCGCGTCTTCGAGACGGACGGCGGCGACGACGGGGCGTTCGAGCGGGCCGTGCTCGACGAGATCACGGACGGGTTCGGCGACCATCTCAACGGGGAGAGCATGCTGCGGATCAAAGCGTTGATCAGAGGCAGGCAAAGGCACGATCTACACGCGCGGAATGTGGAGGAGGTGTTCGAGGGGATGGCACGAAGCGTCGCCGGGATCCCGCAGAAACAGTTTGAGAAAGTCAGACTCAGAAACCTCCAGAAGTCGAAAGGGAAGAGTAAGCTTTGACCAGAAATAAAAGTCAGCGCGTAACAAGAGATTGTTTTCCGTCTCATTGCATTCGTATTCAGCCATCGTGAAGGATCCAGTCTTCAAACTGGTGATAGGCGAATTCATGGCTCGACAGTAAGCAATCTGGAAAGCAATCAGCGCGCTGTGACTGGGAGACGGTCGCGTTCTCAGCCCTCGCTTCTCCACCTGCCAGTGAATTGAGCGTCCGTTCTGCACCCATGGACCTCGAGTCGTCAACGAGCTCTGCAATGTGGCTCCACAGCTGGCAACCCGCCGGTGACATGGTCTCAAGGAGTTTGAGACACAGTGCCTGGTCGGATACACGCGGCAGATCAGCAGGACGATGCTGCCGTGTTGTTTTCAGGGATTCAACTGCATTGTCCAAAGCCTTTGCCGCGTCAGCCATCTCGGAATCGTGTCTCGCAAGACTCAGCAACGCCTCTCGTAATGTCTGCAGATCTGGCTGAGCGGCTTGCCACAGCTTGGGGTAGGCCCAGAGTCGGAGGAGCGCCATGCTTGCTGAGTATGCGTAGATGGTGAACACCGGTCCGAGATATTGGATCTCGTCGTGTTCCAGAATGCTCTTAAAGATCCCGGCACTCAGCGAAGCAGCGATCGAAGCGGTCGCTGAAATCCGTAGGTTCGATGCAGAGGAGCACTTCAGAGTTGATGGAGTGCGCTGGCTCTTAGAAAACAGCACTAGAGCCGTCAAATAAGGCAGCTTCAACTGGCGAAAGACCAGGCTCTGATCTGTTGCCTGAGAGATGTCCCGGTCGGCATCGACGCTTTCGTACTGACACAGCCGAAGGCGCCAGAGATGAAGGCTGTTCTCGAGACTGGATCTATGCACGTTGCTCATAAATCCGCGCCGGTAGCACTCGACCAGATCGCCCAGGACCTTGCAGATGTCCATGTACAAGCTGAAGGCAGCCGGATCGGCTTGGCTGTCGACGAAATCAACGTCGTCTAGTGCTCGGACATCAGAGTCCATGAGATTGACAGCTCGAGGTCTGGCGTATAACAAAGACATCAAGGAATCTTGTGCAACAATGGTCCACCACAGTCGGCGACGTATGCCACTTTTCGAACCGGGAGGAGGATCCCTGTGCAGCTTGATTCTGTATGCCATGGTGACGGCCACGTGAAGCCAAAGCTCGCTGCTGTCAAACGTAACGTGTCCTGGACCTTGCCAATCGTGCGACATTAGCATCAACGCCGCCTTGACGGCGACAAACGGATCGGTCTCGCCGCACGACCAGAAGAGTGCTCTGGCTCGTTGGTAAAATTGGCTGGGTGCGGTCGAAGATGGGTCGATGCAACTCGCCGCAAACCAAAGCGCTTGTGCGAGAAGCATCGACGCTGACTGCTGCTCGATGCGCGCGAGATTTGCAAGGTCAGCGTGCTCCACGATTGGCAACCATGGATTGCAGTATTCGAGGAAGCCGTTGGTTAGATCCTGTCGTACACTTCTTGGCGGCACCTCGAAACCATAGCTTGGGACCTGTGATTCTGTTGCCAAAGGGTTGAAAGGTTGGTCCAGTTCACCATTTGAGGTCACATGTCGAGCGGGAAGAGGAGCAGTCCAGCTAAAGAACGCTTCTGGTCCGGATTGAGTCCATCGTGGCGGAGTGGCAGTCTGCAGTCCCGAGCGCTGATTCAGGGGTTCGTCAGCAACAGCAGTGTAGGCGATTGGTGTATGCGTTGTCGACTGGTCGACAAGTATTCGAACACTGTGCGAGAAATTGGACGGTTGGGGCGCAGCTGCGCGCTCGATCCTCGAGACGTCAGCTGGGCTTGGAGGGGATCTCGACGTTCTGCGATGATTTTGAGCTGTCGAGGCAACAGTACTGCATTTCCGCTTCTTGCGCGAACGTGGTCTGGCTGTGCGTTAGCCATGGGCCGGCATCGAGCACGGGACGACGCCTACATGCATTCAATGTTCGCATTCCGACATGCCCTGCAACTGGGACCATCCCCATCGATCACGCATCGAACCTACCGGAGACCTCTTTGAGCTTAGACCACATTGACTGAGCAGGATACACACCTTCCTGTTGTGGCACGTGACACATGCATATGCACTCTTTGGCAAGATATCAGGGACCATGGCGGTCGAAATGCTTCGATGGTCTTGACGGCCCGGCTGTGCGTGTGAAGAAAGTCATGGTTCAGCGGGAAGAGGACCGGTTGCTGGGTGTCTGGGCGGTCATCCGTGGCCCGAGGGGTATCGCTTGCACGGTTGAACCCCGGCCTTGTCGAGTTGCCCCATGGCCGCGGGACTACTGCTTGACCTTGGGCTGGTGGCTGTCTGTTGGGAGCCGTAGAGTAGACCGAGCTAATCAACTGGAACCCCCGTTTTGCTTCGCCGTACAACTCGGGTTTGAGCACGCCGCATCTGTCACGCCAATGATAATGCTCTGAAGTCCATATATCGCATTCCTCTTTTGTAACTCGGCACGCGAACTGAAAGCTCCATCTATATGTATGGCGTTGGACGAGGTATGGAGTACTGTATTCGCTTCTCTGCTCAGAAGGACCCTTAGCGTAGTGGTGCAATTTACCATGGATGATAATGTCGTAGCCAGGTTTCAAGAACACTTGTGCTATACCCCCAATCCCTTACAGTGGCGACTCTTAAAACGTCCATGGTGGGCGCTTTGGCGACCTGAATGGGCCCTGGTTGCCAAAAGGGCCTCCCTAAGGGCTCGACGCCGACCCTGGGCCCGAATTGGCTTATGGTGATTGGCATCAGGGCGGCGCATGTGCCAAAGTCATTCGAATCGTTACCTCCTCCTTTGAGTGGTTGTCGAGCGATATAAAGCGCTTTCGCGCCTCCGGCTCCGTCGAGAGCTTATACAGTAGGTTTTGGAACCCTTCATACATCCGAATGTTGTCCCACCGCCCCTCGTTGTCGTGGATGTTGATGTAGCCAATGATGATCGCAGCAAACCCGGCCGCGATGGCCGTCGCCACCGACGTCCCGCTTCGGTGGCTGTAATGTGGTTTCGGCCTCCCTCGGTTCGAAGCTGGGACCTCGAGGCCCAGCGTGCCAAACACCTTTTCTCCACGTTTGGGAAGAGAAGGGTTGAATTCTTCGTGCTCCCCCCTGGTATTTGTTCCCCGGATGGAAAAAATCGTGGGGTGTTTGGCCGGGAACAGCTCGCGCTTGCTCCCGCCCCGGTTGGACGCCGCGGCGAAAATCAGGAGATTCTGGTTGCGGTGCGAGAGTGCGTGGGAAATGGCATTACTGATGACCCGATGTCGGTCGACTTGTTGCTCCTGTTCCCAGCCGAGAGACAGAGACACGATATCCGCTTCTTGCTCCTCAACAGCCCAGAGGATGGCCTGTGACAGTCGCATCAGCGATGAGGTTACAGGGTATGAGATTGCCACTGATGCAGTATTACCTTTGCCAGGTTATCGCTTGTCTTTTCTGGATCCCTTCTCATGTCTTCGTCTTTACCTGCGATGCGTGCCACACACACATCTGCAAAGGGTGCCATGCGGTGAAGGAGCGAAAGCATCGATGTCCCGTGCCCGTCGTTGTCTTGGGGCTCGACCTCGCATTCCCAAAAGTCTTTCCAGTTGTACTTCATCTCCGCTGTGGGAACCATGTTCAGTCGCAGCATCAGCTTCCGATCCACAAAGCGCGCCTGGCCGTCAAAGCCAGTGTCTATGATAGCGATCTTTGGCCTTTTGAATTTTGTGATCTGAGAAGAGATGTGGTTATGCAACCAGGAGTGGGTAATATTGTTGAGCCAATCCCACGCCAAATCACTACAACGGCTGTTAGCCAGAAAATTCGAGACCGGAGATTTGACATATCGAACCTGGGGTTTTTGGAGGCCTTGTTGGCCACATCTTCAGCCTGTAATACAGGGAGCCTGTGGGACAGTGTCACCCGTGGTGGCTGAAATTCTTTCGTGTCTGGATTCGACATGTCTTGGAACAGCTCGAACAAAGGGCGGACAACATAGTCTCTCAGTGCCGCTCGTCTCCCGGCTGCATCAAGCTGCACATCGAACAGGGCTTTGGGGATTTCTGATGGCGTCGGGAGGCATTCTTCAACGATGTGACGGTATCTCAGTTTATGTTTGGCCGGAATCTCGATTGTAGGCCATACATTATCTTCAGAGATTTTTGTGCAGCAGGATACGCAGATGTCGTTGTTCTCGGCCCCAGTCGAATTTGTTGTCATCTCAGCGAATATTGTTGTTTCAGGAGTAATCGAGCCCAGTTGGACTAAGAGAAGGCCCAGATTGAGGATGTAAGGATAGCGGTGTAGCTGAGGTATCCCCTCTGATGTATTCTGCGACTCGAGCTTGCGTTTCATCAAGCCGTCAGATGTAGTCGACTTGATCTTGAGAAACGGTGTCTCGGATTCGGGGTTGCTTGTTTGCAGGAGTTGTATTGTTTCGACGCTCCATTCCACATTCATCCAATCTGAATCATAGTACTGCCAGAATGCTTTCGATATGATGAATGCAAGAAAAATCTTGTGTCTGGCCGACAATTTGCCTTCCTTTAGCGCCGTGAAAAGGAATAACGGTCTTCCTTTCTCCGGGAAGATAGTTGAGAAGACCTCTTCCACACCATGGCAAAAGTGTTGGGTTGCACCGGTCTTAGTGATGTAAATGCGGAAGCACGTTATGTTCCATCCTAAGATTGTACAAAAGTCGTTCAGCACTCCCAATGAGTCTTGACGTTTTGATGTCTCGTTCTCGATGTCAGGGGGGCCGGGAGGGAGATCTTCTCGGGTTCTCTCTTTAGTCCTCCTGCAGCATATTTAGTTGTAGACTGCAGACTCTTTATGTACATCGACTAACCTGGGTAGCTGAAACTGTATAGGTGTCCACCGGTAACTCTCGTCATTCTTGCGAGCAATGACCGAGTCAAAGAAAAAATAGTTGTCGTCTCCCGGAACGTGCGGATTCCCTTCCAGACGCAACGCGCAAAGATACGCCTCTGACAGGCAGACGGGTCTGTCGTTCCTTGCACATGTGCAAGGTAAATAGGCAGTTTTGTAGAAGGTGTCGTGTAACGCTGTAGTGACTGGCTTGGAGTATTCTTCCAGATCGAATCTCTTTGCCCAACGGCGTTTTGAGAGATCTTCGAGCGGTTGCGAGACATGCTGAGACGACGTGTTGTGGAGAGAAAGATAGTCTGCAATGTTTTGGATCGCTGTTTGACTCGATGGACATGCTGGATCTGAAGTCATTTGTCGTGAGAAATTCCGCAGACCTTGAGCTTCGTTGTGGGATGTCCCCTCCCAACCCTAAACTTAGGATATCAGCCTCCGCGAAGATTTTGTCTAGATCTCAGATCAATACTGACCAGAGTTTCAGCGGCCACATGTTTCATCTCAGATATAGCCTCTGACTTGCTCCTCAACTGTTGCAGCCTTGATGAATGTGCTCAAGTTAAAAAAGATTTGTGCTGTTCCCTATGAGGAGGAAAGCCTTGCGCAAACCGCCAGGCTGAGGAATGCATTGCTGCCCTACCTCGGCGATTTCACCTGCGGTAGTGGCTATAAGCTCATCGTATTCCCCGTCGATATCGACCCACTCCCCTTCAGAAGAATCATCGCTCATGGCTGATGTCAAGCTGATGGGATGCGACGAGCATGGCGGGTGTATATATATATAAGACAAAGGCCAGGACGATGATGAGGCTCTAGTGCCCCGCATGTGCGGCTAGTGAGGCTAGTGGGCCCCGCACTTACGGCCCCCACGAGGCGGACCTGAACTTTGAGATGTTCAAGCCGGCAGCCGTCGGCTTGGAATCACGATCTCAAGCCCAACGGAGGGTTCACCACAGGATGACAGAAAGGATTCCTAGGAGAGCAACAAAGGATATCACAGGCGGCCCGTTCCCGATACGTGCGGCTACCCAAGCATGTCGACAAAGACTCCAAGAATGCGCAAGTCAAGCATCCCTCCAGAACGGTCACTGGGCGGAGAATCGCTCCAGCGACTTCAACCTCTGGGATTCCGGAATTGGCGCCTCTGCCAACGAGCTGAACAGTCTCGATAGGCGCCTAGATCGAGACATATCTGCCCAAAAGGTGGTTGTTGGCGCTCTCAGCACTCTTGCTGCATGGGCGACAAAGTGTAGGGAGCTGGCAGAAGAGGTCGAACGACAACCCGCTGGACCACTGGACCATCAAAATGGGAGCAAGTCCTTGTCTCCAGACGAACAAAGCATAGAAATACGCGATGGCATAACATTGGATGAAGCAAAGAATACCGTGGAAAAGTTGCTCGAGATTCTTGTTAACCTGGAGATTGTGATAAGAAGAGCCGGGACGGCTTCTCGCGTGAGAAGGGCGGACCGAACCTTCCACAAGCGAAAGCATCACTACACGGAGCTTTCTACACATCTTGAATTCATTCTGCGAGTCTCTGAGGCTCCCCGACGGGAGCATGCCTTGATGACCCAGAGCCCTGCGCCAGTTGAAGCCGACGAGATTGATGTCACCTCCACTGTTGAACAATTAGAGGGAGAGAAAGCCCCTCTGCGTCCTGAACAGCAAATACTCCTCCTCGCCAATATCAAACGCACTGACCGATTCCTGTTCTACAAAGGTCGGCAAGAGCAATTGCGATCCGAACAAGTGCAAAAGCCTTCCTATCCTCAGGCTGAACGTGTTCAGGTCAGATCGTCATCGTCACCCGCCCGGCCGTCGAATCCCCCAACTAGAAGCGAGAAGCAACTCGAGAACTCATTAGAAACTTTCACGGACGAACAAGCGATGCCAGATCGATCCCAGCATTCTACCGGCACCACTAACCAGGCATCAGATTACGTAGCCACAAAATCCCTGGAGAAAGACATGCGGTTGACATCTCCCGGTGTCGCCGCAACGAAAATCGCCATTCGTGCCGATTACCCTAAACCTCCGAAAGATAAGACCAAATGCCCTTACTGTTTGATACCTTTGAGAGGCGAAGCTGACGATCTCAGTCAGTGGAGGTAGGTCCCTTGTACCATATTATAGACAAACAGTTCAGCTGATGATGCAGGAAACATCTCTCCGAAGACCTTCAGCCCTATACATGCTACGTACCGAATTGTCCCCAGAACCATCCTTTCTTCAATACATTTGGCGCGTGGAAAATGCATGTTCTCTCAAAGGACCACCAGCAGCCCGTTGGATGGACCTGCCTATTTTGTCCCTTTTCCTCAAATCCCGGCGAAGATCGCACCTTCCTCGACCACGTCCAGAGTAGTCATTCCGACGCCGTGACAAAGGAATCCTTGACAGGTTTTGTCCATATGTGTCGTCGGAATGCGACGCCGACACTGGATAGATGTCCCGTATGCTCCATATGCGACAAGGATTGGCAGTTGCAAAAGGACAGAGATGTGCAGTTTGAGCCTCAGACAAAGTCCTTTTTGGAACATCTCGGGCAATGCATTCACGGCTTTGCTTTGAGAAGCTTGCCTGAGACCGAACCGGGTAAGCCTGAAGACGAATCTGGCCAGAATCAGACCGACGTTTCAGCAATCGAGGACCGATCGTGGCCGTCGGGCTATCTGCATGTTTCACATCACACAGATGCCGGTCTTGCAGATTCAGATCTTCTGGAAATGGTTCCAGCGCTCAGACGCCATGACCTGGTTGATAACTCTACGAGAACTCAAGCCTGGGTTGTTGACAATGCCAACAGAATTCAGTCGAGCAACACGAGTGACCCATATTCTGCAGATGTCCCTTCACTCAGCAACCAGGATAACTATGCAGAGACGAAGAACCTACATCGAGACGCATTGCAGTTTCCTGAGGCGTTGCCGGACGAAAGTCATTCCTTAAGGCTGAATGGGCCTTTCTTACCCCACGACTACAGGCTGGCTTGTATTTGTTCCACGGAATTGGAACTAGCCCCGATCCGAGCGTTACTCGACGAGATCCACTTGAAGCTACCCAGGCCGCGCGACCGAAACAGCTATATCTTGGGGAGAATAGGAAGACATAGCGTCGTAATCGCCCTACTCCCTGAAACTGAAAATAACGACGCGGCTGTGGCGATGATGCAACTCATCAAGGATTTCCCATCGGTCCGATTTGGTCTGTCAGTTGGAATTGACGCTGGTGTGCCGAATCTCCCCAATGTCGATGTTCGACTGGGCGACGTTGTGGTCAGCATGCCGTCCAAGACACCGGGAAGCGTGATACATTATGACCTAGGAACGAAGACAGTATGGATTCCAGGGGACGGGTAGACTAGACGAGCCCCCGCTGCTTTTGCGCGCTGCAGTGTTCCACCTGATGGCTGACCACCAACAGAAAGACAGTAAAGTGCCCGTCTACCTATTGCAAATGCTGAAAAAATATCCCAAATTAAAGGATAAATACATACATCCTGGTGCGGAAAGTGACCAGTTGTTCGAGTCATCCTATGATCACCACGGAGGCGAGGACTGTCTCGACTGCGACTCTTCACGCGCTGTGAAGCGGTCTGCACGACCCAGCACCGATCCGGTCGTTCACTACGGTACCATCGCTTCGGTAAACCGCGTGCTCAAAAACGCGGTCGAACGGGATATGTTAGAGATGACCAATCCGAGCATTGTTTGTGTTGAGACGGAGGTCGCTGGATTGATGGACTCCTTTCCCTGCTTGGCCATTCGAGGCATTTGTGATTATGCAGACTCACACAAGAACAAGAGGTGGATGCCGTATGCCGCAGCCACCGCGGCCGCCTACATGAAAGAGCTGCTATATATGTTATCGCCTCGAGAAGTAAGCAGCACAAGTCCTGCTCTGGAGGGGACGGAAGTTTCTCGTAAGTTAACTACCGTTCGATACGTGGAGATGTTGGAAGTCGGGATGAAAATCAAGAAACAGTACAGCAATGTGAACATGTTCATGATGATGAGCTGCTTTCATCCTTGTATCCTCCATGGGGTTCCTGTCTTGTCGCTTATCCAACAATCCATGACTAACAGGCATCTAGAACATCCCTCAGCATCCTATCCTGTCCATTGGACCATTACTCGTCCAGCCAGCACGTTATTTACTGGTTGAGAAGAGATTCTGGCCGAGCTCGAAGTCATTGTCCGCGAGGCTGTAGAGGATCTCTCGCCTTCCCGGCAATGTAGAATTGTGATCTCCGGTATAGATGGCCAGGGTAAAAGCGAGATATGCCTGCAGCTCGCCCGCTGCACTCGTCAATTGTGAGTCCAACGTCTCGTGCTCCTTGAAATCTTGGTCACTAAGTCCCATAGATTCTGGGGCGTATTCTGGGTCGATGTCAGAACCACTGCTTTGGCGGAAAACGGTTTCTTAAGTATTGCGAGCCGACTTGACATCACAGTGAAGACTTGGAGAGATACCCCTCGCGGCCTTGCCGGTTTGAACGAGCCATGGTTATTGGTGATGGCCAACGCCGATGATCCTGATGTCGATTACGAACAATACTTTCCCTCGGGCCCACTCGGTGTGGTGTTACTAACGTCCCGGTTTCCCGAAAACCCACGTTATGCTACCAGCAAATTTATCAATCTAGAGAGTTTACTGATGACTGAAGCTCAAGAACTGCTGCTCCGTGCGGCTCGAATACCCAGTGATCGACATCAACTATTCCAGGCTGAAGCCAACCTCGTAGCCTCTCTACTCGAGTCACACCCTCTCGCCCTCATTCAAGCAGGAGCCTGTGTGTCTCAAGGTTACTGTGCGTTGAAGGATTACCCAATAGTGTATCAAGAACATCGATTGACGACAGCTCGGCTATCCCGGAGTGGGTTTCCATACGAGCACGTCTATACGACCTTTGAAGTCTCGGCTGGAGTCCTCCAGTCGATGAACACTGAATCGGCTAGTGATGCTTTAGAACTGTTAAGTGTCTTGGGCAGACTGGCATCCACGCCACTGCCGCTGCTGCTCCTCGAAGCTGGATGGAAAGGAGCACAAACGATATTGTCGGATGATAGAGATGACGATGATGAACAAGATTTGAATCGCCTATCACCGTGGCATGTCTCTCATCTGCCCGCACTCATTTCACCCGATAGTCCTAACTGGGACTCGTTTCGGCTTACTGAGGCCCTCAATCTCCTCCGGGCTTTCTCTCACATCACGACAGACACTTATGACAGTGGGAGAATAAATGTGTCCATGCATCCATTGATCCATGTCTGCGTGCAGTTATGGCTCGATCGGGGGCGAAAATATGCATCGCGGATACGCGCGGGATGTTTAGTGGCTATATCCCTTCAGGACACGCGCTTATGGTCGCAACACCAGTGGCAACTCCAGCCTCACATGCACGCATTGGTATCGCGGAGCCCCAGGACAAAGTTTTTATCCGGTCCTTCTCTCATGATTGTTCGTATACTGCTGAAATGTGCGAATGAGATGATTCGAACGGGGGATGATAAGCGAGTATTTAACTTCATGGAACTGCTGATGACTGGGCTTGGCTTTGATCGGAGGTGTGTTGACCGACAGTGGCTGAAGATATACGAAGTCTACGGGCAGAGCCTCCTCAACTTAGGCGAAGTCAAAGAGGCAGTGCCACTGTTGGAGGAGCTAGTCATGACACGAGAGCAGACACTACCAGAGGATCATCCTGATCGACTCACGGCCCAACATGACCTAGAAAGAGCATATCACGCAAACCGACAAGTTAGGGAGGCAGTGTCGCTGTTGGAGCAGGTGGTTGAGATTCAAGAGCAGACACTACCAGAGGATCATCCTGATAGACTCATGGCCCAACATGACCTAGCAAGAGCGTATCACGCAAACCGACAAGTCAGGGAGGCAGTGTCGCTGTCGGAGCAGGTGGTTGAGATTGAAGAGAAGACACTAACGGAGGACAATCCTCATCGACTGGCGGCTCAGCACAACCTTGCAAGAGCATATCACGCAAACGGACAAGACAAGAAGGCAGTGCCGCTATTGGAGCAGGTGGTCATGCTACAACGGCGGACACTGGCGGAGGATCATCCTGATCGAGTAGCATCGGAGCTCCTGCTTTCTATCTTTTACTGGGATCTGGGAGATCGACAAGCCGCGATACACACGGCGCGTCGAGTGGTTGAGGTTCGACGGCGGACCTTGGACGCAAACCACCCAGATCGGAAGAACGGTGAAGCCTGGCTTGACTATTTCGAATCTGAGACGGCACAAGGATCTTGGACGCATAACGAAGCATAGACTACTTCATGTTTACGGTAGGAAGCTGTTGATTCTATGAGAAGAGCGATCACCATAACATTGTCGTTTACACGAATGGTTCACAAGCTGTATCAATGTCAGTGCCACAAGTGGCAGACCGCAGCTACGACTCCTGACCATCGACCCTCTGGCGAAAGTCCAATATCTCCCTCGTCAACGCCTCGCCCTGCTCCAGCGCCATCATATGCACCCCGGGGTCGACCTCCCTGTACACGACCAGACCTCCATCACCGGCCCCCTTCTCACACGCCTCCTTGAGCCTGGTCATCCACTTAGGCCCCGTGCTCAGATCCTGCACGCCGCAGACCAGGAGGACGGGACACCGGACGCCGCCGGCGCGCAGGCTGTCCAGGGTGTCCAGCCCGCTCATGCAGCGCCAGGCGTCACCCCAGTCCGCGACCGAGATCCTCTCGACGCACGAGCGCGCGTAGCGCACCCCCCACTCGTTGCGCGCGATGGCCTCGGGGGTGAACCACCGCGTCAGCGTCTGCGGGAGGAGGGGCGTCACGGCTCCGGCCTCTTCGGCGAGCGTGGCCCGCGTGATCCACGATGGCTGCGCCTCGCCCGCTGTGGTGATCAGGCCTATCGACCGCGTGCTCTGCGGGTAGTTGAGCGCAAAGTACTGCGCCACGGCCCCGCCGTAGGACTGCCCGTAGACGTCCGCCCGGGGGATGTGCAGTCTCTCGAGGATACTGTGCAGGTCGGCCGCGAGCTGCGTGAGAGACTGCGCGGAGGGGGCGTTGGCCGCGTATCCGTGCCCGCGCATATCGTAGGAGATGACACGCAACTGACGGTTGTCGCCCGCCCGGCTCGCGGCAAGGCTGGCAAAGACAGCATCCCACATCCTCCGATCCAGGCCCAAGGCGTGGATGAGCACGATGGGCACGACACCCGTGTTCTGCGGATCCGAGTCGCGCACCACCGTCTTGTGGCTTCCGCCTTGCTCTGCTGCCCCTCCACCGACCAGAACCCCCTCCTCCAGATGATGCAGCCTGCCACGGAGCGACTTGAGCGCGCCCTCGACACGGGCCCGCACCGCCACGGCCCTGGCCGCCCCGACGCTGGCGCTGGACTGGAAGACGACGTTCTGGATCTCGGACTCGGTCGCCCCGTAGTGCAGCGCCGTCGCGATGTACTCTTCCAGCGCGATTTCGGGGCCGGCGACGGGCGCGTCGTGCGAGATGGCCGCCATGATCCCCAGCAGGGCGCACTCGCGGTAGTTGAGCGACGAGGTCGAGACGAGCTCGAGGAACGACGCCGTTGGTTGGAATGATGACGGTGCTGCCATTCTGTTTCTTTTCCCCTTACCCCTGGTTGATATTTGTTTGTAGAGCCTTGCCGTGGCAACTAGAGAGCCTGAGTGGTTAGATAGGGAAACCGGGCCTTTGAGACGAAAAGACTGGGATTTAGCCAGACACGAATGATAGAGCGGGAGGGTGACGAAGGAAGTAGATATCCCATACCACAGAGCAAAGCAAGCAATTGAAATGCTGGTGGTGGTTCGTTGTGGTAGTGCTCACCCTCGCCGTCCCCTCGGAAAAGCCAACGGAACCGGGACTCGAAACCGAAGTCGAAATTGACCTTGCCCCCCTTTCCTAATGTAGACCTTGCAAATTTCTGTTCAGGGGAGAAATGTAAAAAAAGGTCTCCAGTGTGCTGCGCGGTAGGAAAGTCGGCTTATTCAGCTCCACCGTCTCACGTATTCCGAGGCCGAGTCCTCGTTCCTTGAGCATGTGCCGGGATTCATTTGCTTTCTATGAGAACTCAGTGCTCATAGGGAGAGCCGGAGTCGGAGGTTTGGAGCAGCTAGGGAGTTGGAGAAAAGCCTCCTGTTACTCTGCGCGGAGTTTGCCCGCCATGGATACGGGACGTATTACCCCAACGCAAGGCTGACAAGGCTGGCGAGGCTGTAGACAATGGTCGTCTGGTCCCAGTCCAGACATCTGGCCCTTTTACAGCACCAGGACGATAAATCTGAGAAAGGTCCTATGGTACCTCAAGAATCTTCAGAGCAAGTTCGTGTCAAGTGGGATCAGGATCGCCTGCTTCCAACGGCCTCAGCGTCTGATACTCGCCGTGCAATTCCCGCAGGAGCGTTGGCAGAGTCTCCTCGAGCGCCATGTTGATGAGCCACTGGAACGTCATGGGGTCGCCCCCGAACAGCGGCCCGCCCAATCTCTCCGAGAGTCGCAGGGGAAGCCGGTTGCCCAGGAAGGCCGTGTAACCCTGGATGGTCTGGACCATCTCATCGGACCGTGCACAGGTCACGTATGGATCGTCCGGGCGCTCCGCCCCGGGGAACAGGATCTCGAAGATGCCGAACCACGCAGTGGCCGGGGTCGCGCCCGTTTTCCGGCGTTTCACCGCTCGATATTGGTCGGACGTCATCTTCTCCTCAAACGGGCAGTCTCGCAATGTGCACGACGGCCGCGCGCGGGAGTGTGCGTCGAACATATCGGCCGTCTCAAAGGCCATGTAGCATGACGGGCAGTAGTGGTCGGGTCGGCGATGGACCCGATATAAGTGCTGTTTGAGGCGAGGGATGCTCGTGAGGCACACGCTTCCGCATCGACGGTACGCCTTCTCGCTGAGGTTCTGATTCCTCTCCGAGAATCTGTCCGGATCATGCTTGGTGTATGGACAAGCCAGAAGGACCTCGGCCGCGGTGGCCGGGTCTGCTTTCTCGATCCGCGGTCTCTTGGGTCGTCTCATGCCGTCTTCGTCCTCGCCTTCGCTTTCGTGGAGGAGACCGTCGCGGGGCGGAGAGCCGGCGGTGGCATCGCTTCCACCATTCGTCTTCGAGCCGGAGGAAGAATCTTGGGAGCTTTGTGGAGTGCCTTGCCTAAGCCCGCCCTGGTGTGTCACAAACTCTCTCACCAGTTCCACTCCCACTTCCAGCACCAGACCATCGATGTTTTCGATGTTTTCTCCGAAAGACGGCGCAAAGGCCGGCGGCGAGTCCGAATTGAGCACAAAGGATTCCTCTCCCGACGAGACGATCCGGGACGAGGCTGGACTGTCACTCGTAAAAGGGACGTATCCATCGCCCGAGTCGGACGGTGGGAAGAAGTCAACAAGCGCCGCCGACCTGGAGTATTCATCGAGTTGTCCTTCGAAGAAATCCTCCGAATCGTGTTGGAAGTCACCTCGGCCCATAGTCAGCGCACTCGGGTCAGAGTTGGCTGTTGGACCTCCTGGGTCTGGCGTGTGCTTGAGTCCACCCGTGGCTGGTGTGCTCGTGCAGCCCGTGGTGAAATGGGAACCTTGCAATGATTGATGTTGAGTGGCATTTTCTTCTCCGCTTTGCTCCTTTCCTGCTAGGGTCGAGTCGTCGGCCAAGCCGGGGATGAGCATGCCAGACGAGTCTTCTCCAAAGGACATGTGGTCGAGGCTGTCGGCTCTCTCGAGGAAGGAGAACCACGTATGAGGGTCGTCGTCGTCCGGCTCCGCGGCGGCGTGCTGGGCGCCGTCGGGGGAGGATTCGCGATGAGGCCCGGCTCGGGTTGACTCTCTGTCCCCTTTGTCCGCGACGCCATTTTGCCGTGGCTGGTCCCCGTCTCCTTCCTCGGGCGGACTCTGCCCTTTGGACTCGGGGTCAATCGGTCGCAACGATATCGCATCCGGGGCTTCATGGCAGCTCTTTTCATGCCGTTTCAGATTACTCCTCACGCTGAAATATTGTCCACACCCTTCATGATTGCATTTGTAAGGTTTCTCGCCCGTGTGCGAGTACATGTGGATTTTCAGAGAACTCGGCCTGGAGAAGGATCTGTGGCATCTGGGACAGGGGTACTGTGCTTGAGCGTCAAGAGATGAGGAGGGGTCGGGGAGAGCATAATGGGAGGGAGGAGAATAGTGATGATGCTGCCATGTCGGTACCGATAGTGGGTCAATTGGGTGTGGGATTATATCAAAGCTGGAGAGATGGAAGCCTGTGGGCGGTGTTCTTTGTCCAAACTCGGGCGGGAGAACACTGGCCGGTGACGAGGCCTTAACGGGCCCAGAGGTCGCCCCGGCGGGATGCTTGGAAGACGAGCCGGAGCCAGAATTTGAGGGAACAGGATATGTAGGATATGTAGGATATGTAGGATATGTTCCAGGCCCCCAGGAATCCCCTAGTAGGCTTGCTAGTACTGGCAAACCTCCAGCGAGGGGTGGATCGGAAAACTGTTCACCAGGGCCGCCATCCGGCTGTCGAATCTCCCTCGGCATTGTCGTCCCTCAAAATAAGAAGGATCTATTCCCTCGTCCGGAAAGGGCTTGCTAAGAGTCCAAATAAATCGTGACGGCGAGAGAGGCCAGGCGGTCTCTCAGACTCGAAAAGACTGGCAACGGAGTCGCGGCGCCATGCCCCAAGCGTTTTATATACGATATCCGTTCGGCGGGCGCAGTTTAAAGAAGCAGACATTGCGAGTTCGAGAGGTCATTTAGGAGAAAGGATGTTGCTTCATATAGCTCGGGATCATCAAACACACAGGTGTGAGTGCGCAACACAGCCACTTAGTACATTTACACCGCTATTGGCCGCAGACTTGCATGTGGAGATTGCTAAAGAGGAGCTATCCGCGCTGTTGGGGGTTAGCGCCTTGGCACTCGCTCCGCAAATCGGTCGCAGGCAGACACACTCCTCCCATGGCTACTCGATACATACCCTTTCATCCTTGCCGCATAATTGCAAGTAAGATCGATCTGCACAAGGGGAACAGTCCAACTTTACCCTAAACATCCAAGCTCTCCAGATCTGCCAGCCCACCGTCATCATCGGTAAGCCCCCTCAATTTATCCCTGACATGCTGCGTGGCCGCATCCGCCTCGCCGCGGAGCATGCACGACGCGTCCAGCGCCTGCCTGAGCCAGTAGACGGCGTCGGCGCGGTCGCCGAGGCACAGGCCCAGCTCGGCCATGTCCTCCATGGCGTACGCGGCGCGCGTGTCCGGGAAGTGCACGCCCTGGATGGTCTGGTAGTTCTGTATGACGGAGGAGCACAGGCCGCGTGCGACGGCGTGCTGGCCCAGGTCCATGTGCACGTGCACCAGCTCCGTGAGGGCCGTGCACAGGTCCGTCATGACCACGCCCGCGGGGCGGCGGTGGTAGATGTCGACGCTGGAGCGTGACGAAGACGACGACAACGAGGAGGTCAGCGCCTGCTCCGTGACGTTGACGAGGGTCTCGCCCTGGCGTTTGGCCGCGTCGAGCCGCTTGGCCCGCCGCAGCAGGCTGATCAGCGAGCGGTGCACGGCGAACGTGGCGCCGTGGTCGCGGCCCAGCGTCTGCGTGCACAGCGCCAGCGTCAGGTTCGACGCCGCCTCCGACGCCTCGCCCAGCGCGCCGTCCCGTGCGATCTCGCGGCAGATGACAGCCAGGGGGTGCTGCCGGGATTTCAGCTTGATCGCCGCCATGCTCGACAGGTACCGCAGCAGCGTGCTCCGCACCTGCGGGTAGACTCTCATGTTGATGGGCGAGAGCACCGTGAAGACACTATTCAGGAACAAGACCGGTGTCTGGGCGAAGACGTCTCCCGCCAGCACACATGCTTCGTTCAGGAGAGGCCATGCCAAGTTCGGGAATTGCTTCTTGAGGAAGTAGATGCCGGACTTGACGTTGGACCAAAAGACCGTCGTGTTGTCCACCACATGGCTGCCGCTGTTGAATGAATCTGTGACGGAGCTGCCCATGACATCAAGGTAATACGACCGTGTTTGATGCAGGAGGAGTTCCATGTTGAGATTGTCTTTGGGCGGGAATATCGGCGGGCTCGGGGGTGGTGGTTCGACATGCAACTCGTCACGCTGGATGATCTCAAACGTCTCCATATCGTCGTCCAATCCCGACGACGAGGGCGTAAGTAAGCTGGAAGTCGTGTTCCCCGACTCCACGGGCGTCGCACACGACGGCTCTGGGGCTCTCGAACACACGCGAACCATGTCGTCGTCCCGCACAGGATTTGACGCAGAGGAGGAATCGGAAGTGCCCTCGTCGTCGGTGGTACGAGTCGGCGGCAGCCTCTGGTTCTGTCGGACAGCCTTGCCACGCTTCGGGTCTCGAATGTGTCGAAGCACGCGGTGCAGCTTGACCGGCCGGCCCTTGAAGGTGACCTCGGAGACGGGTCGGCTCTGGAGGTGCGCCTGGGCGATGCGGGAGGCCAGCAATTCCTTCTCCTCGGCGCGGTAGTTCTTGCGGATGTTCCACTGGTTGAGTCTGGTGTTGTACATGCGCTTGCTGGGAGGGGAAGGGTGATTGTGTCAGCTTTGAAGCCCTCCAACTGAAGAGATGGGACACATATATAGACACAGATCTATATGCCAAGCTTGCCCGCGCCAGGAGGACACTCACGTAGCCTTGAAATTATACTCGGTCTCCATAATGCGCTGGACCTCCTTGAGGGGCAGCTCGCGATCGCGGTACAAATGCGTGATCACGCCGCGGTGCTCATTCCACTCCTGCGGCGTCCGCGGCACAGTTGCCCGGGGATTATGCACGACAGATGGAGTGGCAGAGGCAAGGAGAGGCAGCGTCGCCGACCTGCCCAAGCTGCAGTCCGCCGAGACGGCGGCGAGCGAGTCGGCCGAGGAATACGGCATGGTTCGGTGGGGCGTGGGAACTCTAAGAGCCAGCATGAGTCGCGAAGGAGAACTGAGAAGAGCGGCGATCTGGATTAGTATGAATGAGAGGGCAGAAGGATCAACGGGACTGCTGGACACCGTTTACGTGAAGGGGGGAAGGATTTCGTTGATGGAAGAAGCTGGAGATCAAGATTTAGCAAGACAGTTCTTATGACAGCGGCTAGCCCATCTTCATTGTGGCGATAGGGCGGCTTTGATTCAATAGAGATGTGTGTAGCTTGACGGCATCGGGCTTGAATGTGGTGAGGCTTGTCGCTGTTGTTCTTCAGGATGAGGCTGTGCCTGGTGCTTGTGAGTGGCGGAGCGACGAAGCTACAAAATGCCCGTGCATTAGCACACATGAATAGACCAATCAAACAGGCAGTCAGGTCGCTTCAAGACAGACTCGTACAGCCCGTAACATCTCAGCCAGTGATGCTGCCAACACATCGTCCGACCACATGATCCTGCAGCCATGCATCTGCTTTGGTTCCTGAAGATGGGTTGAGGCCCCTTACAAGGCTTGCGCAAAAGTACCGCTTCTCCCAGGATATTGTCATTCATTAGACTCCAAATCCCTCGAGTCCTTTAGGTCATTCTCCTTACTAGCGTACAAGATATTACATACAACTGTGGCCTCCTTCGTTTCTCATCTGGCGTGTGCAAATGTCGGACTGGAACCCATCATCTCTTGTCCCATATCAACATCGTCCTGATTTCTGTAGCTAACAACTCGCTTCTTCCCGCCCATGCTCATCATAATATCTGCTCTCGTGTCGTGGGAGCCAAGTACTCGGTGATTGTGTTTGGACAGTGCGAGTGCGGGTGTTGTTCTATCGGGACGACCGGCTCGGGGGCCGAAGAGATTGGCTCTGGTCTCCTCCCAGAGTGTTTGGCACGCAGGCAAGCTGGTAACAACGTAGATGATGGTGTTCCAAAATCCCTGCAGAGGAAGAACCAACCCCGAGGCAAAGTCGAGCCCGAAGACAGAGTCATCTGGCCGGACCAATGTGTACACGCGGTTGATGGTAGAGGGAACCCTAAAGTTCATGGTCAGCTCATGTGGTATGCCGCTCCTGGAACAAACACGACATACCATGTGCAGAGGAGAGCAAGGAAGAACAACATGGCCGTCTTGCAGTAACTCATAGTTGCCTTGTTCGCGTCCAGTGTCCTGATCGGTGGTCTCTCTACAACCACATTGGTATTCGTTTGGGGAAAAGCCGTTTCCTGGATGGAAGGAAACCGTGCGTGGTTTGCATTGGTAGGCGACGCATCCTCATGGTAGGTACTCCGCGGCGAGCTCAGATGTCGCTGCTGCTTCGGTTCGGGTGAATGGGGAACTTGACTGCTGATGGTGACTTCGTAGGTTTTTGGAGACACAGGAGAGGTCGGCAGTTGATTCATCGCATAGCCATTGGACGGAATACCGACCATGCCCTCACTCTGATTCAAGGACAGGAGTTGCTTGCGCCATCGAAAGACCACCACGCCTACCTTGACGTATATAAACATGGTCACGAGAATGATCAGCCAAACCGGGCCGTAAAAGGTGGCAATTCGGAGCGCGTTCCATTCCGTCGAGACCCAGCACCAGAGCTACCAGAAGAAGTCAGCAGGTACAACCACCGCCGTGGGAAGGGCACACATACCACCGCGTCTCCATACACTTTGCCCTTGTCGCCGGAACTGACAAACAGAAACACAAACGCTGGAATGAAAGGAACGCCATAGCACGCTCCCAGGTACCTCCACTCGAGGCTTCGAAGTTGCGATGCATCGTACTGTCGAAAGAAGGAGAGGTAGACATTGCACGCCATGGCAAAGGTCCACAGGGCATCAGCAGGCAGGAACCTATCCTACAATGAGTAAGAGCGCCAAAATGATCCAGCAACTATCCTCACCAGTGAATCAAAAAGCCCTGGAACTGACACAATGGGGATGTTAACCCCAACTTGATGCCGGATCTCGCGATCAGAGTCGCCACGTTGGCAAACAGATTCCCCCATGCTGCATAGAACACCAGCCGGTTGATGGGTTTCCGAAACTTGCTGTCTGAAAGAAAGGTTGCAATGATGAATGCGGCGCCAAGAACAGAAAACACCGAGGTCACTCTCTCAGTCGTCACCAAGGCATGGTCTTGTGAGGCTGTGATCGCCATGTTGACAGCGGTATGATGGCTGCAACCAGACAAGCATGCCGAACAAGCCCAAGAGCGACGATGCTTAGGAGTTTGGGGGTTTGCGGGGGAAGCGGCCTGCTTTTGTGTTTGCCAGACTTGTATATGGCAACGTCAAAGTAACGTCTGCATTCCAGTGAACACTTGCGCCCTCGTTCACTCTTTGCCACGAGAGTGGCCAAGGGGGGTTGCAGCTTCACCCGTCCCCACCAAACACTGGGGTCAGAAATTTTCGAGAAGCAAAAGGCCCTCTCTCCCGCGGCCAGTCGTTCGATTCGTTGACATGTGAGAGAAGACAGACGACTATGCCGGGGTCGATCTGGGGCATGAGACGGTGGTCGACGTTGAAACGGCTAGAACACATCGGGGATGCACCTTCCGTATGTACAGCGGTGGATCTAGCAGCAAACTCCACCGGTGGAGCAGAAGGAGCAGAAAGAGCTGCCACCATGGTGCTAGTCCTGCGATCGTCAAAGGTAATTGATCAACGTTGCAGACAAGGCGCAATGGTACGAGCCGGGGATCTGGGCGTCTTTCTAGTGGTGGTGGCATTGGTGGGAGCAGGGGGTGGATGTATCAACAGGAATTCCAAACCCCGATGCACCGCAGAAATCCCAGTTCGCCTCAACAAGCCGTGCTCATAACCCTGGAGAAGATAATGTGGGATGGTCCAGTGGGAATATGAGAGTCGGACAATTACCCCAATCGTATTGTCTGATCGACGCTGCGTTGTTGTCCTCGCCCGGAAGAGGCGGGCTGGGGTATCTATTGACAATAGTGAGATGGGCCATACTCCAGCCATATGCTAGCAGACCTAACGAGTAGACTCCGAGGAAGCCGAGAACGGCCGTGGGAGATGAAGAGGAAACCCTTCGTTTCAACCCCGCCAGTCGAGGCACCCGGCCTGATTCGCACGGTCCGCACCGCACTGAAAATGTCTGTATCAGAAGTAAATTGGGTTTCTCGTGTTCGAAAAACGCTTTCGAGAAGACGGCTGCTCGGCAAGTCTTGGGAGAGGGCGAGACTCGAGACGGTTGTGCCTAGACACGAAGCTCGGCGGGGTCACCCTTTTCCCCAGATTGAGGGAAAGTTCGTGAACGGTCGGCGGAAAGGAAGCTACTGCAGGGACAAACTGCCAGGGACGAAGCCTCATCCAACCGGGCAGCCGAACACACAACATTCGAGTCGCGTGATAGATACCAGGATGTGGGAGCAAGGTACTCGTATTGCGCAGAACCAAGACTAAGAAGAAACTGCGCCATCTCGTTTTGTCATATTCGACTAGTCGTAGAGGATGGCTGGCCGAATTGTGGGAGTGAAATACCGTGCTATAGCAGCAATCTCTGGAAGGATGAGTTTGAGTTACGGTCTCGCTGGCTGGCTGACTGGATTCGCGCTGATTGCACTGGTTTACGTGGCGTCATATTAGGCTCCTCCATCTGGAGGTGGTGGATGGCGATGAAGGATATCTCAAAAGCCACAATGACGCCTGAGAGGAGACAGTTTGGCACGGCCTGACTAGTCCAGCTGGGAGACCGGTTATTGAAACGCTCGGTTGTCGATAGCCATGTCAAGGATAACCATGAACTTGTCTAATGACCCGTATCCAGGGCCGTCATGAACCAGACACCTTCGAGATCTGTCAAAGACCCAAGGTACGCGACTCTCCGACACGAGAGGGCAGGCGCAGTAACCATTTGGGGGGCTTGTTTGACACTTTTCCACGGCGAACATGAAGCCGGGCGCAGGGCCTGAGGTATGGTGCTGTTTCGAGTCATTTGTTACCAGTCACACTGAAGCTTATCAGCGCAGGAGGTTGACTGTAGCCAAGCGGACGAGTCGGGTGAGAGGAGAAGAGGGTAACAGCTCGAGTTCGGTATGGGCAGCCAAGCATCGAGGAGCGTTCAAGCTCTTTCTCGCCCCCCTGACCTCTCCTTCGCTCGTGTCTGAAATAGGGATGGCTGAACGAGGAACGGGTGCCCGTACCGAGTACCTCGTACAGTCCGGGGGGTTCTGCATGGGGTATCTGCAAGGGCGTCAGTGTCCACCTCATGATGACTTGAAGTCGTGGGTGGGATTTGGTTTTGGCACCCAAAATCTGACGGTGGGGATTTGGACCAAAGTGACGTTGTCGTTGATCCCGACGATCTTTCCCCAGAGGCCATTGCATTGCCCTACTGTAGCTGTCAGGGGAGGGAAGACAGCACCCGTCCTGTCGGGTACGTGGTCCACAGATTGTTACCCCGGTCAATGGAGACCGAGACCGCAAGGGGGGGGGGAGTTGCAGTAGTATTAGTGGGTGGCCAGAAAGGTCGAAGAAATTCGGCTAAAGAGGGAGAAGAAAAATGGGCATCTCTCAAAGGGGATGTTGCCCCGAGGCTGCCACCACGAGCCACACTCACCCTTCTGTCCTTTCGCTTTGATTGTTTCTCGTATTCTTTCATCTCCTCGGGAACACCGAGGGGACTCATATGTTACTGTCAACTGCGAAGTTTTGGAAGGGGCTGGTTGATGGATTGATTTGTACCAAGTTTCTCCGTACCGGTTGGGTGGCCATCTTAGTATTATGCGAGTCGAAATAGCCTAAAGAACCATTGACCCTAATGTCCGCAGACCTCGCTGCGCCTTAATGCACGTTAAATCATCCATCGCCCTGTAATAGAATTATGGGCGTCCGGCTTACGAGGACGTCGATCGCAACAAGGTCTACGCTACAAGTTGAGATGATTGTTGCTGTGAGCCAGGAACACACGCAGTGCACGATCGCCTGGATGCCGCCACTGGGTCCTGTCTGCCTCACAAGGACCAGGGCACAAATGAACTGTGTCCCATCCTGCTGCGCACTGGAATCACTTTCTCCTCTTTTCATCCATGCCCCATTCCAAATTGCCTTCTCACAGTATCCGGCATGATGAATCTGGCCGGACAATGCCCATTTAGGATGATAACTGCCCCCACGGTGACAGCCCTGTCCAGAGTAGAAAATGAGATCTGCACTGATCAGCAGGAACATACTTACCTAGGCAGGTGTTGAGGGACATGGCGAAGATCGCTGAACGAAAACCAATCAGCAATCAATGGGTCAGTCGAGAAAAGGAAAGCCCTCCTAAAGAGAGAGGTATCGCAGTCTGCAAGGTGTGAGAGTTTCATTGCTATGCCTTCCCTCAACGTAAGACAAATGATTGCTGTGGAACAACTCGAATTTCATCATTGAACAACTCCGTTAAGAGCGCCGTCGCTCAATCCCTAGGCCATGACACCAACACCATGTAGGGGCAAGCATGCAGTTGCCCGCTTGTACAGACAAATGGCCCCCAACGACTAGAGAGACGTCATAACCGTCATTCATCTCTTCCCTGCATCATGCTTTGTGTGGTACCTGGGCATTTTCTCATAAGCATTGGGACTGGGCTTCCTTCTCCCCTTGCCCTTCCCATGGTCGCACCCGTCATCATGGTCGTGGTCATTAGGACGGCCGTGCCGGTGGTCATGTTTCCTCCCTCTCCGGTTGCCGCTCATCCTCGCGCCGCCGTCATCGGGACTGTCGCTGCCGCCTGCATCGCTGTCACTATCGCTCGAGGAATCACTCGAGCTATCATCTTCACTGGAGCTCTCGCCAAACTCCCGCGGTTTGTGGTATATGCAGCACACTTTGCTTGATTTTCTGCCCAGCCCCTCGTTGTCCACCACGTCTTCTGCCCACGTGATCTGTCTTCGGCGGCCTCGGGTGGTGTTTGTGCTGGACCCGGCCGCGGCATCATGGGCACCACGGAGACGGAGGATGAGTGGTTCTGGCGAAGCTGATCGGGATGAGGCTGAATCGACGGGGGTGACGGTTTGGGTCGCTGAGCCCGAAGTGGCGCGGCGCGAAGGCGAAGCAGCGTGTAAGGCCGGTGCTAGATGTCTAGCACCAGTCGGCCTGGATGGATTGTGGGACGGGCTCATGGCTGGTGGTGGAATCGACGGGGCGGCAGATGAGGACATGGTCGACCAAGGGCAAAGGCAAGAAGGCTTCCGGGATACAATGTCCGTCTGTTCTTTGTCTCTATTGAAGTGGATTTCGGTGTCTAGGCCCGTGACGAGGAACTTTAGATGTCGGAGTCCAAAGACCAACGAGCTGTTTAGCAATGTACTTGGTAAGTGGGCTAAAAGGTGTCTCGGGTGTGAAGTGGCGCAGACGCAAACAGAAGCCTCTGGCAGAAGGAAGAGTGGCAACGAGGCTCTGACACAACGAGGGAATGTAAATATAGGCAATGAGATATGGACGCCCCGCACACAAGGGCCAGCACCTCGGCGACGTGAGGTGTTTTGTTTTAATAGTACAGGATGAATGTTTGGGGTGATGTGCAGCGTGCGGATTGGGGACTGCAGACCGTGGACCGTGGACTGCGGGATGGAGGCGGCGGATTATTGATGAAAATAATAATTTAAATGAGCACACGAGACCCTTTGCGAGCTCCAAACATCAAGTGACGTCTCTGTTTTCGTCCCCGCTTTTCTCCCATCCATTCATCGTCGTCTCCATCTCCTGCTGCCGCCGCGCTCGCCTCGCCTCGTTGCGTCCCTTTCTCACGCACTGCTGCTGACCGCCCGCGCGGTACGAGGATGCAGCCAGATGCAGCTCAGCTGCACGACAGCTCCTATCATCACTCCCCATAATACCGAGTACGCCTGACCACATGGTCTCGAACCCAGCAACCGGCGTCCAACCTCATCCGCCCTCCTGCAGAGATCACTTCACGTGTTCCAGAATGAGCATCCGTGCTCCCCCTCACATGATCCTGGAGGAGCTTTAGATGAGCCTGGACCCGAGTGCAGACTGCCATGCTCGCTATGGTGTGAAGAGATTATGAAGAGATCATCCTCCTCTCTACTGCTCTATTCTGTTGCTACAAAGGCCCGTCCGGCATCATTTCAAATCTCCAATGTTCGTATTCGGGTGGGCTGGGCTCTTCTCAGCTCTCATCTAAGCTTCTAGCAGCTCATGCTCTTGAACGGACCGTCTCTGCCCTTCATCCTTGGCCTCCAGCAGCACTCGACTCGGCGGATGCGGTGGTGTTGGTCCCCCTCTCCAATCGCTGGTTGGTGTCCAGGCCAAGTAGAGAGTGCCCAAGAGAAGTCTCGCAAGCAATACTCTAACCGATCGACCGGAGGACCATGCTTTTTGGTATCATAACATAATTCAAGCAAAACAAGATATGCATTTTCTCGTCCATCTCTGCCTGTCCCGACCAGCTCCTCTTCTCCATTGCGGCCGTGTCTTCTAGACAAGCGCCTCAACATTTGTAGAAGACCCATCCGCTCTCGAAATCCTCGTCTGGGGTCGACTTCTCCATCGCATAGTGTTCGACCGAGGGTTCGGCAGCGGCTGGCGGTTCTGCTGTGCGTATCGCAAATTCCGTACGTAACTCTTCCTCTAGTCACAGCTCATCGTCCTGATCCAGATCGGCTGGCTTGATCAAACCACCGACCTTGAGGGCTCGCTCTCTCTCTGCATCCGCCAAAATCTTCTTTTCTTGCTCGCGTTCTTCCGCATACAGTTCCGCATTGTCGCCAGCAAATTCTTTGAGCGAGATCAAAAAGTCGCGCACATGAGTCTTGAATTTCGTGGCGTCTTCATTGAGGGTGAAAAGTCCATTGACAAAGTGCTGGACTTGGATCTCCTTGAGATTGGGAAAAGCGCGCTGCAGCAGATTGGAAGTGAACTCGCTGACAAACTGCTTGTTGGACGTCCCGGGCGCGGCCTGGTCTGGTTGGTACAGCGGCTGCGAAATCTTATTGGTCTCAACGAGCTGGAACATCCGTGCCAGCAACATGCATTGAGATTTGAAGCCGGCCTTGTGGTCCGAATCGGTGAGGACGAAAATCACATCCTGCAGGATGGAGATGTAGAATTGTTGGAAGAAAATACCAGCAGTCTGGGGGTCTGTCTCTGCCATGTTGTTGATCAGCTCCAGACACATGGACAACCCTGTATTCTCGACCTCGCGGTTGTCGTGTTTGCTCGCCCACATGCAAGAGTCAATGACAAATTTAAATTGTCGTCCGTCAAGTTTGAGCAACGCTGGGAAGCAGAACAGATTAATCGCTTGGAGGAGCTTGAAAAATTCGACTCGGAACTCGGGGTATTCATGGAAATCCTTGTTGATCATCTCCAGTGTACATTCGAAGATGCTGTCCATGATTGGGCCAATCTTGTCATCCATGAGGTTCTGCAGGGAGTCAGTAAGATGTCTGGGAGTAAGCATAGAGTCTCTGACCAAATGCCGAGATCTCTTTGGGGCCCAACGTACATGTAGCTTGTGGATAATTGTGGTGGTGACGCTGAGGACTTCGGCGTCCCTGGCGTCTGGAACGTTGCGCTGGTAGTCGAGCAAGATGGCATCGAGCAATGGTGGTACCATGCTATCATTGACCATTTGCAGGTCGTCCGCCTTTTGTACGTAGATGTCGACGAGCTTCAAGATCTCTTTCTTGATGGTCCGCAGGCCTCGGACTTTTGGAGTCTTAGTCTGGACATTGCCTACGGTCCACGTTAGAATCAAACAATAAACAGGTGTCCAGGGAGACTTGCCTCCAGAAGCAACAGCATCGGAAATCAATTGGCTCGAAGCCCGGTACATATTGAGCATGTCATGGTAGATGCGGCCAATCTGGGAGTAGAAGTAACTGCCGATCGACGAGCACGCTGCGACATTGGTCTTCATAATATTTCCCACCACTTTGATGATCTCGGGATCATGGAGGATTGCCGGATTGGCATTCGCTTGCTGAATAACGCTGTCCCAGGCTTGGTTTGGATAAGACATAAGGTCGCTGATCAGTCGGTCTTGAACGCTCTTCTGGCCTTGGGCAGAAATCATGTAGCCACAAGCTTCGTAGAAAGTGTGCACTTGTTGTGGAGTCAAATCACAGGTGATCCTGCGCATATTACGCACAATCTCATCAATGAAAGGTTCCGTTTCGCCCGGCTGGAGAGCTACGAAATGGCGCTTGCATTTGTTGGCAATCTTGATGAACGTGTCGCAAGCCATGTCTTGAACTCCTTCGTGGGTTTCGTGCATAAACTCGAAGAGTTTGTTCACCACCGTCTTCAAGAACTTCCAGTGCGCTTTCAAGAAACGTGGGTACTGGCCCACAATATACATGATATTGCTGGCCACCACGGCTTTATTGTCTTTGCCACGCTTCATCTCAGTCAAACCAAGCAAGTCCTTGATGACCGTTACCAAGAAACGCTTCTCCGTCTCTTCGGACATGGCCCCTGATATCGAACCGATGGCCCAGCAGAGAGTATTGCAGTTGTTCCACGACCACTCGGACCCATCGACTTGTCGCTGAAGCTTGTCGGACATGATTTGCTCGGTGTCGACAACATCCAAGTGCGTCAGGTATACCAGACATTCACGGGTGGTCTTGTAGAGTTGAATCGTGTCGCTCTCCTTGACAAACTCTCGCACAATTTCTCCCTCGTCATTTTCCACAATAAGGACTTCTTCCGGCCGAACCATCTTCTCCACCATGACCTGCCTCAGGCTCGACAATACTTGAGAGTACTTGTGTTTGCGGAGGGGATAGTTGGCCAAAGTGCTGGGATGAGGCGCACCGCCGTTAGCGAGCCCACTGACACCCATGTTGACCAGAGGGTTGAGTTCGGTGATTGGGAGCTGTTGCATTTCTTCATACAACTCTTGGACCAACTTGTTCCAGTATTCCAGACAGATCTTGAAGATTTCCCTGTCATCGATCAGACTGATCTTGATGAGATAGAAATGGCCGTGTAGGAGGTAGTCGGAGTTCGGTAATCTTTCGATTGTCTGAAGATGTGCGGAAAAGTAGTTGGTGAGAAAGATTGCGAGGTTGAGGATATATTCTTGATCTGAAGACTTAGCTTTGGCATAGGCCTCTCGAAAATCAGTATCGAGCGAGATACTTCTTGCAACGACCGTCAAGGTTTCGGTGAACATTTGGACGAGCTTGTCATCATACTGATATTGCTGTCCCAGCTGCAAGCCACCAATTTCCGTCAAGCACTTGAGGGTGATGTTGCGAAATTGATCGAGCTCGAGGAACCTGGTGACGAGGGTGTCGATGAGCTTTGTTTCGAAGATGAAGCCGAGGGGGATCCAATTCAGAAATCGAAGCAATGTCTCGAGAGTTGCCTTGACCAGGCTTACGGAGTCGGCTGTCGTCAAGACTTCATTGCACAGTTGAAAGATGGACGAGAATTCGGCGCACATGGTGGTTTTCAGGTTCTTTGCCTTTGTGGAGGTCATCTGGTCCTGGGAGAAGTCGAAGACCTCTTCAGACAGCAGTCGCAAAATGGTCATGTTGTTCTCGCACACAGAGATACCAGTGTGGCAAGAGGAGATGATCTCGTTGATGAATGTGGGCCAATGCTGCGGCCATTCTTGCTTGAGGATCGTGACCAGCGTCAAATCCAGCTTGTTGAGAAAGAGCTTGTTGGCCTTGAGGGAATCCTCGGTCTCGGAGGTATGAAGTATTTGATTGACCACGAAGTTGCGGATGCCCAAACATTGGTCTCGCGGGAGAACCTTCCATCGAGTGTTGATCACATCATCCAGCACCTGCAATGCCAGATATTTGGTGGGCACGTAGGTAGCCTCTTGCAATATTGTGTCCGCCATCAACCAGGCATCGGGGTTTGCCTTGAACTCATTGAGCTTTTGTTGGGCCTGTTTTTGGACTTCGCCATGACCCTCTTGAAAAGCTTTGACGGTCGCGTCAAGCTCGGCGATAGTGACCGACATGGCGAGAGAGGAAGATTGTAGGAGGAAGAGCGCTCAGCGAGCGTGGAACAGCACGAGTGGTGCGCCAGTAAGTGGCGGGGTAGCAGGGTTTGAGGCTCGATCGACGTGTCGGTATGATAAACGACCCGAGGGTGGGATGAGGAGTGTTTGTTGCTTGTCCCCTCGTTTGTTTGACGGGGAGAGGAGATGATGAAAGGGCGACTGGTCGCAGCGGCGATGAGATGCAGATGACTGCACAGACAGAATGAAGGAGCAGATCTTGAGTCTGTGTTGGTTGGTGGCTTGGGCAAGTGTTGCAATTCGTCGGATGATGGAAAATTGCCAACGCGTGAGGCCCAGGCAATGGCATGGGCTTCCCAGTTGATGAGGCGCCGCATAAGGCAACCGCAGCGGCGATATCAAATGTCACCAGCGCGGCTATTAACGCCGGCGTTGGCATCACTGGGTGAATTTGTCATCCAGCACCAATCAGAGCGCCCCGTTCTTCCACTTGCTGCCATCCAGTGAGATACCCGCCCGATTGATACATCTACGCAGCACAATCACCGTCGTCCATCGCGCACAGAGTCTTTGCAGCGAAACTACATGTCAATTTCGAGCAGATACGCTAGGCAAAATCCAACACAAAACCCTTCCAAGACATGTCTCGTTGTCTGAATAATATTCTGGTTTATCTGGTATCATGGGCACTGTAAAAGCCACATAGAATCTTGTGTATCAATCAAAAAATCCCAAAAGTAAGCCTCTCCTTTTATTTGGTTGCAAATCAATCGGTGCCTACCCCGGTCGTGTGTTCGTGGAGCTTCAGCTCTCGCTCCTCGCTTTCTTTGCGGTACTGTTGATACGCCGCTGCCATCTCTTCCTTTGATGACATCCCATTCTTCTCGGTGATTAAATCTTTGAGCCATTTGTTCTCCATCTCCAGTTGATTCACCTTGGCCTCCAGTTTAGCGTTCTTCTCCTGGACTTCCTTCACCGTCCGCTCCAACGCCTGCTCGCGCTGCTTCTTCTTGACGCGAAATCGCGCACTGGCGGCCGTGTTCCTCCGCCTCTTATCTTCCTCGGCAGCTAGGCGAGACTTCTCCTCCGGATTCAATATATTTGCGTCAACGGCATCACCTTTCCTCCGCGCTGCTTGGAGTCCAGTGGCCGTTGAGGTGCCAGGAGATGTATGAGAGTCAAGGTTATTAAAGCCTGGGATCGGTGCGGGTTGAATGGGAGTGTTATATGTGCCGTAGTAGTGTGAAGAGTCGCCCGCGGAAGTATCGATGTTGGAGGGTTGATAGTTGTGTGTGGGCGAAGAGCCAGAGAGGAGTTCTTCGTATTTTACGTTATTTGGGTTGGTTTTAGAGTCGCCAAGGTCGAAATTGAAAGAGCCATCTTCAGGTAGCGGAGGAATGTCAAAGTGGGTGAAGTCGGTGTTTGTGAACATGGCCAGGTCCTGGCTGATGTCTAGCTCTTCCGTCGGGAACTGCTCCTGGTCGTAGGGCGATGCCAGAGTATTGAGATTGTTCAGGTACTCTGAAAAGTTCGGCCCTGTACGGCCGCGATACCCCGACATGGTCCTGAGTGCTCTTCCCTTTGCCCTGTTTGCTCCTCCTCAGCGCTGTGTACGGATCTGGAGGTATTCGGCAGGGGACGACGGATTGAGTGGGAGTTGGCGCCCCAGGGTTGTCGACAAAAGGGCGCACTATGACACGGTATCTGCGGGTGGCGATCTCGTCGACTTTCGACCGTCGGGGTGCAGTAAAGCAGCCGTCGCCCTTCGCGCAGAATATTCTACTCGTCCTTCTACAGCCCAAGAACAGACGTCGACTCTGTAGAAAGGTGGTGGGAGAATGGAGGGACGAGGTAGCAATAGTGGGGAGAGAAAATTGCGTTCTCGTGGGAGAGGAAGTAGTGCGTGAAAGGTCGGGTGCAGAGAGGGGCGCGAAAACTCTCAGTCAGAGGGATTACTTGGAGGGTGTCACAGGTGTGGGAGGCTGTACGCGGGCTGCAAGCTTCGTGGGAGGCGAGCGCCCGGCGTGGGTTTCGTCCGTTGCGTGGTTGGCCTTTTCGGACTCGCTTCGGGAATTGCACTGGGAGCTTCTCGTGCTCCTCGTGCTCCTCGTGCTCCTCCCACTCGCACCCCTCTCGAACAGGGTCCTTTCTTCACCTGCCGAATCGATTCGCTCGCTTTGTTCGAGATCTTGCCAAATAATATCACTCAATGGCTTGAAGGCCCCAACCTCTTCCAGATAACCAAGTCAACAGTGAGAAAGGGGGTCAATCGTGGTAAACCGCATCCATTGTAACTGCCGAGGGCGCTGGGGGCAACAGATGAATCATAATCATGGCTTTGTCTCCATTATTTGGTCCCGTAGCGGTCGGGCAGTTGTCGCGGAAAACTTCTCATGATCTCATCTTAAATTGGTGAATGTTCGCGCCTTGTCAGACGGATCAGCCTGCCGAAAAGGGTCCTTGTACCATCACGATTAGTCGGGCTTCGAGTCCGGGAGTTGGCTCACCTTGCAAGCGCACATCACCGTCGGCTTAACTCATTCTATCTCATAAGCGCCAGCTCCCCCCCCCCCCAAAATTCCCTCCTGTTCTTCACCTGACTGTATGCACGTAATTGACTAGCGTACTTGCCAATTAATAACCATGACTCGGACAGGGTGCCAGGATTTGTCTGCTTGCGATTAGATGTTCCAGCGGCGTCAAGAAACCCTAGTGTGGGGTTTGGGCGTTCTTCAGGCCGTTGCGGCACCGCTGAGGCAGCTTGCATGTGGGACGGATGTGGAAGTCTTGGCCTGCCTGATTCTGCGGATTGGACATGTTGATGCTGGCTATAGAGGGAAATCAAATGGATGTTGCTACCGAATAACCACCGTTCACATCATTGCGCAGATGAGACCCTCTGATACATACGAGTAGGCTTGGCCGCCCAGTGGGTTGAGATTTGGGCGAACATGACTCGATTTGTGGGTCACATGACCTGTACGTGACTCGTGTGTTTACATTGGACCTTTTCTCTCGTCCCACTTCATCCTCAGTGTAAACAAACCCCGTCAAGCACACCATGGCACCTATTCTCGCCAGATCACTCAATCGACTATCAAAGGAAACTATTCTAGAGCTTGCTCTGACATGGCTGGAGGAGAACCGCACTTCAACTCCTTATCTGCAGAGCAATCGGACCGGCTTCGAAGCGGATGAAGAGGATTACCTCCATACTCCGGCCGAGAGTATTCATGAACTGCGAAAACTGTACGACGGTCTCAGAAAAGATGTAGCGAAAGCTGCCAAGCGCGACATTATTGACCGCATTGTCGACGGCGACTGGCGAAGGGGATTATCGCTGCATCAACATGCCATGATCGACTTTGCGGCGCTGGAGCAGAACGACACCGCATTGAGATGGAGTGCGCTCAGACTAGTACCGCTGGAAGTGGAGGGACAGAAGGGTGTGGATGACGGTGATTCTCATCACCCTAAGAAAAGGCGAAAATTAAACCATCGCGAGCCGGAAGCGCCCTATCCTCAGGTTGCTCCTGAAGCATTTCTCTCTGCCTTGAAAGCAGAGGTCTCGCCCTTGGTCAAAGCGCACTATCACCTTCATCGCATGCCGCCGCCTTACCAACTCACGATTCTGCGACTTTACATTACTCCAAACTCGGCATTTGCACCCAAGCGATCCAAAATCCCTGCCCGGGCCAAGCATGCCACTGATGCCGGCCGAATCATGTACATTGCTCTTCCCGACAGCTGCCCTTACATCTACATCTCGATATCCGGGTCCTCGTCGAGTTCCAGCGGCCGGTTAAACGGCCAAAAGGGCACGAAGGAGGGGACGGTGGCGAAAGTGGACATGGCAGCCATGAAAAGAATCGTTCTCGAAGCTATTCCGAAGGCAGTCTCTCGCCCACAGCGCCGATGGGCGCTGGATACGACGAAGCTCGTGGCCAGGTCCCTCAGGACTATGTGCGAACTGAGAGGAAATCAGAAGCCAGGAACGGGCGGGGGGGCGTACAGCGTCTTTGCGGATGGGGCCAAGACGTCTGAAAAGAGTCCGGTCGATGTTCTCCCGAACGAGGTGGACAAGGAAAACGACGAGAGACTCCGTCTCATTGAGAAGAGATTCGGAAATATGTCTGGAGAACACTATGCGCCACTTGATCGTGTCCACGTTAAGCTCTGCAACGCCATACCAACGGAGGAGGATGGAAGTGAGTCGGCAGACGCAGCAGACGAACGCAGAGGAGACGGCGATATCACTTTGACATTTTCCGGGAGCGATGTGTTCCTGGGACTGAAGAACCTTGCGGCGTTGGGACCGGACTATATGGATCTGGACAAACTGCCTTCGTGGATGACCGGCGAACTGGGTGTTAGCAGTCTGATCGTGTAGGACGTGGTGGGAGGTGAATTCTGGATCTTGTTCCTAGGGTATCTGGATGACATTGGGCTTACGACGTTGACGATCCTGGCTGTACATGATATTCTGGCGCGGAGGTGGTGACCAGGGTCCAGCATCCGCGATGGGAGTGATGTGGTCAAACATGTTGGATCTCGCGGGTCTTTTCCAGTCCGTGAACACGGGGTGACGGTATAGATCCAACCCAGGAGGCCGAGAAAGCATGAATTAGTAATGCAAACATATTTCCTGTCGCCAAGCAAAGCAGCCCATATTGCTATGTTGTGCACATCCCATGCATGCGAACGTCCTATTGATTCCTCTGCGGACACCCACCATGACCTTACGACCCTCAGGGAAGATTCCAACCAACGATCTCCCTTAACCAGCAACGAGATAGACCACCTCGAACTCCCAGCACCAACCGTGGGGTAATACTTCCCGTCTTGTGCGGGATCTTCCCATCCCAGCCTTGCCCCGTTTTTCGTCCGTCCCACGGACAACCTGCGCCCAGGCCCAGGCCTAGAACCAGCCCACTGAACCTCAGGGCAATTGGGGCAAAGCGGTGACGCAGCTAGCCCTTAACGCCGCCTCCATGCCACCGCTATGTCCTTGGACCTGCACAAGCAGCCTTGGGTTGGGTTCCATCTGACCATGCGCTAGTGGGTGATGCCTCGGTCATAATTATTATGTGCAGAGAGGACTCCGTACCACCAACCTCCCTTACCCAACCTAATCACTGTAGATACTCTACTCGTACCTAGCTTGCATAATCTCTTCATGCTTTCTCAAGAAGTGGAGGTCCAAAGAGGGGGTCCATAAAACCCCCAGGCGGGTCTCCCAATGTGTATATCTGGGCGCTAACCTCGTCTCGTACCGGAGGCTTCATGATTTGGAGCGACCAGACGTTGGACCTAGTCCGAATGGCGGCCCGTATCTATTGAATGGATTTCCGAGTACGGGGGCGACCACATCTGAAACCCGTACATTAACGTAACTAGTGAGCTTCTCGGATCGACTCGTACACACACACGGTGGGAGTCCTTGCATCACAATGTCTCCGATCAGTCGGGCCAAATATGTCCCGTACCTAGGTTTTGCAGTAGAGTACGAGAGAGGCTGTTGGAATGTTCAGGGCTTCGGGGGGTGGTTGCGAGGAAAGATGGACGATTGTCGATCATTTGGACGTATACTAACTCCGGGGTGTAGAGAGAGGGAGAGGTCGTTATAAAAAGCTGGTGAAGTATTCAATAGGTATTATCAATTTCCCCTTTTCTTCTCGTTCACATCGTGCCGAGAGAACCCTTGCCTGCGGAACCTGTTACCAGAAGGGAAGCCACATAGAGCCTTGCATCTCCTTGCTTAGAATCCTCCAGCACCAATGCCTGCCAAATACCTCTCGAAGTTGCACGACAAATCCGTCGTCGTCGTTGGCGGCTCATCGGGGATCGGCTACGGGATCGCCGAAGCCTGTCTGGAGTTCGGGGCCAAGGTCGTCATCGCGTCGCGCTCCGCAGACAAGGTCGCCGCCGCAGTGGAGAGCCTCAAGGCCTCGTACCCGGAGCACGCGGCGAACATCCGCGGTCACCCCGCAAACCTGAACACGGCCGAGACGGACGTCGAGAAACAACTCGTCACCCTCTTTGACTTCGCCACGGACAACGGCGCCAGGAAGGTCGATCACGTCGTCGAAACCGCTGGGGACCTCGAGCTGGCGGGGAAGTTGGGCCTCGACAACATCACGCCTGAGCTGATGGCCCAGGCGAGCTCTGTGCGGGTGGTCGGCGTCATCATGCTCGCCAAGGTCGCAAACAGGTATCTGAACAAGGCACCCACGAGCTCCTTCACCATGACCAGCGGTGCCCTCATATATAAGCCGCGCCCCGGATTCGGCCCATTCATCGGCGCCAGTGGGGGTAAAGAAGCCCTGTCGCGCGGGCTGGCTTTGGACATGGCGCCCGTCCGCGTCAATCTCGTGAGTCCCGGCGCGATCGAGACCGAATTGTTGTACTCCGCGGTCCCGCAGGGGATGACGAGGGAGAGTATCGCAGAGATGTACAAGAAGACAAATTTGCTAGGAAAGATTGGCACTGTTGAGGATGTGGTCGAGTGTTATTTGAGTCTGATGAAGAACGGGTTTCAGACCGGGACGGTGGTGCATTCTGAGGGCGGGTACTTTCTGATCTAGAAGGATCATTGAGGCAACGGACACGAGGGGGCCCGATGAGGTTCGCAATTTCGGTATCAAGATAAAGTTGTCGAACTCCAGTGTCGGTGACCAAGCCGTCGTAGATCCAGAAGGATTCCATCACTTGACTGTATGTCGGAAGTCCTATCACAGCATCAATCCCCAGTCCCAGTCCTGCACTCCGGTCCCAATTTGTGTCCCATCACTATTCGCAAACCCTCCTTGCATGCCGGCTTCACCAGCGCCGCCCAGACGACCCATCCCAGCCATAGCTGCGTGGCTCAGACGGTCGCAGTAGATATCGTATCCATCGATGGCAGTGTCGATCTCCGTCATCCAGGGATTCATGCTTGTATCAGTAGAGTCCGGATTAGAGAAGGGGAAGGGTGGGGTGCTGAAGCTGGCATCGGTGCTAGGAAAGGCGGTCCACGAGGTGGCTGTATCTTGCTGGGTCTGCGTGTGTGGCTGTGGGCGGGATTGTTGTGATTGCGCCCGAGGTTTGTAGTCAAGGCTCTCACCACAGAGTCGGTAAATGATATCTCGACACTTCGGGGCGCTTGGGTTCAGATCATTCATTGCATTTATTATGCTCAGAGCCGTCAAGATTTGATTCCTCCACGAGCTGGCATCTAAGTGATTTGGGTTGCGCCGCAGACAGTGGATTGGTATCAAAGCCGCCTGTAGAAGGAAATATCTGCAAGAGCCAACGACGTTAACAAAAATCAGTCTACGAAGAGGATGTCGCTACTACAAAAGGGGAAGACAGCGGTACTTACAGGACGTACCAAGCCGCGAGCCTGGTGTGAGTTCCAGAAGACCAAAACTCGAAAATGGCCGATATACATTCCTCGGCAGCCTTGAAGCATCGTTGCGTCGCAACAGTTTCGGCAGAGGCATTCTGTGACGGTGATACAGGAATCACTGTTTCGTTGTCCAAGCCGTCCTGTGCCCATCGGATCAAGAACGGCCGATACATGATGATACGCATGATCCGAAAGCGCCATCGACTAATGGCATGACCAAGGAGATATTGGTTAGGAAGTGGCAAGTTGTCGTCGCGGAAGTAGGGTGGAAGGCTGTTTAGCCAGCCTTCTATTAGCTCGTCATCGAGAGAGATTAGTTCTGGGGCAGAGGGGATAGGATTGGAGATGAGACGGTTGTAGATTCTGATGGTGTGGAGATGATAGGACGACTGAGTCCGGACGTATGTGTAGATTGTGGCCTCATTGACCTCGGGTGGGTAAGATGGAGAGTCCATCTGAAGGTCCTATGGGTGCTTTGCGTCAGTACTGAAGAAAGGTGCAATTTTGGCAGCAAATTACCTTTTCGTGGACATTCACTGGGAATGGGATGTCAACTCCTACTTGAGGCCAGTTCAACGGCCTGCCGTAAGTTACGGTTGCGCCAACATCCAGCACACAGAGCGACCACCAAACCCTCCTCCGAATTTCCTTTTTGAATGGCGCAGTCTGCCATCCACGAAACTCCTTGTGGAGGCCCAGTGATATTGCGAGCCGTAGCGCAATGCCCCCATAGTTGTAGCCACTGTTTGGTCTGTTTCTCTTTTGCAGGTAGTTTGCAGCCATCGCAAACGCCTGGACGAGACTGAGACTTCCAGTCTCCAGAGAGTTAATGGACAAATTCGCCTTGACACCGTTGAAAAGAGTGACGTGGGTATCGTCGGAGCAGGTACTCGACACGAAGGAACCAAGAGCCGCCACGAGATTGGCTAGGGTGTGCCATGTGCTCCCGGTAGTGCGGCTGTTGAGCTTCGCATACTGTTCTCGGAAGGTAGCTTCGTGGAGGATGGGGAAGGTCGGGTGGTAGAGAGCAAAGTAGGCATCGATGAGGGTGTCGACTACGGCTCGAGTGAACAGAGGCTGTGCCCGAAGCCATGGGGTAGTCGTTGCCGGGTATTCATTCGAGCGATGGCTGAAGAGTTGCTCTAAACTTTCGCGTCTCGCAGTTTTTGGATCCGTCTTATTGTCGGTGCCTGTGCCCATCCATATAAGCCGGAGAAGAGCAGAGCCTGAAACGGACCCCAGAAAGCCAGCATTCGAGTCATCAGCAGTCAATGTGGCCATTCCATCCGTGATTTTGGGAATCTCAGAATCGACATCACCTCCAAACGCTGAATGCCCTGCACCTGGATCCGCAATGTTCCAAGAGGACTCCCGCTCGTCCCATTCAAAATCATCGTCGGCAGCTGGGGGATTCTCCAGTGGGAAAGGGGTGTCGTCGGCCACATCGGTCTTTGAATCTCCAGGAGACTCCAGATGGCTCAGGTTGACCTTCTGATCCGGCTCCGCACTAATCGTGGAGAAAGACTGAGCGCGCTCTGTGTGGCGCTGCGCAGAACTCTGCGCTGGCAACGAGGTTGAGGTTCCAAGCGGAAAGGCTGATGCGGCTGCCCGAGAAGAAGTTTCGGTCGCCGGGTGAGATCCAGCCCTGGATGGGACATCAAGTTTGTTGGTGATGCCGTGAACAAGCATTTGCGACAGTTCAGCTTCCGTAAAAAACGTCTTCAACAACGCCTCCGCTTTCTCCAGCCGCTCTTCAACCTCTGTCAGGTGCCTGTGGATGCATTAGCCCTGAGTACCTTACGGAGGGCGCGGCGCGAAGACGAATATCACTGACTTCCTCGTTAAAGATGATCTGCTGTGCTTGTCATACAGACAATGCCGATTGTAGCGCTGGCAGACTGAACACACTGGCATCCTGCCGTCGCAGCGTCCTTTGCGACGGCGACATTCGCGGCATGATTGGCCAGCGTTTGCGCCGGCGCGGTCAGTCCTTGACGGTTCCGACATGTTGCTCGACCCGGAATCGATGTTCAGCACTCGGTATTGTTGATCAAGAATAGAGAGAAACGGTAAGTGGGATATAAAATATTGTCTTGTGCCATGTTTCGTTTGCACCACAAGCCCCGCCTGGTGCCGCCATGATGTTTTTCGTTAGCTAAGCCCCTGGACATTTTCCACTTTGAAAGCGGCCGCGGGTCCGGAACCGTTTAAGGGCCGCTTAAAGGCTGGTGACGCCAGCCCTATCGACTATCCAAGGCAACCTGGTCCTGGGCAGGCAGAAGTGCCTGGCCTGTTGCAAGATAAATGTCCTTAGAAGCAGGAGACGTGCTGCAGATGGCTAATATGGATCGAATTCGCGAGCCTGGGTCTGTCAAGCCTCAATGCATAGCAGCAGTTGAACAAGACCAATATCAGCTGATTTTGGCAACGAGAAGCCTAGCCTCGTCAAATTTATACATTGTACTATATATATTGTCCTGGACTGCGCGTGCGTGTCAATTTTCCACATGTTCAGGGACTCACCCGTATGACAACCTTGCCAAAGTGTGCCCCTCCGTATAGATACTGAAGCGCTTCTTTGGCTTCGTCGAAGGGGAAGACTTTGTCGACCACGGGTCTGATCTTCTTTCCTTCGTAGAAGCGCATCATCTCTTCAAATCTGTCCCTGGGCCCGTTGAGGATTCCCTTTAACGTGACATTGCGCCGCAGTGCTAGGACATTGGTATTGGTGCGATCGGCAGGCTCGTCCTGCTTCCCGCTTAGATAGCCGATGCAATTGATAAGACCCCCGAATGAAATACAGTCGAATGATTTTCTCAGAGTCTGTGCACCTCCATTCTCAAATATAATGTCGACACCTTCATTCTCGGTCACTTTCATGACGACATTCTGCCAGTCAGGGTTCTTGCGGTAGTTGACAGTGAAGGTCGCTCCCAATCCCTCTGCGCGAGCAAGTTTGGCATCCGAAGAGGAAGTTATGATGGCTTGTAGAATGGTCAGAGATTGCAAAAGATGGTTGCAAAAGCCACTCACTCTTCGCACCAGCTGCATGCGCAATTTGTAGACCGCTTATGGAAACTCCGCCGGTTCCTTGTAACAGGACAGTCTCTCCATGGCCACCTGGATTGTTGATGGGCCTCATTCCGTTGATAGCCATCCATGCTGTAAGTGCGGCGACAGGCAGGGTGGATGCTTCCTCATCATTGAGATAATCGGGCGCTTTGACCAATCCCGTCATTGGAAAGACTCTATATTGCTGGAGTACGCCATCAAGGGGGAGGCCGAGACCGAACGCCATGTCCTTCTCTTTTATCTGGCCGGTAAGATGTGTCTGGTTGGAAATGGAAAGAACACGATCCCCGATGCTCCAACTGCCACGTTCGGAATTCCCAAGTCCGACTACAATGCCACACATATCTGAGCAGGGGACGACCTTTGGGCTCGCTCCAATTGCTTTGTGATGGGTGTAAAGGCCCATAGCAACTAGATATTGGTAGATGATGAGGTTAGCAAAGGGCTGTCCATTGGTAGGCAAACAGCGTACCTTCAGTATCTCGATAATTTAGAGACACTGCACGAACTTCAACGAGCACTTCGTCCTCGCCTGGGACAGGAATTGGACAAGTGGATTTGGTCAGCTTGTCCAAGCCATCTTGGGCGGTTTCCCACTTGATCATCTGTCGCGTATCGGCAGGCATTCTTTCCCGATGCTGGCCGTGCTTCGCTCACAGGTCTTCAGCGTGCAGTAGAAGTTTTATCTCAGCATAAATGGAGAATGAGTGTTAGCTCTTCTTTGGCGCTCCTAGATCCTCATGACATTAGCTCAAGAAACAACTTCAGCCCATTAAGTGGCATGTCGCAGGAGATCTCCCAGCAAGAGTAGTCTCGCTTATGTCCGTCGTCCGAGTGGAGAGATCCCACGAGGCTGAGAGAGCATTCAGAGGACAAATAAAGCCCCAAGGCTCTTTGTGTGAGCGGTCTAGCCCTAGATAGGCAGATGGATTCATTATCGAATGGCAAATGTGATTTGGCGTCAAGCGGCTTTATCCTTCACCGGAGGCTTGTACGGTGGCGCAAGGCGTCCACAGCAAACTGCGGTTCACTGCCATTGTTTAGCCGCAGCGTCTTCCAGTGCAACTCCGTGACAATTGTCCTGTGTAAGATCCGCAAGCACCTATTCTTTGGATAAATCACTTGGTGCACTCATTCACCATGGCGGCGCCGGGGAACATGCACAACCTGACAACTCTCATCAAGAGGTGTGTGATCTTTCTCATGTTCTAGCTTGATTTCGTTCGCCTCCAGCTGGCAGTGCTCCAGAGCCTCGATTGAGATATACCTGTGCTAACTACGCTGCCTGGCCAGACTGGAAGCTGCGACTTCACGACTTGAGGATATCGCAACCGCCATAGATGGTCCAGGAGCCACCGCAGCAAATGGAGTTGTTCCTGCTCTCTCGCCGCCGTCCGCTTCTGCTGGCACCCCTGAGCAAGCAGCGGCCCCTCCAGAACCCTTACCCAAGTCGGTAGAGGCCTTCAATCAGATAATCGAGGAGGATGTTGTGGCTTTTGTCAAGGCTAGCGAAAAGATCGGTGGCCTTGTGGAGGAGCAAGCAAAGGCTGTCAAGGCGGCATTTGAAGCTGAACAAACATACCTCCACGTCGCCGCGAAAGCAAAGAAGCCCGATCCGCAGCCTCCAGAGTTGATGACAGAACTTCACCGGCACACCTCGACCGTCGACGAGATCCGAGAAGCTAACCGACCGTCTCCGCTGTTCACCCATCTGAGTGCCGTTTCAGAAGGCATTGTCGCCTTGGGCTGGATTGTGGAGAAGAGACCAGGGGATTTTGTGACGGACACGCTTGGAGGAGCTCAATATTGTAAGTGTCTCCCCTGCCGCGAAGCCATTTCTCATAGCTAGAGCGTTTCCAGGGGCCAGGTTCTCGGACTGAGACTGGTTTCATATTGTGAACAACGACGCTGACTGAGATCTCATAGACGGGAATAAGATTCTGAAAGAGTACAAGGACAAGTAGGTGGTGTCGTATCGTTCTACTCTATGCGCGAGTCACTGACAAAGGTGGACAGGGATAAGTCACATGTCGAATATATCCAGGCTTACTATAAAGTCTTCCGGTCCCTTGCCGCATACGTGAAGGAGCACTTTCCCACGGGTCTCACATGGAATACCAAGGACGGCATTGACGCTCTCGAGGCCCTGAAACAAATACAGTCTGGCACAGCAACTCCGAAAGCACCAATGGCCGCTGGAGGTCCTCCACCTCCTCCGCCGCCACCCCCTCTGCCAAAGTTCGACGATGATGGTCCTCCGGCTCCTCCGCTACCACCACCAGGAGCCGCTTCGCAGGGTGGGGACATGTCGGCGGTCTTCGACCAGATCAATCAAGGTTCTTCCGTCACTGCAGGATTGAGGAAGGTCGACAAATCAGAAATGACCCATAAAAATCCGTCATTGCGAGGCAGTTCTACGGTACCACATCGATCCGATTCCCAGACGTCAGTCACTGGACGTGGCAAGTCTCCAGTCCCCAACAAGAAACCCGACAGCATGAGGTCTAAGAAGCCTGGCCGGAAGGAATTGGATGGGAACAAGTGGATTGTCGAGAACTTCGAAAACACCCAGAATGAGGTGATTGAGATTTCGGCAGAGCTCAATCACAGCATTCTGATTTCGAAATGCAACAAGTGCGTCTTGAAAGTCAACGGCAAGGCCAACGCGATTTCTATCGATAACTGCACAAGTCTCTCCATCCTGGTGGACTCGCTTGTCTCCAGCCTGGACGTGATCAAAGCACCCAAGGTCCAGATCCAGGTTGACGGAGTGGTACCGACCATTTTACTCGACCAGGTAGATGGTGCTCAGATCTATCTGTCCAACCAAAGCCTGGGCACGGAGATTTTTACCAGCAAATGCAGCGCCATTAATGCTGTGTTGCCTCCCAAGGATGAATCGGAGGACGACAGCAAGGAATTGCCGTTCCCTGAGCAAATACGCAGTGTGATCAAGAACGGAACTCTTGTCAGCGAAATCGTCGAGCATGCGGGTTAGGAGGGGATTGCCAGTATTCTTCTTCGAGCGTGTATCATTAGCGATGGGGTTCCAGGCTGGATCGAATGGTCTCTCTCTCGCAGCTGGGCTGAAAGTTCTTTTGCGTCTGTGCTACTTTAGAAGAGGATGTGGGTAGGATTCTCAAAACATAGCCGTTCCGTGGGGCTTTACGGGAATGTTTCGACTATTTCCATGTTGTCTCGTGGGTGTGATGGATATCAAATTTCAGCTATTGAGCTCTTCCTGAATGTTCCCTTCTTAGCACATCTCCAGCTCTATTCCAAAACTAAATACAAAGAAGTCGTGCGCATGCATTTTGCTGTTTGTATTTTCCACGTTCTATGTAGCACGACATAGTGACTTCTTGTTTCGAGTTCTACTTCTTTCGGGTTTTCCATGTCCGATCTCCTTCATCTAGGCACCGATCTGTCGAGCTCAAATATAGCAGGTAATATATGAGAAGTGTGCTCACATATACACACTCTTGGAGAGTCTCGGAGTTCCATTCCCTTTTGCCATTCCTGCTGAGACTACAAGGCTCTGGAGAGTCTGTTCGAGCTGTCTGTGTGCCCGGTAAAAAGCTGAGAAACACCACATGGCGGTAGAGGGACCAACGGGAAGGATGATCTCAACACGCATCCTCATCATCTCGGACACGCATGCCCATCTGCCTTTACCGGCCGAGGGCTCTACCGTGCCGTTCCACCATCCCCTGCCCGCCGCCGACGTGCTCATCCACTGCGGCGACCTGACCATGAATGGCGAGCTCTCGCAGCACGAAGCGGCCGTGGCGCTCCTGACCTCCTCCTCCGCGGCCTTGAAGATCGTGATCCCGGGAAACCACGACCTCACCCTGGACAGGGCGTACTACCACCGCTTCCCGGGCCTGCACGCCGCCTACGGACCGTACGTGGACACAACCCTGGACCGGATCCGCGCGCTCTACACCTCCCCCGAAGCCCGGGCGGCGGGGATCCGGTACCTCGAGGAGGGCGTCGCGCGGTTCACGCTGCGCAACGGCGCGCGGCTCGCCGTCTACGCAAGCGCCTACCAGCCCGAGTTCTGTAACTGGGCGTTCGGGTACGCGCGGTCTGTTGACAGGTTCAACTCCCCGCGTCATGGAGAACTAGGAGGAGGTGGCGGGCCAGAGTGCCCGGTGCCCGACCACGGAGAGATTGATGTCATGATCACGCACGGTCCCCCGAAGGGGATCTTGGACAAGGTCTGGCGAGGCGAGGGGAGGGACGGGGAGAATGTCGGCTGTGGCCATCTTCGCACGGCGGTCGAGCGGTGTCGGCCCCGGATTCATTGCTTCGGGCATATCCACGAGGCTTGGGGCGCGGTGATGAAGAGGTGGGATGTCGAGCGCGGTGGGGCACCGGAGGGGGTCTACACGGCAGCGGAAGATGGGCTGCCCACTTTCGACGACGGCAATGATGGCACGGGCAGAGGAGACAGGGACGGAGAACAAAGCGGTCCAGTGACGATGTCTATCCGGGGGAGTAGCAGCAGCATATCCCACCCTTCGACCGTCGATCCGAGCCAGCGACAACAAACCCCGGAGCCAGAAACGACGCTGCCCAAAGAGCCCAACCCGCCGTACCATCCCCACGACAACCCAAACAGCTACTACATGTACACCGACCCGCGCACAGATCAGCACCGCCGAGTCCAGCAGGACATGCCCTCCCAGGCCGCCGTGCGCGCCGGCGAAACGCTCCTCCGGCCCGAGGCCTACGAGGACCAAGTGCGGCGGAGGTGCGCCTCCGTCGACGCGCGCGGCCTCGAGTTCGGCAGGGAGACGCTGTTCGTGAACGCGAGCATCATGAACCTCCGGTACAGGCCGCTGAACGCGCCGTGGGTGGTGGACGTCATGTTGCCCGAGGAGCCCGGGCGAGCCAGCGCTGAGGAGTGAGATGTGAAGATGTGAAGAACCATGGAAAGCGTGGAGCGAGGCGACGAGGAGATATAACACAACTCTGTAGAACAAGGACGGACAAGGTAAAAGTATATCTAGTTACGACCGTCTCTGAAAGGATGGTTATATTCAAGACCTGTTGCAAATGGCCCTTTTGATTGAATTAGTCACACATACCTCATCCCTGCAGTACTCCCATCACCCTAACCTTCAAACATCACTTCTTTCTCCAATCCCACCCCTCCAGCAATGCAAGCCGAGGGTCAAACCTGGCCCCTGAAAGGCCTGCTTCCTCCCTGAACAAAGGGTACAAGATACCTCTGAAGGGTCTTCTTCTCCTCCGGGAAGCTCTCCCACCCTGTTCCACAAATTCGCCACTCTGGAAGCTGAGACGTTTGCTGCCGCCGTCGAAGTCTGCGTTAGGCTCGAAGCCGGTAATTCCCAGCTCAGCAAGTAGTGACAGTGCTTCGGCAGGGAGGGTATGTGGTCGTGGAGGTGGGTCGGAGGGGTTGGGCAGGGCAGGTGGTGTCGAGAAGGCGATTGTCAGGTCAGCATGGGATTGTGGGGATGGATGTTGTGTAGGCTCGGAGAAGTTTGGTGTTGGGTTGACAATGCTCAGAGGGCTTTGGAAACTGCTGTCATCGTTGCTGTCGTTATTGATAGAAGTCGAATCCCCCCGCCGCTGACCAGACTCCGGCTCATGCCCCAGAAGCTCGGGGGAATCGAAGGCCAACTTGCCAACCTCATGCCGCGACGCTGGTCTTTGATCAACCAAGCTCGGCGGATCTGTAGCCGCGTTGCCCGCTACACTCTCTAGCACGACGGCAACCGACTCGGCCAGCTTCACATCTTTCTCCTTAGCGGCGAGTCGCAAGACGGACATGCATATGTCTTCATTAGGGATGATATGCATTCCCGTCACATATCCATACCAGATAAATTTTGTAACGTGCGGTTCGCCATGTTCACTCGCCTTGAGCAGCAAGTGTAGTAGCGTCGGCCGGGGGAAGAGAAATCCCGAGTCAGAGAGCTTGTATAGAAGCTGCAGGAGAGCGTCGAAGTCATGCCGCACATCGCAGATTGCATGGATGTAGATGGTCCACAGCCATTGCGGGACTGACGGGCTGTCCTTTCCCCCAATGAAGGATTGTTTCTGAGTAAGCTTTTCGAGTTCGACAGTTGCGAGTTCTAATTCTCCCTCACGTATTAAGGCGAGGATGTTTAGATGGGCGTGGGTGTCAGGAATGGGAAGTTGTTGTGTTGCAAGGCGTGAAACGACGGAGGCGCGGAGATGTGTATCGGGATGTACGGCGAGGACTGTCAACACCGCGAGAAGAATGGGCACTTCCAGGGGGACGCTTTCTCTTTCCATTTCTTGCAGGATCAACTTGACATTGTCGATGGAGCCGTACTCCGGGAAACACTGCCCCAGGATGAGCGCTTCGTAGTGGTCCTGCGTCGGCCTTATTTTCCGTTCCTCAATCAGGATTTTCAAGACGTTGCGCACCGCTCGCGGGTGCGGTGTGTTCCTCGCAATCCACCGCAGTTCTGCTTCGAGGACCGTTGTTGTCAAAGCGCTTCTGATTAATGTCTTCTTGGGCTTGCCGCTGTTCAAGTCTATGCTTGCGGTGCTGTCGGCGCCAGATCTTCTCGCCTCTGACAAGAGTTCTCGAAACCGCTTTGGTTTGCGGAGTCTCCTCATGTATGGTCTTTCGGTGACTGTTGGTTTCTCGTGGCCATCTTGCGTTCCTGCGGTATCATCACCGAGGGATTTCGAGGGTGTTTGAACAGCGTGGGATTCGGGTTCCATGAGAACATTTCGATCGTCTCGTCCCTCATCGCTTGGATCTTCCAACAAGCTCGTGGACCTATTCCCTTGACCCAAAGGCTTCCCTCCCTTACGATATGCATTTGAATTCTCCCCAGTCTCTTCTATTCCATGGCGAAAATCGGCTTTGGACGCCGGACACGCTGACGAGCCTCGACCGCGGACGACACCATGATTATCCTGCTCCGCCTGCCACTCCTCGGCTTCATCGATGTGGGGAAATCCTTGGAATTTCGCATCCGCAAGCAATGTCAAATTCGGCGAGGAGAGCTCTTCGGGATTATCAGGCCATCTCCCTTGGGTTGAGTCGTCTGTGCCTCGATTGACTTGACGCGTAGGACTGGAGGGCCGGGTGATTGTGTGGTGCAAAGCGCGACCACGAAGGGCGGCAACAGTGCAAAAGCTTCGCTTTAGTCCATGTTGGATCAAGGATCTGTGCATCGGCTGTTCATCGCTGACGTCGGAGGATACGAGGCTGCTGCAAAGAATAGAAGTCACTTTGTCCCGCCGGCGCTCGGTAGCGAAAGCAGTGCAAGATGCAATTCCTGAGGCAGATGCCGCTTTTACACTGTCGTCCTGTTTAGGTCTAGTGCTTTCTCCTCTACGGTGCGACGCGATGCTTGGTATGAAGCGCAGTCTCATCGAGGACGGGATGAGGGAGTACCTACGGAGCCACGGAGCTAGATTACTCGAGAATGAAAATCCTTTATTGCTATGGCCGGTTGGGTCTTCGAGAGTGAGCGAAGGCCACTTCAACCTGAGCTTTTGACTGGGTAAGCTATTAGCCGAGCCTCATCGAGCCTCATCGAGCCTCATTGAGCACTCCTGACCATCGCTCTGAGCAATGGGGAGGGCCAATCTGGCTCCAGTGACCGGCACCAGGCTAGAACCATGGATCTCAGCAAGGAATTTGTTCCAAACAGTCAAAGCATAGGCATGCTCGGTGCCATCATGTTGTCGCCTCTAGAGATTTCTCCCTGTCTGCCTTCAAGTCATCAAGCGCTACCCAATGCAATCATCCGATCATCCGGATCGCCTGGCCCCATTTCTCCTCAGTCATACTTAGCTGATATAGGAAATGATATGTGGCTACCATTGACGAAAAGACAACAAGACTGAAAGGCAGACTTGTCGGCCATGTCGGTCGACAGCAGATGGAATATAGCCACATGTGATATTTACTTTTCATGTAGTTGTACATATAACCCTGAACTTTTGGAACGCAGGCGGCGGCAATGTGGCGGCAGTGATATTATGGTATGGCAATAACTATCTACCTATAGGAGGTATAGCTGTGGAGTAGTAATAATGCCAAACAGAGGAGCTGGTGGAGACAGGAGGTATACTGCAGCTCGGCCCACTGGCCTAGCGGCCTCTTAGATATATGCTACAGCGTCCTGGGCTCGGCCGTTGTGAAGCATACTTCGTCATTGTTTCTTTCCGCTTTGGGCATTTTGCTCATCTCACTATAAATTCTGGCCTCGAAGTCCTGGGTGCGACTGCAAACTGTAGCTCGGGTCAATTATCAAGCTGTTGACTTTTGACTGTCAGGTCAAATATTCGCATAGGAGCCAGCTGTTGGATACCTCGCTCAATTGCATAAGGCATCAGAATACTACTGATTCTCGCAGAGATTCAACCAATACCCTATGTTGATGTGAAAAATTCGGCAAGTCATGACACTCGAAATCTTCTATTTGACAGGTGCAACTGGATTGCAGGCATGATAGCACTCACAACAATAGACCCCCTAATTTTCCCACCCGATGCGTCATCCGTTGAGTGTAGTAAAGTATTTGCTCCATCGTATTGGTCTATAGAACACCGATCGACGTCTTTCTTAATAGTTTGTCTTCAAGCCCTAATCCCTTCCCACGGGGAATGAATCCACTACTAAGTCCTCGTCGTTATGATCCAAGCGATTGCGAAGGTCAAGGGCCTGGCTCCGGAAGGATCGAAATGAGAGCACCACACCACCACTTCAACGGTACCTGGAACACGATCCCATACAATTTTTTGGACGTTGTTGCGTTGGTCGGGCGTATTGAGGGGTGGCCTAATGTCGGGAACTTGGTAGGCGGTGTCGTTTCCATAATGAGTCATGGCGCCAGAGGTTGCTTTGAGGGAGATGACATTCTGCAAGGCCGTGCCTGGGCTGTCTGCATAGCACATTGTCACCGCCAATGTTGACGTGACACCCGGGGGTATTGGGAGTGTGTACCGATGGCTAGAGCCTGCCGGTTCCAACTCCGACGATGCGAGAGGGAGACCGCCCGGAATGTCGGCCGTGATGGATTGGCGGTCATAACAGGTACCCACTTTGGTGTCCATGGCAAGTAGGATGGCTCTAGGGATGTTAACGCGGCCAAAGCCTTGAACGGCGTCAGGAGCCGGATTTACACTCGGCGGAGCGGGTCGGGCGGCTCCTCCTGATGATGATCCTGGAGCTGGAGCTGGAGCTGGAGCCCCGCCTCCATCCGCTGGCATTGCTCGGGGGGGCGAGGCAGCAGGGTCGTCGCTGGTTTTGAGGTCATCGGTTGTATTGATAAGGATCGCTTTGAGCAGCGCAGCACTTGGTTGTGTAATTCCGCGTCTTTCCTGAATTGCCTCACGCAGAAGTGCTGCAGCTCCAGCCACCATGGGCGCGGCCATGCTGGTTCCACTGTCGAAGAAATAATCGTCGTCCCACGAGGAACCGAATTTCGAACCCAGAGCGGCTCTGCCACGGGCTTTGGTGGACAAGATGGCGACACCGGGTGCAACAACGTCGGTCTTCCAGCGAAACGGAGGTTGGTGCACAATGGAGTTGTTCGTGTATGCTGGATCACGGCTACTGAAGGAGGCCATTTTGCTCGGGTTGCCATCTCGACAAAACCTGTGGTACCTGAGCTGCCCTCCGCCCTCTGGGCGCCATTTCAAAGGATTTTTTGTTTCGCAGGCACCTACCGTCAAGACGTTCTTAGCAACTGCTACATCCTGTATTTGACCGTAAGGGCTTTCCTTAAGGCCAGAGTTGCCAGCCGCGACAACAACCAGCATCTCCGGATTCTCCCATATAAACCGGTCCGCACCGGCGGCGAGACTGCTGTCATATCCCCCTGGCCGACGCGTGGTGAAGTCTCCCGCTATGCTGTGATTGTAAATTTCATTCGCGAGTTCTTGGACCATGGCGAGACATCGTGAAAATCATGCTGAATCAAAGAAGAGTCGAGCCTCAAGGCAGTATAATTGGGCTGCGTATAAGGAGATATCTTGATGTTCTTGTCATCGCAATTTCCTGGACACAATGAAAAGGCATCAATGTACATTGGAATGCACACGGTCTCTATGGGATGCGGTGTTGGACTCGCCATGATCGATGTGAATTTGGTTTGAAGTTGCAGGTCGGCACTTCGTAGGCCTTGATCTAGTCAGAACAAGTTGAGGCCTCTCCAAAATCCTACTACTAGTCTACTACGTAGATTAGCCTCCTAGTACTAGTTAGGTTTTAGGCTAATCCTGAGACGTTCCTGGAACGCAATCGGCCTCAGGTTCAACAGTTATCAAGTCGTCCTGTTGCTATTGCAAACCATATCATTGCCCGGACTGCTATCTGGCCTGGAGTCCAGGACTTGTCATCTGTCGGTGTCTTCCCGCCTAGGTAGAAAAATATGTTGCTTCTGTGTGTTTCTGTACATTGGAGCATCTCCGTTCGGAGTGCCGTCCATTTGGTGCATCGGAAGAGAAAATGCTCGACTGTCTCCCTCGCTTGTCCGCATGCACATAGATCTGTCGGAGCGGCGTTGATGCTGTGAAGATAGCCAAGGTGTCGGGATGATCAACCCCCAGCTCCTTCTCCCCTTCCCGCCAGCGCCCGTCGATTGAGCGTTTCTGTCTAGATCGAAACTCGAAGATCAGGTTCTGTTGGTGATTTGCCGTGGCGGGGAGATAGCCTTGTTCAGAGAACCTTTGGCACTCAAAACCAAACCTCCTCCCTAGCTTCTGCCGTCGTTGAATTGCGTCAGCCCGACAGAAGCCTTGTCAGGCTGACTGATGGCCATATTCCCTGAACCGAACGTTCACACCTTTCTCGAGGTTGAGAATGTTGCGACGCCAATCGCCCCCCACCAGTCCGAATTACAAGCCCGGTGAAACTGTGCAAGGATATTGGCGGTGGCCTTGGGCGGCATCGCGACAATCAAACCTCGGCGGCACGCACGCACGTCATGGTTCAAACTGTGGTTACAGATACGGCCCGGGAGCATGCGGCACCATGACCCCGATGGGTCTCGAAATGGGCGAGCTGCAGCTCCTCTGGGTGAAGACAAGCGATTCGTGTCGCAGTTCGTCACACCGGTCGGCGAAGCCAAAAATTTCATCCCGCCTTCTCACTTGACTGCGTGAACGGCCGGCGAGGATATAGACCAACGAGAACGGGCCACGTCTTCGCGTTCACAAGCCGAAGAGCCTCCTTCAACTGATCCTTTGTCCCAACCAATTATTCTCGACTTGGGGACGTTAGACAGCACCAGCTGGGAACAATGGCTGATACTGAACGCTCGCGAAAGTAAATTGGTTCCTCTATCCATGCGCAGGGCGCAGACCTGCAGGAGGTGCACTGTACCCTCATCGTCTCCTGTCAGGCAAAGCCAGGAGCTGTGCTTTCGCCGCCGACTCTGACAACAGGCGTGTCCCGATTCGTCCCATTCGGCGCACGTGATCCGCAAATGCATAGCTTTCACTCCCGACGGAGTAAGACGCCGGCCCTCATGTCGAGAAAGCGACGATCCCGCAGGTGATCGCACTTTATAAGTCTATCGTTACCAACTTTAGTTCGGCTTTTGGTCTAGGCATAGACGCAACCCCGCAACCCATCAAGTTGCATAAACTATTGCGTCTAACTATGTCCGGAGTCAAGCGAACACTAGTGATAAAAGAAGGGGCAGGGGAAGCCATAACTCCAGGTAGCTATCGTCCCCAAGATTTTGACAATACGGAGCGACTTATTACGGTACGGGGTCAATTTACTCGGAGACAACAATCCCTCAGAATATATAAAAGTGCCGGACTCTCTCGACCAGAGGGATTATAACTACTCTTACTATCCAACTTTAGCTAGTGAAGGTCTATTCTCTAATTAGCAACGGTATATACGTACCGTCTACGTCTCCCCGGTTCGAGAAATTCCATAACCCGTCCATTACCTCATCTCGGAAGGGTCGAGGATCCTCATTCCAAAGAGAAAACAAAAGAAAATCGTTCCTCATGGAGCACGCGGGCAACGTGGTTGGTAATCGGCTCTTCTTGCGCTTTATCCCCCCCCCCTCTTCTCCCCCGGCGGCCAAAAGATGAGGTAAAGTGACGAGATTGCTTGTGTGCAGTTCAATACAGGTTTCGTGATCATAGAGGATCTCCTGCGAGCGATGCGTGATGACTTCCGGACAGAAATGACGAGAATCAGGGCCGAGATAACTCGCAATGTGGATATGGTCAATGCACACGTCCGGGCCCTGGATCAAAGGCTTCGTATCATAAGCCAGAGTGTTTCGACCGCCGAAGGATATCCAATCGTCTTGCGCCAACAATTTCATGCGATCGACGTGAAACTGAACGCTCTTAACGACGACTCTATCACCGCACAAGGAAAACTCGACCGTATCAGTCACGCTCTCACAGCGACAAATGATGCCAGTACTCTGGCAGGATGCGTCAATGTCGTGAAGCGGAGCCTCACGGCGGCAAACGGCAACCCCATCATCCTTCATGAACAGCTGGACCCTATCAGCCAGGCACTGACCAACAGCGACGACCCCCACACGGTGACCGCGCGCCTTGAGACGGTTACGCGCAGCCTCACAGCCGCAGACGGTAATCCTGTGCTTCTGCGTGAGTCACTTGATACCATCAATCGAGCACTCACAAACCACGACGATGTGACCACCGTAGCTGGACGTCTCAAGGTGGTCAAGCGGAGCTTAACGCCTGCCAACGGGAATCCCATCATCCTCTATGAACGACTAGATGCCATTCATCGAGTCCTCACAGACTGGGCCGATACGAATACCATGGCGGGACGCCTGGAGACGGTCAGGCAAAGCCTTACGACTGCAGATGGTAACCCTGTCTCCCTTTACAATATTGATCGGAGAGTCACCACGGTCACACGGGTCCTCATGGATGAGGACGAAGGGCTGATGGCTCGGTTTAATACTATCCGCCAAACACTTGCAGACCCCGGCGATCCTACTACTGTAGCCGGACGACTGGAGACGGTCAGGCGGAGCGTGACGACCGCCGACGGGAATCCGGTGATCCTCCATGAACGACTCGACACCATCAGCGAAGAACTCACAAATCGGGACGCCGTAGATACCGTGGCCGGACGCCTGGAGTGGGTCGGACGGATCCTGACCACCGAGGATGGGGAGCCGATCCTCTTACAACAATACCACCATGACACTCGGCGACGTCTCGAGGAGGTTTTCCGGCCGCTTCAAACAGAGCTTCGAGCAGGGTTAGTGCATTTTCTACCCCAGAGTGACTCGTGACTCTGAACGTGTCCCAGCCACTTTAATAGCGCCGCCCGCGCGGTTAATGCGAAGATTACCTGCTGCACGACGCCCATCTACCCCTTTCACGGCGTCAACAATCAGCGAATACCAGGGTTCCCCCCCACGTACCTTCACCTGAAAGGACTCAATGGTCAGTCCTAGCCCTTGGCTCACGTGCGTTCCCATCTACTGTTGACTAAGTTGGAGGTTAGAAGATCTGTTGAATAGAATCTTGGAGAGTCTTGGGTTGAGCACAGCCGGCACCCTAGGCCAGAAGCGAAAACGTCTAATGGTATATGTCGGGCTGCAGTTTAGGTCTTGAGGAGGATGTCACCCTCGAAACCATTCTCCGAGGAACACTGACGACTGTCGGCAGTGGCGCCAGCAGGCTTCAAGGCGGGGGAAGACGTGTATGGCGAAGGAGATGTATACTTTAGGTGAGTGTTAGGCCTGACCCAGAGCATTCTGGCTCGCTAGTACGAACGCTATGAGTGGCTTGGCAAGACTGCTAGATTTGGGGGTCCGGGTTTAGGTACGGGCAGGACTATGTTCCTTTCTCAACCGTCCCCCACTGATTCAGCATCTGACTGCGTGTGGAAGCGTGCATCTTTCTGCATACCAGATATTGAGTATCATCCAGCGGTCTTGAAAAGGGACTGAGGCCTCCCGAGTTAATAGCAATAAGGAACGGCACCAAGAATAAATATAACTGCTCCAGGTGAAGATCTTGGTAGATTTCAAGCGAAAAGGGGATTGAATGGAAGTATTTCAACCTCGCTGCCTGCCCGGGCCGCGTTGCCCATATCCAATGGCAAGCGAGCGCGCTGAAAAACGACTCCCCCTTGGGAAGTGCTATTGAGATGCACCGAGCATCATGCGCTGCGGCCATGCTGCACCATCTGGCCCGAAGCAAGAAGGAGCTTGGCTTGCTCGTCGCTGGGTCCTTTGTCCGAGCGATTATGAACCCGCTCCCAAGAAGGGTCTTCATTCATGGCTCCAACTATCGACAAGCCCTGGAGCGAACGATAGAATTGTTGGTCATGTTCGGAGCCAGCTTGCAGTCACTATCGTTCAATGGCCTCAAGATGACGGCCACTTATATGGCTACGAGGTATGCGTCATTGGATGCTGTTAAGTGCCTCCTCGATATCGACGCAAATGAGCATGTGAACACCATCTGTGACGCTTTTGGCTACACGCCCCTCCACGAAGCCATTCGACGTGGCTGTACAGAAATCTTCTGGCTCCTACTCAGTTGTGGTGCTGACCCACGCATTGGGTGGAAGCTTCACGGCAGGGAACTCTCGACATTGACTGTGTGCACGAAGTCAATTGAGGTCAGCAGCCGCTGTTGACATGGCAGAGTATTTGTTATCCAACGAAGGCCCAAAGATGCTCAGTGATTTGCTCGACGATCACCTCCCACAGATTCTCGCTATCCAGTTCCAGCAATATCAGCTGGCTGATTGTTTCCGTTAACGGGGCGCTGATATTAACTGGGAGTTCACAGTCGAAGGCCACACATCCACCTTGTTGGGGCACATCATTGCTACTCAGACTTCTGGAACTTACTTTCAATCAGCTCTGCGATATCTACTTGGTGGACAAGATCATAGCAGACCCTCGCCTTTGTTTGTCGTCTGTTGGCAGACCAAGGAGACTGTTTTTCACTACGAAGTCAAGAAAAGGATTGCACTCAACTCTTGCACGGGCCTCCCGCGGACTGACAAGCGTGCAGTTCTTTGGCTCTTCGCATGCCCTACATCGAGCAGGAATCTGCCGCCGCGTACATCCCCCAGTTCAATTCATGATGCAGGCTCATCCAGACTAACTTGAGCCAGCACCGCCGCCGCAATTAATCTGCATGGAAGTCCTTCTGGATCTTCTGATGAGCAAGAGAGAAAAGATAAGGCTTCTGCTGAGGGCATCACCACCGACTCAACCATGCCGCTCGACTTCCAAGAGATTGCGGGAGCTCTCATGCGCTAGCGCCTCTTACAAGAACTAGGACCTCTTGACTTTGAAGAGCTGCACAATTTTCACCGGTATAGAATCCGAAGCGACGAGCCTCCAAGTGTACTGAGCTCTGCGCCATTTCGCACCTGGTTCGGCGAGCGTAAGAAGATATTTTGGTGCTGTGGTATCGGTGAGTCCTCCTAGTCCGTCCGTTAGACAGTCGCTGATGATGGACATAGCTGGCTCGGGGAAGACGACGACATGGTGAGATTCCTAACTTCCTTAGACAAGCGCAGTGGCCTATTGATCCCAGTGTCAAAACCATCGAGCACATTCATCAGGAGTATGGCGACAAGGGAGATGTGGGTGTCGCTGCCGCGTATCTTGAACGAGATTGTACTAAAGTCCTGACTCCCGTCAATGTCGTGGGGAGCCTGTGGCGGCAACTTATGGGTTCGAGAGCTCCTATCTCTGACCGAGTAGCCGACATATTCAATGAGAACCGCCCTGACTCCAAGCAGCCGGGCATTGAAGAAATGACAGAGTTGCTGAAGGAAAAGCTGAGCAGTTTCGACCGTTGTTTCATCATCATTGATGGCCTAGACGGATACTATGACAGTGAGGCCGAGCAGATACTACTGCTTGAGACACTGTTCGCATTAATCGATCATGTCAACATTCCGGTGACATCTGACAGAACAGACCGAGAGGAGATGTCTGAAGGCCTACATTTCACTGTGACTGTCCAAGCCCGAGAAGTTGAAGAAATGGTTCATGGCGAATTGACGTCGCTCTCGCAAGATCAGCTCTTGTCCTGGAGCGTGAATGATGCAGCCAGCAAGATCTCAAAAGCGACAGGCAATTGGTAAAATCTCCCGTACCCCTTCAAGCACTCGCGCTGACTGGGGCGGATTAGCTGGCTGCTTGCCAATTTACGTCTTGATCGAATTCGATCTGTCAACAGCGCCGCAGAGGGCGACGTGATATTGCATGATCCACCCCAAACGCTACCTGAGGCGCATTTGAAGGCGACTGCCAGTGTAAAGGAACAGCCTCTGGCAAGGCAGCAGATGGCCAGCAAGGTATTTCGCTGGCTTCTTCACACTCTCCGACCACTGCGTTTCGCCCAAGTCCAAGCACTTGTCTCGTCTACCTCCAACACTGAGCCCACATTCCGCCTTCCACCACCGCCGAGGATCTGAAGGCAGCTTGTGCCCATCTCACCCTTGTCGATGAAGACCGAGACGTCATCAGGTTCATCCATCCCTCAACAAGAAGCTTCATATCATCAAGCAGCCTCGTGGGTAGCACGGACGCCAATCTAGCCCTGGCTCAAGATTGTCTCGAGTATCTTCTGCATCCTCAATTTGAAGATCCATTCCAGCTGCGAAAAAGTCAAATGCGAGTCACGGTGAAACGATATCCTTTCCTCGCATACGCAGCCATGTGCTGGGCGGAGCACTGTTGCAAAGCTGAGGCGAGATCTTCGTCGCTGGACGACAACATCGCCGAGCTACTCAATGATCCACCGAAGGTGGCATTCTTGCTAGACGTAGTGGACTTCTGCAAAGTCGGCGGCGGACGAGGCGCGGCCGACATGGCCCGTGGAGCTTCGGGCCTCTGGATCGCCGCCTCCTGCGGGCTAGAGGTCGTTGTACAGAAACTCCTAGATCTCGGAGCCGAGGTGGACGCGAAAGACACGTCGCCGAAGCTGTCTCCTCCGGAGCAGGCGGTCCGGCGAGAGCATTTCGGCACGACATCGTTGCTGGTCGAGGCCGGAGCGGCAGCGACTGGCATTGATCTCCACTTCGCGGCGTACCATGGGCAAGCGAAGTTGGTGCACCGCATGCTCGAGCGTGGAGCGCCTGCCAACGTCCGTCCGAGCGGATCGACGAGGTGGAATCCGGTTGAAGTAGCATTGCTGCACGAACATACCGAGACTGCGAGTGTCCTGTTTGATTTTGGGGCAAAGTTCCAGGGCCCGATTCAGTTTATCGACATGTGGGACATGATGCTCCCGACGGTTCTGAATGCGGCCTGCCGACATATTGGTATTCGGCGGAATCGCCACTCGATACGTCAAGATGATATCGGTCACCAGCCTTTTTCAGTCGACTCTCACGGGCGTCGAAGCCGGATTTGGGTTGCCAGTTACACCGGATATTCAGAAATAAGTCCTGTGCCTTCGCATCTGCCTTCAGGCTATCCCCGAGGATGATGGGATACTCTTGACTGGCGAGGATCCACCAGGCCTGAAGGCTTGCTCGGCTGGATGGCAGGCGATGCCATGGTGCTTCGCGGGTCTCTATCAGTCCTTGAACCTTTGTTTTCGAAAGGCCACGGTCTCCGATGCGACGCCAATGGATAGTGTCTTCCGCGCGGCTGGGAGTGCTCTTCGATGCCAGCAGCTGGACCACTTTGACTATATCGTGGACAAATACCTTGATATCAACTACCTTTATCGGGGCTCAGATGGGCTCCTTTCGTTGGCGGTTGAAGCCGGGTATCCGAGAGTGGTTGAGAAGCTTCTTGTGGCTGGCGTGAAGGTGAGAACGATGGACTTGCACGTCTCGGTGTCGGGTGGAAACAAAGACGACGACTCCAAGTCCCTCTTCCACAGCCTTCTGAGCAAAATCGACGACCTGAATGCCTTGGACGGCTTGGTTCGACAATACTGCACACTGCTGCCCAGAATAGTAACCTGTGGGCTGCAGAAATTCTACTCGGGAAAGGGGCGAATGTCAACATCAAGTCCAAGTCTTGTGCGAGGCGGTAGAGGGCGGAAGTCATGCGATGGTGCGCCTCTTTCTACAACACGGGCGCGAATTGACCGTCAAAAACACTTTGGACAAGACGGCACTCTCACTGGCCACGGAGAAACAAAATGAGTAGGCCATCTCTGAAATCCTTGAGTGGGGCAAGAAGCTCGCAATCGACCCTTGGGAATTGACGCAGGCTGCGTTGGAAGAGGCCGCCTAGAAACACTTCGGAAGGAGCTGGAGACCTTACTCGCAGTAGAGCCTGATGTGGCACGACGACCGGTGAATGCGACCCAGCTGATTCCGTTCTGCATCCGGAAGAAATATGACTTCAACGAAGACGCCATCGAATTGACCGCCGAGTTAGAGTCCATCATCCACATCCTCACCGCCAACGGGGCAGACTTCAACGCGCCGGTGGAGGAGACGATGCCGTTGCCCATGGCCGTGGCGAAGGAGTCGGAGGGCCTGGTGAAGCTCCTGCTGCTCAAAGGGGCAGACCCCAACGGCCGTGGTTGGCAAGGACTTACCGTTTTGCATGAAGCAGTTCAGAAGAAGAACGCGGAAATCGTTGAGATGCTGCTCGATCACAAAGCACGGCCAAACGTCGTGGACCACCACGGACACGCGTCTCTGCATGATGCCATTGCGAGCGGTCTCTCAGAGATCGCGATCCAACTCCTGAAGAAGGGGGCAAGCCCGGCCGTCCGCGAGCGATGGGGCAAGATAGCCATGAGCGAGTGCCATGGAAAGGTCAACGCTGAGGCCATGGAACTTCTCAGGTCGTCAGTTACCCAGTACGAGGAGGGCGAGACCGAATGGCATCGCGTCGTCACGCAGCTGAAGTCCACCACCGCCCTCGAGAAGCTACAACGGTGCCCTGACGCCAACGTGAAGAGCAGCTACGGAGAAAGCCTGCTGTACCGCGCGGCCGACAAAGGCCGCACGGCCATCCGTGAAATCCTGCTCTTCAAACAGGCCGAGGTTGACAGTGAGACCTGGTTGGCGCAGACTCCCCGATGGCAGTCGCAGAAGCGGGCCGTGTGGACGTCGCCAAACCTCTTCTCACCTGGGGCGCGAACGTGGACCACATCGACTACTACGGCATGACGGCGCTACATAGAGCCGCGCCGGGAGGGCGCAAGGCCGTCACGAAATTACTTCTGCAGCAAAAAGCCGACTTCAAGATCGAAGATGGGAAGGGGTTCACGGCACCCCGCCTTGCCGCCATGCGAGGGCATCTGAGCGTCGTGAAGCTCATTGTTGAGGAGGATGGTGACGCCGCCACCGTCGTTGTGCGCCAAGCGGACACTCGCACGTCCTGCCTGCACGTCGCAGCCGAGCACAGACACGGTGGCATTGTCCGCTGGCTCATGAAGCTGGGCTGTCCACCCGACACGGAGGAGAGCGGCGGTTTCACGCCCCTCGGATACGTATCCATTGTGTGCACCCTGCTGGACCACGGCGCGGACGTGCTGGGGAAGGGAGGGATCATGGGGCCCCTGTACATGGCTATCGACCACGGCCGTACGGATGCCGACGCTGAAACGAGCACCCTGGTAGTGTGCCAGACGCTACTGGAGCGCGGGGCAGACGTTCACCAGTCGAGTCTTTTCGGTAGTACGCCCCTCGACGCGGCGGTGTCGTCGGGGTACCTCCACGTCGCGAAGCTGCTGCTGGACGCTGGCGCCGGCAGGCCGCGGCCGCAGGTGGCGGAAGGGGGCCGAGGGCGAGAACGTAAGCATCGGCAGGTGGCTGTCGCAGGGGCCCGTGGCCAAGGCGGCTGGCAAGGGCGACACGGCCATGGTACGACTGCTGCTGGACTCCGGGTTCACGGCGGACGACGTCAATCCCCACTCCGGCAGCGCGGACACGGAGCTATCGGCGGCGGCGGCGGCGGGTAGCCACGTGGACGTGCTGAAGCTGCTGCTGAGTCGCGGGGCGGACGTCAACGCTCTTCAAGGCGGCGGAGAAGGGTCAGCTGGAGGCATTGAGGGTGCTGTTAGCGGCCGAGGAGACGGGGTCTGGATCGCCACATGGAGTCGTATGGGGCGACGGTGAGGCATGCGCTGTTTGGGTTGGGGGATCAGAGGGTCACAGGGTGTTCTTGGAGGCGGGCGTGTCGATGCCTCACGATGCGTGCGTCGTAGGGGAGTAGTGCGTAAGTGACAACGGATCTGGTCACGCGAAGAGTTTGGTTTCCTCTTACCTGTCATTGACTCGGACCCAGAAATGCAGGGACCTGAGGGGCCGGGGGAGGGGGAGGAGGAGGCAGTCGGTTCAGACTTGTGGTCGGTTCTGCGGTGGTTGAAGATGCTAGAATGGCATGTAGCGCTCCTCCAAGTAAATTTTCTCGTGCAATCTTTACCCCCTAGTGGCACCGTCTTGAGTGAAGCAGGCAGCACAAGGTGAGGCGGAAATCAGGAGAAGCCAGAAGCGTGAAGTCTGGGGCTAGCGAATACTTCCGCCTACAGCGCAAATTTACGGCGCGTAAAGAATATCTCGCTATGAATAGCTATAGCGTTCTCTAATCTATCTAGCTAGTAGCACTTTAATAATAAATTACCCGTTAGGGAAGCTCTAATTATATAACCTTCCTATTTCTACGCGATGGTTATAGCCTTAGTAGGCGGTTTATGCCCTCCGAAAGACTAACTCAGGACTAATAACAAGGGCGACCTGGCTCATGCAAGGTCAGACGCGGGGTGTTGCATTCACCCAACGTCTGTCACACGCAAAGAACCACAGTCGCAAGGCTAACGCAAATACTCCAGAGCCCAAGCATTTAAGGCGTCCTCAATACGCAGATGAAGGGGCACATTTCTCGTCTAACCATCAGTCCTCGGTCGACAAAAGAAGCGAGACCGGACGAGCGACCGGCGGACCACGAGTGGAAGCGACATCACCTAGACCATACTTAAAGGCTTACGAATATCCTGCTCGCGGTGTTTCGATAAGAATCACTTGGAGTCTGGCTGGCGCACGCACTTGGCTCGTTGTCAGCAAGAGGTTTGGCCTACTACCGCGTCAACGCCACGCCTGGAGACCTTCATCCTGCAAACATCGCGCTGCGCAAAGATGGCTTCCTCGACCCCAGCCATCGTCATCATCCCCGGCTCCTTCTCCACAGCTCAATTGTACTTCGACGTGGTCGACAGAATACAAACGTTGAGCGGCTCCAAGTCGGTCTTCGTCAACAACCTCCCGTCCGCGAGCCGCAACCCGCCCGAAGACCCAGCGACCCTGGACGACGACGCGAAGTTCTTCCGCGCCATCATTGAGAAGGTGGCGAACCAGGGGAAAGACGTCGTGGTCGTGGCACACTCCTACGGCGGGGTCGTGGGCACGGAGACTCTCAGGGGAGTGGGCAAAGCTGAGCGACAGGCGCGTGGACAGCCCGGGGGCGTCGTGAGGCTCGTCTACCTCGCTGCCCATGTGCCGTCGGCGGGCCATTCGCTGAAGAGCATGGTTGGAGAAGCTCCGCGCGAAATGGTCGAGACCGGAGAGGTAGGTACTTGCTGGTGTGCCCGCTCCAGTGACTTGGAAAACATCGCTCCCATGCGCTTCCGTACTGAGCACACGCGGGTATTAGCTAACAAACCCTCCTCAGGACGGCTTCCTAAGACTCGTGGGCACCGACATCATCGCCAAAGCCACCTTCCCCGACCTCGAATTCGACAAGGCCGTCGCGACCGTCAGGTCCATGTCCCGCCACTCGGCCCTCAGCTTTGCCAGCGAGGTCACGTACCCGGGCTACAAGCACGTCCCGGTCTCGTTCATCGTGTGCGAGAACGACATGATCATCCCGCCGGACCTGCAACGCGGGTATATCGAGATGATCCGGCGCGAAAGCGGGAGCGCCGTCGACGTCCACACGCTCAACACGGGACACTGTCCCAACACAACCGCGCCGGACCAGTTGGCCAAGGTCATTGTCCAGATTGCGGCAGCATCGGTATGAAGTGGGACGTTGTCCAATTTGAGACATTCAAGGTGATTTCACGCCCAAAAAAAAACAATACGACATTGAATAGTAAGAAAAGGGGATCAAACTCCCTCAGGCCAGGCACCTCGGGTATCACAACGGGCGAAAGAAAACAGCTTTTCACCGCCTCGAGCATGAGTAAAACACAATATGCCTGGGGATTCTCGGCGTGTCAGGTAGATGGTCGTGTTGGTGGACGTCGGTCTCAATGTAGTGATGGCCCAATTCGCTTTCGTGGCACACAACCCTAGCGACGTATGTTGCGACTAGAGCAAAGAAAGAATTGAAAATTCTCATGAATGCTGCTTCAATAAATAAAATAAAGGGATTCTTTCGTCTTCTTCCGTGCCTATATCATCAACACTCCGTCTGTTTTCGGAGATGCCGCCAACCGACAAGGTCCGCGCATGAACAAGCCCAGCTTCACCCACCAAGTGACGGATGAGGTCCCTTGAATTATAAGCTGCGCCATGATTGACCACAGGTTGGAAACATCGAATAGGTCCCAGCAATGTAACTCTTACAAGCGACGACGCCGAATTCACCGGTTTTACCGGTTTTACTTTACAAATTTCAGATGATCCGCGCCACAAAAAGAAATTCTCCAGTCCGGATCAGCCGCGAATGCACCGGGTGCGAGACAGTATGGCCACATATTCCTCAACAATGGACTCCTCAAAACTGAGTCTTCGCTAGCTGTCACTCGTGCGTGTCCTTGGTGACAATAGTCGATCTGCCGGTCTCCAAACTCAGCCTCGGGCTGCAATCAACGATACTGCTTTCTGGAGTATCATCCGTATTGCTGGGTGTATATCGAAAATCGTCGACGACCACTATTTCTCCTTCAAGCTCTTCTTCATATCGAGGTGGAGGTGTCACGTATGATGGGGCAATGTCGGAAAGCCCGCTGCTCCCGACGCCAGCATCGAGTTCCGCAGGTTCAAATCCTTCCCGATCACAATGTCCACGATACCCCGACCTTGATCGACCTTCTTCAGCCTGCACTAGATCCCTCACGAAATCGGAGGCATTTCGAAGCGTACGGATTTCCTTTTGTAATCCGTCGTCCCCCTCTTCTAGAAGGCTTTCTTGATCAAGGATCATTTCTCGCTTCTCCTCGTAGTCATTGGTGCCTGGGTTTCGGAAACCTTTCCACCAAGTCCTCCATTTATGCTTACAAGCAGCTTTGCGGTAAAGTCTCCTAGTACGACGCTCTTCCCACCGGGCTGCGCGCTCAGCCCGTCGTCGAGGATCCCTGAAGGCGATTATGGCGCGGATGACTAGACCAGACAGTATGACAAGCAGTACCAGCAGAAGGATTGCAAGCCCTATGCGATATTCTAGAAGGCGCCGATGTTCAGGGACAAAAGTTCCCAAGTTGGGTGGAGGCCCGTGAGGGTGGCTTTGAGGGCCGAAGCCAGGGGGTGGACCATGATGTCCCGCTGGCGGACGAAATCCTGGAGGCGGACCATGAGGTGGTCGGAAGGGAGGATGATCCCCACCCATGAATGGAAAGTGAGGCCGATGTTGACCTTCTGGGAGGGGAGTTGCTTCTGGCTCATTGGGTGGCGAAGTGGTAGTAAGTGGTTCCGCCAGCGACTGCGAAACTGGTGCGGGTTCCTCGTTACCAGCGGCAGCAGACGCTTCCTCTGGACCGTCTTCTTGTAAGATGCTGTCGACCGCAAAGCTTTCCTGGACTTCCGCGGAGCACGGTGATTGTGCATCACCATCTTTGCAACCACCATGTCGATTGCTATGATGGGAGAAGTGAGAGCTAATGAGTTTGGCAATGGTTGGAACTTCACTCATAGCGGTGTCCCACAAGCACTTCATGCTTGAGCAAGCTTTGAACTCTTGCTTGAGGAGAGAGATAATTTTTGTCTCGGTTGTGCGTATCTGCTCATGAAGGGCACCCATTTGATTTATCAATTCTTCAAGTTGAGAATACTCGGCTTGCAATGTGGTGTCAAGGGAAGAGGTAGGATCTGAGGCATTGGGAGTGATGGAGAGTCTTTTATCCTCGGACAAGAGCCATTCGTCACAGAGGTTCTCTGAAACCTGAGCTATAGGTTTGTCTTGGAGACGCAGTACTGCGGGTTGGCCTTTCTGCTTGAAGGAGGTGGTGAATCCAGAGGTATCTTTGAAGGGGTCATTGCCGACGATTCCCTCGAATCGAACAGAGATTATGGAAGCTTCACCCTTTAGACAGGTTGACTCCCAGGAAGCATTGACCTCGCGTTTGGCCGAGCCATCAGAAGACTTGGACATCAAGGAAATCTGACCGTTGGCAACGACATTGCCGGATCTTAGTGGAATGAGAGGAAGTCCATTCAGACGTGGAGGAGAATTAGAGCACTCCTCTTCGGCGGAGTCGATCTCAAGGGTTAGCTCCTGTGAACGCCAACGTCAACGACACCATCCCCCAAGACATGACCGAATCGGACACAACCTACCACTCCATCCTTTGTGTCGTCAAAACATTCCCGGCAGGGAGCATGGAAGTGAATGGTTAGGTGATTAAGATCTGTCGCTCGTCAGCCAACAACACGACTGCGTGAGTGGCATCCACTACCTGTTGTACCAGCAACAGTCGTGATGTCTTTCGCAACCGCATCAGGAGGCGAAGAAGCAGGAAGAAGAGATGCCGACGCAAGCGCAGAAAACAAAGTGGCCACGCGAGTAAGTGAAGACCTCATTTTGGACCCAATGATTGAACAAAGGAACAGACGATTCGGATGAGTGGGACTATGCCAGGAAAGAAACACCAATGATCCAATGGCACAAATTATTTGTTCAAATTGTATGGCATTCCCCCAGTAGAAACGGGAGCAAACCGCTCACTTTTTTTGCCTCACAACTCCATATTCTGATGCCTGAAGAGTATGGTGGATGAGAATCAAGAATCGAAGAGGTAATGAGCGGACGGAGGGTGTGGATGGCAGGACGGGATGGGAATCTTTCGCTTTTGGCTGGAGCCTGAGCCTGAGGTTGGGCCTGAAGGGAGAGTGGAAGAGGGAGGATGGCGCCAGAAGCCGCTTGGGCCTTTTGAGGTTTGGTTGCGCGCCTCGGACACGGAGGCGAGATGCACAGCCCCGACAAGTGCTCGGCCGCGTCGCCCTCCGGCTCCGAATCTGACCTGGCGAGTGGGATAAGGGTTCGACATGGGCCGTGCTGCTGGCGGCTCGGTAATGATGCTTGAGGTCATAGGCTTCTCGTGTTATTTATTGACTTTTCCAGAAATGAAATGATGACTTCTTTTTGACTTGCGCAGCTGCGCCTTGAACCTCCCCCAGACACTCTTGTGGCACGTGACATCACGCTTATGTAAGTCATGTACGCCAAGACTCAAGCCAGGTTCCTCCAGCTTCTGCCAATGAGGCTCCATAATGCTTCCCAGAGTACATATCAAAATAATCACCTGCTTTGATCACTCATTTACACCAAAAACGCCGCTCCTGCCCTCGTTCGCGTCCCACAGCTAGTGTTTTCGACCATCGCACCGCAGACCAGTTGAGCACCAGCTGAAACTGAGAGTACCAAACGCAACCGGTGCAAAAACGCGACGACAATGCTCCCCCTAGGCCTTCTGACGGCCGCACAAGGCCACCCCATGTTAGTGGAACTGAAGAACGGCGAAACTCTCAACGGCCATCTGGTAAACTGCGATACCTGGATGAACCTGACGCTTAAGGAAGTTGTACAGACTAGCCCGGAGGGGGATAGGTTCTGGAGGTTGCCCGAATGTTACGTGAGAGGAAACAATGTGCGTTCTGACTCCTACAATGTGCGAATGTTGCGATGCGTGTCTTCGAGCTCTGTCAGAGACCCACCATGTTGCATTTATGGCTTGAGCTCTGCTCCGGCTCTCCTCAATGATCAACAGATGTTTTGCTGATCAGACGGTCTTTTAACTGACCATGCCACCTAGATCAAATACCTCCGGGTCCCTGAAGAAGTCATCGACCTTGCGAGAGAACAACAGCAGCAACAACAACATCAGCAGGGTGGCGGGCAGCGCGGCGGCCGTGGAGGTGGGCAAGCAGGCCATGGGGCCGGTGGAAGGGGAGGAGGGGATCGTGGACGAGGGAGCGGTGGACAGGGAAGGGGAGGCGGAAGAGGGCACGGCCGTGGGCGAGGTGGAGGCAGGGGGCAAGGCTGAGATGAATTGACTTTTGACGTGCTATGTTGCGTGTTTCTCTATGACATATGCATCATGACGATCACATTACTGATTCTTCAACAATACCGAGACGTCAACACACATTCGCAGCATTTCACACTTTTACATCCAGGTCCAGACCTCGTCCCATTCAGACCTTGCACGGTCTTCTCAATTGAACGTTTCATCAGCCAGCGGAAAGAAAACAAGTTTTTGTCTGGTCTGCCCTCGAAGTGCAGACTCGAAGCCATCATAGTCTGTCATCGAAAGATGGCGACATCAGTGCAAGAATTTTAAGGAACCCATCGTTTCCACACACAAACCAAGGCCAGGACACCACCGCTATGCTAGTCCAGAAACAACGGCTTGCGACGCTCTCGGCAACGTTAGGGGGTTCACAATGTAAAGAATCGAAAAGAAACCATATCTTGCCACTCCAATCATCCTCATCTCTTTGGCAGAGCGAGGTCCAGGCATCGCCCGATCTAGAGACGAAGGTGTCAGTCAAGCGAGCCAGAAGATTAGGACAGCGATAACATACCTTGTCCGAGATGATGCCTTGGCCTTGTAAGTACCACCCCAGTCGCTTCACTAGTTCAACCTGCTCTTCCGGAGTCAGGCCCATGATGGCTGTTTCGAGGACCCCGCCCACTGAGGTCTTATACACAGCGATGAAACTCTGGTAGTACATGTACGCAAACAAACCCATGATGAATTGACAGTCCATGCGATCAGTCATACCTCCGTGACCGGGGATGCTGTCGCCAAAATCCTTGATCTTCAGAGTTCGTTTCAGTCCCGAGGCGAAGAATCCTCCGAAGGGAGCGATCAGCGAAGCGAATGACGCAAATACGAGAATATGGAACTGCATGGGGGCGATCCAGAATGTATAGTCCAAACCGGTCCAGTCTTTGATGTTGTATGGGTAGGCCTTGAAAACGGGATTCGGGTCGCATTCTAGGCCGGTGAAAATGTTGGCACCGAGGTCATTGACGGGGCAAATAAAATACTTATAGCGCATCAAGATGTTGGTGAGCGCAAACCCGAAGAAGATGGTGCAGATCCAAGCTCCAACAAAACCCTCGACAGTTTTCTTGGGGGAGAGGCTGATGAGTTGAGTGCGGCCAAAAGTGATGCCGCAGATGTATGCAAAGATATCGTTGGTAATGACCAGCGACGCCGGGAGGAAGAACCAGATCATGCCCTCAAAGACGTTGTTCATCATGAAGTGTGCTTGGACGACAATCAGATAGAGTGCCATATGAGTCCAGGCGAACTGGGCGAACTGAAATCGGTAATAATTTTTCCGCAACGAGGCAACGAAGGACATGAATCCTATCATAGAGTAAGCATTGAAAGACGGGACCGTGACAGTTTGCACACGCACCGAATATATACATCATGAAGCTGATGAACCTATGATGGGTCGCGAAGGGTAGCAAGACTTTGTCCACCAGCAGGATATGTTTGAAGTAGTAGATGACACTTTCGCCGTACAGGAAGTACATGGTGATGGCCAGGAAGTACCAGTTTAGCGAGGTCGTCAACGGAAGGTTCTTCTGTTTCGTGGGCACCTGAGCGATTGCGATCACCTCTTTGAATGAGACGATTTGAACGGCGGTAATGACCATGAGGACGTAGACGTGGCCCGCAAACATCGCGCCGAAGAAACCACCTATCATCGCTAGTGTCCATATTGTCCGGGTTATGAAAGTCTGCTTCTTTTTCTCGTACTCCGATACATGATCTGGCTTCTCTCCTTTCACAATGTTTCCATTGGTGTTGCTGTCGTGGTGATCTCTCTGAGGACTCGGTGGCTCGGAAGCAGTGTCGCTAGCGGCAGAAGAGCTTTGTCGACGGTGATGGTTTCCATTTCCATTACCGTTGCCGTTGCCATTGCTGTTCGACCGGTGTTGGAACTTGACACCCTTTTGCCGGGGCATGGCTTCTTCTGCGCGGCGTGAAAGAGCCGCAGGAAGAATGTTGTGCCTTCTGCCTCAGGGGTGTGCGCCGATTGAAGATGGAAATCGCAGAATGGGAAGGAGAGGGGATGCTTCGCTTGACACGTGCTTGATGGCTGGCTGCCTGAGACTTGCTTTCAGGAGCGGCACTAATCGCCCGCGGATTTCCTGATTTTATTCTGGTTTGTACATGGACTGGGCACTCTATCAGAATTGATGAGCAGAGGAGGCGGCGACGATGAGTGACAAATCGGTGTCGTAGGACAGTGAATAGAAGGTATCTCAACCAAGTTGATGGTAGGTCGGGCCACAAAAAAGTAAGTTGACTGATTGCGCAGGGTAGGTAGCCAGCTTATTACTCGGAGTTAGATTTGCGTCATACAGCGAAGCCCCCGCTGCGGCCTGGTAGCCACTGCAGCCCACTGCCCCGAAGCCCACTGACTCTTTGGTCTAGGCATTACTACCTGAGAGATGATGCTCGGAGCTGCAGTTGTTCCGGGCGCTTGTCACTGGCTCATCCGCACCGCTAATGCACCCTTCACAACTTCGCCCTTCGCTGACGCCGAAGACCACTGGAAAGACACCAACCACACACGACCCCTCGCCGTCGCGTCGAATGCGCGTCTTTGGTTAACGGTGTGCCTTCACACAAGTGCCAGGCGCACAAAAAAGCACCCCGGCACGTAAACATATGCCGTTTGTGCCACTTTCGGTGTCCATTGTGGTCCTCGATGGAGGTCAAACATGAGTGGCATGGACGACAACGAAGACGAGACCGATCTCTTTGACGATGACGATTTCGACAATCTGTCAGAATCCGCTTTACAGCAACTAGAATACCATGCCATCCTGTCCACCCAGAGAGCGCAAGCAACCAAACATGTTCCTCTGCCTGCACAACAGTCCACAACTTTGCCGCAGTCGAAGTTTCCGACTCGCCCACAGTTCAATCCTCGACCCCAGCCTGCGCATCCAGCTATTCAGAGGTATTTGACCGAGGACGACGATAGCTTTGAGCTGGTCGGAGAAGAGGGTGTGCCTACTCCAGTAGACAATCAAGATTCCTATCCTATACGCCGGATCCAGGTCAGCGAAGCTGCTCAGAGAATACACTTCCGCCAACAACGGTATGGTCAAGCATATGGTGCTGAATCCCATCCACCACTCGGCGAGGTCAACCATCGAGGTCAGAGAGGTCCGTGGGAAACAACTTCAGCGGCTGGTTTCAACCATGGCGCCGCAGCAGGACTGGACGAAATGTCCTTGGATACTCCGCTTCTACAAACCAGTACAGCTATCTCGGCAGGTGCTCGTGATACCTCACATACCCATGCCGATGAATTGTTTCGAGAGCGGGAAGAACTCGCTCGGGAGTTACAAGCTGCCAGGGATATGGTCACTATGCAAAAGGGCGAGATCTCCATCATTCGAGCGAACTTTGAGAAGGAAAGCAAAGTCTACGACCGACAAATCGGCGCTCTAAAAAAGTCCATGGAAGAAGAATCCGCGAAACACACTGCTGCACTCAACGCTTTGGCTGAGAAGAATCACAGTCTTACCACTCGATACCAATTCCTACAGCAAGAGCACAATCAAGGGCTTCAAGAGACCAAGACCCTCAGGCAACGACTGAAGGACAGACAGATGGAGAAGGAATCTGATCTAACAACAACGCCCAAGCGTGGCGTCGCAAGTTCTCTTCGGGATGGCTTCAATGATGACGATATTATGCTCATGTCTCCTTCGAAATCCGCTCGACGTTCGAAGCCGCCGACTCCCACCGCAGCGGGTAAGAGAAAACGGAAAACTGATGGGCCAAGTCCTGTGAAACCGCTTGTTTTGCGCCCATCTAGCTCTACAAGTCAACATGAGATGCCGCCGCCGCCCCAACCCATCCAAACCATCGAGCAGGTCATTCCGGTTGTTCGGAAGGACAAGCAGGCTGAACGCAATCTGAAATTCCTGCAGTCCGTCATTGAGTATCGAATCAAAGACTCGAAGCAGCCACTCTTTGAAGCTTTGGCCAAATTTGCCTTCCCCTCGAACCTGTCGAAGACGTTTTCAACACTTTTATGGGAAGGCATTGCTCATCTCGCGGGACGCCGCCTCCCTGGCGACCTCCTTCAGCTCCTGATAGATTTGTGGTCCAAGTCACTGAAAGAACAATACTATAAGCCAATTGCCTCTCTACGGGAGATAGCAAACCATATTATCGACCTCGATATGCTTGTGCTCGATTCTGGCATCATCACTGCCATGATACCTCTCCTAAAGTCTACCATCACGATCAACGGCGAGAAACGCTTTGAACACTCACCCGTGAATCATGCCACTTATGGCAAAATCCGCCAGACTCCTCAGTCAGTTATTAACCCAGAGGTTGATGGGACGAGCTGCTTGGAACTCATGCTCACAGTCGCCTATGCGGTTTCAGACGACGAAGAGCTTATCGCTCTTCTATGGCGCCTTATGGACCACCAATTCATCCTGATGATGCTCAATGCCTGGCAGCCGATATCTGATATAGCACTCATGCTTCGTTTGCTTGCCACGAGCATCTTCCCTGCCACATTCGGCAGTATTTGTGCCGATGACCAGCAATCACAAGTTGAACATTGGATGATGAATCGGATCTGTTCTCTCCTTAGGGAAACGCCCAACGTCGACGAAGGAGTTCTTCCCTACACGACGCAGCATCTGTGCCAACTCCGACTCGAGGCCATGGACCTCCTCATCAAAATCGCCATAACATCGTCTCAACATCCGCATGATGATCCCTCTCATCACGGCAGCCTCCTCATCGCAAATGACACGCATGCAATTGCGCGCCTTGTCCGCAGCTTGTACGACCAGGTCTCAGCAATGTACTCGCTCCATCCAACCACGCACACTTTACATGCCTCCCTTGTCAACAAAGGCGTTTGTCTTCTCTATCACCTTTTACAACTCCACGGCTCGACGATAAACCTGCAAGAAAAGCTCTCTGTGATCAACGGTGGCGTGCATAAACATCGAGTGGTGCTCACGAGACTGGCTTTCTCGGAGGGTTTCGTGGTGGATAAATATGTGAGCGATGAGACTGTAGCCATGGCAACACAGATGCTGGAGGAGAGCGTGACGCCAGATGAGGCGGACGAGCTTGTAAAGTGCTTTCCGGGGTTCAATGGGAGGGGAGCTGGCAGAGAGGAAGGCGAGTAGTCTCACTGTGACGGGCAACTGACTGAGGTCTACCGGTGCCTGTGCAACCGGTTGGTCCTGGATAGATACCGGGCCGGATTTGCTCAAAACTTTGTGTGTGAATTAATGAATTAACGTCGCAATCCCTCTTTGCTCAGAGGTTGTCATGATACCTCTCTGCCTCTTTTCACATGGGAGTATGTACAAGGTACTGTAGCTTTGGTTGACGCAGTCGCTCGCGGTCCACGAATTAAAACAAAGGCTCGAGACAATTTCTGACACCGGGACAGATATTGCCTTCTGCCGGATCAATGCTGCAGCAAAGACTGACTATACATTACATCTAAGTCATAGTAATTTCATATCCAAGAAGCCCCTTGTCCAACTGCAAACCGGGCATCGAGTCTTCTCGTTGCCCGGCAGTCGTTCATTCCAGATCATCACATCATTATGTCAAGGGCGGACAATTATGGGATCGATCTCCATCCTGCTTCGCCCTGTTACTTATCGTTCTGTTGGGACTTCGATTCGATACGGTAGCCCATTATTCGTGCCACTGCCGTCTTCCCCTTCCCTGGCAAGACGGATGACAGGCAGACCGTTGCCGCTCCTGCCGCTCCTCCGCGAACCTCGTGTAGACTGTCGGCTGAGATCGTGATGTAGCACAGACCCGGTGTTGGATTCTCCAGAAGGAGACTTCGAAAAGTCCGAATGTGAACTCATCCGTGACACCGCAGAGAACATTCTCGAGCTCGAGCCGTTTGTCGAAGGTCCGGGCCTCTGTCTTGAGCCGGATCGCGGGACTCTGGGAGGTACAGCGCGGACGGACTGCGTGTCGGTTTCCTCATCTGCGTCGACACGATGGGCGCCTGAGCCAAGATCGAGTTCCGAAGATGCATGCTTGTCGAGGTGGTGGTGCTCTTGTTCAAAGGAAGAGAGAGAAGGGGCTGAATCTTCCGAGACGCGGCGTGGCGGGAGTTTGTGGTGGCGTACGGAGCCGGAGGCTGAGTAGGTGGATGGGATGGATGAGGTCTCCGCGTCTGGTGGACGAGAGCGATAGGAGGGGTTCCGACGGATTAAGCTGGAGGTTTCGGATTGAGACGACAGACCAGAGTCGTCTTCGAGATCGAGCATCTCAACGTCGACGGGGGTCATGTTGCGGAGTAACTCGGCAAACATGCGCATCAGGCTCTGGAAATCTTCGTCGTTCAATGGTTCCGACGAAAACCGGGCGCGTTCGTACGCCACGAGAAATGCCACTGTCAGAGAATTATCCGGTACCACGCCGATATCAATGAGATACTGGAGGTATGCTCTCATACCCATAGTCCTACTCCGGGCAAGCTGATCGATAACGCGCGGATCGGGCATCGACGCGCCGTCTGGATCGGGCAGGGAGTGCGGATCATCGGGCGCAAGGCTGACAGCCTTTGCTTCGATCAGATCAATTAGCTCATCCACGACCGTGCAGTACTCGAGCCCCGGCAACTCCTTGGAAGCAGGTGATGACCATCCCGGATGCGCGACCTTTCCCCAACTTGGCTCGGCATTCTGGTCCGTATTGGTATGCGTATTTGTCAGTGCGAGCATCCTCGTCCCAATGTTAATCGTGTCATGCTCAATCCTCCGACTCCTCGGCCGGGCCTGATATGCAATCACGGCACTCTTCTCCAAACATTCTTGGATCAATTTGTGCACTCGGCGTCCCGGCAGGTCCTCCTTTTCAATGGGCATATACGTTTTCGGTATATCCTTAAGCACCGAACGATTTGTGTACAGCCTCGAAGCATATATCAGGATGGCTAACAGAGCAGTCACAACGTAGTCGCCCGCGATGAGGAAGATGTCGATGAGGCGGCGGCGCTTGTAGGACTCGTATATAGTGTCGGCGGGAGTGACAGCAACGACGATTATGAGGATCAAGAAGACGGCGGTGAACGAGGTGCTGTAGAAGATGCGGAAGATGATCTGGCGCTTTTGTGCCATCTCGGCGGTGGTGGCAGCGTTCGTGATCGTGCTAGGCTCATTGTGATATCGTTATGGACATCTGTACGATGTCCGCCTCATACTGAACTAGGAGAATAAGTGGTTATGGACTGGAACTCGAAGTATACCTAGTCATGTACTACGGACTGAGCTGAGGGATGATGATGGATTCGACGAAGAACATTGGCTAAACATCGGCATAACGCCGGACGCTGACGAATGACGCCATCACGACCAGCGAAGCGACGACGACCAGCTTTCGTCCTATGAAGATCTTTCTGTAGGAGAAGCTGCCTCTCACGCTGCCTCTCACAGCCTTACTAGATCACAGCCTTATCTACGATGTCGATGATCATCTACACAAAGGATCAAGCCGCAACCTCGTTGCAGGATAACCGCGGCAACGTTGTCCCTAGAAGGCCGCTCGGACGAATTCACGCTCCGCTTGCAGACCGAATACGCTCCCTGGCCAATTAGCTGTGGAATTGATCGTGATGCATCCGCCTGATGTTCAAATTGTTTAGAATGAGAAAGCTCCAGGTTGGGGAAGAGGCACTGGACGTATGGTGCAGCTGACAAATCAACATTGATTCGGCGAGAGTCCTGAACAGCGGTAAACACATGATGTGGTGCTATTTAATCACTTCGCAGCAGCGGTCCTAAATTGACCTTCTGAGAGCACACCCAAGGCAGCAGAGCAGTCTTCCAAAGAGGTCAGCCAAGCAACAAGGATACACCTCTCCACCCATCCTACACCATGGCATCACTCAACCTCTACGATACGACCATCGTCCCCATCGTCCGCACGCTTCGCAACCTCTCCAGCCTCCTCAAGAAGGGAGAGAACTTCGCCGATGCCAAAGGCATTCCTCACTCGGAGCTCCTCGAAGCTCGCATTGCTCCAGACATGGCCGCTCTCCCCTTTCAAGTCCAGACTTGCTCCAACACCGCCAAATTCCTCGCCGTTCGCGTAGCCGGTGTGGAAAACGTCCCCTGGGAAGACAACGAGAAGACCTTTGACGAGCTGCAAGCTCGAATCACCAAGACCATTGATTTCCTCGAAGCTGTCAAGCGGGAGGATTTCGAGGGGAAGGAGGCGGATCACGAGATCACGTTCCAGGGCGTGAAGCTTACTGGACTCGTCTATGTCAATGCGTTTGCCATGCCCAATTTCTACTTCCATGCTGTTACGGCGTATGATCTATTGAGAATGAAGGGCGTGGACATCGGAAAGAAGGATTGGCTGGGCAGAAATTGAAGACGCTGACCTGACGAAAGAAGTGGTCGGGATCCTGCTGGGAGCGGCTGAACATCCCAAGATGCGAGAAATGTCTTACAGTTTAAGAATCCCCTGAGACGTGGGCAACATTGCTGTGGTGGCTCTGACTGGGTTATTACGCAAAGCAGAACTCCCACGTGGCTGTCCATAGAGAAGACCAATCGTCATCTAAGCGTCAAGTAGACTGCTATCCTCACCGCTCTCTTAACCCTCTCGCTTGTCTGGGTCATTGATCCATCCATCTGCTCGACAGGTACATGCTGGGAGTAATTCGAAATTGCTTGGGTGCGACAATCAGCTCGAAGATCATGTGCTTTGTGTTCGTAGCCTACATGAGCATTGTGTGGCTTTTGAGCTTCTCGACAACTTCAATGTCCGGGGCGCCAGAGACAGAGCTATAGAGGGGCAAAAACCTCTCCTGCGACGCCTTGTCGATGCGCTCTATGATCTTAAGGGGGGGATCTCCCAAATAGGCGTTCTGTCATGGTTATGGGAGGGGCCCAATGCAGATCACTGGGCGATAACATCCACAAGATATTTCATCCTATAACTGAGGGGATCTTTTTGGGACCGGACAGGTTCGTCTTCATTTAAATGCATATACCATATGTCTTTTTATGACCCTTCCTGCCGAATACCTTGCAGGCAGTGACTCTGCCCCGATGAGCCCCAGCTTTCAGACAGGTGACTGTGTCGAAAGCGCCATGTTTGGCCTCAAGTCCGTTTTTGGTCTGTGCAGATCTTTTTTACATGGTACGATGGATACTCACCTACATTCCCAGAGATTCCCGATGCAAATATCATGATAGGGGCGTTCTTAAGTCGTTTCATGACCAGACAGTCACTTACCGGTGGCCCTCGAGACTCACCTCCTGGCTTCGACAGCCTCGTCACGTGATGCCACCGAAGGGCTCAACCTGACGGACTTGCTCTTCCAAAGATTCAAATGCGCTATAACACCCTCGGATCTGGCGAGTGATTTTTGCAAGGGTGTCTACACGCTTTTGACTTCTATGGGTGGATATCTTTGGCAGGGGCTGATGCGGTGTAGTGACAGCCAAGAGGGATTCAAATCTGTTTGTCAGCGGGCGTCCCGAAGAGGCGACAACAAGAAGCCAATATTACTGGGCCGTGAATAACTCGCCCAGCATTAAGGGTTGATGGAAGACCAGACTACCAGCCGTGTCCGCGCATGCCGCCTTTATTCGAGAACGCTCGGCTAGTGGTATGAGACTTTGCGTTATTGTCGAGGGTCCTTGGCAGGTCAGCACCAAGCCAACGGCCAGACGACCAAGCATTCAAGTGACGATGCTAGCCGACGCAAGAGGTGACATTGGAAAAGGACAGCCAAGTAGTCCAAGTAACCTCCATAAATACGAGGTCCACATTAAGAACAAACGTACTTCCTATTCCGAACACTGCCACCATGGCTTGTCGCCCGCCTCGTCTACAACCCTTGATCAGCCGCGGCTACACCCAATCAAAGACGTTGTCCCGATTAGGCAGTGCGGTACTTAACGCGAACCTTGGATTGGAAACCAAGAGGTGCCAGCTCCAGGTCTAGCTGGGACTTGCAAGTGGCTGATTCAAGGGAGGTATTGCGCTTGATGATGTTACCCTTGGAGCTTGTTCCGCAGGTAAAAGGTATAGACTTGTTTCACGACACCGGGGCTGAGACCTTGGCCCTTTCATTGTAATAGTCTTATGCCAATGATCGTGCGACTGGGCAGCAAGCCGCGCCACGAGCGCAGGATGACATACCTATAAAGGCCCAATACATCCCCATCCCAGGATTGTCAAATTGAGCATGCCAGTTCTTTAAGACGCAAACCCGCTGTCCCAATCCAACTTTTCTCAAACGGCCGCAACGATACCTTCTCCTCGCAACTTCAACGAAGGCTCTCGCCATGTCACCGTCAAAGACAGACCGCAACACCCCGCCTGGTATCAAGGACGAAAAACACCGCACGATCGTGAACAAAAACACAGGAGAGACAATCACATGGACAACATACGGATATGAGAGCGAGGGAAAGGAAGCAAACGCCATCCTCGTGTGCAAACCAGGCGGCGGCCCACCCCTCCACTACCACACCAGCTATGCCGAGCGGTTCGAGGCGGTCGAGGGCGAACTGGGCGTGATTTTGGGCAACAGAGAACCCATGCATTTGAAGCCGGGGGAATCGGCCGACATCCCCATCGGCACCAGCCACCGCTTCTTCAATGACGGAGACAAGGACGTCACCTTCAAGGGCTTCGTCCTGCCGGCGCACGCAGGCTTCGAGAGGAGCCTTTACATACTCTTCGGCTTGAACAACGATGGTCTGGCGGATGCGGAGACGGGCATGCCGCACAGCATCTTGCACACCGCTCTGATCGGGGAGATGAGTGACATGAGGTTCCCGGGCTTCCAGGGCGGGTTGATGAATTATGTCGGCAAAGTTCTGGCCGTGTACGCGAGGTGGACGGGCGTTGAGGATGAGTTGTTGAGGAAGTACTGGGATTGATTTCCATTCAGCGGCGTTTCGGAACTAGCAGACTTGTAAGGGGCCTTAAAAGGCGTAGGAACCACCATGGGGAGTTTGGAAGTCCATCGTCCCCTTGTAATCGGAAAGATCATCTCCTGGATAGCCATTTCGATTCTCAGCCGACTGTCTCCAATCACGTGGGATGTGTCGAACATGTTTTGGAGATTACACTCTTGACTGAGACCATTAGCAGGTTCGAGCTAGATATTTGTCAACCACTAGGACGTGGCTGCTGCCATAACCCCAGAGTGCTGCTGGTTGCTTTCGTGCATACTCTGCATTCTGGCGAAAGGAATTAATTTCCATTGAGAATGCCGGCTCCTAGGAGAGCCTCGAGTTCCTCATCGGTGACGTAGTCACTCATGGGTGCGCCGACGCCTCCCGCCTGAGGAAATGGCTCCAGCCTGGCGCGTGTTTCGGCTGCTGTGTCTGTTGCATTGGGGGGCTCTTCCAGCCTATCCAACCGTGGGCGTTTGCGCACGTATTCTGTTGCCTCGTACGTTGGGAGCACAAGTGATGGGGATTCAATGTGACGGACAAAATTGGCCTACCTTGCCACAAGCACTGGTGCAGGCAGCCACCCTTTGAAACTTGCCATACTTCTTGAGCTATTGCTATGATTCATGCGATGATATTTCTACTGTATTCTTGACCGATGTTGGATTTAGGAATCTTTAAGCCCGCGGACAAACCGCCTTGGTACGCAAGCTGTTGGTGAGAGCAAAGGTAAGGAGATGAGTGGTTTGACAAGCGGCCAGCTGAGGGCGAGTCACACGTCCTTACCTACCCTAGTAGCCGTACGTGGTAATATGCTCGGGGCAGTTTTCACTCGTCTTCACCCGCCAAGAGTTAGAGCGTTGCTTGGCGTGTTTGCCTTCAGATGTACCTGTATTTTCCGCAATCCCTCTGTTTGGACGATCCGGGCCACTTGATCGGGGTAAGCGATCAGTGACGAGAGCATGTTGGGGACCCGAGGAGTCGCTTGATCGACATCTGTCTCTTTGTCTGGCTATACCTTTCCGCGCCGTCCGTTCACCATGGCCGAAAAAGGCTCTCCGTCTCTCGCAGCCGTTGCGGTTTCTTCTCTCATTCTGGGCCTGCTGGCAGGCTATTTTATCGGGCAAGGTTCTAGCATAGGCGTCTTTGGTGGTCCCGGAAATGCGAAGCAAGCTAGAAAAAGCTGGCCAAACAGCTATGACGTCAAAGTCCATGCCGACTCGAGCGACGACCAGGCGGATGATGAGGACGAAGCGGACGACGAAGATGAAGATGAAGATGACGGGCAAGAGCTGAACGATTTCAAGGACTCCACAGAGGAGGTGAAGCTTGTGTTAGCTGTGAGGACGGACCTGGGCATGGGCAAGGGTAAGGAGACTCGCGAGCCAATCTACTAGGTGCTTCGACTGACTCTCCGTTACAGGCAAGATTGCAGCTCAATGCTCCCATGCTACTCTTGCATGCTACAAATACCTCCTCAACCACGTCACCTCGGCTCCTCTCCTGAAGCGTTGGGAATGGGGAGGTCAGCCGAAGATTGCGGTACAAGTCAAGTCCGAGGAGGAGTTGGAGACACTTCAAGCACAAGCAATCAGCTTGGGGCTCTGCGCAAGGATCATACACGACGCCGGAAGGACACAAATTGCCGCCGGCAGCACCACAGTACTGGGTGTTCTCGGGCCCAAAAGCGTGGTTGACCAAGTCACTGGTCACTTAAAACTCCTATGATTGAAAGATGGTGGAAATAATCAGTCAGACAGACCTTGCCGGAACCCGGAAGCATGAAACTCGACACACAAAAGCCTCGAACTGTCCGGTCAATTTTTCGCATCAAATGTTGTCTCCAAACACCAAATCCACGAGAGCAAAAGGTTGAGCAGCTCCTAGGATCTAAGACCGCGACGACATTAGATGTACGTCTCCCGGGTCCCCTTCTCACTGCTTCTATAAATCGCGTCGATCATTTTGTGCCTGACCAAGGCATCTTCAAATGTAGTGACGGTCCCAGACCCGGCACCAGCGAATGCGTCCCAAGCCTGGCCGACGTTGTACGCGAAGTCGGAGGCGACTTCCACCTTGACCTCCTCCGGTTGCGGGCCTTTTCCATCGTCAAATGATTTGAACGATGCCTCTTCCTCTGCCTTCACGAACTTGATGGTTGGGTGAAACATCTCGACAAGTCCACTGGGTCCTTCTAGAATCAGGCTGCCTTGGGTTCCATTGATTTCCCAGTAGAAGTCATTGCCTGTCAGAGAATGACCGCCCTGGTACACAACAGACGCCACACCTCCCCGCGCCAACGTCCCTGTCACACTCATATAATCGTGGCAGGTCTTGTCGACGATTTTTTGCACTTTGCCGGTAGTCGGATCGACTATGGGCATCTTTGGTCGGTGATTGGCCAGAGTGGCTTGCAAGTCTTTGAACTCCCCCAGCACGAAGCAAAGCGCATCGATTGCATGCATAGCAGGGATGGTGACAAGATTGGCGCCGGCCTCGATGGACAATTCGTATTCGAGAGGTGCTGGCATTACTCGACCCATTATCTTACCAGACCCAATCATCTGCAAAAGGCGAATGGTCAGTGTTATCGTTCAAGCAAACCCAGGTACCAAGTATCTCGCAAGGGTCTGAAGAGAGGGAAAGAGTTTACCGTCGTCCCTAAGATACCGCCCAGTTTTCCTGAAGCAACCATTTCCTTGGCCTTGCGGATGCTCGGATTCTGACGTGCTTGGAGCCCGATCATGGTCTTCACATGCTGCGACGTGGCGAGAGACGTGAGCTCCTCTGCTTCTCTCAGGTTTGCACCAAGAGGCCACTCCACGAAGACGTCTTTTTTGGCCGCGATCGCGGGCTTGGCCAATCCGTAGTGAGTCGGGGTCTTGACGGAAACAACAACTACGTCGACGTTCGGATCGCGCACGAGAGATTCCACATCGCCGTAGCAGGCGACATTGCCAGGAAGACTGTACTTCTGGACGGCCTTCTCGGCAGAAGCTCTGCTGCTGTTCTGAAGAGCCGTGATGCGGTAGTGCGAGGATTGCAGCAGATAGGGCAAATGAGAACCAGCGGCCCAGGAACTGTTTGACGAGGAATGCGTGAGTGATGTGTTCGTCGTGGAAACGAAAACAAGCAGAGTAGAATCGTGGGAAATGGTCCTCACCCTTCAGCGGAAAGTCCAATCACGCCCAACCTGATGGGTGCCATCTTCTCGAGGAGAAAGTAACTGTCGACAGTCGCGAACAGGCTGAGTTATAGATGTACAGCCAGGGAATCCAATATTCTCGTACGGCGATGTTGTAGAGGACTTTGTTTCACGGTTATAGACTGATCACGAAGCTCCTCCTTTTGACACCCAGCGTCCTCGCATCTTTATACATCTGTGCCCCAGAAGGAAAGAAACATTATGCCGTGGATTTATATGCTCGCCTTTATGTAAGAACCCTGCATACCGTCATTAGCGAGCACCAACGAGGCCGCATTGAACAAACCCCCCTTGCCCCTTTTGAGGTGGTGTTATTTGCTTACACGAGCTGTGGCGGTGCGTGCCAAACCACGCCGTCCACAAATTCTCACAGTAGCAGCCACCTAACCTATTATCTTCGATGCCCAGCTACAAGCATTGGATCTTTGATTGTAGGGGCACCCAGTCGACTGATGTGGCACCCCCGGAAGAGGCGTTTGGCGGTCTTTGAGTGGTGCGCTGCTTGATGGGGATGCGCGGCTTATAAATGGTGCAAAGCATAGATGCTTGCATAACAACCCTAACGAAGATTCGTCCTCCACCGCGCGGTCGGGACGGTCGTTGCCATCGTTACGTCTAATTAGAGAAAAGAGAGGATGAATAAAAGAGGCATGGACGGCGATGAGGCTCTAGGATGGGACGGTTCATGCGTGGGAAGCAGCCGTGGTGAGGTTGACGAGGACAGACATACAAGAAGGTAAGTTCGTGAGTTCGTTACTTCATTTGTTGATTGTATTTTATTCCTGTCCTTTAATTTCTCCTCCTTTATTTGATTCGAAAGCTCGTCAACCTGTTTTATCTTTGGTGTTCATCCAGCACTGTCGGGGAAAATAATGCTGCCTCATCTCCAGGAGGGTGCATCCGGCCATCTCAGTTCTCTTGCTCATACTTCCTTGCCAGCTCCTCACTCCGCTGCTGGTACCTGTCCCGGTACGTGTTCAACAGGTCGAACGAGATCTTGGACCCGCCACAAACAACAATCACGACTTTGGAATCAGGTCCGAACCCCTTGAGCACCCGCTTCAACCGCCCGTCGTATGCCAGGGCAACGCTGGCGCCGCAGGCCGGCTCCACGAGGATCCTCTCGTCGTCCAGGAAGCGCCAGCAGGCGGCGCAGGCTTCGGCGTCGTCGAGCACCACGGACGTGACGGCGGGTCGTTGGGCCTGGCGGAAGGCATTCTCGGCCACGCGGATGGCGCCCAGCGAGGTCGCGACGGAGGTGATGCCGGGAAGCGTGACGAGTTCCTTCTTCTGCAGCGACTGCGCCAGCGAGTCCGCGCCCAATGTCTCCACCGGCAGGACCTGGACCTGGTCGGCCCAGCCGACGCGGTCGAGGCCGTGCATGATGCCCGAGAACAAGCCGCCGCCGCCCACGGAGCAGACGATGCCGTCCGGTTTCTCCCCCTCGGGCATCTGCTTCTTGATCTCCTCGACCATGGTCCCCGCGCCTTCCCAGATGTAGGGATGGTCAAAGGGGTGGATGTAGATCCCCTTCTCCCCCTTTGCTTCCGCCGCGGGGATGACGACTTCCCGCAGATGTTGGTCGGCGAAGAACCAGCTGTCGCCGTGCGAAATCACCTCGCTCGCCCCCGCGGCGAGTAGCTTTGCAATCGTGGCTTCATCCGTGCTGGTGGGCACCACGACCGAGGACGCGTAGCCCAGAGACGTCGCGGCCGTGACACACGCCAGCCCCGCGTTGCCTCCCGACGAAGAGTAGAAGTGCAGCGGCCTGTCGTCGGCGGCGGACTCTGATTGTTCCCGGATGCTTTTCAGCATCAAGTTGCCGATGCCCCGGGACTTGAACGACGACGAGGGCTGGAGGTTTTCGAGTTTGAGGAAGATGCGACTTTTGAACGACAAGCCCACGGGTTAGCAAAATGGTTGCGCTCGTTAACATGGAGAAGGGGGGGTTGTGTTTTACCAGCCGGCGATTTTGGACAGGATTGTAGATTCGAGCAGCGGCGTCTCGATCCACGGCTGCTTGACGGGAGGCATGGCGTCTGCCTCGAGGTGGTTCCTTTCTATCATTGCTTTCCCGTATGTGCCTCTTCCGGACAAAACTAGTCCGTGCAAATGTTGGATCAGTTATAGACAGGACAGACACAATATTTTCGGCTTCTCCAAAGTACCCCGGGCGATGCACCGATGGACAAATAATACCAATATCAACAATGATAAGCGGCCACAGACACAGTTAAAGAGGCAAGGGAAAAGAAGGAGGGGTGGCTACCCACGGTCAGCACCGGGAGTCGTCCTGTTCCCTTTTTTTCTCTTTTGTAATAGAAAATTGAATTCCTGATCGACAAAAAGCCTCCGGAACCTTTTGAGATCCACGCCTTGTTACAATGACAAGTGGTGACAAGGTGCATAAAGCTTATGTAAAGGGTTGGTGACACCCTGGCGACGCGAGCCAGGGCTTGACGTAGGATTCGATGATCTAAAAGCTATTACCTGAAAAGACTTTTTTTCTTTCTTTTTCGCAGACGGAAAGCGGGGCGCGTGCCTGAACTGAACTGAACTGAACTGAACTGTACTGGTCTTACTGTCCCCTACAACCTCCGGTGTGAGAGTCCCGTGGCCTGAGCCTTGTGACCGCGTGTGAAATGCGGCGGTTGGTTGGATCACAAGGTGTGGTGTGGAAAGAAGCGGATGATTCTGTTTTGGTCTCGGGCAGGTCTGGGCGATAGGCCTCGAAGGATCGAGAAGGACAGCAATAATTGACTTCATGGGGATGCGGGATGTTGCACAAGGGCGCAGTGGTAATGCGGGAAGAAGGGCGAAGACTTATCGTAGTGATTAATCTTTGAGAGTGGAAACCCCCCATTATTTACTAGGTATATATATGCTTGGACGGCTAAGGAAGGTGTCTTTAGCCTAGGTACCTACCTATAACTCCACCTGTGCCAGCAGCTGCAGACCACCAAATGCTCACAAAACAGACCTGGAGTCAAATCAGACCTCCTATCAATCGGCTACAGCCATGTATCTTCCAGCTAGGTACCTGCGTCGTTCAGATATGGTGTTGTGGATGCCCTGCCCTTACGCTCCCGCCTCAGTTCACCTGCGCCTTCCGAAGAAAACAGGTGAGTGGCGCTTGTCGAATCTACAATAGTGAGTCTGCTTTGACTACATTCTACATCATCCCCTCAGGGGACAAACCCTGTGACTGTGCGGGTCTTCTACGAGTCCTTGGGCACAGTCCAATCGAAGGCTGGGTGACACGTAGGCCTGGTCGCAATTCCAACTATCCCTGTTGACTCGGGCAGCCAACGACAACTGTGCCCACCAGTCGCCCCAAGCGAGAACTTTGTGCCCAAGGAACTAAGCGGACAAATACGAGAGGACCACAAGAACAGCATGTGGCACAAGACTCACCCAATGCAGACTGGTACACTGCCTTTGTGACGGCTGCCTTGTCGGCCCAGCGGACTGCGGCTCGCTGCCTCTCAGCCGCAGAAGTCGAGTGCAGGCGACTGAAAATCTCCGATCAGAGGATGTTATTCTCCATCAACTACCACAGACACCTCCTGTCAACCAGTTTCTAGGAAGAGAGACTCGTGAAGCCAAGAGGCCGACTGGAGCATTTCATCAGCGGTAGAGTATCTAGCCGAAATTTTCCTCCTGCAATCCCCTGGATTTCATCTCCAGGCGTTAATCGGGAGAGCCCCTCCTTTGGAAGGCCTCACCGCCAACAATGCCTGAAAATCAGGTATCCGCCGTCGTTCCAGTACCTGCTCAAGGAAATGTCACTTCATTCACTCAACAGGGCCAGCTTGACTGGGTAGCGCTCTCCAAAGCACCATTTTCAGCCTCGATTTCGATCCTAAGCCGACTCGCGAACGCGGGCATCGATCCAATTACTGTTGCGTTTGGACAAGCAATGTGCGGCGCTTTGCCTCTTGGTGTACATGGAGAAAAGGTCCTCGACGAGGCAGTCAAGAAGCTGACTGCGTTCTCAAGTTTCGGAGATATCATCTGGTTCGGAATCGGGATTCGACATATCCTCAGAGACTTGGTCCAGACGTCAGAGGGCTCGGCGTTAGTGGCGCTTTGCGGAGCCTTAAGTGAGGCATACACTCATGAGATCTCAGCGTTGGTCATAGTCGAAATTGCGAAGCTTTCTGGGAGCCCCGAAGGACTGAGACCTTCGTACACCCAGTGGAAATCTCTCATGAAAGTCTGTGGAGTCGTCTTCAATGAAAGCTCGTTGGGCCTACGACTAGAGCATTTCAGAAGACTGGGTGGTGTTACAGACTACAGTCCTAGCCACCCCACGGATCTGGCCCAGGTTATTCTGGCGATAGGACGGGTCTCAAGCGGAAGGCTCGACTCTGTGTCTGTCCGTGGAGGATCAGCTTGCAGCTGGGTTGCCGCTTGGGCAGAGTTTGTCCTCGGTTTACGGGTGCTCGTACGGTCTCAAGATGGCTCCCTTTTATACATCAACTATGATACCAGACTGCACAGTGGTCAGGTCATACTCGAGTTCCAGGGCGAGGGACAGCCTACGGCAAGCTTGGAATGCGTTGCTCAAACGATCTTCGTTCGTTCGGGAACTTCATTCATTAACGAATGCTTCGGCAACCAGCAATCGCGTCTGCCTGACGTGACATTTTTAGGTGGAAGGCTGGAGTGGGATTCGATGCTGTCACAAACTTTCTTCGACGATTTTTTAGATTTGGTTGGTGTCGAAGATACTGACTCCGAGGACATCGAGATGCCACCAGAGCCACAATTACCTAGTCTATCCGGAGTCACGCAATACAGAAATCGCCTCCCCGCGCTCTTTGCAAGGTCATTCACATTAGGCTGCGCAATCCTGGTGTTTCACACCCCTTTAATCCAACGGTTCGGTGATCTTCGTTCATTTCTAGGCTTTATCCTCGATCAACTACTAGAATTGCGCCCTGCGCAGGCACGACTCTTCCGGGAGTCTACGGTCCTTGAGGAAACTGGACTATCCACATTCGCAGGGCTCAAATACGAATATTCGACATCTTTGAGCCCCATTTGCCTGGCATGTTCTTGCTATTTATGCCTTAAAAATGAGCCTAAGCCAAGATCAAGGACTACCAGAAAGAAGAGACAGTGGTGCATGATAGGAATCACAGAGGTCAGTCTTCGATTAGCCTTTCTTCTGTCAAACCTGGTCTTGAACTCTCCACTGCGTCCAAAAGGTGTCGCTTTGATGAACATGTACGAGAACTGGCGCAATTTGAGGGACAGCATTTTCACTTTCGACCATGACATGACTAGATGGGATCTCCTGGCCATCGGACCGAGACTAGCAGCGTATGCGAACCTCTTTACTGGATCGACTCTACAAAATAAAAGTTCAACTCAAAAAAGTGCGATCAATGACGGAAAGATTTATCTCTACGTCAAAACCCTAGAAAAGCTGACAGACTGCGCTGAGCAAGCCATGATTGTCCACGTTGGATCAGGGTCCATCGAGTACGATTCGCGGCCTTATGATGCAGTGTATGACCTTTCATCCAGATCAGAAAGACAGCAATACTATGCAGCAAGGCGTACCACAGTTGTCGACGGCATTGACAAGCTTGATCAAGACACTTCAACAGTTCCACTAAGCCTCAAGGCGTTTGCGGAAGAAAAGGCCGACACCTTGTCGTTCTGGTACCAAGTCAGTTCAAATTCAGGTACGGTCACGATATCGCCGGCGAATCTCTTGCAGATGTTAGTGGGTGCAACACGGTATCTCAATGGGGACTTCTTACAGACCGAATCAGACTCCAAAGAAGGACTTTTGCTGCTTCAGAGCTCACAATATATCCTGGTGGAAGGCGAAGGCGGCGTGGAATATTCTGAGAACTGTCATTTACTTCGACCGCACAAGTCCAACCAGGTGGCCCGGTGTGTTGCTCTCTGCAGATCGGAACAGAAAGTGGTCCTCGTCAAAAACCAAGCGCAACTAATAGCATTTGCAAAGTTTTTCGCCCACGCCAGGGCGAAAAAGCCTTCTACTCCTTACTATGCCATCGTGTCTTGAAGGCACATCCTGGACCCGTCGGCCAACGCGGCTCATCCCGAAGTCTCATGGTGATAAGAGTGGTAGGGACGGATGGAGAAGCTCGATTATGAACTGACGGGGAGGGAATGTCATTGGTAGGGTAACAGAGAGGTGGAAGACTTGGCTGGAGTTTACTTCGAATAACTCAAGTGCGTCTTTCTCAGATGTTATCTTGGGTATTCCGTAGTACTCTCATGGTCATATTAGTGCTTTCGACGTGATGGTCCAGCGGTAGGCGGGCATATTTGTGACGTCTCACCGTGGATACTCTAGGGGCTATTTGGCGGCTTGAGAATAGAATGTGAACGATGAGATATATTGCACCTTTCTACCTTGAACACACTCCTTCACAGGCACACGGCATGTTCCATATCGCCACCCGTTGATTGGCGAGCCTTGCCATCTCTCGGCCGCCGGAGATATCCACGAGGCTGGACATCCCGCAAGGTTTTCTCGAATCCCCCCTCCGGACAGCCATTATTCCCGGATGCTAAGCAGGGAAAAGAAACGTGAGGGATAACTCTCGAGAAGGGAAGCGAGGTGGTGTCAGCAGGATATGGCCCAAATGAGCAATGGAGGAAGTCCTCCAGACAGACTCGCATTCTGCACGTTTGGCATGTTCATCATTGGTCAGTGGGCACCTCTTCTACTAAAGGACACCTATCTACACACGTATCAATCCTCAGCTGACCACGCTTCCGGGCGCCACTGCAGACAGGATCGAATACCTCAACAACGCCCAAGCGCCGCAGGAGAGAATCATCGGCGGCGCTGGCACATACGCGGCGCTGGGCGCGCGACTGGCCGCCGGCCGCCGCCACGCCGCCCATGTGAGCTGGATCGTGGACATGGGCGCCGACTTCCCGGCCGAGTTCAGGGGGTTGATCGAGGCGTGGCGCACGAGCTGCGTGTTCCGCCTCGACGGCGGCCGGATGACGACGACGGCGTGGAACGGGTACGGCCCCAACGAGCTGCGCGCGTTCAAGTACCTCACCCCCAAGCGCCGGCTGGACGAAACCTCCCTGTCGGACGAGCAGGTGCTGGCGCGCGCGTTCCACATGGTCTGCTCGCCCGCGCGGTGCATGGCGCTCGTGCGCGGCGTCTTGGAGCGGCGGGTGAGACTGCTCCCGGGCCGAGGTCCCGCCACGCACGCAGAAGAGGAGGACCGGCCGATCTTCGTCTGGGAGCCCATCCCGGACCTGTGCACGCCCGAGGAGCTGGCGCGGCTGCGTGAGGCGGCGGCGTGCGTGGACGTGGTGAGCCCCAACGCCGACGAGTTCGAGTCGTTCTTCCACGAAATGCCCGGGTTCTCGTCGCGGGAACGCATGGTCGAGAACCTGCTAGGGCTGGACGGGCGAGATGGTGGACGGCAGAAGAAGCCCCTGAGGACGGCGCTGGTGGTCCGAGAAGGCGCCCACGGGTGTACCACGTACGTCGGGCGGACTCGAGGGTTTCACCTCCCGGCGTACCATCAAAGCAAAGAAAAGGTCGTGGACCCTACAGGCGGGGGGAATACGTTCTTGGGAGCGCTGGCCATGGGCATGGCCGGCACCACAACACCGGATGAGGCCGTTCTTCAAGAGCTACGCCTCCCCGGGGAGTCCGCCTTGCGCGAGAAAGGGCTTTTGCTCGGCCTGCTCCACGCGACGGTCGCCGCGGGATACGCAATCGAGCAGACGGGCATGCCTACGGTGTCGGCGGAAGATGGCGACTGCTGGAACGGAGAAGCATATCCGGAGCGGTTTCGCAAGTACATACGAAGAGAGAGGGCCCATATAGCTGTTCAACTCTCAGGCTCATGCGGCTAGACCTCGACAGTGCAAATTTTCACGCGGCCCGTTTCTGAAGTCTCGTGTGCATCAGTGCTTTGTCAGTCAAGACCTTGAACTAGCCGTTTTCTGCAAGATTGATTGATCGAGCGAGGCAGGGCATCTCGCCTATTGCCCGTGTCGATATATGTACAGTTGTAGAGTCGTTGCCTCCTGCTTCCCGATGCTCACACTCTCTGTAATGGAGTCCCCAGGGGTGGCTTCCTCTTTCACAGTCCTCCTTGCTCTCCACTGGCTTTCGCATAGTCGTGATCATCCAGCCAAATCCGCGCCTTGCCCAAGTGTTGTGGAAGTATGTACAACGGAGTTATTCTTCGAGGTAAAATAATGGTTTAATTTCGTCGAGGTTCGTTTTGGTCCGGCAGGGGGGTGGATTGGGGGAGGTAGGCGGCAATGGCCTATTGGCCCTTCTGCGCCTTTTCGTGCTCGATTATCTGTCTGCTCCAACTGGAAAGCCGTCAGTACATGGCCCCTTTTGGCACACGGCGTAAACAGGTCCCCAAGCTATATCCGCCTCGAACACGACTTTGACACTGTCGCAGCCCCCCCTCACACACCATCCTGACCTCCTCTTCCGCCATTTTCCCACCCCACGCCCAAGAAACCACCTCGTGCTCGGGGGGATGACTTACTACCGGCTCGGGAAAAATACGTCCTTCTCGGGCATCTTGGTCCTAACCTCCCGCTGTGCCGAGACTCTCCAGGCAAGCCCCGCGCACGCGGCAATCACCACGCCCATCACCAGCGTATTGGTTCGCCAGTTGTGAGGTTGTGCGTACCAACCGCCGGCGGGGGACCAGACGTGCTTCGGGTACGCGACTTTGCCGCCTCCGCCCATCGTTGCTGTGAGGCTGGTGAGGTTTCGCGGCGGGTGTGAGGATTAATAGGGAGGGGTGAGGGTCGGAAGCTGGATCGTGATTGTGGATGAGCTTGACAATGTATGGAGGATCTGGAAGGTGATTGAATTGAGGTGCAGTTTGAAGGATCAGCTGTGATTGGCCGAGGAGAGCTTCCCTCGGCACACTTTCTCCTTTGAGTCTATGAAGATGTATCTATTACTCCTCCCACCTTGCTCGATTGTGCCACCTCCCGTATCTACAACTTGACGACTATTTTACTTGCAGACACTCCCTGTTTCAGCCTGTCAATTCCAGTCTGAATGCTGTCCAGACCTTCACCGATGACATTTGCACGAGGCGCGGGTTTGTATTGGCCGCTCGCCAATGCCGCCGGCAGATACTTCCAAAGAGCTTTGCCAACATCTGTGCCCGGGACCAAGGCTGCCAGCACTGACGTTACATTAGCAAAGTTCCCTGAAGCCATGTTCCATATGCCTTACTTTGCTTAACTCTGACGTTATTGGGCAGTTCTTCTGGTGCTTGTCCCGCCGTGGCGATGAAGCCACCTCCTATTCGGGAGAGGATTTCAGCAACCTTCCGAGTGCTTTCTTCTGTACCAAATGCTTGAGAGTCTGTGTTAGTTATGTGTTTGGATATTGAACTTGATCTCCATCGAAACTTACCATCAAACGCGCCGAGCACGCTGCAACTCTGCAGTCTGGTCGCCAGTCGTTCAACGACATTCTCATCGGCATAATCGAAAACTGCGCTTGCGCCCAGCGACTTGCAATGGTCAAAGTTCCTCGGAGATGCCGTTGCGATGACCTCCAGCCCGGACGCAACGGCAAGCTGAATAACTGCGCTTCCTACACTCGAACTGCCGCTCCAAACCAAGAGGGTCTGGCCAGTCCTCTCACCAGTCTGCTGTGGCAATCGCAGGCCCAGGAATCCATCTTGATAAAGCCCTCCAACCGCCGTGGAGAAGGCAAGAGGTATTACAGCAGCGTCCTCGTAACTCATACTTGGTGGAATAGAAGCTGCAGCGTGTGCTTGGACGACGGTATACGCTTGGAACCCCCAATGCTCGGGTTTACCAGTGACGAGGCCCAAGGCGTGCGCTGTGACTCGCGCTCCGGGCTCAAATTGAGTCACTCCTTCACCCACTTCAACCACCTCCCCAGCAATGTCGTGTCCAAGGATTGCGGGCCATTGTTGGACGAACAGGCCCAGATCTTGGGTGATTCCATCGATCGGGTTTATTGCAACGGCATGGTTCTTGACGAGGATCTCTGCGGCATTGGGCTTCCCAATGCTGGCCGGCCCCACTCTGAGACGTTGTCGGGGTCCGTCTAAGAAAGCCGCTCTGTTCTCGAGAGACATTTTTGAAGCCCACGATTTTGACTGAATATAGAACAGGCCGGTTCTCTGGGTGCTGCAGAGATGGGAAATAGTTATTGATGGTGATGTCCAGGCTGCAGCGTTCATGTTACAACGACTCGGATCCGAGCTGCCAAGCCCTTTCCTCGTCGGGATCGGGACGAAATCATCCCGAATGAGAGGCCCTTCTCTCATGCTTCGAGTTTGGTATGGCTCAAGCGGTTGGGAGATAATGCACTGGTTCCACTTATTATTCCATCTGCCTGCTGTAGGTCAACTTGCCTGTTGGAGCAATGATCCAATCCAGGGAATGGTCTGGAAACGGCAACCCGGAGTTAGTGGCGGCACAAAGGTCCCAAACAGTGTCTGTCCAGAAGACTCTATGGCTCCGTTTCTGGTCAGCCTTCAAAAGTCGAACGACCTCATCGGTGTTGAGCCTTCCTGGATGTATTGATCTAGAATGCCCTGCGAAAGCTTGATAAGCAACGACAATGAATGCAGTAGAGAGCAGCCAGAACTCACCCAGTCGACCATGTCTGAATCGCTAAAGATCACATCCAGAAACTCCTGAGACGCAGGATCCTGGGATGCTGAATGCCCACTGTCGAACAGGAAGATTGAGGGGTCATTTGGAGCCGAGGGCTCGCCTTCTGATCTGCTCTCGTTCGTGCTTGCGGTTCTCACAGCGTCCAAGCTTACCTGCGACAACGGCTGAGTGATATCGGTGCTTGCAGAGTGGGTTCCATTAAACTCTTCCTGCATTTGGGAGCCTGGCCTAGGGATCTTCGAGAGCATGATCGCTAGAATGTTCGACGCTCGCCTAGCGTCTAATGAGGTTGATTTTTGTGATTGCCAAATGTCGTGCGAGACTTTTAGCGCGTCGTATTTTATCCTCTGCGCGTCCAAGTCTAGGGCTGACAAGGCCTTTGTACGAGTTTGGCGGTGGGATTCGTACAAATCAAGACAAGTGATCATGGCCGCAAGAAGGAAATCATGGTGCGCCAGATTCGACGTCGTCCATTGACTGTTGTGCAGCTGACCTCCAGGCTGCGTAGCTTGGTCAACCTCAGCTTGATATCGCAACATTTGAACGCTCGCAGTGATGCAGGCATTCCGCGAATATTCGAAGGCAGGGTTCATCCTCTCATGACTCAGATACCTTCTATGAAGGATCATCATGCCCTTCTGATAGACCAGCTCGAGGTTGAGCCGGTGCATTATTATGTGAGTCTCGTCTGTGACGGAAGAGCCGAGAGGCCTCCATTTAAGGCTCGGCGGTATTTCTGCGCGGATCTTGAGGAGCTCGCCGTCTAGACTCAAGACATCCGCATAGGCTGGGACTCTTGGCGACAGAGCCTGCCGCGCCACTTTTCGGAATGTTTGCGCTAGGTGGCCTTTATAACAGTAGTAGAGCATCGGCGTTGGATCCGTGAGCGGTCGCGACGGTGGAATGGCCGTGGAAAATTCATCAAAGTCTTCATCGAACAGGTTGCCCGGAGGTGCAGTGTCACAGCCCTCCTCGTGGATAATGGCCGGAAGCCCTGCCTGGAAAGAAAGGAGTAGTTCAAAGGTCTGCACGGTGGAGAATACTCTTCGGCGCATTTCCCCTTCGAACGGCGAAATGTGAGCCAGATGACTGGGGTCTCGATGGTATCCCATTCTCAAAGCAAGGCGGGCTGCCACCCCCATCAACAACCAGGGCTCGGTCTCGGAATCACCCTGCTGGAAGAACCTGCTAACAGCATAGAGCAGCATAGCCTCAACACTGTAGGGCCGCGCCTTTTGATAATGCCCAGCTACCAAAGCTCGACCCGCGCATGTCAAGAACAGATCCGAGGCTTCTTTGAGCGACCGGAAGAAATCGATTTCTTCGGGCCGTGCGATTCGAGAGCCAAGATGCATGGACGAGAAAAGTATCGAGAGCCAAAGGAAAGAAACCGATGAGGGATCGTTCCAGAATGATTCATACTGCCAGACGTCAGCAACCCCTTATCTCTGCAAGTAGTGGTATTGCTGTGAGAACTACCTCTCGTAAGAATTTCTGCTTGTGTATGAAGGCTGCGACGATAAGCGAAGGGTCCGTATCACTACCAGGAGCAGGACTTACGGATGTGTAGAAACCGTGCATTGAACTGCACTGAAAGTAGTTTGTCTACTACAGGTCTGGGAGGCAACAGGCTGCAGACCTCGGCCAAGGTCAAAGGCTGCAAATCGGACAGGACAATATCTGGGTCATTTCTGTGGTTTGAGAAGTCTCCGTCCTCTCCATCACCTGGTTCCGGTGCAAGACATTCCTGAATGTCTTTGATCTGTGCGTGGTAAGGGTGACGACCTGGCTAAGAGCAACAAGAGGCAAACGAACATTTTCTAAAATTGTAGCCCAGTGAGTAGCCCCGAGGTATTTGGTTTCAGTTCCTCTGATATCGAGATGGCCGTTGGGTATCGGATCTGATGCCACGGGGGAAGTATCCGCCATTGATGGCGCTGTCGCCGTCGCCGTGTTGGGTGGCGCGCTTGTCGACGCTGCGCGCTGGCTGCTTCCTGGAGAGGGAGGCGTGGCCTGGCTCCCCTGCCCACTTGTGTCTTGATTTGCCTGCATCAACATCGTCACCATTTCCTCGAGCTTTTGTAGTCGAGATTGGGCCTTAGAGATATTGTCCCCGTCGTCAAGACTGCGGTTGTGGTCGGGAGCAGGGCCGCCAGATGTTTGCTCTGGGAGGCCATTGGATTGATGCTTGCTTTTGGCTGCCTGGCCCGACCGTTTAGGGGCGTTTGGCTTCGCGATCCGGAAAACATTCTGGTATTGGGATAAGTCGGGCATATTTGGATCTCTCGTGTAGACTAAATCAATCCGTCTATTGAAATCAATTGGCGACTTTGTGAGGCTTGAAATCTGAGAGCGGCGGCCTATGAACAGATGCACTCTACGAGTGGAGATAGTAGACCGTAGTCTACGGAGGAGCTTATAGATAGCTCGCGAGTTCCCGATTGTAGTCCTCTGCCTCGAACCTCATCTCGCTACCTGTTCAATTAGAGCCCATCATTTCAAGAATAACAAGACTGTGCGCATCGTCTGGATCACAGAATAAGTTCTTGTGACTATATGTTGCTAAAGGAGTGTCTATTAAATCAGAAAATTATATAACGCCGGTCGCTGATGCTAACAAGAAAAACAAAACGCCAATCGCTATGCAACTCAAATAACCAGACCCATCTATGCCATCACTTGCCAGCCACCTATGTCCTCTCCTCCTGTCCTGCCAACTCGAACATCACCTGTCATCGCTCATGCAAAGGTAGGATCGCAAATGATCTCGCTGACCTCGCTGGGGGTCTCCAAGGTCCAAGCACCCTTATCGGCGTCAGAGAAGGTGATGTCTCTGTTCGCGCCTCTGAGGACGACCAGAGGGTTGCCGTAGAGATCGAGGATCTGGCAGCGGTAGTTCTGCTGCTCGACCAACGACCCGACTGAGAGTTCGACGGTTTCAAAGGGACCGCTCGTGGCGACGGGGGCGGACTCGGCGCGGTATCCGGCAGGGAGGGATGTCTGCGAGCCGGTCTCGGTGGATTGGCTTTCGAGAATGACGCGCAGGTTGAGCTCGTCAGAGGCCGGGTCGATCTTCACAAAGGTAGGGTCGCAGACAACCTCGCTGACATAGCTGGCCTGGCGGAAGGTCCAAGGACCCTTGTCGGCATCGGAGAAGGTGGTGTCAATGTTGGTGCCGCGGGTGGCCACGATGGGATATCCGTAGTTGTCGAGAGCCTGGCAACGGAGCTCTTGGTTCTGGACATCCTCGCCCAATCGGATCTCGATCGAGTTGAACGGACCACTGATGGCCGGGGCCCCCATGTCTCGGACCGTTGATTCGAGGGTCACCTGGGCGCCGGTTTCACCTCCATCGCTAAGGGCGACGGTGACCTTGTCGTCATAGTAGCGACGGCTGTGGGGAGCAGCAAGAGCGCCGGAAGCGGCAAGAAGAGAAAGGACGACGGCTTTGGAATGCATTGTTGGATATGTGATTTGCGGTTGAAGCTTTTGGAATTAAGTGTTTTCTTATTAGATGCTGGAAAGAGTGTCGAGCAGTTGGGCCCAAAGAACAAAGGAAAGAAGGAAAGAAAATGAAAGATAAGGAAAGACTGTAGGTTGGTTGGTTGTTGGTTGTGTGTTGTGATGATGGGGGAGAAGATCCGTATTGACTGGCGGGAGTTATATGGCATCTTTATACACATCCCTCGACCCGATTCGGGCTCTTAGTATTAGTATGGTCCATTCCGCACATACGAAGTCGACGGTCCATACCCAAGGTAGAGTCACCAATATCCACTGGGTGAATTACACACACTTCCTAATCGAGAAATGCGCTTTTACTGCGCCCGGCAAGTAGCAGCGTGACAAAGCGCTCGCCAAGGCGACTATATCCATTGGCTCGATGGCGGAATGCATGTCGCCATGCCCGATACCACCAGGAGGAGCCCAAATCACCCTGGTGCCAATGCCATACCAACGGGAGGGGACCAAATCGCCCTTAGCCCATGTTAGTCGCCATCCCAGGTTCCCACTCCGCCGGTCTTGGCTTCTAGAAGTGCTTACTATATCAGACTCCCAATAATAGCCATAGCTATACCAAAGGACAAGAAATCCACCAAGCCTTGCGGGAGCCAAGACTCCCCGCCGTGAGATTGTGGCCAGCAACTGCAGTCCATTATTGATATTACTACGGCGGATTGTTAATGTGGACAAATTGCCTCGGAGCCTCGGAATGGAGGCAGGTGCCTTTTACCAAAGACGACCAAGGATGCTCGACTACCTCCTCGACGATATACCCAAACGGTAGCTATGTGACACCAGACTACGCTTTCTCGAATCAGTATTCCCCTTTCTGGATTTTGCTTCTTGTCTCTTCGATCACTTCCATGGAATTGACGTGGCAGAAGTAACTATTGCTGCTCTTTTCAGAACACATTCCAAACCGCAGAAATGTCAGCTTTCACCGCCATACATCCTTGTGCAGCTCCACCCAGTTGTCGAATTTCATCGGCGGCCTGCCCGTCACCGTTTCAACATCCTTGTTCATTCTCTCTTCAGCCCCTTGCGCCGTCATAGTTTCCAGCCAGGTCAGCAGCCTGGCATACTGTTCGGCAAAGCCGGCTTTGATGTATCTCTGAATGTTGTCCTCGGCAGATAGCCTGACATGCTCAATCTTGCGGCCCAAGGCATTGCTCAACTTCGCAGCGACCTGTTCCTCTAGTCAGCCTGAGTCTGTTGTTGGAGCTTCTTCGCCAAGCCGCAGGGCCTTACCTCATCGTAACTCAACAGTTCCGGTCCTAGCAGCCGGTAGTCGCAATGCTGAGGGGACTCGCAGGTTAGAACTTCATATGCCACGGCGGCGATATCAATGGCGCTAATGAATGGAGCCTTGCCGTCCTCGCAAGCTGTGTAGATTCTGTTCTCGTTCCTGATCGTGGGTAGGTGTTCCTGCTCTGACATCCTCTCTATTTCGCCGAACTTTAGCAAACCAGCAAGCCACCGCAGAGTTGGACAGAAAGCTTGTAACTCACCCATGAACCAAGTGGCACGGATAACGCAATATTCCACCCCAATATCAACCAGGTGCTGCCAAACTTTGCCAACATGGTGGCCGTCCTGCTCAATAGAGCCACCCGCCAAGAGAACAAATCTCTTGACCTGGTACTTTTCAACAGCGAGATCAATGAAGGCATTCATTGGAGATACAGGGTCTGATATCTCTGGTGAGATGAGATAGACTGCAGATATCTTTTCGTTGCCTGGGAAGCTTTGCGTGAAAGGGCCATCATAGGTTGAAAGGTTCGACCAGTGGAAATTAACAGCGGGCATCCCCTCCGGCGCCGCAGCTTGACCTCGGCGAGAAGCTAACAAGAAAGGCACCTTTGCACCTTGCAACAGAGCGGCAATGCGAATTGACGTCTTACCGGTACCGCCAGTGAGAAGGACGGCCATAGTGATTGTCTGGTCATCTCGAAAGCGTCCTCTGCTCTTTCCGTGCTGCGTTACTTTATGTGCCCGGTGTCGCAAAACATGGGATTAAATTGGCCATGATGTCTCGCTACCAACTTACCACATGTGGAAGCCACCTAGAGATGAATACCTCTTGCGGCCTTTGATAGTTGTAGAGTCAAAGGTTAAGTTCTGGTAGAAGAAGGAAGCGGAGTTAAGAGACTACTTCCTCTTTGGGACTGAATGCCAAGGCGCAGCTTAATTGGTCGCAGCCTCTCCAGCCGAATTTCCTTTCGCGTTGGACTTCCAATGGTCTCGTGTCGCAGGAGAAAAAGTCTCTTACACCATCGAATTCGCAGTGCCTCTGCGCCCAGTTATCCCCCGGATTCCAATATCCATCAACCTTCCCCCGGGCACTGCGGAATCACTACAGAGTCTGCAAAGAGCTCCTTCAGCTCTCATGAAGAGGTTGAGGCTCCTGAGATGGAGCGGCACTGTACTTTCACCTCGAACGAGACCGGAACTCCTTCAATGTCAACCTCGCCTTCATCGACGGTTCCAAGCGACCGCTGCCGCTCCCTCAGATCCCGAAGATGAATCCCTGCGTCAAGTCACAGATGGGCCCTATCTCTCCGAGGAAGAACTCATGAAGTTGCCCTCACCTCCGGTCGCCGCCGCAAGGACGTCTGCCAAACTGGCTGCCTTGCATGCTCGACTCGCCTTACCCTCTCGTTTCCCCCTCGAAACTTTGGCACGAACCCTTGTTGACGACTCGGCGGATCGCTCTATGCGATTCAACAACAAAGCCTTTGCCCTGCTTGGGAATGACTTGTTGGGATTCTACACATCTGAATACATTATAAGTCAATACCCAAGGTTACCGCTCGCCGTCATCTACGCGGCAATGTACGCCTATCACGGCCCTGCGACGTTGACGCAGATGGCTAAAGAATGGGGTGTGGAAGCTGCCGCTGAACCCGGAGGTGAGGTCGACCCAGGCCTGTTGCAATTCAAGAGAATGCCTCCGGAACAAACTCTTGGGAATGGGGGTTCAGGTTCAAGCGGCAGTAATAATGACCCGAGAGCAAAATGGACACGAAGTTTAAGTGCCAAGTCGGTCCACAACGACCAGTTTGGTGAACTTCCTGAACGGCCAACTCCGTCTGAAGATTTGGCCTCGAAAGGCGTCACTCTACAACGAGCCAGTACAAATTTTGTGAGAGCAGTGATTGGCGCAGTATACTTGCACGCGGGGAGAGCGGCCGCAAAGAAATTCTACAGCGATCACTTCATGTCTCGACAATTGGATATGTCAAGTCTATTCCAGTTTAAGAATCCAACCAGAGACTTGAGCCGACTGTGTGGAAGAGAAGGATTCCAGGCACCTGTGGCCAAGATTTTGAGTGAAACTGGGCGGAAGAGCAGGACCCCCGTTTACGTGGTGGGAATATATTCAGGCAGCGACCAGTTGGGCGAAGGCGCAGGTGCCAGCTTGGACGAAGCCAGAACACGAGCGGCAGTGGCAGCACTCAAGGGCTGGTATCTTTACAGCCCAACCGAGTTTCGATTGCCTAGCGAAATGGAAGAGCCCGGAGCCAAAGCGTGGAACCCGATTCTGGTGGATGCCGGCGAAGTTGTCGGCTAATGTCTGCTTGAGCCTTTTGTTCTCGCGGCCCTTTGTCGTCGAGGCTCAATGTACTTTTATGACAGCTTGGACAAAAATTCTGCAGGGACATATGTAAGCATTATCAGGCGCCGGGAGGAGCTCTGGTGCACAAGGCAGCCACTGGCGGGTCGGGAGAGATGTATGCACACGCAAAATGTTAACAAATGTTCCTCTCCCGCCTCTTCTTTTTGACTTTGAACCGTCACCGATGGCCCTGAAGTACGCTGGCGGTCTTTTGCAGGTCGGGTTTCAAGGCGCAGTACACCAGCAGCTAGCCACAAGGGCTGGGAGCAGTTCGACTCGGCTGGGGCCGCTCGCCTTGTCCAGTGCCTGAGAAGCGGTGAGCATCTTGAAGGTCGTGTAACCGGTGTTCATGGGCTGTGTCAATATTGAGCTGTCTCGTCCCTTGAGCATGGATTCCGGAGCACGGTACATGGGGTATGGTATACTATCCAGCAACCCGACAGGTCTATGTAAGGAGCCTGCTGGGAATTTCCGGAGTCGACACCTTGTCAGAGCCAATCAAGGGCAAGGGGATGAGCTGCTTGGCGTGCTTGGCGACCATCTCGATGACGTCGATAGCTGGGAGGCCTTTTTCTTCTCTTCTCCAACTCGTTTCCCAAACGACACAGTACCTGAAATCAGTAGAGGCGAAGCCAAGCGACAATCAAGGGACCGAGAGGCTATTGAAGGCATGCTGGGGCTCCCCAGAAATCGGGCGTCCCGTCTCTTTGGAAATCAGCGAGCCGCGAGAGCGAGGGAACTTTGAGCAACACAAAGTTCTCTCAGGCATCGCCCGGGCCTGCGCCACACCCACACTACGGGAGGGTAGCCCGCCCCACGAATCATGTTCAGACTTGGACCATAACACCAGACGGAGTTTGAGAAGCTGATCAGGGCACCAGGGAAACCTAGCAAAGTCCGGGAGACCCAGAGTGTGAGTTAATATGCGAGGATCCCCGCTTCGCCCTGCTTCACCCAGATCCATTGCCATGGCTGGCGCATGACAGGCGCTTGTGACTTGGACAAGTTCGACCTACCCACCTCTTCGAACATTCCAACGAGCCGGTATTTAGCCTCGCCAGGCAGTCTTCCAATACGGTCGAGGTTCTTGCCTCCTATGTCGGATCGACATTGCGCAGCATGTGGTTCCTATTCTTGTTATAAGTCTGCTTACCAACTCTGGCTTTCTTGAACCTGATTCTCCCACCATCTTCGTCTCAAGCGGGAGAGCAACTCACAAACGTCCCACCATGGCAGCCGCAGATTACTTTACATCGGCCCCCAGGCCTCCGCTGGAACAACATAACAATGGTTCATATGTGCCGCCACAACCACAGACGGTACATTCGTCGCAGGCGGGATTTGGTTATCAATCCGGCCAGCCAGGCCAACCGAGTCCACAGTTTGGCGTTCAACCGCCTTCGCCGTACGGTCCTCCTCCCCATCTCCCTCCTCCTGCCTACCAACCACTCAACAACGAACCCAAAGTCCATTTCGCCGCGACACCTGCGACGCCTGGACAGCATCGCCCTTCCCTCTCAAGCCAGCCGACATACGCCCTCAATCAGCCCAATTTCCAAGCCAATCCCGTCCAGCAACTATCTCCATATCCTCCCGGTCCATACGTCCCTCAAGCCTATCAACATCTGCCTTACGGACCACCTCACCATCGACCGCACCACAGACCCTCACACGGTGACCCTTCCGGGTCTGGTTATTCCTCAGATCCCGAGCCCAACAGGAGGAATCACAAGGAGCGAACCCGTCGCATATCGGACCACTCACGCTCGACCAATGCCGATGGCTTCCTCGGCGCCGCCGGCGGCGGATTACTAGGCGATCTGCTTTTCCCAGGGCTCGGCACGGTCGGTGGCGCGTTGGTGGGCTGGGTCGGGGGCAAGGACTATGGCAAACACAGGAAGTGGAGAGAAGAGAAGAGGGATCGAGAGCAGGAGCGCTGGGAGAGGGAATACCGCAGGAAAAACAGCCACAGCCGCTCGAGGAGTCAAAGTCGAGACAGAGACGCGCACGAGCGGGGCCACAGTCACGGCCGTCATGACGGACGGAGACACAGCCATGAAAGGCGGAAGGGCCATGACTGAGAAACGGACGGGAGTCATTCTTGGGGGTTCTTCGAAGAGCGAAGGCTTTTTATTTGGGGGGGGGGGGGACGTTTTCGATTCCGCGATGATTATTATTATTATGATGATGATGATGTGGCCGTTTTAGAATTGGCAAGCCAGGGAGATGACGATGACGCATCAACAAACCCAGGGAACGAGTTTTACGACACAGCTTGCTTTTCCGTACCCAATGATACAACTCGGCCCGACCGGCTGGTCCTATCCGGGCGTGAATGATGAAACATCCATCAGTGCGAGACCGAGGGATTCTTAGTCTATGATATTCGTTCGTGGTCGTGTGATGTGTAGAGGCCTTTCATCGTTCATTCTCTCCAACGAATTAAAAGGGTTCGGCATGCTGCAGCGACATGCACCCCAGATCCGCCCGCAGGTGGCAAATCTGACGATATATCGGGACGCCCAAGCATCACTTGATCCGTCCTGATTCCTGACCAAGGTGCCAGCACGTCTGCCTATTTTGCGATCGAGAGGGGCAACTTTGTCGAGGCTTCGACGAGGCGAGAGCCATCCCCCCTCCTCGTACATGTTCTACGCATGTCTATTTCGCATCACTCCCCTCGTCGAATCAATTGACGAGCTCGAGTACGCCTTACCTCTTGGCATTATCAACGCGTCCAGCCTGACGAGTCTTTTGCGCACCCAGCAGAGCGCCTTCTGGGGGCCGAGAACGTTTGAGGTGCGAGGTACGGAGTACATGAAACAATGAGCCTTAAGCAGAGAGTCCCCACTCGGATGTAGAGCTGCCTGGCCAACGTCCCCTGAGCCTAGGGATCCAGCCGGCATTCTACTATGTAGACCTGGTGTTGCAGAGAAACTCCTGCAGCGTCTGCGCCCCGTTCGCCGAGAGCAACAAAAGTCTCACAAAAGTTTGTCGTGGACGTGGTTGGAAAGCTTCTCTGTCGCGCCCTTCCCTCCTGGGCGAATAGGACCCACGCGGACCAAAAGTCCCAACCCGGCACGAACTGGAGTGAATTGCTTTTTGGGTGTTCGCGAACCCGTGTCTTATCCAGTGCCCATATTTGACGGACTCGAATCTTCGCTGAGGGTGATTGTTTGTTGCGCATGGCGATGTGGCGATGGGAGCCTAAACGTCAGAGGGAGGGACGAGCGATCCGATTTGGGGATCTTCTAGCAATTGGAGTGCGTTCTGCGCTCTCTCAAGCATCACTGAGGCAGAAGGTTACCCAGCTCCGCCAGGGCAATTTGTGCACCAGTCCCGTTGTCGATGTATTGGGACCATTGAGTAACGAGTAGTGGAGGGAGGCGTCGGCAAATCTTTAGACCAAGTCGCCGTGAAGGCATTGCGCAAGGCTTGGAAAATGTATAGACTGACGATGAGTAGATAGGTTTCTTCGCCGCAAAAGGTTCTGAGTAGGTGGTCATCTAGAAGTGAAGATTTCGCAACCAGTGATTCAGCCTCGTGCAGCCTCGAGAACAAGATGCAAATGGATTTGTAATGACACTGATTTATACCCCGAGTGGCGTTGGCTGCTGTAGCAAATTCCTGCCAAGACGCTGGTATCACTGACTCTGCCCGTCACGAACAAAATGTGTGATTCTTCACCTCGAAGCTCGAAGCAACGGTTTCAGTCCCTTCCAGTGCAACTCGTGTGACAGATGTGCTATATCTAGACATCGTCCTTTCTCTGGCCAATATGTGAATGCCTGTGGTTGGAAACTCAGGGCCAGGTGTGCATTCGCCGAAGATTGCGGCTTGTGAACGAATTGACGTGGTGAATTGCCCGTTGGAATCAAGATGTTGATGTCCAAGAGACAAGCCCGCCGGGGGAGCGGCAAGGCCTCAGACCCCCATAACGGCATGCGGAATGGACGTGGACGGCCGATGAAACGACTTGATCAGCTCAAGCCTCCGCGCAGAGTTCGAACCCTGCAAGCCAGCCTCATCCACAAACAGCTGACGGCGGAGGTCGAACCCGCACGGATCATATCAGCTCTAGAGGCACTGCCAGTCGAAATCATTGAGCAGATCTTCTTCCACTGCTTGGAGCTGAACCTCCCTCGAGCGTCGGTCCACCTGGCCAGGGCTCTGTCCAGACCCTCGGTCTACTCTGCGCTCGTTCTGTTCGCCTATTTTGAAGCGGATTCGTCTGCTCGCGTCGAGACTCGCCATTTCCTGCCCGCCACATACCGGCCGATCGGGTTCGACGACCAGCTGCGTCTCCAGAGAGACATCCTGAGGTCTAGGTGGTGCACGTGGGAGTTTCTTCACTCCTGCATGCCTGCTCTGGCCCGGTTGGCCATGGTCAGACACTGGCACCGTGAACGAGAGCAACTAACCGCGGCAAGATCTGCGGGAGCTCGACAGAAGCACCTTGATGCATACGTCGAGCTACCCGATCCCGATGTTCTTCTGCCGGCAATCGACGATATCTCCGGCATGGAAAGGCATTTCAGGCTCAGGTCAGCCATGCTGCCTGATAAGCCACACGATGAAGCAGCAGCAGCCGACCCTCCAAGTACACATCCCCCCTTGATTATCGAGACCACGCATCTCTCAAATATTGCAGGCCAAACTCCGGGGCAGCCCAACGAGGTCTCACTCTCTCACGTAGAGCAGAGTGTACTCGCGGCGCACATCATTCCGGACAACCTTGTCCTCCGCAAGCCATGGACGGACACGAGCATCAAGCTGCTCCAGCTGCTACGCCAAGCCGTGCGATTTGGAGCTTGCGCCGCGGTTCCCTCGCCGCAGGCAATGTTCGAGGGCATGGCGAGTGCTGTCCAAGAGGGCAACGACAAGGCCCTGCTCGTCCTGCTCGAGCTCTACGACACGGTGGTGCAACAGCGCCACCCGGACCAACCCCTGCCCTTACACCTGTTGCACGTGGCGTGTAAGGCGTCCACATTACCCGCCGGCCGGCAGAGCAGGATGATGTCGCTACTGCTGCGCGGCGCCGTCGAGAATGTCCCCGCGGACGACGACATACTGACACGTTGGGCCATCCATACTGCGAATTCAACGCGGGCGGAGCATGATCTGTTGGTCGCGCGGCGGGTGCTCAAACACATGGAGAACCAAGGCGGGCCGAATGACCCCTCAGGTCGTGCCTCTGGGGCCCAAGGAGACGAACATTGGTCCCCAGCTTCGTTCACAGAGGAGATTGGGTACCTCGAACGCACGAGCGCCGAAGTGTGAAACTTCGCACGGCTGACAAATCATCGCGAAATCCCATCACGCGGCCGTCCCTGGTTGCTGTGGTTTCTGCCAGCATTAAGGGAATGGTTCCGGCGACCTGGATGTCTATGTTTTGCACGACGGTTCCTGACAATGAGCCCAAGTCTCCCGTTACCGCTGGAGATATGCAGGCAAGCATCATCCACGGAGCCGTCCACTCTCTATCTTCTGATCGTCGCAGGCTAGAACACACGATAAGAATCTTCGACGGTCGTTAGTCGCTACACAGACGGATGTTGAATGCAAGCCCCCAGCGTGTTTCCATGCCGCCGTCAAAGCCTGCTACTAAAAACCCTTCACAACTTTTTTGTATCTCCCAAACCTTTGGGCTGTTGAAGCCCAAACTCTTCTTCACAGACCGCGAAAACACGCCACTTTCGCCGACAGGTGTCATCTCCAGGGGCCTCCAACTCCCTAGTCCAGGCAAATTCTCCCCCAAAAGTCAAGTCGATTTCGGCAGCCACTACGGCTCCCCGGGCCAGATGCGATCAGCAATCCTCCTGACCAGCTTCAACTTCTCGACCATGTCGGCTCTCTTGACGGCGTTGCCGCTCGAATGGCTCGCAAACCCGCACTGCGGACTGACGCCGCACCTGTTGAGGGCCTCCTTCTCGCTCTCGCCCGTGCCCTTGGACATCCAGCCGGCGGCCTCTTTAACGCGCTTGACCATCTCGTCCTCGTCCTCCATCTTGGGGAACTTGCTGGTCACCACGCCGAGGATGACGTTCTTGTTCTTGGGCAGGTGCTGGAGCGGCTCGAAGCCGCCAGCCCGCGGGGTGTCGTATTCCAGGTAGTAGGTGTGCATGTTGAGCTTCTGGAAGAGCAGGGTGGCGATGCGGTCGTAGCCGCCCTCGGAGAAGTGGCGCGAGTTGACAAAGTTGCCGCGGCAGAGGTGGACGCCGACGTGCATGTCCGCGGGGATTTGGGAGATGCACGCGTTGTACAGGTCGATGTACTTGGCGAGGAGTTCATCCGTGGAGTAGGTGTTGAGAGGGTCCTTTTCCCAGCCCGCGATCATGGCCTCGGAGCAGAAGTCTGTTCACCCGGGAAGTTGTCAGTTTAGATTCGTACGTCATTTCACTCCCGAAAAAGGGACTTGAGGATGGAGGCCCACTTACAGGCCAGATTGGGATCATCAAACTGCACGTTCCGCAATCCATGGTCGTACAGAATCTTGAGTTCCTCTTGATACGCCTTGGCAATGTCGGCAAAGTACTCGTCATCGTTCTTGTACACGTCGGCGGGGTATGCTTTGCCCTGCTTGTACCGGAGGTGGTACCAATTGGGGGCGGCGAGGGTGAGTTTGAGGTTCTTCCACTGCGCCTGGGGCACGAGGCCCTTCAGGAAGTCGAACTGGGCGGTGTAGGTGCTGCCCTTATGCCTGATCTTGCCGGTGCACAGGACGGTCTCGCCGGGCTTATAGCCCTCCTCGGTGAAGGCGGCGATGTCCGGGATGTACATGCGGAAGAGGTCTGGGTCCGGGTGCTCGATCTCGGTCATGCCCTCGAGCCCGGGCCAAAATGAACCCCAGAACATATGTCTTCGATATTCGCCGTCGGTGAGGGCGTGGAAGCCCAGCTCGAGCTGCAGCGCCACAATGTCCTTGATGTCGCCGTCCTCGACCTCTTGCAGAGCGGTCGCCGACGCCTTGCCGGCCTCCCAGGCGTGCCGCGTGTCCAGCAGCTTCTCGGTGCGCAGGAGGGAGCCGAGGTGTTCAGCGCGGAAGGGCGGATTGCGGTGCAGCGGGAAGGACATGGTTGTTACTGGGTGTGCGTGTCTCTCGACTTCTGTTCTATACGGAAGAGCGTGGGATGGGGGGGCTGCGCTTCACGAGCTGTCTGTCCTGCAAACGATGCAACGCGGTATAGAGAAAATACTATGGTTGTCGAGTGTAAAGGTCATCAAAGCTACTTCGGGTGCTGGAGAGAGAAGTGAAGCGGGGGGGGAGAATGGAAAAAGCTGATGCAATAAACAAACAAACCACATATAAACCTACCTAGGTAGCCAGTAGATGCTTTACCCCGCGATTGGGGAGAAGATTTTTGCTGCAGGTCAGTCGGTCAGGCAGCTCGGGCCAATCGAAAGCCTTGGGCGCCTTGGGAAAAGACTTGTACGGTTATGGCATAGACGTTTTCATAGAAGAGACATGAGGAGACACAAATGAAGGGAGGGGTAAGTGAGGAAGCTGGTCATCTCGTGTGTGAGAGAGTCTGTGTATGTCCTGCGGGGAAAGTGTGACGATAGTGAACGATGACGCTACTGGTGATGATTTAGGCTTGTGTCTCTCGCTGCTCAACGAGACCAGCCATCGTTGTCCAACCGGGCCAATCACTCCCGCATGGAGATTCAAGCACTAAGGCGGCACACATATTACCAAACAGAGTCGGGCCTGAGGGCCAATGTCTCAGGTCTGGTGTAAAAAGCCCCTCGACTTCGACGGCGGCTGTGGGGTAAGAATAAGACAACCACACCACGTTGGAACTTGTGATCATCCATTGTGGTCTCAGCTAACTACCAGGCAGCAGGCAAATGGCATCTTAAAGCCCGCCAAGTTGATCGTCAAGCTGGCTCCATTGCGACAGCTCCCCGCCGTTGAACCCCAATCAGGGCACGCAAGGAGGCATATGTGATATCTGGAGGCTGTCAAGAGCAGAGCTTGCCAAACGGACATCCACGGACGGCTATCTACACACCAATGCAGCTCCTTCAACACCCCAACGAGATCCTCAGCCGTGTCATCTCCTTCCTCGACACCCCTAGCCCCTTTGATGCCGACATCCTGCAGAAGCCCAAGTCGGCTCTGATTCCCTTCGAGTCCGAGGCGGGCATCGAGTTGACCAGCATCCCAGCATCATTGCACCGCCAACACACCCTCAAGAACTTGACCTTGACATGCCGCTTCCTGCGCGCCCTGACCCTCCCCGTCCTCTTCAAACATGCCGTGCTCCATCCGCTACTGCTGACCGACTTTCTCTCCTTCCTCAAGCGGCATGATCTGTCCCAACATGTCGTCAGTGTGGTCGCCCACGTGCCGGGCCATTACAACCACATCCATCCAGCGTGGTGGGCACGCTTGCTCAACGAAGTCCCCGCGACCCGCTTCAGCATCGTGGCCGCCCCAGAGATCTTTGCCGAGCTGGCCGGCATCTGTTCGTGGACCAGCGACGCCTGGGCCTTTGACATGGCATTCCAGATCCTCCGGCTCGACCAGACACCAGAAGCCGCCCAGATGCAGATCGACTACGACGATTTGCCCAATTTCTTAGTGGCGCGACCTTGGCAGAACATGGTCGTCAACGAAGGGTCCAGCCTGATGGCGTACACGACCTACGAATTCTTCTTACGGCGGACCCCGTCCCTACTGACGGCGCTGCATTCCAACAACTCGGCCGCCGGGGATGTGCTCTTCGCGAACCTGAGGAGTTTCGACTTCGTGGCCATCTTCCCCTTCTACAACCACGTGGACGAGGTGCTCAAGTGCGTGCGCAAAATGAGGCAGCTCCGGCGGCTGTTCGTCAAGCTGTGCCCGGAGCCGAGCAGCACCGTGTTCCACGACGAAATCGAAATGGCCGGCGGGGCGCTGGACATCCATGACCCATGGAACGAATGCGAGACGTCGTGGACACTGATCGCGCACAGCGTAGTCTTTCTAACCACCGAAGGCCAGCTGTGCGAGCTACAGATGGACGACGTCAAGGTGGAGGGCATGCGACAGACGCTCGAGCAGGGCATCAGCTCGCTGTTGGAGGGACGATGGCTGTATGAAGAGCCGGAATCGGGGATCTGGCGCCGGAGAAGAGTTCCTGGGTGTCTGCAACAGGGATAGCGTTAGAGCAAAACCCCCAGAGTCAAAACAAACCAGCACTCACCCTGCTCTCCCTGGGCTGAACTTGGACGCATATTGCCCAGTCGCATTGGATTGTATCAGATGTCCCGCATCTTCAAGCGAGGGTATGTGCATGAGCAACTCAATGATGTCAGCGGCAAGCAGGCAAGCGGGAGTTGTCGCCGGCAGGTAGGCGAAAGTGTGTATCGAGTGCACGCATGTTTTTTCCGCATCTGAATCTCGAATCTGGATCTGGATCTGGAAGTGGGAAATGGTTGGGATCTGCGATTTGGACATTGAGCAAGATCAATGATATGGTATATGTATGGTGGCCTCGACAGAGCATGAGATGGATTGACATAGTATGGTATGATCTGGTAATGCATTCAGCAGCCCTATCAAAGTCGAAGAGCTCTTTTCGCTCCCCCTCCCCCGCCTTTTCGTACTCTCCGCCTAACAGCATCACCTAAGTAAGATATTGGAAGAAGGAAAGAGACGGGGAGGGGGGTGGAGACATACCCACGAAATCGTGCATCTCTACATACCTATCATCTACGTCATAACGTGCAGGTGCAATGCCCCCGTTGGCTGCACGCATGGTCATCACTTCGCGGTGACGACGGACGACGCGTCTGTGTCTCCGACATACAACTTACTTATCCTGCTCGACCCAATAAATGCGTCAGTGGCGGCAGCAGGGATCTTGACGATGCAGGCAACGGAGAAAACACGCGGTGGAGGGGTGGTGTTCGTGGTCTAGTCTTTGGCCCCTTGCCTCTCAGGAAAACGCAGAAAAGTCATCATTGGCTACTCCGTACTTACCCAGGAACTTTCTTCCGGGCATCTCGATCGACACCCAGATTCCATTGTGGAAACCCACCAAGATTGCGGATTTATTTCCCTGCTCGGCATTTTTCAAAAGACCACAGAAAACAGCCGAAATGGCGACCGAGAGAGGGAAGCCAAGCCCATCGGACGGGCGCTAGGAGAGGGGAGCTACAACTAGCCCGGCGCTAATGGGGCCCTTGGCACCACTCCGCGCCCTGGGACTTGTTGTCCGCTTCGTCATCGGGCGTGGCACCTTGAGATTCTGGGCGCTACCGAGGATGAAGCGAAGCAGCAGCCCGGTGTTGGTTAGTTGGTCGATTGTTGCTCTGATCGACTCCTGCTCCCTGGACTGCTTGACAAAGGGTTGGGGGGAGGGGAGGGGAGGGGGTGGGCGGGTGGTCGGTCAATGTTCCGACCCATTAGGCATTTGGTACCGACTTACACCCTTTGCACGGGGATCGTCCACAGAGTCTAGTCCGTCGCCCCAAGACAAGAGCTTAAAATGCCACTGGCTGCTCCCCACTAGAACGTGTGTGAGGGAGGGACCCTCATCCGCCGCCCTCCCAAGCCCACCCTTCGCTCGCCCCAATCTCATTGGATATACATTTCCCTTCCTTGGATCAAATCACCTGACTCTCACCCGGAGGGGGCTTGTGCCCTTGCTCACGACTCTCTCACTCACTCAATCAATCAATCAATCACTCTCACACCTGCCTGCCTGGGGCTCGTTTTGCTCCATTCTGGCACCTAGTGCCCTGCCCGCCTGGGCTGCTAATGGGTACTGCTGCTACTACTACTGCTACAATCATTATTCCTGCTCCCTTTCCCATCTCTGCCTTTTTCGCCGCCGCAGCAACAACAACGCGTCTCGTCCCAACTCGAACTAAGCCCCGATTGTCGGGAACCAAAAAAGTTGGTTCCAAGACAAACGACACCCTTCGTTGGCTTTTCTTTCGCAAGCGCTCTCTCTCTCACACACACACACCACCCTCCCTCTCTATCTCTCCATCTCTCTCGGTTTTGTTTTGTTTTGCAAAACCGCCTCGTGTGTACGTCTTACCCTCCCGTTTGTGATCAACACCCGCAGAATCTCTCAACCATCGCCGCATGGGATACTAACTAAAATCCTGCCAGCATCAGAAATAAAGCCTGAGGAAACCAAATTCAGAGCCCTTCCCCGAAGGCTGCGCCATGGGGACCGAGACCGACACTTAAGAGAACAAAGGTGCAATCACCCTACATCGACAGAGACATAGTCAGATGCCTTCGCCACCCAACACCCGGCCCATCAAGCCAGCCAAAGAGACCATCTCCAAGGCCCCCCGGAAGAAAACATCCAGTGCTCGCATCTCCGCCGCCTGTGAAGCATGCAAGAAACGCAAAACCAAATGCACCGGTGGCCCGCCACCCTGCCAACTGTGCGAGACGCTTGGTACCGACTGTGTCATTGACCTCTCGCTGGACATGAGACGAAGGGCTGCCTTCCAGCGCACCTTGGACGAATCGAGGACTTATCAAGACGCCCTAAACAACTTACTGGATGGCATCCGCGAGGGTCCCTCGCCGCGCCTCGAGGCCATGCTGCAGCGCATCCGCGGCGGCGCCTCCAATCAGGAAATCACAAACGCTCTGCATCAGTACTCGAACCGCACCGAGGATGAAGAGGGCGACGACGCCATGGCGTCCCAGATAGACGGGGCTGAAGCCCTGATGGACGCCGGCAAGAGCCCCGCTGATACCTCCAGTTTGGGCTCGGGCGCCTCTGAGTCGGCAAAGGGCAGGGCCCCCGACGGCGCCATGCCCCTTGGCAACCTGCTGACCTCGCTCAAGAATGCATCCCCCCAAGAAGGAGAAGCCATCCTGCGCCAATTTTTGGCCTTGCGCTCCGATGACAGGGTCGGTTTGCCACTTTGGGCGTCAGAGGCAAGGAATCTCTGGGAGGGAATGGATGCTGGTATAGCTCTTCCTAGTGTTACCGAACGCGCCATGTGGCACCCGGTCCTGCACTTACGATCGCAAAGCAATCACGTGGAAGAGCGGCCTCATGTGAGTCCCCCATGTCCGCCATGCACGTTCTTCCCCGTATAATGGACAAGCGCGGTTGGAACTTGTCCAGAACACTCGATTCCATGTATGAGAGGCACTAGCCACGACTCATAATCCCCATATTCCTTACCTTTGGCCCCTTTCTGCGCACTTCAGATTCGTCTACTGATCGACATTTCACACTGTAGTTTGCGCCGGTCCCTCGACGTTTCTCCGAAGGGGACCCCAAGACAGAGCCGGCAGAAACAATTGCATCGGATTCGCCTTCGCCGTTGGCTGATTTGTCGAGACAGTCGTCCAGATACCCCCGGATCACCACGGATCTTCCCATGCGCGAGTTGACGGTGGCTTCCTCACCTGCTACCCCGTATTTCGAGCTGGTCACGAATTTTCCATCTGCCCAACCGAGATTGAATGAATGGGATTTGTGTGTGTCACAGGAAGATCAATTCACCAGACTCCGCGTCCCCCGGCATCTCGTCCTGCCCCTGGTGATTCCCGACGATTCACCCATGAGCCGCACCTACACGGACTACGTGCATGGGGCGCGGCGGATGCTTGAGAGCGGTGTCCCCGTTTCCGACGTCCTAGGTGCCTCAGAAAAAGTGGCTGTCGACTTATTCTTCCGCCCTCGTCAGGCGACCGATAAATTTGACTGCGCCTCGTGGGCATGCGAGGTCTCCCGGAGTTTTGACAACGACGTCTTTGTCCGTCTGGCTTCGGCTTATCTGCTCACACACATGATGCGGGTGAGTTGGAAGTTTGCACAGTTCCACGCCCCAAAGCTGACAAAAGTTGCATAGTGGCTGCTGGTCCCTACCCTGCAAAATTACCACAGACTCCCTGACATGATGAAACCGACACCCGCACAATGCATGGTCCCGCACATCGGTGCAATTGAAACAATACCGTTGTAGGTTTCAGTGTTCTGGCATGAAACCAAACGCTAACGTGAATCCCAGGCCGCCGGTTCGGGATGCTGCAATCAACAAGTTGCGGGACTGGCTCACGCCTCTGATCCAGGCGGAATGGGGCGTGAATTGGCCACACGGTCTAGACTCGGCTGTCGAGCAAGATGCGTCGACGGGCGCCACAGTCTTGACCCAGAGATTCATCGATCATGTGGTCATTTACGACAACTGGAGTGTTGGGGGTCGCTTCCTCATCACCTTTCCCGAGGTGGCAGGCAGAATCCGGATCCACGAATTGGGATAACCACACGGTATCTGGGTGTGGAGATGTTGCTCTGTTCCAAGCGTCGTCCCCGGTTCAAAAGGCGAACGCAGGAGCCCAGTAGCCCCCGCCGCCAAATGGTCGACGCAGTGAAGCTCGACCCAAGAGTCGCCTGATGTCTTGCAAGGTGGATTTCCAGCCGTCCTAACGGCCACTCCGGCTGGGCGGCCATGGGTTGTATTGCTGTCGAAAGGCGGCACCGGCTCCTCCCATCCACCTTTGACTTTCTCCCGCAGACCCTCATTTTCCTCCAAGACAGCAAACCCTGAGACTAAAAGCAAGACAAAGCAAACAAGGCAAGCCAAGGTCCGGGATCAAGCTGGAATCCAGGGCGCAGGTAGGACAGAGAGGGAGCGTGGTGAGACGATCCTAGAATGGGAATGCTTACTGGGTCTGCCCGGGCCAACAAGGCGTGGTAACGGGGGTCTGGAATAAAAGAAGGAACACAAACACGGGAGCAAAGGGTCCAAAATCTTTGAGGATCATACGATTTTTCTGATGATCAGGAGACACATGAGGGTGAAACACGAGTAGGCCTAAGGAGGACGGCTTATCTAAATGAGACGATTAGATGATTACTGGAACGATGGAATGATGGTAACGAAGAAATGGACTGAGGTTGTCGCAAAGACGCAAACGAGTGTGGAGCCTTTTAAGAATGAGATACAAGTACGGAGTACACAGTCGTGCCCAGTGTATGTCATCCGTAATAGGGGAAGTCGATGGTCAGGTGACTCGCCAAGCCGTGTCAAGTGACTAAATGCGCCAAGAAGAAGCCCACGTAGAGTCTAGTCCCAATATTTACTAGCTCAGCCTTCTCCTTCCGAGCCATGGCACAGTCTAGGGCCCTCGGGGTCTGCCTGGGATTCTGATTGGGCCGCCATAGTCGGGGGGGGGAGGGATTTTTTTTTTTCCCTCCCTTTTTCGCCCGCTTTTTTCTTTGCGCTGCGCCTCTCTGCTCCGCGGGAAGAGTGGCGAGGCTGGTCCGGGGTACGCGAGGGAGAGGACGCGAGCGAGGGAAATAATTGAAGGAAAAAAAAGGATGGGTTTGGTAGAGAGAGGGAGAGGGAGAGAGAGTGGCACGGCAAAAAAAGGGCCCAGGCAGCCGCGCAGGTGACGCATGTCCTATTCCCCCTCTGCGCGCACTGAGTACAGTATCTGGTTGGTTCGTCGTATAGAAAACTCTACGGTAACCCAGTACGGGAAGGTTGTATGTCAACTCCTCGGGCAAGCATACGCACGCAATACGCGAGCCGGTGTTGGCGAAAAGGAAGCACTGGTGCACCGGGGGGGGGGGGGTCAACCTACTCGTATGTACCCACAGTAGGTACAAGACGGGTTAAAGCATGAAGAACAGGTTAGACGGGATACAACAGACAGACTGACAGACAGACTGACAGACAGCCAGACAAGCAAGGCAGTACGAGGGAGCACACGCGTGCATGGTCTGGCGTACGTACTACACGTACAGCGTACAGCGATTCGTTGGTTCGGGGCGCATGGGACTCACTCACTCGCCCATTGTGTTGCCTTGGCGCCTTGACTCGCCTTAACTACCCACTTGTAGATCCAAGAGGTACAAGAGGGTATTGCTGACCCTGGATACTGAGATGGGTAGCGAGTCCTCCGCACTCCGCATCGTACGAGGAACGTCCCCAGCGCAACCATCCAGAGCTTATTGTTGCTGCGCGGTGGTGGCTTTGAAGAAAATACCCGATCCAGAAAAAAAAGAGAAGGGCAGAAAAGTTAGACCCCCAAGGCCAAAGCAAAGCAAAGCAAAGCAAAGCAAAGCCAAAGCCAAAGCCCAAAGCCCAAAGCCAAAAACCAAGCAAGGTCTAACGGGTCGCCGAGCAGAGCGAGCAGGCATTCAGGGCCTGTGCGGGCAGGGAGACGAGCCGGGCCAAGAGAGTCAAGAGGAGCCAAGGGAAGCAAAGAAGACAGAAACCATTGTGAACGACAATACCTACTTGTAGTAACGTACGGAGTGACTCGGTAAAAGCAACGCAAAGCAGAACAGAGGACACGCACTGCTGCCTGGTTCTGGCCTTGTCTGGGCCTCTAGCTCGTAGCTCGTAGCTTCTAGCTTGTTAGTGCGAGCTGGTACCTTCGAGGATTACTTCGCAAGTACGGGTATTAGCCTCACCCTTCGCCATCACTAGCTTGATGGGGTTCGTGTCGTGGGCTTGTTCTGCCTGGTAGACACCGAGTATCTCGTATCAAATAATAATGATGATGACGATGATGATAATGTCTTTGTACCTACAGTACCTCGGTAGGCGGATAGGTAGGTAAGTAGGTAAGTAGACTTACTTACTTGAAGGCCCCGGGGATGCCTGGCGCAGCAACTTCGCCGAGCGAGAAGGCTTTGGGGGGGGGGGGGGGGCGCGTGCGTCTTGGCTTCCCGTGTCGGGGCGGCGGTCGTCCCTTTTGGCCTCAGGCGCCTTGGCTGCTCGCGAAGGCTGGCGAAGGCTTGCGTGGGCCTCGCATCTCGCATCGCCACACGGCCGCCGTCACCGAGGACGACGAGGACGACGACGGCTTCAACGGCCCATGTCGACGGCAGGTACTAGGTATGCAGGTCGGTACACTGCTCAAAGCCACCTAGGTACCTCTCTGACTACCTTTTCAACCCCTGCCTACAAGTAGGTACCTACCCAGTAGATGCCTTTCTGCCTGTGCCGATCTGCCTAGCTAGGGAGGTACCCGACCCAGCTAGGTACTTGGGTACTTGGATTCTCGGGCACTTTGGCTGAGTACGATAGGTACACAGGTACCTTCTGTCATGTGCCTAGTAGCCACCTACATACCTACCTACCTACCTACCTACCTACATAGGTATCCATGCAGGTAGGTACCAATCGACCACCTCACCATCTCCCGGCTGTGCAATGCACTGACTCACACACCTCTAGTTGCCTGCAGCTACAGTACGTCCTCCTACACAGCGCCGGAACCTTTGGAGACACTCAACGCACCAGGCGGTATCGGTATCGGTATTGCCCGGCCTCTGTGCTCCGTTGCTGCAGGCGGTTAGTGTGGAAGTCACCTACGACCAGGACAGACAGACAGACAGACAGACAGACAGACAGACAGACCAGGGCATCGTCCATTTCCACATCGTACGTTCTACACTCTCATGCATGCATGTATGCATGTATGCTTCCATCATGAGCCGGAGCAGTCATTCGTGATCCGTCATCTCTACCTTGGTCAAGAGAGTAGTAGTATGGTATAGTATATAGCCGCGGATATATGGCAGCGGTGTCTAACAGGAGTAAAGTACTTGTAGGTAACGTAGGAAGAGTGGTGGTTGGCAAGGTACAAAAACAGGACTGCACATATACGTGTGCGTGTGCGTGTGCGTGGCGAGCGTGACGTGGTATCTTTCATACAAACAAACAGACGGAGCAGCGACAATGATTCCTCCCTCCCACCCATCCCTCCATCCCTTCCCGTGCATGCAGGTCGTGGCTTGTGTCGTAATGTTATTCCCCGGGTTCCCTTGAAAACGCCGATTACAACTCCCCCCCCCCCCCAAATTCCTCCGGTCAACAAAAGGTATGTTATTACTTTAGCCCACGCCACTGCCAGGCATCCGGTTTTGCATGTGGTATATCGCCTGAGGTGGCAAACTGCGTAACAGGTTCTGCAGGCGATGGATCTCGGCTGCCTGGCGGCGAATAAACTCCTCCTTCTGCCGGAGCTCTTCCCTGAGGTGTTGGATCAACTGACTCTCGGCGCTTCCGACGATCGTGTCAATGGTACTAGGTGCCACCTCGTTGCCTAGATGTTGTTGTGGCTGTGGCTGTTGCTGTTGCTGTCCCTGCCCCTGCCCCTGCCCCTGGACCTCTGTTGCCGTTGAGATCTTTCGTCGCTTGGCGGCCGGTTCTTGGCCGACGCTCGAGCTCGTCGCCGTGCCGGCACCCGCGACAGGTTGCGAGATCGCTTCCGGGTGCAGGCCATGGTCCGACAGCTCCTCAAGGTGTCGCCGCCGCTTGTGCTCCTCGAGGTTCTCCTTCCTGGTGAAGCCCGTGCCCGAGCTCCGGTTGCAATTGGGGAACGGACAGAAGAGCGGCTGCTTGGTCGACAGGTGCATCTTGTGCACTTCCCTCTGGTGCCTCAGGAGCCCGCCCGAGTAGGTGAATCCGGGGTTGAGTTCGCAGCCGGCCTCACGGCACTTGTATGGTCTCTCGTGTCTGTCCATGTGCTTGTTCCATTCACAGACGCGCTTGAACGTCTGGTTCCTGCCACGACAGTTGATGTGGTCGCAGAACATCTGGCCTTGTTCGTTGCGAGGCGGGGATCTGGTGCGCCGAAACGCCCCCTGGATCTTGATGGATGGTTCCGGCAGCGAGGGGACCATCTCCTCGGCCATGATGACAATGTGCGCTTTCTTCTGGTCCGGCGTGACGGCGGATATCGATGTGTATGTTGTATCGTAGTCGCTGGGAGGCGAGACTGGATAGTTATCTCTCATAATCATGATGGCCGGTGGTTGGATAGGCGATGTGTGAAGGTGATGCTGCTGATGCTGCTGCTGCTGAGGTGGACGGTGGGAGTGATGACGGTTCAAGCGAGCAACATGGCAGAAAGTACCTTGAATTTCTCGGAGATATAGTGCGGAGGATGACTTGACAGGACGCTCTGCTGCCTGCAAGGCTGTGCAACATGATGATTCGAAAAAGACCAAGGTATGCCTTACCCAGGTTAAGTATTTGGCCTCGAGATAGCCGCGTCGAGCGAGCTTTTCCCAAAAGGATGCTTTGAGCAGCGAATCAATACGCCACAGCGGCGAGACCACATAGCCTGGGGAGGAGGGGACGGCTGGCTGGCAGAGCCTGGTATTTTATAGCACTAGCTCAATCATCCATACAGCTGACCATCCGACATCAGACGGGGTCTGCATGCCTGACGACGGGACGGAACTGGAACTGACGTGGAGGCCTGGAGCCAGGGTGGGTGTGGTCAACAAGGTGTGAAGGGAAGGCCAACTTTTCACTTTTCACTTTTCGGGGTGGACGCGCCCCCCGTCTGGTCTCCATATTTGGCGAATCCACATGACTGACTTATTACGACTCGTTGTCTCGTTCCAAGAGGGAACACTCTTGTCCCCAGGTGATGACTCATGTCATTGGGCACGCGTGGTGCGAGTGGTGCGAGCTCCTTTGGGGGCAAAGGAATGGCTGATGGATGATGGGATGAAAATGGCAAAGGCAAAGGCAAAAGACACCAGCAAAAGTTCCCCGACACCTTACCGTGCCAGTCTCCCCTAGGCATTTCCAGTCCGTACCCCAAAAGTTCCACCATCGCCTCTTGCGCTGCTATTTTCTTTTCCTCCCTCTCTTTCCCTCCTCTCGCCCTGAAGCAGACCACATCCACCCAAGTTCGCCACGAAAGTCGGGACGTTACCGAGGTCTGCACTGAAAACCCCCCCAGAGGCGAACGAGCCGTGTCCTTGCTCTTACGACGACTTGGCAATGCGATTGGTGCTAGTGGTGCGACAATATGACGGCAAGACGGTACCTCCAAAGCTGGAGATTTGGGTTTGAAGCGAGGGACCCAATCACAAGAGAATGGAGACCTATATTTGAGAGGCGTTTGGGTGGTTCGCCTTAGATGAGCGCATCCAGATCTTATGGATAACGTTGGATGCGCCCCCTCACCCTCGACTCGGAGCTCGTTCCCGGCGAGCCAGCAAAGCTCAGCTTAGGGGCCGACTCGTTGCTGCTGCTGTCAACATTGAGGCGCAGCCTGGTGGCCTACTGGCCGACTGGCCTGCTGATCACGCCGCCAGGAAGGCTGTCAGCCGGCCCCAGTGCGAAACATATAAATGCGCCGCATGACCCCCCCGAATCCCCCGTCGGCCACAGAAAACTCCCACACCCCTCCTTGACAAGGACTGTCAGCGGACTCGATGAAGCAGTCAAGAGCTTGGGGCGGTTGCACAAAAGTTGGGACGACGTTGCGATATCCTCGTCTCCGATCATGCACGAAAGGGGACCCCCCCTGGCTGACGGTGACTGCACCTCCCAGTTCTGTCTAGTTGCAGCTTTGGCACAACGCCACCGTGATGTGGATGTGGCTGTGGCTGATCTGATCGGGTTGCGCGGCTAAAATCGAGCATCCCGCAAGCTGGGAGATCATGCCTCGTCTACAGGAATTACTTCTTGTCATCGCTCTACTGGCACGCATCATCGATTTGAAATAACCAAGCACACTGTCACGGACGGGCTCTGAGAGTTTACTCGACAAGGTCGCGTGAGACAGTGCGAGCCAGCTAAATATAGCCGTCGCTACGTCCGCCTACTTCAATGGCCAGGCCTCGATATGATACGTAATGCGACTGGCGGAGATCCGATCGGGTATCCGGTCAGGTGCAAGTAATGTAATCCAATTGTTGACGTCCGAAGTCTTTTCGCCATCTCACAACACGCACTGATCTACGCGGCCTCTCCGTCGTGAGCGTCTCGTGGCAACAAGCCCGTGCACAAGTAAGCTGAAAGACGAGCATCAACCTTGTCGGCCCATCCAACGCCCGGCGTCCGTGTCGTCTCAGCCTAGTGCCTCGTCTTGATCTCTCGCTGCCCAAGGTGTTGGCAGTCATAGAAGCTGAAAGAACACTGACTCGTGAGATGCTAGGTCGCGAATAGCACGCGGCCGAAACGAGAGACCATGCAGGACATGCAACGGGAGATGCAGCATGCATGCAAGGTACAAGTGCTGGGGGATTTTGGGTTGCCCTTTGGTCTGTCTTCCTTGCAGCATCCGCCCTCACTTGATTGCCCCGAGATGCGACAAATAATAAGAGAGATCCAGAAGAGATAGGTGTCGTTGATCTGCGGTGATTTCACGCCTCCACAAGAAATCGAGGCAGGCCAAAGACATGTGGACTTTTGGTTGACGTGTTGGACTTCCGGCACATGTTGATGAAGTGCGCAACTCTGGCACCTCGTTGGACTGGGTATTTTGGGCATGTTTCGTTCATCCTCTGCACGCCAGCAGTGGCGCAGTATCGACACCACCCCAGGCGGAGCGTCCAGTCGGGCCACTTTTCCAAAGCAACAATTGCGACAGATGTGACTATCGCTGTCTGAGACCTTCCTATCAGACTGCGCCACGTTTCGGTGAGTGTGGCTCGCCTCCCAGGCTCAGCTTCGCTTGCTGAAACCTCGATGATGAAACCAATGAGACGCGGGTCCAACTTGGGGTACCCCTGAAGCCTCAACGGGGCGAGTGGCTGCTCAAATTTCCTGCCTTTGGTGCTTGGCCGATCAGTTCCTGACATGTGGAAGGGCAAGGCAGCAAATCCTCCCAGCAGGCCAATAGATTGGGTTACACAAACTGTCGGTCACTGGAAACCAATTGGAGCACCGAGTCTAATGCTCAGGGAGACGAATCAGTCTCCTGTGAAAAAAATCGCGCCACCGGTACATGATTGGACTGGCTGGTCGACCGCAAAAAGCCTTCATGGAAATCTAGTATTGTGCCGACTTGCATGTCTCCCAAATCGAGATGCAAGCAACAGTGATGGATGTCGCTCGGTTTGCCGTGACTCATGCTGCATGTCCACACCCAGCACTGGTACAACACTGAAAGTACCAGACAGCACCCACCGAGTCTTCGGTCAGCACGAATACCTATGTCAGTGTCTGAATCGCAATTACTTGGCAATGACGACTGAGACCGGCGAGGTTGCCACGACTTTCGTGCGCATACGTGGATCCAGTCTGTCGTAGTAAGGCGGGCATGTACCGAAGACGACAACTGTCGATCCGGCTGTGGCTCTCAGCCTGGCTTACCCGTGAGTGCAACTAGCTTTCTTCAACATCATCGTGATCTGTCAATCACTGCCGAGAGTGAAGCACTAAAGGGCTATGACTGCTACCGCGGGAGGACCTCGGACTTTGGAGTGTGCCCATCTGTTGAAGGAACATTTGCATTTCGGGCCATGGAACTTAAATGAACTGTCCAATGGACTAGGCCACAGTTTGTTCCAAAGGTCGACCGCTCACCAAAGTGTGCGTGACCAAAGTGTCGCAGAATCTTCCACACGCCACAAAAGACCGCCTTCATACACCACCTAGGACTTGTTGGACCCGAGGGTAGACATGCACGAGTCGCTCCCAGAATTCGGGATGATCTGTCATGGCGACCTGGGGATCCCAAGCCATGGCAACAAAGATGGTGTCGACTCCAGATCCGATTGGGGTCGTAAAAGTCTGGCAAATCTGCAGTCCGATGAGGAAAGCAAACGCCATGATGACTGGCGTGAAAGTCCGTCCGTCGTTGTATGCCGGATGAGTGAATTCCAGATACAGGTAAGCCAGCAGCGCGGAGACGTATGCCACGAAGACGCTTCCCATCGTCAAGACAGGGCCCACGAGACAGTCGTTGACCAGGGCGTCGACGCCGCGGTCTTTCATCATTGTCCACGTATCTTTAGCTGCCGGGATGTATGCCTTCCCGTAAAGAGCAATGTGAGAGAAGGCGTACCTGTTGATGAATTGAACCAACCAATCCAGGAGGCTGATAAAGCAACCAAGAATACAAAACATAATGGTCCCAATGATGTTCCCATCCGAGGCTTCTTGTTGCTGGGCAATGCTGCAGGCTTGTCGAAGCATGTTGATAAGTGCAACAATAAGGCTGCCAAAGGAGATGGAGCCGAAGGAGTATGTCGTTGCTCGCCTCAAGGCTCCAGCGGTTGCGCCTCGTGGAATGCCACCCGGTTTCCCGGCGCAGAAATACCAGGAACCGTAGACTCCGGCAATGGTGGTATGAATGGTGTTTTTCATCCATTCTGTGATCCAATAACCCGCAAAGGTCACAAACACCACGAGTCCGATGACTTTGCCGCTTGAGCAGTCTGCAGTTGGGCACGATGGATTGGCCGTGCTGCCGGAATTGCCAGGCATGTAGGACGTGTAAATCGCAACGAGAGTGACCGAGAACCATGCAGCGAATGCCACGCTAGCAATACCGCCAATAAAGCTGACCAAGAATACATGGACTCGCCTCATTCTCGCAATGTCCATTGTTTGTTGTAGCATCACCACTGCGAAAGGGATGCGTGGGATCCAGCTGATGAAGCAGATGATGGCAAAGACGGCAAATACCGCAAAGACAATGCCTGCTCCCCACAGATGTCGATACAGATAGTAAACGGCGGTGCCGACAGCCAAGGCACAATTAAGAATGCCCGTCAACCAGACGAATTGCTTCGTGAAGGCACGAGCGGCGAGGAAGTAGGCCCAGGAGAAGACCAGGCCAACACATAGGATAAAGGCGAAGAGGATAATGGTATTGGTGTCGAGGGAGCTGCAAGAATCTGTCAGCGTATGGACGGCGTATACCACTTTCTCTTGATCCGGTCTCTAAAAGACAGTCAGGGCTTACAAATCGTTCGAGGCTCCGTAGATCCCTCCTCCATTAAAACTATGGTATTTAGAGTAGCGGTATAGGGTGAGTCCTGAAACGGCGACAAATCCGCAGAAGGTTGCGATGAGCTACAACTTGTGAGTATGTGTTTGTGTTCGGCAGCAGTCATGGTGTTCTGTGCTCACCAGCAATCCTGCCCACACATCATGAAACTTAGGTTTCTGGATCTTGAAAGTCTCTTGGAAGGTCTGTTTGTCGTCTTGAGGAGCAACAAAGTTGTCGCCGTAGGTTGGAGGGGCAACGGTATACTTTGGTTCTTGAGGTTGGTAGGGCTGCTGAAGGGGCGGATATGGCTGTTGCGGCGCCCCAGTAGGTGGAGGATACTGCTGATAATTCTGTTGTTGATAGGGAGCGTCTTCCATGTTCTGATTGTAGTATTCAGCAGCTTGTCCTTGGTGAGCCATGATTGCGACGCGATCTCGTTAACTCGAACCAGGCCTGCGCACTCGGACAGGAACCCCAGGTGGACGCGCGACCCTTTTCCGGTGACGTAAAGCACGACAACGAGTGTGCGAGGATGAATAGAAGTTGGAAAGAGAGATGGATGGAAATGCTGATACTAGCTGTAGAGAGAAGTGAAAAGAAGAACGAAACAGATGATGGACGAGAAGGCAGATTCCAATGCGGCAGCTATGATGTCTGCTTCCGCTGGCACCGTGGCACATGTACCGAGTAATAATTTGTGTTTTCAGCTCGTACGGGTTGACGAGGCGCAGGCCTGGAGGGCAGAAGGAGCCCAGCCATTGGACACTGACGCCTAGCATCTGGGGGACCCATTTCGCTAACGACGCCATCGGATGAGCTTAAATCTTGTCGCTTGGGGGGTTCATCCAGTTAAAGCCCGCCCGTGGTCGACCCCCCTCCCCTTCAGAGCTCAAGGTCTCAGAAATCCGACCGGACATTAATGCCCGCGGTCTGACCAGAAAGTGACCTGCTTGACGTCTGTCATGCATGCCTGTGGCTGCCCCTGCCCTGGCGGGACTGCTCGACTGACCTGATCTCATTCTCATCGTCAGACGTCCTCGCGGCCCCAACCACCTCATCTGCTCCCTCCCTCTCTTTTTGTCGTCATCATCTCAAAGTCCTCTCCACTAACTCTGCCCGATTTTGATCCTCGTCCTGTGGTGCCAACCACTCTTCCAACCAGCGACATGGCGACAAGATACCCTTTGTCTGTCGATCGTTGCGTATCGGATGTGCCTATCCATGCCCGGCTCATCAATTCCGACTCACTTTTTGACAACCATCGATAGTCTTCGCGATTTCAATGTCGTCGATTACTCGCCCCGACAATCCTCGGCCATGCCACTGATGGTACCCATCCAGTGTCTTTTCTTCGCCTTCGTGGCCGCTGCTTGTGTCCCGGTTTCGACATTGCTTCTTATTTTCAACCTCCTGTGTATATCGCTTCCGCCTAGGACTTCGTTCCACCAGCGTCTCAAGAGAGTGCCAGGGTTCCGATCGAGGACGATTTTCATCACGGGAGTCAACACACCCCACGGTTTGAGACTGGCTAGGGCATTTCATTCCACCGGTCACAAAGTCGTTGGCGCTGATTATGAGCCTGATGCGTTTCCTATCCACGTGCGGTTTTCGAACGCTTTAAGCCGCTTCTACCGGCTGCCGCCCAAATCCGACCACAGCCACCAGGTCGCGTACATCGCATGCCTGGTCCGGATTATAGAGCAAGAGAATGCTGAACTTTGGATCAACTGCACGACCAGTGCAGATCCCAGTACCGAGGCACAAGCGAGGAGTGTTATTGAGCAGAACAACAAGTGCCAATGTTTCGCCCTTCGAGTCAACGATGTCCCCTATTTCGCGACAAGGGAAGCATTTCTCTTATACACGGCCAGCCAAGGATTACCGATACCCGAAACATATCATGTCAAATCACGAGATGAGGTACACAATGTGCTCAACAAAGCTCGCGGAAGACGGAAGTACTTGCTGCATAGTCTGGACCAAAATGGAGATCACGCCAACTCGACCAGGACAGTACTTCCGCGGAGGACACTGAGTCAAACCTACAATACAGTGTCCCAGATGGCCATTACGAGCACGGTCCCCTGGAAGCTGGAACAGGACGTGAATGGACTGGAGAGATATCACACCTTTGCGATCATCGTCAGAGGCTCTCTCAGAGCCTTTGCCGCCAGTCGGCCGACATATCTTGGCTGCTATCAGCTCGTGGAGCCCAAATCCGCCCTCAGTATGTCCATGTTGCGGTTTGTTCACACGTTTGCACGCAACCAGGGCCATGACTTCACTACACATTTGGGAATCGACTTCTGTGTTGAAGAGCAGGTTACCGAATCTGGGGTGGCCCAGATCATCCTCCCGGTCCAGGTCTGTGTCCAAGCTCAGGCCGCCGCGCAGCTGTTTCAAGGCCTGGGTGGGTCAGTTCAATTGACTCGAGCCTATCTAGAGTGTTTGACTGAGAATGAACTCAGCGTCGGCAAGCAAATAACGAAACCAGCCCCTGCAGTCACACAGCACACTCTACAGGACGACGTAGCCATGCCGGATTCGACAACATCTGGAACGTACTGCTTCGGCCAGGATCTCCTGCAGTTGTGCTTTGGGCCACTCCTCAGCATGATCACCTTGAGGATCGGTATCATTGACTGCACCCAACAGTTGATTCGTTTCTTCAACCACCTGGTTTTCTGGGAAGATGACTTGTACAACTTTCGGGACCCAGTACCTTTTTGGTGGTCTTACCAAGTCTACATTCCGTTGCGATTTGTCAGGACTGCAGTGGCTTGGACTCACGACGTCCCTTGATAGCTGACGAAGACTGATCTTGACATTGCTGACCAAACATCAGGTGTCAAACGTCTGTACCTTAAGAGCGCAATGGCTCCAAGAGTTCGACAAGAGCGAAGTCCGTGTCTCCCAATGAGCAGTGGACGTATTCGTCAGGTCCAGACTTTAGCTTGTTTTACCCCGAAGTCGCTGTCAACCAGATTGCCACTGCTAGACGCTGTGTGCATCAGCGGGCCGCGGATCATTGCCTCTAATTTCTGCATGGCCTCATAGCCAATACTGGGTGGAAAATGCTATTGAAGCTGAGAATCACCCGGTCCAAATTGGGTTCACCGTGACAAAAGTTCATAGGAGACTGATCTCTATCCGCGAAGCCAGTACGATACGGAGTCGGCCGTGTGTCTGGGGGCGATACAGCATTCGTTTGCTGGAAAATAAGGGCGGAAAATGGGTGGACATCGCTCGACTCGGTGTGAACCAAAAGTGCGTCGAATCAGGACTCAAACCCAGGCCACACGTAATCTGGCAAATCGTCTTGATGATCAACAATTTGCAAGATTGAAGACTGAATTACTACACTCCTGCACCTGTTTTCGCGGGCGAGCGAGACTTTGCCAATGGCCGACCCTGCGAGAATCGGGCTTCATGGAAATTGCGGCTGGCTGGAGCGGTGGGTTTTCACGTCAAACATGCAGCATGATGGAAAAATCCGACACTTGCTGCAAGGTTGGAAGCGAACAGGCACGGGCGTGCCGTTCATGCCTTTTCCTTATCTGGAAGTCTAGGCGAGCAAAGCTCCTTTCTTCTTCAATGGGCCGAGCTGAAACGGGCATGAGGAAGAGCGCCCAGTTTCGTGCTGGGTTAGCGTGGGGTGTCCCAAGCGAACACTTTCGTCCCTTCGAGATGTGCTAGCGAGTCTGGTCCAGCTCGAAGGATGGCGTCCATTCTCTCCTCTACTCACCAGCGCACCATCTCTCCTCTCAGCTTAGCACGGAGGAGAGCCGTGGCTGGTCTCCCGTATGGAGCCTTCTGAAACCAACTGCAAAGGCACCTCCGGAAACCGATCCCTGGTCAATAGATGCAGGATGCGATTGGAAGGGAACGCAAATGGTCTGCAACCGCTAGTACTCGTAAAACATTTGTCAAAGGATCGGCGCAAACGATGCGAGGCAGGAACAACGTCCCTCTCACGGATACAGATGCCACCATGAGGAACGCCTCCGAGAATGAGGTCAAGGGCAGAGTTCTGTGCGGCTGTTCCTCAAACAGTGTTCAAAACGGCGGTGGAGATACCTGCAGGTGTAGAGGAGGGTATACTCTGGAGCTGAGGTGCATCGCATTTTGGTGCTCCTACGTCGCAGAGGCGGCAATATGGCGTGACCATGCAGGGTCGGCGAACCTACAACTTCGACACTCGCTTGGTCTACAAGGCAATCTGAACCACCACACTACCTCAAGAGAATATCCAGCTCAAAGCTGTTCGTTCAAGGGGCAACTAGCACATCTCGAGTATTGAAAGGGGCTGTCCGTTCGAAGAGGATCCCGTGTCTAAATGACATAACATCGGCTAGGGAGTGCCGAAACCCCAGGAAATTCCACCAAGATCAGGGAGGACGAAGAACCTGGAGTCCGATCCAGCTCAAAATGTGCGCAAGCATGCGGGCTAGCACAGTCCTTGGGGGCCAGTTCTGCCGCCGCTACTGAGACCTTGTGGACAATGCACTGGCACCCATCTAGAAAAGGTTGGTGCTCAAGACCCGCGGTGGATGGGCGATTGGTGATGGTGCCCTCGTCAATTCGTTGGTTCTGGCCGGGCGCCGCGTCTTGGGTTGAAGCCCGAGGGCGAGTCGACGGCCGGCGCAACTGCAGTGTTTGCGCGTTGTGGAGAGTCTGGACCTGCGCCGAGCACGCCGAGGACGCCTCCTCGCATCCCATCGCAGCCATCCTCGCTATTCGGGTTTCTGGGGGGGTCACACGCTGGGATAGACGATGCTACCCCGCAAAACCAGTGAGGGCCTGGGGGGTGGGTGGAGCAAAGAAAAAAAGCAAATTGGTGGCGGTGAGTGCAGTCGGTTAGTTGTTTTGGGCTCTCTGCAGCCGTGCGAAAGGACGGGGCAAAGAAACGACTTTGCAGGAAGGAAAAAGGGGGTGGAGGAACTACTACTGCTAGGTAGGTAGGGAGGATGGAGGAGTAGTAGAGAGTAGTCGTATGAGCACAATAATGACCTTTGACCACGAGGCCCATAATCACTGCCCCCGGCGTGAAGACACGACTCGGGAACTTGGGAAGAAGGGCGCCCCAAGGGCCCATTGTGTAAGGGGGTGTTTCGTACACCAACTTGGGTGCCCTTCCGGGATCATTGCTCCAACGATCTGTGTGACCACCCACGAGAGCTATCCCATCGCATCGCATCAAGGTGGGTGATTGCGTGTTCAATTGTGGCTTCGAAGCCAGAGGTAGGTCCAAGTCACACGCGCGGACGGCCATACCAGCACCAAACCAGGCATCGAACAGGTGAAATTGTCGTAAGCACGAGGTATGTAGGAGGGGTGGTGGTGGTGATGGTGGTGATGATGGTGACGGTGACGGTGACGGTGACGAGATGAGATGTGATGTGATAGTGCAGGATGGGCAATAACGAGGTTCCCTGTTCACAGATGGCTGGGCATTCTCGTAGGTAGGTAATAATAAAAATAACAATGCACAATACAATATACGAGGTACTCGGTACGGGGGTCCGTGGCCTAATAATGAATGTGCGAGGTGTGAAGTACCTGCAGCCTAATCGCAAGCTGCAGGGTACTTTTCCGCCCTCCTCGTCCTCCAGCCCGCGACAGAATAATCAGGCAACAAACCTTTGGTGTCACCCCTAGGCCCCTCTACATGTAGACATCGTTGCTGGGCAAAAACGACAGGCGGTCAAGAGCGATGGATCAGTACATATTGGGTACCTAGATACCTGGGTGGCTAGCGCGCATTTCAATTTATGACTTTTAGGCACGGTCCCTCCCCCCCGCCCTGTGGCTTCTGGGGAGCCAGCGCAAAGGTACCCATAGGTATCCATAGCTACTTAGCTACCTCGTCAGGTACCCAGGTACCCAGTACAGTACTCTGCGGGCTCGATGGGGACTGTGGACACCCAACGTAGGTGGCGAGCGTTGAGCAGGGGACACATGTGCTACTCCGTACTCGATACCTAGTTGACGACCTACGTCGATCTAGGCGGGCTGGAAGGAATTCAAAAGCCTCCTGAGAATCGAGACTCAGCTAGTGTACGTAAAGGAAACCACGGGAGCCCAGGGATTGGACCTCCTCGTGTGAACAGAAGAGGTACGGAGACATCGATCGGGACGTCCCCTCAGAGATCATGCAGCGTACTCGTGGTCGTGCCAGCAGAATGACTGAATCAAAGCCCAACGACAAACTTGATGCAAAACTCGAGCAAATCGATAGTTCCACAGCGAAACAACCCTCCTCCGGACTCGGACCAGAGATCTAGAAGTTCGAATATTGAAATGGGCTGGAAGCGGCAATAGCGTGGAAAGTACCGAGTACTTCCACCCTGATGGAGCACAGCTCTTCGGATGACCTTGTACCCGGTACACGCCCAACCCAGCCAAATGACCCATGTTTCTGCCAAACTTTGCCCTCCCGTTTCGAACTCAGTTGCGCGTGTTTTGGTCTTTTGCGTGCGTTCCCATGTGGGCGAGCGTGCGTGCGAGCGCGCGAGCGCATGTTCGTCTGGGTTTTGTGTGGGTGGAGAAGAAGCCGGCAACTCACTCGTAGGCAGGCAAGGGGCTATGGTGTTGGAACCCGTTGCCTGTCTCCTGTACTCTATGCTTTATGTGCTCCCTACCTTAACGAAAGATGAGTACCTACCGTACTGCCGTGACGCACTGCCCCAGTTCGGCAGGCGTGGTGAATCGTTGGATCAATGGAGATGTGTTCCGTGCACAGGGCCGGTGCGGTTGAGCGATCGGTCAGGCGATCAAAATGCAAGGGTTGGGGAAAGGCGAGTTCATCCAGATGGGGGAGCAGAGGTGGAAGTTGTAGACCGAGATGGAGACCGCCGCCCCAGGAGAGGTGCTCCCGACTCTGCACAAGTCGAGTGCAAGTCAGGCGGGTAGAACTCCCAAAGGAGCCGACCATTGCTTGCTTCTTACCAGGAAAATCCAGAGATCAGCGGGTTTGAGTTTCTGCTGCGTGGTCGGTGACCACAGCGGGAAGGAGAGTGGGAACTAAGCCTCGCCCTGAGAGCGAAATGGTGGGGGATGGGCTGCTGTTCTTCTGCTGCGGAGATAGTATCCGCACAGCTTTTCCCATGCCGGAGGTGAGACACGGATGGATCAGACGGGAGGGCGGCTGGGGGAGCTGTGCCGTCTGCCTGACCACAACAACGAGCGGAGGAAGTGTGTAGAGACTAGTGAACAAGGTACAGAGTACGGAGTACATGGGAGGGCACAGGACAGAAGCCCTGCCCTGATCAATGATTGTCCCGTTATCTCCTTTTCTGTCTTCGGGTCGCTGAGCTCAGTGACTCCTCAGGGTCCCCGTATGATCATGCTATAGTAGAGGCCTTGCCTGTTTTGTTTGATGAACAGAGTAATGATGACAAAGGAAAAGCAATGAGGAGGCGAGTGCTGTGCTCCTGATCCATCAACGTTTCTGCCAAAAGCCGTCGAAGATAAGGAAAAGAAGAGAAGGAGTTCCCCTCGATGTCTGGTTCCATCCATCTGTCTACCCTTGCATCATCCCATCACGACCAACCATCAAGGCTTTGCAGCTCGCGTTGCATAATGTAAACATCTCAATATCACAGCAACAACCCAAGAGCATCAACTCGACTCAATCCCAGCATCTTGTTTCCCAATCCGCCCCCAGCCCAATCTAGATGCTTGATGCAGAACACTGAACCAAACACCAGCAAAAGAGCCCATCGTCGACAGCAGAAGAACACCATACGCATGCGCTGCTCTTGAACCCTCACAAGGACCAGAAACGCTTGCAACCGCTCCATGTTTTGCCCAAATCCCCTTCATTTTCGTAATAGTCAATCCCAACGCCAATGTAAATGCAGTGAACTTTTTGTCCCATGTCCTCCAGGCTATGCATAAAACACAATGAGATTAAAGCTGGTATTGATCATCTGTTTCTCTCGGAAAAGCACCCAACGTGAGTGTCCCCCTCATCGTCAAACCTCATATTCCCGTAGTCCTTCGTAGCAGCCAGATGGAAAATGCTGGTTCATGGCCCTCTCCAAGAGGCTTTCATATCTTCGTTGCTTTGCATTGACACTCGTCTTTTCAAGGTCCTTGTTTGATCGAACGATCCAGCATAATCTTTCAGATCATTCTGGGCTTGTTCGGACAGCTTGGGACTGATGGGGCGAGAGATCACCGACGTGGAGAGCGAGTTCGATGACGACGTCCGGTGAATGGAGAAGTCGTAGGCTGGTGGTAGGTAGAGGCCGGTGGTGGTGATGCTCAATGAAGGGCGTTGTGACGAGAAGAAAGTGGTGATACTTGTGTCACGGGGAGAGGAGGATGGCGTCGACGACGCCAGGGTATAGTGATCGAGTTGTGTGAGACGACATGCCGAGGAGCAGAAGTTTGTGCCGTTGGTTTGACGATCGCAGGACAGGCAGAAGTCTCCGAGAAGGAAATCCATGTTGCTGTTGTTCTGTTGTACAACCTGTGGAAGGAGAGATGGTAGGGTTCAAGTGACTAGAAGGGCTGAGGGAGAGAGATTCGTCCGCGAACGGCTGGTGGGTGACGATTTATATTTCCTGGCAGGAGGGTATCGCAAGGCCACAGGCTGACCAATGTGGTGGTTGTAGCCGTGTGGCAGTGGTGGGTGTCAATGAATGGTCACGCAGGCAGACTTGTATCTCATCCTCAGACGCGGCTGACGGCTGATGTATCTGTGAATATAAGAGGGTGTGCAAGAGGCTGAGAAGCGATCCAGGTTCAAGACGGGTTCGTAATGATTCATAAAAGCTGTCTTCTGAGGAGGGGGGAAAGAGGTGTGTGTGTGTGTGTGAAGGTCCAGGGCTGATGATGGGAGGATTCGCCCTTCTAGTAGATAAAGAAAATGTAATGCATATTGGGAAGCGTGGAGGTCGAAGGGCATGGCCCAAAAGATGGGCAGAGGAGGGTGCCTGATCGGGAATGGCATTGGTGTTTGAAGGCTGCAGTAGCCTGGAGAGAAAAAGAGGGGAACTAACTAAGCTGGTTTGGATGCCCACCAAGTCATGATGGAGCTGGGGGCGTCCAGGGGGTCCCACCCAGCAGCAGCAGCCTAACACTTAACTGGAACATCCTGGTCGGCGAGGAGCCAGCAGCCACCAGCGACCAGCGACCAGCGAACGGCGGACAGCACTGTTGTGCAGCTTTTCGCACCCTGCGGGCTTTCAGGCTTCAGGTGGCCCATGGCCCATCTTCCCTGCCCGTCTCATCTCCAAGCTGTGGCCTTCACACCACCCACACTGGCCACATTCCCATCCTCACTCAGATACTCACTCCACTTTTTTCCCACGCACACTCACACTCAGTCCCTCTCTCACTCACACTTACACACTTACACACCCGGCAGCTCTGCAGTACGAGAGTCATCTATCCACCACGGCTCCTTCGGCCTGAGGCTTGTTCCTCGTCCCATCCCCTTGCCTCTTTTTTTTCCCCTATCCCGCTGCTCGCCCTCGCTCCTCACTCCCCTGTCCTACCGCCCTGACCCTCCGACATCTCGTCTGTCCTCGGTGGCCATCTGCAGCTAAACGAATCCATGATCCCAGGGCCCCCAATCCTGGCAACTGTGCCTCCCACGCAATCAAGGCACCATCCAATCCGCTCTCTGCAGGCAGCCGACTCCTTGCTTCCTGGACGCTTAGACCAAGTCCTCCCATCCTCGCTACACTTAAGTTACTCACCTTTTCCAAGAGGGTTCAAAATTACGCTAGTTGCGACGACCAGAGCAAAGGCGGGATGTGCGTGCTAGTAGTAAGAGACTGGTAACAAAACGCAGTGCTGCCGCGACATCTCTTTTGCAGAGTCACCGGACCGTCTACTGTACACCCTCCGAGTCACAGACTCTGTCGGTACCCGTTCCAGACGCCTTCGTACGGGGTGATCATGCTTCCGCTTGTTCCTCCAAGTCTGAACGAAGGGTGGTTTTTTGAGCGCATCAGGCCTTTGCTCAGCCCTAGCGGTATCCTCCGTGCTCAATAACCGCTGACACCAATCTTATGGGCAAGTACCCGCTCCTGGTCATGCTCTGCGCTGAGCTCGTGAGATTGACTCTTTGTTCTCGAAATCTCTGCCGCTTCGACCGTGCTGTGGCATTCTTTGAGGCCCAAATCACCCAGATTCGTGGCTAGACTTCCAAGAATATGCCACCGTCCATCCCGTTTGGTTCACCTCGAAAGTTTCCACTACAAGCAGACATGGTTCCTTAGGCCAACCAAGGGACGGACCTCACCTTCTGCTACTTATGATTCGTCGACCTTATGCGAGACCTCCCACACCATCGAATTTGCGGTCTAGAGCTTGCAGCAGCTCAATGCACAAACGCTTGGCCGTCGTACGGTTTGTGCTCGAGGGCGTGGGATGTCATTTGGCGCTGAGTGGTCTCTCACCTGCGATGGCTAATTTTCTTGCCATGTCAAGACCGCACGGTTGCAAAATTATTGAGCTATTTCTCAATACCTCCACGTCTGAAGGAGTACAGCCCCCGCGGCTCAGACACGAGTAAATTCCTCACGGTCCCGTGCGATACTTGTCCTTCTGGCTGGTTCCTATCTGGGATGCTGACCTTTATTTCTTCAGAAGATGTAAGGGATAACATTCTTTTGCCTTTCCTTGTGGGAACGACGTCAGCATGCGAAATCACATTCCCAGAGCTCCTTGCTCACTCGACCAGTCACGAAATCTAGTAGAGGGAAGATCCGGCTAGCTGCTCGGCTTGATGCAGTAGCTCCACGTCCCTTGCGGAATACTATCAGTGGGGTAGCATTCGAGACACTTAATGCTCGACCTGCAACTGAGGGCATCATCGTGCGTGAGGCCTGGTCAATGTGTTCAGTGGTTGTTCTGTGACTCGGGCATCCAGAACAGTCAGACGTCCCAATGACTCGTCCAGGCAGTCTCGCTCAGTCGATCGCCGTCCACAACCAGGGATCGCAACCAAAGTCTGATTGGTACGGACAAAATGAGCGCTTCGGCACGCCCACCGCAACTGACCAGGGAGTTAAAGATTGACCGTCGTCGTTGCTCCACCAGCATGAGACCTTCAACTAGCAAAGCATGATATCGACCAGAAGTCCACCTTTCACTCAGAGATGCCAATCTCGCTAATGATAATCCGTGCTCAAGACGAATCACGCGCCAGAACTTGCTTGTGCCGCCACTACTTCAGAAATGTGACAGGTCAGATTGCGCTAACTCTCTGTCGACCCCGCGCTGCCAACGGTCTGCTAGCCGCGACAGCAGCAAAGGAGTGTTTCAGGCCTTTGGGGCACCTGGCATTGTACCACGAAGGTGAACCCCACATCAGCCAGCCAGCTCCCCTTGATGGCAACTGGCAGAAAGGTGCTTGAGCAATTATTGCGCACCAAAACCACGAGTCTCGCTGGGCCCGGGCGAATTCGCAATGATGCCTGTCAACAGGAGGGGAGCCCTCCCCGTCGATGGCCCTGGGCCAGCTGGTACGAGGGACAACACTCACCTTATTGTTTTCGCTGATCATTTGACATGGTTTCCCTTCAGCTCCCACTCGACGGCCGGATGGCTGCATTGTCGCAGAACATACAAGCATTTCCCTTGCCAAAGTGGTATCCTCTCCTGTACGGGTGATGCCGCACTATCCGACATTTGTCTTGGCTGGGGGTCCAGTCTGGGTCTGAGGTCGATCTCTAGACTTCCAATGGGTAGGAGGTGTTCAAGTCCATGACCCCACGCCGAAGATCGACTATCAAACACCTTGCACGAACGGCTGGAGGCGACCTCACATGCCCCGCAAGTGGGAATGGGTTATTACGAGCAGAAAGTTTCGACATCCGTACGAGTAAGACTTGTTGGATCAGCAAATGTCAGAAACTCCTGTGCCAAAGCTAGTTGGTCCGTTGAGCCAGCTCTTAGTTCGACGTGAAAGCTGCAAAATGTCACGCCCCCGCCAAAGTGCTCGCATTCAGAGGTTGTCGTGATCCATGCTTGAGACCTTTCGAGGGTCTGGGGAAACCTGTCTCAATGTGCTCGCTCGAGGCTTGCTCAGTGGCTCCGCTGGCGCTGGCTAGTGAACTATCCCACACGCAGACAAAAGACCACCATTGGTTTGTTTGAGTCAATCTGGTCGACAGATCCAGGAGACTGCTCCGCGATAAAGAGGAAGTGTGCCATCTGATTGCCGATCGGGGCACACCACTGCGCCATTTCTGCGCATACCCTCTGAAGTGAATGCAACACAGACGGTGGAGGCCCATTGAGCACAAAACGCGCACACTCGAGTGACAATGCTTTGGTTTCCGCCATCCCACATTCTATGAATGAGATAATCCGGAGAAGCATTCCCGCACCAGCGGTCAGGTCCGTCGCCCGCCCACCGAGCCATGCCGTCCTGCATTACCTCTAGTGCTGACAACTCATCTCAGCCTGATGCACCTTTTTACCTGCCACTGACGTGATCTCAGGGTACCTAAGGTCCGGCTGCCGCGCGGAGCCGCCTTGACCTTTTGTCACTACCTCCGTTATTATTTTGCAAAAGCAATGTGATCGGCAGCCTTGCATCGAGCTACGCGGCGTGGAGGCTGGACGGTCATCTTCCGCCTTATGGCGCACGGTGCGATCTACTTTGTTTGGAAGGAGGTGGGTCATGGCCTAGATTGGTAACACGATGCGTCCAGAACCAAAGAGTATGCTTCGTGTCATGAACGAGGTCCTCCCATGTGCTGAATTGGTCAAGCCGCTCGCCCAAAGTCGCCAACTTCAAGTCCCGTCGAACCAAAGGCTGACTGCGAGATGTTTCTAAAGTGTACGAAACTCCGAAACCACCCAAAGCCCTTCTCTCCACCAAACAGTTGTGGCACCATGTGCAAGGTGAAATGTGTTCGATTGGACAAGAAACAAAAGATCGGTGCATTGCGTGCTCGTGTTGGTCACATGGTGCTGCAAAAGCTCCCTTGTTCGTGTTGCGCACGGGACAGATCTTGTGAGTGCGTGCTCCTCACTCTTGCTCCCTCTCACAGACTTTACCAGAGTAAGACATCTCCGCCGTGTTTGCCTACAAGTACCTGTTTCTGCAGAATGAGCGCGCTACATTGTTCGCTGACAAAGCTGCGAATACCTTGTCAGTGCCGGTTTCGTCTGTCGACATTCTAGTTGCTGACCACAACGGTTCTAATTTTGAGCATCTCCATCCTATCGATAGGAGATGAAAGACGGCTTTCATGAAACTACTTCCCTCCACAAGGACTTGGCTTTCTAGATCGGATGAACCACACCACCGTCTCGAGCAACACTGGAGCAGCAATTGGTTAGAACTGCGACGGTCACAGCCTCGACCTCCGTCAGATGACTTGTGGCGCAAAGCGACGATAAGGGTTCGAGTCGAGTTTTGCAGCCAACAGGAAGAATGTAATCCCATTCGGTTTCGAAGCGTGAGCGGGACAATATTGAGTCGCTCGCAGAAGTGGATTGCTGCTGTGCCGGCATTGTTTCGTCCAAGTTTCCAATCCCAGACACAAAACGCTTACAAGGCTATCCTCGACAGAGAAGACAATGTCAGTATCCGTCGGACGTGGGCAGATACGACAATCCCAAGCACCACCGTTGTCGTGCCTTCTCCGCAATCCGGGTATCGTTACCTGCAGCTCGAAAATCTGATACCCAACGCCGAGACGTTTCGATTCTTGCGCGTGGTCTGTTCCATCACACCACCCGCACCAGTTCCTACCCTTCCGTGGTCTTCCAGAGAGTTATCTCCTAGCCGATCCTCGGGCATCATCCTCGCGCTATTGCCGGCTGACTAACATGGAGCTTTTCACTTGAGATCGCGTCCCTTGCAGCCTCGTAGGACCGACCCGGGATACTAGCGATGTCTTCCGTAACGGGAGCTGTTGAGCTCGACCTTGGTTCATGCTCTGCTGTGACGAGCGGTGGGAATTGACAACAAGTGGCAGAATTCACTGTGCCGGAGCCGCAACCGCCGGGTTCCCTTGCACCCCGGCGCTGTCGCAATATCAACGTTGGTTAGTCACGGCAAACCAGACGCATTGACCAACAACGAATGATTCCATTCCACAAGGGGGAAGTTGTTCCCCGGTCTTCGACAAGATTTTCCACGACAGAGGGCCATGAAGACCCCTTTTCACAAACAAAGCCGGACGAAAGATCGCAGAGATCTAGGTATTGGACCGTTTCCGCGCGCTCTTCCAATCCCCTCTCCGTGCTAAGGAGAAGCGAAATGGGCCTGCTACCTGGAACCGCTCGCTGACCCGCCCTCGATAGACTGACTATCACAACCTCTGTGAAAAACCAACCAACCACGGAAATTCCCCCTTTTCTTGGGTTCCGGGAACAGCCATATTCTCGAGGAAGTCGAAGACGAACTGCAGCATAAGGACAAACAAGGGTGACAGGAAGGAGAGCTGAGCGCAATCTATGAGAAGTACTCAATGCTCGAGACTCGACGGTCGAATCGTTACATCCACGTTTATGTACAAGATATTCCTCTCACTACGAAAATTCCACCCGCTTGCTATGCACGGAATACCAGTACACCATCTCTGACAATCCCCCAAGGCACGCGTGTGACAGCTATGCAACACTCTTTCATCTCTCCTTCAGGCGCTGCTCGTCGCAAAACTTGTTCGTTTGCTACCATGGGCACTTCAATCTTTGACTTGTCCACTACGACGCGAACCTGGCTGAGCTGACGAGAAGTTCGAAAACATTGGCAGGCGGATCCGGCCGTCTCCTGTCGAAGCGATGAAAACGTTCTGAAGCTTGTCCGCGGCGAGCAAGGACGCTTTATTTCGGGGCTGCGAGGAAGTTTCAACGGCACCGCTCACGGACTTCTTTTTTGGTCTGAGCGCTCTGCTCTAACCTTCGATCAGTCGGATTGTATAAACCTTGCCCTCCGGAGCGTGTTCGAATCAGACGTTCACCCACAGAAATCGTTGGATGGCCAATATATGGGTCGCTGATCTTTCGCGGGAGTAACACATCGCGGCGAACCTTCTCCAGTATCTGAAGAAGCTTTCTTTCCTTATGACGCACTCGACGATTGATTTCCTTTGCTTCTTGGTCCTGTTGTTTCTCTGTTGCGCCAGGAACCCTAGCGATTTCTCCTTCGTAAAGTTCTGCTTGACGTATCTCACGCGCTTCCGCCACCGCACTGAATGATTTCTTGTCGCCTGCCTCGCGTCGTACAGCATCTTCGATCCCGACTACTTCTGTGGCGGGGATGTGGTCCGCTGGTGATTTGCTTCCCAATACACCGGACCGATCCGGCTCAGCGAATTCTCGAGGCTGTTTTGGCGGGTCAGCCCTGATCTTCCTTCCGCGAAGGAGGACACCTTGGATTCGGTCTCTATGATAAGGCATGCTTTGGACAAAGCGACAGGTTTGAGGGGCGACCTTCCGAAGCGCCATGTACGTAGCCTTGTCGCCTTCTGCTGCAAGTCTGTTCGCTTTGAGTAGAACGCTGGCAAGGTGGACTGCAGTGTAATAGGTTGGCATCATCTGCCCCGGATCCCGTTTTTCGATGATTTTGCGGGGAACGAGCGTCGGATGAGAGCCTTCTGATACCTTGGATGACAACCATTTGCCGCGCCGCAAGACTGACCATGGCGGAGTATTGGCGATCATCTTCTGCTCGAAGACTTCGTAGGCAAGGAGCCAATGCTGCTGTTCCTTCGACAGCGTCAAGGTTTGAATGTACATATTCCAATTTTTACTAGTCAATGCAAACCCCACTCTCTCTAGCTCAGCCACGAGAGCTATAGCACGAGATTGGAGTTGACGGACAGACAAACTGTTCAAGTACCGTGTCAAAGGTGCTTCAAGAATGTATCTTTGCGAGGGCAGGATCACAAGGCCCGGCTCATCCAACAGACCACTGATCGGGGTATTGTACGGAATCATCGACTCGAACGAGAAGTCCTCCTTCGTGATCAATTCGGAGTCGGGTAGACCTGTGGGCCGTACCGGCCGCGTTCGCTCCCCATCAACCGCTCTGCTTTCACGGGGGAGTTGCTTTCTCGCTGTACGGGAAAATCTTCTTGCTGTCTGGATACCGCGTTCAAGGATTTGTTTCCAAGTAGAATCAACTGTTTCCCAGTCATATCTCTCACTTGAGATCATCAGGCGCCTAGTCAGGAACTGGATCGAAGTTGAGGCGGCATTGCTTAAAATAAGGTATGACGACTGTGAGAGAGACTCAAACCGCTGAACAAGCTTCTCTGCGTGCTTGATTTGGCCCCTTGCCGCAAGAAGGTCGATCAGATACTCCAAATAGACCGATGGAACGGCATCAACGCCCCGACGGCGGTGCAGACCGGGCTGCGGTTGACGCTCTGCTCGGTCCTGCGTGGAGAGCTCATGGAGGATTTCTTCCAAGTACTGGGCAGCAAAAAGTGGCCGTTCGTTGGGGATAGAGTTTCGACTAGCTTGTAGATGGAGCATCGCAAGACGTGGACTGGCTCCGATCCTCGGGAACCTCTCAATCATCTCTTGATACACGATATTGGCCATGTCCCTGTCACCTTCTTTTGCGAATCCATGCAAAATAATGGCATAATGGAAGGGCGTGGCGGCAAGGGTCTGACTCAAGCTCAGAGTCCTAAGTATCTGAACCGCATCCCTAGTCTTGTTCAAAACCACGAGCGCTGTCATGAACGCAGCGTGAGTCATGGCATCCGGCTCGACTCCCAGCGCACTCATACGCCCCTGGACACGTAGCATACTATCAGAGTCTGCTGTAAAGGCGTAGTGACGTAGCAGATAATTCCACATTGTAACAGGCGAACCCTGGAGGTGGGCATTGGTGGCTGCTTCAGCGAGTCTCTCCGCGGCCTCTGCTTGATTATTGAGGCAGTATGTTTGTATCAGACCAGTGACCAGACCATATGACCCTTGGACTTTATGCTGCTGGGCTTGTTCAAGAATATCCAGTACAGTGTCAGTGTCACCAGTTCTAGAGAAGACACCCATCAAGGTCGTAAAGGTGAACGCATCCGGCGCTACTCCCTCAGCCTTCATTCTGTCCAAGACCTCAAAGGTGCGCCAAGGTTCGAGGGACCTAGAATGGGCGTAGAGAAGGATATTCCAGCAATAAGAGTTCGGGCGTACGCCAAAGTCGGTCATTCTCCGAAACTCCCGTTCTGTCCCTTGCACATCTCCCAGGCGAGCGAATGCGTAGAGGAGTGGCGTATAGTACGCGACATCAGTGGGTCGTGAATGGGTCTCGCAGAGGCGTAAAAACGCCTGCTGGATGCCATCAACGTCACCTTGGGCAGCAAGAGCTGACAGAACTTTTTGGTAGCTCTTTAGATCTGCAACACCGTGGAACTTGGAGAATTCATCCAGATAGTGATTGTACGTCTCGGCAGGCGCTCCTTCATTACAGTGTATCGACAAGAGCGAACCAAAAATCTGGGGTCGTGGCGGTACTTCTGGAAGGCTTGATCGAAGGAGGTTGTACACAAGATCAGCCAATGTTCCTTTATCAGGTCTCATGGCGAGCTTGTTGATGGTATCAATGGCTGTGATGTAAAGAGATGGTTTCGACAGCGACAGGTCGTTTGACAGTTGAAACAGATGCTCCAGTCCTTGCGGCGTGATTATGCTCATAAGCGAACCATTTCGGACTAGAGCGTTTAGAAGCTCGTTGAATAGTGTCAAGAGAGAGCCTGAATGTCGCATGGTGACTACTGCCCGCTCCCGCAGCTTTGTTCCAAGTTGGTGTATGGCGAATGGCAGATCACGATAATTGCCTATCTCCTCCGTAATGGCAAGGCGAGTCGGCGATGTTTGCCCAGCGCGAAAAGGAAGTCGCTTGAAAGAGGTATCCCATACCGTGGCAGCGGTATTCCAGAGCTGATTGGAAACAGCATGCAACAGGAGGAAAACACTGCAACCCTGTTGCAAGTTGCGCAGGGTAGCACGAGCGTTGATTCTCAAGGCCAGACGATAATTGTCCGCTTTCAATGCTGATCGAACGGCCCGCTCATAGTCATCTCGAGTTCTGTGTTCTTCATCGATAAGTCTGAAGGCACTTAAAGCGAGAGTCTGATCCCGTCTTCTGCTCGATTTGGAAAGGAATTGGAAGATTTCAGGTGCGTACGCTTGCTGATTCGGGACTTGGTTGAATAAGGCCCAAGCACGATCGAAGTCGGCGCTTTCTGATTCTGGTTGCACGTCCCTGTTATTATCGAGGATTTGCAAGAGTTGTTTTTCTGTTCGGTTGACAGTAGGAATAGGGTCTTCGTTCCATAACTCTTCATGTGCGCCTGCGGTGACCGGATCATTGTCTTTGTTCCTTGTATCGTCCACAGTTATACGTTCCGGGAGATGGGATGGCGGATAATGTAGAAGTACATCCTCCAAATGCTCTTCTTCCTTGACAGACACCGCAGTAGCTTTTTGCGTGGACTTTGCCGATCTAGTATAGGCTCGGGTGGATGACGGTGGAAGCCGAGCAGAATATCGATCGGATCTCGAAGCTACAACTCGCGATCGATGAGGGGTTTCGCTGGGTTCGACTACCCAGGACTGTCTCGGGCACGGTAGAACAGACTCGAGCCCGGGTGGATTTGGACGCAGAGCTCGGATGCTATTGAGATACAAGGGCCACCAGGGAGGAACATCCAGCTGGTTGCCTCCATTTTTCCAGAAAGAGGGACCAAGCGCACGGTGTGTGCGAACAGGAGGCTCGAGGCGTCGAAGGAAGAGTTGAGAAGCTGGTTCAATGCATGCTGCGGTCCGCTCTATCATGCCACGAGCAAGACGGACGACGTGTAGTCAAGAACAAGATAGGGAGGGGAATGATAATGGTGCTGATCGACTGTCTTTCTGACATGTAGAGATGGATGCGAGAAAGCGACTTGAACGACAAGGCAAACGGAGGTTGAGATGGCAAGCCAATGTGAAGCGATGATTAGCATCAGGTGAGAGAAAAGTCGAATGGTCATAAACGGAATGTATCTGGGCCTGCGCTCGCTGGCTCGCTAACGCCGCTACTGCACACATTGGCAAGTATCCCCACACTTTGCGCCTGCCCTCACTTCTCCGTTGAAATGCCACATTTCGGTTTCTAGCACAGCCAACGCTGGCTCAACTAGCTTCCAACATGGATATCACCAGTTCGATCGTGTCTGAGCGCGAGCGGGCTTTGTTGGGAGGAGACTATGATGCCTACCATGCTCAAGCCACCCGCAAAATTCACAATCTCCGCAGGCGACTTGGTGCCGCAACTCGGGGGAGAAAATATACTCCCAAAGCCGCAGTGACTGCAGAGAATGTGGCCAAGAACGCAGAGTAAGATACTCATTGCAGAAATGGCGCTGGTTGACTGACTTGTTTCGAAGATGGGTGCAACTGCTTCTGGCCAGCTCCGAGCGAGCATGGGCATCTTCAATGGCTATGAAATCGGCCCAGTCGGCAGAGAACACCCAGAAGCCCATGCCTGGCTCCACGAAACGACAAATCGCATCCAGGCTTCGAAGAGCCATCACCTATGCCGATAACCTTGTGACCGTTCTGCGAGATCGCAGCACGACCGGCGCAAAAGCGATAGACGAACTCGAGGCACGTGCTTATCTCGCCATGTTAAGAGGAAGTCTGGATTTCGAGAAGGGAAGATGGCAAGGGTGTATTCAGAATTATTCCATTGCCCAGATTGTGTACACCACATTGGCGCGCTCATCGAAGACGGATACGTACAAGGAGCTGTTATCCGGCATCGTCGACCCCAGTATTCGATATGCTGCATATCAGCTGAAGATGCCCCGCACAAAGGCCATCAACGATATCGCTATTGAGAATTTCCCCAAAAGCGAAACCACTGTCCGTGACGAGATCAAGAGTATCAATGCACAAGCCTTTTCGACAGGGACAGAGGCTGCTCCCACGAAGGGAGGCCCCAGGGAAACCCCGTCAACAATCTCTTGGAGGAGTAGGAAAGTGAATCTGGAAGACGCCAACATCTCTCAAGCCCTCGGTTTCTCGAAAGAACGGGAGGATGAGCTGAACGCAGCCTACAAATCCTTCAAAGATGGATCTCTAAGCGCCAAAGACCTAGCAACCGCATATGAAGAAGTCATCACCGCTCGCCAGGACGCTGCAGATGCAACGAAGACAGCCATCGACGAGCTCATCGCCGAAGGCGTTGACACTGGTGACCCTCGCCTGCAGTCACTTCAAATCACCCGTACGGCTGTTAACTACGCCGTGATCGAATGGCGGATTGGACGCAACAGAGTTCTCTGTGGTGCAGCGGACGACGGTCTGGCTTTTGAGTCCGAGAAGCCTACGAAGGCTCTGAGGCCACGCAAAGATGGCCAACCTCGCGCACCAAAGGAAGAGAGTTCCGGCCGCAAGTTATCAAGGCTGCGGGAGAGAGTTGCACTCTGCGACTCGATCCTGCAGAGTCTCGATGCCGTGAAAGAGTTACCTGGAGTTATTGCGGACAGTGCCTTTGTGGACGAGCTTGATGCAAAAAGAGCATACTTCCGTGCTTTGAAGTGTTTGGCTGTTGGCCGCTCACATGCTATTGGTGACCACATTCCAAGTGCATTGGCTTTGTATGCTCGAGCACTTGAGCTGTCAGAGAAAGCCGCAAATACATTGAAGGCAGAGTCCACTGACAACGATTCAACACCACCAAAGCTCGACCTGTCACCCCAGCATCTCACGCAGACGACCGCAGTTCTCAACAAACTGGTCACTCAGTTCCGTGCACTGGCTGACTTGGAATCCCTTGCCAACGCCGCTAAGCCATCGCTTAAAGACACCGCTCAGGCGAGCGCCATTAAACCCGCTCCTCTCATTGAACGCCTCTCCCACAACGAATACATTGCCAACTTGGACCTAACCAATCTCGTGAACTACCCTCCCAAACTCCGCCCGGTCCCAGTGAAACCACTGTTCTTTGACCTGGCATGGAACTACATCAAGTATCCTGGCCAGAAGGGACCCGAAGATGATGGAGGAGCAGAGGATGTGCAGATGGGAGGGGTTGAAGAGGAGGTGAATGGAAAAGTTGCGAAGAGCGAGGAAGAGCAGAGACCAGCGAAGAGGGGTTGGTTTGGCTTTGGCCGCTAGGTATTCGCGACGCCACAGCATAGAGCCTGTGGGGGGAGAGTGGTGGCACTTGCAGGTGAGGATGCAGGGTGCAGGATGCTCTTTGCGGTTGTGACTGCGGCCTGCGAGCCTACCAGAGGCCAGGCGCAAGCAGTCTGCAGTTAGCGGATTGGGTGGTGCCTCTCGATGCGAACTGGTGGACCATGTCAGACCGTCTAGACGACATCCGAGAGAGAAGGGGTCATCCCGTGCGCATATGCAGAAGCTTTTCAACCTCAGCTGAGCAAGGGGGTGTCGATGCACGCGGACCGTCCAGGCGAGATATGGAATGGCAGGGCCGGCGACAGTGACAGTCACAGGGACAGGGACAGGGACCGTTGACGATGGCCCACGACGAGGATGATACTGATGTCGATGTGTGACGACGATGGCGATTGTGACTGTGATCTTGATCGTGGGATGATGTACTCCATACCGAGTAGAGCACAGCCATCATCAAACGAACGCTACGAGTAGAGACTGCCAAATTGCATTGCCAAAGCTCTCCAGACATATAGACATTCGTACATGGAAACCTCGTGCATTAAGGAACCTATTGGCCCACGCAGGCCAGTCAACTTCGAACTAGGCTGTGTCTCAACCTACACGCACACACCTGAATATCAGGAATTGAAAACTCCGTAGGTCCGGAGGGAGCGAAATGCTGTTGAACACCACGAGGTCTACTACCATTACACACACACATATAGGTGGAGTGTCTACAAGTACAAATACATGAAGAGACGGGGTCCCCAAGCCGCCACCACACCACACACCACACACCAACATACCACATCTCTCATCCCTCATCCCGCATCTGATGCACTTGTTGTACCTTGTAACAATGTCCTCGGTATCACCGTGTCACTCCACACCCATAACTCAAACAAGGCCTTTTTTTTTTGGACTTTCGGGGCATTTAATCGTATCGCCCTCGCCTGGCCTCGTTCTCGCCTCGTTCTCGCCTCCTTCCTCGCTTCGTGGCCCCTGACACGTGGGCAGGCGAGCGAGGGTTTGTGAAAGTGAATAAAAAAGTCGGAAAACTGTCAAATGGGCGTCTCGCCCGTTTCGCCCGGTCCGGATCCCTGTCCAGCTGAAAAGAAAGGGATCGGCGTGGAACAACACACACAGAGACACACAAAACATCATTTACGAGCCACTTGGGGGGTTCTCCAGCCCCAACCATTGCATTATTGTGATGCCATTCATTCCAGACCATCGATGCAAGGGGATCCCTTTTGCTATCCCTATCCCTACCTTCCTGGCATCGCCGTGGCCCAATTGCGCATCATCATTATCTATGTATGTGTTTGATCGGCAAAGTCACCTCGCGCCAACAAAGTCGTTTATTGCTCGGACGATCCCCCGAAAGCGCCCAACTCCCAAACCCAAACAGTGCTGATCCAGACCAGCATCCATATAGTCCGTTTGCCATCCCCAAAGAACTTTCCATTCGTGTTCGAAGTGCGGTTCATATCAAACTTTTTGCATCCTTGGTGGCTTATCCGGTCCAGCCGAAGTTCACTTTGGACAGTGTCAAATTTAGAAGTCTCTCGCGCGATGTCTTTTGTCGCCACGTCGCCTTTTGCCTCGTGGTATCATGATAGCATTGGGGACGAGCTCTGAGGAGGTGTTCGATGCCAGCTGAGCCCGCCGAGCAGGAACCTCTCAGCTCAAAGTGTATCTTCACAATGCAAGGCGAGGCTGGGGTTTAGATGTTCAACGCCTTCCCTCGAACGTCAACGTCCGTCGCCTCCACACTATTCGAGCATCTTGGCCATCGCAGAAATGCTCTGTGCCATCGAATTTGCAGTCTTCACTGAGCAAACTGCTCTGGTGCGAAGGCGAAGGTTGTGGGTAGGAATGTCGTCTCCAGGAGGAGCCGGTCTCGTCAATGACGCTGCGTGTGTCGTTGGTTGCGCCTGGGCTTGCCATGACGTCGGGTTTTCGGGCCCTGGCTCTCATTTCAAAGTCCACCTTTCTCGCCTTGTCCACCTTTGCCTTGGCTGCCAGATACCCACTCGTGATTGGAGCTGACGGCGTCAAAGTAGAGTCTTGAAGACGATGGGAAGGTTCTGTCGATAGTCGTAGACTCAAAGGAATCGGCGAGTGTGTCAGATGCTGATCCGATCGTTTGGAGTCTAGAGCCGGTTCTGATAGGTGATTCCTCAGGTCTGACGGGTTGTTCTGGCTCCTGATCTGTCGGAAGAGGATAAGGATGCAAAGAAGAATGCAAAAAGAAAGCGCATAGATGGTATGGATCAGAAGATGTTCGAGATTGGTATACTGGCCGGGATTCACCTGGAGCGGTGCCATCATAGTACAATGTGAGAATGCTTCAGCTGATGGACTTGGGAAGGACATTCTCATTCGGGCTGGTATTGCAATGTACTATCGACGCAGTCTACTCGAGCAAAGCCAGGAGATCGATCAAACAGACCTACCTGCCGGATGTTTGGCGAGAAAATGGACATTATATCGTTGGGGCTCATGCGCCCTTTTCCTTCGGATAGCACCTCTGTGTGACCTCGCACGGACACGAGAGCAAAAGTTTGGCACCAATGAGGTGATGCGTCGGTGATGTTGCTATGCGACAGATCTAGAATTCCGGAGACTTGCTGCTGTAACCTGAACCAAAAGCAAAGTAGCCTCAGATGCACCCAGTCCAGATTGGAGCATGGCTGGCTGGCTGGCTGGGGTTTCGTAGGAGAAAGCATATCGGAGTCGCCCTCAGGCATGGGACCGAGCAGACGAAAGGGAGGGGGGACAATCTCCGTCATGGCGCCATTGTGTGGTCATCAGACATGGGGAAATTGACAAAATCAGCCATAGAGTTACAGGCCGATGATGACAATGGCCTGAGAGGGAAACCCAAGGAAAAAAAGAAGACGGTGAAGTTCAGCTTGGATGGGAAGACGCCGTCAGGACAATCATGGAGAAAAAGGCTTGACCGGTCGCGAGCCTATCCAAGAGGCCGATAACCGAAGAGGTTGGCAGGGTTGGAACTTCAGCTCGCCTGATAAACGCCCCTTTCAGGCTCACTAGGCTTTGAGGTGGAGGCCAGAGCGCGGCTAGGAAAGGTTGAGGACACGGCTGTCCCACCCGCAGTCTGTGTCATGATCAGTGCGATGTCTGTCAAACCTTGACGTGATTCGACGAGAGGGCCTTACGTGAAACGAGGATACGAGGGTCGGGAGTGAGCGATGACAATGTGTCAGAGTGTGACGGGACGGTTGTTTGATGAGATGGGAGAGGAGAACGAGTCAAGCTGAAGGAGGAGAGGAGGGAAAGAGAGAGAGTAAGTGAGTGAGAGCGCAGGCGGCGCAGGCGGCGCAGGTGAAGGCCGAGAAGGTGTGACGGACTCGGACAGAAACGCCTTGCCGCTTTTACCCGTTGCGAGGCCCCAAGTCCCATGCGACTCCCGTCAACGCTTTCCTGATATGAATCTTCAGGCGGAAAATATCAAAGCCACTGCATGGTCCCGTTGTCAAAGCATGATTCATCGCTTAACTGATTTCCTTAGCATCAGCCTGGGGAGAAACCAGGCAGACTGTTCTAGATGTTGGCTCAGCATGTCGGCGAGAACACCCCTCTCTTGCTGGTGCGCCTCGTCTGTTCTTTTCACTACGCCCCCGCCATCAATCAGCCCGCTAGAACCCAAATCCAGAAGCCAAAAAGCCAAAAGTCAATAAGAGAAACCATCCCTCTGCCCCCGAACAGCCCGCTGCGCCCTGTCAGACTCTCCCCGTCACCTTATCCAGGAACTTTCATGACCTTCTCCTCGTGGCTCATAGATTGGCGCGGCTGGGAACGTTCGGCTTCACCACTATTTCTCCGCGAAGTGCTTTGGACTAGCTTTTTCAGCGTGTCGGGTGCATCTTCTCGGTCCATCATCACCTCGACAATGTTGAGGCCCTTGCCGGCCTGGAGGCCCGGCTCCGCCAAAATCTCCTTCAACTGACCCCAAGTTTCAGCTCGCTTGGTCACCACGGGATATGCAGGGTCGTTCTTGGGTGCCCCAAAATAGCTTGGTGCCTCGAGGTATCTCCACGGCTGGATGTCGTTGTAGCCCGCCTTCATGCCGTGGATCCATCTCTCAATCACGTATCCATCATTGTTGATGACGAAAATGGTCAGATCAACACGATTCCGGATCATGTCGCTGATGGATTGGGCCGTCATTTGCAGGCTGCCATCGCCCTCAATAAGAATAGTGCGTCCCTTGCGGCGCTTACCTTCTGCAATCATCTCTCGTTGAGCCAAAGCGGCGCCCTGAGATGCTGGTAGCATGTAGCCGATGGACAGCCATATGCAAGAATTGATGAGTGAGGTATGTGCAGGAAGCACCATATCTCGACATCCGATTGACGCCGTGCCCGTCTCCACCATTACGATGTCCCCCGAGCGGAAAAACTTCGAGATTCGCCGCCAGAATGTAGCTTGATCGATCTCGTCGTCCTCGCCGGCTGGGGGCAGGGCTATCAACTCCAATTCCGGGTGGCCGAGGTCCATGGACGGGCTGTACTTGGGGAGTTTGTCCTTCTCCAACTTCGAGAGGATTTTGCGCAGGAGAGACTTGATATGCAGATTGTGATATTTGATACCGCCAATCTCGACGTGGTCCCGGTGGAAAACAATCGCTGACTTTGGGTCCGGGATAGTGCTGAACCCGAAGGTGTTGACATCACTTTCTAAGGGACCCAATTTGATGACCAGATCACAGCCTCGTGCCCAAGGCATATATATTTCATTGCCAGCAATACCGGCATAAATCCCATAGAAGTTGGGATATGTCTCGTTGACAATCCCCTTACCAAAGGGGGTAGTCGAAGTTGGAAACCCGGTCACTCGGACCAGTTCATCGGCTTCCTTGCTTACGCCGTACCTTGATGTGCATCCGTCGACGACAATCAAGGGCTGTTTGGACGAGTACATTTTGTTAAGGATCAGCTCGACTTCGGTGTCTTCGAAACCTTCGTCATTCAGTGAGATCGAAAGATCAATGGGCACATCAAGGGCCGCTGCTGAAACCTGGGCCTTCACCATGTTGGTGGGCAATTCAAGATAAACTGGTCGGCTTTGCAGGACACATTCTCTGATGCACCGATCAATCTGCGCCGGTGCAGTATTTGGATCCCTCAGATTGGCCTGGGCCACGGTGATCTTCGCGTACATCTCGGCGAAGATTCTGAAGTTGCCGTCTCCGAGCGAATGATGCATGCACAACCCGTTGTCCTGCACATTAGTCGGGGCTGTGCCGACAATGTGAATGACTGGTGCCACTGTTGGTCGCTGTCAGCATGTGTCCAAGGACACAAACCCGCGGATGCACGTACTCTCGCTGTATGCTCCGGCAATGGCATTGATGGCTGACAGCTCGCCGACACCAAAGGCAGTGACAAGAGCTGACACTCCTCTGATCCTGGCGTAGCCATCCGCAGCATACCCAGCATTTAGTTCGTTGGCATTTCCGACCCAATCAAGACCGGCAGGTTCAATGTAGTCCAGTGCGGTCAAGTTATAGTCTCCGGGAACGCCATGGACCGACTTGATTCCGACCTGACGAACCCTCCGGAAGAGGTATTCGGCTAGGTCGATGTGCGACGCCATGGCTCAATGTCTCAATAGCTGATGCAAGGCACGATGTGTCCTGGCAGGTTGGAGGCGCGGATCAATCAGGCAGCAACGGATGGGCAAAGTAAATTGGCCCTCGAAAGCCAGGAATCGAGGCAATTATATAGGTTAAGACGGGAGAATGTATCTTACATTGCTCCGGAGAGAACGGGGGTCCTTAAGAGCGAGAATTAGGTGAGATATTACCGCACCAGTGGACCGGGCAAAATATTTGGAACCATCAATGCAGACAAGAACTCCTCCCACGAGGAAGAGGATGAAAGATGAGATGATGTCGTCAAAGGACCGGGAATGTAGGGGAAACCAGAGCAAGTGGTTGTCCGTGGGCGGAATAAACTCCAATCCATGCGGCTGTCAGCGGTTGCAGTCGGTTCAGTGCGGAACCATGCCGAAAGCCGAAACAATGCAGGTCGTCGAGCATTGACCTCTGAAATGGATCGAATCTGGCGGTGGACACGACCGGGTGCTGAGAGACCCTGTCAGCGAACCTCACGGGAGATCCTTCAAAAGGTTATAATGCAGTCGTATCAGCATGTAGTCGGCTTGTTGGCCGCATCAGAGTCGCTTCGGTTCTAGGTGGGCGATAAGAAGCGCGCCAACCTCGAGTGCTTTGGTCCTCCCAACACCTTGGACTTGACCTTCCGCCATATCCTACAGCGATACGCCCCGGTTGGGAAGTCCAGGTGTACCTAGGTACATGATGTCCGTTCCCGTCCCCACCTCCTACTCCTCCCGTGCTCGTGCATCTTCGACAGCCTTTTGCCAGTCGGTCAACCGCATGTACGTGGCCATGATGAGAGTTGCGCAGCCGAGTCCGGTACATGGACCGATCCACATACCGCCCAGGCCCATCTGAGGCGGGCCGAAACACAGGAAGAACGACAATGGAAGTGCGAAAAGGTAGTAGACCCCCAAATTGACCCAACCCCCAACCTTTTGTCTCCCAAGGCCACGCAAAAGAGCATTTGAGATGGCCAGGAGCGCGTCAAATAGTTGAGCTGCCGCAGTTATTGGCATGACGGTTGCGATGATGGCTCTCACCGCGACATCCGTGGTGAATATAGCTGCGATGACGTGGCGGCAGGATGTCAGCAAGATGACATCAAATATCCCAATGCACACGAAGATCAGATAGTGCGTCTTCCAGGCCTTCCGCGCAGCTTTCAACGCGCCATACCCAATGAGATTGCCGAATCTTGTCGATGCTGCGATGGAGATTGGAAATGGGATATGATACATGGTAACAACCACCGTCATTAAGACAGACTGAGCTGCAAGGTCTCGTTCACTCAGATATCCAGCCGCAATGGTAAGGATGTCGAAGGCGAACCACTCCGAAAAGGTCATGAGGACGCCAGGGATGGCCAATTTGATCATGGGACCCCAGTTCTGGCATGCTCGTCGTAGATCTAAGCCTGGCCAACATTGCAAGTTCGAGGGAGCAATGTAGGCGACGTACAGCGCCAGGACAATCGGCTGAAGGTTATTGGATATGACCACGGCCCAAGCGGCACCCGCAAATCCCAGGTTGAAATGGAACACCAAGAGCCAATTCCAAAGGATGTTCAGGGGAGCACAGACCAGGACGACCACGAGGGAGGCGGTAAAATCGCCCTGGGCCTGGCACAAGCGCTTTCCAGCTTCAAATATAGCCCAAGCGGGAGCACCAGCCAAGTAGATGCGCATGAAAGTACCGGCCAGGAGAGCCTCGTCTTTTTCGGGCACGATAGCTGACAGGATCCAGGGAGAGCAAGTCCAGATGGCGCCGATGGGAATGGTGACCACACAAACCAATAGACTCATGCGTTGGACATGGAGACCGACTAGATGCTTCTTATCGTTCCCAAAGGCCTGCGACGTCAGAGTGTCGAGGCTGGTTGCGAGTCCCTCATAGACGCACAGTCCCGTAATATTGGCAGTCATCGTGGCCAGGGAGGCAGCCCCCAGTTCCTTCGTCCCGAGGCGTCCGGCAACATAGACTGTGACCAGGCTAAAAGAGTATTGCAAGATATAGGTCAACATCAACGGCCCCGAATATCGAGCCAATAGGGTGGTTTCTGTCTTCCATGTCGTCTCAAGATCGGGACCTTTGAAAAGAGAGGACTCCTCGTCGTCAGTCGTACCGTATATCCTCTGATCGATCTGTTCAATGGATTTCCGAAAGTCATCAATCCCATGGTCATTGAGAAGAGCACTGGTCTCGGATGGCCGACGTCCGGCCATCTTTTGTGTAACGTGGGGTGATTTCTTTTGACTGGGTGGAAATAAAGGCCCCTCAAAAGTACCCTCTCTCTCTTTGCTCGCGGCGTTATCTACCTGCTATCATAGCTGAGACGAAAGATGTATCCTGGCAAGCTGGATGGAGTTCCGCAGAGCTGGCAGGGCTTTTCGGCTGGGTCGTCAACGAAAGCAGGAAGGATGTTGGATGGGCTCATTTTGCGAGCGAGGGTTGTTGGCGGTGTGTGGATCAACAATCGGCTTCCTGCACAGGGAAATGGGGAGCGGCCTGCCGGCCTATCTTGCCTATGGCGCCATCGCTTATGCAGGCGAATGGCTGGTAATCGAGGAGATGACCGAGACGATTTCCCATGGTGTTCATTCATCTGGCCGTTGCTGCAAGTCATTGACATGCGGAAGGGATCGTAGGCCACGGACTTCGACGATCGGTGTCTTGACACACTCCGCCCTTATATTGTTGCTGATGGTGATGCTTTGAGTCCAGGCTGTGGCACCGTGCACCCCCAGAGATGCGTGGCCAGGATCACGCGTCAGATCGCGTCAAACGAGAGCCTCTGTTAGTGGACATGGCGGGGTTCCTTGGGCCAACGACTGTTAAACTCGTGGCTGGGTTGCAACACACCAAACACCAACACCAACGACCCCAAAGCTGAAGGTTTCTGACCATCTCCAACTTGGATTCTCACTCGCCCTCAAGATATGGAATAACTCCAGCTCCAACCCTTCGACGCGTTGTGCCCTGCATCCCACCGTCTGTGCCCTCCGTCTTTGCCTCACCCGCGTCCCATCACGTACTACAACCATGACTGCCACTTCCATCTCCCCTCACAAGGTCGCCAGTCGCCATGTCGTTCTGCCCGCTCCCTCTCCCGATCCTGTTTCCATCCGGCTGCCAGACTCACCTGAGAAGAATAATTTGACCTCTACCGAAAGGTCTCGTGGTCTTCGTCGACTGCAATCCCACAATCAGCTCTCCTCAACCAGCAGTATGGGCACCCAGTCCTCTAATCTGAGACCTCGGTCGGGGGTCTTGACGAAACCCTCGCGCGAGCAGCTCAGCCTCCCTCAGCCCTCGGCGACACAATCACATCCCACGGTTTCACACCCCGTCAGCTATTCTCGCGCCCGCGCAAACAGCGATGCTCCTTTACCTCAGGTGCCTCGAAACCGCAAGCCGCCGCCCACACTTCTCTCCAATCCCTCCTCCAACCACATTCTCACCCATGCCCGCAAATCCAGTCTCGAAATGACCCTTCGTGATGGTCCTCCGCCTGGAACCACCGCTGCCACCGCCCTCTCCTTACTCCGTCACTCTATCCTCACCAGTGGGGTCAATGCAACCAAAGAAGGCATGTCCGACTATCGAATATATCTGTGGTTGACCCTTCTGAATATCGGACCTCTCTCGACTGATACATATCTTGATCTCATACACCGAAGTCGCAGTCCTGCATACGAGAAGATTTCCAATGATGTCTTCCGCACTCTGGCAACAGACACACTTTTCAAGAGACGCGTTACCGATGCAAGTTTGACCCGACTTTTGAATGCAACCGCCTGGCGAATACATGATGAGCAATGCTCCGATCCTCCCTCCGAGTTTGCGCAGAGATATCCACAATCCACCTACCTCCAGGGCATCAACGTGCTCTCCGCTCCGCTGTTATACGCATCTCGCTCGGAAGCCCAAGCCTATGCGATTCTGACAAGCCTATTAACTGAGCATATTCCTACGTACCTCTCTCCGACTATGTCTGGTGTGCATAGAGGACTTGATCTCATTGATAGAATACTGTCAGAGATAAATCCGACCCTCTCATCCTTCCTGCTCAGCAAGTCTCTACCGGCCAAGATCTACGCCTTCCCTTCCGTTTTGACACTGTGTGCCTGTACGCCCCCTCTTCCAGAGGTGCTGAAACTATGGGACTTCTTGTTCGCGTTTGGCGTGCATCTGAACGTCATCTGTGTTGTTGCACAGCTCCTATTGCTGAAGGATAAACTTCTTGGGGAGCCCAGCCCTGCTAAGATGCTGCGAAGTTTCCCGAACCTGAACGCCGATGAGGTGATTAAGATGACCGTGTGGATCGTGAGGGAGCTGCCCGAAGACTTATATCGTGATGTGGTTATGCATGGGCGTGAAGTTTCATGAGAGGCATAGGATGGTTAAACCCAAAATTTGGTCATTGCCGTACTCTCTCTGCATGAGGAAACGGCCGTGGGCAAGTGCAAAGAATTATAGCTCGACTGACGTTCAATTCAGCCGTGAGTCTAGCTTTTGCGATTTGAGTGGCACATTGAGTGGCAGCACAATTCGTTGCATATATCCTGGAATGGCCCGGAAATTCGACTCGGCTTTGAGCTGACAAGGTTGATACGGGCCGCAACTTGATGGCTGTGCGCTTCAAGCGAAACTTGATCCGACCAGGACACGACAAATGGCACCAATGCCGTTGACGACTTACCGCGTTAAGCTGACGAGCCCTTGAGGTTTTCGAGAGCATAGGACCGTAACACTCAACGTGGCTCGTACTCGAGCGGGAGCCCTTGGAGAGGCTGGATTATATCCTGCCTCGCGTCCGGCTCGGTTTAAACAAAGCTCGAATCGAGATCAGTTCTTGGTTCGTTGGCAGGAAATCACGCCTGCCGTTTTTATATTGGGAGTATATGCGATTACGAATGGGAAACAATGTACCAACAACCTGACGATGGAAATGAATGACCAGAGAGGCATGAAGTGCTCTGGATTGTAGGAATGACTTTCTCGGGAACAAGGTTGAGGGAGCAGCCAAAATGTGTGACAGACAGTCAATCAATAGATATGCATTGCTCAGGGGGACAACACCAGAAAAGCTCCTGTTCCGTACCGTCTGCAATTCCATCCACCCACCCTAGGCTAGTATGCGGAGATCCGTCCCCTGGGGATTTCAAAACACCTGTAAATGTCCTAGGAATATCCAACGGCGCACAGCCCGCCGTATCGCCATCAATGTTCGCCTTGCCGCCGGTGGGCGCCACTTGCGTTGGTCTCTGCTCACGTACGAGGTAGACCTCGTAGATTCTTTCAGTCGCCTTGATCGGAAGAAAGGCCCCCGGGGGGGTTCTATAAAAGAGACAAGATGTGCGATAGCCGGGACGGGACGGGGGCTCGTGTTTTCGGATTCGCATTCCCTCATGGATTGATATCGCTCGTGCACTCGACCCCAATCCTCGCTGTGGCTTCCGTTCGCTCTGGCCCCTAGCCTTTCCCAAAACCGCCCTCTCAAAAAAAACTTGCGCTCGTGCCCAAGATGCCAACAGGAGCCGAGCTCGGCAACTATTTTTTCCCACGATAGGTTCCGGAGGGAGGGCAGTCTCAATGCTTCAGATCCCCATTTGCGTCGCCGTTGGGTTTGAAGCCGTCGAGGACGCCGAGGCCGGTCTCGCTCCGCCGCAGCTTCCTGCGGCCCCAGACCTCGCTGGCCCACTCGGACAGCAGGAACATCCAGCCGCCGCCGACGAGCACGCCGCTGATGACGTTGACCAGCCGGACCAGCAGGCCGAGCAGGCTCGCCCGGCTCTCGCTGACGATCAGCAGGATGGGTTCGATGTCGTACTTGAAGAAGATGCCCGGGACGGTCGACGTCGAGACCTCGCGGGACTGGGACTGCGCGGCGTACTGGTTCGTGAAGATCGACTTGGTGTCCCGGCCCTGCTCCGGGTGCGGGACGTGGCGGATGACCCCGTCCTTGTCGCGCTGCGTGTTCGGCGTCATGTCCAGCGTCGGAGGCTGTGGGAGTGCGGCGGGGTCCAAGCTGCCGCTCTTGGTGGCGACTCGACGCTTCGTGAAGATCGTGGGCACAATCGACAGGTAGTATTGGTAGCGCATGAAGTGTGCCTCGGTGGTGTCGCTTGTCTTGTCCAGCGGGTTCAGCAGGTTCGGGTAGTGGGGGCCGAAGCTGAGTTCGTTGATGTGGTGCGAGAAATTGAACAGGTTGTGGTCGAGGTGGGACTGCATGCCGAATTCCATGTATCCGTGCCCTCGCGCGGTGATGTGGAAGTCGCCTTGCACTTTGTTGCCCTCGAGGGATCCGTAGATGCGACAGCTGTCCACCGGCATGTGTTTCTGGAGCTTGGGCGACCGGGCAAACTTGCGGCCCTTGTTCTCGCGCATGTGTCCCAAGACGTGGCCGACGTGGGAATCTTCCTCCTCCGCCTTCTTCCTCTTCCTGTCCCCCTCGTGCAGGCCGTGGTATATACCCTGCTGCATCTTCCTCAGCCGAAACAACTTGCGCGGGTCCAGCCAGAGCTCAAAATTCGTGTCCTCCTTCTTCAGCAGGTCGCCGGCCATGATCCGGTCCATCGCCGCATCCTGGACATTGACGTGTAAGTCGCGACACGGCATGGCCACGACGATATCCAGGTTCAGTTGGAGTTCATGGCCCACACCGCGTTCAACGCTGAAATGGTGCGTTTCTGTCCCGGCCCACCACGTGCGAAGCTCGGAGGCCGTCAGACACAGGCATAGGATTATAAGGGCGAGAGTCCATTGGCCGCCGCGGGCTGTTGCGGAGGTGTAGTTCGGTTTTGTTTTTGCTGCACAGAGATGGTCAGTAATGGTGGTTGTTCTGCACGCCAAAAGCCAGAGTAGGGCGCGAAGATTCCATCAGAGGCCCAAACACTTTCTCAAGGGACGACGGGTGGCACTCACGAAATGCGTCGAATGTCCTCAGCCCCGACAAGCCTTTGTCCCCAAATGCCGACTCGTCGAAGCCATGTTTCTCAAAAGAAGAGTCCATTGCCCTGTAGAAGTTTATGTAGATCAGAGCCTTGACAGCTCTTGTATTGGAGTCCGCGACATGTATGGGGTAATCGCGAAGATATCTTCGAAACGAAGAGACGGCTGCCGATTCGACGGGATCGAAAATCGCACGTTTTCAGCGGCGCAGCGTGGGATCGAATGGACCCAAGGGTGAGGCTCGTTTTGGCCAGATCTTATTTATGCAGGGTACAGCCTTGCGCCGTTATCGCAAGTGGGCTCCGTGCCGACGCTAAAAATGTGCCTGGCGAGGCTGAATGGGCACATTATCGACTATATTTCGAATCAATCATCAGCACATGCTACCGGGGGAGATCGACGTGGATTGGAAGGAAGCAACATGGCTTTTCTATGCTCGTATTTCTCGTCAGAGTTCATCGTGTGGCCTCTGCTGCCTGGTTCCACGTCTTCTTCCTATGCAACGCTATGCTATGCCATGTCTTCATGAATGTAAAATAACACTGACTGCTTGCTCGGTGGGTATCTCTGAAAAGGCGCCGCCTCCAACGATCCCGTAATTCTTTCGTATGCACTTTCCGGGTTGAGGTCATCCTTGTTCCTGACTCCATACCAAAATCAATTTGAATGTTGCGTAAGCCTCTGCCACGTCTCCAGCGCGCAAACCCTATTTTTGTGTGCCCCGGACAAAAGCTGCCTCCCAAATCATTCTTCAATGGGTTCCAAAGAGAAGTCCGCCCTTCGCTCCGCTCCACAGACCGACCATCGCTTTCTTTCCTTGTTGCTCCTCAGATTTCCCCCTCGGATCTCGAGGGAACTTCTTCGCCGCACGTCGCCTGCATCTCCATCCTCGCCCCTCAACTTGGCTTCCTCTTCCTCAAGCACTGCAGCCTCTTCCGCATCTGGTGCGTCCTCTATTGTTTCCAACGAGCTGATGGACGGCGACCGAGATCGCAGCGATGTTGGGGTACTGGGCATGCTCGAAGCAGAACTGAGAGAATACATGGGATATGGCTCGTAGGTGTACTTCTGCGGAGCAAACGATGGCGATGGTGATGTCCTTCCAGATACACTAGGACTCATGGCCCTCGCGTACAGAGATGGGGCACTTGCGCTCTGGTGAAGCGGTTGTGCACCTCGCCGTCTGGCTCTTGGGAAGGTATTGGAGAAGGATGACATGGGCGAAGGTTGGGACGCATCCGCGTCTACTGTAAGTTCAAGCTCTTCATTTTCTGGTATGTTGGGTTCAATATTGAGGCCACTCCAGGATGGAACGCCGGGATACGGCTCTTCCACAGCTGCCCGTAACGGGCTTCTTCTTCTTCCTGAATGTAGTGGCGAAGACGGTCTTCTCGGGACACCGTAAGGAGTAATGTACCGGCCCGAAGCGTCAACACCAGGCGATGAGTGGGCTCTTTGCATTGGCGGCGCGTTGGCCACACCTCCTACCGACAGTGGCCTCACCCTTCTGGGTGGAGATGCAGCACGAGGCCTTGAGGGTGTGATGTTCTGTGAGAGAAAATGAGCGTGTTTCGGAAGTGTCTCGACACTCCTCGAGGGAGACGATCTAGGTGAAGGGGAGGAGCTGGATTCAGGTTCCAGTTCCGAAGGAGACGGAGGTAACTCGATGTCTTCGGCTCGGATTTGAGGAGATGAACTGACGGGAAGGCTCGCAAAGGTTTGGCCGTCGGAGGTAGCGGAGAGGTTTGACGGAGAGTTTGTCAGCGGCGACATGGTGGGATGGGTGAAGAGGTAATCCAGGATATATTGAGTGATGCAATGATTCAGCTGAATAAGAGAGCGAAAGTCGACATAATCGTGCGATCGAACGGTGAGAGGGCTAGAATCTGTTGTCGTGGAAGGGCATCGCCAGTCTGCCGGAAAACTGTAGAATCACCAAGCGCTCCACTTGCAGCCACCTTCAAGGTGCTCGCGGTGTGCCTTTGGATAAGTTTCGGCGTGAAGGCCAAAAGAATGATGAAAACCCAGCAACACTCGAGGCACAGAAGCCTCAGAGGTTGCTGGTGGAGGTGATTTCGGATGGCGGGTGGTTCGATCAAAGGAATGCTCAAGGGAAGAGTAAGGAGGGAGGAAGAGGATGCTTGTGCCAGTCACAAAATTGCGGAGGTGGAGATTGGTTCCAGCTGCGGCGCTCAGGTCAGGAGTCCAGATCGGGGCGATGTTGTGATGGGTGGATGTGATGTGATGGGCTCGCCCGGCGATAATGTCAGGGCCCGGTTTTAACTGGAATTTAGCGACCAGCCTTTAACTGGACTTGGTCCTCGCGCTGCAGTTTGATGCTTGGCCGCCCCGGCTTATTGGTGCTTGGAGGCCCCCTGCATCGGTTGTTGCATTTTATCAAGTTTACGCTTGGTGAATCGACATGGCTTTTGTGTTCTGTTATGGATCTTTCAACAGAGGCATCTGCTCCCCGATGCGATGTTCCCCTTTATACGATCCGAAGGCCCGATGCGAGCAAGCCTGCTACCTCACCCACACGAATCCTACATCGACGCACACTAGGTAGTAGGGAGAATTGCTGCTCCCTAGACATGACCTGGGGGCTGAGAAGTTGCTCTCAGCTGCGGCCCCCTGCCTGCGACCAGAGTCAGCCCGTGCACTGAACAACCACGCCCTTTGCGGTTCACATGTTTGTCTCTGGGGTCCAGTGCTATTCCATACATAGGTATCACTCCCGACAGTCTCCCAAGTTTGGAACTTTCCCACGTGGAAGTCTGAGCACATCTTCAGATCCGGCGACCCCAAAGACCGTGTTCGGCTTGTTGAGGGTTGAAACCCTGGCCAGTCAATGCTTTACCTACAGCACATCAAGACGCTGCAATATCCATGTCTCAGCCCGATCCGATTTCCAGCTGTTGGCATGCTACCCGCCCAGCCTAGAGCACTATCAGTTGTGAAACAGCGAAGGACGACTGGTAATTTTTCCATGAATCCTTCCTAGGCGATGGCATCCCCCTTACTCAACCCACCTGCGATAGACAAAAAAGAAAAAAAAAGGGGGGGGGGAAACTGTAAACCTAACAAAATACACATTGTCTGTCCAACTTCGGCTTGCTGGAAACACCGTATGAGCATTGTTCGCCCAGTACGATCCGTTGCGACAAGATTCAAACAGAGAGAATTGAGGACTACATGGCGGTCGAGCTGTATTTACACAGCAAGAACGGGCAGGATGAGGCAAGCAAGATACGGTCCTTGCGTCGTCTCTGGCGAGGCTCACAGCCGTCGAAAGCAATACTCTCAGTCATCACCGATTCTAATGTAGTCAGCTCTGGGCTGGAGACGTGATGGCAATGCAAGGTATAGACGGAATGGGAGAAGAAGGCTGTGGCTCTGGTCCCCTGTGTCGCTAGTCGCCCGCACGCTGCGGCCATCTGTTCCTCGTTGTGCAAAGGAGATGGAAGTAGACATTTGACCAGGATCAAGGCGCTTTTAGAACGAATGATTCCCCAAGTTCGCTTCAATTTGTACTGGCTATCTCTTTAAAACAAGCACGGCACTGGCTTGTCCACGCCTTGAGAGAGTCTCATTGCGCTGGGAGTTTCGACACAAAGACAAAGCATGACATGGTAAGGCAGGTCGAGTCCCAAGAAGAGCGTCTTAAGGAGAGGCCGGATCTCACATTACTTTCCGTCTCTCTCAGACTCAACGTCGAAGGGCGGCCCCCCCGCGCAATCCCCAGTCTTTTGTCACAGAGAGACGGCAATGGCCTGTTACAGCTGCAACCTTCTCTCATCGAAGACGACATGAGCATATTTGTGGCGAGCAGCAGCAGCAGCAGCAGCAGCATCGTTTTTGCATAGTTTAATCACTTTTGTCGGGACCACGATCGAAGATGTAAACGAGGAAGGTGACAATCGCGAAAAACGGAGGCTCCGTACAAATGCAGCATGTTTCGACAGCCTCGATGGGGAAGTGGTGGCAAACGAGACTATTCTTTCGGTGCCTGCCGAGAAACTTTGATGCCGCTCAAACATCGTCTAGCACCGGTTTCCTCGTTCGGCGAGGCGTCTCGATCTGATCAAAGATGGGGAAACATCACTGTGGATGTTCTGAGAAGGAGACAACCTCCCGTTCCTCTCTGCGCTTGAAACTCGGACGAGATTCTGCACCCCGAGATATTAGAAGACTCTGCAAGGGTTTGGGTGAAAGATTATGCTGGAACTACCGAGTACACAACCTGCTACGGACCCGGCTCGGACTTAGGCATCATCAGGCGGGCGATTCTTTTCAACAACTTCTTCCCTTCTGCATGTCGGATAGAAATGACGGCTTCTTCATACCTGCATATCGAAAGCTCTAGACCTGCTTACCAAATTTTCGGATCCGACATTCATACTTGTCAAGCCTTTTTAGCCGTGGTCAGAATCGCGACCCAGTCCCACCTGATCTCGCCGTCGCCGTACTTTTGCTTCATATAGGACACCACAGCGTTCATCGCCCTATCTTTGTATCTCTCCCGTTGCTCCGCGGTCCATGTCCTTTGCTGCACCAGACCCACCATTCCAGTCATCATGCGGGTGAACTGATCGACGCCACTCAATATGCTGGTATGGGAGACCTCTCGCACATCCACCTCAACGAAACCAGACTGTGTAACGCTGTCTCTAATCCAGGCCACGTCACTCCAACCCCCGCCTGAGTTGACCAAGGCGCAGAGTTCTTCCATTGACGGCAGCGGGGGGATCTCTGGATCCGTGGCAAAGGCGTTTCTCACGTCGTCGGGCCAGCCCATTTTCATCCATGAGGACATGCCCAAAGTGCCCCCCGGCTGCAGAATGCGGTGGGTTTCGGCCATGCCGACCTTCCAATCTGAGAAGATCATGGGTCCAAAGTTGAGAAGGACATGCGTGAATTTGTTGCTCGGCAGTTGGGTGTCCATGGCGTCTGCTTTGATGGCCTGGGCACTTTTCACCTCCAGATGACGGATCCGTGGACTGACAAAGTCGATCATAGAGTCCGAGAAATCTGCGCAAGTGAGGTCCAGGTTGTCCTTTTGCTTCTTGTTCAACGCTTTTACCAGGTGCTCCGAGACAATACCGGTTCCACAGGCCTGATCGAGCACGATCAAGTCTTTGTCGTCGGGCGCTTCCTCCAGCTTTGATTGTTTGATGAGCAGGCCGGCAAAGTGCCCGGTCATCTTTTCTGCGCTCTCCGCATAGCCCTTCGTGAAGTTTGCGTCGTTGAACATTTTATGTGTCGCCTGGTTGTCATGAGTGGCCATGGTATCGTTCGCAGTTTGAGGGGTAGGGGGGATCGACCGTCTGACCTGGTTGATGTAGGATTATTCGATGTGGGCTGATGCTCGAATTTCGGAAGGAGGTCCTGTGGATAGCTCACGTCCGCTTCTCGGTGACAACACAGTAGCTCTTTCAGTGCATGAAACACGCAAATACACGGATTCAAGGCTCTTCTCGAAGAGCCAGCCGTTTAAATGTAATATCATCGCCAACACAGCCACTGTCGGAGACATGTTGTATGTCTCCGATGGAAACATAGTAAGCAATGGCCTGAAATTTGTCGATCTGGAGGACGATGCTGTCCTCTAAATGTGTCTTGATCGTTTGCCCTTCTCCAGATGGATATGCAAGGAGGTTCACTTACGGTGTACCTACCTGGTATAGATTCGAGATATCATTGTATCACTGTCCTGAGGCTCTGATAGTGCTACAAAATGGCGAAGTCAGGAGGAAAGAGGAGGGTGAACTCATCAAGCCTTCAGTTCGACGAATAGGAGACTTTTGGCTTGGCTCGGGATAGTTGCCCCAATGGGTCGACTGCTTACTATGCTCCTTCCTCGTTATGTTCCCGACACGGTTGGTTCACTTTCTCTTTTCCAACTCGTCCAAACCCAAATAAAATGCCCTGAACCATGACCCCAGTGACGGCTACGCGGGGGATATTGATTTCTTTTACACATGCAAAAGCGGGTGCATTCTGAAACAGAGATCTGGCCGATAAGCGCCATGACTAATGTGTCATGCCTGCCAGCATCCCCAAGCGAATCTTGTCCCCAATCAAGGCAAATTCTGCTATGCCTGACGCTTCTTCAGCAGCGACGTCCGGGAAGGCGCCGCAGAAGATTCAACTAGATGCAAAAGAACCGACAAGGCTGGAACCGGGAACGGCGTCTCTCCGCGCCACGAGCGACGCATCTGCACGAACCCCCAGCGACCCGTCGAAGCCTCCTGATCTTCGCCTTGCCACCAAGACTAGTACAATACATACTGCTGAGCGAGGTGGCCGTCTAGTGCCTTGCCACTCTAGGAGCCAGTCATCAAGTAATGCAGGCACTACGCGCCCTGCTTCAAGCGCGCCTAAACTGGCAACTGCTACGGCATCTTCGCGCTCGCAGCAGGCCACTTCGAACAGAAGCCCGGGGGACACACGATTACCGGTCGCAAAGTCGCATAGTAGAGCCTTGAGTGCGTCGGCCCGCCCTAAACCAAACGCCGACACAGCGGCTGTCCGGGAAGTTGTCCCAAGGGCCACCAGACCGATTGCCTCTCATGGACTTTCAGGAGGAAATGCGTCGTCTTCGTCTGGCAGACCAATTGTGAAACCGGGCAGGAAACCAGAGTTCAACGTGCACCAACAGCATTACAGTCCCAAGAAGCAGACGACAATATCAACCGCAGTCACCCCGCTTGCGCCCCTGGCTTCCCGCCACGTCGCCGTTCGCTCCGGCTCCGCAGGCCGCGTCATACCTGGCTCAGGAATTGCCCATCTTGAAGATGAAGTACTCCAATTGTCTCTTGTACACGAAAAGTCTGCGGTCACTTTCCAGCATTACGAGGCATCTATGAAGTCGCAGCTGAAGACTGGGCTTGAGGGTGTGGAACATCAGCTAAGCACCCTCAAGTCCCTGCGCCATGATCGACAGGCGAACCTCAACGCCTCCGCCGTTGGCAGGTGGCTCGACCAGGAACGAGCCCGTCAAGATGTGGACCGTGCAGGGTCAGACGCATTACTTGTGCTGGCGCGTTGCCTGGAAGAGTTGGAAAAGATCAGCAGCGTACATGGACCTCTGGAAGCTGCCATGAAGATGTTTGACGAATGGTACGTCTACGCGTCTTCCAGACGCCCGACCTACGCCGGAGATAATTTGTTTCGCAAGGGTAATAGCGAGGAGAAAGCATGTTTTCTCCACCCAATGGACCCACAATGGTCAGCCTTGGTGTCATCTGTGGACGACCGAGTCAACGCCTGTGCGGCTTTATTGGCGGGTCTGCATACGCCGCCCGGGTCCTCGTCAATGGGACCGTTGATTGAGATGCACTGCACCCTTGCTGAGCAGATACTGCAAGAAATTTGCATTTGCAGGTCCATAGAAGGCCTGATGCTTCGGGAACAACAAGAGCGGCTCGCAAGAGAAGTCGAACAAGCTCTTTCGGACGCAGAGTTACATCATTCCATAGAAGAGGCTCATGACACTAGCAGAACGGGCATATGGGACCTGAGAGGAAAGGCTCCCTGAGAGCCGCAGTAGAAGCTCAACAGTAGCTGAGCTCGGTGTGTTCCGCTGAATCTTAACAGACAGTGGAATAGATTGGCCCGGACCTCTACCTCTACTTGGAGCTTTGGTATTGCCACGTCGAACAGCTCGGGAAGATTCTTGAAAGAAACCTGTCCTTGGATCCTGTCTTCCTGGCGCAATCCCTCGAAGGTGGACATTCCCACAAAGGGAAGATCCGATGAGAAGGTGTCTGGCTTGGATCGAAGAAGCAGAGGGGGATCTGTCTGGGTGCGGCCAAAGGGTCATCTCGAAGGTTCAAGCAGGATGAATGATGGAGTAGCATTCTACAGGAAAGGATGGTGAATTAGCCCGAAGCGAAGGCATAGAGTGGCAGTGAGCTTCGAGAATAATACGTCCCACTGCATATCCGAATTCTCGGCGACCGGAGGGTGTCGGGATAGTGGAGCTTGACTCGAGGCACTGGGTCGTTGCGAGAGGAGAAGGGAGGAGCCTTTTGCGAGTCTGTCAAATCATGGACAGCCTGAGAGGCCCCGCTGAGATGCAGAATGACGCCGGTGGACACGCCTCAGGACCCGTCGAGTGTTTTCCGAGTTACCTCACTAGGATCGGATCAGTGATAGTGCGGATGCTGCAGCTGGTGCAAGAAGCTTTCCCCCTCTGGGTTCCTCCCCCCAGGCGCAGGGATGAAAGTTGAGGGCGGATCTACCAAGCTTCCCTCCCAAGGGCCAAAGGTAAGCCGCTCTGGTGCATGTAAGTGGGGAACAGCCGACGTTGTGTTTTTGCCATCCATGCGCAGTCTCCATGACTGTCGAGGGCTGGATGAATAATACGCCCCCCCTCTCCTCTTCGGCCCGAGTAAGGTGCAGTGAGTTTGTATGAAGAGCAATATTTTTGTTGCTATTGTCCATTACTCAGAGCAGGCGAGTCCTTTTTACTGGTGTGTTCGCCAGAAAAAGTTTCCATCTGGGCCCTTCCAAACCCCTCGACCATGCTTTAAGATCTTGATTCGTCGTGCTATCTCGGACAGGGCTCCGTAGCGGTCCCGGTTTTCTCTCTTTCTCTTTCTAGCAGGAGCAACTTTTTTGTTGCGCTCTTTGTTCTTGCGGACCAGCGGCGAGCCCAAGAGGCGAAGTGATTGGGAGCGAGAGGTTCAGGGCGGTATGCTTGCAATGCAGATCTCTACCGAATAGGTGCTAGGCTGTAAAGGAATCCTTTTCGTGCGAGAGCTGGTAGTAGCAGAGGCAGAGAGAAGGGGGAGAGAGCATGATAACGTTGGATTCTTCTTGGTCGGGGGTCTGCAGGCCTCGGCAAGTATTCGGTGTGATTTGACCCATCACATTCCACCAGGACTTGCCTGTCTGGAACATGACTGGCGGCGCAGGGTGTCGAGGATCAAAAGAGTTGGGTGATATACCTACATACTCCATACCTTGGTCAATGCTACTAGCATCCTCCACGTGGTGGTACGCTTGATCATGGCCTGTTCTCGGTTACCGCTACCTTTCAAGGGGCGTGGAAAGACAACTACTCAGGCCCTACTTACCCAGAAGCCATGGATGGACCACTTTTGTACATGCCTCCCTTAGTTCCATCTCTTCCCACCTTCTGCTCGCCAAGCATCGGGGGATGGAACCCCTATGGAAGCCCACACGCCCGGGCTCGTGGTCACTGATCCATTTGCCTAGTCAACAAAATGGGTCTTTTTCGCTTTGTCGTCTGGACAGTTGGGCGGTCGCGCTTGGCTCCGGAGGGGATGGTAGGAATCGGGTTTAGTGACTGGCTTATCTAATACGGTGGTCAACTGTAGTCATCGGAAAACTGGAGCTGGAAAGGTTACAACACACGGGAATGGAGTGCAGCAGTGGCAATTGATCAGGTAAGGGTTTCGGGAGTTGGCTGCGGTTGGCACCAGCTGGAGACTTGCAGAGGTAATCACCTGGGAGGTGAGTGGGAGGTGGGAGAGAGGGAGCGAGGTCAAGTGCAGTGGGCAGAGGGCAGTGGGCAGTGGGCAGTGGGCAGTGAGTGGGTGGCTCTTGCTGCTCTTACCCATCAAAGCCATCTCACCCAAGGCGGCGACGAGTCAGCCAGTGTCCCTGCCTCGAAGCTTGCCCTAGACTGGGGAACTTCCCAACAAGGAATTGCATCTACCTTTGGGTATAGGATCTTTCTCATTCACCCTGTGCATGACACTCGCTTCCTACCCCCTCCCCCCCTTTCCCTTTCCCTTTCTCCTCCTTCGATCACGTTATCTCCTGGAGTTCTAGTTCACCGTGGTCGCCGTTCCCTTGACTCCAACATCCCTTACACCACTTCCCCCCTTCAGTTAGTTTTTCGACGTCAAGCCGTCGAGGTCGCCTCCGATAGGTTCTTCCTGGTCCGTCCCGCCCTGCCAATGACACAATAACCGGCCTCATTCGCATCCCGAACACACGCCAGCCGTGGCGAGCCCAAAGGAGCAAGCGCACCTTTTGCAGAGCTTCTCAGATGCCATGGTTGACACACGGAACGAAACACACGAGCTCGCCCTCCACCCCCGAAACCCTGATGGCCCTCCGCATGGACGAATCGGAGCTTCCAATAATATCCCAATACAGACGGCCATGGGGACGGAGACACACCACCAGGCTGTCCGTTGCAGTATCCTCCTAGTATTGAAACTTTGTGGACTGGCGGGAGGCTAAACTTCGCCCGTTGGCGCCCTGCTGGTAAAGTAATCCATCCGCCGCCCTCTGCGTGCTAAACTTCTTCGAAACCAAGTACGGAGCACGGTGATCTCTGGATCTTTTTCCATTCCCAAAACTTTACTTCCTGCGGGCTGACTCCAATAATCACAGTTCTTGCTTCTCTTCTCCAATCCTTCTCGATCTCTGCCTTCCCTCATCCAGATCCTCTTTATCCCCTGGCGCCCGCCTCCCACGGTCCAATCGACGATCGCCATCTCTGTTACCCTCGCCCTGGCCTTTGCCCGATCCTATTTCTTTCCTAGCTGCAGGGCGATCCCTCCAAGGACATAACATACTGTACAGTCTCCCCATGCCCGCTTAGGCATGTTGTGGTCCCCGTCCTGGCTCTTGTCGCATTCCGCGAGCATGCAATATATCCAAGGATTTGCCTCCCGCGCCCGTCCCTTACGATAAATCAGGCGGGAAGGTACATACGAATAGACGGCGCCAAAACCCAAAAAAAAAGCCCTCGTCCTAGACCCTTTGGGCCATCTTCCTTGCGCTGGCTTGCCACACGCGTCCTCTTCCTCAGCCACTGTCACCTCAAATGTTGCCTTGCACACGCCACTCCCCCTTGCCAAAGGACCAGAAGCTGGTGAGAGATAGGTGGAGGTGATGGAAGGTGATTTCTATTCTCCAGATGAGCCAGATGATGTGAAGAACAATCCCTCCATGGCTTCCGGCCTCCTCCTCTCCCGCGTCACCAGTGCGCCTGAACCCGGCCGTCGAGTCGCAGATGGTCCCTTCTTGCCATCATTGCATCAGACACCGCGAAAACGCGACTTGCCCATGGAACAGTCTCACCGGCGAGGTCCTGCCGACCGATCATCTCCTCCTGCTAGATACTTCTGGTCCCCAGGGAGCATCAGTCCGCGGACGGAGCTAGAAGAGCCTCCGGACAAGCGGCCGCGATTGGATGATATACCAGAAAAGTCAGAAACAGGAGAAGAAATGTCTAAGAGGAGGATGTACCATCAGGTATGTGACTAGCGGTCCCAAGAGACGCTCTACCCATATTCACGGAAGGGTTGGGATTGGTACGTCTATTGGTGAAAACGACTGACCACCGCCTTTCGCCGCCAGACCAGCTCGTATGTTTACCCGGGAGAGCATCGCCCTCCCGGCCCCCCTCCAGAGGACATTTCTCATCATCGATCGTGGCGCGGATCCTGCGGCAATTGTTCAGATACAGAGTCGCTGGTGCTGGATCTCGTGCATGGGTTCTTGGAGCTTCAGTCAGAGGTCACTCGAGCTCTGGCCATTTCCACAGGGCGAAAGAGCCCTTTCGAGGTAAGCCCCGGTCCGCCCCATTGGAACGGGAAGTGCTGACGGGACCAAAAAAGTCTATCGGAGTCGAAGTGACTAAGCTAGGCCTCAAACAGTCTCTTACATGGACCCTCAATGAAGTTCGGAATACAAGTCGCCTCATACAGTCACATGCGGCCACGTCGAAACCGGGGTTACCACCCCTGGCTGATGTTGTCCCGCCCCCATTCGTAAACGACATACGTCGTTTATCCATCCATGGGCAATCCTCGGCGGCTCCCACATCTATAAATGACCCCCGCAAGGCATCACTCCCACCAGATACTCCTCGGAGTGATGATTACCAACGTCGTCCACTTGAGCACCCAGCTGTCCAGATGCCTCGGCCGTTCGAGCAAGGTCTTCCTCCGATTCTCCAAGGGGAGGAGTTGAAACGAAACCCACCCTACGACCAGGCGGCTTCGGGCTCGGGGCAGTCGCCACACGCCTCGTCGTCCAGTTCAGTTTTTGGCTCTGCCCAGTCACCCATGCAGTCTCAACCATCCAGCCGGACGCTGCCATCACCACCCGCAATCCAGTTTCCGCGGACAGGGAGTTCGGAATATGTACAATACTCTCCCACAACAACTCAGGCAGCCCACAATGCTCATCTCCAAGACCTGCAACATCAGATTTCGACCAAGACACTCGCGCTTCAGACTCTACAGCGGGAACACGACCAGTTGTTGGCCGCGTTTTCAAGGTCTCAGATTCGGTGCACCGCTTTGGACAAAAAGTCGCAGGTGTCCGATCACGAGATCAACACCTTGACCGAGGACAAAATCCGACTACAGCAACAGTTGGAGGTATTGGAGACCCAAGTCCAAGAACTGGTCAAATCACGTGACGAAGTTCATCAGCAATCATCGGCAGACGGCGCACAGTGGAGACAAATCGTGGCCATGTCGTCGCAACTGCAACTCAAAGGGGCTGACGAAGCGCGACGGTTCAAGTTGGAGCGAGAGGGGTGGGAGAGGGAACGGGCAGCGCTGCAGAAACGAATTGAAGATCTCGAGTCTGGTAAGGAAAAGCTTCCCGAGACGAGGCCGGTTTCTGGTTCCACGACCCCCGTGGCAAACGATCCCATTCTGACTTCGGGCTCTGTTGAGGTTCTTAGAGAAGAGATTATCAGGCTTCGGCGCCGGTGTGTCGAATTGGAACTAATGCTTCAAGAGCTGGCGGGAGAGGCTGAGCAGATCGAAAGTGCAATTACCGCAATGGAGAACGTTCGAAAATCACTTACAAGCAAAAAACGCCGCACAGACGATAGCTAGGGGAGGCAAACCGAGCCCCAATCGAAATAGTCATCAATACAGGTGGGCCTGTGGTTTTATGCAGTGGGCAAAGTTTGGCATATTCTCCCTGCTGGCCCACCAACCAATGCCGAGCCTCAAATGGTTATCATGATCCTCTCGATCCACCGCTAGCGGAAGAGATGCCTCTATGGCTCCTGGAGTACAAGGGAACCATCGGTTTTCCTTGGCGAGTCGTCGCGTTCGCCATCTCTCAGTTTTCCCAGAAACAGGGTTGAGGACCCGAGGTGCATACACAACGATCTCAGGGAAGCGAGGCTGGAATCCCTTATTCCGTCGAGATACGCCTTCCGGAGACGGAAGAGACAGTTTCTTGCAAGTTGCCACGAGACATTTTCCGGAACCAGGGAACACGATATCGGGCCAGACTATGGGACTGGGTGGCCATAAGGCAAGCAGCAACTGCCCGAAGGGGGAGGAGGATATCAAGGGCATCGTGGAAAGAGGGCTAGATAAACGGCCAGCCAATATTACGTGGGACGTGCAACTCTGTGCAATTACCGGTATGCCACTTTTGGCTGGTAATGGGGGTATACCCGGGGGCGTTAAAAAAGAACGAGAGGCAAATCTGTACTATCAGCATGAAAGGGCGGAAACCGGTTTAGCACGGCGGTCCCATCGTTTGACGGAGCAGACAGTAAGGGGCTTCCTTGTTGGATAAAGCAAGCAGGATTGATGAAATCTCAAATGCCTTGCATCAAGCCTTGACTGGTGATTGGAAGGGGATTTCACAGGCGGCGGAGTCTCGAACCTTTGGACTAAGTTGCATCTACGAGGTCCATGGGCAAGGATAGCCGGACAGAGATGATGCCGGGTGTGACAGAGCAGAGCCATCATCTGAGCTGAATGACAAAGAACTAGGCAGGCAGGAGGCAATGGTGCCGCCAGTTCCATCCCAGCCATGAGCGGGAATGAAGCCATGGCTATTATTATGCTGCTATGCTGTGCTATGCTAATGCTTGGTGACTGCGGGGATTGACACTAGCGGCACCAAGAAAATACTAACATGATTTCAGTTTGGCCGTCATGGCGCATGCTGGTCATTCCCTCATTTTCCATCTCCATCGTCTTCTACAGGCTGCACCTCCACCATCACTCAGCATGGCGTAAACCACATCCTCTGACTGCGGCTGCATCACTAAGTCCTTGTCTGCGCCCTTTTCCTCCATCTCCGCCCCCGTTCCCATCAAAGAACAAGTCTGTGTCCATTCCTCGCAAGCCGATCCCCTCTCCAGTTCCGGTTTGCCACCATATTTAGCCGAGTGCTTCCATAATACAGCTCAGAACCACATGCTCCCTCAGTTAGCCTCGCGCTCAGTTCCCCTTGCGTGCACAGCTTGAGCCGAACCGGGACGACCTCACGTCCAACTGCACCCCCCTCAACCGAGGTCATCTTCGTTTGCACAAGGCTTCGTATCTTGCATGTGTCAATTCACATCTTCTCTTTACTGGCTTCAGTTGCCCCCCGGCTAATCCAACATGGGCGACAAGTTTGACCTGCGGCTACTGAAGCGATCTTTGGGCGAGACGAGAAGAAATCGGTCCATTAAAACTCTGTATGGGGATAAGTCCTGGGTGGAGGATTTGGATATTGTCAATGAGCTTGGAGCTCACACCGGCTGTGTCAATGCCCTCTGGTACACTGCTGAACGCCTTTTCATTTCCTTGCGTACGTAAGGAACATCTCTGCTAACACCGTCTCTGGCAGTTGGTCGACAGGTGGCAACCTGCTGGCTTCGGGCTCAGACGATACCTATCTCAACATCTGGGACTACAATCCACCTGGAAGTGCCAAACCCTTCTCGCTGAACACAAGTGTGAGCACCGGGCACCATGCAAACATCTTCTCGGTCAAGTTCATGCCCCACTCGGGCGACCGCACCGTCGTCACTTGCGCCGGAGACTCCGAGGTCCGCGTCTTTGATCTGGAATACGGCGGGACTGCGACCCAGAGTGGCTCGAGCGACGCAGGCACAAGAAGCCGGAGGTTCAACAAGTTCTTTCAGAACGCGAAGTGGCTAAACGAAGGGAATACGAACTGTCGGGTGTATCGAAGCCATGCAGACCGCGCAAAGAGAATTGTGACCGAATCCAGTCCATACCTGTTCTTGACATGCTCCGAGGATGGCGAGGTGCGTCAATGGGATCTCAGGCAGCCGTCGTCAGCATATCCTGCTCCTCGGGGTTCTCGTGGCTACGCACGATTTCACCAGGGAAACGAGAGCGACGGCGGTGACCCACCCCCTCCCCTCATCTCTTACAAGAAATACGCCCTCGATTTGAACAGCATCTCCTGCGCACCAAGTCAGCCACAGTACATAGCGCTCGGTGGGGCTCATCTTCATTGCTTCCTGCACGACAGGCGCATGCTTGGTCGGGACCTCGAGTCTGAGAAGGGTCAGCCTGCCACTCGAAGGCCTACCGTGGGGTCGTTCGAGGATGAGGCCATGGCCGAAGCAACCAGATGTGTAAGGCGGTTTGGCCCCCATAACAAGCGCAAGATGGGACCCCGAGATCATGGTCACATCACGGCCTGCAAAATCAGTGACGCCAATCCCAATGATCTCGTGGCCTCTTGGTCTGGAGATCATATCTACAGCTTTGATATCGTCAAGTCACCTGACGCGAGGGAAGCTGATGCTCGAGCCAACGAGGAGTTTCAGGCCCATCGGCTCAGAAACCTGTCTGACCGCAAGAGGAAGAGGGGGAAAGCAAATGCTTCTTCCAGCAGTCTTGGGGATGCAGCCAATCCCAGCAGACGTCTACGGAGGGTTCCGGACGATCGCGCAGAGGAGGGACATACTGCTCTTCTGGCCAGGTTCGCTGACGGAGAGTCTGAGCTTATCCCTATTCCTTCCACTGTATCCCAACCTACCGCTGAGTCACCTTCAGCTCATGAGCTCCTGCTGTCAGAAGCTCAGAGGTCGAGTGAACGGGTGGCAAGATCAATCATCCAACTCCGGAAGACCTTGTTTGACTTCTCTGCCTCGTTAGGCGCTGATGTTTCCGCTTCTATGGAAGGGTCCCCGGACCTTACACCCCATACGGCGGCATTTACTAGTGCCCTTGGCCAATGTGCCTCGCTACTTCCTCAAATGGACGAGGTCATCCGTACGTGGTCATATCCAATCAACCCAACTGAGGAGGACGTGACTGTGCAGAACACCCTGAGGAGAAATCGACAGTCGAGCTGGCGATTCGTCCAAGCGGCTGGCTGCTTGGCCCGCACTCTCGGTGGCCGTCTGCAAAGTCTCAGTTCTGCCCCTGACGTCCGGCTCGCCCAGTTTGACCAGATCAGACCTGCTGCTCACGAAGGTAAGAACATCGGCCGAGAGTCGAGATTTTGCTATGACTTCCTCAAAGCAATTCTTCTCTGGTTGGATGGTGGGCAAACTGCAGTGTTGCAAGGATTCAAGCGACCACTCAATGTGAGTGCCGAGAGTCCCCGATTTCCGCTGGACCAGGGGGATACCGCACAAAACTTTGTGCCCAAATTGGAAGCCTACCTCTTGGACCTGGCAGATGAGGACACCCCGATCGTGGACCTTGACACAAATCGTTTCGAGCGAGACGAGACTCGTCATGTGTTTCAAGATCAGAAGTCGGCCGTGCTGGCCTTCACAAGAGCTCTCGGCAATATCGAGTTGGTGGCGAGCCAAGGTATGTCTGAGATTCGGGCCGACCCTTCGAGCCCCCATACAACAATACGTATGATGGACAAGGGCGCGGCGGCAAGGTTCTGGGGGGCCAAGGTAGGCCGCTCCCTGCTCATGCGTGCCGCGGAGGGTGTTACCTTCGATTTTGTAAATCGAGCTTTTGGCGGACTGAGACTTCACTTGGCTAGCTTAGTTATGGAAGGAGAACGGTCGCAGGAAGACATTGATCCGGACGAAGAGGAACGAATCGTCGAAGCCATTGACATTGTGAGAACCCAGCCTGAAGAGTCATCCGCGGGGTCGCCCCAAACTGCTCGTGGGACCACCGAAGGATCCAGCCAGGCAGATGTTGAAATGAGCACTCCTCTTACTGTCCATGTCGAGGATGCGGACGAAGACGAACATGGTCAAGATCCAGGCGAAGATGAACACGAAGACGACAACGAGAACGAAGATTCCGATTCGGAGGCCACAGAGTCCGACGAAGACGACGACGACGACGATGGAGAGGCTCCGCAACGGATGTTCTTCCGACGACGGTTGGGGTTTGCCCGGTACCGTGAACGAGCTTCGGTGAATCTGCAGGTGCCCTACTCGTCACATACCAAGATTTACAGGGGCCATTGCAATACACGTACTGTCAAGGACGTGAATTACTATGGTCTGAATGATGAGTACATTGTCAGCGGCTCTGACGACGGACATTTCTTCATTTGGGATAGGAAGACCTGCAAGATCCTCAATATCTTGGAGGGAGACGGCGAGGTCGTCAATGTGGTCCAGGGCCATCCGTACGAGCCTCTGATTGCCTGCAGTGGCATCGACAGCACGGTCAAAATCTTCGGCCCCGGAGGGGAGAATCGAGAACGCGAGGCGGCAGAGAAAGGGATTGATATTGCTAACCCTGGCGGAAGTGTGCATTCCTCGCTCCGATTTGGGGGCCGACGAAGCCGACGCACTCGAAGTGGAGACGACGACGATAGCGATGAGGGTGGAGATGGCACGGGGGCCATGGCTTCCAGTGATGGACTCAGAAGTCGTCGGGCGATGCACCGCAGCTACGAGATCACCAGTCAGAACGATGCGGAACGGAGACGCGGCGCAGGAGACGCCTTTGTCACGGTAGGTTCTATGGAAGAGCTGTTGGTCAGGGCATGGATCATGTCGAGTCTCCACATGATTTGACTCGGGCACATACACGGATTCCCCAAGCTAGGCTGCAATGACATCTAACTTCTGTTGTCAATGCAGGAGGGGATGCTCGCAAGATTCGCACTGGCGATTCAAAGAGGTCAGATGCCCGGAACGGGAGATGGTCCTGGAGGAATCGGCGGCACTATAGTAGTCGACGACAATTGTTTGGTCAGTCCTCCACTGGTTTACAAGTGGTTAAAATGTCTCATTGCTGCTGACCATGATCACGCTTAGGTCATGTGAGATCATCCTCCCATCGCCTGGTCACCATGCGAGACGGCACTGATTGCTGCTCACTGGCTGGACACCAACATGTCCTCTGTGGAGACAGGGAACAGCAGAGGTCTTGGTTGGCCAGATTAGGAATATATGTTGCAATTCTTGGGCTAGGCGGGGGGCGAACGGGCTCGACTCGTGCACCACAATGAACCCACCTTGGCTTGGATGTGAACGCGAAGTATCTCGCCCGGGCTGGTCTCAGGACTCCAACTGATGCTGTTTTACTATCTCCATTTCTGGAGACTTGTCGGCCGAGACGAACCTAGTCCCCAGTTGAAATGGACTTGACGGCAGACTGCCTGGGTCAGGGTGTGCTGCGCCTGGACGGTGGCTTGTATTAATGGGCTATGACTTCAAGACTTGTCCGGGTTCCAGTGAGACCCTGGTTGCGAGATCGCTGACTACGAGGGTGGTTATGAAATAGGGCCAATCGACTCCTCCATTCGCGGTCGCGGCGTCTGGGTTGCCCACGAGTCTGTATGGCAGTGCCCGGTCGTATTTCGTTTCCGCCATTATACCGAGTATTCCCAAAACAGATCTCAGTGGGGGCCATTACTGATTGACGTGAGCTATGGATTTGGAATCGGTGTCTCGCTTCTATCACCATTGTCTGGGTGTTTTAAAAGCAGCAAGCCTCGCACACACCACCAATCCAGACCAGGGCCAGGATCGGCTCTGAGGTCCTGCAAGCTTATTCCCCCTTGGTATGTCCAAGTATGTATGTATCGTACATGTATGCATGCGATGTCACGACAAGAAGGTCAAAGCCCCAAGCTAATAAATAGCCCCCATCCCCCATCATGGGCCATGACATGCATGGACCAGGGGAGATGGAGATTTTCTTCAGCCTTGCATTGTATGTATCGGTGGTGGTGGTGGCGGTGGAGACGCCTTGGGTTCGCAGAGGAAACATAGGTAAATCGATGGGTAGGAGACTCTTAGAGTCAGAGAATAGGCTCAAAGAGGTGCTTTGCTTGAGGAGTTGGGAAGGGAATTTACTGGATTGGATTGGCCAGAATAGATCCCGTCAATATAGACACTCCCTAGATGTCTCTGGTTCGTCAATCGTGTTGGCGATTGCCAGAGGGCAAAACAAGCGGCTTGGTAGACATTGAGATGCGTCTCCTCAGCTTCTCGCCATGCTCCTCATAACACGGCTACCGCTCCAGCCTTCTCGAAGCAAGAGACGTCGATTTGCAAAGCCTTCCTTTTCCGATCATAACATGCACAATCATCCACTCAACCCAAGCAGCTGGCGATTGAACCACGCAATGCAGTGGTCCTCCGCCGCGGCGGCCTGTCTGGCCACCTCGGGGAACCGCGTGTCGGCACGCACGCAGAACCCGTGCCCGCAGTCCGGGTAGACTTTGACCTCGCCGCGATATCCCGCGGGCGCGTTCTCCACGACGGCCTGGATCGTCGCGATCTGCTCCGGCGGGATGTGCAGGTCCTTGTCGCCGATGGCGAAGGCCACGGGGACCCGGACCCTCTCGACGTCGCCGGGCAGGTTGAGCATGCTGGGATGTCCGCAGAAGCCGGCGTCCAGGAGCGGCTTGTTGTCCACCACGCTGGCCCGGTCGGCGGCGAGGAGCACGACGTGTTTGCCGCCCCAGCAGAACCCGGCGGCGCCGACGGGGAGGCTGCTGTCCGGCTCGTGTTGGCGCAGCGCCTGGAAGAACGCCTTGACTCGTGGGTAGCTCGCGCCGATCCGGTTGGCGATGTACCAAGGCACAAGAGCGTATAGCATCCATGGGATGTTGTAACTGGAGACACACAACACACACCCAAAGGTTAATAGGTCGTTGGTGCCGACGTTGGAACTAACCCCCGCTGGATCGATCGACATAAGAGAGAGGGAGGGAGAAATACGCACAGCTTCGACAGGAATGATCCCTCTCCTTCCACCGCTCGAATCGTGTCAAGCATCCAGACCGGGGCTGACCACCCTAGCAAACATAATCCCGTGAGCAAGAACACAGTGACATGCCAAACACAAGTCGGACTATGGTCTGGTGATATGACACGCTCACATACCGGCCATGAAATCGGGCAAGTACACTTTATACTCGCCCTTGTCCGCGTAATGGTCCGCGAGGAGCTTGTTGTTGACGAACTCGACCCCAAACGCGTCGGGGATGATGACGATGATGCCTTTCACCGCTCGTCCACCGCCGGCCGGGGTGCTCACGTAGGTGTCCAGGCCGTGCAGTCGGACCATCCGCCCGCGCGGCGTGCCCTCGTGGATCGACCCCTTGAAACAGGCTGGGCAGGACATTCTAGTCAGTTAGATGTGTTCCCAACGAGCAGTAAGTACTCGGTATTGTTCTGTGTCTGGTCCTTTGGGAGGTGGAAGGTGTGTTGTGTTGCCCATCTATCCGAGGAACAAGCTTGGGGTGGGCTGCTTGGATTCTTCTCGACATCTTCAGGGGATATATAGAGGTATATGTTATACCTATGTCGAATACTTTCTCTCGCGCGATAGCAATCAGTCCGGAATACGAAGCAAGGTTAGCGTGATCTGCGGCACGGCAAAGCTAGCGTGTGGTCTTTGCCTACTTGTAGAACTCAGGGACGAATCAGGGCACTTCCCAGCGATATGAACGGTCGACGCCCTCCTTCCAGAGGCGAGATAACACCAGTGGCTCTGTCTGTCCGGTTTGGGCCGGCTGACTCGCTATTCTTTCTCGCTACTCTCTCGAGGCGGGCGAGGAGGGTGTATACCCAGGAATATCGGGCTTGTATTCACTCGTTCGCATTGGGTCTGGGATCGAGTAGGTCGAGGGGATCTCAACGGCGGAGGCAGATGCATCTCTCGCTCATTTTACGCTCGCTTCGTCCTAGCCTTGTTCCCCTATCTCAAACGGCTAACTCAGCTTTATAGGTGGCTTTTTTGCGCCATGGTGGGTTGTCTTGTACTGGATCATCTGGCTTCCGCCCTCCCCCACCTCTTTTGTGTGGCACGTCCAAGACTCATGCCCACCTCGACATCCATCATGACCAAGTTGCGGCTCACGCTCAGCAAGTCCTCGTCGAACTGGATGCCACCTTCCTCGAACGCCACGATGATGCTCGAGCCGCCGAACTGGAACAGGCCGACCTCGTCGCCCTTCCTCACCGCGGAACCGACCTTCTGGCACTTGGGGCTGATCTCGACAGTGCCAACGTCGGTCGCACCGATCGCCACGAATAGCACCTTGCCGAATTCTTTCGAGTTGATGCACACGGCACACCGCGCGTTCGTGGTTAGAATGTCGATGTCGCTCCGCAGGCACATCGGGTCCACCTGGTAGTAGTCGCCGGGGATCTGTTTGAACCATTCGACCGTGCCATCGACGGGGGAGTGGTAGCGGTGGTAATCTTGAGGAGACAGGCGGAAGCTCGCGATGGCGCCGTTGTGCCAGGGTTTGGCGGCCTCGTCGTCGCGAATGAGGTTGCCCACGGTGAAGTTCCGTCCTTTGATCCAGAGCTTCTGGGTCTGTGCCACGGTCGGGTAGACCACCAGCCGACTGTCCGCGACGACTACGGCGCGCGTGGGATCATCCTGTTCGAATATGGGTCGCGCGCCAGGCTTGTGCTGTCGGACGAAAAAGGCCTCAAAGGTTCGATATTGGTGGATGTCGGAAGGAGTGAAGTCGTCCATGTTGATGTGGTAGAAGTCCACAAAGGCCTTGATCTGACGAGCAGACGCCGGTGTGCCTTCTTCCTTTCCTATCGGACATTGTAGTTGGTTAGCTTCGACTGAAACTGGAAAAAACTATAAAACAAGTCGAGCAGCAATGCCGGGCCATCTTACCGGCTTTGATGGTTTTCTCGTGAATCCACAGCCGAAGTAATTGTGTGCGATCCACCCACTCAACAAGACGACTGAAGAGGACCCAGAGCTTTATCTTTTTCCAAATGGGCTGCTGTTCGCGCTCATAGCGGCCCGTTTTGCGATTCAGTGTTTTCCAGCCTATCTGGCGGTTCTGGACGAGTTTGACCGCGGAGAGCGCAGAGTCCAAAATATCATGGATCCACTGCAGGATGAAATCGAACATGGTCGTCGCGGCTATGTTGCGAGTGTGAGCTTGTCTGAATCCGCCACAGTTGAAAAAAGTCAGGGCTTGAGGAATAAATATCAGACCTGCTATCGGATTTCATCTCCGACTGCAACTTGTTCTGGAATCGCGCAACGTCATAGCTCTGACATCAGTCGCTACAGTCTCTGGGCAAAGCTCGAATGATAACAGCACTGGTGGCACCGCAGGGGCAGAGCCGCGCATGAGCCTCGAGGCTTAGTAGGCTGATCTGCGATTGCTGAGGTGCTGGTGGTATCCCTGGCCTCGTCCATCATGCTTGGACTCTTCCACCTTCGGTAAGAACCCAACGCGGCCATTGGATGTGCGATTCCTCTTCTCTACAAGTCGCTGGTGTACAGACTTTAGAGGGGCCAGCGGCGACTTCGCTTCAGTCGGCCGTCCCTATAGAAGAGCCTAGGGAGTGTTGAGGTGTTGACCCCGGTCTCGGTCGATGAGCATCTCTTCTGCGCTTTGCATCCAACGAGGCTTGCCGTCTCAGGGCACCCTAATGAGCACCTGCGGTATTGAATGCTGAGGGCGAAGATCATATTGGGGCCTCGTGAGACTTCCGAGTGACAGCGGAGGATCCGGCGGGCGGCGGGCGTGGAGGAATATGCGCACTGAATCAACACACAAGAGTCGGCGTCAAGGCCGCAGCCAACATGGAGAATTAAAGCGGCACCCGGCCATCTCTATTTGGGGTTAGTGCCCAATGCCCCCAGCCTTTCGCCTCGAAGCCGCCAAGCAAATCAATTCTCTGGTTCAACGGCGATCAACAATCATGTTATTTTCAATATTGAGGGGCAAAGCAATTCCTGCGTTCTGGCAATTCGATTTCGCTGGAGGCGGTCGCTATGGAAGACCGTGCTGTTGACCCTCTGGCGGATCTGCCTCAATATCTTCGGGACATACTGACTCAGCTGCCAGAAGACCACACTGTTGCCCTCAGCGAGACCAGGGGCCCCTCAGTCCCGGATGTCAAAAAGTTGTCAGATCGAAGGAAAAGATATGCATACCTGCTTCTAACCCGCCACCGCTTGACCCAGCTCCTAGCCGAATGTCCAGGTCCATGTCCGGACCTCATTCTCCAGCGCGCTGAAGTCTACGAGGCTCTTGGGTACAGTGAACTGGCTCTGGCAGATGCCTATGTCTCGTACACCCTCTGTCTTGTGGCGTTGGATGGCCCTGATGTCTCAGATCTTGAGCCGGTTGATTCCGCAGGAAATCCCTGGCCGGCTTCTGATGGTGACCAGAGCGGGAATGACTCAAACCCGGTGGCCCTGGAGCACAAGTACCGCTCCCTTGTTTTGATGTGTCGCTCTGCCATCATCCTGGGCGTGCAAACACAAGCGAAACTGTGGATTGACGAGGTCTTGGCGGTGAAGAGATTTATACGGCGTTTGAACGGGGAGGAGCCTCGAGAGCCCGTCCGGGACATCGAGGAGGTAGTGGGAGACTTTTCCAAGTACTCCACTGTCTACGAGGATGAGTCCAAGTTCCATAAATGTGTCAAGATCCTCCGGCGCGATGTCAAGCCCACCCTCTTCGGCTGGTGTCAGCGCCAAATATTCCCATGGAATGAGCATGAGCCCGACAGAATGTCCCGAGAGGCATTGATCGATATCAATGAAAAGCTCCACGTGGCCGCCCCGGATTTGGAAGTGGAAATCTCGACACTGCCAACTCTTGCCCCGTCGCTGAATGGGGGTATGCAGAGGCTTTCTGTCGGTGAAGCAAAAACCTGTGGGTTTTCTACAGCTAACTGCTCTTCCCAACTGGGCTTATTTGCCAAAAGGAAACTTGCACCTGGGGCGACCATCTTGAGAGAGCGATCGGTCCTAACCGCCATCCGGCCACATGGCGAGGCCCTCTGCGATGCCTGTGCCGCTGATATAGAAGCTATCGACCGAGAGGATCGGAGATATTGTGCAGGGTGCAATATTCCTTTTTGCTCAGAAAAATGTCAGACAGCTGCAAAAGAGCGCTATCATCGGCCGAACAAGGAAGACTACCAGACCGATGAGGGCTATCCTCCTGCTGAGGCGCCCTTCTGTCCTGGAACTAGTGGCAATGACGATCTCCACACACTTGGTCGGGCTGAAAGCTCAACTACCCCTGAATGGGATTTGTACTTTCTGCTCCTGTCCCGAACCATGCAGCTGGCCGAAACCCAGACGCTGCACCCCTTGGATCTCTTCGAAACAAAATATCTGTGGGGAGACTTCTCCCCGACGCCAGAAGTCATGGACCTCCCGATCAAGAGTGGTCCGAAATCACTACCGTACAGCGTGCGCCACCATGTCGAGCTACCTCTCCAATGGTTCGAAGTTCTCATGCATTCGCGAGAGAGGTGCAGGCCATACAGTGCAACTTGGTTGAAGAAATACGACTGGTGGATTATTCAGACCCTTTTTGCCAAGTTTAGAGGAGTAGCTGACGCACAACAATCGACCTGGACGGGCAAGCCTGAGGTCGCAGCCGTACATCCTCTCTGGTGCTTGGCAAATCACAGCTGCAATCCGAACGTGACTTGGAAGCCTTCAGGAGTCAGAAATCTGACCGTTGTTAGGGAGAGGGTATGGGAGAGGCCCGATATTCCCTCACAGACCGCCTGGGAAGGTATCCGTGCCGGCGAAGAGATTTGGAACCACTACACCGATGTGCAGGAAAAGGACTATCGAGAGCGGCGAGGCCGTTTGCAGGCGGTCCTCGGTGGAGATTGCCGATGCGAGAGGTGCACCTATGAATCAAAGCAAAGTTGAGCTCCGACATCAGTATTTGACAAGAGCGTCATTGAATTGAGCAGTCCGCAAGACCAATAACCAGCGAGAGCCAGCTTGACGGCACTCAGAAACTCTCAAAACTCCGGTGACGTCTGGTGCTCATTTGATTGCCATCAACATTTCTTCACCGTATCCGCCTCTACATTGTTGGACAAAGGGTGTCGTTGAAACCGAAACGCTCTGCAGTCCGCAGAACGCAGGTAGAGGTAGGTACGACCAGTCTGCGGAAGCCCTCCTTCCGGCAGGGGGATTCCGACCTCATTAGGCTCGTCACTGCCTGACAAACGCTGTGAAACCGAAGCATACGGATCTGTATATTTCTTATCATCTGGATGTCATTGCCGCTCTTAAATGCGTTTCCGTTTCCCGCCTTGATCAGTTACATGTTGGCCCATAGAGGTCTTTGGATAGCATTAGTTCGATATGGATCGGGATTTCAACAATCCTCCGCGCCGGACATCTCATTCTCGACCACGCATACCGCTTTCGTCACGCATCAAGTCTTCGGCAGCCGTCCTAAAGCCAGACAAGACAACGTTTCCACGGCTGGGACAGTATCTAAAAGCTTTCTTCCTGGATCATTGGACCGACCTCCTCTGTGTCCTTATCATCGGGGGTGGAACAGGTGTGGTAAGTGGGCATCAGATATCTCCCCCTTAGCTCAAGTGTCCAGTGCTGACCAGAAACTACAGATCTGGATCATCCCTGCTCGTCCGCCTCTTGTCTTCCCGCTCCTCACTCCCGACGGAGCCACTTACAATCCCTCCATCGGCTACCCTTATACAACGCCTATACTGTCCTCTCTCCTCACGGGTTCTCTCTGCGGCTTCATACCCCTTGCAGTGATCTTGGTCTCTCAAATCTTCATTCGATCCTTCGCCGACTTCTCCTCTGCCACTCTTGGCCTCCTGTATTCACTGGTAACGGGGACATGTTTCCAGGTCATTCTGAAGAAATCCATTGGTGGACTTCGACCACATTTCCTCAGTGTCTGCAATCCGGTCGTTCCAGACGGACTTGTCGGCTCTGGATACAACGGGATGATGTACGGCGTAGAAGATGTCTGTACAGGCAACCCCAAAGACATTAATAACGCGCTACAGTCGTTTCCGTCAGGACATAGTGAGATTGCGTTTGCTGGTCTGGGATATCTCTCGATGTATCTCTTCGCCCACCTCCGCATTGGTGACGCCTCCAACACCAGCAAACGGGGATTCTGGCGCATGATTTTGGTGCTAGCACCAATTCTATCTGCGACTTACATCTCGAGCACGCTTGTCTTGGGATATCACCACCAAGCGCATGATTGCTTGTTTGGTGCGGCAATCGGCTGTTTGACAGCGATATTGGGGTACAGGATCGCGTTCCGAAGCCTGCTTGATGCAAGGATGAACTGGAGACCCAGGGTGGGAAGGAGGTTAAAGAGGGCTGTTGACGGGGAAACGGAGAAGGGAAGCCAAGGGAGAGCGGAAAGGGAGCCTGGTACTGATGGCGGCGGGCTCGGCGCCGCGTCGACGAGGTCCAGTCCTGGTGGAGGACATATGCGAGGCGAGAGCGACCCGGAAGACGAGCTTGAGACGGATACTCGCGTTTGACCAACGGTTTCGATGCTGGCTGCATTTGCATTTTTGCATGGAGGGTTGGATATGATGGCGATGGAGCGCCTTTTGGATTGCCACTATCGTTAGACATCGTGGTTTTGGTAGTAGAACTCGCGGTGTTGAGGGGGTTTGACACCGACTAGATGTAGACGACAACCATTTACAGCGTTTCTTACAGTTCTGACCATGGCGGGCTTGATCACGTCTCATTCATAGGAGGCGACACGAGCTAGGAGTGTTTCTATGTTGAGCAGTACATCAAGCTGAGAATCAATCGCCATATCCCTGGCTTGATTTTCAAGCCACGTCTGGCTCCGCCTTGATCATGGTGTCTCCCTCCGTGGCTGCAGTAGTCGCCACGTCAAGAGAAAACCCGTGCTCGCTCTTTGGGGTGGTGGGAACGCTGCTCTCGCCGGCGTCGTAGCCTTTCCCGTTCCCATTACCACTGCCACTGCCACTGCCGTCCTCGGTTTTGAACTCTTGCTTGACCGCCGGTTCCTGCTTGATTTTGCTCTTCCTCTGCTGCGAGTCTTCCTCCTTGATGTGTTCTTGCCCTCTTTCCCTCTCCCTTTCTATCTCTTCTTTCTGTTTGCGAGCAGCTTCTCTCTCCTTCCTTCGGCGCCTTCGTTCTTCCCGGTCGTCTTCTCCACTGGCGCTGGTCAAAGGGCTCAGAAGGGGCGTGCCAAGCGGGGTGCCGTCGCCTCCGCGTTCTCTGTTCCCGTCCTTGTCTCTGCGCCCGTCCTTGGGCGGTTTCCTTCGGACACTGGCCGTGCTACTAACCGAGCTTCCTCTCCTCATTCTTTCTGAGAGAGGCCGTTCAGTGGCCACGTCAAATTCAAGATGCGGTGTGGAAGAGCGTGACGATTGTCTACTTCGGCTATGCGTGGAGTCCGAGTCGAGGTTGATACTTCTTCTTTTGCTGGCCGTCCCGCTCAATGCTCGAGCATGCCCGGTAGCGTCCCTTTCTGAAAGACTTGCGCGATGCGAGCTCGTCCCCTGCGTATGTTGTAAGTGAGGATGTTTCTCCAGATCATGATGCCGTCTCTGGCCATGGTGTCTGGACGATTGTAGTCGCCAAGCACCTGTCCACCATTTCCACCCTCCCGCTTCCTTCGCCTTTGCTCTCCTGAGCGCATTTAGTTTCCTCCTCAATCCTGCCCGACGTTCGTTCTCCTTTTCCCAATACTCTGTGCGGTATTCTTCCCAGTTCTCCCTAAACTCGGGGGAGAAGGACTTCGGGAGCAAGAGAAGCATGATGGCGTCCCCTCCTTTTGCCAGATCCTCCTCGATCACGAGCCCGGTTTCGTGCTCGACGAGGTGCCAATCTGAGCCTCCCGCTTCGCGCCAAAGACCGAAGGGTAATAAGAATGAGAGGTGGCCGAGCATCTCGCGCCAAAACTTTCCCCGGATTCTGACCACGCGCAGGTTGAAACCCCTCAGACCCCTGTTTGTTGTCCCCAGCCATTTTCTCGGCCAGCGAATGCCTCTTTCCCATTGTCCCGTGCCCCAGACGAGAAGTACAGTGACAATACCACCCATCAACGCCAGTTTCTCCGACGTTTCGACGACCCAGTACACGGAGCCACCCAGACCGGTGCCATCTTCTCGAGGCCGCAGGAAGAGGGCGTAGAAGAATAAGCAGTTCCAAGCGGCCAGCAGCAGCAAGAAGAAGGTGTTCAGCCGGCGGCGGGAGACGAGGTGCAGATACTGTGCGCGCAGGGACGATTCAAGAATGAGGAGGTTCAAGTAGATTTGAGGAGGGGAGGAAGGTAAGGTAGCCAGAAGAGGATCGAGGGTGGCTGGCTCGGAGGATTGTTTTCCTAGAGAATGGAGTGGAGCAGAGGGCAGTGGTTGGATGTTCGCTGTAGGTGCGCCTTTGACTATTTGATTGAGGCGAGACTCGGGGGAGGCCATCCTCGAGGACGTCGGTGGTGGGTAGGGGAGGAGGTTCTTCGGCGTGGATTACTGCAGTGCCATGGAGGAAGGTGAGGAGCTGTGCGTGCTGTTCTCTCATCCACTGCTACACCATCAAGCCTCAGGTAAAGTGATGTTGCGCACTGTCACTGTCGCGTGCAGGGTGGTTTGACGGGAATGACGAGGCTAGGTCGGGAACGCCGTTTCGAGTCAGGAAGCGCGCATGATGGTTCCTGCAGGAGATGACGAGCGCCAGGCACCGAGATTAACGCTCGAGGGAGTTACTCGTGCTGGTCGACTCTTCCCCCGTATTGGCAAACAATCACAGGAGCGAATTTTGAGGATTCCAACCTTGTCATACCCGGGTCTGCACGAGAACGGACGAAGGACTCAGATGGAGAAGCTGCTAACTCCGGCGTGCATGTGGTGGGAGCATCTGACTGGGTGTTGATGGGTGTTTGGTGGGCTGGTGGCAGTGGTGGGCGGTCGACATTGGCCAAGGGCCGTGGACCGGCAGAATCGAGCTCCGAGTGGCTGTCGCCCTGCATCTTCATCCGGGTGTCTATGATGTCGGCGTCGAGGAATGCGGACAAGCGAAAGAATTCTGCGTCCTGTATCTCGGATCTATCGCTGCCTCTGGGGGGTCTATTACGCTCATTTCGCTTTTACGGTGCATTATTGCTTCTGCCTAGTTTTAATGTCAGACCTTCAGTCATCTCCTTGAAATAGACTGCGCTCCTCTGCTTCACTTGGTGGTGAATGTCTCATATATGAGACGGACTCTACCCTCAGCCCTTCCACTCCTAGAGGCAGCCCCCCGATCTCCCATCACTTACCCTCGGCGATTCCAGTCCTCTACAACATCGGCGCCTCTCTCACCCGACCCTGAAGACCTCAATCTGCCTCCCACCTCCCACCATCCGCCCGTCATGTCCGCCTCTGCCGCGGTGGCCGATTCCGACAGCGAGGTGCAGTCTCGCACCCAGCGGAGTCCCCTCGCTTCCCAACGCGCCAAAGCTGAGAACCCGCGAAGGTCTCGCATCGAGGGCCTCTTCCCTCTGTCCTACAAGCAAGGCTTCTCACAATGGTGGAGCGCCCTGCCCGCCGCTCAAGCCGAACACCGCGTACTGTCATTCGTTCCCCATTTGCAGCAACCTCCCACGCATGCAAAGACAGGCTCGGCGCCACCCTCACAGAACAACTCCACCGTCACCATAGACAAGACCGCCTCTCCAGAAGCCACCACCTCCACGAACTCGCTCACAGATCCATACGGTCCTCGGACGTGGCACTCTCGCCTGGTCCCCCTCTCCGGGAAAAACCGCGCATTAAACGAGTTCTCAGTTGTGCGCAATGTCCCTGAGGAGGGCGATCCGGAGCATAACCTGGTCATCTTGCACGGCTACGGGGCCGGTCTAGGTTTCTTCTACAAGAACTTTGAGCCTCTCTCCCGCGCTCCGGGGTGGCAACTCTACGCCTTAGATATGCTCGGCATGGGCCGCAGCTCGAGACCACCGTTCAAGTTAAAGTCCAAGACGAGGGAGGCACAAATAACCGAGGCCGAAGATTGGTTTATTGACTCGTTAGAGGAGTGGCGAGTGAAGAAGAAGATCGACAAAATGACGCTCATGGGCCACAGCATGGGGGGATATATGGCCGTGTGTTATGCGTTGAAATATCCTGGCAGACTGAACAAATTGATTCTGGCGAGCCCCGTGGGGATCCCAGAGGATCCTTACGCCACGCACGCGGCTATGCCCCCTCCGCCAGACTCGACGGTACAGAATGGAGTCGCTCAGGATCAAGATAGCGAAACAGGAAACACGACCGCCGACAACAACAAATTATTCAACGGCCGGAAGCAGGCAGAGAAGGAAGGGCAGCTGAGGCAAAACCCCAACCCCAACCGCCTCCCCGTGAAAGAGAGCTCGTCAACAGAAAATTCGTCTTCCGAAGAAAACTCGACGCCGCCCCCACGCCGCCCTCTACCGAAATGGCTCACCTACCTCTGGGACGCGAATATCTCCCCGTTCAGCTTTGTTCGGTGGTCCGGCCCCCTGGGCCCTCGTCTCGTCTCAGGCTGGACATCTCGGCGCTTCTCTCATCTCCCTCCCGAGGAGGCCTTGGCGTTACATGATTACAGCTACTCTTTATTCCGGCTGAGAGGCAGCGGGGAATATGCGCTCGCCTATATCTTGGCTCCCGGAGCATTTGCGAGGAGTCCATTGATCAGACGGATTGGAGCTGTGGGGAGACAACCTCTTACCGCGTCCACACACGAGATCAATGAAGAGGGCCAGCTGAAGCAATATCCGGGATCATCTTCAGCTGCGCAAAACGACACTACTTCATCATCCACACCATCCTCTACCCTACAAGATGTGGCGCGAGAAAGAGGAATTCCGGTCGTGCTCATGTACGGCGAAAACGACTGGATGGACGTCTCAGGAGGGTACGCTGCAAAGAAGAAAATTGATGCCGAAACCGCCCGCGCTCTGGCTGCCGCCCCGCTGGAGGAGAGGGACCGCGACCACGGGTCTGCGAAGGTTGTCATCATCAAGAACGCGGGACATCATTTGTATCTGGATGGGCCGGACGAGTTTAATGAGGTGATCCTCGCGGAGATGGAAGATGTGCGGAGACGAACTTTGAGGGAGAAAGGGAGAATGGGGTAGAGAACGGCGGACGCCGAGTTGCGAGTTGATGGAGTGGTTCGAGTTGCATGGCAGCGTTTGGTTTACTGTGGTTTGGGCGTCGTGATGATGTTATGGGATTTAGACGGACATTTCCTCACTTTGCGTGCATTGAGCGCGAAGATTGGGGTTGGGGAACCATAGAAGGGCGGCGGCATGGTTTTTGGATTGAAAGCAAGCAACAGAAACCTGGTGAGAAGGGCTTTGTGGTTCGTTTCCAAGATCACGGTATGGTGATATTCTTGGCACCTGTCTTTGAGGTGTATTATACCAGTGCGAGAGGATGCGATCCTCGAGGAACGAGTCGACGCATTCGTAGCCAAGGCTACCTGCATATTAACAAGTTGATTGGGTCAAGAACGGCTTGTTGTTGACCAGTTTACCACTTCACAACATCACCATCAGAGGTGCTATTATTTTTTCCCCCATTCCAAGGCCTCTCTCTTCACAAGGTCCAACAAAGAAGGGGGTGGGGTTGGGTGGTCATGACCTCTACGGCGTCTCCGCGACGCGATACACCAACTTCTCCCCGCTGACCTTCCCGCTCTTCATGTCCTGCATGCCCTTCAACACGCCGTCCAGCCCGCCCTGGCCGACCGTGTCCTTGTGCGCCCGGAGCTTCCCCTCGGCGAGCAGGCCCTCGACCATGGCCATGAACTTCTTGGCGTAGGCAAAGTCCTCGCCCACGGCGGGGAACTCGTGCGGGCCGAACTGGAAGGGCTCGCCGAAGATGGTGTACATGAGCGTGGTCACGCCCTCGACGTCGTCGCGCGGCGGCGCGACCTGGAGGATGGAGCCGTATTTGCAACCCGCGTCGCTGGAGAGGGCGTCGGCGCAGAACTGCGCGCTCGGCTTCTCGCTGATCGTGTCCCACGCGAGCTTGAGCTGGTTGGCGGTCAGCTCGCGGATCCGGGCCGGCGCCTGCGCGTCGTTGTAATCGAAGACGGAGCTGGCGCCCAGGGACTTGACGTAGTCGAAGTTGCGGGGCGAGCAGGTCGTGATCACCGTGTACCCGGACCTGATTCGGGACAAATGGGTCCAGAAAGCGTTAGAAGTGGTTTTTGGTGGGGGGGGAGGATGGCGGTGGTGGTAATGGGTTATGGGGAGGGGGATTCAACAGAACTCACAGCTTGGCGAACTGGATGCCTAGGGCGCCCGTGGCGGTGCTGCCTCCGTAGATGAGAATCCAAGTCTTCTCCTTGATCGGGTCGGTGGGCCAATTGAGCTTCAGGGCCTTTTGATACAGCCCTTGCATGACGGTGGTGATGCCCAGCGGCATGGTCGCCGCCGCCTCAAAGCCCAGCGAGTCCGGGATCTTCAGTTGGATGTCCCCCTTGGCGACGACGTACTCGGCGAAGGCGCCGTCCTCCGGCTGCACCGCATTGCCACCGTGGGCGACCCCGGCGACGCGGTCGCCCTTGGTGTACGACTTGGTCACGGCGGGACCAACCTCCTCGACGACCCCGGAGAAATCACACCCCGACAGACAGCCGTCGGCGGCAAGGCCAAAGGCGGCGTGCTTCCAGTCGGTGGGGTTGAGGGCCACGGCGACCGTCTTGACGAGGATGTAGTCGTCACGCAGTTTGGGCAGGGGACGGTCCCGGTCGACGTAGGCGTCATTGCCCTTGATCACGACCGCCTTCATCCTGAAATCTTTTGAACTTGGGCACCCTTCAGTCGGATCAAGTCTGGAACAATTCTCGGATCAGCTTTTGTCAGCGCGACAGGAGTGCCGATGGGCACGCCGTACCTAGTCTTTGAGGGGAGTAAAGTTGAACGTGACCAGGGTCTACTCGTACGGTTGCTAGTATCTGAAAGTGTAAAAGTTTGAGATGACTATGTTCCAGCGTGAAAAGCGATAGCACAGGATGACGTTCTCATGATATCATTAGCCCTAAATATCTAGAATACTCGGTACAAATCGACAAAAGTCGTGGGCATACGGCCGCGGCCCGGAATGAAGGTTGGCCCGGCCCAACAGAAAAGAAAAGGGTTCCCCCGGAGTAGAGCAGGCTTTAATAAGCAAACTGTGTCTGGAAATGGGGCTCGTAGGTGATGAGAGCAAGCAAGGCCATGGCGGGCGAGGGGAATGAGTCGTCCAAAGATACCCGAACGTAGCTTTGTGTGGAGGGACGTCGAGGTGGGACCGTCTGTCGCCGCAAACCAATATTACCTCGGCCAGTCGTCCCCCTGGAACGGAACAGTGGGACAAGGGGAATAAATCCGCTGCTGCGTGCAAGAGCTTGATATGGGCATCGGGCCTCGATCCAAATGCCGTTTCTGGAGTGCTTCATTGGTAATAGTCGGCGTTGGCTCGGTCATCTGTCCGTGCTGGCGTCCGAATTTGGACGCAGTCTCGTACGCCAACTGGCCCATGAAAATCGAGCCCTAGTTGGTGCAACAGCTCCCCAGATCGCACAACGGGCCTCGTGTTGTATACGAGGCAGAATATCCTCTGACAAATCTCCTTCTACCAGAACTGTCCTCTCTCCATTGTGTCTTAAGTGGCAGACGACCATACACGCAAGAGCCAGTCGCGGAAGCTCTCCGGATGGACTGCCACAAGCTGGTTGAGATTGGTGTTAACAAAGTCATAGCGGCCTTCAGCGGTGGCAATCAAATGATGAACTCGAGTCTCTCGCGCTTGGTCTCCTACGGCTCGGGCATAGGTCAATGCGTCTTGTAGCGAACTCCTGGTGTGGCCCGAGACCTCAAATGGCCGGCCTACAAATAGTCAGTCTGCGATCCGTGTTTGTTGCAAGGTCTTCGGAGTGGCTGAAGCGTACCTTGGATCTCTTCAGCTATGGCAACTACGTCTCGTACGCTGAGTCGCTCACCGCGCAGGCGGAATTCCCTCGGCCATGAAGGCAGGTCCAGGGCTGCGACCACAAACCTTGCAACATCAGCAGCCGAAGTCATGCAAATTGTCGCAGGCTGCCCGGCGCTGTTGAGGTAAGGGACCTGTGCCCGTCTTCGGCGGAAGTCCATCAGATAGTCTCCCTCCTGCCCGATGTTACTTCGCAGCCCGATTTGTGAGGCCGCCATCCCGCCAGGTGCGAACCTCTCGTAGAGGACGCCGCACGTAAAGACGGTAAAGCGCATGCCCGAAGGTTCATGTTGATGGAGCCGAAGAATGGCTGCGCGGCGACTGTTGTCGAGAAGATCGTTTTGTGGCCTCAGAGAAGGAGGTCCCCCAAACTCGGAGGGGACAAAGCGACGGACGTGTGCTGCTGCTGCCGCGTCAATCAGAGCAAGTTGGGCATTGCCGCTGACGGTAGAGATGACTGTGTCGACGCCGGCTAGTTTGAACTTGAGGTCTGAAGGATTGGAGTAGTCGACCTGGTCCACGACGCAGTTAGTGAATGTGATTTCTCTGATGATAGGGTCGTGTGTGAGGATATTCAGGTAGGCATCCTCTTCCCACGACGTTATACATGGTGAGATTGGACGGGCGACTTACTTGAAGCACCTGCCATCCTCTTGCTGTCAGACCTGGACTAGGCTTCGTTCATCAGTCACCCGCTAACAAATAGGAGGACGTTCACATACCCTTCGAGACAGGATGATAAACTGATGGGAGGTTTGCGTCGCTATACTGTTGGCAATGTACTGCGCCAACCCATTGGTGCCGACGACCGCGACTTTGATCATGGCTGCGCTGTGCCCAGGAGGATGTTGTCTGGTTTCAAACATTTGGACATATATTTGCCAGAGATCGGCATCGTGGCAAGGTGACTATGCTGCAGTGAGTCAAATCAATCACAGCAATATCAGGAGATTGTGCATTTATGCAAGCGCATGTATGTAGTTGGATGACGCCTAAGCTGCCTGGCTAAGTGTGTATATGTCAGTGGATGACGGGTGAATATAAGTTGATCTCTCAGCCAGGATAGGGTCAAGCAGGAGTATTAAGGCCCAGGTGGTGGACCCAGAGAATGGGAATAGACCACCAATGAGGCCTAGATCCGGGGGGAAGGGGACCACGACGCTACACAAGGCAGACAGGGACAGAAGTTCTCGATCGCTCCTTGCCAATGATAGTGGCTGTCCTTAGAGTCATGCTAGGCAGAGGAGTAGGCATCGAAGGAAGTCTGCGAAGGATGAGTCGTTCCAGCCGTCACGCGCGAGTGGATGTCCCCAGCAAACTTTGGGCATTCGGTGGTGGTGGTGGGAGGAGGAAGAAGAAGAATCCGTGGTCCGCGATGCAATGCATTTCAAACAGGCAGGCAAAAAGCATCCACCCGGAGGAAGATTAACAGTCGAGGCAAGACTTCGAGAACAAACAATTGTCGCATCTTTGCAAGAAGCAACGCCACGATTGGTGGAAATTACACACGCAAGTGATTCTGCAGGAGCATGCCGAGGTTTGAGGTTCTGCACAGTTGTATCGCGACGGATCTCTGCCCTTTGATCGAGGCTTAAACTGTACGAAGCGGTTGGTGCAACAATGGTAGAGGCTAGTGGTATTCTGGACCCAGACCAGGCGAGGTTTGTCAGCCCTATCAGGCCCGCCGTGGGAATGACCATGGGTCCATCCCGCAATGCGAGGACCCTCTTCAGCCGTATGATCATTCTGACTTGCTGACTCGTAATCTTTAGTGAACTTGATGGAAACAAGGGAATTTGCTGCCTGTTGCGACCTCATACCACTCGAGGGAGCGCCAAAGAGCGCAAGCCGGCCGCGGTGGGATTTGCTCCTCCGCAAAGCTCTGGGAGCTCACGCTTCCGTTGGGCTGGGCGTAAAATAACGTTCGAATCTCGGGATCGGTACGACTTGCCTTGGGCACCAGGGAAAATAGAGATACTGCACGCGAGCTCGGCGGACGAGTGTAAGCCAAAGGTGGAAGTCGTCATCGTCCATGACAGCTTTGCGGAGCATCCGAGATCAACGTCGCAATCGCCGCCATAGGCAATTCTCTTCTTGAAACGGCTGGGATCTTAGCTGAAGACAAGCTTAACAACCTTTCCGTCCGTCGCGCAAGCTTTGTGGCACTCGGTGTCAAAATGTTTCGAAGCCGAAATCTAGGAGAGGAATTGCGCTCGACCTCGGCACCTGCCTGTGACGGGTCACGTTATCTCGCGTATTCGTCGCGATAGGGCTGATCGAAGGAGGCACCCTGATGAATTGTGAGGTAACGCATTAATAATCTCTGGACCGACACCACATACGGGGCCAGGTTCTGGGGGCGGGCTGACAGATACACAAGAGGGCATAACAGTCAAAGTTTTGGAAGTTTTGGGCTGCTATCTCCATGGGAAGGATGGGGAGGAGTGGGAGGAAGGGGCGAGAACCAGGTGTGAAATGACGTTGTTCTGTCTCTTCGTAGAATGTGAAGGGCGAGACGCCGCGGAGGTTGGGAGGGATCATGGCGTGAATCCTCGAGACATCACTAACACATTGCTGGTGTTGATCTTGTTGCGATGAGTGCTGGGTCTTGAGACTCTGAAGGAGAGGAAACCGGTTGAGGGTTGATGGTGAGGACGATGGTGATGGGATGGTTGATGGCGGTACCAGTGGGTCGAGTTGATCTCATTCTCTTGGCAAGCCGTGACGCGCCTTCAAGCCGCGGCGCGGAGGGAAATACACCACTTTACATTTTGTTTTGCTGTCGCGACTCTGCTCTCGTTCTCTCTCTGTCTGTTCCCTGCGCTCCCCTTGCTTTGCAGGTTCTGACCATGGGGCAAGATGCACGCGATGTGACCGAGCCAGCGCCTCAGCACGCTCCTTATAACATCCAACTCCACCCTAATAATATGTCTTCCTCCACGACACCTCAAGCGGCGAAAGCAAAGAGAAAACGAACAAGGTGGGTTGTCCTGAGTCACGCTCTTCGCCCCCAACAATGCTTTCTGACCATCTATAGCCCCCAGGACTGTGCCATCCTCGAGGCCGCATACCAGAAGAACTCCAAACCAGACAAGGCCGAAAGAGCCTTGATAGTCAGCCGGGTTGCCCTTGGGGAGAAAGAAGTTCAGGTACCGCCCCTTCTGCAATCACTATGGAGTAAGCTGACCATTCTATAGATTTGGTTTCAGAACCGTCGCCAAAATGACCGTCGCCGGTCCAAACCATTGCAGCCGCATGAGCTCGTTGCCCATCTCCGCAACAGTAATGCCAGCCCTGTTCCTCCCCAGATGAGCTCGTCTCCTGTCCCCGAAGATCTTTCTGCCTCTATGTCCCTACCAAACTCATCTCTAGCGCCTATTGAGCCTATCAACCGACCTACCTCGAGAGGCTCAAGCATCCATGATCTTCTCAATCCAACACCTCCAGAGGACGATGCAAGCCTCAAGCAAAGCTCACAGGAAACAATCGGAGGAAGCACACCGCCATCCAGCATTGAAAAGGGCGTGTTGACCGTCGGGATGCCATTTCAAAGTGAAAGTCAAAAGAACGTGGCTGAGAGTTGTGACGGACAGTCGGATGTTGGCAGTGAGCATGGAAGTGCCAGAAAGAGAGATCATGATGAGATGACTGGTGCAACGCCTCCTAGTCCCCGGCTAGAGGGGCAAGGAGAGACTGGGGAAGCCACTCTCTCTAAGGCTCCTCTGGTGAGAGTGTCCAGTTTTGTGCGGCTTGCAATGACTGTGGATGGAGCTGTCAAGATCAGGACGAACAATGAGCCCACGCCATCCCCCGAAAAGCCACGTGCCCCAACTCCAACCGTACATAACAGGCAAAAGGCGTCCTTGGTCCGCAGCAAGAGTGCTATGAATGGAGTCGAGGTTTTCCGCGACAGCGTTCAGGGGGCAGGATTCAAGAGCATTGGAGCAGGATTTGGTCGGTCCCGTGACGCCAGGACTTGGGAGTTTTATTGCGACAGTAAGACAAAAGATGCGCTTTCGGCCCAGGCTGAAGCGGAAAGCGCGGGATCTGCTGTCAGTGCCATCAACCTCATCCGATCAAACAGTTTCAAGCCGCGTTTGCAGGCACTCAGTCCGTCTTTGTCCAAGACCAATGCTCGCCGGGCAACAGTGAAGGAAGGCAGGCCGAAGTTGTCTCGCGCCCAATCCTCGCTGGGACGTTTGCAAGGCCTGGGTACATCGGCAGACCCGTCAAGTGGCAAGTCGAAGCCTCTTCATGGCCACGTCCGGTCACCGTCCGGAGACTCAGACAAAGAGAACTGGGCTCCCGGGACCAGAATGTCGGAGCATCCCTTGCGCAGAACCCAGCCCAGTACATGTCACCGGCCGGTCCTGCAGGAAAATGAGCAGATGACATTCCCGGATGTTAATGCCTCACGCCATCGTCCTGAAGAAGGACTTGGCAGTGGTGAATCCCCGACCAAAGAGAAGGCCAAGGGTGAAGAACTCGACTGCGTACAGGGGTTGCTTTCGCTCAGCCAGGGAGCTTGGTCCAGATGAAGGCGCTCGCAAAGATGGGCATGGAAGCCAGCATGACGACCATAAGGAGGATATTTGTTTGGTTACGGTGGCATAATTCGAGGTAGCGCAAAAGAGCATGGGATGTTTGCATTTTATCTGCATGACTGTTCGCAGCCAGTCCGGGGTGGAAAAGGATCATCATCGACCACATGTATCATGATTGCTATTGGAAATCAATTGAAGGAGTCATGTTGTTTGCTTATTTGTCTCTGTTGCTCTACTACTGGTTTGGCTTGTCTTGACGTCAGCTTTATCTCTGCCGGCAGCTGCATGTGCCTGGCAAAAACCCGCGTGGGCAAGCGACACTCAAGTGCCGCCCGCGTCGCGATATCATCACGTCGACAGCCCAGCAAGGGCTAATCCAAGGCCCTTCGTGTCGCTCATCCGGCACTTACGATTGAGTGACATCCTCAGAAATTATTCATACCACTGTTGACGATCCGCAATCCTTTTCTTAGAAGCGTTCTCGAGCCTGGAACCCATATCGACTGCTAAAGTATAGCCCCTCCGAATTTCGGGAAGCGCAGACAACTGTCGAGACACCGCATATCATTCGCTCTCCGGCCCCTGACGGCCCCAATTCACGTCTCTTATCGTTGCACAGATCGTCGCCCCTCTTTAACATCCTAGTTTGGATTGTATGTCTCGAATCTCTCGCGACCTTGCTAACAGCGCGCACAATGGCCATGCGAATGGTCCCATGCCTTCATCCTCGCCTCCCTCTTCCACCATGCAAGCCCTTCGAAATGCCAGCACGCTGTCATCAGGCAGACTCCCCCACGTGGCGGTCGTCGGCGCGGGCATCGCGGGACTTCGGTGCTCAGACGTCCTTGCTCGCAGTGGCGTCAAGGTGACACTGTTTGAAGCCCGAGATCGTATCGGCGGGAGAGTCCACCAGCTGGAATCAGGCGGTTACCTCGTGGACATGGGCCCGAATTGGATCCACGGTACCAGCGGGAATCCCATTATGCATCTCGCCGAAAGGACAGGCACCACCATCCTGGAACCGGAAGAGCACCAGGCGATTTTCGACGCTGAGGGGAAGAGGAGACCCGACTCCGAAGCCGTCGCGCTGTCGAGCAAAATGTGGGAAATGGTCGTTGACGCATTCAAATACTCGGACGAGCACTCCGCCGACATCGATCCTGGGGTCAGTCTCTTTGAGTACTTCCGGTCCAAGCTCGACACGGACAAAGAGCTCCCTCGCCGGCAAAGACAAGACCTCCTCCACGAAGCGCAGATGTGGGGGCCCTTTGTGGGCGACCCGGTCGAGAAACAGAGCCTCAAGTTCTTCTTCTTGGAAGAATGTATCGAGGGAGAAAACGTCTTCGTGGCCGGAACTTACAGGGACATCTTGAAGGAAATCGGCCGCTCCGCGACCGACGAGGACAAAGTCGAGCTGAGACTTGGGACGGAAGTTGTCCATTTCGAGACGAGATCCGACCGCGACGACAAAGATGGAGGCAATGTCAGAATCACAGCCTCGTCGGGCGACCAATCTACCTTTGACGACGTGGTCATCACATGCCCTCTAGGCTGGCTCAAACGGCACCACACCAGAGCTTTCACGCCAGCACTACCTCCGAGATTGGCCTCGGCCATCTCCAACATCAACTACGGCCGCCTGGAGAAGCTCTACGTGACGTTCCCAACCGCCTTCTGGCTGTCCCCTGGCGCGGACGGGAAGCCCGACCTGTCCAGTTATCCTGTCCACACCCACTTCCACGACCCGTCCTACGTCCCCCACGCAAGCGACGAGGCATGGAACCAATCCATCGTGTCGCTCGCTCACCTGCCGCCGCGCTGCGCCCATCCGACTCTGTTGTTCTACATCTACGGGCCTTGCGGCACCCATCTCGTCGAGTCCATCCAGGACGTCGACACGCACTCGACGGAGTACAACGCCATCCTCGCCAGCTTTGCGTCCGCGTTCTACTCACGCCTCCCCAACTACAACCCCGCCAACCCGGCCTGCGAGCCCCGATCCTTCCTGATGACGAAGTGGCAGGCCGACCCCTTCGCGGGCCACGGCTCCTACTGCAACTTCCAAGTCGGCCTCGAGCGCGGCGACGAGGACATCGAGGCCATGCGCGACGCCGGCGGCCTGTGGAAGACCGGCTTGTGGCTGGCTGGCGAACACACCGCGCCGTTCATCGCGTTGGGGACGACGACCGGGGCGTGGTGGAGCGGCGAAGCCGTGGCCAGGCGGATTTGCACAAAGTGGGGGATCAACGTGCCTGGAGACGCGCCGGTACTGGTGGAGGAAAACGGAAACGCCGTGGTACAGGGCGCGAATAAGAAGGAATTAGACAAGGACAAGGCAGACGCGGCGAATCTGAGTGGGTTGGCAATTTGATTTTCACGGATATCTCGGTCCCTTTTTGCATAGCCAATGCTCCTCAATCCAAGCCCCAGACCTATGTAGTAGACCACTCAACTCCAACTCGGTGTGCCATCCCAAGACCAGAAAAGGCCCACCCTGATGTACAATGCTCCCTGCTCCAATCTGTTCGCGAGGACAGCGTCGTGTTAGATCACATTTTCTCAAAAGCCTTGTCAAGCTCTATCCACCAAGAGGGTTTAGTTAGTATGTTGCTTGCAGAAAAAAGACCGATACTAATGTGAGAAGGAAAGGGAGAAGGGAGAGCACTCACCCTTGGTAATCACATCTATCTTGTCGTCTTCCGTCAGGTTGCTGGGCTGGCCTTTCCACCGACTCTCCGTAGCCCTGGTCAGCCGCTTCTTCAAGTCCTGCTGCCGCTTGCGCTCGAACTTGTACAGCGCCAGGGTCATTCCGATGCGCTGCACGCGGCTTGGGAAATGCTTCCTGTCCTGGATGGGAGCCACCATGCGCTTCTCGGGCTTGAGCGCGCCTTTGCCGGATTGGCTTTGCTCCTCTTGTTTAGCAGCTTCCTTTTGCGCGCGTGTCCTTGCTCCCTCGCCTGACTTGGTTGCGCGTTTTGGAGAGACTGTCCCCAACTTCTTCCGTTTCCTTCTCATCCCCCTGTCTTTGGCGCGCCGTGGAGTGGGTGTGTCGTCCTCCATACGTTCCCGCACGTCCAAGTTCGAGGTTGATGCTGCAGGTCCATCGTCAGTTGTAGCTTGGCCGTCTTCGTTTGAAGCAAGGGAGACATTGTCGAGAGCAAGAGGAGTACTGTTAGAAGCAGATGACAGAGTAGGCTCACGTCGAGCATTGGAAAGCGTGGGCTGTAGCTCAGCTTGCGGGGTCGGATCATAGAACCATGTGATCGGCTTCTGGGCCAGCTGCCGAGTGACAGGTGCCTTTCCTTTGTCCTGCAGTGGTGTTTTGTTGGATGCGTTGTCCGGAAATCTATTCCAGGCTTGGAGCGAGTGGTTGTAATTGAACATGTGGAAGACAGCACTATCTGTGTCCAAGGTGTCAGCATTAACTTGTAAAGGAAGTCTTCCCACGGTGTTCTGGCGAAGAATCTGGGTACCCTTCATCGCTGCAGAAGCCAGTTCTTGACCGACTTGGAGATCACACAAGTTGTCTGGGTTCGAAGCAACTTGTATACTGGTCAGGTTGAGGCCGCGACGAGCAAGTTGCTCTAAGATTGTGTCAAGCACGCTCTCCGGGAAGGCTGCCACCACGGTTGGTGAGCCAACATGAATGCACAGCTCTTGCGTCGCCACTACTGTGACCTTCATCGTGTGTTGGTCAGGTGAAGAAGACATAGTTGGTCGTTGTCATAGATATGGGGAGGAATCTATTTGGGAGAAACATTGACAGAGAGAGAGGGAGAGAGAGAGTCAAAGCAGGGTCGTGGTCGAAAGGTCATAAGTGAGTCGGTCGTCAACAAACACAAGCAAGCGAAGTGAAGTGAAGTGAAGTGAAGCGCGGTGAGTGTTTATGGGGTATTGAGGGTCACGACGCATGTGAAGTATTGTCTCTGTGCGCAGATGTTTGCCCGCAGTAGTGGAAGGACCTTAGTGACATCTCTGCTTGTAGAGCGCGCAGCCTTGTTTGGAAGGATCAAACCGTCGCCGTTGAGTCCCATTGGTTTGCAGGAGTTCTGTCACACGGTGGTGGACACGATAATAGGTGCGGGCATGACCATTGCGGTTGAATACAAGTAGGTATATTGTTTGGTGGTGTTTAGTTGAAGCTGCGCTGGATGGCAGCGACCCGCGGCTCTTTGGGTCCATGTCGTCATTGTTTGTATGTCCTGCGGTGTGGATGAACTTCGGTTGCAGCTCTGACGACTTCCTCTCATCTTCCATCAGCTCACCCATTTTCCACTTGTTGGCTTTTCCCATCTATCTCACTGTCCTCTTGACTTGCTTGTGTATCTGCTGGATAAGTACTTATCACCATGGCAATCCTCGCCATCCAACTGCAATGAATACAACAATGTCTGGCCCAAAGCGAAAATCATCACGTCCTGCTCACCACTCAAATAATTCCGCCACCGCCTTCGTCAATCCATGGCCATCCGCAGGGACGCCAACCTGGGGAGAAATCCTTCAATCGTCCTTTCCACTTGGCTGGTACACCGATGACCTGAGTTGCCACAAAAGAGCCCGACAACTCAAGGTCGTCACCCCAGACTGGGGTAAAGCGGACCTGGAAAAGAGGCAGCTTGACAAGAAGAACTGCGTTATCGGAACATGGTTAGGCCATGCAAGCGCTCTGGTGGAGCTGCCGCCTCTCGATAATCCCGAGCACAGGAGCATATGGCTTCTGTTTGACCCTATCTTTTCTATGCGAGCAGGGCCGACCCAGAACAGCGGTGTCACCCGGTTCAAGCAAGCTCCTTGCCAGGCCGAGGATCTGCCAGGGTGCGATGCAGTTTTGATTTCCCACAATCATTACGATCATTTGGATGCTGCTTCAATCAAGGCAATTCTCAAGAAGTTTCCACGAACAAAGTTTTTCGTTGGACTTGGCATCAAGCAATGGATGTCGTCTATGGGGGTCCCGGATTCGCAAACCTGCGAGATGGACTGGGGGCAAAATCGCGAGTATAGTCTGGAAGACTTTGGTGTTCAGCCACCACCGGCATCGACTGAGCAGGTCATCTTTAGATTCTCTTGTGTGCCTGCTCAGCATAATTCCGCACGAAGTCCCGTCGATCAAGGGCGCACGCTCTGGTGTGGTTGGGTTGTCGAGCGCTTTCTCCACTCACAGGACGAATCAAGTGAATCTAAAGCGACCAGACGAGGGGTTATCTATCATGCCGGCGATACAGGCTATCGGAGGACATCGAGATCAGACATTGTCTGCCCGGTCTTTAAAGAGATTGGGGACAAATTCGGCCCTGTCGATCTTTCATTCATTCCTATCTGGCGCGGTGGAACGCTCGGTTTCTTTTCATATATGGGGCTTCGACTATCCCATCACGACATACCTGCGGCTCTCCATGCTTCTCCGGCAGATGCTATTGCGATTCATGTCGATGTTCGATCGCGTAACAGCATTGGAGTGCACTGGGGAACATTTGTCGGTTCAGCCAGCGAGTCTTACGAAGCTATGATCGAGTTCGCTGAAGCATGCGAGAATCGAGCTGTGGAAAGCCTGGATAGCGAAAGCGAGGGTGATAACGGTCGCGCAGGGTTATTAGACATTGGCGCCAGTCTGGCAGCTCGAATTTTCTGAGCGAAGGCTTGCTGGTTCCTATGGAACACCTCCACGTCCTATACTTAGAGCTTTCAAGCTACGCGCCCATGCTGTCAACCTAACTCGGCGCTTAGAGAATTCCCACCACTACCTGAGCACTTCTGCAATAAGTCAAGCGTGGGGGCTGAAGCTGGCTTTGCCACTGTGGTTGGCTCTTTCGATCTACTGCATACCTATTCGCGGTCAATATCACTGCACCCAGGCAGCTGAGAATTTCGAGGGCTGCATTGTCAGTTCCCACGGATACGACTCTTGTCAAAGTCAAGCCAAATTCATCTGTTTGTAACTCGTCGGAATTCAGACTGCAATCAGGCTGGACTCATGGGCGATATCCTGGGTGCAGCGTCGGCCGTTGCGGGCCTGATGTCGTTGAGCGGCACTGTCCTTGAAGAGGGTTACTCATTCATAAGGACTGTCCACAGGGCCCCGAGAGAGTTGCGGCAGCCTTTGAGCGAGACTGCTCCACTAGACTCATCGGGGAGCTGCAGAGTCTGGCGTATGATGGCCCGGTGGTGGGTTCCAGCAATAAGTCGGCATTGAATGAATTCAGCAACGCAGGTGTTTTCACCGAATGTAAGCGGTCTCTGCTCGTCGTCAGAAACTCGATTGCTGCGTGTCAGCAGGTTGCAGACCATCGGGTACGAAATGTCGGGGAAATGATGATATGGTCGTTCAAGGGAAAAGCAACCAGGGATGTCTTGGTCAGAATATCCAGACTCTGAGACCACTTGAATACAGCGACTGCTGCTGATATGAGGTATGCGTCCAAACGGACATTGGCTGTTCTGCGATCAAACTGACACTGTTCTCTGGATAGCCTGATGTTGCGGAGTGTCCTCCAGTATTCTCTGCGAAGCTCTCTGGCGGCGGAAGCACTGCAAAGACGAGATGCATTCATGGATGAGCGAGAAGAACGGAAACTCTTGTTCCAGAGGCTTGATCCAAGTTCAATCAATATTGATGAGAACCTGGAGGAGGGCTTGAAACATCATCATCCCGGAACAGGTGATTGGTTCTTCGAATGCGATGAATACATATCTTGGTCAAGCGGACCATCGTCTCTTCTGTGGATCAATGGAATCCGTGCGTCATCCCTTCAATTCGTCAAAGCAATACTGACCTCACGAGTTAGCTGGGAGCGGAAAGACAGTTCTGGCGTGAGATTGTGCACTTCATTTGATACCGTCGTCTTTTAATAACTTCAAGTCCTCTACATTACTCATACACTTCGTGGATGTACAGATGAACAAACAATAAATTTGGCTTATTGCTTCTTTGATCACAGAGACTCTGTTGAAACGGACCTCGAACGGCGCGGTAGGACAGGGTTGACCTGCCTCCATCTCGCGGAGAGGGCGTTACATTCACACCAACGGATATTGATCGGGGGGCCGGGGCCACTAATCATGATTTGTTGTGCACCGCGATCTCGTTGTTTTCCGTGTCTGGGCAAAGTCTTCCCTCCTCTTCCTTCATGTCCTGGTGCCTATCTATATGACGAGGATTCGGTGATGCGGGTTGTAGCTTCGGAACGTGTCTATTTAATCCGCCACGAGATCCTTTCTCTTCTTCTGTGGAGGACATTTCGCACTCCTTGGTGCACCGTATGCAGCGGAGCGAGGCCGAGGACAGGCCCGGGGCATACACCGGGAAAAAAGGCCGATAAACCTGTAAGGAAAATGCTTTTGGTTTCAATTCATTCCCTAATTGCTTAAAATGTACATGAATCCCACGGCGCGCCGGCAAGCGAGGCCTGGGTTTGAAGTGAGGTGAGTCCGTTCACTTGTGTAGCCTGGGATGGCAGCACGCATCCACAACTGGCCTCGATCGGCTGGTTCATTTGGCAATGAGCTAGCTAACGGTATCGTGGCTCGGAGCGCGGAAGGCTTCGCGGCTGGCTTGGTGGCTGGCTCTCTCTCCTCACGCTGGGGATGCCTGCCTGCCTGCCTACCTATGCAAACGGATTCGGATCCAGATTCTCCTTACAGCTGGTTTTGCCATCAATCACGCGGAGTCGCGGGATGCCCGTTGGAAGACGAGGGGGCGACGTCGGCTCGGTCTGCAGCAGCTCCCGGCGGGTCGGTCGCCAGGTGGCGGCGCGCTGCTTCTCCATGTCCTCTGTACTAGCCGACGCCATGCCGCTGAAGGGGCACGTGGACATCTTCTGCTGCTCGTTGGACAGGCGGACCTGCTCCATCGTGCGGCCGAGGCTGGTGGTGCTCTTTTCCGACGACGTCGACGACACGGTGCCCGCGATCGAGCTATCGTCGTCGCCGTTGCCGTTGCCGCCGGGCCCCCCGCCGTTGCCCAGGATGCGCTTCCCGTGGAGGTAGCCCTCGGGCTCGCGCGCCTCGGCCTCCATGTCCTCCTCGAGCTCCTCGTCCAGGAACTCGCGCCCGTCCTCGACGTGCCATTTCGCCATCAGGTCGTTCTGGATCCAGATCACCTTGCCGATCGCCTTGACGATGGCGATCTTCTGCGTCAGCTCCAGCCGCGGGTGCGAGAGGATGGCTTCCGTCATCGAGTCTTGGATGTAGCCCAGGCACGCGCCGAGGAAGATGTAGTCCACGTGCAGAGGGTTACGGCGTCCTTTGCCCACATGCATCAACCTGCGAATGCGTCATGCGTCAGATGTATTCTCCGGCGGTGCTGAAGATTGACGGTCGAGTTGGCTGCCACAAAAGGGTACAGCTCTAGGGGGACGCAGACAGGTACATTTCCACTTACCCTACTTTGTCCAGATACTGCCAGTACTCCATTTTGCTGGGGTCGGAATTGAGTTTCGTGAGGTACCACCTCAAAAACATCTTCCGGTGCCGGATCTGGGCGTCGTCTTCCTTGATCCATGTCACGGGATTTTCTTCGATGCGACTATCTCGCGTGCTGAAGACTCGCGCCGTGATGTCGTGCCTCAGCAACTTCTTGTACACCATGTTGACGATTGCCGGAATAATGGCTTTGATGTATTTCTGTCCCTCGATCAAGGCGACGACGTCATCTAGAGCGGGAAAAGAGGTCAGCGGAGGCGTCCTTTTGATCGGTAGACATTTGGACAGCATTTGAGGCTCAATGAGAGAGGGAGCGCTCACCTGCTCCGAATTCAAGGAACTGCTGGAGGTACTGGACTCGAACCGGGAGCGACGTGTACAGTTCGCGCCGCTCCACATGTTCCATGTTCTTCGGAATATCACCCATTGTGTGGCCGTCTAGAGACCTCCCAGAGATATGCCGATACAGGAGCTTGGCCGTAAGCTGCTGACCTGTTGAATTCGACTATTTCCTTGAATGAGGGAGAGAAAGTCTGCTGAAGCGCGGCTCCCGCTGCGTTTCGCAACGGCGATCGCATGATTTAAAGCCGGTCGGACTGATCCTGGGTGCTTTGTCAGAGCAAGGAGGAGCTTCCGAGTATTCTTCTCACCGCGAACTATTTGCAACAACGCATCTCCATAGTCGACCCCCGATTGGGACGAGTTGAAGATAAATTTTCGATCCGTCCCGCTAGGGAGCAACCCATGTTCCTAGTTTCCACGTGCAGTGGCGTGACCATCATCCGGCTGGGGGGCCAGGAACCGTTACAGAACTTTGTTCTCACTGGATATTTGAAACCGGGATAACGCCACTTGTTGATCAATTGGAAGAAACGGATGTTGTCGAGATTACCCGTCCGTGAAGCCGCCATCTCGTCGACCATGCGGCAGCGTAAGCGAGCATCCAGAAGGTGATTTAGACGTCCGTCATTACCACAACCCGAGGGTCAAGTCGGGAAGAAGACAACCAGGAGAGTTGCCAGCCCCCCATGGCATGTCTCAAACAACGGAAAGCCACGATTCTTCGAAGCTGCAAGTATAACTTTCGACTCTCCTGCGCCTTGCGGGGTCGCCCAGTGCCGTGGATCCAGGAACTTCTTTCATCCCGGCAATGCCTATCCGAAGCTAACCCTCACAGAAGGTGTTGATGCGAAGCGACACGGTCTGGGATCGGTGCCCCTGGAATGCCGCGACTAGCCACCATGCCGAATGAACGGTCAAGTTCCCGGCCCCAATATTGAAGTGGATTTCCGTCTGGCGATCACTGAGGATGAAGATAATAACTTGCTCGGCCGCCTACGTTGGGCTTCGTCGAGGCTCTGGGCACGGAGATTATGGGCAGAGACTGCCTCTCCTGATGCTGCACTACACAGATGGGGCCGTCTGAAGCCTAAGCCGAGGGCGTGGGTACAGAACGGAGCCTCGAGCCGTTGTCCAACTACTGGAGACGGTAAAGAAGTACCGGATAGGCATTGCTTCGCCTGCGTTCGCCGTTCTGACCACGAAGCGAAGGGTTTATTGCGAGATTGGCCGCGCGTATCCACCGTAGCATCATGTGTCCCATGTGTTGGGTTCCAGAATCAGTGATGGAAGCATGGCTTCGACCTGGACTGTTCTTCTTGAGCAACAAGACCTCGGACAAACCCGTCGAGGGACAGGGAAACCTCTGTAGGCGACTCCCACCAAGGCTCCTCCTCCTGTATGCCGCGCTACTCAAGCTTGTCGGCCGCGAGGCTGCATGATTAGGCGAGAAGTTTTGCGTGCCCTGTGGCGTGACTGTATCCCCTGTGGCGTCCGCAGATCCATATGGAGTCGTGAATGCACTCGGCACGGGTACCTGTATCATCGTTAGGTATTGGAGTGGAAACAATCGGGAAGAAGCACGCAAAACTCGGCAGTTGTGGACACACGGACAGTGACAGACCCAAGTCGAATGAGACGTCTAGATCAGAGAGTAGTTTGAGATTGGTGAAGAGTGTGCGATGGATTCACAATGTCAACTGCAGGCGAAGTTGCTGGCTCGTCGCGAATAATGTCGTGTAACTTTCTCCGCATCCGCGACTCGCGACCCGCGACCCGCAAAGCCACGTCTTGATCGACAGCGTTGAGCGTGTCACGAATACGAGAAGTGCAGACTACAGCTTGACCAGAAACCCCATGAACAACCCAACAATCACAACACATAGTTTTTCTGTCGTTGGCGGACTCCGACCTTGCAAGGAGCACTGCCGGAGGCACGCATCACCCAGGCGTCATGCCCCCAAAGCCCTCTGTTCGGGGAGAATATATCGAAACTGTGCGGTCACCCTCTTCCTTTTCAGTGATCATCAACCTAGACGATTGCTAACAACCAGCCTCAGGAAACCGGCAACAAGATCAGCCGCCGAGCCAGCGTCCTGGGCCCGCGCCATATCATCCTCGCCGGCAAATGTGTCATTCAGCAAGACGTCGTCATCCACGGTGACCTTGTTCGCCCTCCGCAGTCCAAGCCTCCCTCTCAGCAGCAGCAGCAGCCGGGCGACCAGAAGTCGGTGGCCCAAGATCAAACATCGATTCACTTGGGCCGCTATGTCTTTATCAGCCCCGGCTGCACCCTCCACCCCCCGTCCCGCCTGACCACCGTCCCCAGCCCGAACGGCGGTGAACCGCAGCAGATGATGACCTACTTCATGCTCCGGATCTCCGACTACGTCTACATCGGCCCCAACACACACATTCGGGCCGCGGAGATCAGGAGCAATGTGTGGATAGGGGCCAACTGCACCATCGGGAACATGGTCATGATCAAGGACAACGTCAAGATCTTGGACGGCACGGTCCTCCCTGCGAACACCGTCTGGGCGGGAGGCACCATCATCGCCGGGCGGCCAGGAAGGGTTGTGGGGGAGATCGGTGAAGGGTGGGCTGCCGGTGGAAGCAGTGGCTCGTCCGTGGACGAAGGAGTTGGGGTCAAGAGCAGAGAAAGATGGGCCGCCGTTGGGAACAAGAGATAAATTTGAACCCGGACACCAGCCATGGATGAAATGCCGTCCTATTTGTATTCCAACTCCACGCAGTCCAGCAAGAGGCATCACCTCCCCAGACATATCGGAAAAGAGGCAACGCAACGGCATGCATTGGACATATATTCCCATCCCATCGAATTGAGGAGTACTATGGATCGAAGAAATTACCCCGATAACACTCCAGACATGCCAGCTGCCAGGATGAGAGCTCTCAATTGCAAATTGTTGTGAGCTTTACAATAGCTTGTGGAGAGGGCAACAGGCAAGAGTCTATCCTCCATCTCGCTCACGATGCTGAAAATGCCATTGTGCTCCGAACTGCCTTCCCCCGTCGAATATCCCGAAGTCCATTCCTTCTCAACTGGACAACGACCCTGTGGATCGCCCCCCAGTGAGAGTTGCATCGATCAAACGACATTCTCCCCCTCCATCCCGGCCACCCTGAAGTTCTCGGCTGTCCAACTCCATCTCGACGGCTTGCGGGATGACTGTGACGATGGAGTCAGAGGAAACGTCGTCCAAGCAGCGTCGCACGAGCTGAAATGCCGATGGCGTTGATGTGGGTGGTGACGATGCTCGGATACGCTCACAGGCTGGTTTGGGGATCGGAATGAACAATTCTTCATGTCTGTTGTCAAAGGCCAATCATTTCGGACGTCATCTGTTGCTCGACCCTCGCCAACCATAGATCTTGGCGTGTGCACTGAAGTTTGGCCGAGCGTCTTCCTTGGATCTTGTAATTCGTTGTTCAGCTCAGGGGGATGCTGGCGCAGCGGACTCTCAAAGACGCTGTATCTCTCCTCGTGACCTTCTTTTGATGCCGACCTAGAGGTTGGTGCTCGCCGAGAATGAGCACTCGAAGGTCGTTCCAGTGTGAGCCCAGCTATCCGCACTGGTTTGGTGGTTGAAGGTTGGTTGTCATCCTGATCCATGTCGGGGTTATGCCTTCCGCGACGTGGGTTGAGAGGTGCAGGGACAAGACTGTCGCGCTCGTACTGGAATACTGGAGGTTTCCAACCTGCATCTTGATGTGGAATTGTGGAAGGTGCTGGGCATTGAGCCACCGGATAATGTTGCGAAAGTGGATGGTCTTTTGGGATCGGGAGAGCTGCCATCACATCGTCACGGTGTTGGTGCATCGGTGGGAACCCATTGTACGATGTCAGTCGAGGCCTGTGTCCTGCCTCTATCGAGTCTCTGTCGCAGACTTGAGAAGGATACGAGCATGCCGGAACGGCTTCGACCTCCGCAATGCCGGGCGCATGACGATATTCGACCAAGGTCGGGACCGGAAGCGGCGCCATATTGTCATGCCCATATGCGAAATCGCCGTATCGATATCCACCCAGCTTCTCGAATGACGCTACGTCCGTGGGTCTTGGTCCTTTTTCAACATCTCTTAGGTCTCTCGTCCCAGCCTCGACGCCGGAGATGGACCCAGAAACGATTGCTTGATCGGCCTTTTCGTTGACACCTTGTTGTCGTTCCATCGCTCGCATCTCTTCTGGATCTTCTGCACTGTTTGGTACCTGGGCCCAGCTGACTCTGTCAAGGATCTTTCTCCACCTCCACCTTCCGCCTTGATTGTCTGCCTGCTGCTCCAAATCTGCCGTGTTACCCGCACGGATCCTCAAATTTTGAACGCCGTGCCTGGGATCGCCGTTGTTTTCTATTGCTGTTTCATCATTGGGTTTGTCGTGCATTCGGCTCTTGTGGTATGTTCTCCAAATTGCGATGCCTGCAACAAGTAGGATTACCCCTGTGATGCTGAAGAAGGATATCATTGCCGGTTCATTCATGATTGCGGTCTCTCTTCTGGCTATCACTCTCGGGTATGTGGATATAGGTATGGGTAGAACCTCCGGTGGGGCAAAAGCTCGTAGAAAGCAGTGAACTCGGATCCCGTCTCTGATGGAAGGGGAGTATAGATAGAACAGAAGGAAATGGGATGGGTTCAAATGATTGACAGGCTTAGGAAGGCTGGATGGAACGCTGAACCATTGATTGAGCGGGAAGGATAGGAGGAATGCTCTGGGTCGAGAAACAAATTGGAAGAAGACGAATGTGTGTGAATGTTCCGCTGATGAAGCTGGACATAGAGTTCGATGAGGTGTCTAAATAAATACCGACGATGTTAGGGGATTGCGCAGGTGCAAGATCTCGTCGCTTTCTCTGTGCCCACACCACAAACAAGACTCCCCTGATCCATATCGAGAGACATCCGTCCTTTGACGCCGCTGAGACGCCGTCTGGTTTTCGGCCGAATTGGGTAAGTAAATAAGTGGGTGTGAGTACATAAGAAAGTGAGCAGCTGAGTTGCGAGGGGACGGTCATCTCGCCTCGTTCTGTCTGGACTGGTCGGGACTCATTTGATCTCGTTGCATGATCGTGTTCCTTTGTCGCCAGCCCGGGCAAACGGGGCGTCGAGTGAGTGCAAATATGAATATTGTTCGATTGTCTCTTGTTTCGCCGACTGTCTGTCTCGGGCGGTAGCCTCTGCCTCAGTAGCAACTTGAGCCGTCCATTCCAGATCGTCGAGGCTCTGGTTGTTGATTCAGGTCAACGGCTCTGGATGCCGTGGACGGCAAAGTCCCTTCAGATGGATACCTTGATACATGGCAGGCACTTTGTAAGATCCCTAGGAGGTGCAAATGGGAAGGCGGACGAGGGAACTGGGTGTGTCTTCGATCCCTTTCCGTGGGTGTGGTGGGTACGCAAGATTTTTGTCTCGGATGAGGGCTCAATATATCCGGCGCGTAAAGCTTGGATCTGTTTTCGGTAGTCCCTCCCCCAGGTCAGCTGAGAGGTCTCGATTTCAAGGCTGCGGAAAGCGTCGTTAGCTGGAGCAGAAGAAAACTAGCCAAGGTGGCCAGGGAAAAGTGCAAGTCGGCTGGCTGCTTTACCATATCGCGAACTTTGGTGTAGTAGTCACTATCTCCGTCATGGTTCACTAGGGGATATCTCTCTCTCAGTAACCACGATTTCCGTCCGGCTCTCCCACGTATTCAGACTTGACGAGGCATCCTCAGGAGTCCGGAGGAGTACTTGACTTGCTACAGGAGTTTGGACGTTCCGTAATCGGGCCTCTCCATCAGCACAAGCAATGGTATCGTAGGTAGGCAAGCCATGAGGATCGCGTCCGCAGTAAGGGGGCAACACAGACCGCACCGATGTTGGAGAGCTCGGAGGGATGCTGCTAGCACCGAAGCCGTCCCCATTTCCTTCGACAGTGGCATCGGAAAGGTCGGGGGTATCACGCCCATTGCGTTCTTGCGATGCCGTTGCTCCCAATCTGAACAGGCCTGACCAAGGCCAGGACTGTGGACGTCCAGTATCAGCGTAGAGAGTGTCGTAGGCTGGCGGAGGTCGCTGAATGCTGTTCGCAGCCCCTTCCACTGGATCAAGCCTGACGCGTCGGTTGGCGGGAAGGCGTCCTTGTACGCGACTTTGCCGCCTGATCCTGATATTCCGCACAAAGCTCAGGATGACGAAGAACGCGAGGATGCCCAACATGAATGAGATGCCGACGATGCCTTCAATGGTGGTTCCTTTGAGGCCCATCTGTGTCGGAACCTCGTTGAACTCGAACACGACAGGGGACATGAATTTGGCAAAAGTTGCGGGGGACTGATACTCTCACAATAGTCCAGGGGGAGATCATACTCATATGGACATACCTAGCTTCCTAGACTGTCGAGCGTTGAAAAGAATGTGTGCGTGTTGAGAGGTGATCAGCCCTTCGAACCACAGATAGAGAAAATCATGTTTGCTGAGGAGCCAGATGATGCTCATCGCTTCCGACCACTTCAGGAGCTACCGGACACAAACTTCGCAACCAAGGCGGAAACAAACGCAGCTCAGAGCAGGATGATGCACGCTTAGAGAGGTTAATGCTATCTTACCGTTGGTCAGGCACGCCGGCCGACTCTTCCACATAGTGGCGTGGCAGAGACTGCGGAAGTAGGAGTTGAAGCACAGGGATGCGACAGAGTACAACACCAGAGCATCTTCAATGTATCACAAGAGGATTACTGGGCAAAGCAGGCAAAGCAGTCGGCACATGGACTGAACGAGCCCAAGCAGCTAGGTAGATAGGCGGCGGCAGAGGATCAGAGTGCTGTCCAGATCCCGCATAGCGCGTCTTGGCGTCTTGGACGTTTGCTTGGCGAGAAATCGACTATTTCTACTCTCCTCGTCACCGCTCAGCAACTTGACTTTCTTTTCTTTTCTTCATACTTGTACGTCTCCCTCCCCCGAGCACAACGAAGTTTTCCAGACCACTGACATGTCAATAGACCTTGTGGGAGCGACTCAGCTCAAGCATTGAGCCTGCTATAGCGGTGTCCCTGCATTGCACATCGCGGAGGATGTCGCCATCAAGTGTCCTTCGGGGCTCTTGTCCGCGTATTTTTTGGCCAGAAACCACCCCTTTTTTTCATCATTACTCTTGCCTTGTAGCAAGATTCTGGAGAAGAACATGGGACGGTCGCAAGTACAAAGCAGGAAGAGAGGATGATGTTGTCGGCCTCAAGCCGGCACCTGAGTTCCAGAGAGGAAAGAGACGTAGGAGCTGTGTTTGAAGGAGCTGCGGTCACGAGTGAACGAACAGGCAGCAGCCACGGTTCATGCGCGCTAACAAACTGCATCGAGCTTGTGATGAAGAAGTGGGATTTTCCACAGCACTGGCATCTTCTGCCGATGGCTCCTTGTAACATGGTACATTGTCCCTTTACGGAGTCCACTATCAGACACTTTGGTGTACCCTCGCAGGGGTTGGATGACTCTACGCTTTGCTCCTAGCTGATGACCCAGCGAAACTCAGGCGTGCATGGAATGTCGGGCCATGAGACGGCCGCCCTCTGTCCAAAATGCCACATGGTGCGCCATCCTCCGGAGCGATGTTCCTAGATACCTACCTATCCACCAGAATCCACGCCTGCCTAACTGAGATTTCACGGGCCGACAAAATACGAGGTTGGCATGGGAGTCATCATTAGTAAAATGATTGAAAGAACTACATGATATTTATCACAAGCTTTACCTGTTTAAGACGCACCTGAGATGAGCCTGAAACCACGGGGGGGAGCTCAACGGTTTCAGCGGCTTCCACGGCTTCTTCGTGGCGAGAGGAGACCTTATCCGTCCAGGGGCACGAGGATTGTTCGAGTCTGCTTCAGGTGTCATCGTCGACAGTGTTCATCCCACATACATACATGTCATACTTGTGCTTTGTAGGTGCATAGCAGGTGCTATGATCAAATCACAAGGACACTTCCTCGTCAGCTGGCTGGTGGCATGGCACCAGATGGAAAATGGGGGTGATGACTTGGCCCCCTTCAGGTGGTGCGGTGTGGCACGGTCCTGCACCAGCCTCAGCGGAATGGGGATGGTGTGGTCATAGCCACCTTCTCCGTCGCTCTCGCCGCGCCCACACCCTCAGAGCTAAAAGGATCTCGCCAAATGGTCTTCCTAAACACCGAGGTTCGCTGTTTGTTCATTATTCCACCTGGACAGCCAAAGGACATCCCTCGAGACCCGGCCGTTTGCCGCCTTTGGTAAAGGGCATTCGGTGTGCATACCGGAGACGCCATGTCCGCCCTTGGCTGCCCCATGTCTCAAGCAAGCTGAGGCGGTTTCACCGCAAGGAGGCTGAATAGGGGGAATGATCAACGGTTGGTCTCGCACGTTGTTCAGAACGTGGTTCAGATGGGTCTTCTCCCCCGCCCTTCTAACGCTCATTAGTCCTCGGTCTTCTGTGAACGCCTGGTTGATGCAAGATAGTCATGAGCTGGCTGGGAGGGCTCTCTGTACTCGGTAGAGCTATCCAGATCACAAGGTACATGTCCCGATCATCACTGAATGCATGACCCAAGGCTGCCGCAGGACTCTCTCGAGCGTTCACATGGCTTGTTCTGTCATGTGTCTACTTCACATTCCATGGCTGTTATCAATGGTAGGATAGTACAGGCTATCCCCAGAATGATATTGATTCTGTATTGTTTCCTGCATGTGCTGTCAAACATGACTCAAAGAAGTTGCCCACGAAGCCTAATCGTCATGCCAACCCCGGTTTCTCCTCTTTATGCACACCGCCAGTATCTTTTCCTCCGCTAGATTTGCCGTCAGGACCTTGAGTCTCAAAACCTGTTGACCGCTCCGCAGGCTTCTGCAGATCTGGCAGTTTCGCTGGGTGACCGCCACCCTCTCTCGACGTTGCGCTTTTCCCGGCCTTTACGTGCTCTTGCGCTTATCTAGGCCAGGATTGTTCTCTTTTTTGGTCTGATCGACCACCGGTGACAACACATTGACATGAGGCCGAGGGAAGTCGAGGAGATCCGACTGAGGTAGAAGACCCTCGAGACGCCATAAGGAGCACTGCAACTGAAGCCAGGCGGATGTCCGATGCGGTTGCTGCTTTTGAATATATGCTCATGCTGTTGGATGAGAGACGTGTAATTCTAATCGAACGACCAGGAAGCGCTGACTGAGCAAGATGGCCAACCGAGGATGCCCGGTGCTCGTTGTCGTTATACAGAGAGTCCTTAGTACTGTTAGAAGTCTCGATGGGCTTGATTCCATTCTTTTACATGATTCCAAATGAGGTCTAAGGATTGAGATCAGTTCATCATATCAGCATCATCGGTTCGGGAGCCAGTTCCGTCGAGGTTGTGTTGCCCTTGGCCATGTCGCAACTGAGGCACCGCATTTCATAAACGACCGAAGTGTACAAGCATCACCCAGACAATGCTCCAGAAGTTGTCCACTTACTTGGATGAACTCCATGTAGCTGGCGGTCGATTGATCAATCGATCAACCGTGGCCAAGGACAGTCTGTCGTGAGTACAGTAATTGTTCGGAATGCATGGCTCTTCTCGCCCGGTCTGAACACCAGATAGGATGTTCTCATGCCTCACCGGTAGCAGTCTGCTGACAATCCTGCGGATGATTGGCTCATAAGATGGTGTGGTGTTGGTGGCAGATGATGAGAGGAGCACGGCGACGCGCTGGTCACGGGAAGGACATGACAGGCAGGTGGTCATGGACTCATGGTGTGGCTGTGCCTTTTCGGGAGGGTGATCTGCGGCAGCAATCGTGGCAACTAGGGGACGGACGGAAGATATGGAAGGGATTGTGAGACTGTCAGGAGGTCAGAGCATGTGGTATTCGGAAGGCGGGACAAAGAAAGCTGAGACAGGGCATGGGCCGGGCTGGAGTGGCTTGAGGCATTCGTCCGAAGAGGGCGCGGAACCAAAAGGCAAAAGAGATGCTGGAGCAAGTCGCGCGTCTTGGGAGACGAAAACATCTGTAGAGGGAGGGCCGTGTTTCACCAGTCACCGGACGAGCCAAAGAAATGATGCCGTAGACGGATGATGTACGTTAAGCGACTGGCCCAGTGGCACTACGCGAGAGAGAAACCCCTGAAGCGCGTCGAGGGGGGACGTGGAGGGACGTGGAGGGGGTGCCTAAAAGTGTATCAGACGTGTCAGGCGTGTGTCTCGACCCCTCAGCCAATCGATGAGCCTGGGTAGCAGCACTTGGCCACAAGGGTGTGTCAAGTGGCCAATTTTGGACAATGCTAGGGTGGGGGGAGAAAGGGTGGCTTCGGTGACTTGGAAGTGAGGTTAGGTGAGGAGTGAGGAGTGAGGCAGCAGAGTTGAAGGATACGAGATGATTGACAGACGCTTCGTAAATTAGCTGCAATGCCGAGGCAGGGTACTACGTACCGTACTTTAGGGAGCAGTAGAGAGGAAGCTGAAAGTCTCTCGTAAAGCGTAATGGGGCAAAGGGAGAAGGGCGAAGCGCGACCAGCTGCAAGGACAGCCAAATAATTACTTGACAGATGGCAGCTGGCAGCTGGATCGGCACTTGGCGGTGCCTAGCTCTCTCAAAAGGCAGGGCGGGAGGTGTCTTTTGTCGTGTGGTTAATGGGCACTCCGAACATCTGCCTGGTGAGGTACTCCGTAGAGTTTTTTGCACCCTGCTGTGCGGCATGTCGCCATCCCCATGCAGCTCCCTAGGGTTCCTAGGGCTCCCTGCGTGCCCATCACTACCTAACCAGTCCAACCATCCGTGAATCCATCCCCTTCCCCCTTTCTGCCGGTGTTCACGCTTTTACGAACATGTAGGTATGTGGAAAGTCAACTGAATTGGTCATTGGACGTACTAGTGGTCAGTGGTCAGTGGTCATTGAGACCTCAGCAAGGAGGACACGCGCGACCCGTTCACAGGGCAAGTTGAAAAACTCAACTGGATCCGACCCCCATCAGGCCCATCGGGAATAAAAAGCCCAGTGCACATCGCATCCCCATTAAAAAAAGCGTGTGCATCGTGTGTCTCCGAGTAGTCGTGCAATCGCTCAGACCCCAGTTGTGCAAGCCGCGGCCCAATCCACACGCTCTGTTTACCAGCCGCCAGCACAGGCCGAAACAAGGAACCATCTCGCCAACTCGCCTGCGATTCTAGCCACTGGCCCTGGATACCTGGCTGCATCCTGTAGCTGTGACCATTCAGGGTCTGTGCAAGCGCCCATTCATTCTATAACAGGTGTTGTGGCAATGCACCTCTGATTCAAGTCCAGGCGCTCAAATCAGATTCATAAAAACCACCTTCTCATCGCTACCTCACCTCCCCTTCTCTTCTCTCCTTCATCTGGAATCCTCACCTTCGTCAGTGTCGAAGGCTTGAGCTTGAGCTTCCACCCAGCTCCTCCAACCCCCCTGTCTCTCTCCCACGCCAAAAAAGACACACTACCCTGATACTTCCTGGGGCCGGCCTCCCCACCTCTCTCTCAAGCCTCCTTCGAGCTCGCATCCTACCCCAAAGTGCGCCCTAGTCCTCCTCAGTCACAGACAAGCCGAGGGAACGACACTCTGTCCGCTGCTCCAGGTTCCAACCCCTGACAACCCGACCGATCCTTGCCTGCGCCATCCAGGGTGCAAGAAAAACCCTAACCACCCCTCCAACGGCGCAGCTCCCAAGCCATCCGCCAAATCTGTGCTCCGTACCTGGAGTTTATCGTCCGCCTATCCACTAGCTGCAGAGGCCACACCCACTCTCCTGCATTTGCTACATCACTTCGGGTGCACCTTTTCAGGAGAACGACTCGCTTGGATACTACGAGACTCTCTCTCAAACATCAGGAGCTGCATCCCTGGGCCGTGCCTGGGACCACCCATAATTCGATATATCCCACAGACCACAGGCTCGTGTGCATTTCTTGAGTCTCTTCCTGCTGGCCAGGTGAAAAAAAAGTCTACAGAAATCAGGGCCAGTTAATATCTTGGATACACCCAACCTCCCCCGCTTGTGTCAGAGGCCTGTCACTTCACTTCAGTCCACTCGCTTCGTACCCAACTCTTGAAACCACTCTGAGAGAATTCTGAGGACAAGTCCATAAACTCGTCGACTCGCCTCATCTCAAGTCCCTCCCTTCATCTCTTCGCCTTCTTGCCACCAGGGTCAAACGATCGATCGCAAACAAATCCCGTCATGGAGTCCAAATACACCTTGGCCCAGAACAGGGCTGCCTTGGAAGAGTTTGTTCGCCAACCTGTGCGCACCTACATGGTCCAGCACCTTGCAAAGCAAGCTTCACAGGTTATCCGATGTGATCCAGAGCCTCTGCCTGCTGCAGACTCATTGCCTACTCCCCCGTCCACTCCGCCTCACCAATCTTCAGCAGAGCCCGCTCCAGCTCCTCTACCGAGCCTTGAACAGTTCATCAGCTCCCTCGTCCACCGGTCTGCTGTTCAAGTGCCCACCTTGATGACCTCCCTGGTCTACCTTGCCCGTCTTCGATCAAGACTGCCCCCTGTCGCCAAAGGAATGAGGTGCACCGTCCATCGTATCTTCCTCGCGTCCTTGATCTTGGCAGCGAAGAACTTGAACGATTCGAGCCCGAAGAACAAGCACTGGGCAAGATACACAACGGTTAGGGGTTACGAGGGCTTCGGTTTCGGACTGGCAGAGGTGAATCTGATGGAGAGACAACTCCTGTACCTGCTTGACTTCGATACTCGAGTGACTGAACAGGACTTGTTTGACCACTTTGAGCCATTCCTTGCTCCCATCCGCTTCCAGATGGAGCTGCAGCAAGAAGAGGCTGAACTCACCAGCGGCCACCGTCACTGGCACTCTCAACAGACCTCTTACGACTCATCAATGTCTGTACCGCCTCTGACGCGCAAGGAGCCGGTCCAGCCTGTCGTCGCAACGCCTCCACCCAGAGCAGTCGGTGTCTACGATTCCCCCGCTTCCTATGTTGATGAGGACATGGCTACTGGTCGCTATCCAAGACACAAGGCCAATAACAGCTCGTTGTCGTTACCTGCTCCCAGTCATCGACGATGGCCATCTCCGTTCCGCCATCACGGCAACAGCCGATCGGTGTCACCACCGTCTATTCGAGATCTTCCGCCTCTAGTTTCCTCCGGCAGACCTGGCACGATGCACAGCCACAGCAGTTCCCGATCCTCGTCACTGGCCCCTTCGTCACGATCTCGATCTTCGTCGCTCGCACCAACTTCTCGAGGTACTCCATACACAGCGTCATCAAACATCGACGACAGTATTGTGGTGGTTGACCTGACTCAGAGCCCTGATGCCTCATATCACAGTACATATGCCAAGACCATCTCAGCGTCGCGGCCCAGCCTCAAAGGCCATCAGACTAGCTTCCAAGGCGAGAGTCAACAGCCGGCCAAAAAGGTCAAGTCCGAAACCGGTGTCGGCAGTGTGATGGCGAGGTTCTTCAGTTCCGCGACGAGCAATTATCGGATCGGAAGGACACCTATCCAACAGGCAGCTTAGGAGGCTGTGACTGTTGTTGACGACATGAACACAGGAAGGAAACGCAAGCGACCACGTCACAACTGATCTACAGAAGAGTTGTAATATCGACCCAGATGCTGATGACCAAGCTGATTCCCCAACGACCTCATGCCATCTAAGTCTCCAGACTTTGAGACCATACTCTCATTTTACGGCAATACTCTTTTTTTTATGTGGTGCGGTCCAATATCTTGCATAGCGACGGCGTTGCTGGGGGGCGTTTGAAAATTGACACACAAATTAACCGGGCGGGCATATTTCTTGGAGACGATGGAGCTGAACCAGCACGGATTTTTCACATGTAACACTAGATCCTACTTTAGTCAGAGATCGCCTGGAGTCGGGAATGAAAGGATCATCCGCAAACAAGCAGTATTCGTTGGACTGGTGCCAATGAGTCTTTTCCTTGTTCGGTACGAGAGAGGGAGAGGAAAAGGGAAGAGAAACTCAAAAGGGTGACGATGATGATTGAAGCCGCGCTACGGCCCGCACGAAGACCAACACCAACCGAAACCTTGGATGGGCAGATTCTTTCCTATTACTGCTGGAGAAGAATGGCCCGCCCTCTCGAGGCTTGGGAGAGTTTGTTGGACAAAATCAAAGTATTATTGAATGGACTTTTCCCTGAGATCGGAAAACACATATCCCGGAACCTTTTTTGGATAGAAGTCAAAAAAACAAACTCTTAAGCAAGAACCCTTTTTCTCTCTCTCTCTCTTCTCCATCTTTCCGTAAAACTTTCATGATCTTTGAAGGGAAAAGGATATATTAGATTCGGAAAACAAGGGTCAACAGAGTATGAGGGATCGTCAGGGTCTCTGGGGTTCTGAATTCCAAGAAGTGGCGCTTTGCTGATCACACACTCATAATTCTACCAAGTAGGCAAGTAGGTTTTCTCTCCCATCTTAATTGATTATTGTTCGGTAGGTAGGTGGTAGCGAGGGAAGTCACTACTACCACTGTAGATCTGCCCGTCCCTTAAGTTACCACCGCCAGCCAGCCCAGCCCAGCCCGCCACTCTTGCTCGGACATTGTCCCATTCCAAAGGAGAAAAGGGTAATTCGTGGACGTCCCTCCGAAGAGAACTACCTCGTCCTACGGTACGAGGACGCGTACGGTGTGTGAAGAACCCCCTTCCGCTCTTCCCGGCATGCGAATACCAAATGCCAAATGCCAAAACGCAAACTGGATAATGGACAATCTCGCTTCGAGCGCGAACTTTCAAAACGCTTTGGTAGGTAAGCACGTAATAATATTCCCGAGTTGGCACCGAGTACAGCAACCTATGCGAGTATGTGGCCGCACCGGGACCAAAGCACTGCGCAAGTCACGGCTGCCGAGTGCAATCGCAATCATGCACATCCCCTGATATCAAGTGGTGCTGTCGACTGCTCCTTGGATACTGGCCTTGCATGCCCCGGTACAGTACATACCCTGCCTGTCCTTATCAAGCGAGGGACACTCGTCCTTGCTTCCACGCATTCCGGTGCGGCACCTTGCCTCATCGGACTGCCCTTGCAGATAGAGCAGCTGGTCTGAAGCTCTTCCTTGCTCTTCCCAGTGGGAAATTGGAACAGTGCCTTGTTATTCCCTCTGGTTTGCTTATCGCATGTCCATGCCCATACCCACATCCATACCCATACCCAGGTCCACCGTGTCGGTGCCAGCGCCGGTGTGTATGCCTGCGCCCATCGCGCCCTTCCGTCTTGCCATATACCCTTCGCCCCTCTCTTCTCCATGTTCCTTGGAGGGTGATCACCGGAGAGGTTCCGATTGAGTTCATGCACCCAGCGTTCATGCATCCAGCTGCTCCGAAGAGGGCTCCAGTCCATGTACACCGTCCATAGACCATTGTTCGCGAACATGCTCGGCGCGGGCCAGACCTCTGCGTGGTGGTGTAACAAAGAGGAATAGACCTGGCACGGGGCGTGGTGCTGGTCATTCCTTCAGAAGGTTTCGTGGTCAGAAGAAGGTCGAGGGGCTTGGGAGTGCCAAAGCACCGCTCGTCTTTGGAGATCCTTGTCCATTGCCCTCGCACCAGTGTCTTGAACGTGCTTTCTGCTCTTGCGGACGATCCTTGGGTTCTGAATCATCTTCCGACTCTATATTCGCGCAGTTGTACTGTTTCAACCTCCTTTCTCACTCGCTCTTGTCCGCCTCGATTCTCTTCTCAGCTCTCACTTGGATGTTCTCCTCTGTGGCCGGTTCAGGTTCCTCCCTCTCGCTCAAGTCGATCCTCTTCCCCTTGCCCCATCCCAACCCATTCGTGACGGCCCTGCCGACCGTCCACCCTATCACCATCCCCCAAATGACTGTACAAGGCCATTTCTGCCACTCGCGATCCCAATCCAACGCCATGGGAATGGCGCCCACCCAGCCCCCCACAAAGCTCCCCACAGTTCCTCCCCATACACCTGCTGAGTCGAACGGCAGCCACGCGGCTGCGACGTCGCGCCAGGCGAGGGAGGAGACACCGTGGGTGTAGAACAGCGGCAAAAAGCCGAGCAGGGAGACATGCACTGAGAGGAGGAATGTGAGGGGGAGGAGAGAGGTAGGATACAACGGCGCGCCTAGGACAAGGGCGATTAAGCCGAGTGGAAGAGGTGGGAGAGTGAGCGTCAGGATCAGGGCGAAGAGTGTCGGCTGTACCTCGTCGAGCGTCAGTAGTCCAACCTCGAAGAATCATGGAAGATCGTAGATGGTGCTACACAGACACAGCAGGCACAACGATGAGAGCCTTCGGGAATCACCAAACGGCCGTTGTAGCTGGAAATGTAAAAGACTCACCATGATCCTCGCACCCCAATCCCCTTCTCCAGCTACTGCTCCTGCACCTCCCTTCCCACTACCATGACCGTGTCCTTTACCGACGCCTGTTCCAAGATTCTTCTTCCTCAGACTTCCCCCTCCTCCCACAGCTCCAGACACCTTTGGACTCTTTGGGCTCTTCTGTGCGGGACTTGCCGTCCCCTCCACAAGAGGGCCGCCGGGTGTGCCAGACACCCAGGACCCAGCAGGTGGTAAGCAGACCGCACAAAACAGGCACTGCATTGTAGCAACAACGCCCAGGTCGCTCAGTAACGTGTTGGATGGATCTGCGACGAGGGATGAGGCGCGGAGATAATAGTATAACGGGACAAGAGCGGTGTGGACGTAGCTATAGCGTCTCGCGAACGAGGAAGAGAGCAGAGGGACTGGATGGGTGGTCGGCGTCAGTAGGCGGGCTTTGGGCGAAGGTTGAGCTGGTGTGGGAGGGAGGAGATGGGTTAGAGAAGTAGACATTTTGTAGAACACCCATGAAAATCTGGGCAGCTCGTCGTCAAGGAATGGATGTGAAAGAGACAAGCAATGACGGAGTGTTATTAGGCCATCATGTCTGGCTACAAGGGAATTCGGAGATTTGCTGCTGTCCGCGTCTTGCAGTTTGGGACCTTGAGCATACAAGTAGGATTTCGCTTGGCGAGCTGGACTTCAGCCTCGCAGCCTTGCGTGTCTTGAATAGGTGATTGGAACATCCCTCTGCTAACTTGTCACATTGAACCCTAGGAAGTACTCCGTATTTATTTCAAACTGCGTGTCTTATACTCAAACAAATCGCCGCTCTTCAGGCCGTATGTATTCATACATAAACACTGTTGCCTCGCTCTTCTCTTGTGAGCTTCATCACACCTGTATGGGTATCTCATGCAAACAGCTTCCCCCACGTAAAGCCATCATAACTGAATGCCTGTCAAACCGAGGCCGGAAGAGCCATGTTTCGCCTTCCAATGCCAAAGTTCAGACAAAACTTGTGCCGAAAAAGTCGAAAAGGAAGCACGTTGGTGTGTGAAGTTCAATGAATGCAACACAAACATCAGTTGCCGCTCATATAACAGCCACCTGCTGCGAATCTCTCGCCGTTTCAAATGTATCACGTTGCTCCTCCCGCGGCGTTTCGTAAACATCCTCAAACCCGTCCTCCGCATCCGAATCTTCTGTCCCGCTAAAGCGAGATATTTCTTGTGGTAAAGGGTGGTCTAACTGAAATGGATGGGTTCGATGCAATGTTTTCATTCGAGGTGGGGTGCCAGATAAGTTCTGCTTCGACTCAGGACTAGGCGTCGGATATGGCTCCCTGATGGCCGCGTAGACCGGTGTCCTCAAGCTGCTCATTTCCTTCTGGAGTTCGTATACCTGCTCTTCCAGTTTCTGTCGAGCCGCTTTCTCTTCTCTCATCATTTCCAACAAAGCCTCGAACTTATCAGGAGGAATGTGAATCGAGGACGGCGAAGTTCCCCTCGAACGTCTCGGCGACCTTCGTCTTGCAGTCACGGGCCTAATTGTGGCAGTTGTGGCCTTGCTCGCTCTTTGAGGGTTGAACACGACGTCCACCTCCGGAGAAGGCACGGGGGACTCGCCAGGAGAAGACAAGAAAGTAAAATCCTGGACTCCACCGGAAGAAATGTAGCTCAGATCATTCGATGATCCGCTTGTCAACGTCAAGTTCGTCCTGTTCGGCTGGAACAGGTCGCGTATGGAGCCTCGACTGAAAGGCCTTGGATTTAATCTTGGATTCGGCAGGTCGTTGCCTTGGAGCTTAGCCAACGCAAATTCAAAATCGAAGAGCTTGATCTCCAGCGTATTGACCCTCTGCTCCAGCCCGATCTCGTCTCGTTCAGGACTTCCGAGACCGAAATCAAAAGTCTGCATGGGGTCTACGGTGGAACGATCGTGCTCTGATGCCGCCATGGTATTGTCTGGCCCCAAGACATGTGTGGGATCTACTGAGATCGATTGGCCACTGTACACGGGCACAGGATTTTGGATGGCACTATTGCGCCAGTAAGCGATTTCGCCTGCTCGATCACGGTTCGATGGGCGCTGGATGTTGCCTTGATGAAGAAGTTCGTTGAGTGCATCAGCGCTCCTAGATCGCCGCTTAAACTGACCGTCCGAGACACAGTCTTCTTTTGCCCTCTGTTCCACTGAAGACGGTTGCGGTGCAGGCCAATCAACAATTGCCGGCACGAGACTCGACTGTATGTCACTGAAGACTAGACTAGGTAACGTGTTGCGGCGCCCGCGCCGTGGAGGAGGCGGTAAGCTCTGGTGGACAGCTTCAAATTGCGGGTATGCGGTGGAATGTGAGGTGAGAGCGGCACCGCGCAAGGTTATCTCTGCTCCCAGTGGAGGAGCCGAGTCCAGTCGTGTTCGAACTGGTTGCTCTGTGACGGGCTTGAGATGTCCAGAATCGCCATAATGAAACCCAGTTGTATCGGTAGGTACGGATCTGTGTTTCTTGCTCGAGAACATGCGCTTGAGAGTTGCGCGCAATCCACTGGGCTTCTTCTGGTTCAAAGATGCCTTCGAGGGAATGGAAGACATGGAGCTGGGAATCAATGATGGTCCGGCAGAGGTTCGAGCACGGGCGTAAGGCGGAACGTCACTGACATGTCGCACATGGGCATCCTGAGTCGCCGTACTTGCCCGCGGCCATGTGGTGTCGTTATGTCGTTGTCCCGAAGGATGTCTGGCGGGTGGCACGGTGCTAGTGCTACTGCTGAAGACTCCGGATTCATTGAAGGGAATTGGATCAGAGATCTTCAGGTCGCCACGGCGCAGAGCGGCACCCGTGCTGGCCAGGGACAAAGATCCAGATCCCTTTGCTTTGTGGTTGGGAGAAGGCATATCGCGAAATTGCGAGGCCGGGCGAATACTACCTCCCAGAGATACCGACCACACAGCGTCAGCACTGGGCGAATGACAGCTGAGGGTATGGCATCATGCTGATGATTCCTGGCTTGAAATTTGCCGGCTTCACAGGGTGTCAACAGACATGGGGAAGCTCGCCTCGATAAGTGCTATCCCTGGCGGTCGCAAGAGTGGCACAATAGCATCTGTCACCGGGATGTCAGTCGCGACAACTGGTCTCACTCAGATCTTCAGACGTCTGGAAGGCTACCATAGGTTTTTCTGGAAGATTAAGATTAGAGCCAAAAGTATATCTAGATAAGGCGGCGACACCAGTCAGAGGGAGGTGGTGAGAAGGAACAGTGGGCCTGAAGAATGCAGGGCCAATGATGACCTTATGAAGGAGCGACCAGGAAGTTCGAAGACAGACGCGGCGCACGGAAACCGAAGGTAAGGCAGACTCGAGACGGACAATGGGGCGAAACAAGAGGAGCAAAAGTCGCAGAATTGCAGAGTTGCAGGTGGTAAATTGAGGGCCGAAGCGGCGGCTTTGAAGAGAAAGAAGACAGAGCTGGCCTCGCCAGAACAACAAACAGACTTTGGATGTGCAAGACAGGTGTGTCTTGGGGTGTAGCCGTATCCTTGTAGATCAATGAATTGGTGTTGGCTTCGGCATCGCTTCGACCCGCATTGCCATCCCAGGCTTCAAGCCGCAAGCCCTCTCTGAAAGGCCGTAGTAGAAAGTGTGACAGTCTCCGGCGTGGCCTAGAATGACAGCTGGCGGTGTCCCACTCGCTCCGGTGTGTTCACAACGGTCATTCTCTTTCTTGTTCCTGTTTCAGCAGCAGAGGAATTGGACCACGGATGATGACTTGGGCGCAGGAGTAGTAGACAGAGTCGGGGGCGCGGCGCAATGGAGGGGCAGGTTCCTGATGGAGACAAGGATGGAAGTGGGTGTGAAGCAGAGTGAGCCAGGAGGCAAGAAAGAGGAAATGTGGGCGTCGAGGGCGTCAAGGCTGGCAGGCCGTCGACCAGTAGTGATAGAGAGCGGCCGATGCGCCCCGGTCACTCATTCGTTAGCCTTGGAGGGGCTCCCTGGGCCTCACTAGGCTTCACTAGGCTTCACTAGACCTGCCTAGGTACGATATTCTCTGGGTGCCCACTGCCCAGGATTGCCCCTTCTCAGCACGTCCAAGCAACTAGACTACAAACTGCTACCCCAGCTGCTACTAAGAAACTAGGGATCTTCCTCGCCGCGCACTTGAAGGATGGCATTGCACCCGCATCCTCTCCCCTATATCGAGTACAGCCTAGGGTGCTTCATCCCGGCGAGAACAATTTACTTGTTGTATTGTCCGTGGCGAAAGAAAAAGTCACCTGCTGGCCCCCGACCAACCATCAGCTGTCGGCGCTCCCTCGATCCCCCTCCACCATCTTGTCCATCCCACTAACGAACTATCTCCATCCTGACGTGCCGGTTGGCTGCAGCCGATATTGCCTCGTTCTCCCTCCTGACTGGTCAACAGCAGTTCGTGCGCTCCCGCAGGCGTCGTGGCACCTACCCATCTCACCGCACAATCCTCCTCCCATCTACGCGCTGATCCCCCCCTGCGGTCGACAAACATACCACGGAGTCTCCGGGAAGCTGAAGGAAACGGACGATGAAAGAGGAGGGTCAGAGAACAAGTGCGACCACCTGGTCGGACGCTACCCCCGCCAACTATACCCTGTCGAGCATGACCACATGTCGGGCCTCCTCCAAGCTGGCCAGTCCACCCCTTCCCATCCTGCTCAATCCATTGGATTCAACCCGACTACCCCTGCGCCATGCAGCGATGCAAGTCATTTTTAGCGCGGAAATACCCGTTGCGACTGAGCTCACGCAGAGGCAGCCGCTCACGTCGCTGTTTCGAAATCATACAAGCGAACTTGAAGGGTAGTCTGGGACAGAAACATCTCTCTCTCTCTCTGGAGCACACCGGAAGTCGCGCCAGAAATGGCCAGCCTACACCAAACCCAAATTCCCATCGGCCAAGATATCAACACGTGCTCGGTGAACAGGGAGAGGAAGCGGTAAGGCTGGCACGGCTGGCCAGGGTTTTACTGCGCAAGATCAGAAGCCAGCGGCATGCCCGCTTCGCCACGACCGACTGGCTTGGAGGTCCCCGCTTATTGCTAATCAGCGTCCATGGCAGGGAATCTCTGAACTCTCAATAGGAACTTTGCTGAACTTTTGCGAAGGGCGTCTGCTCTCGAGAAGCGCGAAATCGAGCCTGATTGGCCTCGTCTTTTTCCGCTTTTACGTTGTCGCAACGAACCCTTATCTTGGCTCTTTGGCCCTCTAGTCAAACACTGCTGTCTTCTCGCCGACAGAAACCACGACGCTTTCTTTTCCCCTTCCATTGGCTTCCTTGCGGCAATCGAAGCTGTGTTCTAGCATCTTGCCGATTTCCCGGGCTGCTCACGAGACTTTAGAACAGAGATCTCCACCCTGGATTTGGTGACATGGCAAATTTCGGCCCCGCGACGCGTTTACTGAGGATTCCATGGCGACGTCTGCAGTGGGGGCCTGATTGATCCTGTCGCAACAACGGGCTCCGTGGATCACAACAGTATTGACACCGGCGCTTTTTCCGCTCGCACAGATACAACATTCCATCGACCTTGCAAGGCGCCCAATTGTGTGTATAAATGGTAGGTCCCTGATTGACGAATCTTATGTTGATTGCGTGGTCAAATCGGAAATGCAGCTGTGACGGAGCTCTTGGGCCTGCAACCAGCCAATGACCCTTCAAATATCGGTTCATTTGTTGAGGACATCCCACGTCAGACCTGTCGCCTCGACATGAAACTGGCTCACCAGGGCCCTTCGTATGCGTTTCAAATGTCCCTGATGCAAACCAATACGAGGCGTGCATCCCACTGGTACGAAGTTCGTTTGCGAGATTTGCCGACGTCGGGTCTGGATGATCCAGGTCACGAGCCCGACTTTGAAGATCTCAGAATTGCAGGATGCTGTGCAACAACGCAAACTACCCGAATTCCAATTCGTCAATGTTTGGATATCTCAGATCAGCATGGTTATCCAAGAATTTCATCCACCTCTTCAAAAAGGGGCTGCCTCGAGACACGGTCTCTGAATCGCCAATCACGCACAAATGGCGTTTTGGTCGGGTCATTGCAACTGAAGACAGCAATTGTCAGATACCTCTGTACACAGAAAGCCTTGATCTCGCCGGCAGGATACCTGCCTTGGCGCAAAAGCAAGGATGCAACAACCACCGGCCTTTTGCAGACGCACGCAAAAGTACACGGAGCGCAATGAAGGACTGTATAGGGAGATTGGACCTACCATTTAATCTCCTTTTCTCGCCCAAGAAGCCCACCTCCTTTTCAGCGTTGCTTCTGACCAGACTGACAACGACGGCTTCCTTCTCCCGGCCCTGGAAGCCATCCACACTGCCCAGCTCAAGGCTTGGATATTTCTCCTTGAGCAATGAGCTGAGAATAGCAAGCTGAGCGTTGTAAGGCGTTATAACTGCGATGTCTTCGTCCCTGACCCCAGCTTCAACCAGATTTTTCACATGCATGGCAGCCACAGCCGCTTCCATTTCATTGCACTTACTGTCTCCTAGCAGGGTCGATTTGTGAACCTGGCCACTTGAGTCGTCCTCTGTCTTCTCTGGAAAATCACCTCCTTGCGTGTCGAAAAACACAAGTGGTTCGATGGTGTCTTCGGTCTCTTTTACTTCGTATGGCAGATCTCTCAACAGTCGAGATTTAACAGAATCGGCTGCGACAAGCTTCCCTTCATACAGCTCATCGCTAGAGAACCACATTATTTTTTCATGCATTCGGTACTGCGTATTCAGCAGCCTCTTGATCCCGGATCCGTGCCTGGCCAGGAGCCGGTCAAACATTGTTGTTTCCAAGGACCAACTCTTCGCTGCCTTTAATTCTTCGTGTTTGACAGACAACTTGGCCAATTCTTCCTCCAGAGTTTTGATCCTTGCTTTCTTTCCCTCCTTGGTGTCTTTGTTATCTGCGCTCTTGACCGTCGGCGTCAACTGCAGATGATCACCCGCTAATACTAGCTTTTTCACGTTTGCTCCTCCGAAGACCAGCGGAATCCAGCATTGTGGCTCGAGGGCCTGACTCGCTTCGTCAATCACCACGACGTCGAACGCCTGATTGCGGATTTGATAACTCCCAGCACCGTGGAGTGTCGACAGCACCACCTTGCTGCCCGTTACCAGCCCATCTATACACTTCCCTTCCCGCTCGCGGTACTCTTTCCTTAAGTCTTTCAGGTCGGCGTAAATCGCACGCCGTTCACGGCCATTGCGAGTCTTCCGAATTGACGCCTGCTTCGCATCCATTTCTTTGCGCACGTCACTTACAATTCCCGCGGCCTCGCTCGTCCGCGTCAACACTTCGAGCGAGTGGTTCAAGACACTTGGCAAGAGGCGGGCTGGATGACCTAGGCGAACGATTGGAGTACTAGGAGAGGTCAAAGAGAGACGTTCGACGATGTTGTCCACGCTAATGTTGCTGGGTCCGCATACCAGAACACGTTGATCACGCTTGAGAAGCTGCAGGATGAGTTCGATGAGGGTGTACGTCTTTCCCGTCCCAGGTGGACCGTGGATGAGAGCTATCTCTGGTGAGGAGAGGGCGAAACGGACTGCGTCTTGTTGAGATGGATTTAATGTCGGGTCGAAGAAAACGACGTCGTCCGATTGAGACGAGTCAGCTGTGCCTGCGGAAGAGAGGCTCAAGAGGACGCGCTGGAGCGTCGTGTATGACGACTCGGGTGTTTTGAGTAGCCTGGTCAGGGTCTGGTTCATTCTTGAAGCACCTAAGTCAGCCGTGACTGATTCTCGAGAGCCACTGTTGGCAGAACTCACCTCTTGTAAGTGACGTCGTTTGCCAGTTTGACTCTGTATCGCGTGAAAAATCAATAGCCTGTCAGTGCTGTTCTATAGCAGAGTCTTAGAAATGCCAGGGGACGCTGAGGAAACGTACAGCCATAATTTCCCGTCCGGGACCTCTTCGACATTATCGCTTCCGCTACTATCCTTGCCCAGCGCAACCCATACGGCCCTCTCCCCAACGCGGACCACCACGCCTTCAACCCCTTTACCCTTCAACTCTGCAGCTTCTTTCTTCCTCGCGGTCCCTTTCGGGGTCTCCCCGACCCGCACGATATCCCCCGTCCGAATGCCATGCTCCGGCAACTCGCCCTTGGCGTCCTTGCTCACGACCGCCGGGTCGAGACCGAGCTCAACCACGCTGCGGCCCCCGAGCCCAGTCTTGAGGGAGTGGACCGCGAGGTTGAGGATTGCGAGGCCGGCACGGGAAAGTGTCGTGGGGGGCGTGGACGAGAGCAGCAACGACGTCTCGGCGATCTCGGAGTCTTGCTCGAGATTGACCAGATGGAGAAGCGTGGTGAAAAACGCAGCGGGGGAGAGCGCCTTCTCGGCCGCTGAGGGCGCCATATTCTTCGCTTCCCTTCGAGGGGTCTCAGCACTTTGACACCTTGTCTTCGGGAAGAGATAGGAAACAGGGAGATTTTGAATGTAGTTGATGGCCGGAGCAAACAAACAAAGTCCGGTAGTGGCAGAAAGGGTGTAGATTCTCAGGCTTTGATCGTCATCGAGTAATGCAATGTCCTTCTCATTGATGATCACCGTTGTTATATTTGTTAATGATCTCTAGACCTGGGTTTGCAGCGTTGATGGTGTTTATTGTTTTCTGTGCCTTTCTTCGTGGGGTTAAGATGGGCGAGGAATGATGAACTGCGGGGTACAGGAAAGGAACGATGATCGCAATGGCTGAGATTACATGGAGAGAGTCGGTTTCCGTACTCATGTACTCTTCGTGCCAGTTTTTAAAGTGAATCGCGTCGAGGGGCCATCGGCTATGAAAAGAAGAGAAGAAGAAGAAGCCTTGCTTGAGAGTTCGTTGAAAAGTACAAAGTACAATGGAGTCGTCAAACGTAGCCTTGCGCTTCTTGGCGCCGCACGAAATACTCCCCTCTGGTGCCCTTTTTTCCCCTTTCCCCTTTCCCTTTCCCTCTGGAAAAGACCGAAGGAGTCCAGATGCCTTACCAATCGCAGACTTGCAGGAGACACCCATACTGATCGAAGAAAGAGGGAGCCTCCAGTTACGCACCCATTGTATCCCGCGACAACGGGCACTGGATCACACCTGGTCCAGGGTCCTGTGCCACACAACACTATCCTTCACCCTGATCATTGTGAGTATACGGCTTCAGGCTTCTTGCCATAGATGACGGCGCTGCGGTAGATCAGTCAGCTTCGTCAAATCCGGAGTTGGTCACTGACGTACCATGGCCAGTAAGTATACCGTTTCCTCACATCAGCAAGGAACACTTGGACCCGTTCTGGCTCCCAGCCCAAACAACGCGTGAAGACGGCAAGGGTCAGTGCCTCGACGCCCTCTAACATGGCGTACTGTTGATACAGCCCTTCCTCCTTAATCTCGGATCCGACGGCTATCACCCGACAGGGATCTTGAATGGGCTCGACAACCATGTCGAGAAGCCAACCTCTCGCACCAAGTTTCCTAGTTCCTCGAAGTTCAGATCGAGCCTTCGGCCCATCCCGATGATGCCTTGTCGCATCAGACGACACCACTCGTCCACTGCGTTGTCGAGGCTAATCGGAGCGTGGTCGCTTTGCAGGTATGTGGCCAGATCGCGAATCTCGAAGTAGCCCCCTGGCCTGCAGTGTCTACACAAAGCAGAACAAGCGTTAGATGCAAGGTGTGCTTGGGAATTGGGGGTATCGCGGGGGAAATTACCTGAAAGCCTGTCGAAAATACTTTGGGAAATCTGCGATGTTTCCACTGAGCTTGGACTGGCTGTATGAGATTGAAGTGGTCTGGCGGCCATGTCCAGTCGTCCTCGACATCATCAATCTCCCACGTTGCGTTTGGCGGAGCGACCGTGGGTTGGATGGTACTCAAGTCTACACCTAACACGATGGCCTCGAGATGCGCATCAGCCACATCGTTGGCCCAAGTTCCAGTGCCGGCGCCCAGGTCCAAAATTTTCTGGAGCCGCTTGACAGAGGCATAGAAGAGCTGGGCGCCCGCAGCAAGGAACATTGCGCAGTGTTGCAACTCCAGCCGCTCGCGCTCGGCGCAATCGTTGGGCATGAAGTATCGGCGCTCTTTATATGCATGGTGCTCCCGGCCATTTACGACCTGTCAATACTCGACCGGACTGATTGTGTCAGGACAGAATCCTGCTCGAAACCCGAGTCCTCGGTGTCGTACTGCCGCCATCGTTAGCTAGAGTATGTCATACGCTGGGTTTGTCGGTAGTGTATTCGCTGTACCTTTCGTCAGTTACCTACGCAGATTTACCAGGGTCCTACTTTTACAGATGCCTCAGAATGATGGAAACACCATCTAGCCAAAGAACTTCAACGGCAAGTAGCCGAAGCCATGTGGTCAACGCGAGCTAGGAATCGTCCAGTTGCATCCCCGGAAGCGCCTGGATCCCACGCCAACGACCTGCCAGCACATGCATTTGCGAAAGGCACATGCATCTCGATAACCACTGCTAGCGACATACACACTGATTACATGGAAATGATTTCCCCTCTCTCTACCGCCGAACTTCTGCCCAGTTGCGTCTCAAGCTTTACACATCACCGCCGACCCTGCTAGTCCGCAGTCAACTCAGCCTCTCGAGGCAGCATTGCAGTCCCATTTCTCTCTGACAGCTTTCACTCGAATTTGGCACTTGTGGAAACATTGGTGGAGCTACGCCTGAGATGCTCGAGCAGGTCACTGGGTCGCTGCATGTCAGCTTTACCGAGATCCTCGCCCTATTCGCCGCCACCTGGCTGGGTTGGTTCGTCATCTCGACCCTCACCGCATACAACAGACTCCGACATATTCCTGGCCCACCGCTGGCCGCCTTCACAAACTGGTGGTGGATCAAAGCTGCAATCTCGGGGGAAGGGCATCTGACCCTGAAACATGCGTGCGATCGTTATGGTATGAAAAGTCTACATCTGGCAAGGGAGAGTTGGGCTAACAAGTCCAATCCAGGAACTATTGCTAGAATCAGCCCGTACATGGTGGTGACCTCGGATCTAGAACTGTACCGGAAAGCAAATGCGCACAGGATCAATGACTACTCCCGGGGCCCGTGGTACAAGGCGTTCAAGATGGACGCTGAGCGAGAGAACCTTTTCACCGAGCTCAATGACGAGAAACACTCTCTGATGCGTGCAAAGCTTTCTCCTGGGGTGAGTCTCCAAGTTTCAATGTGTGTATCGGGTCAAATTATTGACCAAGGCAACAGTACTCGGGCAAGGATAACCCGGAATGTGAGCCCAGTATCGACCAGATGGTCATGGATGTCATACACTTGATCAAGCGGAAATACCTCTCGGTGGGGTCTAACATCAGGCCGCTGGACTGGGCTCAGCTGGCACAATACTTCACCCTGGACGTGATCACATATCTGTCCCTCGGAGAAGCATTCGGGTTTGTCTCTGACGACACCGACAAATACACCTATGTGAAGTCCATGGAGGACAATTTTCCCATCATGAACGTCTTTTCAGCAGTGCCGCTGCTGTCCGCCATCGCGAGGATCCCCACAGTCCAGGCCAATCTTGTGCCTTCACCAAAAGAGAAGACCGGGTTAGGCAAGGTCAAAGCGTGGGTCATCGAAAGCCATCCAGCAAACAAGCGAGACTAACACATTTTATAGGGTTGCCCGGCAGATCATAGCTGGCCGTTTCTCCGGAGAGAAGGCAGGACGCTACGACATGGTCACTTCGTTCAAGAACCATGGCTTGTCAGAACTCGAGATCTCGGACGAGTCGCTGTTCCAGCTTCTGGCAGGCTCCGACACAACGGCGACCATCGTTCGTACTGGCTTTCTCTCAGTCTTGTCGAACCCGCATGTTTACCGAAAGCTCCAAGCGGAGGCAGCGGCAACCGATATACCCATGGGCAAGATCATCTCCTACTCTCAAGCGCTAAGACTACCGTACCTGCAAGCTTGCATCAAGGAGGCTCTGCGGCAGCACCCAGCTGCAGCCGGCTTACTCCCTCGAGTTGTCGGCGCCCAAGGTGATACACACAATGGCGTTTACCTTCCTCCCGGCACCGAGGTCGCCTTTTGCGCCTGGAACATGCACCGCCACAACACAGAAGTGTACGGCGCAGACGCCGAGATCTTCCGACCTGAGCGCTGGCTCGAGGCTTCTCCTGAGCGCTTAGCAGTCATGGAAGAGGCACACCACCTCGTCTTCGGCAATGGCAGGTTTCGGTGCATGGGCGAGAACATTGCACGGTTGGAGCTGAACAAAATTTTCTTCGAGACGATCCGGAGGTTCGATTGGAGCTTGGTTGATCCCGTGAATCCGATCAAGAAGAACACGAATTACGGGTTGTTCGTGCAGAAAGGCATGCTTGTCAGGGTGAGCGAACTGGAAAGCTAATCCGTGTGGGCTTTTACACGATATAGGGTCTCTCTTCTGGAAGAGACCCTGGTGAGGCTCAGGGTCAAGGGCTGAGAGCAGATGACACCCAACTCTCTCCTTCCGGCGCGAAGTTGATGCCGCCCTGTGGAAGGTCCACATTGGCAATCCGAGCGAGCTTGCCCTATCTTCGACTGGCTATCTTTGGGGCGAAATGCTTGAGAGGGCGAGTCTCCTCCGCAAAGGTGATGAAGGGCAATAGCTTCGGGTGGATCAGACAGGCCTATGTTCCTATCGAACCACAATGGACCACTGCAGTAACATGAGGTTTAGCCCTCTCTTTTTCTGAGGGGTTAATTTATTCTCGGCATCACATGGAGCGGTAAGGGTTCCAATCGGGCCTCAAGGGCTCGGTTATGCTTGCAGGTCGGCAGACATATATTTCAATGAACCAATGTTGGCCTAGGACTTAGTTAAGCAAAAGCTTCGATATTCTTAGCACCCGAAGCTTGGGAAGCGGGATCGTCTCACTACAAGGAGCTAGAAAGGCTGAAAGCAGAACACGAATTAGACGAGATGGACCCCTTCGGGTTTTAAGCCGTACTCTAACACGACAGACCGCAATCTACGATGATGTCGAAATTGACACATGGCAGTCTACATCCGCTATGGGAATTTGAATTTGCTGTTTTCCAATGAGAACCATCATCTTTGAACAATTCAGGTTAATTGATACAAAGAAGTTGTTGAACAAGGGAATGCCTTGTGTTGTCCGATCCACTGTGAGACAGAATCGTCGAAGGCTGCACAAAGTCTGAAGACAGCGTGTGCTTCTGTTGCTCTTGATATCACAGCAGTCTGACAACTTCTGCAGACCCAGACAAGGCAGACTGCTTGCCATGTCCAGACAACATACTCAAGGAGTTTTGTTCTTCGCGACGAAGTTCCAGCGATGAAATAGCCTGCAGGGACAACCAGTAATAGGTTTTGAGTTTACTGGTTTTACCTAGGACGGCAGAGACACGAGTTCGCCTTGGTTCCAGACATTCGTGTTGCAAAATCCCTTTTGCTTACCATGGGTGCTAAATTTCAGCCTTTGCAAAGTCTACCCGCTGGTGCATCGATCTTATGATGCCGAAATCTTCAGATACTCCCAATGACTTTCGTGTTTGACCAGCCCAGCAGCATCAGTGGCGGCGATACACATCTTGGGATGGCGGCCCCATGCATACACGAGAACGGTGAAGTTGCTGTGCGGAAGATACTTATGGCCGAACTCTGGAACTATTCTCGCACTTGCGGAATGAGTGTGCCCAACGCAAGACTTAGAGGGAGGCAGATCTCATCGCGCAGACACTGTCGATATTCGTTCTTGCGTCACTTACAAAACAAATCATTTCCTTACCGGATATCGATTCAGCTAGTGTACGCCTGAACAGTCTGGGGTAGTCTCGATCGCCACAATGGCCATCCTCATTGTTGCTATCCTTTTTGTTTTTCCATTGTTATGCAGACCAGTCTGGTGTTCCATCCCAGGCGTTGGATTAGGCATCGACTATGTCGGAGTTTATCCTGACGCAGTGGGCGACAGCAGTTGTCCTGAAGGATATGTCGGCAATTCACACTGCTGTCCAACCGCATATCCAATTGACCACTTCAATGAAGACCTGTGCACCACGTTTTGTTGTGCGGATGAGTGTAGGTAGTCCCCCGTGTGTCTTTGGACTTCATAGTGATCTGAGATTGCTGACATGGTCTCTAGTTTTCCAGACCGATTGCACGGCTCCCTTGACAAGCTGTAAGTTGAGCCATGGCATGACGACGTATTGCCGAAGAGAATTTCTCATGATACTTACTTCCCTCCTAGGCCCTACCTGTGTCGACCCATCATTGCAACTCTGGGTCAATATAGCAGACTTCCCTCAAGATACGTGCGCAAGCACAACTCAATATACTTGCTGTCGAGAGGGCTATCAAGCGAGCGGCCTGGGCGGGACATGCACCAACGATCCACTGCACTTTTACAAGGGCTATGTGAAGGTAAGTCGATGTCAAGCTGTTTAGGAACAGGCAAAAGTATCCGCACCCTTGTTGAATTTGAAGCTGATTGTACAGTGCACAGGCAGGAAAATGTGGGGTGCATCTAGGTCAAACTGCTCCTACACCGAGTGCGAATGTTACTGCCACAGTAGATTGTGACAATAGTGGCTCGGGACTCCAGTAAGAGCGCCGCAGAGACGATCTGTCTCAGGTAGAAAACGATGGCTGTGGCTAATTTATTACTCTGTCCATTAGATCCTACTTGAGCTGCTTGAGCACAATCCAGCCATGCTCGACAACCTTGACGGAATCGGCGGTAATTTCTTCATGCGAGTGCTCGTATGCCAAAGCTGATCTTGCGTAAGTCTCTGACTGTGCTATGGTCCCCCGCTTCTCTGCCTCCCTCTCTGATGGTCTTCATCAGTATATAACCTGCCTAACTTGTCATTCTTTCCGTACAGATGCAAGACCACCATATGTGGAGATACGGGCAGCTCATTCACGGCAGGCGAGTCTCTCAGCTCCAAGTACTGCGGTGAGGCTGCACCTGTTTCACCCAGTACTACGCCGACCACCACAAAGAACTCAACAGAAACTACTTTGCAGACCACCACAGTGAGCTCAGCAACAAGTACTGTACTTCTCACCTTGACCACCACAACGAGCTCAGCAACAGATACTCTGTAGGCACCCACAGGTGCCTTCGACCGCAGGAAGAGCAGCTGTTACCCCGGCAAGGGAGACGAGTGGCTGATTTGATTGGGATTGCTGCTGAGGTGGTTTGTTGTTGCTGTAGCCGGGTTGGCCAGTGCTGTTAGCTATGAGACGCAAGGCTTAGCAGGATCTAGTAGGGACTGCGCCATGCACACGGTGCCGGCAGTGCTGTGGCGGTGTTAGGTCTCTCTCTCAAACCAACGAAGCGCAATCAATTCCTGGGAATGAATGGCACCATCGCACCACAACTCTCTGAAGAATTACCAAGTGCTTCTGCGGGTCATGGGGGTTGAAGCTGGGATACTTTCGGACAGCCAAATAATCGAGATTAAGCCCTCAATGGGCCAGAGCGCGACCGAGAGTCGCTATTCACGAGACTTCTGAGGACAATACTTGTGAGTGTAGGATCTATGGCAGACCTCAGGGGTAGTTTGTACCAGTTGTACCCGGTATATATCGCAAGTCCGGTCCCATCATCTAACAATACCACAGTAGTTAAACACGATCTAGTTGATACTTACTAAAGCAGGGGTGGTGGGGGTGGAGGTGGTGGAGGCGGGGGCGGCGGGGCAACTAGACCAAAGGAGTGCAGCCTTCTTCTACCTGTTCTATATAGTAACTCAAAGCATTTCTGCAGTCCACCCTCAATCTACCCGGCCGCAGTGGTGGAGCGAGATTTTCGTTTCTTCAATGCTGGAAAATTGGGGTCCTCAATCTTGTGTGAGAGCAACCATGGGGGCAATGGTGCGTGTCGACTGGACACCTAGCGCCAGCAAGCTCGCCGTGATGCTAGCCATATGTTGCCTTGTTGTTCTAGTGACCGACTACGCCCGAATACTCCTCTTGCGAAAGAAAATGGTACGCTTTTCTTTCAATCTCCCCACCTCCCCTTCCCTCTCCCGCAAATGTCTTCATTGATATCTTTCAGCCACCTGGGCCCTTTCCATGGCCGGTCATCGGGAATACTTTTCAGCTCCCCGACACGAAGCCGTGGGTCTACATCGAAGAACTCTCCAAACGCTACAAGACCCCCATTGTCACTTATTGGATCGGCCGCAACCCGACCGTCTGGATTTGTGACGCCGGGGCTGCTGCAGAGTTACTGGACAAGAGGGCCGCAGTCTACTCGTCGAGACCGCGGATGATTGTGTTTGGCGAACTGGGCCTGGGCCAAGACAACATTGTGACCATGTACTACGGCGACCGATGGCGACTGCATCGAAAGTTGACCCATATGGGCGTGGGCCTGCAGCACGTCCAGAGCTACAGCGGGTTCCAGAACAACGAGAGCAAGGTCGTCGCCATGGATATGCTTGGAAACCCTGGCGCCTTTGTTCGGCACTTTGAACGTTACGCAGCGTCCGTCGTCAGTATCATTGGATTCAATCGACGCATCACCAGTCAAGCCGACCCTATTATCACTGAGGTGATTGCCGTCATGCAGAAAGCGGCCGACCTCAACGTGCCAGGAAAGACCTTCCCTCTACTTATGGAAACTTTTCCAGGTAAGATGTCAACCAGAAAATGACGAAAAAGTGTCAAGACTAAGCAGTTATTACTCTAGTCCTCGCAAAGTTTCCGAACTGGATGGCCCCGTGGAAGCACGGCCTGGGAGGTGGGAAAGGCCGCGGTAAGTCCTTTTACTATGCGTTAGCGGATGAAGCGGCCAGCAAAGAGAATCATGGGAACTGTTACGCAAAGAGAATTTTCGAGGAAGCTCGGAGGTACAACCTCAACGACACCGAGATTGCTTCGCTGAGTGGGAACCTCTTCGGCGCCGGAAGCGATACGTCGTCTTCGACCCTCGTCACGTTCGTTCTCGCCTGTTGCGCCTTTCCAGAAGTCCTCCCAAAGGCCTGGGACGAGCTCGACCGTGTGGTCGGCCCTCACCGGAGCCCGGGCCTGAATGATCGCGATGACCTCCCTTATATACGCGCTTTTGTCAAGGAGGTTTTCCGGTGGCGTTCGGTTGCCATTGTCGGCGGCCAAGCTCACGCGCCTATCCGAGACGATGTCTATAAGGTAAGGGTTTCTCAGAAGATATTTCTCCCTTCGAAAAGGGCCTTTTGATGCTCCCCCCCCCCTCCCTCTTTTCTGTTCTCACCACTTTTGCAGGGCTGGTATATTCCAAAAAACACCTGGGTCCAAGGTAATGTCTGGGCCATTCACCGAAACGAAAAGGACTTTCCGGAACCCGATCGGTTCTGCCCCGAGCGGTTCTTTGAGAGTCATCCGCTCCATCGCCCCTTTCCGAATCAGAAGGGTTACATGACGTTTGGCTGGGGGAGGAGGGTCTGCAGCGGCCAAGGGCTTGCCGAGCAAGGCACGTTCCTGAATGTCGCAAGGATGCTATGGGGCTTCAATATCCAGAAAGCGCTGGACGACAAAGGCGTGGAGATTCCCGTGGACATTTTCAAGTACACGTAAGGGCTTATTGTTTTACTCGGCCGTGCTTTTGGCCCACCTTTAACTGACATCGTTCGGCAGGAATGGGTCGAACATCCGTCCAGAGCCCTTTGAGTGCCGCATCACACCGAGAACGCCAGAAATCAAAGAGACCATCATGCGCGAAGGCCGCCACGCGCTCGAGGACCTGTCGCAGTATGACGGCCAGACCAAGTACCGCATGAGCACATATTATTTGCAGGACAACCGATAAACCCGAGGCGGTCAAAGGAGCTGAAGCGCCAGCATTGAAACACGGCGTAGGGAGTTCGAGAGTACGAATTGGAAAACTCCTGAGAAGCAGCGTCTCCCAAATAGTCTCCCCCACCCCTTCCCGCCTGGTCAATCTGCGTTGGATTCCTCCAAAAGCCTACGAGCAGTCTGAAACTGCTCGAACAGGGTACGCGATACAGGCCATATGGTGGTTCCGCCCAATAGTTCTTCGTAGCCGCGCATGATGGTGCTGACGTCGTCGCAACCGTGAATGCCACTCCCGCGGAGCTCGTGGGCCGTTTCCTTGACTGTTTGTTGGAATAGGGGAAAGTTGCACTCCCGCATCAGGACCGGTTGAGCCCTCTTCCGTCCAAGCGAATACCACGCAAACAGGAAACACCCCTCTGCGCCGGACAGTTGCTGGTACGCCGCGTACCTCAGCTGGCCGATTCGGTTGATGTGCTTGATCCCGTGACGGGCTCGGAGACCCAGAGACCGCACCGCCCGAACGAGTTCTCGCTCGAGCAGTGCCGGGTCGAAAGCGAACGTGCTTGTCGCGAATTCCACGGGTGAAACACTTGCACGTGGGGACCGCACCGTCCGTCTCATCCATCGTATCTGGTTCCCACAGACTAAGTTGTAATAAGCAGAGTTGAGAATGGCTAGTCCGTCGACCATGATTGGATCTAACCCTGCTCTGCTTGGAGAGTCTTGCTGGTGTATGCGCCAGCTATCCTCCCAGAGTCTGAGAGCGTTGTCGAGCAAAGTCACGGTGTCACAGATGCTGCTGGGTCGAGGGCCGGTCGGTAGAAGGTCTATCGAACAGGCGCGACGCTGCAAGGCAGCTATTACCGTCAACAGCCCAAACGAGCCAACATGCTCCGACACCGGTCTCCCGTGCAGAAGATCGTGGACCGCTTGACACAGCGTCGTTTGTGGGCGCGTAGGGGGTTTTCTAGCCAACCACGCAGCTTGCGATGCCATCCACTCTTCTGTCGGCCCGGGGAGCGGGACGTCGAGGGTGCTGATGCGAATGTCGAACACCGCTCCTCCCTCGAGAGATTGCAGCATGGCCGCCGTGACGATGGACCATGCGACACAGCGGATTGTGGCCTGCTGTTCCAGCCACCGCGTCCACGACTCTTCAGGCGTCTTGCTGATATCTCGCACCACGTCCGGGACAATGTCTGTGATGGTGGCAAACCATTGATTCGCACGCCGCCTGATGGAAGCATTGCCACCAAGTGCTGCGTACAGGCAGAGGAGAAGTCGGGCAGGCAGCTCCCATGCGCTATGCCGTCGACAGTCCTCTTCTCCTATGTCCAAGTTCTCGTCATATCTGGCCAGAAGTCTTTGGGCGAGAGAAAATAGGCCGGAACTGACGTCCGCCTCGTCCAAGTATGTGGCGCCCAGCGAGAGAACCGCCAAAATGAGGATCGGATGAGCGGTTGAGATATTGAAAGTCTGCAGGGGCACGATTGGGGCGTGCGGGTCGCAAAAGCGGCTGTAGGCCCGAATGTATCTCGTGACAGCGTAGCGCGACGGCAAAGAAACGTCGTTCAGTCCATGGCCTGCGCTCAAGAGCGCGAGGTTGGCTTCAGCGGCACCAAGCTCAGCTTCGGAGACAACAACCAACAGCTCGTCCGAGGCCGGGGCGGTGCTGCGCTGGTCCTGAAGTCGGTATTGGGCCAGGTGGCTGTTTGGCAAGTCATCCTCCAAGGTCGCTGTGGCTGCTTCCGGGCAGAGCGATGAAGGAGGCGAGGGATCTGGAAACACCCAATCTTCCAGAAAATCCAAGTTGAGATGCTCACCCCCAAGACCATCGGACTGACCTTCCGGCAATCCTGATCGTGGGCAGTCGGCTTCAAGCGCCAATGCAGAGTCTGGAGCCAAACAAGTTCGAATACCTTGGGCCTCCTCGACTTCCTCCGAAGCACAGGGATAAAGATCGTCAGTCCTCTGCAGCAGGGTCTCCACGGCTAGTTGCGGATCTTCATTGAAGCCTCTTTCCTGCGCACCGATGGCCTCGGGTTGGCTCGAAGTTCGATTGACATTCTGCTGGACTAAAGGTGCAGCGGATCCCTGCAAGTCTTGTAGCAAGTCAGCCTCAGATCAATCCTGACGGTGTCGTGACGAGCTCGCTCGGTCCGCAAGGCCTGATGGAACCTCTGACCTCCGGACGTAGCCTCATTCCCCAAGTTCAAGGCCGGATGAGATGTGCGTTGGTGTCTCAGAATCACGTCCTTGCGTCCCGAGGACATGCCACACGCCGGGCATGCGAACGGCTTTTCACCACGGTCTGCCCTTTCGTTTAGCCCAAGACCCGCAGACCGAGGGAATACACTTGCGAGATCGTTGGTGGCGACGGAGATGCTCAGCTCGGCCAAACCGCTGAGGGCAGCTCGGACACTTGAAGCTACGCGATATTCTCGAGTCGCCGGCCATTACTGTAGTAGAGCACTTCGACTATGTCAACGGTGGAATACACTTCTCATACTGGTGGCGTGGTCTGGAATCACATTTAAGACGTGAAGGGTCTGGGAGCCCCATCCATCAAAGATCGGCTAGTTAATTAATTCGCAATGGGAGCAAGGGATTTCATGGGGCTGCTGGCTGGGCCAAACTACCTCTGGCTCGGGAATAAGACGACAAACGTGGTTTGGGATGGTTAGAAGCCACATCGCTGTGGGGCTAGTCCTTCCTGAAGGGCACCCAGAAGAACACAGTCTGTTATCTACTACCTCAGCTTTAGTTCAGTCCTAGACCCAGAGTCTCACGTCTAGTCCGTGAATTCGGGTCAAGGTAAGGCATCAAGCCGATTCCAGTGGAACGGCTGGCTGTTCGATTTCCAGGGACCAAGTGGTTGTCAGGCTGTTCGCCGTCAGTAGTCGTCGCAGAAGAACCGTCGAGGCAGGCACGTTACCGTAGCGGCATGCATAGTACATTCATTGCTCCAAATTGCAACAGCCTGTTCGGTCCAGTGCATCCTTGCAATGCAGTCGTGGTTGGTCGTGATCAGTCTCGTGATATAGTCACGGATGAGTGCGTCCTCGTGGGCGTATACATCGTTGATTTTCATGCAATGGATGCCGGTTCCGGCAAACAGAGCCTTCCAACCCGTGACTGGGTGCGTTCGCACCAAAGGATGGGTATGAACAAACGTATTGCCGACGTTGAGAGGAGATCCACGGGGCTCCATGATCTCATAGCCACCTTCCTCGCTGGCTCTTGACAAGACTGGTTGACCGCATGTCTGGGTCAAGGTTTCCAGGTAACCCCTGAAGCTTGGTGAAATGCGGTCATATCTGTTCCAGCATGAGCTTTTCGTTCTGCAAGTTCAGTGATCGATTCTGCTAACATTTCGTACATGTTCACCCAAAGGGTGTCGCCGCCCGTCGGAGCAGTCGATTCCATACGCAGGAAGCTAAAGTCTGCAGGGTTTCTCTCCCAAAGCACTGTGGAACTCGGTTAGCCGCCACTTGCATTATGCCGAACACAAAACCGCACAGTCACTGTGCCATTCTCTCCCGAGATCTCTGGGCTCTGGAGACTTATGGAGATTGGGGTTTGGGATGTGCTTGTACATCTTCTTTGCTGCTTCAGTGTTGATCATGTAACTTCCGAAAAGTATCAGCAGAGTCGACGACGAGGGTGAGGGTATTATACATCTCGGCGTCTTTCACTCCATCGGCCATAGGGAGATAGTTCGGATCCCTGAAGATCGGGAAAACATGCAATCCGTTTTCCGTTGGTCTCCTCGTCAGTTTCCCGAGAAGGTCAGTGATGCGTTTCTGTTCCTGGATTGTCAAGTCGTCCTGGCGTGCTCGAAAGAAGACGACTCCGCGCTCGCAAATGGTGATTGCAAGATCACGAAGCTGCTGTTCGAAGTTCGGGGCGAGCAAGATATCCTTGAGCTTGGCTTTGGGATATTCACGACCGATGAGTGGTGTCACATCGACATATTCAAGATAACCAATCGAACCAGAATTCTTTAAAGGCTCGTAGAGCAATCCGTTGCCGGCAGAGACCGAACTCATTGTGTTTGATTTCTCCGTCAACAGAAGACGTTTGCCAGATTGGACCCGAAGGATGTGATTCTGGTCTAAGGTCATATTTGTGCTATTTGTATCTTTGATGGCGCGGGGGGGCGGGGGTGGGGAGAGAGCAATCGTTGAGGAGCTGGTATCGGCGCCTGATTTGTTTTGGCTGAACGAGCCATCGTTCATTAAGGAAACCTGGTGCTTCTCCGTCGGTGGGGGTAACAAGCGGTAGGGTCTCGAATGCTCACCCGTCTTCACTGAGCAGTAGTCGAAACGACTAAAAGAAAAGGCAGTTGGTGCAGGGGATTGGTTTCGATTCTGTGGCAGAAGACTGATATGGCATTTCAAGCGTTTGTGAAGTTTCCGTAACAAGCAATGCCATATTAACCAAGTCCTGGTTTATTGAAACCATCATGACATTCCTTTGCTTGTCGCGGAGACCCCCAGGCGCAAGCGTGTGGCTGTCAGGCGTCTCACCTTCCTTGTCCCGCAGTTGCTGTCTCAATATACTCAGTCCTAGACAGTGCAGTAACTGGCCCACATTCGCTCCGGCAGCCCTTCAAAGCTCCTTGTCTCCATGCGAACAAGCAGTCAGGGGTGACCGGTTCGGGGCTGGATGAGTTCATATATGTATTTGATTCCAGACACATAAATCATAGTCGCTGACAATCAGAAGCTCCTGAATTAGGCTGGTGTCAGTGTTGACATGGTTTTCGACTTCGCTCTGTGCCATCGGCAACATTGTTCATGGTAAGGTACGAACACAGAGACGTGGAGTGAAGAAGAATGCTTGATCAAGGAGCGGCAAGGATTTGATTAGCTGATCGACCCAGGCGACGCGATTGGCTGAGGTACGAAGGGGTCACGTGGATTACCACACTAGAACCTGCATCGGCGTTGATATTGGCCGATGGCCTCGGGAAGTGAGAAAAACTTCGTCATTTGAAACGGCACACAGAATGTCAAAACGCACAGCATCTGGACCCGTCGCTCATCATTCTCTCTCATTTCGTGCCATAGCTACATGCTATTTACTACTCTCGATCCTGCACAGGCAGTGCTGAGCTACTCATAGCCAGCACTGCCCATGAGATGCTCCTAAGGCTGTGATTCATACAGCCGATCCCTCGAGTTTTCGCTTTATATTTCTGCACCCCTGCTGAATTTCGTCCCCCGATGATGGTACTACCAAGTTGCTGGAGTTGAAGTAACCGTCACGGAGGCATTGGCTGGCAATAGGCACCCACTCTCTACGTCTACTTACAACATGGCCTCTACAGAAGATCCTCCGAAACATGATCCCCCGCATGGAGATGCACCTGAACCCTCCCAGTCGTGGTCATATCCCACACGAACCTGTCGACTCTGTCTTGAGGAGGTACCAGCCACGGTGACCCTCTACCCTCCCGGTCTCCCTCCGGCCTTTCAACATCCCGTGGTTGAATACAAAAATGAAGATGAATACGGCCGGCTGATCAAGCCATGCCATTGCAGAGGAGGCATGCGGTACATACACGAGCTGTGTCTGAGGCGGTCTAGGACAGAAGGCGTTCGGCCCGGCTCGCTTTGGAAATGCCACGAATGTGGGTATCAGTTCAACTTCAACAGACTCACCATCCAGAAGTATCTCGGCAGCAAAACCGCTTCGGGGGTTTTGACGGCGTTGGTCATGCTAGTGTTTGTGTTCCTCCTCGGGTTCATTGCAGATCCTATCCTCAATCTCTACACCGATCCATACGAGACAATCGTGGGCCATGAGGATGTGTGGCAAGCCGTCGATGTCAACGACTCAAAAGGAAGCCTGTCAGGCTGGGCTCAACATTTCATAAAGGGGCTGGTTTCGATGGGCGTGCTGAGCTTCTTGAGGACCATGATCCTCAATCCTTTCCAATGGTGGAATCTCAGAAATACTGGACTCGTTACTGGCAGGGTTTCCGGGAGATCTGCTACTGGTCGGGACCGCGCTGTGAACATCAGCTGGATTGTGGTGGCTATGGGAATTCTGTCGGCGTCGTATTTCTTCTACCAGTGGGTGCAAGCCATCATTGGCAAATCACTCCAACGCATCGGGAACAACATCGTTGACACGCAGCTTCCTGGGGATGATGACGACATTAAACCGCCGCCAGGGTTCAGATTTGAAAACACCCATCCGGACACGGCCAGTTCTGAGGCAGGTCCCCGAGAGGATGACAATCTGCAAGCAGGCCAGGACGAAGACACCACCAAAGTAAAGGAGACTGATGCCCTTCCCGTCGAACCAGGTGTCATGCCTGGGACTTGGGAGTCCAGTGGATACAGTTCTGCATTGGACGACGCTCAGAGACAGGGCTGGTCATTCAGAGGGCTCTAGCCATCGGCCTTGGTACCCTGGTTGATGGCCCTCTCTGTGTAATCTAACTACTGAATGCTTATCACTATCTCACCATCGCCCAACTTTGAGTTGTCACATCTGTTTCAGTGAAGTGCCAATCAGTCAGTGCGCGAAGAGCAACAGCATTCCGCCTCGGAAATCCGTGGGCGTCATGTCTTCGATTTCAACAGGCGGCTTGTCAGGCCGAAGGCTCCCCTCAAAGCTCGCCCAGTCCATGGCCTGCGACGGGAAACCTTTGGTAAATTCATGATATAAGTGTCCAATGCTGTCAGAGCATGTCTGCCATGGGTGATTAATCGCCTTGACTCGGTGACTCTTGATGGAGCTGGATCCGGGTGAGGCAGTGAATAAACACCATGAGCCATCACGATGCAACCAGACGCCAGTTCCCATGTTTCTCTTGTTCTTGCTTTGCTTTCCATGTTATGGTGTGAACTGAGCCTGCTCAACGTTTCTCGGCCTGATTGCTGCTTCCTTTGGTGATTGCGTTTCGGCGTCCTCTGTCCAAGGTCCGAAGAAGTCGACTCAACTGCACCTCAAGCATCTCTCTTGCGATCGATCCTTGGTCTTCGTCTTCGATGGCGAATTCTGCTGACGCTATAGAGACTGACCTCTCTGCACTGTTCGACCGGTATCCGGACATTAACTTTGACACGACGGGAGATGGCGTCGCAAGCTCTGCAATCAGCGAGCATTTCTCGTCGCCATGTTCAAACGCCACAGACCACGATGATACCCCCGTCTCGAACGACTCGGTTTCCACCGCCCACACCACACCGCTTCGGCCAAGCCTATGCTCTGCTGCGGCATTGGAGTTTCCGACATTAGAACTCTTCCTCGAACAACTCGCCGTGGCTGATCTCCCGGTGACATGCAAGGAAGCGTTCGAGAGCCTTGCACAAGATGTAGCTGGGCTGGGTTCGTTATTGGGGCCTACCAAAGGTGATCATCCTGGGGGTTACGCCGCATGCAACAAACAAAAGATACTCGAGCAGATCCGGTTGTTGGCTGCTCGGCTTCAGCAATCAGTTGACAATGTCACGGACAATATCAACAACGTCGACTTTGTCAAGACGCGGGCTCCATTTACCGCTGAGCCTTCAGAGCAAGATCTTTGGTGCATCTATCGACAACGCGCCGTACTTATTGCATGGTGAGTACCAGGCTTTGACAAACATGTCTCGAGATGCTGATCGCAATGCAGGTACGCAGCCTTGCCCTGCCGGACAGAGCAGACGATGTTGGAAGATCTGACACATATCTTTGATTGCTATGTTTATCACCCCTTTCTGCAGCTTCTAGGCATGGAAGACGTTGATAGCGATGTGCAGGAGGCGGTTAATGGCCTTTATGACACTCTGATGACGCTGCTGCACCTCTACGCCAGATGGATGAACACCATGAAAGACATTAGAGTGGATCACATGCGGCCGCTGATGAGAAGGATACGGAGGTCTCCACAGGTGCTGGAGGAAATATTTGAAGCAGAGCATCTCGGCGAGATAGTCAAGGCATCAATGGGGGATTCAGAGGCACCAGGCATGCAACCAGCTGACGAGAGAGTTATCCAAGAGCTCAATCTGAGTATCGGTCGACGGAGAGCGGCAATTCCCCCCAGAGCCGGACGGAGATATCGACGGGAACACACTGTGTAGGGGACATCGTTGAAGCGCAGTCAAGGGCATCGCTCAAGACTGTGCGGCGCTTGTCATTCTCGGATGGTATTGGGAGTATGTCTAGTCAGACATGTGGCTTCCAGCGATATCTTTCACCCTGACTCTCCTACGTCTCTCATGAGATCCACTTAGAATTACCCAACGATGCCCCTTGCTGCTTCTTGAAGAAGACTAAATGAAGAAGACTAAATCCCGGTACTACCAGTCGTCGTCTGGCTGTTTGGCTCGTTCACAGCCTTGCGCTGGTGGCATCCGTTCAGGTCAAGGCAGCTGCGCTCACTTGAGTAATTGACGTCACGCAAACCACTTTACGCGCCCCCGACGCGTCTCTCCGAATTTTGAAATCGCCGCACCATTTCAACACCTCCACCGAGACCACCGGTTCTTTACAACTTCCCATCAACCAACCATCCAGCCATGGCGCTCCTGGTCGACAGACTCCGGCCTCGGTCTCTCGAGACTCTCACATACCACAAAGACCTCTCAGACCGTTTAGCAGCCTTGGTAAACTCTCTTCCATCTCGTTGAGCAGCAATCCAACCTAAAGCCCGCTCAGAAGCGATGCAACAAATGCTAACCACCAAGCCAGGCTTCGTCGGCCGATTTCCCCCACCTCCTCTTCTACGGGCCGTCGGGCGCGGGCAAAAAGACACGAGTGCTCGCGACGCTGCGGGCGCTGTACGGCAGTGGGGCAGAGAAGATCAAGATCGACGCGCGGCTGTTCACGACGAGCTCGAACCGCAAGCTGGAGTTCAACATTGTGTCGTCGGTGTACCACCTCGAGATCACGCCCAGCGACGTGGGCTCGTACGACCGGGTGGTGATCCAGGACCTGCTCAAGGAGGTGGCGCAGACGCAGCAGATCGACCTCGGGGCGCGGCAGCGGTTCAAGGTCGTGGTCATCAACGAGGCGGACGGGCTCAGCCGCGACGCGCAGGCGGCGCTGCGGCGGACCATGGAGAAGTACAGCGCCAACGTGCGCCTGATCCTGGTGGCCACCAGCACGGCGGGCATCATCGCGCCCATCCGCAGCCGCACGCTGCTCGTCCGGGTCGCGGCGCCGACGGAAGCCGAGATCTGCGACGCCCTGGTCACGGCGGGCAAGAGGGAGAACTGGAAGCTCGTCCCGGCGCTCAACGCGCGCATCGCCCGCGAGTCGGGCCGCAACCTACGCAAGGCCCTGCTGATGCTCGAGGCCGTCTACGCTCAGCACCCGGAGCCCAGCGACAAAACGCCCATCCCGCCGCCGGACTGGGAGCTGCTGATCGAGCAGGTCGCGCGCGACATTGTGCGCGAGCGCACGCCGCAGATGATCCTCGCGACGCGCGCCAAGCTCTACGACCTGCTCACCCACTGCATCCCGGCCACGCTGATCCTCAAGACCCTGGCCTGGAAGCTGGTCGCGCAGCCCGAGGTCGGCGACGAGCTCAAGGCCGACGTCGTCCGCTGGGCCGCCTTCTACGAGCACCGCGTCCGCCTGGGCAGCAAGGTCATCTTCCACCTCGAGGCCTTTGTCGCAAAGTTCATGCGCATCTTCGAGGGATATCTCGTGGGCATGGACTTTTGAGCGCGAGACACACAAGAAAACCATGGGAAGGAGGCTCCAGTTCATAAGTGCAGCGAAGGTTATCAACGGGTCGCTCAGAGAATCGAAAAACGACCTATATCTCTTGCTAAATCCTCCCGGGTTTGCTGCATATGCTCCACCCGTGTTCGCCCGGGAGGATGTCCATGTATGATAAAAAAAAAAGGAATGCGAGATGTTTTCAAGCTGCGGGGGCCGTTTTGCTGGCGTCATTCATGGCCATGGTTTGGCGGGTTTTAACAAGAATGGCAGTGGCCTGGTACTCAACCGGCGATACTGAACGAGAGAAGAGACACGCGATCAACAACCAGCAACAAATGCCGGAATGTGAATCATTAGGGAGGGCTACATGACATACGAAGAAACCTTGGGTCCTGTGCCTCCATCCACAGTAGCGGTGGCTCGTTGTCTCTGGCAGTGTCGAAATTCAATCACGAGCATTTAAACGTAAGGCCCTACATCTCTGATTCCAAGCGAGGGTCACTCAGTAAGTAGGTATCTACTACCAGTTACGTTCCTGGTTTGCCATCATGATATTCCGTTACACAAGACCGCTGCCGTCATGACTGATCATAAGAGGTCGTCGATATCATTAATCCCACCGCATCGCCCTTGGGTATTCCCTTTCCCTGCCAAACAAAGCGCATCCGACATCCGGCCGGCGACCACGTGGTCTTCTCACTCCTGTTCGTAGCTAGCTAATCAGACACATCTTCATCGCGCTGTCGGCCTCCCTCTTCCTCCTCCCCCTCCTCCCGTTGCTGCTCTTCCGCTCCATTCTCAGACAGCTGCTCGCTGGGCCGCCTCTTCCGCTTGCGACACTCCACCTCCAATGCCTTCTCCGCCGCACGACACGTCGCCTCCTCCTTACAGGCCGCGCCCTTGACAAACGCGATCCTCTCCCCCTTGACCATGACTTTACACCGCCAGCTTCTCCTCCCGGAATCGCCCATGGCCGACTTCTTCCTCTCCTGCGCTACGAGGTCAAATTTGTTGAAAACTTCGCCGAGTCGCGCTACGGGATGCCGCACGTCAATCTCCTTGTCCGTTACAAGCCGGTGCACCAGTTTCATATACCCCATTTTCTCGAGCACCGCTTCGCAAGCCGTCAAGTCTCCGCCTGAATCAAGGAAGACCGCTCCAAGGATAGATTCCATGATGTCCGAGTAGCATTTCGGTGCTCCCAGGCGCGAGAGCGCGCTCCAGGGGAATTTCTTGCCGGTTTCAAAGCTCGCGAGAACCGAGGACCACACTTCCTCGTAGGCTGCCAGAGTGGCGCGTCGCTCCAAGGGAGACCGGTGGTTGCCGATTCGTTTGATGTGGTCGGGGAGGTAGACGGTCTCGGCTTCCTCCCTACTCACCGTTTGTTTCGTGTCGAGGTCCGTCTGCACGACATATGTGCAGCGGGTAACTGAAGCCTGGAGGGCGAAGAACGCTAACGTTACATGGCTGACCAGGGCGTGACAGCGACTTGTCATCTGACCCGGGTCGAGTTGGAGGGAACTGTGAAAAAGCTTCGGCTTCACGATGTGGTCGAGGACAGCGTCGCCTAGGAACTCAAGCCGCTCGTACGACGAGATACCATCGCCACCAAGACTCGACTGAGTTAGAGCCTGTGCCAGGAGAGCATGGCACGCAAAGGTGTAACCAATTAGTGCCTCGACAGACTTCAATGCCTCATGTCTGTGACTTGAAGGGGTGTTTGGGGGCTGGAATTTGGCGATGTTCTCCGACAAAGGCTTCCACGAGACCTCATCAATGAACAGCCGTAATACTGAAAGAATCTTGGCTTCCTTGTCTTCTGCTCTGAGGCCAGTAAGACTTGCAGCCCCGATTATTGCTTCGACCACATCCGCCAATGTTTTCGACGATAACCGATTCTGTGGTGGCTTCTTAGCCCGTACTTTCGAGTCACGGACGCCAATTGACCATTGGTAGCCCGCAAAAGGAACTCGAGTGAGATACTGGTCCAGTCCCAGAGCCCGAGTCGCTCGCTGCAGCCGCGCATTGTTGACGACTCTCGCCCGGTACAGACTGAGCAGGCTTTCCGGATGGTGCGGATAGTCGACAAAAACTTGGAGCGAAGAGTAAAACTTCAGTATATTGTCTCCGAGGAACTCGAGCCGCTCACAGTGTCGACTACCGGCCCGTGGAGTTGTTATTGCTTCAGACACGAGATCGAGATTGTCAAAGCCAAGGCTGAGCAAAGGCCCTCGGCACGCTTCCGTAGTGCGTAAAGCAACTTCGAGCATGTGCGTAATCGATGGGACGAGTAGCATTAACCGCCCGTACTCTGCGGGTAATCCCAATACCGAACAATCCTCCACAGGCAAGACCTTTGATGTATCAGAACCTGTCGGTAGGGGATCTCGTGGACAGATTAGATAGTCTAGCCTCTTGGGAAGTTTCGTAACGACGATTTCGGTGATGCTATCCGTTCTTTCGAGCTGCTGTCCATGGTGGGTGGCACTTGTTTGTAATAAGACGGGCTGCCATACGCGAGGAACAGGATGATGCTTGGACCTTACAAGACATTGCTTGTCGTTGATGGAACATGTTTCAAGAAAGTGCCTCATCGATGTGTTGCTAGATGCCATCTGATACCATTCTCGCAGCGACGGCATATCCAGGTCGGGGACGAGAAGGAAAGGGAGCTGTTCCTTGTCAAGGCCTTGTAGTCTTCTCCCAAGTATCGTGTCCAGGAGAAGAAAACTTATGTCCCGTCCCAGGTCTGTGGGGAAATCGTATATCTCCTTCCCGGTGTCCACGCGAACTTGCGTCCAGCTGGATGGCGTAGTGAAAAGCGGAAAAGCCAGGCTGGAGAGTTTTCGAGGGAGAAGCAGGAGCATAGGAGGATAGGTGCAATCGGTGGCTTCGACTTGAAGACGATGAGCAAAAACTCTACCGGAGGTTGTCCATTGTTCCATAACCATTGGCCAAGGGTCGTATTGACTCCGCACATCGTACTCGCTGTCTCTCGTTTCGACTGACCGATCGGTGTCTGTTTCCTTTGGCCATTCTGGAGGTAACAGATATTCCGTCACAAGTCCGGCCTTGTAAAGGGCCAGATAAGCCTGGAAGGCAGCATCTTGCTTCGCCTTTTTCTCTGTTCGCCAGCGAAACTTTGACTCTGCCTTTTGCAAGCTCGGGGGGAGAGAACTGGGAAGGCACACTGTCGCCACCACGTCGACGCCGATATCCCCTTGGATGTAGAATATGGGACACGGCTGTTCGCATTCATCCGTCCTGGGTAGCTTTGCGCAAAATCGACTCAGAAGTTGCCTTGATCCGTTGTAAGTCAATGTGGCCCTGTGTTCATTAGCAGATAGACCTCGAACAGACCACGAGATCACCAGCGAGATCGTCAAGTCCGATCTTATGACGTACCCGGTAGACTCAACCCTAAAGATTTCTGCCTCAGATTCATCTATGTTCTCGATGCGCTCCCGCTCTTCCAGGCCTCGAAGAGAGTCCTCACACTCCTGCCTCATCTCGTCCTCTAGGGCTTGCCATTGCTGTAGCTTAGCGGCGGCCTCTTGAAAGAGCACGAATCTTGAGCCTTTTTGCCGAGCCCTGCCTCGACTTTGGATGAAACTTCGAAAGTTTGGTCGTTCATCGAAGCATATTACCAGGTTCATGGCAGGCACGTCGATACCTTCCTCGAGCACTGAAGTTGCCACACATACATTGAGCTCCCCTCTTCGAAATCTTTCAAGGTTGTCGTGCTGAAGGGCTAATTCTGCAAAGTCAAATATGCGCCGGTGAGATGGAATGCTGACGCCGACAAAGGAAAGGGCTTTGTAGGAGTCTTTTGTCAGTGGATGATTGTTGAGAATCTCAGTCAGTACCCAAGCTGTATTCCTAGCTTTCACAAAAATAAGACATCTGAGGTCTGGACAATGTTGCTCTTGGAGGAAGCCAAGCAGAATTTGGACCTTTGGTGAAATGTTATGCACTGCGGACATGGACAAGCTATTGCACAATATCTGTTCATGGAGAGGCCGGAGGCAGGATTGTACAAAACGGTAGTCTTCACCAGGAGATGAGTCCATGACTGCATGGTCAGGCACGTGAAATTCTCGAATTTCAATCTTCTGAGCACAATTCTTGATGAAAGTGTCGCAGGCCCAGTTTCCCAGGCTTTCTTGTATGTCTTTGCTCGACCGTTCAAGTGATTGCAATTCTCTCATAGCCGGCGTGCAGTTCTTTTTCAGGATCTTCTCAAGCTGCCTGTGCGCTTCTCGATCATCTCTTGCGCGAAGAGTGTCCATAACCGGGTCGTCATGTACATGGATGCTAGAGACAATTCCGGCTAAAGCGGCCTGCAAATTGGAGGGAGTCTCCTGAGCAGGGCTATATGTCAGTATCATCAGGTCTGGCATGTTTACGAAAGCTGTGTATTCATCCAACTGCTGCAACGGAGTCTTGCAAATCGCGTGCAGATTCTGCTCCAAGACGGTCTTTTCTGTCACTGTATTCCTCACAACTGGACTCGCGGACAGACCGAGAATATGAGGCAGTTCGAAGTCAGACCCCGTTATATTGTAAGGGTGATAGTGAAGTTGCATGATTTGGTTCTGTTCAGCGTTCTTGATACCATGATGAGCTTCGTCGAAAACAAGCAACGAAATGCCAGCCAGGGAAATGAAGCCGTAATTGAGGGCTTGTTTCAGGATGGCGGGTGTAGAGACAACAACATGAATATTGTGGAGGACTTGGTCCCAAACGTCCTTGGTGGTCCAATAATCAGGGCTGTCCATGCCGGTAATCAGCCTGAATTGGAAGGCTGGTAGCTGTTGCGAAAGGAAGCGGTATTGCTGATACGCTAGGACCACACTGGGAGCAGTGAACCATACCAACTGACAAAGATTGTAAGCACATGGAGAGTAGCGGAGATGTGGGAGACACGGACCTTGCCTGGGGAACGCTCGAGTTCCGCTTCTATTCGCAGCTTGGCACTATCGGTAACGATGAGCCCAAAAGTTCAATTTCCGCGAAGCAAGTATTCATGTGTCAGGGGATGGTCCTGATGGGAGAAAAGGGGTAACAGAAAGAGAGCGAGAAGCTCTTACATCTGTGTTTTGCCACTACCAGTACCCATCTGTACGATTGTCAGTAGACAATAAGCATTTGGAAGGTCGAGCGTCTTACAACAGCAATAATGTTTTCCTTCATGCTATGGTTGAACATCTCAATCTGGTAGGCGCGGGACGAAAGCGGCGGGTCAGACTGGACTTCTCCCTCCTCAGAGGTATCCGACCAAATGTCTTCTGGGTCTAGGTCCATGATGGATTGACAATAGCGTCTACAAAGAGCCGATGAGCCGACGGACAGAGGACTAGAGAGTAGCTAAATAAGTAAAGGCAGTGACGAAGGAGCAAGTAGGCTTGACAGTGACAGAAACAAGGGAGTAGCGGTCCGGCGTATGGTTGTCACAGCAGAAACTACAGGAAAGAACACGTCCGCCTGATATGGCTTCATTGCGAAGGAATGATCAAGGATCACAGAGTTGTCATCATGAAATGTGTGATTCCGAAGAAGTTGGGCTGAGGCTCGGGCTGTCGTGTAACAATACATGTTCTTGGCAGTTCTGCCTGACGGATAAACTGATTGTCCGGAACACCGGCAAGGCTGACCAACTCTGGCCTTCCAATGTAGCCTTGCCCTCCCAAGCACACCAGGGCAAAGTCAAGGTGCATCAGCAGTGATACACATAGAGTCCGTAGATATTGCTCAAGAGACGTATGCTACATCTGCGTTCAATAGCACCCATCACTATCACAGAGCAACTGAGCTTCCTCCACCGTTAGTAACCCATCGCCGTTCTTGTCATGCGCTCGAAACTTGGCTTCCACGCGTTTGCCAAAGTCAGTCTCCGTTCCGTTATCCGCGACATTGAAGAAGCTGAAGTACTGATCTAGGGTAATGATGCTTGTGCCATTCCTCTTCCTGCCCTTGCTCACGAAATCGAACGTCTCCTCCAATTCGGCAAGCGTTTCCTGGTCGTACGCAGCATGCAACAGTACCGTCGTCAACGTCGGGTGAGGCTTTGCTGTGATTGTGGCCACTGGCTTGCCGGAGCTGAATATGGTTGTCGCCGAGTCTTTGGGGAGGGCGCGTTTTGTCGGAGGAGGATACCATGTCGTAACGTGGCTGGCGCGGCAAGTCCACTGCTCAAAAGTAGAGTGCGCCCAGTCATAGGGTGCGGTGATGACAGACGTCCATTCTATGCTGCCCTGCTCGATGATCTCCCGTATGACCGAGACTGGCGAAAACGGTCAGTCATGGGCGCATCATGTTGGAGTAGACGGTCATCGCCAGGTAATGGTCAGGACGAAGCGTACTCACCTCCTGGACAGGCACAACAGAAGGCGTTGCAAGCTTTGTATCCGCAGCAGGGCGTTCCTATCGAGTTGTCACCGCAGTCGCCTCCTGCGTCTTCCCGGCAACACTTTGCGAACGTGCCAGGTAGCACCAGCAGGAGCAATGCCGAGACAATGGACTGAACGATCATCTTGAGTGGTTCAACCTGGTCGTCGAGTCTGTTTGGCGCCGCGGACGAGTTTGAAGAGAGAGCTGCGGTTCATGAAGAAGTTACAACCTGAAAACCCGGTGGCTGATTGCCACTCGTCATCATTGCGGCAGTGAAGGGCAGTGAGTGAAGCAAATTTGCAGAAATCAACACTGGCAACAATTCTGCCAGTCACGACCGATTCTGACCAACAGGCCCAGAGACACGTGCAAATCGACTCCCGTCATTTTTGCCTGCAGTGAGTGAAGACTCGCTATGTTTTGGTTCATAGTAGAACTCTTGACTTTGTCCCTACCATTCACTGTACATGGCAGTCTCAAACACCTCGTCATTGCGGTCATGTAGTCCCCCACTACATTCAGCAGGAACCTGCCAACTGCTTTTGAGAATGGCTTGATATATGCTCCCACTTGCACAATCGATCAGGGAACGGTGTGAGCACCATTTGCGATGGCCTGAGAGTCCCCATCATCAGCACTACGCCCGTCTGTTATCCCAGTCACTTGAAGACGATATCGGGACCTTCAGCTGCTCCGAATGGACAAGCGAGCGACTGGTGCCCCAATAGGTCAGTCGGGATATCCGCCATCAGCATCACCGCTTCAACAGATTCCGTTGTATGCGACAAGCATCGCTTTCGCCAAACCCGGTAGACAGTCTTGGTTTTGTCAGCCACGCGCTTCACATTCAGCGGTTCCTGGATGGAGATCGGCACTTCATCAACGTCTCTCTTTCCTGTCTGGGATTCTGGGAAGAGCAAAGATGGGCAGGGTATGGATTTTCCTTCTCAATTACCCAACAAAATTCAGTATAGGCAAAGATAAGGATGGCTGAAGCCGGCGGCGGTCAGCAAAAGGTCAATCGGATGCGGGGGAGTTAAGTTGGAGAAGTGGCCGAAGCATTGCGCTCGACGTGCAGCTTATCGAAGTCCCCTGGCCTTCCTTTTTGGGATATAGCGATATCTCTCGTTATTCTCTTAATGCTTCACGCTGGGAAGAGAAGAAATGCACATCTCCGCTGCCTTCGGGATTCGGCCGGAAGCAAGCGAAGAATGGCAAGTTATAAAAGCCATCAATATGGAGTTATTGTTGCTTCGTGAGAATGCTTGGATAGTAAGTTAGTCGCATCCCTTGTTGGTATTCAGCCTTGCCGAGGTCTTCAATATGGGCGTCGCAAAACTCTTCTCCCCGCTGCACCTGCTTGTTTCTGCTCTTGCCGCCAGCTCTCTGTGCTCGGCGAATCCATTTGGACTGGAGGAGCGTCAAGTATACGCCTTGGTTGGTGATGGCTTTGAGCAAGCTACATCCACCCTGGGAAGCTACTACAACTACTGGAGGAAGCTGCCCAATGGAACTTTTGACCTCACCCGCAGCGACCGCTCTCCGGTGACAACGCCAAAGGTGTTGCCGATGATGGGCGACAGGTCTTCAATCAAGATCGAGCCAAACCGCACCGGCCTGGTCATCATCGACATGCAAAACTACTTCTTGCACCCAGAGCTGTCCCCAGCCGCCAAAAACGGTCGGGGTGCGGTCCAGCCAACGGTCAACATGATCAATGGATTCCGCAAGCATAACATGAAAGTCCTCTGGGTGAACTGGGGCCTGACAGAATATGACCTGCTGACAATCCCGCCCGCGTTTAAATCTGGATTTAGCGGGGGTTCGGATCTTGCCAATGAGACGTTCGGCAGCGATATGGGCACCATCAAGGAGAATGGAACGACGATTGAGGTTGGCCGACTGCTAATGCGTGGGTCTTGGAACGCCGAGCCTTATGGGGTGTTGGAAACAATGAAGAATGAAGGCCTCGCATCCGGCACAGATATGCTGTTCAACAAGAATCGCCTGTCCGGACTCTGGGGTCCCCAGACGCCGTTGGGCATCTGGCTGCAAGAAAATGAACTGTCGACGCTGTTCTTCGGTGGCGTCAATGCCGATCAATGTGTCTGGTCTACCTTGGTGGATGCCTACTTCAAGGGTAAGCAGTTCTAATCTGTCTTGTTCCTCCTGAGAACTAAACGTTGACCGTGTTCCTCAGGCTATGATGTGATTTACGTCGACGACATCTCTCAGACAACGAGTCCACCTTATGCACAAGAGATGTGTCGATACAACGCTGCAGGATATGGTACGTCTCGGAACGAAATTAGTCGACGTCAGGCTGACAATCCCCTAGGATTCGTAGGCAACAGCACCGCTATTTTGAAAGCGCTTGGCTAGATGAAGGAGTTGGTCGATGTGAGAAGTTCAAGTGACGGATGTGCCCACAACATCGTGGCAGATCCGTCCTTGCACTGTCCATTGGGGGAGCGGATGCGCACTTCCCGCGACGACTTTCAGAATAGTCACATAGAAAAGTGAATGGAGTTTTTCCGCCGCTTAGATTCTCGATTGACCTGAGACGCATGATGTCAAAGAAAGGTTTGAACATCTTGACGGTGTAGGCCCTTGCGAATGAAGGACAACTGTAGAAGTGGATCAATAAATGGCAGGCGTCCTCGAACACATGGCCCACTGATTTTACCAAGGACTTCCTGGTTGGAGTAGCAGGGAAGATGGCGACAACCCCCTTCCCCAGCATCAGCAGATCGAGGACAGATTGGCAAAGGCTCGCCATAAGCTCGAATCATCATAAGACTTGTTTCCACATGGCTGTACTTTCCTCGATCTCTCCTCGATTTCTCCTCGATCTCATAGGGCGTTACGCCCGGGTTTGATGACCACAAGGGATATCACGGTATTGTGGCGCGCTCCGCAAGATGAAAGGAGTGTGAAGGGGAGGGATGTAGGTCTCAGGCGATGATATCATGGCGTGATCTTCCTCCAAATGGCTTGGGACATATGGCGTACTGCTTCAAGCCTCACACACGACGTGTGTTATGACTGTCGGAATAGCCTTCACCCGAGCGTTGCCCCAGAAGCAAGGCCGCGCGAAGGGCCAAATTGTTTCCAGAGAACCATTGACTTGGCAACCAGATCGAGGCCAGCTCAGTCAGAGCAATACTATGGGCAGGGTGCCGAATAAAGCCGGATCGGTCGAATATTGGACCAAGGGCACATCGCCTGAGAAAACCCCATAAATAGATAGGTCTGTTTTTGGCCTAGCGCCTTCTGTAACCGCCCAGTCTAGACCCACCACAGCTTCCTATGGCCAATCACGCTTCTCCCCCTCTTCCCTCCTCCCATCCTCCTCTACCAACCATGCGTCGCCATGCACCTTCAACCTCCAACATCCTGCCAACACGTCTCAGCACTATCGATCTCCGCTTTGCTGCTATTTCCTGCGCGTCTCGCTGGCTGCAGCTCCATGTGCTCTGGTATTGGCCTGCATGCCTTCCTCAAACACCCGTGCCATTCCCTTTCTGAATCGCAGGCCTCGCCCACTGCGGCCAGAGCCAATCGACACAGGGTGGACATGTCCCTCTCCCGATTTGTAAAAGAGTGCGTGACATTGCCCCCCGTCCGCCTCAATTCTCCCACAGGCCATTGAGCGAGACGCCAATGCTGTCCTCACAGGCGCTTCCACCGTTCTCTTTACCCAGCGGGTAGCTCTTTCTCTCTTTCCTTTGTACCCTTCTCCCCTTCCCCTCCACCTTCTCAACCTCGCCGTCGCTGAAGTTGCTGGTCGCTGTCAGCTTTACTCTCGTTAGCACAATTTTCACCATTCCGAGAAGCCATCTCCCAGCGCGCGACCGTTGACCGGCGCCCGTTTACCACTATTAATTACCAGTTTTGACGGCTAGCCGGCATCTCACGCTTCGCTGAGCGGGCCAGCGGATGGGCATTTGAACGAAGACCACGACCAAAGCATCTACCGACAATAATTAATATCTTGTAAAAAGGCCGGTCCTTTTTTTGCAAGCCATGAGCCTCCTACCATCTACCACGTACCAATCTCCGCCGCGGCTGGGCCGGGGTCGGCAGCTTAATACCATTCTCGAGGAAAAGGAAGACGCGAGCCAGGGGCTGAGGAGCGACAGTGAGGGAGATGGGAGCGATTCCACCGTCATCGGCCGTCCTGCAGCATGGAATCCGGCTCTCTTTACCATCGGCGCTCGCAAGAGTTCCCTCGCCAAACCGACCTACCCGTCCTCCCCAGGGTCTTCCTATACACCGTCTCCTGCCAGCAGCGCCGGTGATGGCTGCCGACGAAATTCAGCCCGGAGTTCTCTCGCTGGTAGTGACGCAGGCACCGTGTTCAGTGACGACTGCCCATCTCTGGCCAGCGACCCGACCAGCTTCGACTCGGAGTCCAGCAGGAGCAGCTTCGCCAGCGACAAATCCAGCAGCCGAAACCGCTACCCGGCCCTGATCATACCACGAGACTCATGGGGCTCGATGGACTCGAGTCCGATCAAGGAGATCACCTTCGGCATGTCGCCTGCTACGAAGATTCGGCTTTCGCCCAGCGCACTCTCTGCTCTTCCCAGAGATGTTCCCGCCATCAATGCCCCCCCGTCGCTCGGAGACAGCAGCGATTCGATTTTGGACTCGCCTTGCAACGCAGAGACCAGTGCTCCCGTCACTCCGGACATGAGACAACTCGAGGTCGCCGAGGGGCAAGCCTGGGGCGGGCCCGCACCGACCGACCTCGCGTCACAGCCGCTCGAGATCGCGCTTGACGATGGCCACAGCGTGATCTTGTCGCCGGCGGAAGCCCACTCGGCCAACTCATACACCGCCAACAGCCACCTTCCGTCCCCGGCGGCCTTCACCGAGATGATTGTCAGTTTCCCGACCGTGCCAGGCGCCACCCCGCAGGATCTGTCGCCGCTCATGCCTACCATCGACGAGCTGAAGGGGTTCGAGGACAAGCCGCCCTCCAATGGATCCGACGTGGGAGTCAGGCTTCCTCCCGAGGCCTTGCAGCTGCTGCAGCTTCTGGCCGGACAGCGAAGCAGGGACGATGTGTCGAGCAATTCCGGCAGTTCACGGCCGTCGAAGCGGTCTGGGCGACGACAAGAGATGCGCGAACGGAGTGACCCGGACCCCATAAGTCGACCACGTAGCGCCGACGGCGAGACTCCAGTGTCGGACTACAGCTTCTCGCAGCTGAGCATTCCGTCGCCGGGAGGCTTCTTCTCATCCCTGCAAAATGGCTCGCGGCACACCTGGTGTCTCACCAAATCCAAGGGGCCGAGCGTCCCGAGCACCGCCACCGCAGAGATGTTCTATAATCGGCCCTGGGAGAACAGCTCCAGGGACAATGTTGTCGAGACAGTCCTGACGGTCGACGACGACACCAGCATGACCGAAGGCCCGCCGACAGCGAAGCAAGCCACCTTTGATCTGGGAGCACCGGGGAAACGGAAGAGCCAGCAGTCCGAGGACGACGACTTGTACGGTCCTGCCGTGAATGTCAGTTCCGATCCCACCAAGCCAGCCGAAGTGGTGACAGTCAACTACGAGTACGATGAGAAGTACTACGAAGAGCTCAAAAAGACTGCAGGCCAGAATCTGGACCGAACGGGAACCTGGCTCGCTGCACAAACCGGCTATCTATCCGCAATCCTAGACTCTGATCCCAATGAAGAACACCCTTGCCACACTGAAACTCTCGATGACAACCGCCCCAAGGGCACCCGTCGGACGGTCATGTTCGCTGACAAGACCACGATAGACACAGCTGTGGTGGTGGCCGAACCAGAGAAAGGCAGCCCCGATAGCGAACCCGAAACAAAAGAGCCCATCTTTCATTCTGCGTTCCAGCACCTCGTCGCGGTCCGCAAGCGTCGGGATGCCTTCATCCACTCATCATCCCGCCTTGATGCGATACAAGCTCTTCGTGTGGCGCTCCCGGAAAAGCACATCAGCAATCTCCTGGGCCAGCACACCCTGGTGGACGCACCACGTCCAAAGTATTCCGGTCCATTCAGCCAGAATCCGCGACAGACTGGCGTGTTCGAGCGCACCGCCGAACAAATCGCCTATCAGGCTGTCGAACGCGAGCAGCTTGCACTTGCGTCGATTGAGCCATCGAATTGGCAGATTGATGCGCTGAGGGCCATGTTCAACGGCCGTCTGCTCGCCTCGGAGGCAGCCTGTCAAAGGCTGAAAACCAAGGCCACGGTTCCGTTGGACGATGCGGCATGCGTAGGAAGCAAACGGCACCGCATCCTCGACCTCGGTGGTGTAGCTTCCGCGTCGTGGGCGTGGAACGCCGCTCTGGAGTGGCCGAATGTGAAAGTGTACACCGTCATCACCAAGGACCAAGCACGGTCTCAACGACCGGCGGAGATGGCCAAGCCTGAAGCCCCGGCAAACCACCGCACCATCTCGGTCCCGCACTTCTGGCAGCTACCATTCCGCAGCGGCCACTTCGACGTCGTCTCGGCGCGGTCACTGCACGTCCTCCTCAAGAACAACCCTGTCCCTGGCGTGCCCGAGATCGATGAGTGGGATCTGACGCTTCGAGAATGCATGCGGGTGCTAAAACCCGGTGGACACATCGACTACATGATCATGGACTCCACCATCGCACACGCAGGGCCGCGAGCAGAGACCATGTCCGTGGAATTTGGGTTCGAACTCCATCGGCGCGGCTATGAACGCGAAGCGGCTCGAAGTTGGCTCCGGCGCTTGAAGAAAGAGGGCTTCGTCGGGGTCAAGAGAGCTTGGATGTTCATGCCCATGGGACGACGGCCGGCCAAGGAGCCAGAAGAGCAACCCAATGGCTTCACGGGAGGCTGGCAGTCATGGCGGCAAGGGGGCAAGCCCTTCGTCCCTGCCCCGCGGCCCATCAGCGAAGTGTCGACCATCAGCAAGATTGTCAAGCAATACATGGACGTCGAGGCCGTGCAAGGTCCCGTCGGCAGCACACAGGATGTTGCCGACCTGACTGGCCTCCTCGGCGCCCGCATGTGGGAGGAGTGGCTGGTCAAGGTGCGGGTGGAGTCGGGACGAGAACAGAGCCGGTGGCTCGAGGGGGTGGACGAGGTGATTGAAGAGGGCAAGGAGCACGGCTCCGGGTGGAAAGTGCTGATCGGCTGGGCGAGGAAGCCTAGGTCGCACAAGTTCAAGCGGACTGAAAGGGCCGAGATCACGGTGGCGATTGAGGATATGGCCGAGTTGAGCCCGATTGATGAGTCCATGGAGATGGGCATGATCCCCATGGTGATTCAAGAATGAGACACGACACCACCCAGTTTTTTTTTTTTTACCGGCGACCCAGGTTAGGGGGGAAGGGAAAAAGAAGATACATCCTTTCGTTCAGACTGACTGCCTTGAAGCATTAGCAAGTATGGAGTTGGTGGGTTGTGGGTGGTTGATTTTTTTTGGAACAAGGCTGGATATCGGACACGGGGAGAAGGCTGAAGGTTGGTTGTATGATACCTAGATAATGGGGGATGTGTCAGGGACATTCGCTATTTCCTTTTTTTTTTCTTCTTCATAGCAGTCGGTATATAGCGAGCTGCATAGATGCAGTAACTGGGTATGTTGATGACTACCTATGAAAGGGTGTTTTCATATGTCGTTGTTGGTCGTTGCTGGGATAAGCAGCATGGCGTGGATGAGTCAGCGGTTCTTGTCCTCTGCCACCTCTTTTTGGTGGGCGTTCCCTGGAACCCCTCGCCCTATGGCGCCCACTGTTGGACGGCCCTGCACTACTGGGCACCCATGTCCACTGTCAGCTAGCCCAAGATAAAGGGCGCCAATGCCTAACAGCACCCCCCTAACACGTCATTAGGCTGCCCCTCGTCCCTTGCCCCTCCTTCCCTTCCACCCCCACTCACCACCCGGCACCACCGTAAATTGTTATGGGAAAATACTCGAGCGCCCCTCAATGGATCGATCTGTCTTCCGTAAACATTGCCCTGATGACTTATGACCCAAGCTGAGTACTCACAAGAGAGAGAAAAAAGGGCCCAACAAATCTCCATTGCGCACCCCCCCTTCTTCTAACCTAGATCCGTTTCTTCATGCTGCTGTCCTCCCTTACGTCAGTCCAGTTTCCATTTCCATCCGGATCGGGCGAACCGCCAACAACTTCCTCCTCGTCCTTCTTTCCTACCACCACCGAGAGACTCGCGTTGATAAACCCCAGATCCCACCCTCCGTGCTGCTCCTTTCTTAATTTCTGACATCCGCTAGCTCTTCTCGATCCGCCCACGCGGATATCGCTCTCCGGCGTCCACCTCTTTTGTTCTGCGGCCGAACTTCAATAGGTGGACAGGGACAGCGACGGCGACAGCGACAACGACGGCGACACAAAATGACCACCCCGCGCTGCTTCATCGTTCGGCACGGCGAGACAGAATGGTCCCTCTCAGGAAAACACACGGGCACCACCGACATCCCCCTGACCAAGGACGGGGAGAAGCGAGTGCGTACAACGGGGAAAGCTCTGGTCGGTGACGATAGGTTGATCGTGCCCAAGCAGCTGGTCCATATGTATGTTTCATTCATTCCCCTCGACGCAGGACCTCCCCTCTTTTCTATTAGAGATCCGTGTGACTGACTTTTGGCTCGCCCCCCAAAATATAGCTACGTCTCCCCCCGGCACCGCGCGCAAAGAACGCTCGAACTCCTCAATCTCGGCTGCCACCAGCCCTACCCGTGGCAATCGCCCTCCAACAACACCTCGGCCCACGACCCGCCGCCGCCGCTGCCGCCGCCGCCGCACCGCACCAACGCCGACGTGACCATCGACGCGCGCATCGCCGAGTGGGACTACGGCGACTACGAGGGCATCACGAGCGCCGAGATCCGCGAGCTGCGCAAGAAGCAGGGCTTGGGGCCCTGGGACATCTGGCGCGACGGCTGCCCCGGCGGCGAGTCGCCGCAGGACATCATCGACCGCGTCGACAGCCTGATCCGCGAGATCAGGGACAAGTACCACGCCAAGGTCATCGGGAAGCCCAAGCAGCCCGGCGTCACGGGCGACGTCCTGGTCGTCGGCCACGGCCACATCCTGCGCGCCTTCGCCGTGCGCTGGATCGGCAGGCCGCTCACCGAGACGGCCATGATCATGGAAGCCGGCGGCGTGGGCACCCTGAGCTACGAACACCACAACATCCACGAGCCCGCGATATTGCTTGGTGGAGGCTTCGTCGTGGGAGACGACAAGGAGGAGATTGAGATGACCGAGAAGGAGGAGAAACAAGCAAAGTCATGACACTATTAGTAGCCCTTTTTTGGTTTTGCAAGCCCCCTTTCCTCAATGCTCCAGCTCTGTCGTACCAACGTAAGAGCCCACCCCCTCCTTTTCTGCAGCTCACGTGGCATGCACGCGCGGAAGAGAACCTATCTGAGGTTGTCATGTACCGCTTCGGACCTAGAATTTAGAAGACATGGGTTGTTGACTTGACTCACAAGAGCTCAAGAATCCAACGTTGTTGAAAAAGACAAGCCTCATTCCCCCTTCTGCGTCACTGCCCGCTTGCTATTCATTTCTCGCCCTTTTTTCAGCCCGCTGCGCTTTCACCAACCACTCCTCGGCTGCATTGGATTCTCTCCTCCTCCTGCTCCCCAGCCCGCGGCCCCGAATGCTCCTTGATCCTGCACGCTGAGAGGGCTACACGGCGGCGGAGGTTCCGTGGGCGTTGGCGGACGTGGACCAGCGCCGCTCACGCTCTCGCTGAAGCCCATGTCGATATTCGTCTGACCGCCCCCGACTGTGCCAGAGCCGGTGCAGGCGATTTGGGGCGCCAGTGGCGGTGGAGGTGGAGGTCCGGCAATGCCCATCCGCGCCGCGGCCTCGGGGTTGTTGAGCACGTAGTCGAGAATGTCGCCCGGCGGCCCTGCGGTGCTGCCCGCTCCTCGACCTTGTGAACGTGCGGAGCTCTGGCCCTTCGGGCTGATCGCTGAACCGCGGCGAGAGGTTGCCTGCGCGCTGAAGTTCCTCGAGGGGTTCGAGGCCACCTTCGGCTGCTTCTCTTGTTGGCCGTCCCAGCCGTTCTTGTTGCTTGCGGAGACGTTGTTCCAGATGTCATTGCTGTTGCCGCCATTGTTATTATTGTTGCTGCCGCCACTCCCCCAGTTCTGGCTGTTTCCGCTGTTGTTACCCTGCTGCTGATTGTTGTCTTGCCATTTTTGCGTCCCACCGTTGTTCCCACCGCTGTTTTGCTGGTTATTACCGGTTTGCCAATCGTTGTTCGAGCCATTATTCCAGTTGTGGTGGTTGTTGCTTGGGTCGGCATTCCCCGGATTGCTCTGATTACTTGAAGCATTGGAGAATCGAATTCCAAGGCCCGTGGTATTGGAGACGTTGCGCATGCTTGGCAAGTTGTATCTGAGAAAGCCCACATCAGGAGGATCGACAGGAACCTGCTCAAAACTTCTCACTGAAGGCGGTGTCACTTTCGGCGGCGGACTGGGTATTGAACCACCCAAAGCTCCCTTTGCTCGAAGCACCATCTGAATCAACTCTGCCTTGTCCAAGTTCTCGAGAGCGTTGACGTCTTCGTTCGGACTGGGCTCAGCTGCGATCTCGACCCCGATCTCATCCTTGAGTTGCTCCTTTGTTCGGTACTTGAAGACAAACCTAGCGTACGGCTCGTCCAGATCGTCAATGTAGTGAGGAACGCATCTCTTTTTGTTGTACAGGTAGCCTTTACCCGGCTGCACCTGTTTTGTGATTCCCATGCATTGTGCAACAGCTTGAGGGACATCATACCGTGGCTCCTCTTCGGCTTCTGCAGGGGGGGCATGTTGTGCACTGGCTATCGAGGTGTAGTACGCTCCATGGGGTCCGTACAGAGATCGACTGTTCGAAATGTTCCCGCTCGGTACGGGCCTATTGTTCGAGGTCGAGCCAATATCCTGATTGTTACTTCCATTGCTTGCTTGGCCATTCTCGCCGACTCCACAGTTTCCATTCTCGTTTCCCCAGCCACCGCCGTTATTGCCTTGTTGATTTCCGCCGTCGGTCTGAATTGGCTCATTTTGCCAGCTGCCACCTCCGGCGTCATGATTATTATCGTTATCCCAACCTTGACCGTTCCCAGTATTGGTGGTATTGTCCCCTAAACCTTGACCGGAGTTGTCGCCGTTTGTGTCGTTATTCCAATTGGGGGTATTATCACCGTTGTTTTCGGAGTCGTCCAGGTTCTGGCTGTTGTTGTTGTTGCTCCAGCTTTCATTTGCTCCTTCATTTGCCCACGTACTGCCGTTACCGGTGGCGTTATTTTCGGCGGAAGGTTTCCAGTCGCCGTTGTTTTGATTATTGTTTGTATTTTGTGGAGGATCTTGAGCAGAGCTAGACGGAACTGTGTTGGAATTATTGTTCGCTGCATTTTTGGCATCGTCACCGCCTTGTTGCTGTTGATTATCCCCATTCTGTTGATCTTGGACTCCACCTGGACCTGATGTGCTCTCATTTTGGACACTTGGGACCTTGCTGGCATCAATTTTCTGTGTCTGAAACAGGGGCGCATTGTTCGGCGGTGGGTAGATCGGCATCGCAGCGGGAAAGGGTGGAACGGGCATTGTTGGTGGGGGAACCCAAAATGGAATAGGATGTAGAACAGGCTGTGGTTGAATGGGAGGCAGATTCGTAGGCTGGATCGGGATCTTGGGGGGCAGAGGAGGAAACGGTGTCACTGACGGAGCAGAGTTCGGCAAATTCGCTTGAGCAGCAGCAAATGTCGGAGGACCGTATGCATGGGAAGGACCATGATTAACCCCCGCGGGTTGGTGATAATATGAATGTTGAGTAGAGTGACTAGCCAGAGGGGTACGCGGCTGGGAGCTGCCGTGGATCTGATGCAGATCGGGATATTGGCTATAGACTTTTCGTTCAGCGTCGTACGTGTAATGCCTACCTTCAGGGGGAGCACGATAGTCCTCATAGGAGTTGCGATGTCTGTGATATTCCGGACGGTGATGACTTGGGCCGGGTTGGGAGTATGCATATTGATCATCTCGCTCCCAACTATGATAAGGTTCGTGATCATATCTTGTATGGTAGGTTGTGGGATGGGACCCTGTCCTGTCACCATAGTCGAAGTGAACATGTCTCTCCGGTCTTACGGGCGGTGGACGTGGGTTTGGTGGACGTGCATATGCAGACGAGGGGGGAGAGTCGTGGTAGTCGTACCTGACCCGTCGTGGTTCTGCATAATGTTCTGAAGCTGGACGATAATCCGACGAATGCTGTGGTCTTTGATGTGGACCATAAGGGGCATGGTGACCGACGGGTGCTTGCCAATGCCATCGAGAATAACCATCTGATGGAGCATCTCCTGGATTGGCAGCGAAGAAAGGCCAGCCATCGGCAGGTCCATCGAATAGGCCAAACAAGCCACCGAGCGCATCCTGTTCCTCAGCCTGTGGTGGTTCAGCCTGAGCAGGAGGATTCCCAGTATTCGATTGACTTCTGGAGTCACCCGCTTCGAGTTCTTCTCTAGCTTCTTCATCGTCATCCATGATCCCGCTGTGTTCAGCTGAAGAGGTAGTTGAGCATTGGCTTTCTCCAAGCTTGTTGCTGCTGCATCGCAAAACTAAGATCTCGATCGTCCCCAGCTCATCAAAGTGGCCTTTGTCGACGCCCTCGGGAAGTTGAGAGACTGGTAGACGACAATTAGCTTGGACCTCGCTCGCTGTGAAAGGTTCTCACCAAGATTGCAATCGTCAAAGCGCCATTCACGACCCATGTACGTTCCATCACCCAAGGGTTTCTCTTTCTGTCTCACGAGGAAGTCGATGTTTGTTCTGATCTCAGGCACATCATCCTTTGCAGGCTGCAGGTTGACTCTGTTACGATTGCACTGGTAGTTTCCGTCAATAAAGACCACCATCGCCAACCCTCGGTAAATGAATTTTCGGGACGTCAGTCGAATGGTGAACGCTTGGGGATGGCTAGGAATAGCAATGTAGGTCTCGACGACACCATCTCCGTAGACCGTCCCATATTCGGGGAACGCGGATCCAGTGTCTGCCCATTGTACATGGCAAACGAGATCTTTTAGTGTTGGCATTGTGATGGCGCCGCAGACGGCTGAGCTCATGAATCATCAGTAAACCAAGCGATCAGTCAGTCAGTTGGCTGTCTCGGCGCTCGAGACCGCGTGAAAAAGGAAGCTAGTCGTCTAGCGGCAGCATGGAGGAGATGAAGAATAGGAGCAAGGATGAGGGCAGAACAGACAGCAGTAGATGTGAGAATGTTGCATTCGAGTGTGTGAGGATGAGAATTCAGTGAGCCGAGTCACAAAAACTGAGAACAAGCCACGAGTCAGGAAGACGTGAGAAAGAGATACACTTAGCATTCATTATGAGCAAGACTCTTCATGTTCACCCGATACATTCGACATGATAAACCTGTCTCTGTTGAGTTTTTGGATACCGCACCCTCTGTCGACAGAGACGCGTCTTTTCACCCATGTCCATGTCCACGGGAAAACCAGCCTCCGAGGCACGGTCTGCCTGAGTCGTAACATTCTGCATGTGAATCTCAAGGACTTGATCTGATCAGTTCATCCATGGAAAACTTGAGTTCATGGTCGAGGCAGAAGAAGAGATTCCCTACGCTGGTGTGAAGAACGGCGCAGGAGCGTCCCGAATTCGCTTAGTGGCGTCTACTACTCCGTACATTACCACGAGCCCTGAACCCGGCGCATGCTGGGAGCCAGATTCGCTTGTCAAATACTTCAACACTGTCCCTCTAGATATCCCCAGTCTCCCTTCACTTCCCACTCGTGTATCCTGGGGTCTGTCAGGATGAGTGCAACAAAGGCACAGTCACAGAAGATCTTCGAGAAGCTGAAAGCCAAACCGGCCAACAAGGTACTGACACCATGGCCCTACAAGGAGGCCACCTCTGCGAAATCTACATTTCCACATCTTCCGCGCGCCGGCTGACATACATTCACAGATATGTTTTGACTGCGGCCAGAAGAACCCGACTTGGTCGTCTGTCCCTTTCGGAGTCTATCTATGTCTCGACTGCTCTTCCAACCACAGAAACCTGGGTGTTCACATCTCCTTTGTCAGATCTACGAATTTAGACGGTACCTGCGACACTTCCCTTGCAACAGAAGCAAGATATTGACGGATGATAGTCTGGCAATGGAGCCAACTGCGCACTATGAAAGTTGGAGGCAACGAGTCTGCCACGAAATTCTTCCAATCCCACGGTGGGAGTGCTGCGCTCGCGAGCAAGGATGCGAAGGTCAAATACACGTCCAATGCTGCGAACAAATACAAGGAGGAACTTAAGCGTAGAGCTGAAAGAGACGCTCAAGAGTATGCTATTCTCGGAATCCTGACTGTACCAACACGGCCTTACACATTGAACAGATACCCTGACGAGGTAGTCATCACCGACGACCCCCTCTCCACTCCTGGCGCCGACGGCACATCCACGCCCGCCGGTGAACCTGCAGACGACTTCTTCTCTTCCTGGGACAAGCCGACCATCAAGCGGCCTAGCAATCCGCCCTCACGAAGCGGCACGCCTCCTGTGATCTCACGCACCGCCTCCCCATTCCTCTCGGCTGGTAACGCCACAAATGGCTCGCAGACACGGCCCAAATCTCCTTCACCTTTGGCTGCAAACACAGCCAATGACGCCGTAAAGGACGCCGAAGCCGCCCTCCCCGCTCCCGCCGCAATACGTACGACGTCTTCTTCCGCGATCCGCAAAGGCCCCAATGCTGCCGGCGGCGCTGGTGCCAGACGCGCAAACGTTCTCAGCGGAAAGAAACCGGCACACAAACTTGGCGCAAAGAAGGTTGTCGGTGAGGAGATCGACTTTGAAGCAGCTGAAAAGGCAGCAAAGGCCGAGGCCGAGAGGATAGAGAAATTAGGCTATGACCCTGAAGCAGAGAAGGCGGAGGAACTCGCAAAAGCCAGCAAATCCTCCAATTTTGGAGCTTCGTCCGCCGCGACACTCAAGGAGACGCCGACACCTATCAATACTGCGACGAGGGCGGCGTCGAATCCAAGCCACGCGCGGAGCCCGAGCGAGCTTGAGAGACTGGGAATGGGTATGGGTCGGTTGGGATTCGGACAGGTTGGACCAACCAAAGGAGCGGCAAGCTCAAGCGCGGCAGCGCCGAAGAAATTGGGGTTTGGTGCTGTTGGCCACAGCAAACCCTCTGCGGCAGACGGTAAGGACATCCGAAGAACAAACCTGATCATCCCCTTTCCGCTTCACTCCTGGTTACCTCTTGTCCAACGCTCCTTCTTTTTCTCTTGTACCGCAGACTGACCATCTCGTTTTTGATTACCCCTATACAGACGAGGAAGAACAATACGCCCGCAGCAAATTCGGCGGCCAGAAGTCGATCTCGTCCGACGAGTTCTTTGGCCGCAACAGCTACGACCCGCAGGCGCAAGCCGAGGCGAAATCGCGCCTGCAAACCTTCGAGGGTGCCACGTCGATCAGTTCCAACGCGTATTTCGGACGTCCCGAGGATGATCCTACCGGTCTCGAGGGCGGCGACGGCGCGTACGGAGACATTGAGACGGTGGCCAAGGACTTCGTCCGAAAACTCGGCCTGACGGCGGGAGATGACCTAGAGAATCTGATCAATGTGGCCGGTGAGGGCGGCAGAAGGCTGAGAGGTGCTGTCGCTCGGTACTTGAATAGTTGAGCGGGGGCTTGCTTGAGACCTGTGCTTGGGATCCAGGATGAACCCTTTTGCAGGTCGGCTTCGAAATTGAAAGGGCCAGATTGAGTCCAGCGGGGATGAGGCGAATGGATAGGGACGCGATTGCATGAGTGGGGAGCCGATTGATTGATTGATTGATTGCTTACAAGCACGGCATAGCCACAGTAGGAAAGAAATGCGATACGTAGGCGACGCAGGCGGAAGCAATGAATTGAGCACGAGCACGAGGAGTATTGAAGTTTTGGGACTGGCCTTTGCATGACTATGGCTTTGACTTTGACGTGCGCTGTCATGCTCCCCCCTTTCTTAATCCCCCCCTTTTTGTCAAACGGTAGAATTCATACACATACCTACACATACCTACACCTACCTACATATACACCGTCCCAGGCTGGTCTCCTTGAGAAGCCCGGGGCGTTGAAGAGCATGAGGCCGCATATCCTTGGTGTGAGATGCCCTCCCCATCTTGTCTCGTCTCGTCTGGTCTTGTCTTGTTCTTGTCTTCCTTGGAGAGTTGAGGAAGGAGAGCAGCAGCAGCAAGAGACGAGACAAGAGAAGCGCACGTCGTATCTATCTACTGTAGCTGGGTAATGGAGAAAATAGGTACTCGGTCTTCATCGTGATAGCTTTTCGTTTCTGCAGCAAGCGGACGAACATACATAGGTTACAACAGGGTACAATGTACTAAGCAGGCCAAGGCACCCCCTCCTCCCCTTCACCGTCCGTCGAATTGTTAACAAAGTCAGGAGCCCTTTGCTCGGGGTCTGTCGATAGCGATAGCGCGTGTGCGTCCTCCCAGCAATCAGTCCCGTCACCCACCCATCAATCCATCAGTCCATCAATGCATCCATCCATCCATCCATCCATCCATCCGTCAATCTCTTCACCAGGGCACGACACTCAGACACAACCGTTTCAATGCCAACAAAGCACGCCACCAAATCTGCCAGAATAACAAACTGAGCTGCACGAGACATGAAAGACTCTCTGCGAGGCATCTCTGCCTCCCCATCAAGTCCTCCCAAGACGGTGCTCGCTCGAGTCATGCAATAAAAGAGTGTATCCAGCCTTAACAAGACAGTCCGAGGACTCTCAAAATTAGCCAGAGTCAAGAAAAAAGGGACTATTCGATGGTAAACCATTCATTAAAGGATATTCCTAGCGTTCCAATCGAGGTTGCCGAAGCTTTTCCTTTAGGGGGATCGAGTGTAAAGTAATATTCATGCCAATCAATCTCGGAGTAACAAGTCATCAAAGTCGTGATGAAACGAGTGGCTGAGTCTTCCAAGAGAACTCCAATGGTGTGGTAATAGGGCACCGCCCTTACTGCGCCTTTCCGCTTCACATGACGACGCTCTTGCGTTTCTCAGCGCTACTAAGAACCATCAACGGTGTGTTGCGTCTGGGCGGCTCAATCTCGACAATAGGTCCTCCAACAGAGTTGCCCTCATCGCTACTCAAGCTCTTAGCACTAATCGCTCCAACGCTGTCAACCGAGGACCGCTCACGAGACTTCTCCTTGATCTCCGACCCAATCGCCCCGCTGGCAGCAGCCCGGAGACTACCGAGGCTCGGCTTGCTCGAGAGGCTGCTGCTCCCAGCAAGAACCGAATCATCAGAAGACACGGAAAAGTTGAACTCGTTCTCGCTGCCAGGTGTTCCGGCTCCAGAACCGGGTTGACGACCGCCGTCACTGCGACGCTCACGGCCCGCACGAACAAGGTCATGAACGGCTCGACGGCGTTGTCGAGTAGCAAAGTTCTTGCTCCCCTCATGCTTGGAGGTAGGTTTCTCCTCGAGCTCTTGCAGAAGGGGTGGGCCCTTTGGTTGTCTCACAGGATGTTCTCCGGCTCTTCCGTGGCCGGGGCCAAAAGTGGCCGTCATTGGAGTCTGTGGGAATCCCGCCGGTCTGGCTGCAGAGCCCTTTGTCCAGTCGCCTGCAGTCTTGATATTGGCAGACGACATGTTCTTCCGGTGGCCCCGTCGGAACGCGTTGGCAGATGGAGGCGGAAGAGGCTCAACCTCCTGCGGCGGAGATGGCGTGGATTTCGGAGGCGTCTTTGAACGAACCTCGGTCACAGGAAAAGATGGCTCAGGATACTGGCGCTGGTAGGCAGGCGTGGCGGGGGGTGGGGAAACAGAATTGTTCTGACGGACAGGAGAAACCTCTTTCTGCTGCTGCTGCTGCTGCTGGTGATACGAATTGTCGACGAGATAGCTCGACTGGCCAGTCATCGGATTGTAGACAGTGAAAACACCTGGGCTACCTGGGACTGGATGAACCACGGGTTGCAAACCCTGCTGGAATTGTTGATTGTACAGACCCATTGGGGAGCTGATGGGAGACTGGTACTGCTGCTGGCCGATGTTGTTCACGAAGCCGGTGTTTAGGTTGAGTCCAGATAGCTGATGCGCTGCAGCTGTGACATTCAACAACTGCTGTTGGAGAGCTCGTTGCTGCTGAGCAAGGTAATTATTGGTGGCTACCAGTTCATCGTACAAATTCTGATCCATATTCTCCGCTCCGTCAACGAAGTCAAGAGATGGAGGGGCAAGAACATGCTCAGGACGCGAGTAGGGCTGTTGTAGGTTGCTTTGCACCGCGTTCCTGCCTCCTGGAAAGTACACGCCAGTGGCTGTCTGCGGCACCTGGTTGGCGTACGCCGCAGAGGCGTACTTGCTACTTTCCAGTCCTATGCCATGGGTGGCAGGAGGGACCGTAGCAGATTTGGGAGCCGTGCGTAGACCTGCCAGAAGGTGACCCCGGCTAGTGCGGGGTGTGGAAACAGTGTTCGCCTGCTGAGTCTCATCGATGGTCGAGATCTTGGAGGGTGGTGCAACGCTGAGACGCTTGATATGGGAACCTTTGCCGCGAGAAGCAAAACCGGGGCCAGAAACGCCGATCGAGTTGTTGAATGGGGACTGGTAAGTCATTTGAGCAACACCGCCAGCGTCGATGCTCATTGTACTCTAGAGGAAATATACAAAGGATCGTATACTGTGTAAGTTGATAAGACTGAAACTGTGTATGGCTAGGACAAGCCGAAGTGTCCGAGCTGGAGTTCAAAAAGTTCAGGAAGAAAAATAGTCCGTGCACTGCCGACGCGAGAATTGAATGCGAGCAAGGAGTGTGAGATTCCCTTTGGTCTGGTGAATTAAGAAAATTAGGACGAGTCGTGACTAGGTAGCGACGAGGTCGTGATGGAGCTAGTTTCAGGTGCCGGTAGGAGTAGAGAAGGCGTACGGCGTGACCAGAGAGGAAATGCCTGCCTGATCCTGTCAGTCCTGATGCTCTGTAGAGCGAGGTTGGCTGAACGAACCAAATGTTCAGCCAGCTGTTGGCAGAAACCTTGAAACTGTGGTGGAGGTACTAAATGTGCAGATGGTGCGAGACCAGAGGCGTAGATGATTTGATTGTACAAAGCCGTCTCTTGAATCTTGAGGTTACCAGATAAGGGAGATTTAGAACAATGAAGGTGGTTCGGCAATCAGATCGAGGTGTAATAGCGTAGGATATTGCGCGGCAATGATCGAGCGATTGAAAGCTGCTGGTGTGTGTATGGACGATTATGAGATATGGTGCAAGTCACTCTCCACGACTGAGGGAGTTCGAAGGGGCCGTAAGATATATCGGTTAGAGATGGGAAAAGGATCGGGCGGGTCGTATTTGGGGACCTGGAAGTCGGCGCAGTGAGGACGAGGCGGGTTGAAGAAGCGATTAGAGCGAAAACGGTAGAGGTCGAAAGGAAAGGCGAGCGACGCGAGACCGAGAGAGTACGAGGTAGCCACAGTCGATGCCGGAGTCGACAGGAAAGGTCAAGGGAACGGAATGAGGAGGCAACAAGGTCAGGAAGAGCGAAGTGTGAAGAGTGACAGCAAAGGACGGTGAGGAGAGAAAAAGAAGTTCGAGGTAAAACGATGATAGAGGGTGTGGATGGATGGGAAAAAGACCCAAGCCTGGAGGGACGCAGGGAGGAAGGGGAGCAAAGGGAGAAGAGAGGGAGGAGAAGCCGAGCGAAGAGGAGAAAAGGCTTTAGTCTGACAGCAGGTGATGCGGCACTTCCAAGAGGCTTCCCGCTCATGATGCCACAGATGCCCGCGTCCATCTCATGTCAGACCGCTGCCGGTTTTCCCAGGCATCTGACGCACCCACTTACTGCCCATTAGGGGAGCCGGCCAGCCAACGGGATCCCGCGGCGAACGGTCAAGGGGGGTTTGCTGGGCCTCAGGCGATTGGCTTGCGGGGGCTTGTTCGGGTGCCACCAGTGCTGTAGGGCTTGGCGGGCTACTGGGAACAGGCGCCACCCAGGCCACTCAGGGTTCCAGAGCGCTTGACGCTTGAGGCTTTCGGGTTAAAAGGGGTCACCAGGACTGCTTAGTCTGCGTCCTTCAACTGTGCTGTCACCCATCACCCGAAGAGCGCGGGCTGTTCTCACCCAAACACTGTCTGCCCTTCACCCTCGCCATCTGCACCTACTTGTATGTCTTTTCTTTTTTCTCCAGGGGGGGGCGAATTCTGACCTTCTCCCAGCATCTCCCAACAGTCCAATGACTTCAGGAAGAATGCCCCTACGTTACTGCTATTAATACGCACGCTACCGTTCAAGTCTATTTGCTGATCTGCTTACAATAGTCCACTAGGGCAGAGCTAGTCCCGAATCCCACGAGGGTTTTATAGGCTGCGGTGCTCCCCAAACCACTGTTTCAACCTCCTCCGAATTGGTCGGCTCGAGTTTCGGGTGGAGATGCAGGTGGTTGAGCCCCTTCCCAATGCGTATACGATGAATATGTAAGGGACAGGGGAGCAAAAAGAGAACGGCAAGCCACACCAAGACTAGCCGGACATACGAGGATCGCCCTGGAGAGGACGCACTCTGAATATTCTCCAGGGGAAGAGACGTTTGGGAACACTCCGACTCTGCAAACCCACGAGGACACCGCTGAGTCGGCTATCTCACGCCCATCTCGACCTCATCGCGTCCGTCTCAAATTTGCCTCGTGGCAAGCGAAGCCTAGGCGGAGATTGCTTGTTTATTAAAACTCCCTACCTAGCGAGTCTAGCTAGCTACCTGGGCGACCCAAAATTGTGTCCCAGTCATTACTCGTCCCCTCCTACTCGGTACAGGTACGCTACCTCTTCCTCAGCTGTGCCACATGGCAGCCCTAATCTTGGCTCTTTATCCATCCCGATGGGAAAAAATGACGCTGAGCTCGGTAAGGCTCTACATTGTGAACAAAGCACACGAGAAAGGTGGACTGGAGATGAGGTCTTTATTTTTGGCTGCTACGAGTACATCAACAATGACAGCACCGCGATGTATCGAACTCCTCCTAGGCCATCTGTTGATTCCAATATTGTACAAATCGAGCCTCGCGTCAATGATGCACAACACTTTTTGTCTTCCATGTTGTTGTGTAAATGACTCCACCATGCTGGTATGCAAGAGAAGACAACCACTCTTTTCTGTCATGTACATTAGGTCTCTCCACCTTCTATCCTCACTTTTCTCACTTTTCCGCCTCAGCACCGGTCGCATCATGCGCAGCCTTAGGCACGATACTAGCCTCCGGATTGTATGTTTCCTCGGCCGCAGCGGATGAAGATTGTTTTGGTGCGCTGGTCACTCCTGACTTTTGGCCCTCTATAACGTTTTCCCGCTCGGGCGACATTGTAGAAGAATGAGACGGGTCGTCACTCACCCTCACCCTTCCCTCTGATGCCGGCGGTTTGTCACTTTGAAGGTGTTCTACATTTTCGGACGTCGTGGCATCGCTCTTCTCAGCCTCCGGCTCGGACATTGTCAGCGACTGTGACCGCTCGTGCGATTGTTCGTTTGATTCAGGAAAGGTCGCTTTCTTCGCTGTCTGTGCGGGCCGGGGTGCTGGATCCGGCTCCTCCAGCAACCTGCGCTGCGTCGTCGCGGCGCCTTCGTGCTGCCTCTTCCTCTCCGCGATCTCGTTGACCAACTCCTGCTTCTCCGCCTCCAACCCGGCGTCCAACTCGTCATCGTCCTCCAGCTCGCCCTTGTAGATTTCCGGGTATTTCTGGAAACATTGCTGCATGTTCTGGAACTTGTCAATGCAGTCCATCCCCTTGGGTTCCTCCTTTGAATACACGAAACATGAAAAGGCCTCGCGGAATTCCGGGCCGCAGGGCCCATGCGCCATCCCGCCCAGACAAGGGCAGTCCCAGTTGATTTCTCCTGTTTCTGGGTTGAAGGCTCCCTCGCCGGCCGCCTCCTCTTCTAGCCCTTCGGCCGTGCCCGTAGTCAGAGGCCCGTGGTCAGCAACGATGGTTGTGGACGCATTCTCGGACGATATTGAGTCGACGGCGGAGTGGAGGACGGAGGCGTTTTTCTCGGCCTCCCTCGCGCGACGGGAGGTGAGGGCTTCCAAGGTCGAGTGGTCCCTCCGTTCGTCATCGACGGCGTCGAGGTTCGGGTTTAATAGATCTGTAGAGCACACGCACATTGGCAAATAAGCCTCCAACCTCCGCAAAAAAGGGCCATGAGCCCTCGACCAGCAATCCCGGGGACTGTTGGAGCATTGGCTTACTATGATGTGGCTGCTCCGCGAAGACCGGGCTCGTGTTATAATAGTAAATGCCAGCAATGGCGATACCCCATCTCAACGCCGAGCCCTTCCAACTCCGCCGCGCATTCTCTGGCGATGTACTGGCGAACCGCTTCCCGGATGTACTCCTGGCGGCGGGAGCAAGGGGAAAGGAGGAGCGAGTTGTGGTGCGCAGCGTTGACCGGGCCGCCGGTCGGAACATGGCTGAGGAGGGGGGTTTGGTTCTCGTCGCAATCTTTTCTCGGTTTCAGAGATACAGAGGAGAGTGAAACATGTCAAGGAGAGGAAGGAGAAGGAAAAACCTGGGAGTACAAATGAACGACTGGACTATAGGCCAAAAGGTTGCGACAAGTATTAGATACCCCCGGCTGGTGATGCAATGGCCGATCAATTAATAATTTGGAGCTCGAAGATTTCATATTGCGCTTCAGCGCGCCAAAGTCCAACCGTATCAGGAGAAGGATAAATAGGGCGGAGCAAATATGCGCCCGATGTTCATTGTCCATCGCATCTTCAGCCTCGCGCGAGATCATAACCTCCCAGGCTGATCAGCGTAGACTTCGCATCCAAGAAACATCCCAATGACAGATGAAAGCGGTAAGGATGGATAGTATTTCGAAGCTCCTGAGACTGTATCTACCATATTGCAGCATGATCATAAGTCACCGATGCTGCATCTAACCTTGAAGACTTAAAAAGTTGACTCTAGTCAAGCACCTGTGATCACACCTTGAGCCCGTGAACGTTAGCACGATACTCCTTCTCTGCCTTCAGCCGCAAGTTGTCCTGGAGGAAGAGTGACCAAGGGTCTAGCAGGAACTGTACTTCTGGCTCCTTGTCTGCATTAAAGACGCGGACGAGGAAGTACACATCTGTTGGAATGCTGGTGTCCGTAGAATCGGGAATCGTGTATGTACGAGCCTGTTGCAAAGCATTAGACCGGAATATGCTGGCGACATTGTTGACACCGACTCACCATCTTCCATTGGGCATTGCTATAAGAGAACTCAGAGGCCAAGTCGCCCTTGGTCGTTCTCACATCAAGATGATACACGGGCGGACGCTTGATCCATCTCCTAGCCTCTGGATAGCATTCTGCGACATACCGACTGAACATTCCGCTGGTGTCGGTGATCGTGAAGCTGGCGTAGAGCTTGGACTTGCCATTGGTATTCTGGCCCCGAATGAATGCTTTGTGTCCATTTCTTGTCCTCAGACTGCTCGTCCAGTGGACATCTGGATCGTAGCCGTTGTTGAGCATCCGTCGTAGTTCTTCTGAAACCTGCAGCGCTCGTCAGTATCAAAGTCACGTTGTTCATGCCTACATGGATTTTGAGACAGGCTTCAACATGGTAGGCCATACCTTCTTCTGACCAAGAAACTCGAGATTATCGTCGGTCTCTCGACGCACATTGTCAGAGAAGACGGTACTTCGTCGCATCATTCTCGCGGGGACTGCAGCAAAGATTCTCATCTTACTGCCACCGAGCGTTGAACCAGAAAGTGTCGAGGACGCTCGGGACACGACAGATTTGGCGTCATCCTCATCCTCTTCGTCTTCCACATAGAGATCGTCGGCGCTGAGGCCACCGAGTCCGCTATCTATCACAAAAGCCTCGTCGGAGTTGTTGAGACCATTCCTTTTAAAAATATAACCGGGGCCACTGTTTGTAGAAAATATGCTAACAGCTGTGAACATACGCACCAGGTCTCCCTTGAGCAAGCCCTTTTTACCATTCTGGCTCGGTCCACTCGTCGTCGCTGTGCCCCGGCCCTGGGACTTTCGCGGGTCGAAGTCGTCAATGTCTTCAAACTCTTCTGCTGCGTCGTCATCAAGGTTGAGAGCAGGAACGCCATGCTCTTGGAAGCATTTCTGAATGTTCGAAATGTCTTCTTGTAGGGCAACAGTAAGGAGAAACAAGCCCTTGTCTTCGACCCCACAGAAGCCAGCGATGGCCTCGATTAGATCTCTGGGAACCTTGTGTGATTCAAAATACCCGTTTTTCACGTAGATTTCGAGATGGCTGTGTTCAGTCGACAGAACAACGTTCCCATCCTTCGATCGCCCCGACCGGTTGTCCAAGCCAACTTTCACGGACCACTTTTGAATGACTCTTGTAGTGGAGAATGCCTGCAACGATTTGAGCTTGGCCACCTTTTCCCTCTTGCCATGTTCTTTTTTAGGCATAAGTCTAGCGGCGAGTTTTGGTTATTAAAGTTTTTCAAATACAAAAGGGACGCAGTCAACTGGTCGCTGGATAGCGGAGCAGTACTCACCTGGCTACGAATTCGGCTCTTGACCGTAGGTCGGCTTGCCGATTGGGATCGGGTCGTAAGATACCAACAGTCTCTGCGATGCTCGTGACTGCTCGAGTCAATCGTCGCTTGTCACCGCCCAGTTTCCGAATCAGGAGTGGGAGTTTCAGGACGTCCTCGACCTGGAAAGCGAGCAAAGGCACGATCCCACAGAAACTCTCCAGCAAATGTGCTCTGTCGGCAATGAACCACGCGTCCGAGTTTTTGGCGCACCCGAGCATATCCCACTGGTCCTCGTTGCTTGTCTTATAGACTGGCCATATGGAATGTGTCTGAAGTGAGTCGATAGCCGTCGTCGTCTCGTCCTTCTCAAGATGCTTTTCAATTTCGAGAAACAGAGCTTTGATGTAAGACAGCGGGTCGCCGACATTGACTAATTTGGTCTCGCGTATGAGGTCCGCAATGCCCGCGTCCGGGAGCAGGAAGAAGTCGCGGAAAAGCCGCTGACAAGATGGGTATATGTTCTTCAGAGCAACAAATCGTCGAAGGCATTCTGGACCGCTCCACAAGCAATCTTGCACCTTGACCCAGCGGGGTTCACCTCCAGCTCTTTTGTTAGGGATGCAAATAAGCGGCTTCTGTTCGAATGACTGCCTCACTAAGTCCGGCAGTTCTGAGCATCGGGCTTGGATTTGTTCAAGCATTAAACCAGCGCGGTCGATAACAATTGCATCTGACGTACCGCTCATTGCATATAGACATCGGAGATAGAAACGAACGTCGCCCTCGACACCAAGCCCCAAGATCTTCAACCTCTGCCAACGTGGGTCGAGAGGGTCGTCGATATCAACGAATGGCACCTGGCCATTTGCCTGCTGGACAAGTTCCGGAATTGGCAGGAATACGTCCCGCAGGGACTTTTTCGCACCTCCAAGGCACTCCACATGCGCTTCTTGCAGCGAATTTCTGAGTCTCTCTCGACATGCCTGTCTCGCCGACCTGGAGTCATCTCGAGCACCGCCAGCATCATCTTCGAGCCAGCGCGAGTAATAGCCCCAGTTATCTCTCAGAAGGACCAGAAAATCTCTAGACTTGAAATTCTGCATGATCAGGGTAAAGTGGCGAGATAGTCCAAAGGAGTGCGGTGATTGTCCGTCGACCTGGGTGAGGCGTGGCAGAATAGAGATTTTCGCCGCGTTCTCCAGCCACTCAAGCCAATTCGCTTGGTCATCCTTGACAGCGTCCAAATAATGTGGATGTATGAAATCGATATCTTTCCGACCAGCAAAGTACTGACTCGCTGCAAACGGAGCCTGCGACGGCAGGTATGCACTCTCTGCGCGAGAGCGACCGGAACCATCCGATGTGGCGAACCAAAGATATCTGACCTCATAGTCATGTACTCTGGCTCTGAAGAGGAACATCGCCTGGGATATCAGATGTTTGACGGTAAAGCTTCTTGGGTTGAACAAAGGCTGAGTATGAACATGGAGGAGGCAATCGGCGATGGCATCCTGGCCGAAGACCTTGAGTCCGAGCTGAAGATATAGAGATCGAGCTGTGGGATTGTTGGCAGCATCTTCTCGAACTAGTCGGAATGCGAGGCCCTCAGGGGCCATGGAATTTTCGGCTTCTTGAGGGAGAAAGATAGCCTTCTCTTGGGCAGAGACCCATCGACCGTCGTTGAGAGGAATGATCGGTAGCTTGCAAAGCTTCTCATGCTGTTCGGTGTCGAAAGACAGCTTCAAAAGAATTTCTGCAAGCCGTGTATGCCACTCAACTGATTTCATCTTCTGAAATAGCGCGGTGTTTTGTTTGATATAGAGATCCAAATGCTCCAAGAATATGGCTGCGGTCATTTTTGTGACGCCTAGTGCTTCCAGGTTATCGTGAAGGGAGACATCATATTTATGACACAGATATGCCAGGTCGTTCAATGGGGATGAAGTCATCGGGACCCCTTGCCTGTCGCAGAAATCCAAGGGAACATATGTTAAGGAGGACGGCATCATTAGTTCTTGGGCTCTGGACTTCAACACTGGCTGTCGAGAGAGCGTTTCAATGATTTCTCGTCTGGCTGGTTCGAAGAAATGGCGCTGAGTCATCTTGAATGGGATGAATCGAGGCCAGATATAACACAATTGACCGTGGCTGTATGCTCTAGTGACAGCAACAAACGCTTTGATAAATTCTCTTCGAAGGGCCCAATTCCATGGGGAGTCTGTCAAAACGTCCTCTCGGCTCGCAGAAAGTAGAAAATCTCCCTGAAGAAGAAACTAAAGAGAATCAGTGAGCGTATGTTGGCCCCTGATGATAAATGTCTACATACCTTGAAGCCATAGTCTCGAATCGGAAGGAAGGCATACACCTTTTGAGACGTCAATGGCTGGTCCGTGACGTCGGGAAAGGCAAGCAGGATCTGGGACTCCCTTGCGCCAGGACGCTTGGGCTCGACCGGAAGATTTGTAGCAACGTGTGAGCTGACAAGATACTTCGTGACTTCCCCATCTCGAGTCAACTCAATTGCTGTCTCGCCGTGGCTCGTACCGACGCTTTTCCTGAAAGTGGTCTGCCAGGCCAGTTCGCCCTCTCGAATCGTAATCGTTACGTTTCTCAAGCGGCGGAGAAACATGAGCATACGCGGGTCGAAGCCTCTCAAGTCCGAGACCAGCCGCCTCTCGTCGTACTGCGGAGACAATTGCAGGAGCATAGATGTCATGAACGGAATAGCGGGCTCAGGGAACGGCTCCCAGATAGGCGCAATCATACCTAGGACTTGTCTCTTGTCGAATTTGAAGGTGTAGGAGTTGGACGAGATCCAGACAACGTCAGCAGCCTTGAAGACCGACTTGAAACCAATGCCTTTCTCTCCGACATACGCGGTAGCGCGATTAACGCCAGCTTTGGTGCTGCTGCCCACCCTACAGATGGCCTCCACATTCTTTTCACTGAAGCCCTTCTCATTACAATCGATCCTCAGACGTCGATTCTGGTACGTTAGCGAGATGCTAGGTTCGGCGGCATCATACTCGTTGTCGTCGGCATTCTGTATAAGCTCGAGGAGGAAATGAGTGGACTTCTGGTACAGCTCATCTGCGAGACTACGGCATGGTTAGACAGTGACTCATGACAGAGGAAAGCGAGGGACTGTTCACGTGTGAAGAGCGTTCTGGAGGTTCTCGACATTTCGGCTCTTTGCACTGGTGTCGTCCAGTCCAGCTTCTTTTCTTATGGTGTCAATATGGCGTTGAGCTTTCTGGACAGCCTGATCTCTGTTTAGCTGCACCATCTTGGAAGTCTCAATGGAGCAAGAGAACTAGCAAGCTCGATGGCCACTTGAGAGACAACACAGCCTTTTGTAGCTGTTACAGGAGCCGAATGACTGGCGCCCCGCGAAGTGACTTGACTCAGGCAAAGCAAGGCAGATTGCGAGTTTGCCATGCCTTGACCTCGCCAAGAGAACGGAAAGGCTGAGCAAGGCAACCATCTCGTTAGCATCGGACAAGTTATTCCCTAGCACCCGGTGCATCCAAGCGGGTGGTGAAAGGACTGTGAGAAGAGGACAGCATGCATCTTTAGGGCGCGCGGCTGCCTGCAGGCTGCCATGCACTTAAAGGCCCACAGAACCAGAGAAGCTTGAGGGAGACCACGAAGGTCCGATGCATTGGGAGCAGTAGCGGTGATATTGTGAACGAGTGGAGACTTCGGTCACTTGTCTAGCAGTCCATAGAGCAGTTTTGGTTGTGGGCGAGGAGCCGACCGAGTACAAGTGGTACGAAAGGGGACAAAGGGCGTGGCATGAACAAGTAAGGCTGAATCTGGAGGAGGGGCCGAGAGGGGAAGTAGATACACGCGTTTTAGGTTGAGAATGATGCCGCTTTATGGTTTTATCGTAAACACCCAATACGCCTTGTTTTCTTAAAAGCGGCCTGACCAGTGGGCCCTGACACGTGATTTCGGAATCCACGTTTTTCCGCATCTCCGATTTCCCGACTCTTTGCGCCAAGCATCGGGAGCAATCGTGCATCATCATCATCCTTGTCACCAAAGAAGATCGATCACCTGGCTGGCGAGATCTAGCAATCTACTTTTACCGTGGGCCTCAAGACGTGCGGCAGGGAGAGCATTCGGCGAGAATGGTGACAGATTGGCATCCCTGCGGCCTTTTGAACAGCAAACCAACCCATCCCTACGCAATCATCGTCCTCAACCAGCCCGTGAACAAACACGCCCTGAATGCCGTTATCGGGTCAGCCTCGTTACTCGTGTGCGCCGACGCTGGCGCCGACAGGCTGTACAAGTACGACAAAGCCGCGCAGAACGGCGTGTCAAAGTTAAAGCGCCGCGTTCCGGATGCTATTATTGGGGATCTTGATTCCCTGACAGAGGCGGTCGGAGAGCATTATCGCTCTCTAGGGACTGAAGTGATTAAGGACCCGGATCAGTACTCTACGGACTTCACAAAGTGTCTCAAATGGATTCGCGACTGGGCAATAACAAAGCATGGGCATGACGCATCGGATCGCGGCGAAGAGATACAGCCCATTATGGACGTCGTCGTACTAGGAGGTCTCGGAGGTCGGGTAGACCAAGGCTTTTCGCAAGTCCACCATCTTTTCATGGCGGAGAACCAACCGGCACTTTTGAGGGGCCGCATTTATCTATTGTCAGAACAGAGTTTGTCATTTGTTCTAGCTGATGGCCGCAATCGCATCCACCTCGAACCCGGTTATTTTGCAGAGAACGTAGGAATCCTCCCTATTCTCGGGCGCATTCTCCTGACCACAAAAGGTCTTGAGTGGGACGTTGAACGATGGCCCACTGAGTTCGGAGGCCAAGTGAGTACCAGTAACCACATACGGTCCTCCGAAATCGACATTTCCTTCGAGGGTCCGAGACCATTGTTCACCTTGGAACTGGACAAACGTCTCACGGTTACTTGCGAATAAGGCTGGTATTGTGGATAGTGACCGGTCGTCTCCTGACAAGGTTGGTGCAGGTTGGAGCCAAGTCTTTGTTGCGGGTTGACTCTCCGTGCTTTCTTCCGACCCACTAGCGGCCAAAACAGGAGGGCGGCGGTCGGGGTCTTGGTCAGATGCTGTTTTCATGGCAGGTCTCGCTTGTCCATCTTTGCTTCGAGGCCGCGGAGTGCCTGGACTCTTCATGGTCGGCGCATGTGCTGCGACCTTGTAACCACCTGGCGAGGAATGGCTTTGCTGCAACCACCGCCGGAGTGGAGTGGCGCAACAGGTTCACAGAGTATGCGGACCAGAGTCGGCTGCTGAGTGATGAGCTAAGCGGAGAGTTTCATGTCCTATTGAGGCCAAGCGGCCAATCAGCCTGGCTTCTTTGAGGCAATGGGGGAGTGCTTGTGCGGTGATTGAGAGCTGTTCGGCGCCTCTTTCTCGCACGTTACCGATGTGGGACGTGATTTCTTGGTGCCGTACCAGTCAACGTCGCTCAAATTGAGTCTTCTCGCTCGGGGCGCATGGCGTCCCGATCTCTCAGCACGGCTGAGGGAAGGATTGTAGTGATCGGGTCCTAATTTGAGGCCTTTAGTATTGCGGTTCTTCCCCAAGGGAGGTTGGACTATAGGGCCACAAGGAAATCCATTGGGAATACCATCGTGTTGGTCATCTTCGCGCAGATCATAATTCAGGACCAGGTTCTTGATGCGCTGTTGTTCCTCCCTTTCGGCGGCCTGTTGCGACTTCATTGAGACGGCAAAGCTCGAGTCCGAGGGTAGTTCAATTGTCTTTGTCTAGAAAGTGGTCAGTAATGGGTTCCAACTGGACCTTACCAGGGTTATTAGTCCAAGTATGGTTCAAAGGGGATTACTTGCTTGTTGTCGATTCCCCTTCTTTGTCATCAACGAAAACGCCATGGTGTTAGGTTCAGCTTGGGGAGCAGGACTGGGCTCATCCTCATTCGGCTCGACTGGCGCTCGTTGAATCTTACGAATGGGTAAAGGTACGTCGAAGTGAGTCTTGCGCTCGAATTTGCGGGAGTCCAAGCTTTCAGCCATCATCTTCTCGAACGCGCGGTCAAACTCGGCTTCGGCCTCTGGATCCAGGTGTTCCTCTTGACGCAGGACGACAATCTGTTCTTCTTCGTCTGATTCATCGTCCTCTTTCTCTTCACCAGTATCCTCTTCTGCAACACCCTCCTCGAAGTCAGTAGATGATCTCAACCGAAGCCGACACGGTGCTTACCTCGCCGTCTTCATCCGACGATCGCGCAATTTCAGCCTCAAGTTCAGCGTCACCTTCGCCAAGTGCATCTTCGGAGCCGGAGTCTTCGACATCATCCGGCTGCTCCAAACTTTTCTCCGCCCCCTGCTGTCTGTAATTCGCGCTTACAGCTTCAGCAAATAGATTGGCCGCTTCTCCAAGCTCGGTAACTAACTTCCAGTTAGGACGGACAAGAGAGTAGGTGTCCTGCACCAGAAACTCAATCTCCATCGGCAGGGGATCCTTTGTGGCCATGTAATATTGGAAGAAAGTCAGGAAGAAGTCGAGCTTTTTGCGGGAGCTACCTCTGTCGAAACATATTCCACAAGTGTCGAGAAGGGTGCTTATCAAGCGGATGCGGAAGAACTCGTCAGGGGGATCAAACGGTGTGAAGTTGCCAGGCTGGGGTGTTCCGCCTTCATGACCAAATGTCACGATCCGATACAGCGTGTCGAACACCACGGTCGAGTCGATCATCTTGTAGTTGTAGAGCTCTCCCAGATATTTGACCTCAGCCACCCTTCGCTGATTGAACTTGAAGTCGTTCTGCTCCAGACCCAGAGTGATTTGTTCCAGGACGTTGTCTATGATACCAATAGCAAAGTCTTGATGATACCGGAAAAGTGCCTGCAGGAGAACTGCCAGGAGATGGATGTTGCTGAACTTGACTTTTCCCGGCTTGCTGAAAATCTTCTCTAGCATCTGGACAACTTCCTTCTCTTCCCAATGCAGTTTCCGGATGGTCTTGAGAACCTTCATGTAGTTGCGTTTGGTCATATCCACATATACCAACTGTCGGACGAAGAGTTCTGTCGGCGTCCGTTCTTTTTGTTGGATGGCGGCCCGTTGGGGAGGGTCGACGTAGTACAAAGCGTTCTCAATCAACATGCGCTCTTGAGCCCCCATGTGCTGAGCGGACTTCTTGCGGTTCAACGTCTCGAGGAAAGACGTCATCCGAGGAGAGGTCTCGGAATTACGTAGAAGATATCGACCACAGTTTTCGAGCAGATGGGCGATGATCTCGATGTTCATCCTCGAAAAGTCGTCTAAGCTGACTTTGAAGCAGTGGAAAATGACGTGCTCTGGAACGACCCCAAACTTGGTGAGTTCCGCCAGGTAGCGAATGTTGGCCATGCGGATCTGCCCCAGAAAATCTTTGGATTTCCGCCTCTGCAGGCTTCGGAACTCGTCATCCAGATGCGAAATCAGGCCCTGCACGACGTCGGGCATGTACTGCCCAAGAGTGGCGGCAAGTCGCGCATACAGAGGGAGCAGATCGATCCGACCTTTGGGGACTTCTTGGATAGCCTTGACCAAACGATTTCGGGAGGCTTTGGAGTTGAGGAAGCAGAAGTCCAAAGCGACCTGATCGACCATATCCTTGGTTTGCAGTTCCGGTAGGCGTAGGAGAATGGCATCAACTTGAGCACCCACCGTCTTGTTCGTGATGGCGGTAGACTGTTCATCGTTCTCCAAAGGCTTGTTCGTCCCACCTTCAACCGGAGTGGAGGAAGGTTCACCACGATCGTCTGATTCAAGCTTCTTTTTTGAATCTTCTAGGAGAATCGCCGGCACTCGACCCTTGAGATCGACCAAATTCTCATAGAAACGACGTTCTTCTTCGTCTTCCCAGATGCCAGCGCTCTCACCTTGGCCCTTGAGGTAGTCGCCTGTCTTGATCATCCCAACACTCCCTGACGTAGCGATCTCTGCGCTGTCTTTCTCCTCGAGATCTGGCATTTCTTGTCCGAGGACATCACAAAGGACTTGGGCATTTGCCACCAATTTCTCTTGAGCCTTGGCCTGCTTCTCGAAATTTGCCTGCCTGTCTTCGAAGATTTCGCCACTTTTGACATAAGCCTCTGCATTTCGGCGGCTTTGGTTGTTGAGAGATCTTTGGTCTCGAATGACGTGGGTTTTGACGGTAGACAAGTATCGCTCTAAGACGTTGATGAATCTCTGTCGGATTGGCTGGGGAATGATGGCCGCATCTTCCTCAGGGGAGTCAGGGGAGGCATCGCCATCTTTGGCGTGCTCTACGACGTGACCGTCTGCGTCGACTGTTTTTCGGCCTTCCTCAGACGGTGGCTTGAGTCCCAGCACATCCCAGGCGAAGTTCTTCACGAAAAGAACGGCCAGACTGAGGTTAGCGTGCTCCGGGTCATGGCCTAACAAGTCCTTGAGGACCTCCAGAGGGAAAGGATCATGCTCAACGTAGGCGTCGGGTCGAACACCATTTGTGGTTGGCTTTAGCTTCGACTCGATTTGGGACGGGGCGTCTTTGCCTCGCGGCGTAGCTTCGTCTGGTCGATCCGCATCATCCAGGCTTCGAAGAATACCGCACAGCCAGAATTCAGTGACGACGCGAAGGAGAACTCGGTGTCGGACCAGGCGCTCCTTCTCTTCACGTTCGCGGACCTCCTGACTCCACAATTTCACCTGAGCCTTGTCCGGAGTTGTCAAACCCTTGCCCAAAAGCCATGCCAGCTGCTTGGTAAACTCTTGGGGTCCAAATCTTTGGTGTAGGGCACTGACAACCTCGATACCCGTGGCAATCTCACTCGCAGTCTTGAGCCTACCCAATCCTTCAGCTGTGGCCGTCGTGATCTCGGACAGGTACTTTTGGAGGGACAGCGTGCGGATCTCTGACAGAAAGGTGTCTTGTGCAGCAGACGATAGCCCGGTTCGGAGTCGTTTAATAAACGCCGTGTTCTTCTTCAGTGACGAATCGAGTGAGTTTGCTACTTCGTAGACATCTGCGGCTTGTGTCAGCTAGAGTCGGTCCCATCTGGCGCGACACGGATGTGTACCCTTTGCGCCTGCCCAGACGCGCAAATTTAGGTCACGTAGTTCTCCTGAGATCCGATTGTCAGTGTGCGGTCTCCCAACGCAACGGAGTGAGCCTACTCTTGCGCTTGCGGTCCATGACGGCCCGCGGTTTTGTAAAGAGGATCCTGACGCTCGCATGACGACAGGAGAAGGAGCAGAGGAGCTGCAGGAATCCTGCACTGTAAACCGAACGGCAGATGTCACTACGCGTTCGTCACTGTACGGTTGCGCACCGGATGGGTGAATGAATCACTTTCCAGGGATATTCAGTTGGAGGGGCAATATTATGTTTTCACCCAAGCCTGGATCGGGCTGGCTCAAGCCCGCCCCGATGATGGGTGCCAAGAGCCCTTACGAGCCCTTACGAGCCTTACGAGCCAGCCAGCCAGCAGCGGTCCCCGGAGAATGGAACCTGCAAGTAAAAGCGGCCTTGTTTATCATAGTCCGCTTTATGACACTGTCCACTGGAGTGACTTCAGACACTTACTCATTAGGTACGGTTCTGTCTGCCGCTCTATGAAATTCATGACAGCCCTCCACGTGTGTGCCATGGTCGTGGCTTAGACTTGCTCCTCAAACACCTTCGCTTTCTGAGCAGCCAGTTTGCTTTTCCGTGCCCGAGCGGCCTCTTGATCAGCCACGGACTTTCCATTCTTTCTTTCGTCTTCCTTCAGACGCTTCCGAGAGCCAGCCTGGGGGCCTATTGTGCTCGCTGCATGCCGCTTTCGCTTCTGTCCTTGCTGGATATCCTCTTCATTGTCGTTGGTCGCGGTGATTATATCGTCGTGCTCGGTCCACAGGTCGTCTGCCAACCATATGGGCACTGCGAACGAAGATTGACCTTTTATGTGAATGCCTCTTACATTCCTCCATCCTTTCACAACGTGCTTTTCGATCAACCTTGAAACAATGGTTGAAATATTTTCTGACAGCTGCTCCGGCTTAAATGAGGAAAGGCCGACTCGCACGGCGACGAGTGTACCAGGTCGCAGGCTGACAGGAACAGCATTGATCGCTTTTTCGATTTCTTTGGCCAGCGCTGCTGGCGAGGTGGGAGCAGCGCCACCGCCTTCCTTTGACGTTTGCGGCTTGTTCATCTTGTCTCGCCTTGGGTCAGCAATCATGATAGGGATGGGCCTTTTTGAGGTTCCTTTGTAAAAGACTTTGCCCAGGATTGCTGGCAGACGAGTGACGATGCGGTCGTCAGCGAGGAAGAGGTCATGTTCAGAGAGCAGTTCTCTCAGTTGTTCAAATGTCTTGTACCTCGCCTTGAGCTTGGTATATCCGATTATTCGAGAGATTCGAGACTTGAGATGTTGGGGAAATGAAGCGTCAGCCACCACGTTTTTCACTGCTCGTTGGGGATCGGTGGTAATGAGACATATCCGAAGGTCTGGCGATGTGTTGAGGGGATGTGGGACGGCAATTTTGCTGGGCTTAAGACGGTTCTTGTCCACGATATGTTGTTTGGTAGTGAGGGTGAGCCAAATCGGGGCCGTAGCGTCGGCGGCGGCATCGTCCTCTGAATCGGAGTCAGAAGCGGCTAGGAGACTCTTTTTGGAAGAGGCCTGCTGCAAGCGCTTGGTTTCTGCCTGAATATGCTGTAGCAAGGCCCGGGAGGCTTTGAGGGTCTGCAGGGGAAAGGCGTTAGAGAAAGCTATTCGGGACGGTCGGGGGTTGCATGCATACCTGGTCAGGATCGAGCTGGTAGGGAGTGGGTTGGGACTGCTTGGAGATAGCAGTGGTTGTCACCTTGGCCACAGCAGCCATTGTCCAGGTTGCGTGTGCGTCTTTTGCGTGGTGTGTCGTTGTCTTTTTGTCGAGTCGATGTTTTCTTGCACAGGCGCATGGAGAAAAAAAGTTCCAGCGACTTGCTGCCACCGACTCGCAGTGTGGGGAAAATTCGAATCTCGCTCGGCTGACCTTCCTCGATCTGGGCCTAGTGCCTCCTCTCCAATTGTCATTTCCCTCGCTCATCAATCACGACGCCTCGCCAACTTTCTCCCATGATCATCCCGCCCACAGCCGATGAGCCGGCTGGGATGGGCAATGCAGAATGGCAAGCTCGGTTGAGATCGAGCACCGCAGTGATTGATATGTGTTCAGCGATAGATACAGGTACATTTTACTACGATGACGACCAGTCGACTGGTGCCAGCAGCACTATCGGCGGTATCATTCCCTGGCATCTCGTCAATGTATACCGAGTAGTAGATGGCAGATAGTAGGTGCATGAGGAGGGCAAACATGCAATGTAACTCTAGCGTAGAATGTGGCCAACGACATGTCTGCCAGCTAACGAGCCCTTTTCTCACATCTGCACTCCTCCCTCCTCAATAAATCCCACATTTACACGCCCCCCATAATCTCGAGATGGCGGTATTGGGCCGACCGTGAGCGAATCTCTCGAGGATCGGTGGCAGACGCGCTCCTCGTGCGTGTCATGAGCAGTTAGTGGCGTCCGAAAAATGCTGGCGCGAGAACGTCGACTTGGGCCACTCCACATCTGCCATTCGGGTGTCATTTCTCCAATCCACATCGCGTGAGTTGCCCTCGATCCATCCATTCCAGCACCTTTTCAATGTCCAACCTCTCTTGAGCCTTTGACCTCTTTCGTGGCCAGCTGCATTCTCGACTGGGTGTTCTTCTTCTTCCCTCTTGTCTGCTTGTCTGCTGAACCTCCCATGAGCAGATCTGTCCCGCTGAGCCCCGTACCTCTGCCGAGGACGCGCTTTTGAGCTGGTCCATCTCCTCCCCCCCAGCGACCGCGCCTCCAAGGTAGCTGGGCACTGCAACGCCAGGAGACCATGTCTCCCTCGACCACCCTCGCAGAGACGGTCATCTCGCCCTCTCCACGCCCGAAAAGACAAGCGACATCACTACTTCCCGCCTTCGAACCACTCTCTTCGTCACCCGCCCTACCGAGACCCCTCAAACGAAATCGAGATGCCCTGGACGAACACACGAATTATCCCACGCCTGTACCTACTTCGTCTACCGCTATTCTATCATCCTCGCCAGCACGTGTAGCCAAACCCCGACCTAGCCTTCCAAGGACTTCTTCTACCCTTGCTGAACGGACTCCTCTCGGTGCTGTTCCCTCCATCCAACTGCAAGCCGACGGTAAGGTAACGCGTATGGGAAGATCCAGCGCTTCCTGCGACTACCAATTCTCCTCGAATCGTCTGATATCCCGAGTCCACGTGGAAGCCTGCTACAAACCTGCAGGTTCGCGTCTTGAGCGTGATCGTGTGGAAATTACATGTACTGGCTGGAATGGTATCAAGATACACTGCAAGGGCCAGGTGTACGAGGTCAAGAAGGGAGAGACATTCTCGTCCAACCTTAGAGACTCAGAAATCATGATTGACGTACATGACAGTCGCGTCGTGGTGGACTGGCCTCCAAAACCTCACCTGGGCGTCTTCTTATCTGAAGACGAGGAGGAGGATAATTCTCCTGCCAAACGCCAACGGGCCATGCTGCGCCATTCAACACCACCAAGCCCAAGTCCGATGCAAGTTCGACGACGCCTTTCTTCACCCGTCTCCCCGTCACCTGCTGTACGAGCTGTAATGCCTTCTTCACCGCCGCTTCCTCCAGCCACCGTCGAAATATATGAAGACCCCGAACCAACCAACGAGAGCAGTGGAACGGTCACCGGTGCTGAAGTATCACAGTCCACACAAACACTGTCACAGAACTTCGGACAGCCTGGAACCTCGCAGGAGAACAGTGCTTCGTTGTCTGCCGAAGAGTTTTCGGACAATGACGAAGAAAACGATCCCATTATTCATTCCTTTGGACCATTTGGTGCAAATTTGCTGCCACGGATGGCATCAGTCTCCGCTGGAGATTCGCCCTTCCCTAGTGATTCTGCACCAAGTACGCGGTCCTCTCACACGGAGCCCCTGCCGTCCAGCGATGCTCTGAGCTCACCTAAAATGAAAGACCCGGAATTTGACGTGCAGGGTCACATTATCAATCAGCTCGCATTCTCGAGGTTGTCCTCGACTCCACTATCCACCATTTTAAGCCACCTTCCACGCGAGGCTGGTGCTTTGTCCATTGACGAGATCCGAAAGCTCATCCGTGAAACAGCGTGCATCGGCGAAGTTGCCAGGGAAGGAAAAGACGCGGCGGGCAAGCCCCTCGAAAGCGAGTTTTATTACATTCCAGATCAAGATGAGGATGAGAAGAGAAAGGAAGCTGTCGTCAATGATTTGCGGAAGCCAGGCTTGCGAGCATGCCGCAAACAGCACAAGGTAACCTCTCCCGCCTCGCAGTGTTCGGACAGCACTGAACTGACGCATGATAGCAATACTTCTGGCGGAAGCCCAAATAGACGATGCCTAGACATTATGCTTCCAAGATGGCCAGAGAGAGAAGCCGTATGACGGGGTTGGGATTGCAGCTTGTCTACCGAGTATGATTTCCTAATGTGTCTTTTTTTGGGTTGCATGTCTGTGCAATCGTCTCTGTACACGACAGGCTGTCGTCCCTTGTCTAGCGTTCAGCGTCATGCATAGCGAAAGGAAACCAGACATCAGCGTCTTTCATCTGTGATAGGGAATCCGGGGTTTGTTGTCTTTCATATCACTATTGAGAACAATGCCAAGCTGAGCTCCGATGGGTGAAGTTGGAGCAAGAAGTGGGCAAATATGGTCGAGCAGAAGCAATGCAGAATGTATTTTCGAACACTCTTCCCCTTCAATCCTAACTGTCGCTGTAGTCTGCAACAACTGCGACAAATAGTCCATAGGATGCTTGAAGTCGAGGTTGGACTGCGGAACATGTTTCCCGACATCGGACTGTTTGCCTGCGCTTGCCTTCGGGAGAAACTCGCGTAAACCCTGGAAGTCCCGAGGTCGAGGGTCGAAGCTTGAGCGGCTCCGTTAGTCGAAGACGTCAATCACCGAATTAAAGACCGCGACGCCGAATTCACCAACACGACATTTCCTCTGGTCTTCCAGCGTCACTCATTAATCTCCCCTCGTCTCTGCTCCTCCAGCAGGAGAGCGCCGCCCTTTCCAACCATGTTATCAATAGCTGGACAATCCGCCCTGCGAGCAATTCGCGCCCAGTCTACTCCCAGCGCCCTTTCATCCAACTTCCAGTCGTCGTCCCTCGCACGACTGCTTTCCACACTTGCCATCCTGGAGCAAAGGGATGGCAAACTCAACAGCGGCTCGTTAGGGGCAGTCACGGCAGGAGGAAAGCTCGGAGGCTCTGTGCATGGCTTCATCGCCGGCACATCGGCGAAGACGGTCGCACAAGAAGCATCAAAAATCAAAGGATTGGAGAAGGTCATCGCGGTGGAGAATGAAGCATATGACAGAGGGTTGCCCGAGAACTGGGCGCCGCTGCTGCTAGAGAATATCAAGAAAGGAGGCTACACGCATGTGATTGCAGCGCATTCGGCGTTTGGCAAGAGTCTGCTCCCGAGGCTGGCGGCATTGCTGGACGTTCAACAGATTTCGGATGTTATGAATATCGAAGGCGAAGACAGTGAGTTACACCCATCCCTGGAAAGAAGACACTGATGCTGATGTGATATAGCGTTTGTCAGACCTATATACGCCGGCAACGCCATCCTCACGGTTCAGAGCACCGACCCCACCAAACTATTGACAGTGCGTCAAACCTCCTTTGCACCTGCAGAGATAGAAGGCGGTTCTGCTAGCGTCGAGGACGGCATCGATCCCAAGACTGAGTCGTCAACGGAATGGATTTCTGAAAACCTTACAAAATCCGATCGCCCTGAACTCGCTTCCGCCGAGAAGGTCGTCTCCGGCGGCCGTGGCTTGAAATCCAAAGAAGAATTTGATCGGTTAATGCCCCCGCTGGCAGATGCGCTGGGGGCGGCGATCGGGGCTTCGAGAGCGGCAGTGGATAGCGGCTTTGCGGACAACAGTTTACAGGTCGGCCAAACAGGGAAGAATGTCGCACCTCAGCTATATTTGGCCGTGGGAATTTCGGGCGCCATTCAACATCTCGCTGGCATGAAGGACAGCAAAGTCATTGCATGTATCAACAAGGATCCGGATGCGCCAATCTTCCAAGTCGCGGATGTGGGATTAGTCGGTGATCTGTTTGAAAGGGTACCTGAGTTGACGGAGAAATTGAAGTCCCAATGATGTTTGATGTGGTCAAGATGAAAGGTTCTAGTGGTGCTTTTTTTTGTGAGGCTAAGCTCAGTGGCGGTGCGATATCTTGGGATAAGGTAGCGTAGCAACTTCTCCTTGGCCTTCCCTCCAGGTATGCATAAAATGTCTCAGACGCACAGAAAATACGGGATTGGTCCCCAAGGCACCTTGATGGCTTTCGAGGGATTATCCGATGAACAACAGTGGATAAGAAGGTCTGTTTGTAAAAAAAAAAAAAAAAAAAAAGCCATCTCCAGCTTGAGTGTTTAAACATGAAGTATCAGGTGATATTGGGTGACTGGGCAGCTTAGAAGTCGGGTGGTCTGACAACTTTTAGTAATGCGGGTGCTACCATAGGCACGCAAAGTGTCATATCTTTCTAACATCTCGAGGTAGGTACTGCACAGCAATAATGGCTCTAAGGCGATCAGCGTTTGTTATGCTCTCGGGGAAACTTAGGCAGGGGGAGTGGTTGATTGGACGAAAAAGGGATACCGAGTACTCCGTACAAGTTAATATTACAATAGACAGGTCTGGGACGGAGTACGGAGTACGGAGGAGTCCGTGATACTCCCGAATCCCCCGTCAGAATGGACTTTTGCGCTAAACTGCTCGCTAGTACCCCGGAGTAAGGGTTCGCCAGCCAATGGGAAATAGTCGCTCGAGCCTAAATCTAGATCTTATTATGTAATCCTTCTATGCGACATTTTGGGCCACCCCCCAGGACCCTGCGAGGCTGCGTTCCGGATTCCCTTCACGTAGCATTGTCGCCAGGCAAAATCGACTCACGTGTTGCATGCGATCAGATGACATGCTCGAATATCCCATACGGACGAGAGGGACGATGTGCAATAGGGGGTTTTGTCGCGGTGGTCAAGTAACAGATTCTGCCTCTGGAGAGCCCCGCATTGCCGAGTTAAGACCCCTCGACGGATCCCCAGTCATATACCCAAGACACCAAGTTACCAAAAGAAAAGGCACGGGCTGGGGGGTGTTGAGGCCAATTGTCAATGGGATCCCACTTGAACGCATGATCTCTCTGCATCTGATCTTGGCTTTTGTCTTCGGGTTTGCATAAACTTCGAGATTCCCGAGCCCGCACCACGCAAGGAGGCGTAAACACGGCCGAGCATCGGGTGAAACATTTCGCAGGACAAAGACCTCCAACCTTACCCGTCTGCGTGCGGGACCGGTGACTGGCTCGTACTTCGGGGACTGCTTATTCGAGGAAAGCACAAAATGTGGCGTCTCGACCATGGTTTGGTCGCTTTGGGGGGAGGGGGGGCAGGGAGAAAAGCCGGCAGTGAGTGCATCGCGGAACAAGTCCGGATCCCTACGAATACATTTGTTGGTGCCGTTTTGCTGGTGGATGGGGACTCGCAAATACGAGTTAGTCCTGGGTGTTACCTGCTCGGGAAGAATTTTCCTCCCACCGGTTCGGGCATAGCACAGCAGATGGAGCACCTCTTCCGTTCATCCGCCCAGTTGAGATCGACGGGCTCCCTGTCTATTCTGTTCGACCGTTGATCGCGCGCCCCACCAGCTGCAGGATCCGAGAAGGAAAAAAAGGGTTCTGGAGCCTGGACTTGTCAGGTCTTTACACGACGTTACGAGAATGGCCTCGGTGTTCATTGCCTCTCCACTTTCTTGTCTGTGGCTAGGGATTAGGCTGAGCTGCCGCAACCCCAGGTGCAGGCACAGGCACAGTCAACGGCGAACTCGATAACGAAAACAATGGCCACTGTGTCCACAAATACATATTATATCCCTATGCAAGGCCAGAAGAGGACAGATTTTCTCTGGGCAATTTCTGGTCGCTGGGCGCTGCTCCCGGTAAGTTGGATTTGGAAGGAAACGCCTGCCGCGGGTCCAGTTTGGTGGGACAACGATCCACGAACCCCTACAAGTACGAGGAAAAAGGAATCCAATCCTGGATTTGTTTCTGCTTTCAGATGTCCATGTCGCTGGCCAACACCTGTCGACCGACTGTGCATCGCAGTAACAGTATTCTCGAGGATTTCGCATTTCTACCACCGCTTTGAAGGTTTCAGGAAGCGTCTCGGGCCGTATTGAGTGATATTCGGTCGTTTCTTCCCCTGCCAACATCCCGTCGGGGCCTCTTGCTTCCGAGTAAAAAGTTTTAGATTCTGATATAACGAGGCACAAATTACCTGGTGAGGCGCAGGATAAAGAAAGGATTCCCCGTGCTTGTCTTGAGTGGCGGTGCTCGCAAGACAGTTCTTTGCTAAGTAGTCGGCATCTGCATCCATAAGAATCCGAGACCCCTGCCCCGCCCCAAAAGCACAGGACACAGTGGGCTGGGCATCACTCGAGTCTTGTGACCATTCTAGGGGCTTCGATAAAATGGCGCGACTGCTTTCCACGGCATTCGAGAATGGTGCGAAGTCCTCGACGCGACGCTTAGGGCTCTGGGGGGTGGAATGAGAATATCGTGCCATTGATTCTGGAAAGGCGGCATGTCCCGTACCCACCACACGAGATGTTAGCCGGCCCATTGCCCCTTCCAGCCTAGTCACTTGCCACCATCAATACCAGATTGTCCATTTCATAAGAGGCTGAGGGTACTCCAGGCACGGCCAGGGGGGAAATGCTGAATTTCGGATGTGAAGACGGTCCTATCGAGGCCATGACGGAGCATGGAACGTTTTCAGGACACACCGCGCAAACCAGACCTATCGCGAGAAGACATCGACGAATTCCTTCGACAGCGGCGGGACAACAGAACCCCCAGAGCGTGCTATCCCTGCCATCAACGCAAGGTCAAGTGCAACTACGTGAAGCCTTGTCAGACCTGCATCGATCGAGGCTATCCCGAGATTTGCATTTATGACGCCCCGCGCGCAAAGTCCGTTCTCGAGACCACAGCGTCTTCGAGTGCCGCCAGCACCACCCCCGCAGCTTCAGACGAAGCGGTGCTGACACAGAAAACCGCCTTGCTCGAGCAGACGCTGTGGAGAGTGAAGGAGGACATTGACCGGGCCCTGGGCGCATGGACGCCGAGAGCAGAGTCATCGACGGCCGCGCAGCTGTCGCGACAGAGTCCCAGCAGAGATGCGACGTGGTGGACAGCTCCGGCACCAGGGCCGAGCACGCGGGGCACTGGTCAACCTGTACACCTGGGACAGAACCCAGTGCAGCCTTCGCTCGTGGCAACAGCGCGCCCCGACCCCGCGGGATGGGCACAAGACATCTCGAACCAAGAGATCCTATCCATCTTCGCCCTGGAGAATCAGTCGGTGACTTACCCCTTTTCTGCCCTGTGGGGACTACACAACGAACCAGCCTCGAGATTTCAGAGCCTGTGCGAATTACTGCCGGGCGACGTCGAGTGCCGCAGCCTCTTTACCTGTTACAGCGAGACTGCTCATGCAGTTTTCCCAGCCATTCCCGACCTCGACCAATTTCAGAACGACCTCACCGAATTCCTCGCGCGACGATCAAACCCTCAAAAAACACCACGCTCAGAGACGGACACGAACCCGCATGCGGAGCTCGGCGGCAGAGACCTTCACTGGCTCGGGCTGCTTTTTGCATGTTTGGCTTCAGGATGCCAATATTCCACTCTTCCATGTGAAGGGCGCCGCTGGAAATCGCGGGTATACGGTGCTTGACCACTTGACCCTTTTTACCCCCCCTCCATTTTTGGGTATACTGACTGATTTGTCAAAGTCTGCTGCGCCTACGAATGCTTGCGATCTACCAACTACCTCGGGTACCCAACTCTATTCGACGTTCAAAACATGTTGGTCATTGCCGATGTCATGGCCAACAGCCACGATGCGGGTGTTGCATGGTGCTTCGAGGGTAAGATGCTAGGGATGGTACACTATCATGAGAGGAAAATGCTGACAATGGCAAAAGGGTTGACTATCCGGCTGGCACAAAGCCTTGGATTACACCTTGACCAGCCCCTTTCCACACCAGACAGCCTGCAAAGGCTCCGAAAAGAAATATGGTGCGTCGAGTTCCGACGTGTTCAATCGAGTGTATGTTGACTTGGAAAACAGGTGGCGCATCGTATGGCAAGAAAGTTCGCTTGCCTTAGCCTTCGACAGACCTTCGACACTCCAAGTCCAAAGAACGATCATCACTCCCGGAACTAACGAACTCTCCTACAACGATTGCATGAAGACAATCTGCGAGATCGGTCTGGAAATCGTCCGGGAGCGTTCTACTAGAGGAGCCGGACAATTTACCCTTGAAGATATATCGCGGTTTCTGGGAGCCCTGAACGAAATGACCCAAGAGGCAGCACCGTACCTCAAGGATGCGACACTTTGCCACACGACCAAAGCTCGGCTGGAATACTGGAGCTTATATCTACACCGGTCTTACGTCAATGCTGAGCTCTATCGGTCACTTCTTCGAGACCGGAGCTCCAGTCCGGACGACTTGGATGCCTATGTGCGATGCCTGAGCGGCACGATTACTGGCTTCCTCCACCTCCAGGTGATTGCCCCGGCAGTCAAACAGTCTTCGATATTCGTGCAGAGAGCACTGAGCTCCGCCTTGATGTTGTGCACCATGGACGATCTGAGCAGGACGAGACCGGTCCAGTACCTGGTCCACAATTTCATCTCGGCCATGAAAAGCCCCTGCACACACTGCGCTGAGGCGCACTTGCCTACTCCTTTCTCCAAATCCATTACCAGACTGCACGAAATGGCGGCGACGCGGTGGAGTTCGGACCCTCCAAGCTTTTCGATTGTTCGGATGCCGACAGGAGCGGCAGAGTCTCATGATCATATGAACTGAGATGATCGGTAATGTGCAATTACTTTTCTTTTGCGTTGTCATGGGGAAAATTGGTCGATAGCCCGCAGGCCGGGTGTTTGCTCGAGACCTTTTATGCGGTGGCCGGTCCCCCCAGACATTCAACAATCACACCACCTGGGGAAATTTCACGGGGGGGGACTGAGCTTTGAAGGAAGGGGATGCCCAGAAATGGTGCTCACAAACCACTGGCCGGAAAAGGCATGCGGTGATATTCCCAAAGAGTGTTGTGCGACAACCAAGCGACGGGTATTTATAGAGGGTCTTCGTCTTCTGGCACATGCTTCCAGGCTTGTTATACTATATAATTGTATCTCCCTCCGCCGTCCCAACTCACTCCCCATTCTGTCACAGCCATTTCTTTCTCTTCATTCTTTTCCCCCCCTACGAACACACCAGCCAAATCCAGCCCGATCGGGGTTGACAACAGACCAAAACAGGCTGCGATATTACCAGCTGTGCACTTCCAATAACCTCACAGCCTTTGGTCGGTGATGTTACTACACGATGAAAATGTTCGGTCACCAACCTTGCCGAAACACAGAGCCCGTCCACCTTGACAGGTTGCTGTCCGTTTTACGAGCACGAGAGTTGTCTGCCGTGCAGGATGCTTTGTGGGTTGAATCCATCCCACCGGACACGCCGTCTCCCTAACCTTTCGGGAGCCCTCTGCACGCTTGAAGGCCATCAGTGGCAATATCGAGATCCTGGACTGCCGGCGTCCATGTCCTCAACCTTGACGATGGAGATTTAATTCCATTCGTGCCCCCTGCCCAGTGGTGGAAGGCGAGCAACGCTCATTGGTCCGTCCAACAGGGCTACAGCCTCACAGACCCTGGGCCGCCGAAGGCGCCGAAGTGACCGAGCAACCCGAGCAGGCCTGTCTCGATTCGGGGAGGCTTCCACACCAGTGGGAGAGGCTAATGCATCACTGGTGGGATTGTCAGGAAGTTGGTTCCAAAATCTAGCATTGGTGGATATGCTGCGCCGGCCCTAATCCCTGCCCGTCGACGACAATTCCGCAACGAAGGCCTCCACTCTAAGCGATGCACATGTTCACGGTCTCGCTTACGGTTTGATCATCGATGCTGTTGGCAAGTACGGAGTAATCTTCATGGCATCGGCAGTCGCCAGCCAGCCGAAAGCACTCGTTGGTGAGCTGTGGCCTGCGTGGCTCTTGGATTCCCTCGGCCTTCTGGCCAGCCCTGGCTTTTTGGGAGGGAGGGGGAAGGGGGGCAAAGTTCCCTACGCCCATCCCAGCCAAGCCTGTAACTGACGCAAGCGGAGCTCGTGAAGATCATGTACTACTTGTATTGTATCAAAGACGTGATAACAGAACTCTCCTCCCTGAGGAGGAACCCAGACAACAAAAATGTCACCATTATCGAACCCGTTAATTGACTTGATCTGTCCCCGAGGACGTCGGTCACTTGGGGATCCCAGTCATGTTTGTATGGACTCTATGCCAATGTCTGCCCACACTCTCGTGGACTTTGGCATCAGCAATGCGGTGGGTAGACTATTTGAGCTCCCCTTCCTAGGCACCGTGATAGCGCTGTCTGGTATTGACAAGCTGAATTTTTCTGCTGCAGCCTCTCAGCGACATTGATATTTCGATCTTCCAGCCGTTTATCCGTCACGAGTACCTGAAGGACCAGCCGGGTCCTTTACAACCACCAGAACAGCAACTGCAGCTACACAATGTGACGTTTCCCGGCCAGCCGCTTGGGACGGGGGCAGGGCCGCCCTCGCAGTTCCCGCTGTCGCCGCCCATCTCGTTTTCTGACTACGAGACATTGCAATCGACCACCCCGGACGACTGTTACCACTCGAACGCCCTCGCTTTCGAACCACAGCGCCCGGAGTCGGAGGAGGACGATGACTTAACTGAGGCCTGCCAGCAGTCGGAGGGTTCGACGTCCAACCCTGCCGTGGCCCCGCCGGTCAATTGGTCCAAGGTCGTGCCGTGGGTGTCGACGAAGCCGCCCTCGCGCGGTCGCCCACGAGGCACCAAACGAAAGTCGGCCGCCCAGAACGTAGAGCCAGTAGACGGCGGCGCCACGACTGCGAAACCCGGCGGCGCCAAACGGGGGAGGAAGCCTCGAGCCTCACGACAACCGATCGGCAAGGCGGCGCCGGACGAGGACGACAAGGCCGCCCTGAAGGAGGCCAAGGCGGCTCACTCGGTCGTGGAGCGGCGGTACCGCGACAACCTCAACGGGAAGATGAGCCAGCTGTACTACGTGCTGAGGGAGGTGAACTCGCCGGGCCCGCACTCGCGGCTGTTGTCGAGCACCAACCCCAACGCCGCCACCACCACCACCACCCCGGCAATCCCTGCGTTCCAGCCGCCCAGCAGGGTACGCAAGTCCGAGATCCTCAACAGCGCCATCGACTACATACACCAGTCCGAGGTGGAGATGCGGCACATGGCCGACGAGATCAAGCACCTGCAGGACAAGGAGCGGACCATCCGCAACCTCGTCAAGTGCGAGGAATGGTCGGTGCTCCGGGCACTCCTGAGTGTTTAAATCCGGGGGTCAGTGGATGCCTCCCCGCCTCTCTCTCTTGTCTGCGTGTAGAGGGAGATGACTTTTGGAGCGCTCCAAAGGGGGCAAGGAGGAGGATTCACTCGCCGTCTCGTGTTTTGTCGCCTTCTCTCCCAATTTCGGGGGGGGTGGGTCGTGTGCAAAATGCCGGAGGGAGGGCAAGGGTGGACAGGAGGCAGTCTTCAGCAAAGAGCACGAGCTACTAAAGGGAACGGAATCGAATGCATGTGTGTGTGTACGTATGGTTCACTGGCAAAGGCAGGCCAGATTGTTTTTGGGGGGGTGTGTGTGTACAAGGGCCAATTGAACGCGAGATACGTAAACTGTCGTCTGGCCACGATGGTTGGTGAGAGCGTCGGTTTCAATTGTCTATGGGATTTGTTTGTCGACTCTCGAACCATCACCTTTTGGGCTTTTGTTTTGTTTTGTTTATTTTGGTGTAATATCAGAGGGCATTTCCCACCAGGATCCGAATCAGCTCATCAGACTCCGAACCAGACTCAAAAGACAGGTACGAGGAAGAGAAGCAAAAAGAGCGCAGATACGAAAGACGTCGTATCGTGGTCAACCCGTCGTGTTCCAATCACCCATCATCTCCCCAGCTACCTACATAGGCAGCTATCTAGAGTTGTCTCCGCAGGGATCTCTCCAAAAACTACTAAATTGCCTATCGCTGGCGAGGTAGGCAGGTACCCAGGTAGGGAGGTGGGAAGGTTTGCGACCATCCATCTGGATCGGCCGATCTGGAAGCATGCGCACTGGCGATCTTCGGGTTAATGATCTGTTCGCGGTGGACCGGTGGACCGACTTTGGGCTGGCCTTGCGACGAGGGAGGAGGAGAAACAGCACGACCGCCCTGGGTCGCCGTGCATACTCGTCGTGGACAGGTACCTCAAGGGAGAGAGGGAGGGAGGGACACATGCATTGAATACGGAGTACCTTACGTAGGAACGCGTATCGAAGGGCGGAGGCACCGACCTGCTCCTACCGAACTGTAGCACAAGGACACAGACTACAAGGGACATGTGACGGAGTACCAACGAGGGAGCAGTTCGATCACGCCTAAGTATACAGGATGTAGGTATCCACTTGTCCAGATATCCACAAATGCATAGTAGGCACACACATGCACAATATATGCACAAATGCACAACATGCGCAGAAAGCGAAAGCAGCCCTGTGGCACGGTGGCACAGTCAGCGGCACAATATATCCCACACATTTCCCTGTACACCCATGCATATGTTACGGCCAGGTTACCTTAGGTAGGTAGGTAGGTAGGTAGGTAGCTAGGTGCAAAACCACCGCCAAAAGAGTAAGTAATATGAGCTCGACTCTTTCTCTAGTTCCTTATATCCTCCCGCACTAGAAGGGACGAGAGCCTTCGATCACCTAATAATCTTTCTCCTCCCGAGCAAGCAGGTATAACTTTTCTTAGTCGCTAGAGGGTGGTGGTCACGGGCTGATTGTCGTGGCGGTGCGTGTTGGGGGTCCGCGAGGGCATACCTAGCTAGGTAGGTAGGTAGGGACCTATGATAGGTAGTTACCCTACATAGGGTGAAGAAGAGACCAGACGCTCATTACCCACCGAGCACCGCATACATGCACATACCGTGCACACGCTTGACACCAGGGCACGATGGCGGATTTGCGTCATTCTTGGGCCCAAGCGGTTGTGCGCGGCTAGCCCAGCTGATAAGTACTCCGTAATACCCCCAGCTATCACCAGTATCTACCTCGGTACATAATAGACACGAGCACATGCGAGTTGCTCGGACGTATGTAACAAGTCGGAGTATTCGTCTCGCTAATAATTAGTGGCCTAGGCCGGAAAACCATGATTAGCGAATCTCGAAAAGAACGTGGCGAGCGACATTGACGACCAGCCTTACACGAGCAAGACTTGTCAAGACTTGTGCTCGTTGGACTGCGTCTCGGAAGTTGGGTCTATGATACTCGGCGCCTTACTGTACTTTCACGCCCAGCGCCTAGAAAAAGGCCGGAAAGAACAATCAAATCCTTGGTTCATGATGCCATTTTCATTTCCACTATCTGTTTCAGCGGGTCACAATCGCCTTCGCACCGGACCATCCGCTGCAAGACCGCCAGCCTATTCTTCAACCGAAGGATTTCGTCCGACATGTGCCGCATCTCCAGCTCCGACTCATTAATGTATTGTAACGCGTTGCTCAGAATGTCAGACTTTCGGGGCTGCTGTTGCTGTTGTTGTTGTTGCTGCTGCTGCTGCTGTGGCGAGTCGCTGTCGTCGCTGCTGCTTGACATCCGGCTCGTGCCCTCCAATGTGCGATGCAGCTGCCACATCTTGGCGTTCAGGTTGTTCCGGTACTTGCGCTCAATCTCCGAGTGTGTCTGCTTGGCGAGCGCCCGCTCGAGATCCTCGCTGTCACTCGAACTTGTCCTCCCGGCCTTGGAGACCCTGTAGGGATGCGTCTGATCCAGGGCCACGGCTTTCTTTGACGTGGCTTTTCTGGAGTTGTTGGTCGCCCGGGTCTCGCGGCCCCGTCTTCGTCTAGACGTCGAGGTCTGTGTCGTTTGCGACAGCGTGGTCATTGTCGCATAATCTTCAGCTTCGGAACTGGCCGAGGAATCAGAAATCGAGGGCTCGAGATCGGGCAGCTGGAAGTCCTTGCTGGAATCGCTGGTCTCCACTTCGTCCCCGCAGCCGTATGCTTGGAGGGGCTCGTTTGCAATGTAGGACTGCATCGAGTTAAAGGGTGTGCTGGCGGCGGTCATTGACTCTGTAGGGGTGCTCTGATAAAAAAAGCTTGTGTCGACAGTGTCCCAGGGGTACTGGGTTTCTTGGTTGTCGAAGTATTGCGGCATGTTGGGCTGGCAGTATGAAGCGAGAGGGTTGGGCGAGCAACCAAACGGCTCAGCCAAGTCACCTGTGGACAGGGTGAAGTTGTACCAATCGTCCATGTTCATCAAGGAGTCTTGTGTTGGGATGATGGTTTCCATTGATGCGGTTGTGTAGTGAGGAGTGATTGTGGTGAATCGATGTTCAGGCTTGGAAGGTTGGATATGGAGATCCAATGTAGGAGGGAGGGTGTGGACGGGGTGTTATATGAGTGCGATTTCGTAGCCATGTTGGGACAATCTCGTTGGGCGTTGATGTGCTTCGGGGCAGGACGCAGATCGGGTTCGGTGGAGGAGTGATTGAAACTCGGAGATGATGTGATGATGATGGGTGACAGGCGCAAGCTGGGAGAAGCCAGCGGTGGAGGTGTCGCGGGTTACGGAGGATGCGCGGAGCGAGAGATGCAGAGTTACGCGTGGATGGCCATTATTGGGCGTAGATGGGCCAGGCCCGGATTATTGTTGTTACTACTTGGGCGAGACCACTTGGCATGACCCTATGCTCGCAGATCTTGGGGGTGCTCTTAGGGAGGCTCCGGCGATGCCCAGGGACTCGGGGCACTATCCCTGGGTTGGTCAACTGGTGAGGCTCCGACCATGTGCGCTGCAAGTCCGAGGTCTCCTGAGCCAAGCCTTGTGGCAGGGCCTCGCCAGGCGCCCCAATAACCCAATAAGCGACTGCCAGAAGCGAATCCTCCCCACACGCCTTACTCGGCGCGCTCTCTGGTGATCAACCACACCACTCCGAATTACATCCGAACCTTCCCGAACAAATCAAAGCCGCCTCAAGTCCGGATGCTACAAAAAGGGGCTGTTGCCCAAGGTATTGCTCCAAGCAAAGAGTCGGGAGGAAAAATGAAAAGAAAACGAGATGGGAGAAGCGGAGGTTGCAGAGTTCAACTTTTGGTCCCAATTGCGGGCAAACTGTCCTGATGGCCTCCATAACGGTACGCCGACTGCCGCCTCAAGAACGGCATCGCAACTAAATCCAGCAAAAGACATACGATCCCGTCACTGCAAGCCTCAGACTGGAGATATCCCCTGTGATCCCCAAAGAATCTTCTCCATCAGCTCATAAGGCGAATCCTCAGACCGACCCGCGTCATCCCCAGATGCTTCATTCGAAGGGTGCCCCGAGTACATGTGAACGTCCGAGCTAGTGCTTCGATCCCAGCCAGGAACGACATGGCCACCCGCCCCGTGCTCGGCCCCCGCGTCCGAGCCGTGGAAAGCATTGAGCCGTGCAAGGGCCCTGACAGCTCTCGAGATGGGTGCAGATATTTCGGTGGGATCCAGCGACGAGTTGATGCTCGACATGAGCATAATCAATTTGTCAAGCAGTGACCGCACACGCAGGTCGGTTTGAGGTTGTTTCAGAATCCCAAGCAACAGCGCCGAGCTCAGAGACCGATGCACCGCAGCCCAAGACTGAGTGGCAAACCGAGTCACGTTGGACAGTCCCAGAAAGGCATCCACCGTGTTGGCCATGTTCTCCAAGCATATGGCCCGAAAGGGGGCCAGCTCCGACGAAGCCCCCCTGCGTTTCAATGCCGACCGGTACAGCTCACACATGATATAGGAGCGGTGGAGATAGAGGTTCCAGTGCTCGAGCTGATCCCTCATTGACTGGCACGCTGTCGCGTCTTTGAGATGTTGGAGCGAGTGGCTCATCATCCTGGCCAGTTCGTCCTGATGTCTCTTGATGCGCACGAGTTCATGGCGGGGATCGCTATGTTTGCTCCGCTCTCGCACAATGTCGAGGCCAGTCTCGCACAGGATCTTCATGCAGTCGGTATACGACAACCACACATTCTCGGCAGACTCGATTGTTTTGTGATGCGAGATCGTGGGAGTCGCCGATGCTCGATCGAACGTGATCGAGATGAGACTGTCCTGCCACACTATACGCCACCTGGACGCAGCGTCAACAACAAAAAACTCAAACGCAACCCGACGCAGAGGTTCCTTGACGTACCAGAGTTCCTCCCGCACCGACCTCTCGGCGTCGGAGCTAGTCCGGAAGGCCTTCTGATGAAGACCTAGGCTCTGGCCAATCCGGATGGTCAATCCTAATGTGTCCGTCAGCATGGAAACGTCTCTCGCCACCACTTTCAGTCCACCGAAATCCGCCCAAGTAGAAGGGTACCGGTGCAACATACCAAGCAGGCACCAGGCAATGCCGGAGTTCATGTTGTTGGAAATGACATTCCCCAGCACCAACAACGTCTGGATATCGAGCAACTTGGAGTTGGACAAATAGTTTATGATGCGGAGGCATTCATAAGCACAGCACACTGTACTACTGTAAGCGTGCACATTTCACCGCGGTGGATCTTTCCTAACCGTATACTTGGCTCGTCAGTTGCCGTTCTTTCCGCGGCAGCGAGGAACATTGGTAGCCAGACGCAAGAATGGCGAACAGCAACCCGACCCAGTGCAGAGTTTTGCCATATATGTTGTCATTGGACAGAGCCTCGTAAGGAGCATCCCGGGTCACGGCAGCCTTGTTGATGAGGAAATGAGTGAGTTCCCCCTCAAACTGTTTGATGTCGACGACGCCAGGGAAAAGAACATGAGCGGTATCCCGGTATTGTGCAAAGTATTGGAGGCAGTCGGCGTCGGTCGGTAACAGTCTGCACAATGCCTGCAGCCGAGCATATGATCCGTGAGGTAAGCCCCAGAGGTCGACGAACGGGTAAGTGGCACTCTCGTTGTCCAGGCCAAACAGAGGTAAGATGCTCTTGCCGAGTAGATCCTGGACATCGTATTCGTTGGGATCACTCTTCAGAGAGAAGACCATGGCAGGCACCGAGTTGCCGCCTAGGTGGACGGTCTCGCCGGTAACCTCGTTGCTCGTGTGGATGGCGAAGCTGTCCTGGTCCACCCCGTCGCTGCTCGAGTCCCGTCCCGCCCTGTCAGGCCTGGGCCGGCCGACCAATGTCGAAGGAGACCCGTCGCGGCCTGCCAAATCTTTCAGCTCAGTTCGCAACTCTTGAATGGACTGTTCGATGGTCTGCAGTCTCTCGGTGATCCTGCTCCATCCCACCGGGGCACCTTCTGTCGAAGCGGGGGCTGGAACCTGATGGGTGGTGGCCGAGGTGTCGATGTTTGCGCGTTTCGACACAGGCTCATAGACGCAGAGTTCGGGATGGTTGCGGTCGATGCATTTTTGGCAGGGTTTTTGGTAATTGCAGCCGACTTTCCTCTGCCGGCAAGGATGGCAAGCCTTTTGTCCACGCGCCTTACGCTTGCGGCGCAGACGTTCATTGATTTCTTCTTGAGTCAACGCTTCAACCTTGGGCCGCGTCTCGTCACTTTCCAGGCCCCGGGTCGGATCCATGACAAGAGAGCGGTTGAGGAGGGATGGCGCCGGGCCTCGCAGAAAAGCGCCGAATTCACTAAAGGGAGTCTGGGGGAGGAGCCGCTAGACAGATCTTCGCATCCCTTGCGGAGACGCCCTGGCTCGCCAGACTCGATCAGATCAGAGGGAAGAAGCAAGCATATACTATTGCTAGGGCCAGAGCAGCACGCCCAAAAGACAAAGTGAGGATTGTGCCCGAAGTGCGGGCATCAGCTGATTGACAGTGAAGGGAAGATGAATCGCGGTGCTAATGCTGTGCTGTGCTGGTTCCGTGCTGTGGTAGGCTCCATGGCTCCTTGGCAGCGGAACTACTTTCATGCAAGGAAAGGGAAGGTGAAGCGAGGCCGATATTTAAGCTCGGAGGTGTCGGCGGCTTCGGCCACCACATCGTTTCTCCTGGTTGCAGCCGTTGCGCCTCACAAAGTCGCTAAAGGGAGCAAACTTTTCGAAGCTACTGGGCGCTGTCGCGCATATTGGCCCCGTGTGGCACTTGCGGGGCCAGCATGGACCCTCGTCCCTTTTGTTTTCAGTCCGCGCCGACCGGCATTCTCTTCTCCTCTTGGTCCCTTCGGATACGGACTCTGCCAATGATGCCGTCCACCACCACCGTTGGTCACTGAAGTCGGACAGACAGTGGTACTGTGTAAGCTCGCTTATGCCGCTGGTGCTTCTGAAGGGACTGGAATGGCGTCCTTCCCTGAAGATGACCCCCTCGATCGCCTTGGAGACAAGCGCTGGCGATTTGCTGGCCGACTAAACGGTTCACTTGTATCTCGCAGGCTTTTAATCGAAGTATCGCCTATCAGACTCGATCTAAGCGGTGTCCATCGAAGACGCTCTTTCCATCGGGCTGTCCTACATCGCGCATTGTGGAAATGCATCATCGCAGGCCTGACTGGTATGGTGTTTGGTTTTGAACCCACGATCCGATTGTTACCCGCCCGTTTCTCGGCCATTAATTGAAGCCAAAGTTGCACCCGGCCGCCACAGCTATGCTCTCTGCGAAAGAAAGAACCGACTGCCATGTCGACATTGCATGCACGTCCCATATGTGATCCTGGTCAGTGATCCTAAAGTCCCGATAATAATCCGGTCCCTGGAAAGTGACAACGATATCGACCGTGGACATAGAAACCGTGGAGCTCCAATTGGCCTGAAATTCACCCAGTCAGGTTCCAGCGAGGGTCATTGATGATTGTGAACAAAGCACCCTGACAGCCCGCTATCAAGCCAGTTCTTCAACCATGCAGCCAGCACATGCAAGAAGTGCTTTGGGGGTTTAGCACACTAACACAACAACCTCGGCTTCTTCTTACCCCAACTTTTGCTAAGCACCCGTCGAGCAAAGAATCGGGGCAGGCATACGAGGAACGAGATACACCCTATGCCATCGACCGCCAGACCCAGACCCCGAGTCATCAGGAGCCGGTAGCCTAGTGAGCATTGCCCCCGTCCCGTCTAAATGAATCATGCATCCAGATCATTGCAAACGGCACTTGGGATTGCTATAGAGTGGGTGTTGCGATACAATTGGACGTTAGAGAGAAGCATGAGAACAGGAATACTTGGATACTCAATTAAACACCCATAGGTAGGGTCTGTGTGAACCGTCCCCAATAAATAGTCCGAAGGGCGCCACCCAACAAACGCGGGACTTAGTGTAGTTATGCATGACCCAGTCAGCTTGCGCAAACTCTTTCTTCTTGGCGGATTGAACTATTACGGATGGGCATCAGGATATGCGTACCATGCCTAGTACTTATACATGCCCAGAGCCGTCGAAGCAACTTGGGCCATCTGACCGTCTGTTTGGGCGTCATAGGTCCAGAGTACCCAGATAGGCAGGTCCATATCTCACCGAGCCCACTACGGGTTAATTCTGTCGCGAAAGCAAGTAAATGAGTGAGTCAGAGGACGCTTACCGTCTTACGCCCTTTGCCCAGCGATATCAATCTACCTACCTCCCTACTATTAGGTAACCTCCCAGGACGTATTCGTATGCACCCTTAGGGAGGCTTGGTGGGTGAGCTAGGTGGCTAGGTAGGTACCACGACACACCTCATATATCCCTCAGGGTCCCTGCATGTGCCCATCCCTCGCGGTGTCGATTGCTACCATGGGTTTAGCCCATGGATTTTGAGTACTCAATCAGCTCCTTGGAGGTGGGTAGGTGGCGCTGGTGGTTGGTCGGTTGGCCAGCACCGGGGAGGGGGGCGACAGGCAATATGACTCCCAGATTCGGGCGTCTCGATGGGGGACCTCGATCGCGGGCGCTATTATTGTTATAATTCGACCCCTACGAGTTACGAGGACGAGTAGACTACTACGTCTTGGTCGACGACGAGGTCGAGATTCCTCGCATGTAGGCACGATGGGTATGCTATTCCCGAGTCCCAAGATCAGACCGTCCATTTACCTGCCCGCGCCCTTGCTGGATTTATCAGGTATGTAATTCTCACAGGTAGCCTAGCTAGCTGTTCGTACCTAGGTACGCGCCAAGGTCTGTCATTGGTCGACGACCCATGCCCGCCCAGGCCAGGCACCACCGCTAGACGACGGCCAAGACAAAGAAAAATTCCCAAAGTGATGCACTTGGGGTCGGTTAGATAGTCAGTTCACGGGGACAGGGGACAAAGCCACAGTTCCACCCCTCCGCCCTTTCGTGTTCTGGAGTCATCGTTGGGCGGGAAGCAATCAGCACACGAGTAATGCTCATTGCTGTGGAGCTTTACTAACCATGTATGATGTATAGAGGGCGAGGAGTAACCGGTGGAGTGGAGGGTGCAGGGTCTACTCGCATACGCAGAGAAGGCGCTGAAGTATATTCCCATGAGTAACTTTATGCGCGCACATGGACATATAAAGGGATCGAGCCTGAGTGTCTGCCTGGTGGAGGGGGCATGTTCTCTGTCCATCCTTGACCTGTGACCTGTGCCCTTGTGACCCATTGGGCCTGCTGCTATCCAACCTTTTCAGACCGACGTTGTTCTTTTGACTTGCCTTCTATTTGGTTGATCTTCTCAGGACCCGAGTCGTCGTCCATCGTATTGTGAGAGGTGCATGCCCGCTGGATCATCAGCACGTCCCAACATCGAGACAGAGCAGCCAAGGAGGAAGTCTCCCGTTTGCAACCACCTCTCGACATACTCTGAGCAGCAGTGTCAGAGACGTGACCCTCAGAAAGGCCGGATCGAACTCAGCACCGCTGTACCCTGTCTTACATCAGCCGTCCCTTCCTCCCGCACCATACCCACACACAGCGAACCATTCGTCCTGACCGGGCCGACCACCAACAGTATTGTTCTTCATACTTGACCTCGGAGACGTCCTTTATCAGAGATCATCCTTCATCTCTGACACACTTCCACTCACACATTCACATAATCACATAACAACCAATACAATCAAGACAGAGCCTCCAGTCGTCTTCAAAATGCCCACTCTGACCAACGAGAAATCCAAGGCCTCGAGTTTGAACACTGAGACAGCCTCGATCCAGAGCACTTCGACCATCTCGAGCCTCAAGGCTCTCCTGCACACCAAGAACAAAAAAGACAAGCCGCGCATCCAGCCGGAGACCATGGAGCAGAAGACCACGAGGAGGGAGGCTGCTGCTACCTATATGTCAATGATGAGATAGCTTGGATTGACGGGGAAGATCATGGCAGAGGGGGGAAGATGAGGGATTGGGGGTCTGGAAATGAACACGGGAGTGAGGCTGGCACATAACAGATCTAATGGGTTATTAGTGAGCACAATCTGGCTTGAGATTGAGACTGCAATGGTTAGACCGCAAGAATAATTCTCGCCAAATGTCATTGGAAGACTTTCCTTCTCTGCTGTTGCACTTCCGGGCGCTGCGGGCAATAGATGGTCCAGCCTGGAGCGTTCCAAACTTTTCTGCAGAACCGAAGATTCCAATAGGAATGTGTACCATCTGGCTGCCATATCCCACGTGGAGATCCGGAGAGACGCGTCAGACGTACCGGGTAAGCTGCTTGCTGACATCCAGCCTTACCATGTCACCTTACCCCTTTCCAAACAATATAAAGAGGACCCGGTCCTCGTGCCGCATCATCTGCCTGTTGGCTATTGATCTGCTTGCATCGGCAACAATCATCCACAACGCCAATGCAACCGCACCTGAGCTTTTGGCCACGTTTGAAGCGTATTCACCCAGTCGATATTTTCGGCGCACCACTCTCCGTTGAGAAAGAAAAATGATTAGTAGCGCCAAAGGCACGTCGGTCAATGATGGCCACGAACGTCGGCCACCAGAAGCTCGGCCGAAGATCTGAAATTCGGATTACCAACATAGCCTAACCGTGTGGGAAAGACATCCGTTGGTCCATGGCGGGCTTGCCTGTTAACTCCGCCCACCCTCGCCATGGCCGAGATGATTGTGTTTGTCGATGCAGTAGTGAAATTGAGCGACATTGGACGCGACCTTATGGTTCCACTCTCACAAGGTTCGTTGACCGAATGCAGTGGTCAACCAAGGCGACAAGCACAAAGTGATCGACTCAGGGGCCTTCCAACCAAGCTTCCTGTTGCTTAGTCAATGGCCGAGCACGAGTGTTATGAGCGAGACCGCGCTGGTGGATACGGCATCGTACAACGCCAGGACGGCGACATTCTGAAACGACACGGCATCAAACGGCGTGTTGTTGGTCCGTCCAATGGAGCTGGTCCATCTAATCTAATCACCGTCCAAACATGCTGTGTCGATGGTGGCTCGCGCTTTCAATAAGGCCGAAGTTCGTATGTCCCTGATTCCGCTGGGCATCTCGGGTGCATTTTGATCTGGGTTCCGACTTTTCAGTATATCAAGAATCCAGGAGATCGCTTTCAGGTCGAACTTAGCCCTTTTCCTCCAGATCTCTCTTTCTCTCCCTGTTCCTGTTAGCGTTGAGCAGAGAGTGTCGCAAACCATTCACTTTTCACCTTATTATCTTTGTACGAGAGCCTCAAACCCTCGATCGGACAGCCCCCCCTTCATTCAGCTCGACATTCCCTACAATCACAGTCCTCGCCATGTCGCAAGACCTGGAAAAGCAGATCCCTATCCAGGAAGAGCCGGAGTTTGAAGCCCAAGAAAGCCACATTGTCCCCGACAGCAAGGATTTCTCGGCCTCGCCCACCGAGAAGTCATCGCTCGACCAGCCTACCCAAAATGAGCCTCCCAAGCCCGCCAATCCATGGATGGACCCGGCTTCGTTCCCAGACGGCGGTGCCCAAGCCTGGCTCACGGTCGCTGCCGCTAGCGCCTGTTTTTTCGTCTCTTGGGGGTAAGTGCCTCCTCAAGCTGCATTGGCGAAACTATGATGCTAATGGATCTATGTTTCCAGATGGATCAACTGCATCGGAGTCTTCCAAGACTATTACATGCGCGCCGAGTTGAAGCAATACTCACCTAGCACCGTCGCCTGGATTCCGTCGCTGGAAACATTCTTTATGCTGGCCACCGGGCCGGTGGCTGGGTTTATTTTCGACAACTATGGCCCGACGAAGCTGCTCATTGTCGGGAGCTTTCTGCACGTGTTCGGGTTGATGATGGCTTCCATCTCGAAGGAATACTACCAATTTCTCCTCAGCCAGGGCGTCTGCAGCGCCATTGGAGCATGCTGTATCTTCACCCCAGCAGTCTCATGTGTCTCGACATGGTTCTTTCACAAGCGAGGCATGGCCATCGGAATTACCGCTGCGGGCAGCTCTCTCGGCGGTGTCCTGTTTCCCATCATTGTCAGTCGTATGATCGACGAGACTGGGTTTCCGTGGGCGATGCGGACCTGCGCGTTTCTGATTCTCGGCCTGTGCACCTTCGCCATCTTCACACTGCGCTCTCGGTTTCCTCCGACTCGGCGACCTTGGAGTCTCATGGCCTTCATCCGCCCGCTGAAAGAGATGCCCATGATTTTGCTCACTCTTGCCACGTTCTTCTTCTACTGGGGCATGTTCCCCGTGTTCTCCTTCGTCACCGCGGTGGCCAACGGAAGGGGCATGTCCCTGGAACTGGCTCAGTACCTCGTCTCCATCCTGAACGCCGGGTCTGTCTTTGGTCGGACATTGCCAGGGTTGCTGGGTGACCGGGTCGGGCGATTCAACGTCATGACCGTGTTCTGCACTCTAACGGCCATCCTGATCCTCGCCGTGTGGATCCCTGCCACGAGCAACGCCGGTCAGCTCGTGTTTGCACCTTTGTTTGGGTTTGCTTCAGGTGCAGCTATTGGTTTGACGCCTGCTCTGATTGCACAAGTGTCCCCGATCAGAGAGATTGGTGTCCGCACGGGCACAGTCTTCGCAGCGGGTTCGATAGGAGCGTTGACGGGCTCGCCGATCGGCGGAGCATTGATCACTCGCGATCACGGCGGCTTTCTGTACCTTCAATTGTGGGGCGGTATTGTTTGTATTGTCGGCTGTTTCTTCTTCCTTGCAGCTAGGATACACCTGGTTGGCGTCGACCTGATGAAGAAAGTGTAGACGAGGGGGTTTTCTGGGGTATTCTGGAAGGAGAAAACGGTGAACCAGCGTGGCCGTGATCCTGTATACTTATTAGCGATAGACTTGACTGACTCCACTTAAAGGAAATTCATGGCACTCAGAAACGTCTCCCGGCGAGCGGTAAATGGGCGAATTGCTTGTTCGATAAAGCCTGACCGTGGTGGGTTTATCCCAAGTAACTCTGTATGAAGTCTACCTGGATGCCTCTGATTTGTATATATCTAGGTGGTGGTGGTGGTGTTTGGTGACGGGTTTCTCCCCTGGCGTGCTTGGTCAGATTGCGGCTTGTGGTGCAACTTCCCCCACCACTGACTGCGCCAAGTTTTGCACTGACAAACAACTCTCCATCTCATCCTCCTCACCCACCCACCCATCCCCTCGATACACCTCGCTCTCGTTACTCGGTACACAATGGGCTGTTGGCTCCTTTGCAAGGCCGATCCGTGCAATTGGCGATGGGCACAACTGCTGGATGGCTTGTTTGCCATGTGAAGGTCGGATCACTCAACGTAATCGCCGTCGTTGGGGTCATCGCAGCCGTCAGCCATCTCCAAGTCATTGTCTTCTGCAGCTTCCTCTTCATCATCATCATCATTCGCTTCGCCCTCGTCGATCGACTCCGCGGCCTTCCCCTTTGCCTTCGCCTTCCCCTTACTGCTTTTCTTCGAGTTGGCCACAAGCCGAGCAGCCTTCTCCAAATTGTTCGCTTCAATGGCGTTGACCAGGGAGTCCTTGAACTTAGTCACAGTGTTGACCGTCTGCTCCAACCGCTTTTTAGCTGCGATGAGCTTTTCTTGTTCGACCTTCAGCTCCTTGTTCAAATCATCCGCTTTCATTGCTTTGGTTTCGGCCTCCACCATCTTCATTCTTGCCTCCAACACTTGTTTCTGCATCTTGACATAGCTGCGACAACCCTTCTCAATATCGAGATCCCAGGGCGGCATCTCGAGCTTCTCCAGGTGATTTCCAAGGATGCGGGCGGTCTCGTCAGTCCAAAAGTTAGGTAACGCGACCTGCTTCGCGGCCGCCTCGTCTGCATGCCACAAGACAACTGCGATTTTGACCATGTCTCCAGGTACGCGCTGGGACATGTTGACAGTCAACCACCATTTCTTGAAGGCGGCTTCTTGAAGGAAAAGACCACGTGTGAAGCTCTTGATGGTGTTGGGTTTGAACTCGGTGGTTGGCCCGTAAACCATCAGTCCGGCGAAGTGCGCTTTGGTGACTTCGATATTGGATCGTTTGAGCTCCAGACCAAGGCTGTTCTTGACGAGGTCCTTCACAGCTTCGATTGAATTCATGGTGTCAATGTCGGATTGGACCTCCCTCGTGAAGCGACCAGCCTGAGGAGCTGCGACATGAACCAGAACTGGCAAAATTTCCGGCAACAACCATTCCTGGACAAGTGTTAGCACGATACGGCGTGGCAAAGAACGGGGCCCTGGACTGGGGCTTCTGCACCGCCAGTACTGTGGGCACAGGAGACCTACAGTAGTATCCTTGTGTTTGTGGGTGATCTCTTCGGCTTCCTGGGCTTCCAGCTGCTCCCATGTCTCAAGAAGTGGGTACTTGGTGGTCGTGATGGTAGTCTCGGGAGTCGTGACATCTGGGCCGGTGTCCTGCGCGGCGTCATCGCAAACCTTCAAGCCATCCATCTTCTGGTTCAACTGCCGATTCCTCCTCGTGTTCACCCTATTCTGCTTGTGCTTTGTGCCTTTTGGGGGCATCTTGACCAGATTAACTTGATTTTGGCGGGAAGACGGAGTGAGGACGGCGTTGCGCAACTACCACAGGCAGCCGATACTAACGGAATGTGTCAAGAGATCGAAGAACAAAAGTAGCTTACAGAGCTGGAGAGGAAGGTTGGTGCAGGGAAAAGGGTGAGTTTTGAAAAGTGATACTGCCTCAAAACAACGCGGTACCGCTAATATTGACAAAGAAAGCCATTCACTTTGCTGTTTGTCACTACCATCTACCTTGGCGGCTGCAGGAATTTATGCCAGACCTCTCCCACATTCACCTGATTGTGTATCATTGTTGCTGGTGCTCTCCTCATCTCAACAGCCTTGTCGCCAAGCACTGTTAAGACCACGACGGTAGCCCACACAAAACAATCGCACACAACACAATAAGGGCTGATGGTGGAACAAAAAAAAAAGAAAAAAGTAAGAATGGTATTTACAGAGGTAGGTCCGACTACGTCGATCACCCTCTCTGAGGGAACCCATTAACCACCTAAGCCAGAGTCCCGAAGAACCGCTAATTGAACCACCTCCATAAGTGACTGTGGAGAGTCCCGAAGAACCGCTTTTGATGCGAAGGCTTGGGTAAAGGAATTGGACCTTTCCACTAGGCTAATGTACCCACCAGGGCAGGCGATAGGAATTGTGGTAAAGAAATATATATACATTATATTCTCGGCCTCCACCTGTCATGTGACCGCGGTCAGTCACATAGGGCTTCACATCTTATTGTGTAGGTAGGCTGCGTCTTGGCGTTCATAAGGTACGGTGCTCTGAGATGAAGTTGCCTTCGGACCTTGATTCGTTGTCAGCATCGCGCTGGTAGAGTGGGAATGGAATTTCAGGTAAACCCTCCTCTTTCCACCCTCTACGACGCTTCTGACGACACCACCGGTACTTTGATCGACTGCAGTACCTAGGTATGTCTGACCTTACTCATTATGTCTAAAGCTATTCGTTGCTCTGCCTCCAGACTATCCTTGGAAGTACTCGGGCTCCAGATTCGCAGACTTGATGGGGATGAAAACGACCACCACTCCGGCCTTTGGGTCAACATCGTCAGTTCGCCAATCGTGAAGCTCAGTTTGTCTGGGGTGGTGCCATATTAGACCAGTCTACGTGTCCAAAGCGAACTGTGCCGCCGAGCGACCGGTGACCAGGGTGAAGTGGACACGATGAAGCAGATGGAATCCACGCCCAGGGTCGTTGTGCCACTGAACGGAACATTTTACGGCTGCATCTCCTCGCCCAGTGGTTGCGTGGCACGAACCAACCACGATCGCAAGATATCCATGCATTAAACTCTATTGAGACTGGTGTCTTCACCTTTCTCAGAACTGAGGACACAATGTCGCTTGGTCGGTGGCTACTGAGAGGGAGGCGCATGCATGACTGTAGTAGCCTGGTCATGAGACGAACCGAAAGTACAAGCTTGGGCTTCCAAAAGCCCTACCGTTGCTCCCTGGTAGGGAAACACTCCTGATCATGATAGAACGGGCCGCGACTGGGGTGACCGTTTCGGAGGGCATCACCACATCAGCTTGTTGTACTAACGCGTTTCAGACAGCACTCGTGCAGGCCAGACCATGGGTGCTCGCTCTCTCAGTACGGCCTCGCAAAACAGCCTGACGTCGCTGTGGACGATGGCCATCTTTGTTGGCACAGGCGTCTCAACGCCCGACCACTGCGCAAAGACATTTTCAATCCCCATCCCCATCCACAGCTTCACCAATATCTTCTTGCCATGTGGCCTGGACGTGGGAAACTCAAAACATATTCTGAGGATTTCTTCCAGCCACCTGCATATCATTTCAACGCGTCGCCCTATCCCTTGCTCACGCTGCTGAAAGGCAACGAGGCAAACATTTCTTCGAGACCCTGGCCTAGATAGCTGCTCGACGCAGAGATAGCTCCACTCTCACAGACGCGAATTCTCAAGCGTTCTCCGGCCGTGCTTGCTTCAGAGTCCATCTTGGTTTGCCCTCGCCCAGTCTGTTCGTTTGAATTCTCCGAATCAACCCCATGGATCGAGTTCCATTGGATGATATCTCGCGGTTCAAAATTTCGGATGGCGGGAAATTTTCCATTCGAGGCCGTCTCAAACCCAACTGTGGGTTGTGGGCATGAGTAGCGCTGGCTTTAAGGCATAGTCCGCAAGGCGGTGAGAGACCAATTCCAAACTAACCTCCAAACCAGCCGTTGTGCACAGGCTTGCAGACGCTGATGTGGGGAATTGTCTTCAATGCTTGATCGCCCTGGATCCTCCCTCAGAGTCTGGTACGGTCTTCGATGCTTGACATGGCCTCGTTTGTCACGACGATGCTGGAGAAAGAACCAGGCGTTGCACTGGGCGGACATTCATCCTGCATGTCAGACGTCACGCATTGGGCCCCAACCGGGCCATCATCCGGCCGCCGGATTCACAGGGAAGTCAACAGTTTAAGCTGGCGTTTGTCGAGGACTGCAGCATTACTGACTGATGGCAGGGTGCGAAGGACGAGAAAATCGCTACAGGAGACAGAGACGAGCCGAAAACGAGAAGAACATCAGGGAAGTCGCCTGTTAAATGTCTATGGTGTTCACGACTATGGGAGGTCAGTTGATTGATGCAATTTCTGATCCCTTGGTGAGATTAAGCCACGACTGCACTTTTGCTGGAAAGATCACAGAGCTGTTCGTTGCCCGATTTCGTTTTCGCATCCCAGAAACAGTAGGTCCCGCAACCCCCTCCTAGGCTGCGAAATCTCTTCTGCGCCTCTCGTCGCCTCACTTCGGTTGCGACTGCGCAACGGACATGCAGCCCAATGCGAAGGGGAGGCAACCTTGGGGTGCTGTGAGGAAGATACTTGGCTTTTTCTTGAGGGTATCCCACAGGGGAATCCTATAAAGCCCTCCTCTCAGCCGTACGTCTTGGTCACTCTCCATCAGCTGTAGATTCCTCCCAGCTTTTTTTAAAAGACCTTTGAAGCTTTCATCTCGCAGCCCATCAACGATTTTGAGACCACCCAACCCTCAAAGGCACGTTGCCCACTTGCTCTATATTCCTTTGACTTTTGACTGTGTCCTTGGACAAGAATGTCAGAACGTAGATTCATCCAAGTTGAGCCGGGAAAAGTAGTGCAGAGGAGTTGTGACCAGTGTTCCAAGGGACATCGAAAAGTATTTCTGTGCAGGCCAGCCGCATCGAGGATCTGGGCTAATAGTACTCTTTTCAGTGCGAAAAAAAAAAACCAGGACAGAAATGCAAGAATTGCGAAAAAAAGGGGGAAGCTTGCAGTGATGAGGTTGGTGAAGGACAATCGACGCGTGCAGCGGTTGTTGCTCAGTGGGATAGCACCCATCGACCATCTGTTGCAGAGGGTGGACCGAGGTGTGTCACAAGGCATCTCGAACGGGGATCGAAGCTGATGTGTGCCACAGTGCTGTCGACGGTCCCCCCGCCGCCGACTTCACCGCGCCGCAGCTCGAGCAAGACCAGGCATTGGCAGCGGCGGAGAGGACTTACCATGAACCGTCGTGGCAAGCTGGGCAGGGTTCCTACATCCACCCTCCCTTCTCCTTCGATCAAGACTCATACATGCACGCCAACCCAGGCGATCTCGGAGGTGACGCCTATGCCGGGCATGTCAACTACCAGCCGGGATTTGTAGACACCGCGCGGTACCCACTCGACCCAAGGCTGCTCGCGATCAATGGGCATGGAGCGCCAGTAGAGACGCAGGCTCACCCAGTCGGCTCAAGCACCCCCCCCGGAAGCAGGAGTCAGGATCGAGCCCACAATAGCCGAGGACGAGGAAGCGGGAGGAACAAAGAGGGACGAGGAAGAGGAAGAGGAAGAGGGTGAGTGACGAGAAGGACACCACGGAACTTGTTGTCTGGGAAACCCAACCGGTAACCCAGCCGGTCACCCAGGGCAGGACGGAGTATAGGTCAGTAACTGCAACGAAAAGTCAAGAGCGGGAGGGGGCGGGAAAAGTGAATTCACCCGCCCTAGCAATGTATAATGTGACGGCGGGTATTGCCTTCAACAGGGATATCTACGAGTTGCCATCAGAAGGGGTGTGTGGAGGGAGTTGTAATTGCGATGGGGCTCGTCTTTGTTTTTTTTGCTGCCTTGATTTTTGGGGGGGTTTCTGGAGGCTCAACGCTCAACAATCCAGTACGCATCGCATGTCTTGTCCTATGTAGCAAGCCAGATTTTGATGGACGGATTTCTGCTCCTCCGTGCCTCTATTTTTTTCTTTTCCACTAACCTCGGGAAATCTCCTGAACGATGAGAAAAAACAAGTAGATTGGGTTTTCTAAGGATGGGAATGTGGCGGTGTACCTCCCACCCACTTTGGTTCCCCCTCTCCAGCCTTTCGCGCTCCGTTTCATTTCATCCCATGCACCGAAGTCGAGTGCTCGGTAGAGAGGGGTAGGTCTCTACATACCTAGGGAGGGAGGGAGCAGGTCAAGGAGTGAGTGCCTCGCTGTGCGTCCGAGTAGGTGTGAATTAGGTAGGTAGCCGGCCCAGCTCCCCCGAGGCGAGGGACTACCAGGCTCACTAGGCGGTAGCCGCCGCCTAGGAGAGCCTAAAATAAAAACCTGGGGATGGTGGACTAGGTACCGAGGACTGGGCAATATGGGGTACGGGCAACTAAAACTCCCCCTAGGTGCCTAGGTAGGTACAGCACCTCCTCTAGCAGAAAGGGGTGTGGAAGCGAGAACCAAACCAACAACGACCGGCGCCCCTAGGGAATGGGAATTGGGAACAAGGTATTTAATCCGGAAGGAGTAAGTCCTCCGTCCGTCCAGATTACATACATATATCCATCCATCCATCCATCCAGAGACACCCAATGGATCGACCTGGTGGAGAATGCAGACAGGCTCGGTGCCTCGTAGTAGTCAAGAGGGACTGACTCAGATCTTTCTGGCCTCCCACTTTTGGGTTAGCTTGGGGGGGATTGAGTCTCGTCGACGAGGTGAATACTGACGGGCAGAGACTTGATGCAATACGAAGATGCACGGCGGTGGGAGTGCCAGCGCACAGGCCCAGCGTCGGGGGAATCCTCCTGCGCACAAGATATCTTGCCTAGGGAGATAGACAGGCCGACGGATGAATGACGGGGTCAGATATGGAATATGGACCTCAGTGGCCTCGACGCACCGAATTCTGATTCTCGCTCGGACGAACGAACGACGTTGTTCTGCTCTACGGGTTCCCTTTTCCAGAAGTTGCCGGTGGAAATAGCTTCTCCACGACGTCGTCACCTGAACTGGGCGGGCTGTTGTGTAGCAGTCGTAATACTCGGCAATAGAGACCCTGCATATTTTGTGAGACCCAATACGCACATCACACACACACACACACACACAGAGAGAGAGAGAGAAGATCATTTAATAGTCTCACCAGCCTCAAGTAAATTACACAATCTCTACAACCCAGAGACCCTGTACACCATCGTCCCAGAAACATCCAGCCCTAAAAATGGACCCTCGCGTCGCCGCCGTCGACGGCTTCACCAAGACCCAGCACACTTGCGTTCCACCTTCCTTGAGTCCTGCAGCCGTGAAACTCCAAGATTCGTTCACGGTCTGCATTATCGGCGCCTCCACTGGGATAGGCGAGCATATCGCTTACAGCTTCGCGCGGGCCAAGGCAGCAAGAGTGGTCATATCCTCTCGAACAATGAGCGACTTGGAGGCTGTGGCCGATCAAATCAGACGAATCAACCCCCTCGGCCATGTTGACATGGTTGAGTGTGATGTCTCGAAGGCGACGTCGGTAGAAGCTCTGGCAGATTATGTGAAGACCCGTTGCAAGCGATTGGACATATTGATCCTCAACGCTGGCTACGCCGGCCCAGTAATCACAAAGATGGACCAAGGGAGACCTGAATGGGTCCAGCACGCCTTCGAAGTCAATGCTCTCGGAACCTACCTCTCCGCACATTATTTCGTTCCCTTACTTTTGCAGACAGAAAACGGAGCAAAAGGATTCATTGCCATCGGGTCCATCGCAGGTTGCATCAGACGAGGGCCGATTGCGAACACGGGGTACACAGTCAGCAAGTTGGCGCAGATCCGGTTGGTCGAATGTCTTCATGAACAATACTCGCCGGAAGGCTTGGTTAGCATTGCACTTCACCCAGGAGCTGTCATGACGAGGATGGCGAGCGGCAATACGCCGGAAGAGTTCTTGCCTTGTGAGTCGTCGTCGTGTTCCACCCCCCGGACACTTGAAGCAAGTGCTCCTCGGCTGCGCAGGACTAACTTGCTTCCGCAGACATGACAGATGAGGTTGATCTCTGCGGTGCAGTCTGTGTGTTCCTCAGTAAACAGATCAACGATCTCGGTTGGCTGAGCGGAAGACTGGTGTCGGCCACCTGGGACATGGAGGAATTGATTTCCAAAAGGGATCTGATAGAGAAGAGAGATCTGCTCAAGTTCACCCTATTGACTGAGTAGAGAAGCGGTCGCACAGGGTTAACGCGCGTCAAGAATGGTGGTGAAGGAAAGCCTTCGCATGCCAGTGCAGGTGCGTGTTCCAACATTTGGCCAGTCGTGACCATTTGGAGCTCTGATTCGCTCGAAGAAACTCGTATGATTTTCTGCGAGAGCCGGGTCATGATCCTCCGCTAAGGCCGAAGAAGCAGGTGATTGCCCACCATTGCCCGAGTGCTTCTGCAGGTTTGGGATGACGATGCAAGGTACCAGACGTCATTGCCAATCCCAACCGGTCGTCTGCAGGTTTCGCGACACACATTTATACGATCTGCGGGACTCCTGACAGAAATAGAAACAGAAGGGCTAGACCACAAACCGCCCGGCCATGTAGAGCGGGAGAGGGCATGTGACCAATAATGGGTGCACAATCAGCAAAGTTGTTGTCCATGCGTTGTTTGCATGCAACCATCCTGGCCCAGATAACGCTATCCGACCACGGTTACACATGTACGAGTAGATCGCCCGGTTGTTCGTGCCGGTCTTATCTTTTGGGCTCCATGTCACCGGTACTTGTTGTCATGACTTAACATCAAATCCACATGGCAGGATTCGTCTAGTGTTCTCGCAGGAAACGGCCGGTGAAACAGGGAGTCGAACGTGACGGGCGTTTCACGGTCAAGCCACTGATGCAGGAAGCAGGACGCATGACGCAGGGCAGGGAGCATGGAGACGATGGATTTGGAGTCGACGTGTCTTGAAATCCCGAATGCAGGAGGTGGAACAGTGCAGGACGCAAGCGAGGGTCGTGGATGGATGTGACAGCGGCATGGGGGCTGCCGATGTGGAGGACGGATGTAGAAGGCCGGAATCATGATTTGCTCAGTTTGAGGCAAGGCCTGGGAGCTTGGTGCCGCCAGCAACACCAGAGGACGCAGGCTCTTTGGCCAGGTTCCACTGGTGAGCTGCAAGTGGCAAAAACGCCCAGCTTCCGTTATGAAACCTGCCGCAGGAGGAGGTGGTCGTGGTCGTGGTGATGGTGGAGGAGAGGAGACGCTGTAAATAGAGGCGTGATCTGGGCCAGCTTGTCAGCTGCACAAGAAACACAGGAGAAAAGCATGTTCTCCGTAAAGACGTCGACGTGGGAGAGAAAGAGGCCGAGAAAGAGTGCAGCAGGCGGATACCAGCCTCCAAGCCAAAGACTGATAGTGGTCGATAGTCGGTTGATGGTGGGCTTGTTGCTCTGTTGCCGACTTTCCGCTCAGCAGGCATCATCCGGGTACCATCGCCGCCTGGGGCAAGCCGGGCCAGCCACTGCCAGCTTACCTGTTGCGCGAGGTTCCAGGCTGGGTCATAAATAATGGGCGTCTCGCATGGGGGGTCGGAGGGGGGCTTTTTAGCTGCTCGGCTAGCCATCGACCTTTTTTCAAAGGCACTTCTCACATCGCCCACGTGCGCCTCCATATCTCCCATCGTCAACTCTCTACTTGTAGACGTTAGCAGCTTGCTTCAGCCTCTTTATCAGCGTCCTCCAAGGCTACAGTTACAGCGCATCAGCCCCGAGTACCGAGTACAAGAACTCCGTACTCATCCTCCATCCTCAGTGCGTTGTATCGATTGGTCCTCGCATCGCCCTCGTCCGGACCCAGTTCCCACCAAAATCATTCGATTACTACTTGCACTCGTCCTGCATCGCATCACGGAATACTCGCATATCCCGCGCTCGCCCGCGTCTGATCTGACAGGGTTCCCACGCTGAGAAGAGGAGGAAGAGAAGGAAACCCACTCGTCACCGAACCTGTGGGCTGAGCGCTGGGTGGCTCGGTGGCCATCATCCAAGCCACGATTTTCCCTTGCCTGCGGCACTAGTGGCAGGAAAACTCTCTTAACTGGGACGCTGTCGCTGGCACCTCCGAAGCTTCCTCACTCAGCGTTCCCTGCAGGCCTCCAGAAGCACTCTCTTTACCAGCCTTTTTATTTCTCCTGCCATCTTCCACTCGTACCACTTCTCATCGTCACTCACTATTCACTACTGCATCTAGAACGAACCTACCTCTCGCTTGGTTCGTCCATCTGCTTTGTGCCATTCCCATTGACAGCCATGATCGGCCTGCGCAACGCCTTCGTTTTCAGCACGCTGCTGCTGGGCGCCCTCAGTTCGCCTGCCCACGTTCCAGAAGATGACAATGCATTGATCAACTGGGACGCGTTCCAATCTTTACTCGACACCGTCGATCCTGCTGCCCTGCATTCCGTCCTCCATGCGCTCTCCCCGAAATTCCAAGACGGGGTCTTCAGCAAGGACCGTGCAGCCATTGAGCACGTCCACTCCGAGAATCCCGTCATTGCGAGCAAGCTGGTCCACCTAGCAAAGAAGAGACAGTCGAGCAACTCGACAACCACGGCATCGACAACGCCCTCCACCCCTGCGCAGAGCAGTGCTGCCTCGGAATCAAGCTCCCGTGCCGCCAGTGTCTCTTCCATCCTCTCATCCGCCATCTTCGCATCAACTGTACCAGGTGCCACGACTGTGACGGTGCCACCGACGGCCCCGGCCTCTGCCACTGCAGTCGAGACTTCAGACGGTGCTGTCGTGTTCAGCACATTCGGAGGCGGCCTGGTAACCCTCACATCCTCGGCGTTGAGTGTCCACTTTACTCCCAGCACCTCCACCCAGCTCTACTACGCGACCGCCGCCGACGGGTCTGTTTCGACGTCGACGTCAGTGGTGGTGGTCAATGCACCGGTGACAGACAGCGGTGATGCCACTGCCGCCGCCGGTGCTGCAACCACCACCGGAAGCCCCGGTTTGCAGAATGGTGGTTCTTCGATAAGAATGGGTGGTCTCGCCTCTATATTTGCTGGCCTGGGAGGATTGCTCTTCCTCGCACTATAGGCAGTGTTGGGGTGGTCACTGGCTTAAAAGCAAGTTCCGCCAATGGGTTTCCTGGCGGCTGATGTGATATTTTTTGTGGGATTTTCAGCGCACATAACGACGATACGGCACCGGCATTTCTCTCCTTTGATCAGCAATCTGCAACGGGCATAGCCTCGGGCGTTCAAGCACTTCCTCTTGGAAGTGGACTTTTTTTTCAGTATGGTAGGCAAGGAAATACACAACGTGTACATGAAAGGGATATTGGTAAACCTGGACGATAGAAGGACTTGGATGAAGCTGAAGGACTGTGGAGGCTGCAACGGGGAGATTAAGTGCGGCACTGAGATAGTGTCCAGATGTAAAGGACATTAATCAAATTGTATCCTGTCACCGAGACATTGGCTTTGAGTTGTCGACATTGTCCAACTTGAAATCCTTCGCATCTTTTCTTACGATAGTCTCAATGAATCTCACCACGCTGACGCTCACGTGATTTCTCCCTCGAATCGTATACCAGTAGATGTTGTTAGACAGCCATCTGCATCATCATCACCCGCCTCCACGGTAGAATCAGTTGACATTGGCGACACTCCTTGGCACAAGGGAGGCTGAAACGCTTGGTGTTGACGCTGAAGACGATCATACATGCCCAGAGCACACCTGCACCACTCGTAGGGACAATTCCAAGCCTGAGTCAAGACGAGACAAAGAAACAAGAGCGACCACCCTTATTCCTGCACATCAGCGGCCCTCCTCTGAACTATATACTCGGTCAGAGGCCCAATATTTTGTGGGTGTTGTTTGATTAACGGATATCACAGTGGCCCTTGTCCTTGACGCAGAGACATCTGAGCAACTCCTTTTCCCTCGAGTATAATATACGCATACCGGGCCACCCATGCCGATCATTTTATCGACATCGAATGACATACGAGGGATTGACGATCTCGAAAATCAAGAGCATGGGCCCAAGAGGAACGGATGTGACTCTAAGCGCATCCTGAGACAGATCTGAAGGCTACGGGGTGGTCTTGAAACAAGCTCCGGGCCATGAGTGTGGCAGTGCTCAGCAGGGCATCAAATGGTCTGGGGGCGCTGGAAATTTGCAAGAGGCTCGATCAGCTCTTCTTGGGGCACGAGACACAGCATTGAATATGGATTGTCTACGCGGCCTTCTCCAGTGGTTTCGCCCTTGATCATCAAGCGACAATGCTGAGCGCACGACACAAGACATCCACCCCCGGTTTTGTCGAGGTTGGAAGCGGAATTACATGTTCAGCAGAGGCCAATGCCGTTGGTTGTATGTCCGCAGTGATCAAAGCAAGCTTAACAAACCCCTTGTGCGCAATTCGAAACATGTGCCAATCGAGCCCCGTCGCGAGACGGACGTGGGACGATCCAAGGAACTTCATCTGCAAGTCGTTTGCGGGAGGGCAGGGGAAAGGGATGGAGGGAAAGGCGTGTGAGTGGTGGAGGCTGTCGGGTGGCGGCTCTAAAGAGGGGCCCTAACAGGCACTTAACAGGCACCTAACGCGCCTCTAACAGGGGCTGGTGGCCATCAATGGGGAGGCGCCCCCGCCCAGCAGCACAGGCGCGACAGGGGGAACCGGACATTTCATCAACTCAATGGGAACAGCTGCCCGCGTCGATGATCCCTGCCTCGAATATCCTGCCTCTTCAACAATTGCGATCTTGCAATCTTTTCCTGCTTTTCCTGCCCTTCAACTTCTTCACCCCCCTCGTTCATCACAAAAAGCAAGAGCCGTCACCACTTCGTTTGGGTGTCGCTCCTCCTTCGCTACCTCCTACTCACTTCTAATACCCAGTGTCTTCTGTTGGGAAATTCCTCACTCCCTTGGAGCCCAACCCCAGTTAATTTTCTTCTTCGCCCCCCCTTCGGTTGAATTTCTCGCAGACACAGATTTGAAGAGAGCACTCTGTTTCATCATGCGTACCTCAACTTTGGCTACCCTCGCTTTGGGCGCTGGTGCTGCTTCTGCCGCTTCTGTCAAAAGAGCAAGCAGCTTGCCGACAGTCTCTGTCAAAGGAAACGGTACGTGCTCTCGTGTCTCTTCCGTATCTCACTGTGACTGACCGTTGTAAAGCTTTCTTTGCTGGTAACGACCGTTTTTACATTCGCGGAGTTGACTACCAACCCGGCGGCTCCTCCGACGTGGCAGATCCCATTGCCGACGAGAATGGCTGCCAGAGAGACATTCCTGAATTCCAGAAGTTGGGCATCAATGCTATCCGAGTGTATACTGTTGACAATACCGCATCTCATGACACATGCATGAATGCCTTGGCGGATGCTGGCATCTACCTTATCTTGGACGTCAATACCCCCAAGTATTCCTTGAACCGAGCCGACCCTGGCCCATCCTACAACGATGTATATCTTCAGAGCATCTTTGCCACGATTGACGCCTTCCAAGGCTATAGCAACACCTTGGCTTTCTTCTCTGGCAACGAAGTCATCAATGACCCTTCGACTTCGGCAGCTGCGCCCTACGTCAAGGCTGTCACCCGTGACATCAGACAGTATATCCGAAACCGAGGCTACAGGACCATTCCTGTGGGCTACTCTGCCGCCGATGTGGCCGAGAACCGTTTGGAGATGGCCGAGTACATGAACTGTGGCACAGACGACGAGCGCTCCGATTTCTTCGCGTTTAACGACTACTCCTGGTGCGATCCTTCATCCTTCACCATCTCCGGCTGGGACCAAAAGGTCAAGAATTTCACGGGCTATGGTATCCCCATTTTCCTCTCTGAGTATGGCTGCAACACCAACACTCGGGACTTCGGCGAGGTTGTGGCTCTCTACGGCAACCAAATGACCCCTGTTTACTCCGGAGGTTTGGTCTACGAGTATTCCCAGGAGGCTAGCAACTATGGTCTTGTCGAGATCAATGGCGACTCTGTTTCTGAACTGCCGGATTTCGGTACTCTCCAGAAGCAGTACGCCAACACCCCCAACCCTCAAGGTGATGGCGGCTACAACTCGACCGGCGGAGCGTCTGGCTGCCCTGCCTACTCGTCACCCAACTGGCTTGTCAAGGACGATTCTCTGCCTGCCATCCCCGATGGTGCAAAGAAGTACATGACCCAGGGTGCTGGCACTGGACCTGGTCTTTCTGGCGCTGGCTCTCAGAATGCGGGTGGTGCTTCTACTGGAACCGCCACCGCAGGCAGCGGAGCCCCCACTCAGACTGGCAGCTCTGGCACCACCAGTGGAAGCAGCACCAGCAACGCCGCCGTTTCCGTCATGGTGCCCGAATTTTCGGTCGCTCCTTTGGTCTGTGGTGCTCTTGTTGCCATGTTCACACTTTTTGGCGCTACTTTGTTGTAAATCTGCCAGGTGATTGGGCAGAATTGATTTGTGCAGGAAGAAGACACGCAAACAGAGTCGGCCGTCTAGGGGAAAGGTTGTGGAAATGGATTGGCTTCTCTTTTGCATGTAAGCGTTGGGCGGATTGTGTTGGACTGGTTCGGCGCATTAAAACAAGCCTTGAATATGAAATTGGCATGTCCATGCAATAGAGTTGCGCGGGTTTTTTGAGAACAGATACAGATGAAACAGCAAAATTAATACGCCAACATTCATACTTGTACCCGATCCTTTTGCGCAATGGTCGTCTGCAATGTCGTCCTCCCCTTCTGCATGTCCCAGGGTCCATCGTACCATACGTCGACGCCGCCCTTGACCACCAACTTTCCCTCGTTGGTAAACTCGACGCCCTCGTCCTTCAGCAATTTTAGTTTCATGGTTTGGTTGACTCCAGACGGGGCTTTTTCCCAGTCACCCTTGAATCCACCCACGTAACCGTCGCTCGCAATGACGCGATGGCAAGGTACTTCCGGGGCATAAGGGTTGTTCCGAAGAGCTCCGCCCACTGCACGGGGGCTAGAATTCAGGGAGCGGGCGAGGGCGGCGTATGTTGTCACACGTCCTGGGGGGATAAGAACGAGGTGGGTGTAGACTTTCTGTTCGTTCGTCTCGTTAGCAACGTGGTCAAAGAATGAAGCACCTCTGGGAGGTTGTGAGAGGAAGACTGACGGGGGGCGAGAACTCACCTCCTGGAATTCAGTAACGGCCATTTTGTTTTTCGTGGGTGCAAGAGCCTTCCAAGTTGGTATCACTGTATGTTCAAATGGGTCCCAAGGGATTGTCCTCTATCTCGTAGACCTAGGTGAGTGATCTCGAGGATGAATGTTTGACTCTGATTTAATTAGAATCACACTGTGGAAGCCCCTCGCGCCTATTTATCTTTTCGAGTAAGAGCAATTTCCTGCAGAACCGAGAGGCAGAAGGAGATTTGAGTCATGGTCCTCGACGAAGTTGATCCACGGCATCCCAAAGGGAGCAGTTTGATGTGCGAGTCCTCTCGGTGAACGGCTGGCTTATGGAATCCCCAGCTGTGTGATTGGTCATATTCAGAGCAACGACTAAAATGCGCGTATTGAACGAGCCAGCCACAGAAACGTCGAGAGTAAGCCACTCCGGGGTAGGCAATTCGCGAATAGTGCACGGTCTCACGTGGCCAGGAAAACGAAGGCCAGACGAGAAGAGCTTCGCGGCTCTTTTGCTCCGCCGTACCTTAATGCGCTGTTGCGCCAAGTACGTCGCCCGATAGTTGCAGCTACCTTCCAGATCAATCGCAGGTCGAAAGAGCTCGGTGCTTCGCCATCAACCCCGGATTTTCTACCCCCTGTGCGGCTCGCCCTTCAGCATGGCGGTCATAGAATCGGTCAAAGAGGCCATCGGCCTGGGAGACGGTGCCGGTACGCATTCTCTGAGTCTTCGCCCTCTCGTCCCCGTGCAGTGAGAGAAGCCACCCGGGATGAAAGCTAATGTCAGCCCATTCTGCCTGCTACAGCTCCAGCGTCCAGACAAGCAATGTCCGAAGCCAGGCTACCTCTCGCCTACCGCGACAGCTGCGCAAACCTCCTGATACCCCTCAATAAATGCCGGCACGAGACATGGTACCTGCCCTGGAAGTGTGAGGTGCGTTTTTTTCGTCACCCATTCGTTTGTGGAAATGATGTCCATGTAATGGGCGCTGGGACTTGAATGATGATCTGGACTAACTTTCGATTCTGCTCCTTTTGTGGGTGGGCAACAGACCGAGCGACACAGCTACGAGAAATGCCAGTACGAGGAGTTCAAGAAGAGGGTTGCGAAGATGGACGAAATCCGGGCGGCCAAGGCTGCGGCGGACAAATAGAGGGAGTGATTCGAGTGCACAACAAAAATGGGATTCGAGGCTCGCAAGGGACCTCGGTTGTATATATGGGAAACAGTTCACTGGGTGACGGACTCTCGAAGGCGTCTACAGAGGAGGGATAACCCACACGATCACGGCCAGGACAGACTCCCCGAGACTCTGTCCGTGAGACATTCTCAGATCACTGAGGCTGTTACAGCTAGTTATGGGAATTATTGACCCTCCCAAAGAGAAAACCAGTCCGCATTCAAGACAAGGTCGGTTTGGTGGGCAACAATATGCCCAACCACCGGGAGGAATACTGACGTCACGTGATCCGACCTATCCCTCCCACTTCCCGTCGCAAAAAAGACACCCACATAAAGTCTGCGCATCGCGATATATCTCTTGACATGGTGAAACTGTATACGAGAACCCCCACGTCCACTTCTGACTGTGCAGTATCTTGCCTAAGCGATACGAAATTGAAGTGACAGGGCTCGCAGGATAGCCCTCTACTCGCTTGCTTGGTCGCAGTCACTTCCGCGGATATCACCGGCGCTCAGCGGCATCTTGAACAATGATTCAAGGCATTGATCTCTTTTCCTCCCATAAACCGCTGATGATGACTAATTGGAAATCTTTGCAGAATCCGGGACCAGTACCACCTCCCTTCTAGGCCTTGTATCCCGTCATCCCACCCACGAAGTGTGTGAGATGGCCTTCTGTACGCCGTGCCACGCGAGATCTCCCGCCTACAAGTTGTAAATACGAGGACCGTCTCATTTGCCAACTTCTATCCATCCTGATACAGCCTTTCTCCTATTGCCAATTCAACCCCACGGTCGAGGCTCTCACCTCCAAACCCACCCAGCCAAGGTTTTCCTCTCTCTCCCACACTGCGGCTGTTTCCGCCCGAAGTCTGCCGTTTAGTCGCTGCGCCCTGGGAAGAGAAAAAAAAAAATCGCATAAGACAACGTCACAACCAGTCGAGCGTTTGGCCCATCGTGCTATTCCGGCAATTCGGGGCCTTTTTCCATTCTCGAGAGGAACATCCGTCTATTCACATTCGACTGGGGAAAAGACGAAGGGTCGATAAGTTCCCGATAGCATTTCCTCTTTTCGAAGGACGCCATGTGTCTCCCCTAGATGGCTCCGGAAATGGCACCATCGCTCTGGCTGCTCACTACCGAATCGAAGACTTTGGGTTGAATTGTTACCCATCTTTTTTGATTCCTTTTTCTCCCTGATCATCTTTTGCCCCCGGCTTCATTGCGGCGAAACTTCCAAAAGTAGCCATTCTTACATTTGAAACTATACTTGCCTATTTTCCAATATGGGTCTTTTGTAGGTGCCAAAGACCCTTTTTCCGACCCCTTCTCCCCTGGGCACTTTATTCACGGGATGCAGAGCGTTAGGGACGGCCTTGGATTGGCCAGATGCCAAAAAGGCAGCGAACCAGGTTCGGGAATGGGGTATCGAGGTAAGGGGAGGCAGAAAGTGCCCCTAATGTACCACAGTTCCTACTTCTACTTGCTGATACCCGTCCAAGCAATTGCTCGCAATATGGCGCAAGGCCAAGGGTAAAGAGCGTGATGCCCTCCTTTGGGGTGACGAGGTATGATTTTTCCCCCCTTCGGCCGGATGTCCGTCCGTATTACTAAACAGTCCCCTTCATCCAACACCAGGTCGAGTACCTCGTTGTCGCAATCGATGAAGAACATCAAAAGGTTCGGCTATCGCTATGCCAGGCCGATGTGTTAAAGTCTTTGGCCAGAGATGAGGCGCTGTCGAAGAAGGATGCCGTCGTCCCTGATTTGCAAGATGGTGTTGTGTGAGTAGTTTACAGTCCCTGCTTGTCCACCGTTAGCCTGCATCTACTGACTCCTGATCCCAGTCGAAGCGGTGCCCTTCCGACGTTCCATCCTGAATTCGGTCGCTTCATGCTCGAAGCTACCCCAGGGAAGCCATGGGGTATCGATTTCAAAGATTTACTCGACGTCGAGCCCGACATGAGGCTTCGGCGCGAGATCGCCACAAACCACATGGAACCTGATCAGTTCCCGATCACATTAACCACGTTCCCCCGCCTGGGACTGCCCGACTCTATCCAGCCCGACTACCCTCCCTCGGGCCCAGCCTTGCGATCACAGTTTGTGCCGGATGAGATTGCCAACCCCCACATTCGGTTTCCGACATTGGCTGCCAACATCCGGTCGCGGAGGGGGAGGAAAGTGGAAATCAACGTCCCCGTCTTCAAGGATAAAAACACCCCGTCTCCTTTTCACGATCCAACGGTCAATTACGACCTGCATAAATGGCCCGAAGACGACGACGTTCGCAACGGCGCTGTCAAGCCGGATTGTGTCTACATGGATGCCATGGCTTTTGGCATGGGCAGCTGCTGCTTGCAGATTACGTTTCAAGCCAAGAATATCCGCGAAGGCCGAACCCTCTACGACCAGCTCTCTCCACTGGGCCCAATCATGTTGGCGCTGACCGCTGCCACGCCGATATACAAAGGTTTTCTGGTCGACACGGATGTTCGATGGAACCAAATCTCTCGAGCGGTCGACGACCGCACCGCAGAAGAACTGGGCGAGGTGCCCCTGAAGAACGATCGGTGGCGAATACCCAAATCCCGATATGCCAGCAATAGCACATACATCGCGCAAGATCCCCGCCTACGGCCTGAATACATGGACCCTGACCTGGTCGTCAACGAAGAACTCAAACAGAAGCTACTCAACGGAGGCATGGACAACCTTCTGGCCACGCATTTTGCGCACCTCTTCATCCGCGACCCTATCGTCATTTTCTCCGAAGACCTGAAGGCCCTCGACCCGGAGGGCTCGAACCACTTCGAAAACATCCAGAGCACGAACTGGCAGCACATGCGGTTCAAGCCGCCGCCTCCGGACGCGGATATCGGCTGGCGCGTCGAGTTCCGGAGCATGGAGATCCAAATCACCGACTTTGAGAACGCCGCGTTTGCCATTTTCATCGTGCTCGTCACGCGGGCCATTTTGAGCTTCGACCTCAACCTGTACATCCCGATCCCGCGCACGACCGAGAACATGGAGACGGCGCACCTCCGGGACGCAGTCATGAAGGAGAAATTCTGGTTCAGAAAGGATCCGTTTCCGAAGAAGAGTCCGAAACAGTCGCCGGTGTTGAACGGGATCAGCGAGCCGCCGTCGAGCGGGGAGTCCACACCACCCCCACCACATCAACAAGAGACCACGAACCAGTCAGGCCACGCGCCAGCGTCGGCGTCAGCAGAGACCATCGAGTCGTCATTCGGCCCCGTCGACGAGGAGTACACACTGATGACGATCAACGAGGTCATCAACGGCGGCGGCGGCGCGTGCGACGGATTCCCCGGGCTGATCCCGCTGGTCGAGTCGTACCTGGACAGCGTCAACATCGACGTCGACACGCGCTGCCACCTAGCCGTGTACCTGGACCTGATCCGCAAGCGGGCCAACGGCACGCTCTGGACGGCCGCCAAGTGGATCCGCGAGTTCACACGCCGCCACCCGGCGTACAAGGGCGACAGCGCCGTCGGCGACAAGATCGTCTACGACCTGTTCGCCGCGGTGCGCGACATCGAAGAGACCCAGGAGATGGGCAACCGCCGCAAGAAGGGCCGGGGCAAGTTTGCCACGGGCTGGGAGATGCTCTCGGCCAAAGAACGCGCCAAGGGGGTGGATGATTGATTGATTGATGGATTTGATTGATCCAGAGTGTCCATGAAAAAAGTGGCATCTACACGGGAGTTTACATTTGCACTTTACGTGGGGATCTCATCGACATCGGCCATGTCACGATTGATGATGATGATTGATGTTGGTACCGCCCCTCCAGCGTATGTGTTGGTGCGTTAGCCGGAGGCCGTCCATTTCATGCTTGCGAACATCATACATCGCCAAATTCATACTGCGCAATATAGATAAGGTAGTTAGTTACGCACAGATTTTAACGAGGATCATTGCATTGCATTGCGGTGTTATCAAGCGGGTAGCCTTGTTTTATACCTTTAGCCTTTTATTCACCTCCTCACTCCTCATCCTCACTCCCCATCCATTATCTCTTCACTCCCCTATTACTTTCTACCTAGGTAGATACTTGCCGACCCGGGAAGAAGGTCCACATATATCAGGCTACCAGGCATCCTTTGCCGCTACGCGCTCGGTACCTCCCTGCCTGTTTTGAGCAAGTCGGGCTCCTCTGTCCGCAACATGACTAGATTGGATGTGCACTGCTTCTATTTCGTCTCAATTCTACTCGCAAGGGGAGACTCTGGAACATCATCCGCGGTTCGAATCGCGTCTGAGCCTGTCCCGATACCTGTCGATCTTCTCCCTACTTGCCCCGCCGTCCGTGCTCGTCATCTCAACAGCGCTTTCATCAAATCCGTCGTCTGGCGAGTTGGCCAGGCTGAACTGGTCACCTGCTCCGTCGCCCTTTTCGCACCATACCGAGCTCGTCGCGGGGACGGGCTTGATCCAACACAGCAAATAGTACACGACGAGAGCGACCAGAAACCCGGCAAAGAAGTTGACTCTGTAGATGTAGTTCGCTTCGATGGGTACCTTTCCGGAGACCAAAATATAGATTAGTTCGTTTTCTTCTTTTGTTTTGGATGTGGGTTATGGCATCTAACAAGCGAGGCCATCGTGGACGAGGGATGAACGTACTTTGGCCCCAACCGCGCCGGCGAAACCAACAACGTTGATGAGAACGCCACATATATACGAGGCATATGCGCGCCATGATATGCCGAAATGATAGTAATATGGTGATCCTATCCGAGCCGAGTAGAGATCTCTGACCGAGTAATATCCCTTGCGCACGAAATAGTAGTCGCAGAAGATGACGCCCGCAATCGAAGACAGGAAGACGCTGTATGCCGATAGATATGTGGTGAAATTGTTCGAGGTCTTCAACAAATTCCAGGGGCTGGTGTGCTGTTAGCATCTAAAGGATCTGTCAAACTCAAGGGCAGGGTTCGGGGAAGAGAGTTTTTTCAACAGGGGTGCGCGGGTTAGGTGAAGGCTCACCACATGCAGAGGCCGATGATCGCGCAGATGTAGCCTCCTCGGCGGATGTTGAGGTATCTAGGCAGTAAGGCTGCCATATCCGTACCTGCTGAAACGCTGTTCGCTGCAATATTCGTTCCCAGCTGGGCAAGCGCAAACGCGAACGCAATGACAAAGACGCCAAATCTCTCCGCCGATGTCGCATCGTCCAGGAGGAACTGAGAGAGAAGTTCCAAGGGATTCCAAATAGCTGTACCGTAGATGACCTTTGACGACGAGGACACGACAATACCCACAAAAGAAGTCACCACGAACCCGATAGGGATGGTGAAGAGCTGTGTCCAGAGAGCATCTCGCGGTTTTCTGGCGAAACGGGAGAAGTCGGGGTTATTGACAATCAGAGTTGCAAAGTTGGCAATAGAACTCATGATACCAATCACCCATCCCCATGCAAGTGCAGAACCCGAGGCAGTCGGCGGCTCTCTCACTATCGGGCCCATGCCGTGTGCACGGCTGACCGCCCAGCCAAAGAGGGAAAGTCCAGCTACCGGCACGATGTAAGACTTGACCATGAAGAGGTAGCGAATCTTGTGGACGGGCAACCAGATGGCAGGAAGAGATGCGACCCAGAAAATGAAGAATCCCACAAAGTCCCTCGTGTTGGTGCCTGAATCAGGGATGCCATTGTGCAGAGTGTAGAAGGATGGCCAGATCGATCGAATCATTAATGTGATGCACTGGCCACCAATCCAAGCTTGCACACCGTACCAGACACAGGCCATGGCGGCTCGGTTGAAGACCGGCCAGAGTGATCCCCAGATGCCGAAGGATGCACGAGAAACAACGGGGAAGGAGATATGGTACGTGGCTCCTATTCGCGCAGTCGAGCAGACCAGCATCGCCGAGGCTGAATACCCAATCAGAATACAAATCAATGCATGCCACCACGCAAGGCCGGAAGTGAGCATGGTTGAAGCAATCATCCAGGTGTTGATGTTGAACGAGTCAGCGATCCAGAAGGCTGGGAAGCGCGTGTCAGCGAGAATACTCATAACTGCCTGCGAAATTCCATACCGACAAAGCTCCAAGCCGTCCACTGGCGTCGTTGTGGCTCGACCGGCTTCAGGTCATGGTTGGTAAGCATCAACTGAGAATTTGTGAGGCCAGGCTCCGATTCCGTTTGCAGCCTCGAGAGCAGGCGAGCAGCTCTGGATTTCTCGAATCCGGGTACGGTTTTGCTCTTGGGCCTTGACTCGAGAGGACTGTTCGACTGGGACAGGAGCGGTTCGGCGGCCTCCCAGCGCGAAATGCGCTCGGAAGACGAAGTCGCAAAGTCGTCGAGCTCGACGACGGCATTTTGGGGAGAAGGGGAGCGCATGCTGGAGATTTTATGGAAACCGGCGCGCGAAACGCAATATCCATGGACCGTGCTTTCTGAGCCAGGAGCAGCCCCCAGCCGCCCGGACGGATGCTAAGAATAAACTAGGTTGTTGTCATGCCTGGCTCTGATCCCTATTCCTCTGGTAGATGCTGTGCGAGGTTGACGATAGCAATGCTGGCGGGAGATTATGGGCTTGTCAAGAGCTTGAGGTGTTTGTGGATCAGGACGAATTCTCCACTTGAGGCTGCGCCCGAGGCGGACAGCGATGACTTGTTGGGCCCACGAACAGCTTTCCGTTGAAGGTTGCCAGTGGAAAACATTTATGGGTTGCAGATATTGATCTTCTCGAACAAGACGGTGGCGAATGGAGTTGCGATCATGGAGATGGAGGCGCGGAGGTGAAGCGGAGACGCAGGCTCGGCACAGGAGGGGGTTGTTCTCTCGTCGACAAACACTGCAAACTCTCCAAACATCTAAAACACTCCAAAGTCCGAGCACATCATTGGCGCCGGGCTCGGGACCATTTCAGAGAGTGAGTATACGCATATCGACCTTAGCTACCCAGGCAGCATTCCAACGGTTGTACGACTCACGCCGTAAAACAGCGTCAAGACCGCCGTGAGCTCTTGTGGTATACAGTGCATCTTTAAACATGCATTCCTTGCTCACTATTACTCGGATCACTCAACGCGCTGCTGCCCATCCTGTGGTTGGATCCTAGCTATGTATTGCCTTGAGGGACGTCGAATCCACACGAAACCCTCTGGACTGCTGATATTACGCCGAGATGAACAGGAGTATCTACTCTTCTGGACGGACCATCTCACGAATTCAACACCACGCCAGAGTACGTCGTCCACCGAGGATGCAGGACCGCGTGCAAGCAATGCATCACGTGGCTCTCCTTGTCGTACCGGGGCTCGATCATCACTCCCGTGTATCGTTGGCGATGGATCTTCTTCCAGTAGAAGAGGCAGTGCGTGACGTGCCACTCCCACGCCATGTACACATTGCCGTGATCGACTTGGAAGCCCATGAGACCTACTTGCTCGATGGTGATGGGGATGGTGTGGTTGTAGTCCAGCCCTGCTTTGGTGTCAGCTCCAACCCGAAGTATTGTGAGTTGCAAATCTCCAACGCTCCGTCTTTTTGTGTTTCTCTCCAGAGGGAGTTACTTACAGTATGTCCAGCTGCCATTAGGCCCAGGCCCAGATCGGTCAAACTCGGCCGTCAATTCCTCGTCGCGGCAGTACGGTGGAAGCCAGGCCATGGCCAAAGTGTCGAACGTGCAGTTGTTCTCGCGCATTTCATCCATGGTGTAGCCGCAGTAGCAGTACTTGTGGTGGCGGCCCGTCGAGTTTCCTGCCCCGACATTCTCCAACAGTGCCAGGCCGTTTGTCTTTGGGGTGGTCTTCTCGACCAGAGGGCGGACAGTGGCACGGCTGGACGGCCTTGACTGCGTGATGACTTGGTTCATGGCGAGCACAACCCCCACGAAGGCCATTGTGTAGATGACGAGGTTGAAGATGAAGCGGAAGACATTGCTGCCTCTCCCAGCCCCATGTGGCGTGATTCCAGAAAAGGAGACGGTTGGTCTCTTTCGACCACGCTTCTCGCCGGCAGCCCTGTCGCGGTAGCTCTCTGCCTCCCCTGCCTCCAGCATGGTCACAGTATCTTGACTCAGAAGACTTTCTGAAGACGTAGAGGCGGGGATGATGTCGCTTTGAATGGGTGTATCAGCTACTGAGCATCGAGCACCAAGAACCTTTTACTGAGACTCACGCCTGATATAGCCTTGCCATTCTTTCTTTTCTCAATCTCTCTCAACGTTCTCACACTGTTAAACCAAGCCTGCCATCAAACTCGATGGAGGCCCCTGTACAATTCATGGCAACGCCAGGTATCGGATTTCCGTGGGTTTAAGATGTGAGGTAACCTCCATCGCTCGACCTCCCTCCCGCGGCATACACAGACGAAGGAAACCAAGCTGTCATTGGTGAGAGGGAGCGTCAATCTCCTGCACAGCTTCAGATCATCGGTGACAGAAAAGGAAAGTTGCATAGGTAGGATTCAAGAGCGAGAGGTCTCGAGAAGAGCCTATCCTCCTTGGCCATCAGTGGATTCAGAGTGGCCGTCATGAGGAAGTAGTAAGGTGTTTCTCCATCTGTGGGCTTACCGATCAGCATATGTCCGTGGCTGCAAACCACCTTCTTAGAGAGGTGATATACGCCGCAGCAACAAGGAAGGAGAAAGTGTCTATCACCATTCCCCCTCGCGGGTCCTGCCCCGGACACTTGAAGAAACAGCACAGCTGTAGGGGGAGAACGTCAAGTCAAGGCTTTTCTTATGCCAAGCACAAAGCCCTCCGGTCAATCGACGCAGGGAGAATCCTTCCACGGGATTTGTCCGTTCAGGAATCGTAGAACGACTCGCTGTGGAACGATCGATCAATCTCACATGGTCGTACCGAGTAGATGATAGGCTAACGCCGATTAACATGGCACTAGTCCCGATGAGGGATTTGGAGAGACCGTAAAAGGATATGGTAAAGTGGGCCACCATTGGGTTATTCACAGTAGGAAAAGGGGCACAATTGCCAATACGAACTCCCCACCCTGTAGACCCGAATCAGATCTACTCAACACCTCGTCTTCAACGTCCTCATTAGGCTCTGCCTCTGCCTCTGGTTCTGCTGACAGATACGCGATCAACACGAGCCGAACCTGACATAGCCGTACGTGTGGATCTCATTCCGCCGCGGAGCCAACTTGGTGGCATTCAACAACATCATCAGACAGTGATGGCTGTGAGTCTGGGTCGCCGTCATCCAATCGATCCTGCCCCCGCGTGCAAGGACCGCGTGCACCCTCCACAACATGAAGACACGGTGCGTCCAATGCTCAGCCGTGGTTGTCCAGTACACCCCGTCCCCGCCGATCTGGGACAAGTTTTCATATCCTCCGGTGATCTCCATCTGTCCTGCTTCTTTTTGGGGGGTGTTGATGCCCCATGTCAGCCCTGTCGTTTGCCGCATTTGTCTCTGGGAAAACAGGTGCATGCTCTCCGCGAGCAAGGAGGGAGATTATGGGAAACGTACGGTCATGCCAATAACGCCAGGATGCATCTGCAGAATCGACGAATTCGTCCGCACCGTCTCGCGGGCATTGTGCAGGAAGCCACGCAACTGTGAGTGGGTCAAATGTGCAGCCTTTTTTTCGGGCTTCAGCAACACTGTGACCACAATCAAGGACCTGTGGAGCTGTCTTGTTCAGGTCGGGTGGTTGCGAGACACTGTGCGTGGCCAACACCGCACTGACCGCGAGCGCGCTGGAAATGAATGCTGCCAGCATGCCAACGGCCACCACATCCCGCAAGGTGAACTTCTTGTTCGGCTGAAGAAGACGTGCGCCCTCCGCTGGAAGTTCGTCCGACTCGGAGCCGCTGAGGCGGGAGTACTTGCTTTCGTTGACGAGGAGCATGTTGTGTGAGGATTTTCCGCGTTTGTTGGCCCCTGCATTGTGAGAAAAAAAGACATCGTCACCCGGCACTGAATTTATTCCTCCAAGCACAACCTACGTACGTTGATACCCATGCCGAGATGATCAACAAACTCCCGTCAAACGTCTTTGTGCACTTTTGTACCTGGAGACATTCACTGCATTCATCCTTTAGCGATGATCACCCCTACAAGATCGCCCGCACACCATGATGTGGCTCGATTCCTCCCAAATCCTACAGAACCCTCCCCCCCCCCCCCCCCCCCCCCACCAAACCAAAGAGAGCACCAAAGGGGGTAGTAGGTCACAGGTTTCACAGCGCCTGGCCAAATACCGATTGGACCGTGTCGCCGGCTCTATACTCCCATCGCTCCACGGGTCTGCGCTCGGAATCCTGCGTCACCTTCCAGAGGAGGCTCGCGTCCTTGCACTGGTGGACGACGCCGGCGCCGTCGACATTGGAGCTGACAAGGTGGCCACGCTCGTTGAATTCCTCCGTAGGGGGCTCGATCGTCCCGTCGGCGGCGCAGAGGAGGGACTAGAAGTAAACTCATAGATCAGCATACAGCATATTTCCTCTTTCGTCAACCTTGAAAGAGGACCCGACTACGTACACCACAACTGTTTGTCGGCATGCGTCTTTCCCCGATGATCGCAAAGGGAGCAGAAATAAAAGTGGGTGCTTACCTCTGCAACATAGCTGAAGCAATGGGCGACGTGTTCGTAGTCGACGTTGCCTGCGCCCCCTCCACTCCCTCTACCACCACTATCATGGAGATGATGAGGATCTGCTCGGCCCACCTTGTCTCCACCTCCGCTTTCCCCTGCGCATCCTTCGGCTCTTTGCTCTTGTAGGGCCAAGCGAATCATCTGCAGACAATGAAGGGCGTGGAACATGCTGAGGCCGTAGCCTTGCGTCATGGTCGCGTTGTACCGCACCGCCAGGAACCCGCCTCCCCTGGTGGCCGTCTCGGTGGCCCACGCGTTGTCCCCCGCGGGGCTGAGATCCTCGAGCTTGGCCATCCTCCCAAACGTCCTGGGCACCGTCGTCGACCCCGGCGGCTGCTCGACGTGGTCGTGGCCACAGAGGAGATCCTGTGCGGTGTGCCGCCCGCGGTCGCTGGTGTGTTGTTGTTGGGTTGGTATATTCACTGTCGTGGTGGGCGCTGGACCATTGCCGTACCAGAAGAGCCCGGACAGGAACAGGAAGACCAGCAGCAGAGTCGAGGTGAAAGTGACGGTCCGCCTCTCGAGATCAGCCATGGTTGCTCTATTTCTTTTGGCGATTGCAGTGGGAAAAGAAGAGATACACGTCTGCTGAAACCTGCTGCATGCAACTGGTACAAATTGGCAACAAGTTGGCTCGCTGCTTGACCGGTTGGGTCGAAGTGTCTTTGATGGCCGGACCTAACGATATGTAGACATCATAAACTCGAGGTATGGTGCCACGTCTTGGGCAAGCGGCATGATAGAAATCATTTGCTGACCAGCGACGCCAGACCCTTGAAGAGGAGGTATAAAGCCCGTGTCAGGCATTATAAATCGACTGGCTCCCAGCAGTCAAGCGTGTAGTCCCCAGCCAGGGAGTATCCAAGTATCCACTGATCACAGTCGCCGCTTGTCACTACTTCTTTCTCAATTCTGAGCTCTGCATAAAGCGATCTACAGCTGACATGTCTTTGCAGGTATAAGGTCACCTCCCTTTCCCTAAGTCTCCGGACCAGGTATTCCTTCGGATCTTCCTTAACGCACAACCCTGATCCTAGAGCTCACCCGTGCCAATCCTCTCCTCACATTCCTCTCTCCTCCCACCCAGCCTGACACATTCATCGACACGATTCCTCCGTGTCTGCTCGAGCATACTCTCAGGCGGGTCCAACTCTTCTGCATTCTTGTCCCACTTCTTCATGCCCCACTCCACCATCTTGTCCTTCGGAAGTGCCACAGAGTCAGCCCAGTGGTCGATGGCCTCCCAGTCCCGACAAACGTGCCAGTTGTTGAAGTTGGGGTACGGCGAGTCGTAGCCCTTGATCCAGTTGTAGGTCAGGAGGGTTGTGTCGGCGTGGCAGAGGATGTTCTGACGGAGAATGTTGATACAGTGGTCTGTTCAAGTGTGGCGGTTAATGTTGGCTGCTCGAGATGTGACAAGACATTTCATGTTTTTGAACCAAAGCGAAGAACATGGGCTTACCGAGGTGTGCGCGGATTATATTTGATTGATTGACGAAAGAAATGTCTTTGGACTCGTAGTATTTCAGGTGCGTATGCTTTCGGAGAAGATCCTGACAATTATTGCCTTGAGCATTCGGCAACGCATAACAGGATATTCACGGGTAACAACGTACCAGACAGTGCAACTGATGGTCCATCTCCAAGTCTGCCCAGATTCCGCCTCCCAGTTCGGGTGGGAAACGGACCAAAGCCTTCGACTCGACATCGAGACGCGCAAACTCTTCCTCAGAAATACTCATTGGAGCCCCTATCTACCAGTGAGCGGTTTTGAACAGTGGTCAAGAACTTGTCTCAAGGATTGGAGTCGGGGCTTACGATAGACAAAGTGATCCCACAGATCATCTACCTCATCAGAAGGTTCCGCCGTCCAAGGCGAAGGATACCCAAGTGAGCCGTTGAATTGTACGGTCTTGAACTCGCGCACGGCGTCCAAACCTGGCGCTGGAGGACACAACAGCTTCGAGGTTAGCGAGTGGTTGGGAGAGAACAATAACAGTAGGCAGAACTCACACCAAGATGACTGAAGCCTGATGCAATCGTCCTTGAGGCGCCTTGAATGATACCCGGCGACGAAGGCTGCCAAAAGGCTCAAAACAAGGGCGAAGCCCACCAGCATAACTTTGGCGGTTCGTGGCTCCTTCTTTGGCGACCATGGCGCGGGTGCTTGCTCTGTGCACTCTGATTTCCTCAGTAATCTCCATGTAGGAGCAGACTCGAAATCTTCGAATGGGCGAGAATCCATGATCTGTCCGTTTGAACTCGCCTACTCATGAACGAGTATCCAGATTGCGCTTTGAGGACCGCCTATGCGACAATAGACTCTTTGCTGAAAGCTCAAGCTAATGTTTCCCAAGGCTTGAGTGTTTCGTGAGTGGGATCTCCACTTCCTCCATCAGCCGTCCTGAAAAAATACTCGTTCCAGAACAGGCATTCCCTGCTCTAAAATGACGTTGAAACCTCGCAGGCCAAAGAATCAGGCCACGGGGACGATAGAACACTTTCTGATGTCCTCTCCGCATTTGATATGTCGTTGGTCGTTCTCATTTGGACTTTGAACTCTCCACCCTGGGCGCGAAGGAATGCATGATGCAGGAGGCTGAGACGTCCAGATCCTAGGAAGAAAACAAGTTTGCACCTACAGCAAAGATCATATTTACCAGGACCGAGACCTACCCTCGCTTCCGTTTTCCCAAACAGGAGAAATCAAGTGGGACTGATGATCTGTCGAGCTGCAAAGACGTGGAGTAGAGTTCGTTCCTAGTCATCACGTGATTACGAACCAATATCAAGTCTCTCGTGACTATGGCAATGCCGGGGCAATCCACGATTCAGGGGATAACGCGCACAGGGTGCGACCAAGTCTCTGAAACTCGAATGAGCCGAAGAGCCCACTTGTGTCTATCATTGATCATCGCGAAGTTGAAGGCCGGGGTCTGTAGTGGCTTAATAGATCGGCATAACCAGCTGTGTCTGTCAAGATGTTGTCGACTGGCTGAACGCGGTTGTAGATCAAATCCTTCGACGCTGGGAGTATGAGGACGTGCGAACCAGATTCGACCTCTATCAAACGTGCTGGTTTGTTCCTGTAATACCCCGATGTTACACCCAGCTGCAGTGTTGTTATGGTGATCAGTCCGACGGGAAAGTCAGTCGCCCTGCAACAAGCTGTCCATTTTTGGAGATATAACAGATGACCGATTGACGATCCTGCGCTGACGGACGGTAACAATGCATCCTCTGAACAACGAAAACCTGTTAGACAAGACCGAAGGATTCAATCACCTCCAGTCAGTAGCCGTATTCGCGTTGTGATAACCTCCGGGCCGGCGGAGAAAGGCCTTGAAGGAAGAAAACTTGGGAGTGATGGTCAAGCGGCGTGCAGTATGCGTGTGTTGAAACTCGAATTAGGCACGAGTAATCCGTTATCGATATCCGGAAAGCAGGGTGAACATCAAAACTCGTAAGGTTTGGTTGAGCATGAGGACCCTCCCGCCACTGCAGTCGGTCAGGCTATAAAAGCATAGCTTTGGCCCTCAGGAGTTGATTTTGAAAGATACATCCTCAGGCATTGCTTCACCTTCAGGCCTCGGCTTTTGCATTCAAGCACTTGGACAAACACATCCTCAAGCTTTTCTTCTCCGTCACGCATCAGCTTCTGCTCGCTGTGTACTGTATTCAATATGAAGTTTCTCCCTGTTTTTGTGGCAGTGGCCGCCATCGTCGTTCAGACAGGACACAGCTTTCCTTTGGAACTCGATGAGCGCGGAAATTGCTGCAGCGGCCAGAGTGGTAAGACATCTTCCAAAGTGCCTTCAAACCAGCTGATTGGTGTTAGGGTATAACCAACCCAAACGCGACCTTATGGCCGCTATTCGACATGCAATTCTAGTCAGAGCACCTGCTCCGGAGCCGGCTCCAGAGCCCGTTCCCGCCCCAGAACCAAGTCCAGGCGACGAAGAGACCGATGGAAATTGCTGCAGTAGCCAAAACCGTCAGTCTCATTTGCCGACGGCGAGCACTCGCTGATCGCAAATCCAGAGTATCCGAAGCGTGACAATGAGGACGAGTTGATGGCAAGGGCCCCTGAGCCTGAGCCCGAACCTGAACCTGAGCCAGCGCCCGAGCCGAGCCCAGATGGTGAAGAAACGGATGGGAACTGCTGCAGCAGCCAAACCGGTCGGTATACTGCGTGTTATCCTCCTCATCCACGGTGCTGACGACAACCAGACTATGACCAGCCGAAACGCGACCTGGGAGTCGTGCCTGGAGCCAGGGATCCCGAACCAGAACCAATGCCAGAACCAATGCCAGCGCCAGCCCCAGAAGGTGAGGCAGCAGATGGTGACGAAGAGACAGACGGAAATTGTTGCAGTACCCAAGCCAGTCAGCGCTCTCCGTGCTGTTCTTTGCGCCCACGACGCTGACGAAAACCAGACTACTACCAACCAAAACGCGACGTAGACGGTGAACTCATGATCCGAGACCCTGAGCCAGAACCGACAACAGTTCCTGACATGGCTGCCGAGCCCGCCGTCGATATGGTGATCAGGGAGGCCTCACCGGAGCCAGAGCCGGAGCCAGAGCCGGAGCCAGACCCACAGGGCAACTGCTGCAGCGGACAATCAGGTACGCAGAAATGGTGACTTGCGAAAGACATGCTCACATGCCATAGGCTACAAGCAGCCAAAGAGAAATGCCGAGTTGAATGCACGAGATCCCGTTCTGGCCATCCCAACAAAGAGGTCTGAAGCAGCCGCTGGCACGTACGAGGACGCATACTAGCTTCATAGAAGGATTGTTGTAGCTGTGGCCTAGCAGGGGGACGTTGAGGCGGAGGAAAGGGCGAGGGGCTTATAGTTGTGCAGAAGAGAAGAAGGAACATTTGGAACATAACGAGAGCAGCGTCAAAGAACTGTGGCTGAATCTGGCTCCAAACACGATGTTGATGGAGGACAGGAAATGGGAGGAGCTGTTCGTTCGACGATGATAGGCAGTCAATCATTGATTTTCCGCCTGCTTATGAAAAGAGAGGACGTACTCATATCGCGGTTCGTCTGCCCCAGTCATCTTCTAGACCATCAAATTTGAAAGGGGCTTTGCACTCTCAGCTTCTTCTCGGTCGTCTCCCAGCGCTGCAGATGATAAGTCTTGAGCGGGAAACGCTGAAGCGCATTAGTTGAGGTCGCCGAGGCAGTTTGACGTGTCATATGGTCCCAAGCGTATATGACCTTCGAATCGTCCGGCCGTGAAATATGATGGTCTTTGAGGAAGTCTCAGGGGGGCCACATTGTATAGCGATATACCTGATACTCGCCCCTGCCAGCAAATTCATCCGAGGGCACCCAGCCGCGGATGAGGCTGCGCCTGTCACTGCACCTTCTTAGTAATAACATAAACGCTTGTAGTCCAGTAGAGCATGAGCAATATGAAGTGAGACCGGTATAAAGCGGCAAACGCGTACTGCTGAAGGTCACTCGCTGTGCACTTTGTTCAATATGCATTGATGACTGTCTTGACATGCTACTACCCGCCTGTCATTCATATTTTGAACCAAATCACATCGCGAACACGTAAGTTGGATCCGAGCAGAGCAGGATGGGCGAGATGCAAGGTGATAACTGGCCTCTTGAGCTTCAATGAGGCGATGTGACTGCACTGGCCATCGTCCCAAAACTTCAGTTGCTCCTATCGAAAGACACTGAACAGGCAACAAAAGCACTCAGAGCATATTGTATAAATGGTCGGTCCCGTCAGAAAAGGGAACCCGAGGTCAAGTGGCGCAAGGTCGGGTATTATTGACTCCTCCAGGCAGATTGAGCCATAAGAATTGCTCAATGGCAAACTGTGTGGGCTGAATGCGCTCGCGGCTGCCGCAAAAAAAGGGCCTAGAATCAATTCTGGGCGCCTTCAATCAAGTCGACGACAGGAGCCTGCGAATTGATTTCCCCATCCGTGCTCAGAGGGACTCAGTTAATGTTCAGCATGGTAGGAAATCTGGTCCGCTGGAAAACCCGGCTGGAACGGAATCTAGTTCCTAGAGCCCACTGACGAAGCGACAGCTCCAACAACTCGAAGTCATGTCCCGCTGAGAATAAGCGTACGCTATCAGCAGACGTATTTCTGACTCTCTCGGCGATAGCGAAGGCTTGGTGAGTCAGCATGGTTTCCCGAGACACATATTGACTCTGTCCCTCAATGGTTTCCAAAGTTCTGCTCCAAACAAAGAGCTCCAGCGCGATGCTGGCCACCTTGTTCATGACAGAGCTTATGTTATAGTCATGCCATCAGCCACACAACATGCGCAAGAGTTTGTTGATGAGTCGGGACAGAAGTCCTTGGGCAAGCTTCTCCTCTCCGCCATATTGCCCCCCTCCTTGAGCGGGGTAATGTTGTGGTTGTTGATGCTGAGCGTGTTGAGGATGCCAGGGTTGTTGCTGATGATCTGGATATGTTTGGTAGCCTTGCCAGTTGCTCACATGTTGCATGTCCACAGGGCTGCCGTCGAGCTTGATGTAAATTCTGCCTTCATTCGACTCGGTGTGGTATTGCAAGCCGAGGTCCCGACAGGTTTGTTCGACTCGAGGTTTCAGTTTCTGGATATGGTCGGGAGAATGATTGCCTCTCCCGACCACGACGTGGAGATGTGTTTGACCATGATTCTGAGCATATCGGATCCTCTGTTCTAAGATCTCTTCTGCCTCTTCAACATACAGACCGTGCAGGTCGATCGTATCGGCGGCGACTCGCCCCTCAGCGTTGTTTTCGCGAAAGATGAAGTCGGCAGCTTGTTTGTTGTACATCTCCATTTTGGCCCCGTGTTCCTTGCCCTCCTGCGAGAGTGCATGCGCAGCCGCGCCATCGCCGTTGGCATACGCGTCTTGGGATCGCTGGAAACAATTGGAGCGTTTGGAGCCCTCCTGGCGCGCCAGATTCCGTAATCGGTCGTACTCTTCTTCGGCAGCTTGGGATTGACTGTGATTGAATGCTACAACCCGATACCGAATCAATCAGTCAATAAGACTCTGAACATCGGCCTATAGCAAGAGCCAGCCAAGCTGGGCGAGGTTCACTTACGTCTGGCCCCTACTCGGGTTGCATGTTGTGTTGACATTTCATGCGACATCTTCTCTGTAATTCGCCGTTTCGTTCAACGATGGTCAAGGCCCTAGGCGGTGATGAACAGGTGAGAGTTGCGGACTGCGTAGGTGGAAGAAGGATATGAGATGCGGCGATATGGCTCCAACTAGTTTTGAGAAGATATATCACCGCCAATATCACACAAGAGGTCTTGTATCACAATCAACACCAATGACAATGGGGTAATTAGATCTGATCTCTTGCTATGTGCTCGATTCGGTTATGGACGCGAAGCCCTCAAGCGACGATGGGCGATCTCGGCGTCGGAGAAACTAGAAAGGCTGGGATTGCTTAGTCATGGATGACAACCGATACGGCAGTTCGACAAACGTCCACCAAAGGACGGAGTAGAGATTACGAATGGGATGGAGCCAGCTTAACGAAAGGTCCGCCATTATTTTGCTTCCCTCGATGTGGTTGACTGTCCTATCGCAATCACCATAACTCCGGCATCTGTCATACTGGCGGCAAGGCCAGATCAAGACGCCGCCAACTTGCTCTCGTAACAGTTGGCTAACTCGCGCAGGATATATCCCATCCGCGGTGTCAAACCCCATACCCAGGTATCATCGTAGAAACCAGCCCAGTACCGTGCAAGCTTCGCCGCCAGAGAAGGGCCAAATTCATTATCGAAACCGTCCTCCAATTCGGACAGGAGGTTTCTGATGGCTTGCATGGTCTGGGTCTCGAGCTCGCTGGTCGAACCACAATCAGGACTTGACCGGGTTTCAACCTCAATGGCATGCACCCATTTCGTGACCAATAGTGCTGTGATAGAGAGTGAGTGACAATATCCACAAGAATAGACGTATCAATTGACAGGTGAGCTTACCTGTCTCCCAACCTGCCAAAGCGTGTCCGATAGCCCAGGTCAATGCTGCCGTCTTCTTGATAAGCATTGTTCCTGCTTTGTACGGTATCAGCATGCCTTCGAATGCCCGGCCGACTGCCCTTGCTACGAGGTTGCCTCGATTCTGCGGCAGCGCGACAAAGTCCTCAATTGAAGCCATGAATTCTTCCTGGCTTTCCTTGAGCAGCATCATGGAATCGGCTGCGCTGTGTCCTGTAAATGCCCGACAATAACTGGCCCGCAACAGCGCCAGACAATTAAACAGCAAAGGTGTTTCAGCTTCCGTCCAGGGATAGTCCGCATCCGAGCTGGCTTGGGTAATCAAGGCTCGGCATCTAGAAAGGGCAGCCTCTGTTTGGGCGAGAGTCTGAGACTTCTGTGTTTCGTTCGACTGTCCCGGACTGGAGAAATCCCCGAAGAAGTACGATCCTTGGGTGATATGCCAGATGTGAATTGAGATAACGTTGATCACCACGCTGATTGCGAATGGTGACCACTCCCAGCACTCTTGCGGCACTGTCTTGGTTGAATTTCCGTTCATGACCATCGACACAGCTTCTATGATGTTGAGCGAGGAGGTCTGCCCTTTTCGCGTCGCCGCTTCATGCCACTGCTCTTCCGTGAGAGCATCCCACAAAGACTGGTCACACGGCATCTCGATGAAGCCATCTGAAACCAGGGAATACCCAGGGGGGATCCCGTATGTCATGGTGACCAAATTCCCAAACATTATCTGGCCGTACAACACCCTATACATCAATGTTAGCGGGCGATGCGTCCCTCCCAATTCCCCGACTGACCTCTTAACGCTCTCCCTTTCGATCCATTCCCGCCAACTCAGCGGTTTATCTCTGCTTTTACGATGCTTGACAGTGGGAGCTAGATCACGAAAGTCCTAAGAGCTCATCAATAAGGGTTCTTGCTTGACTGACTCAATGAGCTTACTACGAGGAAGTCGCCAAGACGTATAATGGCCTTGGAAATGACTTCCGTGTCACCGCTGAAGCAGCTGAGCATTGCAAGCAGCAATCGAGTTTGACTCTTCCATAGGGATTCCGGTGTTGATTTTGGTGATTGAGATCGCGGCTGAACCCACTCTTCCAGCAAGCGTGGCTTCTTGTGGAGATGCTCACCTCGGTCAACAACTGCGGCAGCCAGGGCCTGGTCTGCTTTCAGATACAACGAAGCAGCAATCTTCCTTTCTAGCCGGTAAAGAGCGCCAATGGCACATATGGCGAGAATGAGGGGCGACGGCGTGGTTTCGAAATCCATAGTCTGCAGGTGGAAGATAGGCAGGTGGACGTGGAAGGCGTCGACGTAAGTTCGGATGCATTTCTGGAGTGCAGCTGCGCTGGGTAATCGGAAATTGCCCAAATTTTCCGCAGAGAGTCTATTCGATAGGTCCCTCAAGAGATGAGCTCGCATCGATTCGGTAAAAGCAAGCGCTGGAGGCTTCGAGAACTTTGTCTGTGGAATCTGAAAGCTTGAACAGCTCTCGAAGTCAGAGCGATTCGTCGTGAAACCCTGAGCTGAAGTCTCGTCCCACGGGCCAGAGAATTCTTTAGAGCGTGAATTTGCGTGACTGGCCGTTTCCCACGATTGGTTGGAATCGTCAACTGACGGTGTCTCGTGCGCAGTCGAAATATGGGTTTGCTGAAAACCGTAATCCTGCATTGAAGCCTGGCTTGAGCCTGAAAAATTCTCCAGAGGTGACCAGCCGTCCGTATTGCCGCCAAGTGGTGGCATTGCGAAAGCTTCAAGTTGCTTCGGAGGCAAGCCCAAAAACGGGTCGAAGAAGTCGAGGAATTCCAGGTCGCCATCAAGGTCTGGGAGGGGCACCGAGCTCGGGAATGTTCGCATCTTCTCGAGATCAGAAACGTCGACACTAAAATCTGCCAAGTGAAGTCCCATGGAGGGCTGCTGATCTTGAATAATAGCGGGATCGCCGTTGAAATTGGAAGATTGGAATGGTTCAGAAATCTTATCGACCTGAGTTGCTGGTCTCCGAGTTGGAGCCACCGGGGACCTTGGTGATTTGACACCATTCGACCTTGTGGGGGACTTTGAAGCTGGTTTGGAAGCGGCGGGTAGAGAGCCTCTGAGTCGGCCGGTTGAGTGATTCGAAGAAGCTGTAGTCAAGTCGTCTTGAAAAATTACAGCTTCGTCTTTCCCTTTATCTCTAGATATCGACGGTTTCGACGTGACGCCCTTCGCTGATCTCTGAGTTAGAATGAATTCAACCGGGGTCGGGGGCGACGGACCTGAAGGAGGGTCCTGAGTTGTCGGCGCATTCGAACGTAGTTTCTCGATGGCATTTGCCACCTGTTCAGGGGTGTGCAGAGTTCTCTCATGGCGAACCAGAAGGTCTCTGAACGTAAACCTAATCAATAGGCATCATCATTGATGAACGTTTTGAAGAAATACCTTCGACTATATCTCCTTCGACAAACCCTGCAGCCGAATGGTTTTTCCTGGGTATCTGAAGACTTGTGAGTGCTGTTGAAGAAGCTGGCGGATGCGATAGATCAAGGGACGTGGCTTACGTCCTCGCTGATGGCGAATGCAGTGTTCGCTTCGTTTAAAGGCTCTTGAACAAACGTTACAGACGTGCTTTCTCTTTGAGGCCGCATTCTCTTTGTCAAGCTTAGGAAATATGATAGTCGAAGTGCCGATTAGTGCCATGACGGATCTGATCCGTTGCTTGTCCTGTCAACAGGAAATGGGATGTGGGAAGAACTGGCTTTCGAGAGCTAGATTCTCAAGTAGCGAGGGACCATCCTTTCCCACGAGTGCCACCGAGGCCACCTGATCGGTGGACCCATGGGCTTCATACAATTTGTCTCGCATAGGGCCCAAACCCTTTGCGGATGCAATCGTGGGGCTGATTGCGGAGGGGGAACTCAGCAAACTTGGGGAAGTGAGGGCCAAAGGAAAGCTGCTGGTGAGAAAGGGAAGGGCTGAGTGGGATAATCGGGGGAGCTGGAGGATTGTTGGAGCGGAGAGCTTGTCCTTGATGTCTTGGCCTGGGAAGCCTCGTGCGGAGAAATGCAAAGGTGCCTTCTTGGACGTTGGCTGCAGAAAGCTCTCCTTTTCGAAAGAAGGCATATCTAGAAGTCGAGATCCTGAAGTTTCAATTCCATGTACGGAGTACACTCTGGATGACGGGTGCAAATGTCAAGCACACTTGGGTTGAAAGACAGATGCTGAGTCCCCAAATTGCCCCCATAGACTCGACGGATGGCATTGCATGCTGCGGATGGTCCAGATAAACCGTCATATCAGGACAGATCAGCCAGCAAGTACAGTCCTTCTCCATCGAGGTCCAGACATAGAACAATGACACTTGGCTTGATGATGGCCAGAGCTTTCTCCTTGCTTCAGAGGGTGCGATCGCTTCTAAAGGCTTCGGGCAGCCAAGAGACAGGAAGTACATCTACCACTCTTTGGAATGAGCGAATTACTGGTAAGAGCAATACTGGACACTTGATATGTCCTTCAAGAGAGGCATTTGCTCTCGACTCATGATGCTGCTCGTACTCACCCCGATTAGGCAATGCATCCTACCCCACATGCCATCACAGCCTCGCGAGGCTGTGGTGGGGCTGGTTCGCTTCCCGAAAAGGGACGTGTAAGCGTCGCCCATTATGGCGCGGCGAAGGTCAACATTACAGCACTGCGTGAAAAAGATACCCTGACAAGCTGCAGACATGTCATTGTTTGATGATGGAGATATCCCCAGCACGCTGCACATGCTGGTTCGCTTGACGAGTAGTGTGATGCGGATTCCTGGCAGCGTCGCCTCCATGCGGGAATCGAGTAATTCGCCGTCGCCAGCGAAAATGTCCGTAGAAGCCATGAAAAGGATCTTTTTTTTAAAGTTGAGATATATATCAACGGCTTGCCTGCAGTTGGAGCACCGATGTGCAACAGCGGAGTTCAAGAAGCTGGCGGAAAACAGAGTAGCCCTGAACAGGAGACCCATCCAGGGCATTTTGCAAAACCTGGATGAAGCTACTCCTCGTAATATGGAGTATTGAGTCGGTATCTAGGTTTTGTTCCCAAATTCACTGGTGATCCTGTGTGACGGAGGTTTCCTGTCGGAACGCAAAGAAGCTATCCACTTGAGCATATGGGGGAAATGCGAGGCCGACGCTGGGTGCCCGGGGCTTGCGGCACATCTTGCCCGTCTCGACAAAAGCCCGTGAAACTTGTACGTGATACCTTTGAGGTTTCAAAATCCGCATCACAACGCATGGATTGCTAGCATCAAGTAGCGACAGTCGAGAGAAACGGACTTTCCGAGTCTAGTTGATTGCAACCCAGCTGACCACGTCACTGCCCACAAGGCTGGTCTAGGTCTTCAAGGGTGGTTGGAAACAGGGTCGTTGTTGGACTTGCGAGATAAGAAGCGACCTCATAGTCCAACTGGTGGCGCCAAGATGCAGATCCTCAAGTGCCTTTTCTGGCTGACGTGGTTTCACCTCTACCGTTTTGAGACACTCTGACCCCCAATTGGTCGAAGTTGGAAGGTTTTGACGGATGAAGAAAGGGCCAAGGGCGGGCTGCGCAGTGAGCGGTTGAATGCTACGGAGCAAAGGGGCGCCGAGTCCGGAGGTCGCGGGAGCACCGCCGAGCATGATTTGATGGTCTTGCCGGGTTGAGGGCGGGAAAATGCGTTGTGGCACTTGATCGGCAATGCAGAACACAAGCAGCGCTAAAGAGGTGGACGAATAATCGTCGTTGAAGGGGTTGGAATCGCGGCATGCAAAGTGCCTTTCCTTACGCAGAGAGCAAGCCTGCCGGAAGGTCCACCATGACTGTCAAAAGCCTCTAGCCTTCCCGTTCCACAAAAGCTGCCACTTTGCAAAGTGCTTGAAAGTCTTGTACGTAGTATTATTGCGAGGCGGAACAGTCCTGCGTTCCAATGGGAGAGCCGCAATTGGCATGTGAAACAAGGGCGCAGGATGTCGCTTGATTTGTGCATGAAGTTATGTACGTAGTATTCGACAACAGGTCCAGATCGACCGCTTCGCTGGGGTGGCCTGGTCCCTTTTCCGTAAATCTGGGACCTGGCTTGCAGACGCGGGTTTTAGCTTTGACACCTTTCCTGATGGTCTGGTGACGAGATGCCAGGGCAATTCCAACTCCGTTGCATTGCAGGAGATAGCAATTCCAAGCCTGGAGGGAAATCAAGTTTCTAGATGAACTTTATGCGTTGGAAGAATCATCCAGGTACGCGGCTGGCTTGAGTTGGTGGCATCTAGCAGTTGTTGTGGGACAACTTCCGTGCCCCGTTCCTGAATTCTGAGAGATCTGAGTCCAAGATAAAGTTTCAGTAAGCTCGGGGGACAATCCTCGCAGGCTTGAAGGGGATCATCACCTGATAGGGGAGCATCTCTGGCTTGAGACACAGAATCACCTCGTCTTTCTGTCAATTGGGTTACGAGAGCGGATCTTTGTTGAGCAAAGGCCAGCAACGTCGCAATTTCCAGGGCTTTGATGGAACGCACTAGATTGCTTGAGAAGGGCGCTATGACCCGAAGCGACGAACAAAGGGGTGACCGAGTCGGGGCCCAGCGACGATGGTACGAGTCCTCGGCTGAGCAGACGTTATATCAGGCCAAAGCCGAGCAGCGAAATAGTCCGGCACCAACGAGGGTAGCCCTTTGTGCCCACTCTCCCTGCGTTGAGACCGTCTTCGACTCTTCGCGATGCAATTCTTCGTCTGCAAATAGCGTACCTTAGCACTCGTAAACAACCCCGAAGCTCGGAGGCGGCCCCTGCGCCAGCAAGGCGACGGATATCCGAAAGTGGTCTGGGTGGGTGTCACCAAGTGGGCGATCTCTGTGTCGGTCAAAGCCAACTTGGCTGTAATGGCCAGGGTCAGGAGGGGGTGGCAGCCAGTGAGAACGGGCGAGAGAAGCGGTGGGTGAGGGTTGGAGGCCCCGGTCGCAGTTGGCCTTGGTGGGTTAGGTCAAAGTGCTTGACACGACAGCAGCGCGATCCAAAGGTGATCTAGTGATGCTGTTAGAAGAGACATTGCTAGGAGACGAGATGAAGAGATACCTCCTGAGCAGGTAGACGAGACGCAAGAGAGCCATTTGCCCGATCATCGCTCGTTGTTGGCCGAGTGGTCGATGATGCGCACCCAGCACCTTGGGATCATCGAACCTTGCTGGACGCGGACAGTGGAAAGGATACAAAGTTAACTCTGGCAGAGTCTTTGCTTCCGTGGCAGTAGCACAGAGTAGTCAAACACTGGGACTGGAGTCAATTAGCTAGATTTGATGCATTGCAAGCCACCAACCTCAAGACCCGTCTGCGAAAACTCTTTTCCCCTTTCTCTTCTGGGACTGTCAATGGGGACTGGAGACGGACAAGACACTAGCGGGCACCCAATGGGCGCCCAGTGGGTAAGCCGTGACTGCTAGGGGGCGCGATGCCGGTCGCCACTAACATCAAGTCGAGCCCGGGCGACGGACGAGATACTCATAGAAGCCTTTGACACCGGGGGCACAATAGCCCCGGTAGCCAACCAGCTTCTAGGCGGCGAACAACTTGCACAGGTCAAACAACCCCCCTCTCACCCCCCCCCGAAAAGGGTCCCTGGTGAACCCAAAGGATTGCGCCTTCGCTCTGGTGGGTGCTGCAGCTGTCCGATACCTGGGTGTTTCTTCGATTCCCTTGCTGGCGGCTGTCCCTCCCCCCCTCTCGACCCCTACCCACCGAGCCAGCTACCTAGTAAGATACCCTAGCTTGCTGCTTCTTTCCTGCCTACGGTTTCCCTGCTTCGCTTGTTCGCCCATCCTCATTGATTGCAGTCAAACTGCGCTAAACCTCTTCACCTCCTTGCATCTGATTGATCATCCTCCATTTCATCCCCGTTTTTCCAATCCATCCACTTCGATTCATCTTCAACCCCGACCACCATCATTTTTCCTCAATCCGCCCTTCCCCTTTGTACAATATTGTCATTTATTCTTTGCCCTGCCTGCGCCTGGAGGAACCTTAACCGCTGGGAGAGGGTCTCTTTCGTTCGAGATTGAGTCTCGAAGCGCATACTTTCCCTGTCCTGCTTCGCCCAGCAAGATCGTTGTGCCTGACTTCCACCCGCCGCCCGCCCAGCTCTCTGATCGACGCCCATTCTTCCCCATCTTGTCTTCGCCTGCGCTGATCACCTTCGGCTTCTTACCTACCACTCTCAGACTGCAAAGATCACTTCACAGCCTCCGTCACGTTCGTGTCACCAGCCTTCATTTTGACAAACCTCTCTAAGCTTGAAACGGAGGTGAGTGGTCCGAGGACCTGACGCGCAACAACGCTTCTTCTGTACATTTGGAAGCCGATTCTCAGATGCGCATTGTCTCTCGCATTGTCTGTGACAAGGACATTGACTAATTGCGTACAATATTAGTCGTTCCCCCGAAACGCTCGCTTTCGACCTTCTACCCTTCACTTCCAAAATCATCTCGGAGATTGTCAAACATGGGGTGCGGTGCAAGCAAGGAAGACACTGCCGGAAAGGCAAGAAACGATGAGATTGAGAATCAGCTCAAGAGGGACAAGATGGCCCAGCGCAACGAGATCAAAATGCTTTTACTTGGTACGCGAGAGCTGCCCGTTACTCTGGGCCCAGCTTGGTTCTAACCACTTTTCAGGCGCTGGTGAATCGGGAAAGTCCACAATCCTCAAGCAGATGAAGCTCATCCACGAGGGTGGTTATTCGCGTGATGAACGCGAATCGTTCAAGGAAATCATCTACTCCAACACCGTTCAGTCGATGCGTGTCATACTGGAGGCGATGGAGTCTCTCGAACTGCCTCTGGACGACCAACGAGCCGAGTACCATGTCCAGACAATCTTCATGCAGCCACCGCAGATAGAAGGGGACAGCTTGCCACCTGAAGTGGGCGCAGCCATCAAGGCCCTGTGGCAGGATGCTGGCGTTCAGGAGTGCTTTAAACGATCAAGAGAGTACCAGTTGAACGATTCGGCACGATAGTGAGTTTGGGGTTCTCGTTTTGTGCAGTCTCGTTTGCTGACTCCGTCCTCCAGCTATTTCGATTCCATAGACCGCATCGCCGCTCACGACTACCTTCCCAACGACCAAGATGTTCTTCGATCTCGAGTCAAAACCACTGGCATCACCGAGACCACCTTCATCATCCAGGACCTCACGTATCGCATGTTTGACGTCGGTGGACAACGATCTGAGCGAAAGAAGTGGATTCACTGCTTTGAAAACGTCACCACCATTCTCTTCTTGGTTGCTATTTCAGAATATGATCAGCTGCTCTTCGAAGATGAAACTGTCAACAGAATGCAAGAGGCGCTCACTCTGTTCGACAGCATCTGCAATTCCCGATGGTTCATTAAGACCAGTATCATCCTGTTCCTCAACAAAATCGACAGATTCAAGGAGAAGTTGCCCGTGAGCCCGATGCAAAATTACTTCCCTGATTACGAAGGTTGGTGCAGTCTGGCACACTGGAGCATTCATGTGCTGACAATTTACGCTCAGGTGGCCCTGACTATGCCGCTGCTTGTGACTATATCCTGAACCGGTTCGTGTCGCTCAATCAAGCAGAGACAAAGCAAATCTACACGCACTTTACCTGCGCCACCGACACCACACAAATAAGATTCGTGATGGGAGCGGTCAACGGTTAGCACCCTTTTGATCACATGAATTGTACATGTTCTAACTATTCCTAGACATCATCATCCAAGAGAACCTTCGGATGTGCGGTCTCATATGATGATCATTCGCATCGCTATGGCGTTTTCTCGTTACAGCTTCGATTTGCCCACGACTTGCATATACCACCGGCGTTATCAGGGGGGGACGGCTTTACCGACTATTTCTTCGATCAAAGTTTGGCAAAGAATTGCCAGTTCCACACTTCGAGCCAAAAGTGCGATTGACTTTCGAATTCCTCATTTCACTTCTTGGAGATGAGCAAACCCTCTTGTCCCATCCGGTGCCAGTCAAAGATGACGGAGTTCTCGGCGATCGAGGTACTTAGTTCTTCTTCGCTGTCTTTCAGCAGAGCGGCTTCCGTGCAGGTCGCGTGCATCATATTCCTGTACCCATGAGCCATGTACGGAGGGCCTTCCAAGGCGCCCAAGAAAGCGACTCTTTTTCCCACTCCCAGTTGAAGATTTTCCGGAGCAGCGACGGACGGACGACCAAAGGATATTGAGATTAAAGTGGTGTGGTTATGAAGAGGCAGGTGATGGAGGAGTTGCTTGAACTAGACTTTCGGACCCAAGAAATCGGGCATTGTATATCACTCTTTTTCCGAAAGAAGACATAGGCAAGCAGACGTGAATGACTGTAAATCTCTCAGAAATGGATTGGATTGGATATGCTCGACTCTTGCAGAGAATTGTGCTTTTCGATGGCCGCTCCAAGGCACATACGTCCCTTCACAGCAGCATCCAGCATCCAGCATCGAGAGGCCTGGCATCCTGCTTGATGTATCTTCTTGTAGGCCAACAGCTCATTCTGACGGTTCCTTTCGCCCGGTCGGTCTGGCTTTGGACTCGTGCTCTTCGGTTGCTTCAAGAATCAACCACAGTCCCGTTGCCTGGCACAGTCCTGTTGACCCAAAACGCGTCCATGATCCTTGCAGCCTGGCCCTGGATGGCGTAGCTGGTGTGCCCGTCGCCTTTTCTCACCAACACCACCGCCTTGTCATCGCCGTTTGGAGCAGCAGTCGTCAGCTGATCCTTCACGCCCTGCGCCCACACGTACGACGTCTCCGGGTCGTACTCGGCGTTGACCAGCAAGACCGATCCCGGCGGCAACTTGGCCACTTGCGAGGTATTCAGCGAGTGCGGTGGATTGGCGATCGGGACCGGCCAGTTGAAGCACCAGCTGCTGTACTGGAAGAACTGGTTCGCGCCGAGCGTATGGGGAGCCACGACGGAGCCGAGCTGCTGCAGCGCCTGGTGCTCGGGGAACAGACCGTGCTTGGCCGTCCAGTCGAGGCAGCCGATGGCGATGCCGGAGAAGGCGTCGTTGGAGACGCCCGTCTGCACGGCGTTGGACAGCAACGTCGCGTTGCCGGCCAGCGACTGGTTGAGCGCGACGCCCAAGGTCGGCCAGCCCGTGAGACGCGGATCGGACAGGTACGCGCCCTCAGCGTTGAAGATCATGTCGTATCCCGTCACGCTGGGCTGGCAGGTCCCCGCGAGAGGAGTGTCTGATGTGTTCAAGCAGCCCGGGGCCAGAATGGAAGCCGTGTTGGCTTGGGCGACGAGGCGGTCGAACACCTGCGGGACGTCGTCCCGTCCGTGCAGGGCGCACGAGGTGTTTGCCTGACACCACTGGAACCAGCGGTTCAGCTCAGCCTCATACGTCGTCGCGAGGGTCGCCTCTGCCACGGTCTCGGAGAGGCTGTGGTCCACCACGCCGTCCAGGACCAGAGCCCGGACATTTTCAGGATACAGCTCCGCGTACGCCGCCCCCAACTGCGACCCGTACGAATTGCCGAACCAGTTCATCTTGCCCTGGTCGAGGGCCAGCCGGATGGCCTCCAGGTCGTGCGCGGCCGAGGTGGTGTCGACGTGGCGGAGCAGGGCCCCCGTCCGGTTGAGACAGCTGTGGCCAAAGGCGTGATTCCAGTCGGCCAGGTCCTGGAACGAGGCGGCGTCGTCGACGAAGAGCTGCGGCATCTGGTTGTAGATCGCCGGGTCGCACTGAACGGGCGTGCTCTGACCCACGCCGCGAGGGTCCGGGCATATGATGTCGAAGTGCTCGTACAGGGCGGCGCTGAAGTACTCGAGCTGGCCCGCCCCGATCAGTTGACATGTTATGCTCGCCGTCACGCCGGGGCCGCCGGGATTCCAGAGCAGACTGCCGATCTTCGTCCCCGAGTTGGCGGTCGAGGTGGATTGGATCTTGGTCATGAAGAGGCTGATTTGGGCCCCGTCGGGCTCAGACCAGTCAAGCGGCACTTGCATGGTCCCGCATTGGAGGTTCGGGAGGTTGATCTCGGTGCAGTTGGACCATTCGATCGAGTATTTGGGTGTGGCTCTGGCGGAGGAGGGTGCTGCAAGTGTCCCGGCCGCGGTCAGGGCGAGCAGCATCACGAGTGGAAGCATACTGGGCGAGGAGAGCAGGAGATCTATCTGAGGGAATCAAGGCTCGTTGAACGACAAGAAAAGAAGGGGAGCAGGAGATCTCTGGCCTCGTCTGGGAGGGAAAACAGGGACTTTGATACTCCAGAGGGCGAGACCAGCCTTTTATGTACTCGGTACCATCCCTCCAAACTGTGACTGGGGAGCAAATATATCGGGAGAGACATCGTTCTCCCTGTCTTCTACAAGACCAGCCGGGGGTGCCGTTGGCAGAAGCACTCATCCCATGGATTACATATAAGCCGGCGCGGTAGGGAATCCAACTACATGGGGATGAAGTAGTCGATACCTGGCGAAGCAATCACTGCAGGACCGGTGCTAATGGACAGGCCGGCGACAAGGGCCAGCACTATCAAGACCGGGTGATGACTGTACAGGACTTTTCCCCGATTCTGCACTTGAGACGTAGATACAAAACTTGCTCCCATGCCATATAGCTAGCCTCGAGCTTCAGGCCCTCCTCCGCCTCCGCTTTGAATACCGCGGTCGACCCGCTGGTTGGACTACTCGTACACCTTACTGGTTTTGTGATCAGCGATGCAGATCAACGGGATGGTCGGGGAGGCCAGCGGCATGGGGGCTGGAATTGGCAATGGGCTCTTTCACCCGAGGAGCGACTATTATTTGTCAGTAGGGTCATTTCTGGGACCTAGTTCTCTTATGCGAGAGAGCATTATCGTATCAATACTCCATTCCACATGGGAGAAGTAGCAGGCCATATGTTTAGGATCATGCATCAAGAGACAGATGGATGGATTTTGTCTTGAGCTGGGCACCACTAGGCCCCGCTTCACAGCAATGTGTGGATTGGGGGATGGCTGTCAGGGATTCGAGGTATGTGCTAGCAGTATTCCGTGCCGACTGTCTATACAAGACAAGAGAGAGAGCAAGCCGCTCAATTCCCTTGCGGCACCCCCGTCTCCTCCATCGCCCTCAACTCGGCCTTTCTCCTGTCTCTGCGTGCAATGATGAACCACGACGTGAGCACCGACGCGATGGACACGACCAGAATGCTCAGGCAGATGACATAGGACCTGTGGTACGTTGGCCCAAACACCGTCGAGTACACGTGCGGCCCGACGATGCCGCTCCACTGCGCACAGGCGTTGGTCAACCCGATCCCGATCCCCGCAGCGACGGTGCCCTCGAGCGCGCGGATGCGCTCAGGCCAGATGACCGGGTACGCGGAGCCGGCACACGACACGGCCACGATCAGAGCGATGTACTTGACCGTCGCGCTGTGGACGGTGACGAGAATGATGTAGCACACGATCGTGGTGCTTTCAACTGGACACAATGAGTCAGTACAGACAGGAAAGCTGGGGTTTGTGGGTAGAAGATTTATCTCTCACTTGCGACGGCGCAGGTCCATGGCCGGATCCATTTCCGATGAATCAGATAGCCCGCGGTGTTGAGGAAGAAGAAGCAGCAAACATAGGGTGGCTGTTTTGAACAGGTCAGTGACTTCTGCGTCTGTTGGGAAAGGATGACATTTGGGGTGGGGGGGGGGGGGGAGATCGTACGATATTCATCAGTTGCGAGTTGGCAGTCCCGGTGAAGCCGAGCTGATAGATCACAGTCGGCAAGGCGTACGAGACACCAAAGCCACCTATCCCATGGGCAATCCAATACATCCCAAACGTGTAGACGGTAGGGTCCCGGAAGAGCTGTTTGAGAGAACCCCAGTCCCAGTTGTGGCGTTTGCCCGAGGGCGCTGTGGACGCCAGACGCCGCTCGATGAACAGCTTCTCCTTCTCGCTCAACATCCGTGCTGTGTGGGGGTAGTCCGGCAGTCCGAAGAGAGCGACAAAGGCGAGGATGATTGCCGGCAGTCCTTCCAGCAGAAAGAGCCACCTCCATCCCGGAAGGCCTCCGAGCCCGTCCATGAAGCTAATGGCGTAGGCCAGAAGCCCGCTCAACGCACTGGAAAGTTGGCCCACTGAATAGAAGAAGGCGATGCGCCACGGCAGTTCGGTCGGTCGATACCAGAAGTCCATGTGGTACAGCACGGCTGGATAGAATCCGGCCTCAGCCATGCCGATCGCGAAGCGCGCACACATCATGCCCGAGAAGCTCTCGACCGCGGCCACGGAACAGGCGCAGATACCCCAGCTCAGGATCAGCACAAACATCCAGATGCGAGGGCGGAACGTCTTGAGGAGGACCGTGTTGGTGGGCTCAAAGATCATGTAGCTGTAGGAGAAGATGGAGAGGGTCCACGCCCACTGAGAAGGGTCGAGATGGAGCTGCTTCTTGATGCCGGTGCCATGTTCGAGGTTGATGATGGCGGCGTTGGAGTAGTTGGACGAGTCGATGACCCGGAAAATATAGACCAAGGAATAGAACCCCACGAGCCAGAGGTCGACCTTGCGCAAGACCTTCTTCTCAAAAGCCTTGTCCCCTTCTTCGAGCACGATGTCGCTCTCACTGGGAGGTGATTCAGCGACAATGTGAGTGAATGTATCACCCAGGCTCTTCTCAGCTGCCATCTTCGACTTCTGATGGCAGAAGGAGATGTAGAGATGAAGTCGTACCAACTCTACCTCTTGAAGACCATACGCAGGACGACTTATAAATAAGGAGCTGAAAACTTCATCAAACCATTCGGTATAGACCGGTCTCGGTCACTGTCCTTTATCACGACATGAGCTCTTCTGAAGACGTCAACATCTCCTGGTGCTCCGCGCTGCTGGAATCGTTGTCCATAGCCGTACCAAACCTACCATACGCGTTTTTGCATCACCCATTGGCAGTCCATTTCGCCACGATAAGGGCGATGGCGACATACCTCTCGATGTTGAGTCGCTGGAAGCCTGGAACAGTCAGGACGGACATGCCCATCTGATAACATACCTTCCCCTCACTGCTTTAGCAGAATGTATTTGTATCTTCCGACTGTCTATTGGAGACACATAGGGTGTCGGAGGGTTGGGAGTCGGAGAAGGGAGAGAGCACGTCGCCTTAGTACAAAAGCACGCAATCTGCACGTATATTTGGTTAGTAATTGGACGGGAAAGGTACATCGAGAGTACGTACCAAAAGGAATGAGAAGAAGCGAGATAACAACCCCGCAATCCTTCAGCCAGGTATATGTCTGTTAGCATTCCCTGTGCTCGGTCAGGCTCTTTGTAGGATATCTGTCTCTGTCGCTTTGTCTGACCACGCCCTGCATATTTTTTTTTAGCCCAGAAATCGGCACGTCCGTATATTGAGCAAAATGGCCCCATCGGCAATCGAGGAACCGGCAAGTCAGACCGACGTTTCCAAGCACGTCCTTGTGAAACCATGGGTCCGGCCGGCCGAGACGACGGAGAAGCTCGATTGGGCGCCGCTGACGACGATTGACCTGTCTCGCTTCGACGAGCCCGGTGGCAAGCAGGAGCTTGCTAAGCAGCTTTATGACGCCCTGACCAGAGTTGGGTTCTGGGTCGTGACCAACTCCGGCATTGATGACAAGAAAGTCCTTCGTCAGTTCAGCATTGGGAACACGTTCTTCAAGCAGCCCTTGGAGGAGAAGCGTTTCTTCCCCTGTAACTTTGCTGCAGGCGAGTATTTTGGGTATCGCGAAAACTCGCGATGGATTGGTGACACGGGTGTCAAAGAAAACATTGAAATGGTAAATTGATTACCTGAGCTTTCTGGCCCGGACTCGAACTTACTGAACGACAGCTCAATATTCCCAAGGACATCCCAGCACTGGCTGATGTCCCCAAACACGCAATCACCCAGGAATATTGGGAGGAGATCCGGACCTTCCATCGTGAACTCTGGGAGAAGGTCATTCGCAAGCTCTTTGCGCTGATCTCGATCATCTTGGAACTGCCGGAAAACTATCTGGCAGACGCTCACGCTTATGATGAAGTATCGGACGACCATCTCCGGTACATGATCTATAACGTCCGAACCCAGGAGGAATGGGACAAGGCCCAGGCTTACTCCAAGGGCGGCCATACCGACTTTGGCAGTTTGACCCTGCTGTTCTCGCAGCATATTGCTGGGCTGCAGATCCGAACCCCAGAAGGAGACTGGAAATGGGTCAAGCCTGTCGAAGGGGGCATCACCTGCAATGCTGCCGACACCCTGACGTTCCTAACCAATGGTGAGTATTCTGACGGGACTTCACTCCTGAATGACGGCTCCACTGACCTTATGGTAGGCTTCATCAAGTCGACGATCCACCGGGTCGTTACACCGCCCAAGGATCAGTTGAACACCCCTCGTCTCGGGTTGCTGTATTTTAGTCGTCCAGGAGACAAGACGCTGATGAAGACGGTACCGTCTCCTCTCCTGGACCGCCTTGGCCTTCTCTCCGAGGAGGATAAGGATGCAAATAAGCCTGCGCCCACGGGAACCGAGTATGTTCGAGCGCGGGTCAAGGATGTCCATCATAAGACCGTGATTGACAAGCGCGAGGGCACCGCTTTTGAGTACCAGGGCTTGAAAGTGCAGAACTATTATGAATAGTTGTCATCCATAGAGCATGCATCAGTTCTGACCAAGGTCGATGCTATCAACTGCAACCTGCATTTGTCTCGGACAGGGTATTCTGCATCTGGCAATTCCAAGTCTTCCCTGTCCTCTGTTCTGCATGACAGGGCTGCATAAAGTGACGGACACAGGCTTGAGAGACGATCAATCATCGGGTGCCCGGAACTAGTCGAAGAAGCGAGGAGGGTTTGTTCTGCGGGGTTAATGGTCGTTGGGATAATAGTACGTTATGAACCTATACCTTGGTACCGAGCCTAGGTGCAAAGTATACAGCACAAGGAGTGGGGGATTTATTTCTTAGCAAGGCTTCTAAGTGGCTGTAAATCCCCATTAGTCTCGCTTAGCAGTTGCCAAGCCTACTAGTTAACGACCCAACCGGAAAAAGAAAATTCCTTCCTTCCAGTCCCGAGCCCCGGGCTCCGAGCCCCTCGTCACTTGTTTATAATTTTTTCCCTGGATGCAGGTGTTTCCAACATTCGCCTCCCTCTCGACTAGACCGACCTCAGATCTACTTGTATTGCTGAGTCAAGAAGAGAATGGCTGGATTGCTGTTTCATCATTTATGAGATCACTCTTTCCTCCGCGATCCGAGGGCAAGTCGTCTAGCACGTTGTTGTCGTATGCTCTCAACAAGGTCCGGTGACTCCCGCATTCTACCCGAACGGCTGGGCATGTCCTCTGCGCCGATATTTCCATTCTTCCAGGTGCTTGTCTAGATTACTATTTTCTCTTACGCGCATCTTTCTTGCTTCTCTCGTTTCATCTCGTGACATTTTTCTTTACCTGCTGACCAATACCAATTTGGTCTCGTGTGCTATTTATCGTTCATAGCCTGCGGGCTCCTTGTGGCAATTCAACTCTTTTGAAAACCACGACTCACTGTTCCGAACACGGACGAGTAAACAAGCCTATCCTGCAAGGCATTGTCTCGCCGAGCAGCAGATCCAACAGCCTTGCGCTCAGAGAGCCGCTACCCTCTAGTAAACCCCGAGCGTCCTCGGCAGCACCATGCTTCCTCCGATCCCCCGCGTCGAAGACTATGGCATCTCGCCAGAAAGAGGCTTCCTTCCCTCAGAACTGCCGCTGCATTGTCTGCCACATCCCGTCTACGATCGCTGGGAGCGGATCATCAACAACTTCCAGTCGCTGTTGCTGTCAAAAAGATTAAGGGCTGTCATCGACAAATTACCCGTCATCCCCGCAGTTCACCTAGAGACCGAGGCCGAGTGGCGCAGAGCATATACTGTTTTGACATTTTTGGCACATGGCTACATCTGGGGCGGAGACAAACCTTCAGAGGCAAGTCTACACCTGGCGTCGCCAAAGGAGACAGATACTGACTAGAGTCAACAGCGATTGCCACCATCCATCACCTACCCTCTCCTACAAGTCTCCGACTACCTTGAACTCCCTCCCGTCGCCACCTACGCCGGGCTTTGTCTGTGGAATTGGAAACCGCTTTTCCTTTCCGACAGCCTCGTATTGGAAAATCTCTCCACTTTGATCACCTTCACAGGTTCGCTGGACGAACAATGGTTCTATTTGGTCAGTGTGGCTATGGAGGCAAAAGGAGGCCCTTCAATACCCCTCATGTTGAACGCGATGCAAGCTGCCCGAGACAATGATGTGGAAACAGTGACAAAGTGTCTCCAGTCATTTGCCCAGACGCTGGACGAACTGGGCACGCTGCTGGTGAGGATGTACGACAGCTGCGATCCTCACGTTTTCTATCACCGAATACGACCCTTCCTGGCCGGAAGCAAAAACATGAAAGACGCTGGCCTACCCCACGGCGTGTTTTACGACGATGGTAGCAAACAGTCAAGATGGCGGCAGTATGGTGGCGGATCCAATGCCCAAAGCAGCATGATCCAATTCTTCGACATTGTCCTCGGGGTCGAGCACAGACCTACTGGGTCTAAAAAGGATGAGACCTCGGAATCGGAAGCCGAGCCGGGAGCAGCCCCAAAGGTGCGCCATAACTTCATCCACGAGATGAGACAGTATATGCCTGGCCCTCATCGGAGGTTCCTTCAAGCAGTGGAAGGAGTCGCCAATATTCGGGATTTTGTCGAGTGCCACAATTCGAATCAACAGCTGACCGTCTCATATGATGCGTGTCTCGCCATGCTGCGAGCTCTTCGAGACAAGCATATCCAGATGGTGTCGAGGTACATCATCGTCAAGAGCCGAGAATCCAGGAGCATGTCGAGGACACGGAGAGAGAGCAGTCCTGATCCGATCCCTCGGGGTGGCACGGGAATTGCGTCAATCCGCTATGGCCGGCCTGACGAAGCAGGAACTGCGCAGAGAAAGAAGAAGATGCGTGGGACTGGTGGAACCGCGTTGATCCCGTTCTTAAAGCAGGCGAGAGACGAGACTGGTGAGCCAGCAATCGATGCCTGGGCCCGCAAACTCCTCATGGGAGGCCGCCGCACAGAAGCCGACGCTGAGATTGCATTCGAGGATAGAATCACTCGCGCCGAGAATCTGGATGCAGATGAACCGCAGATTGTGGGGATGGCTGGTGCTTGGGACCTGGAGGACGCAGGTGGTGGTCTTTGCGCTTATTGAACTGCGGCTTGCGCAAGTATTCTTGGGCTTGTATGTACATACTGATACATGGTGGGGCATTCAACGTGCACTACAGATACAGCGCTCGGACCGGAGGTATTTTGCTGAGGCAGCTAAAGTGGCACATATCACACCACGGGCTGCTTGAATACTCTCCCTACTCCAGACATGGGAAAAGGGGCTATCAACACGTGATTCAGTGCACGTGATACTGACTTTGGTCCGAAGATTTGCCGGACCAACTTCAACTTTCACCTTCATCTCCAACCAGTGCTAACTCGACATCAATGTCACAGCCTCTTTCAACAGGTGCGAAAACCCCATGAATGCTCAGACGCTCATATTCCAGAATAGCCACTTGTCCAGTGTGAGAGATAGGAAATGTGGTTTGTTCCAAGCTGTCGTGATGGGCATTCAACAGCTCTTGTACATTCCTAGTCAGTAACGCTTTCCTTTCATTGTGCTCTGTCAGAAATAAGGTAATGAAAGGTCTACTGCCGCCAGCATTGCGGAGGGTTCATGGGCTTGCAAGATGGTAATATACATTCTATACCTTGTTATTTTGCAGGAGAGCTTTGCAGTATGTTGGGGAGCCCGGTAGGTTGAGTTCCGGACATCAATCGCAAAACGAAGAATCCACCAACTTACACCCGGTAGAATCACGGTACCCGCTGGCTACAATGATCCGAGTTGGGACAGAATGCAAGCCGAAGATGCTTTGCAAGGTATATAGGCCGCAGACCCCATGGGCTCCAAAGTCGAATCGATATGTTCTTTGTCCTGACCGAAGCGACAAGTACGCAAAGCCTGACTCACTGTGCTCGGCTGAATCGGATATTCATTATTTCTCCCAATATTCGCCGACATATGGCAGCCGGTGGGAGGAGGCTGGTCGCGCCTCAATTCACTGCTATCTTTGTCCCTGCCGTTTGAAGAGGGCTGGGTGGCCAAATAGGTCTGGCAGAATGGCTCAATAGCTCGTTTTCCTATTGTCTTCGACCAGATGTGATGTGGTGGTTCTGCCACACCCTCGCCGACGAGGTGACTACCATCGGGTGAGAAGATTGTTCAATTCTGTTTTCAAACATCACTGTCCTCACCAACCTCTTTTGTTCCCATCTCATCCTCGATCTTTCATCTTCCGAGTTCCAACTTTCACCCAGTATCCCACGCTTCCCCTGTATCATTATCCTGTACTATCTTTTTTCTCTGCGTATGGTCGGACTACAAACAGTTCCATCCATAATCATCTCCACATGGCACTTTCGAAGATGAAACGGAGGCAACCTGACAACTCCAATGATTTCGCCTTCGACCCTCCACCGGCTGTTTCTTCGAGTACAACCCTGGGACCAAACCTTTATATACCCTCAACCGGCCTGGACACAGCTCAGGGGTCAGCTGGACATGCCTCAAACAACCGAATCTCATACCTCGCTGACATGGCCGCCCCGTTTGTATCCGGTAACCCGTCACAAGCGTACCGGCCTGCCGAGGAAATTGACGCTGACGGTACGAATGGTGTGACCAACGGCACAATGGGAGATATCTTTGGTTCCTTGGACACCGATCCAGGTCCGAACAGCATCTTGGCCCAACCGAGCGACGAGGAGTTGGCAAGGTTGTTGCGAGCGTACATCGAAAGAGGTCCAAGCCCTACTCAAGGCTGTGACGAGGATTGGTCCGCCATGGCTGCAACTTCGACCCCTGTCAACGAACCGACTGGCAACTCTGGGACCGATGTGGCTCGCTCCCCGGGTGTCGCTGCTGCTACTACTACGAACATCACGACGACCCCAGAAAGCAATGTCTCTGTTGCACCGTCAACCTCGCCTGCCACGCCTGGCTCCGCTTCGCGCAAGCTGATTGAGACCATGTCCAACTCTCCGATTGAGATACCAAGAACATCACAATTTGCCAACTTCCATCCTGCCAGCCCCACGCCGAAAAAGAAATCTGAAAAAGAGAAGAGACGGAATGGTGGCCAAGCTTCCACGGGCACAGAGGGACTGTCGCAGTCTTCACCTGTTCGGCAGCCTACACCGGCAAAGCGTAAACTGGGTAGCCCCTTCAAGATGCCTGGTCTTCCTGCTTCGTCACCGGCGAAACGGATTCCGACTGACAATATCTCGATGGGTACCCTATACTCCGCGAGTCCAGCGGTTAGCCAGAGCCTTCCCATGGACAACATATCTCCTGGGATGACGGCCGTTCCCGGCTACTCCTCGCTCACAAACAGCCAGATGCAGACCATGGCCGGTCAAAGAATCCGCATCATGTCTGCGAGTTATAAGTCACCACCAAATTTACCGGGTTTCACAAACGAACTGTTGAGCAGCGGTGGCAGCAGCGGCAGCTTCCTCGATGCCGATATCGCAGCTGCAGAGCCACGATCCGCAAAGCGTGCTCGTACAGACACGTTCGGCGCCCGCACCATGTTTACGAACGTTGCGCGGGAGGAACAGATGCATCATCAGACCTACTTCCCACACATTCCACGTGGAACCGAACCTTCCGGATTGTCTTTAGCACACCATTTCAACGACCATATCGTACAAGACTTCAAATGGCTTGAACGAGATCGCAGCGATCCAGAGCCACCACCATCTGCGGTTGCCCGCACCACTGGGTACGAGTTCCCTATTCCGTTGCCGAGTGGTACGGTGATGTCGATCAAGGCAGAGGCAGAGGCAGAGGCAGAGGCAGAGGCAGAGGAGGATGTAATGGTTGGGCAGAAGCGCAAGGCAGTGCACATGAGTCAAGGGGAGATTGAAGCCGACGACATCCAGGATCCATACATGCTGGCCAACCCGGGTATTGCCCACCCTGAACCGCAATACCTTGGTATGTTTATTCCACACAACCATGGTCAATCCATGTCGTCGTACATGCAAGGTCAAGATAGAATGCTGCCGCAAGGCCAGCTTCAATCTCCTCCGCAAATCCAGGCCTTTGGTCAAAGTCACCCACAGTATGGACAGGCTCAGAGACAAAGCCGATTCCCTCAAGCGTTTTCGAACTCTCGCGCGTCGAACTCGCAAGGGCAGCAGCAGCGGCCGCCACAAGGCCAACGAGGAATTCCACACCGCCCAATCGACGCGCACCAGCAGATGTTCAGGTCCAGCCCAAGCGCGGCCATGGCAAGAGCAGCGGGCACTCCGACTCCTGCACCTCGGCGGCGCTCCACCGTTTCGAAAGCAGGTCAAAAGAGTTCTCCTCGCTCTGATACGCCACGCAGAAATGTGCAGACACCCAATCGTCGGTCCTTCCAGACCCCCAACAACAACCCGACCCAGAACCCGTCTTTCTCGCAGACTCCGAACCAGACGCCACTAGACGAGACACCGGCCGTGCTGCGATTGCATCTGCCCACGCCGAAGCAGCCTATCTCTACCGGCTCTTGTCCAAACACCATATCCGAGACTCTCGCGGAAACGAACCGTCGCACGGAAGCCGAGCTTCGTTCTCTCGGCGCAGATGTGGTGGATTACGATCCGAACATGAACTGGGACGATACGGCGGACGCTTCATTTGGGGGTCTCTTTGGAGGCATCGATCTTCTCGCGCCTGCCGACAGGACATTCAGTGACATGATGGGGCTGGACATGATGACCATGCCGCAGGACGCGAGTGAGAACGTCACTGGACTTGGAAACACGTTTTTGACCACGGCAGTCAGCACGGGTGAGCATGCAGGGGGACTCATGATGACGCTGCCCAGCAACAGCGACCTCGACGCGACTGAGGTACCTGCAAACGCTGCAACACATGGGATCGCAGCAAATTTCGAGACAGGAACAATGTCTACCACCACCACCGCCGCCGACCTGGGCTTTGCGTGTGACTGGCCAAACGCGTTTGAAGAGGGCAAAGATTTCGACCCAATGGATTTCGGGTTCTAAACCGCTGCGAAGCCAGCGCTGTACAAGGGTGGCGATGTGGCTGGAATTCTGTGTACTTCTGCGTCTGCGTTGTGTCTGCCCGTGTCGTGTCGTCGGGGAGGATGTGGTATGGTGTGGCGTCGCATGATATGGCATGATAATAAGGGGGGGGGGGGGGGGAATAGGACCCGAGAACGAAGACCGAAATTGAACCCGAACACGCGACACCTGATTAACCATGAGCTGCAGATGAATTAGGGGTTCCGCAACTGTCCTCGAGCGGAACACGGCTTGCTTCCACGCACGCACGGACAAGAACTGGATGCAGGAGATTCATCGATGTTGACGAGGACTGAGCTTCAAAGCAATAGCTTTCAAGGGGGGCGTGATTGACGGCGCCACATTCCACGCGCAGAGCAGGCCTGGAAGACGGGCAGAGAAGCCGGAACAGAGGGGCGAGAGTGACTTCATGGCACTTTCTTCAAGTGTGCATGCCGCTGAATGGGAATTTGGAAAGCAAGGGATGCGGACGGACTGCGGAGAGCGAGGCCACAGCCGCAGCAGCAGCAGTAGCAAGAGCAGCAGCAATACTTGTGATGGTGGCAATACAGGATCCAGGTCAGGAGGGACAAGGACATGGAGACGGCAACTCGAGAAACGAGGCTGGAGATGGAGATGAAGGAGAGGTATCATTCCCACCTGTATCATCAAGTCAAATCAATGAGAAAATAGTACGAACCCAACGTACACACTTTTGGGGCTTGTCTCCCGGGACGCAACTGCGAGCGCAAGTTCGTACAAACGTAAGTTGGCTTAATACTCGATGGAATCTCTCCCACTACTAATTAAATTTCGCTAGTACCTCTTTTGGGTATACTCCGTACTCGCACTTATTACGTCCCCGAGATGGTCTCTAGGCGAGTAGTTCTCCGTCCCTCCACTGAGTAGGTAGCAAGTTTAACGACCTAGTCTATGCAAATACGTGTTTAAGGGGCGCGCGTCCTTCTCTTTCCCAGTTCTGTTCCCATTTCTTCTTCTTCTTCTTCTTCTTCTTCTGCTGCTGCTGCTGCTGCTAGAGGCCCCCGAGAAAGGGTACCAAAGGGAGTATCAATCTAGATAGCGAGTCGTTCCTGGCAGTCGAAAAGTGTAGTATCTAGCCATTCGAGTCCGAGTCTAATCCTCCTCCCCCGGTTTCTCAGTCAAAGTGCGGGGCGTTCGTTGCCCATGTCGAGACAAACGCCTGAGGAGGCAGGAAGTAAAGAGACCTGAAACTCTCCACCATAATGTACACCCGTGAAGCCAAGTATAGCGGGGCAAGCACTGCCACGCTCCACCTGGACATCTTGTCGGTGCGTTGAAGAAGGACGCTCTCCAGCAGAACGAGCAGCGCGCTGATGGTGGGCGCAATGGCTACCGTCAAGGCCGACATTCTCCATAGGAGTTGCTCCACACTGGTAGGAAACTCCAGACCCCACGCGAACAAGTGAATGCCTCCAAAGGCGGTAATGGACAAGATGCTGGAAAGAACCATGAGTCTGTCGATGTGTTTCTTCTCAAATCGGCCGTCGACCACCTGGTGGACCACGCTTTCGGGTATGTAGTAGCGTCGGGTCTGGAGGAAACTGATGGGCGCTGCCCTGGCGATGGTTGCAAAAGTGGCTGGCGACACAGTGGTGCTAGTGTCGAAATAAAAGGGAATACCAACGTCCTTGGGCTTTGGCCACTCCGCCATGTAGATGATGAAGGCACAGGATGAGAACGCGACGGTGCTGATTTCAAGAGGGGTGGAAGGGATGTCGGCAATTCGGCGCGAAATGAGGTGAATGGCGAGCCAAAGTACTTGGATCAATGCCAGTAGCCGCATCAGGCCGTCACTTTTGCTCTTGTCCTGGATCTCATTCGACTCGATGGATGGCAGCTTTCGAATAACGCCGCACCTTCTCGCTAGGGCCAGCTGTTTAGAATCAAGAATCCAGATGTTGCCGTGCAGCGGCGCAATATGCTTGGCCTTGTACTTTTCGGTGCTTCGCCAGAGGCCGTGTGTGTCCGGGCGGGCATTGATAGCGAGAGCCAGGTGTGGCTTGAATGGTGCCCAGGGAATCTCGCCTAACGCTGCGAGGTGTTGTTCTTGATTTCTCTGGAATTCCTTTATAAAATAAGGCATCTGTTCGATTTGTGGTGGAGACTGCAAAACCCTGGTTTCGGCATCAGCCGGACTAGAAGATGTCGAACATGAAGAGATCCTTTCAGGCTGAATCACTGACTCCGCGACCGTGGGTGATATTCCGCGATTGCGTTCCTCAACCACATTAGTCGCTTCCTTGGTAGAGGCAAGGCCTCCGGGAACAGATGACTGCTGGCACTGCCCCCCTGAAACACCTCGGTCACCGGGGTCCGAAAAGCGAATCGCTATGCCTCCCATGTTTGCCAGTGTTGTATGTGTGAGCGACCAGGGCACATCATCGGCATCTGCCAGCTCTTTCAGGTGCTGGTTGTTCACCCAGGAAGCAAATAAATTGGTGGTGGAGATGCCGACGAGGTATTCAGGGAATGCAAGCATTACACCCATCCAGCTTATTTTGCGTCCAAAGAAATAGAATTCCTTTCTAAGGACTTGAAGCTTCGACTTCGGCTTGATATCTGGGGGAACTGTAAGGTGGAGAACCGACCAAGTCGAGATAATGATGATGCTTGTACAGCTCCAGATGATGTCCATCGTCGAACGGATATTTGGGCCTCTGACAAACCCACTGGGCGAAGTGCTCGGAAACGTGCAATTTGGCAGAAAATCAATCATCCTTGGGATCGCTGTTTCTTTTTCCAGAGTGACAAACAACCGTGTTCTGTAGATGCTAAGATAGTCATGCCCAACACAGAGACGGCAAGCTGTGCTGGGCGATCTAGCAAATATACATACATTTAGCATTCGAAGCCGAGCATCGCAGCCAGAAAATCACAGCTGTGTCTCTGAAAGGCTGCTAATTCTGGCTGCAACTCTTGTTGTGGGCAAGAACACTCTATCGACGCCCTCTTTGGCGTAATGGCCTAATTATAGAGGCCCGTATAGAGGGACAGCATCTATTTGGATTTTTCAGCGAACAATCGAACAAGCTCATGAGCAAGAGAAAAAAACCATCATTCAGACGGCGCAGCGCCTCCGCCTCCCTCATGGTGCTCAGTTGTGAAACCTTTGCAGCGCAACCATTGAGATTGAATGTTGCAGGACAAGTGGCGCAAATGGAGGAAGGCGCATTCTGGAGATCAGAGCACTCTTCTTAGGTCGGACAACCCTCCAAGCCTTGTCATCTGTCGTCCTTTTAGGCGTGCGCCTTTGTGTACGTGTGTTGTGGAAGCCCATGAGCCTGTCTTCCTGTGAATGAACAGCACAGACCTACTGTATTAAGAAGGTCCACGGAGGTGCATGGAATCCCCCAGCCTTGTCACTATTGTTGTTAAAAAAACATGAAATCTGTAACTGGCGTAAGAATAATGGTATTCGAACCGAAATATTAGTTTCTGTGACGAGTGTTTCCATTGCCAAGCCACTGAAAAGGTACGCTATAACAACTAGTCCCTAGTAATTTGTATTAGAGATATGCTTACTAGTCTATAGCGCTAGTATAGGCCTTGAAAGTGCTGGTTTCTCTCATAGAACGCGAGATTACCTCGCTATGGGAATACGCACACAACGCGTAAAATCGATAGACTAACGTCCTTGGGCGTAATTGGCGTGCGAGAATAGCGAGAGAGGAGTGCTCGATAGAGATCGATCGCGCACGTTACGACAGAGGATGGCGACAATTTTGCAAGTGGTGACCCTCTCTGCAGCAATCGTCTACTTGGTCACAGGGGTAATGAAACTAGCATCCCTTGGTAAGTATGCCTCCATAGAATCATACAGTCACAATCACCGCCTCAGCCCATTACAGTGACACTTGCGTCCCTAATACAGTCCCCACTTTTGTCCTGATGTGCTCAAAGTTAGAAGACTCTCCGTGTAATGTGCACGCGAATGTCTCTGATGGGCTTTTTCACACCAGTCCCGGGAATCATGGCTGGCACGTTCCACGTCCCACCACCACCACCACCAGCCGGCTCGATATCCCACAGACTGACGATTGCCGCGCCCAGGGCCACGAGCTCCTTCTCGGCAAATGTCCGTCCCTTGCACATGGCCGCTCCGGAACCCCACGGCTTGAGGCGCCCGTACCGGGCGACCAGTTTTCCCGACTCGGGGTCGAGCTGGAGGAAGCGGTCTGGAATGAATGCGTCCGGATCCGGGTACACGGCAGGATCGCGCTGGATGAGCGAGTGCGGCGCCGAGACGAACGTGCCCGGGGCGAGGTTATGCGTGTAGGCGCCGTCGCGGATGGTGACAGGGCGCGCCACGTACCGGATCGACGTCGCCTCGTTGGCCATCCGGTACGTCTCGAACAGGCACGCCTTCAAGAGGGCGCAGTCGCGACAGAGGCCGTGCAGGTCGAACGCTGTGATCTCTGGCGGATCGGTCCGGGATATCGTGACGTGTGATGCTATCTCCTCGCGAATTCGAGGTAGAAGGCCCGGGGTGGAATACACGTAGAGCAGGAACCAGAACAGCACGGGCTGCGTGTTGGCGTTTTGGCCCCAGAGGATCGCCAGGTCGCCTGCGCCGCGGTCCCGGAACGACCATTTCTCGCGGCGGTAGACCGCGTTGCGCGCGAGGGCAACCTCGCTGACGTCCGACATGTCGGCGCCAAAGTCAACTGCCTCGCCTCGCTGGTACTGGTCGATGCGTCGATACAAGGCCTCCATCTCTTGAAGCAGACGCGATCTCGCAGCCACGCCGTCCTTGACAAGTTTGAAGGGAGCCCAGGATGGGACGCCGATCATCAGCAGCGGAAACAGGTCGTTGTCGAATTTCCAGAAATCGCCCAGAAGCCCGGGACAGCGATCGAGGAAGTCCTGTCCGTAAAGAAGAGGAATGGCAATGCACGCCCCGAAATCTCGCGAGAGACTCTGCAAGCCGGCCTCCACCGCTGCTGTCTTGCCCGGTAGGTTGGGTGTGGTGAGGCGAACGTTGGCAGATAGTTCCCAGCGCGTCATCTGTGCCGGGTTGGACGAGAAGCTGACGAAGGAGGCTGCTTTCTGGGAGATGCAGCTCTGCTCCAGGGCGGATGTCGCGGCAGTGTCGTTGAGAAACATCCGTTCGATAGGAGCGAGAAGGTCTTTCCAAGAGTCTTCCAGCTTTTTCTTGAGGGCCGGCGAGTCCACCGCTCCAAAGACGCGGGTAAACAAGGTGTACTGGACTGGTTCGGCGTTGAGGGCGTGATGAGGCTGCGACATGATGCGGTCAATGTTGGGAAGGTTGGCAAGGACCTGGTGGGTTGTTGTGAGGCCGAAGAGAGAGCCGCCGCGTCGTCGAAGCGTCCAGCTAGAAAGTCCTCACGTCAGTTCTCAAGGTAGCCTAAGAGGTTTCCCACCAGCATGCTGCTGCGTAGGTAACTCACTATATATGCCGACCCAGGCCACCATGGTTGATGATATAACCAACAAGAGCGATCTCAACGGCCGCCCACCCCGGGAACAGTCTGTATTTCTTCTGCTTGAAGATCGCCCTCTGAAGTAAGCCAGCAATCAAGACCACAGCGAACAACTTGTATCCCACAGGTAACCCTGAGTAGACTGATGATAGACGCTGCGAAGCCCCTTTGACCATTGGCCAGTGGTTCGCCTGGTCTAATAGCTCAGCCATCGTCGTTGACACTCACAGGGCCTCCGGTCTGAATGCACCGGATGAGGAATTGAAACGCATTTACGCGGGGGGTGTGCCTTGTCTGCAGGTGAAAGGATGATAAGAATAGCAATGGAATGTGACGGGTCACAACTTGGAAGTGTTGTACAAATGGATTTCATAAATTACCTGTCAGATCCCAGGCCCGTTTATTTCAGTCTCGTTCAAACGAACTTTTGTAAACTTTCCGGGGGAGCCAAGGAGCTAATTTATTAGCGCTTTTATAAGAAATTAGCTAGTCTTTGACCCTTCCGATTTGCTGAGAAGTCGCCCAAGTACTTGTAGTTGAAATCGTTCTACGAGTAACTGTTGCAACTGCCAATTGGATCTGACTCGATGGCGGTAGAGTCACGCTAGTAGTAGGATTAGCTGTAGATTCTATACTGTAGTCACAGGGGTAATGATAGTTAGCACCGCGTGGAGTCTTTCCATTCGCCACTGTCATTTGATGGTCATTTGACTGAAACACGTGGAAGCTTTCCTTAGTAAGGAAATATCTTTTTGCATTACGAAAATGATCTGTGGTCCACTCGGTACCACGTGATTCTAGATTCATTTGAGGTACCTTTTTACCATCTGCAATGTCTGAACCCATAGTGTCATTCAGTCACATCTGCTGTGACGGCGCTGGCAGTGGGCTTGATAGTCCTTAAGCAACAGCGACAGATCAATTGAGCATTGCTTCAGACAGCAAATGGGGCGCTAGTTGGTGCTCGAGACCTTCTATTCCTCCTTGGGTACTGTTCCTGCGACGCCCTACAGGCTATCCTGCGATCGATCTAGTTATAGCGACTATACGCCTCCCTCCTGTGTTTAGTTTGGTTTGTTCGTGTTGTCGCTAGGCGATCGAGACAGTGCCACGACCAGAACACCGCTCCCATCTACCGGCCCCTGGACAGGCCTCTGTGCGTTCTTGCACGTACGTGCATGCTCCCGAATTCGATCCCTGAACAGTACAAGCCATGGAAAACTTTATGGGCAATGCCTGTGAGGATCCATAACGAAACATCCTACTCTCCCTTTAGTTGACTGTATGGCAAGTGTCGCAATTCTTTCGCGGGGGTTCCATGGTTTTGTATCGCCAGCCTGCGCGGATTCGCCTCAATCTGGCGCTGTAGTGTCTCCTCCCTGCTGTCGATGGGAACCTTCTAGTTATCGTCCATAGGCACCGGCCTCCAGGTCCAAGCCCATTCCCCTCCCCACCTTACTCACCATCCACCGCCGCTTAAACTCTTCCCTGGCCAATTCTCTAGTCCTCTTTGCCCAGACCTCGCTTCCCACACGGCCCCTCACGAATCCTTCCTGAAGGGCCAGTATTGCAGCCTCAATCCCCCGTTCCTCACACGCAGCATCGTATAATTGGCGGGCGACTACGGTCGGCGCAGTGAGCATCTCGTCGACATGCGGAATGTCGTTCTTGGCAGCGCGGGCATGCGCTGATGATATCGCCTGGTCAGCCTTGCTCAAGGAAGATTGGAGGAGCGAGATATTGCTCGATATTGTCGCATGTAACGCCTTCAGGTTACTCAGTTCCCCGTTTAATGTACTCGTGGTAGATTGCATGGCGGCATACTGCGAGGCTAGTGGTGCCAATGCGGAGTTGTTCTGGGAGATTTGTTGGTGTAGGGACGTTGTGAGTAGGTGTGAAAGATGGGTTAGCAGAGCCTCCTTTTCCGGGTTGACCGGTATTGGAGGGGCGGGAATGTGGTGGGATGATTGAGGGTTGGGAGCTGGCAGCGGAATGTCAAAGGGAGAATCCAGAAGATTTGGTGTCGGCGCTGGTTTCGGAGCAGGAGGTTGGGGTGGTGGTTGATATTGCTGTTGAGGTGGTGGGTATGGCTGTTGCGGAGGTTGCTGTGCGTAGTTTGCAGGATACTGTTGCGAAATGGGCCGCCCGGGAGGCTGGCCATAAGGCAGTGGTGATGATGCTGTTGGCACATGGCCGTATTGTTCTGAGGGCAGTGGTCTGGCACGGTCGGAGACTTGGCCTGGGCCTTGACCAGGTGAAGAACTCATCGCAGGGTGAGGCTGGGCTGGAGGGTACTGCTGTGGTGGGCCCGGTTGACCCGGTGGAGGTGGTGGAGGTGCGTATGAAGACGGCACTGGTTCGTACGCAGCTTGTGGATGTTGGTGCTGCTGATAGGGAGGTTGAGGAGATATGGACTGGCGAAGGCTGCTGGACCGTTGGGGCACAAAATTGGTGCCGCTAGCGGGTCGTTGGATGCTTCCATTTCCGTACGGCTGCTGAGATCTTTGGCCAGGGACTTGCGCCTGAGAAGGCAGAGGCGGCGGAGCATCATAACGTCCTGGTCGTGAAGAAGCTGTCGGAAAGCCTGGGCTGGTCGGGGCGGGAATTGGGACGCCGGTTTGAGTAGGCTGTTTGGGCGGAGGTGGTGGTGGAGCGGGTGCGCCTGGGTGCTGTACAGGCGGAGGAGGGTTTGAAGATGGCGGTGGTTGCATCTCCCGTGGTAAAGGCGGCACTGGTGGAGGTTGTGGCTGCGCTGGTCTTTGCTGTTGAACCGGCGACCTGGACATGACAGGCGGCTCTTTGGCAAAAATGTCGGACAAGATGGACATAAAGTCCAAGATATTCGATCTCTGTACAAGAGCCCGTCAGTCGGGGCTGTTCCGGACACCCTGCTCTTTGTCTCTTCTCTCTTCCTTTGCACCTGAACCTACCTCCCAGTGTTCTCTCCAATGCGCCAAGTACGGATGATATATTCTCCCATCCCCACCGACATGTTGACCCGGTCTAATCATCATCTCTTCCGTCGGAGTGACATAGCACATGGGTGCCTCGTAAGGGTAGGCATGAGGAATCCATAATACTATGGGAAACCGATATGTACTTCCTCGAAAGCTGACAGGGATAGTGCCCTTGAACTGCAGGAGGAGCGCAGGCGCTCCATTCTCGAACGCTGGGTGTCACCAGTCAGTGTCTCCCTTCCCATCTTTCTGTATATGCGACGCACTGTAGACATCTGTCCGAGGAGCGAAGCCCGGATTGCGGGTGAGGACGTGGGCAAGGTCCGAATAGGTTCGATTCGGGTCGCGGTATTCCTGCAAGCTGTTAGCTGACCGACTTGGACGACGGTCACAGACATCCCGTACGTACGCGTTTCAATACATCGTAAAGCCAGTTCAGTGTCTTCTGGGGCACGCCTGCCATTGACGTAACAATCACTCGAGAGAATGCTCCTGGTAGATTTGGACGGCGGATGCGATTCTGGTGTTGGGGCCTGGTCGTCTTCTATTGGCCAAGCCTCTACCAAAGATATTAGGTAATGCGGGGAGGCTGCTGGATGCAAATGCTACGAGAAGTCTCACGTTCACAACAAGGAGACAATTAGCTGTCGATGGAATCTGGATTTGGGGGTATCATAAAGCTAAGACTAATCGTACAACATCATCAGGCACCGCTCATGTTTGTGCCTTCCTGGTACAGGATCCATCACCCCATCAGTCATCTGTTGCAGCCTCCGTGTTGGTGACTTGCCTGCAATCTATTTCTGTTGAGCGGCAGCCTGCTTGTCGAGATCCAACTCAACCCCACGCTGCCTGGTCTTGCCCTCGTCGTGCATCTCGTTGTATTTGGCTTGCTCGGTGCGGTCGCCAGTCAAGCCCGCCACGGCACTGCCGACAGCTCCTTGAGCGCGATCGCTGACGCCCTTGCCGAGGTCACTCAGTTGACCCTTAGCCTCTTGTCCTTGGCCCTGCAGATTCTGTTCGCGGCCTTGTTGCTTCAGATTCTCGCTGCCGACGAGGTTGCCGATGGTCTCTTTAGCGCTGCCAATAGTCTGGTCCCATTGGCCTTGAGTACGGTCGGAACTGTCTTTGGCAGGAGCACCGGTAGAGCTGATGGTGAAGGGCCCTGCCTTGGCAGCGGTGTGGGAAAGGTCAGACTCGGCGGCACCCTTGTTCTTGTATTCTTCGGCCTTTGCCTGGGAGGTGACGTTAGTAGGGTCTACTTGGATTGACAAGACTGGAACCGCAAACTCACCTTGTCGCCGGTGCTACCAGTCACAGCAGCAATACCGGACTGGACATAGCCAGTGGCAGTGTCGACCACCGACTTAAGAGAAGAAGTGTTGTCGTTGGAAGACATGTTGAAGTGAGTGGGTGTGCAGTGTGCTAGTGTTGGATGCTTGTATCAATAAGAGTTTCTTTCGAATCGTGGTTTGGTCTGAGATGGAGAGATGGAAGAGGGACTGAGCCAGGATCTGAGCACAATTTATAGACAAACGCTGGGAAGCTGAATTCTGTTTGTCGCGACAGTGAACCTGGTTTTCAGCAGGCACGGCACTGGCACACTGGGTGCTGGCGCAGCTGGTGGAGGGCGTGTGCTTTGTGCCAAGTGGCTTTGTGGCGCGCCATCGACGTCATCGGGGAGCACTGGTGGAGCCCACCGAGGCACAGGGCGAACCATGGCAAACCATGGCCCATCAGTGACCATCTCGCAATCGGCCACCTGCGAGGCACAGGAGGGAAAAGCAGAGAATGCCCTTCACCACAAATACGCAATCCCATCTCACCACCCACAGCCACCCATCACCACTCGGGAATGGTACCCCTCCACTCCTCCTCGACCTCGACGTTTGATTCCCTGATTCCATACAAGGTTCACGAACATTCCCCCGTGGCAAGGAATGTTGGCTCCATTGGTGTGCTCGTGTGTTCCGCAAGCCTCACCAGGCGTGGAGATCGTCAGGCACTTGCTGGTGCTGGCAAGAGAAATCTCAGAACGGGGCCGCCGTCCAGGTTGTTGTCGTCATCCTGCAAATCTGCTGTGCATGTGCATGTGCATGTGCAGGTGCAACATGCAACGCATTGCAGCTACTCCTCACCCAAATCTCAACTTGGGACACACAAACACCAGCAGAAATGCAACCACCCACATGGCGAAGATCATACCGTACAGCTTCAGTCGTCCAAACCATCCCTCTTCTTCGCTCATGCGTTTCAGGAATGCCATGTTCTTGCTCGCCGCCTCCATCCCGCTCAGGCTGACATCTAGTCCTTCGATCGCCCGACCCAAGATGCCCTTGTCTTGTTCCAGAGAGAACTGAAGCTTCCTCTGTTCCTGTTTTAGCTGGGCTGCCATTTTCACCAGAGACGCTGTAATGTCTTCGTGCACACGCGAAGAATCCAAGAGTGATCGCTCTGTCCCAGCAAAATTCGAGACACCGCTGGCCTGCGCATCAGCTTTGTTCGTGTCGCCTTGTCCTTTGCCTCGTCGCCGCAGACTCGAAGCCCCGAACAATTCTTCCCTCGTATCTTGATTCTTTTCTATGGCCTCTGCGGGATGTTCCTCCTCCTGCATGCTTTTGACGGGTTTCCCTTCTAGTAGTGGAGCGTCATGCGTGCTCTTCTTCGCTGAGTCCTCAGTCACATGGGACTGCACCTGCGTCTGCAAAAAGTCATAAATGGTTTCCCCTCCGTCGTCGACAATGGGCGGCTTCCACTCCTCCGGCCCCATCATCTCAACCTCCCTCGCGATGTCCTCGATCCGGTCCCTCAGTCTCTTGATGATTGTTCTCTTCTCGGCCAGATCCTTGATAGCCTCATATTTAGCCCGCTGTACGCGGATAGTCTGTGCCTTTCGCTCCAGGTGTAGAAGTAGTGTGCGAGCGCCCTCGACGTTGCGCAGCCATTTCGTGCGGTGGTACGGCAACGGAGACCACAATTCGGCCTGGACCTGCTTTTGCAGCGGGGTCAACTCGGCGGTATGGTTGGTGTCGGAAGGAGATGGCGTCAGGAGGATCAACTCTTGGTACCGGGTGAGGGTGCGATGGAGGTTGAGGTAGCTAACTTCATGATGGAAAGGTCGGCCTTGGGTGTTGTCTGTAGAAGAGTGATCCCGCCTTTGGCCCGCACCAAATGGGAGCGCGACGGGTCGCAGTGCCGTGGTCAAGGACATGGAGATGATAGTGTAGACCGACCGACTCGATGTTGTGGTCTCGTCGCCTGCTAGCGACGGGGTCAAAACAGCAGACAAAAAGTCCTGGCACCGCTGCTAATGAATCTTTCCTTGGTTCCCCGGATCTGGAGTAAACGTGTCCATGAGGAAATTGAGCCTATGGCGGAGCATGTCTGCAGCTTGGCTCCCTTCCTCGAATTCGTTACATGATTAAGCGCCGGGAGCCACCGAGAGGCTAACAGCGTAACAGGCTACAGGGTACTCCGTAATTACAACTCCAAATACTCTATCGATAAGCGGCCTTTCTCTATCTATGGGGTCTTACGTTACCTTCCCCTGTTAAAGGCAGGTAGTGGCCGTAACACTCTTGTACAAAGAAGCATCGATACTGCAATCAAACTCGCCGTGTCTCTTCCAAACCAGGGGCCTTTGGAGCTCTAGGGTGGTGTTGTGTGTTGGTGCACACTGCTAACTTCAATGTGTTCTGATATATTTCTCGTCTCTTATAAGAAGGACATAGTAACCTGAGATTCTACCAGTACACCTTACTGTGACATGAACATCGATGGGACATCATGTCTCAGTTATTCAAACACCTTTGGTTTTCTAGCGTTTGAATTTATGTTTTCAGTGGGTTACATTGAGTCCTCTTGTCCCTTTCTTGCCAACATTTCCCATCTCTCCCCTTCCTAGCCTCCAGGAAGCCTCCACCTCTGACTGACTCTGATTCTGCCTACCCATGATTTCTTCTTTCAATCATATCTATAGTTCTGAGGTGCAGTATCATAATAGTCGAGGTAATGACTCGGTTCCATTGAAAAGTTGTCGCGGTGCTGGTCGAACTCAACGGCGTCGTCGGCGATATAGTTGGCCATGATCTCCATGGGAAGTTTGTTGGCCCGGCTCTGGAACCACTCGGCCTGGGCGAGGGGGAGATTGAGTCGGGTGATGAAGTTTGGATACCATGGTGCCTGTCGGACGAACATGGTGTCAGGGAGCAGATCAGACCATAGCACAATGCATGGCAACGGAAAAGAGGGACCAAATGGCCATCGTCAATGCTCCAAATGCAAGATTGTAGTCCGGGGAGACCAATGCACTTACCATCCAAATCTGCGCCACCATGATCCTATCCTGTTCAGTCGCGTTTGGCATCCCGGCATGCCACGTTCGGAAGTCCCTCAACATCACATCCCCTTTCTTCATGGTTGCGCGCACAGGCGGTCTCACGGCTCTGCGTGCCTCGACGGCCTCTTCGAGCACAGGACACGATGGTGTGCCGACCTTTTGCTTCCCAAAGACCGTCTCCGGGGTGGCGATGGTCTGGTCGCGCTCGTCGGTGAAGGCATGTGAGCCGAGCCAGAACTCGGTGGCGCCGTTGTCGAGCGTGAAGTCGTTGAGGGCTGTATTGGCCACGATGACGAACGGACATTTCGGGTGGCGGAAGCGGGTGTCCTTGTGGACGGGCTGGCGCAGGCCACCGGTGCCGGCGAGGGCGTTGTTGCCAGTGGACATGATCCATTTAGGGTTGGCCCCGAGGTAGCTATACACAAGTCAGCTCAGCAATTTTGGATTGTGGGGAAAGAGGAAGGAGACTAGAATTGGAGCTCTCGGTGTGATATAGCAGATAGAGAGGGACCAGACTTACGCGTTCATCACCTGGATCACAAACGGATTGAAATGGACATCTTCAAACAACAACTCAGGCTTCGTGAATGGAGGAGCCTGTAGTATATTTGCTGTTTCCTCGAGTTTCTCATCAGCATCCTGCAATCTTCTCTTTGGGATCGACTTTCCGGGCTGTTCAACTGAACTCACACTTCACGCCCTGGTTGTACACTTTCGCCCCGGCATGTCTTTCTCTCAAAATCCGATTCCGGTCACCGCTCATATGCTTGTGAAGGATGTCGCAGTGTTCTGGGTCCACGACGCCTTTGAGAACGACCATCCCATCTTGATGGAGTCCTTCAAGGGCCATTTGCAGCGCTGGGGCTGAGTAGGATCCCTTCTTGACATCTTCGTCCATCAGTGGCACACGACGTGGCCCATCGGGCTTGGGTTCTTTGAGAATGGCAGACGGCATGATTATTGAACTTGAAATGCGATAAAAGACACTGCTGTGCGCTGAATCCTGTGCTCTGGGTGCCACGATTCCTGGATTTGTTTCCTCTCTCTTGTCCAATTATAGGTACTCTGTAAGCCAGTCTTGTTTTGTTTTCAAAATTATAGACTCCTTTGAACCCGACATGTTCTACCATCAAGAAAACATCAACCTATCCGGAACATCGGCGACGAGGTTGGGATTGGACTCGTATCGGCCGTTCGGTCGGAATAGAATCAGGACGCTGGCTGGTATCCACTGTTGATAAGGGCAATTGGCGTTTGAGCCGAACTAGAGAATGCACGAACCGGGGTGTCGGTGATCGGCTGTACAGCTTAGTGTCTGTGGAACGTGCGAGGCGGGAGACTGGGGTCGAGCCCTGGATGCGACGTTGAACTTATCTTGTCAGACACCAAACAGGGTGGACGTATATTGCCGGATACGCGTGATAGGCTTGTACAGCCACCCAGATTGATAGGATTGCCGTCCAGTGGACCAAGGTGACCAGTCTGGACTCCTCAAGATGCATTTGGACCTTGTCGTTGCGGACTTGTTGCCACTGTGGGTGAAGGAGACGTTGAAGAGTTGGAATCGATCATCTGTGCCATGTTGCGAGGACTAGCTGCGGACTGCAGTATATCAGAAGCCGCAGCTCCCACACCACATCTCCACTGTGGTCCTCTGTGAGCCCATCCTTTCAATATTCTCATCCTCATTCATCGTCGAACTCTCCAAGGGAGCATTTGTGAAACGGCAGTATGGGCACCTCCGACTTGGATAAACCCCGGATCACCGGCATCAACGCCTTTCGTCCCAAGAACCTCCTGGCTTCGTTCCGCATCAAAAAGGCCAACTTCAAGCGTGGAATCCAGAGCAAGGAGAACTTCAAGCAGTACCTCCGCACTCCAGGCTCGAATGCGGATCCTACAGGTTCATATTCCTGGATCAACGATGGTACGCTCCCCTTCGATTGCTCTCTGTCTGCTCTACGATCAATGCAGATCATCTGACCTGAAGCTGTCGGCGTTAGACCTCCTTCCGACACCTCCTGAAGCCCGAACATGGGCGTGGTGGAACTACTTCTTCTTCTACTTCTCCCTGTCCATGGACAACTGGACGTTGGGCTCGGTCATGATCGGCTGCGGACTGAATTGGTGGCAGTCCATCCTGATTGTCTTCTTCAGCCAGGTGCTGAGCTCGGTGGCCATGGCCATCAACTCGCGGTCTGGAGAGGTCTACCATGTCGGATATCCCATCATCTCTCGCGCGGTCTTTGGCACATGGGGCGCCTACTACGTCGTCTTTGCGCGTGCTGTGTTGGCTATCGTTTACTACGCCATCAAGCTGTACATTGGATCTTCCTTTGTGGTGAACATGTTGACGGCCGGTATGTCATGTGTATAGAGAACGCAAGAACTTATATTGAGTTCCATACTGACACCAAACACAGTATTTGGCGACTCGTACCGCAACCTACACAACTCTATCCCCGCATCTGTGGGCATGTCTTCGGCCCAGTTCATCGCCTTCTTCCTGTACTGGCTCGTCCACATCCCCTTCACCCTTCTCCGACCATACCAGTTGCGTTGGGTCTTTACTCTCAAGATGGTCACGGTCGTGCCGGCCTGCTTCGGTCTGTTTATCTTCTGCATGGCCAACACCAAGGGTAACATCGGCGGAGGAATTCCTGGGGCTCCGGCCTCGACGTCGACGAGCTTTGCCTGGTTCGTCGTTTATGCCTTCAACAGCGGCCTGGGCAATACTGTAAGTTTCTATCTTCCTTGACAGAGAGAGTATAAACTTACCCGTGCGAGGCCAACATCATTACGAACCAACCAGATTTCAGTCGTTGGGCAAAATACAAATACGCCTCGGTCTGGCCGCAGCTGATCGCCAATCCTATTAGCGTGACCATCTCAGCCTCGCTGGGCATCCTGGCCACGTCGGCGATCAACCACTCGTGGGGGCTCGAGCTGTGGAATCCGTGGGATCTCCTCGACGCCATCTTGCGGCGATACGACACTTCGGGGGTCCGGTTTGCCGTCTTTGTGTGCGCCAGTTTTTGGGCCTTGTTGATTCTGGGCACGAACGTTGCAGCGAACATGATTCCATTCGGGGCGGACAGCACCTTGCTTCTGCCACGATACATCAACATAACTCGAGGGCAGTTCTTGGGTCTATGTCTGGCCTGGGCCGTCAATCCATGGCAGATTCTTCGATCGGCAACGGGTAAGAGCTTTTCTCTCCCCACCATTTATTCTTGTCGTGTGTAGGACGCTATGACGTCTTGCTTGACGAATGTTGTCAACTATGGGACTGACGAATCTCCAGTATTTCTCAACTTCCTCGGCGGCTACATTATCTTCATGGCCTCAGCCGTCGGTATCATGATCGCCGAGTACTTCATCTTGACCAAAGGCAACATCTTCCTGCAGCACCTGTACGACGGCAGCCGCGCCAATCCGCACTACTACTACTACCGCGGCTGGAACATTCAGGCGTACATCGCCTACATCGTCGGTGTGGTCATCCCTTTCCCCGGCTTCTGCGGCTCCCTGGGCGCCAACGTGTCCGAGACGGCCATGAACCTGGGCCATCTGGGATGGTGTCTGTCGTTTGCCGTCTCCATCGCCGTCTACGTGCCCTTGTGCTATTTCTGGCCGACCAAGAACCAGAAGCTAATCAAGAGCATGGGGCTAAAGTTTGAAGAGACGGCGGTCGAAGAGTTCAGCCCGGCAGATCTCCCGAACTTCAATCCGGCTGTCATTCACGGCCGCGAGGTCTTGTCGTCGATCGGACCCGTGAATGGGGAGGAGGATGTCGAGTCGGCGACGGAGAAGGATATCGGCCAGAGTACCGTGGTGGCGTCCAAGATGGAGTGATGCTATACTCCCTAGAT